GCCCATTAAGGGTCACCAGTTGCCCCCCTCTGAGTACACCACTGGCTAATCTACATCCATATACAGGTATATTTAAAACCATGATCCATGTGTTAACTGTCCTGTAACTTAATTTCAAAGTGATCATCTAATTAGATCCTCCAGGACAGAAACCAGGAGCGCAGCTGTAGAAATTATGACTTTTTTAAAGGCTAATGTCAAAACACGGTTCTATTTTAGCAGCCTGGAGCTGCGCCTCGAGGTGTGTGAAGTGTGAGACAAAAAATAGATCCGTCCTTGTTGGTTACCTGCTAATAGCAGCTTTCGATGCTGTTTTTATCACCGCCGTCCTCCTATAAAAATTCGCACACAAGGTGGGAAAGAGCACCTCGAAAAATCAGCAATTAAAATGAGACTCTCGAAGACGGAGCAGAGAGATGAAGCTGCTCTTGATTTCGCCACGCATAATGAAACACCAAAATACATTCCCAGGAGTAGTTTAACTCTGTGGGTTTGTTCAATATCATACCGGTGGAGGATATAGACTGAAAACAAGTGAGAACTATGAGCATGAATCGATAATTGATCGAGTTATCAGCAGATTTGACCGTTTTTGGCCCCGTGCCGTGACCGATTTAAAGCATGGATGCAATTTTAGTGGCGCCCAAGGATGGCGGCTGCTATTTTAAAAATGCTGACTCATGCAAACTTACGAGGCAGACTTCAAGCTGCCCTTTTTGGCCTTAACTGTGAACAACTTGTGATGTTAATATCTCAAAAGAGTTTGAAATGTTCGTCTCTCTCACAGACTTTAGATGCTCTACTTTGAGGAGTTCTCAGTAAATGTCCTCTCATGTGGCTGCGGCTGCTGCTGTCTGGTCCGTCTTCTTTTCTCTTTGTTTTTCTTCTGAATTATTGAATTCAGTATTCAAATTTTATATTTTTCTTAAAATACATAGAGGAGGATGGAGAGTAGATTCCGTTCCACAGTGTTTAACGAAAAAGTCTGAGTTGAGTTTCATACCCAGGAGCGTGTTCATCGTACACATCACCTGTGTTTCCTCCCTGCTGCGGTGGCTGATTTGTCTTATAGAGTCCAGGCCTCCTCGCTCACTGGGAGGATGTGAAGAAAAATCAGTGCAAACCTCGTCATTTGTCTGCTATATATAATTCTTTAGTGCTGGTACCTCTTCTGACCTGTGCAACATTCATAGGGGACAATGAAAGGAAACGGTGGGATGCTGCTCTCCTTCTCCCCTCCCCACCGCAGCGCTCTTTCATCTCTCCTTCCCACAAGGCTGATTCACCACTTGTGACCCCTGCGGCTGCCTCGTTGAAAATAGACAACAAAGTGTCTGAGATGAAAACCGGTGGGCAGTCGTAGGCTAGATTGCTGCTCGGCTTAAAGTTGCTCGGGCAGCGGCGAGAACTATCGCTGAGCTGACACTTCCATTTGTCTGGATTCTGGTCCTGTGAAAGAGCCAAGTTGGCACCGCCACGCACCCACAGCTGTGAGCAATAACAAACACAAGCCTATTGGATCGAGGGGCGATTTAACTGAGAATGACTGACAACAGGAGAGTTTTTCAACTTTAAATCATCGATCAGCTCTGACCTTGTCTTTAATTGTTTTTTCAAGGCAGCTTTGATCGCACTCGTCCCAAAACATCAGGTTAAGATCGTATGCAATAGTCGGGTTACGCTTAGAGCACCCTCTGCTGGATCAAATTTGTAAACTTCTTTAGGTTAGGGTCACCATACGTCCTCTTTTACCCGGACATGTCCTCTTTTTGGGGGGATGTCCGGCCTTGTCCGGGGGAGTTCATAAAATCCTTCAAATGGTCACGGTTTAGTACGTAAGTTTCCATTTTGTGTCACGTGGACTTACTGATTTAAGGTCCTTACACACCGGGAGCGTTTTCCCGTCCTGCGTTTTTCCGTCCTGCGATATTGCGGCATTTATTTTTTCATATCACGGTCGAATTTTCTAAAGTTTTGCATACTGGGTGTCCACTTCTGACCAATCAGATTTCATGCTGTTGCGACGTCTGATTCACCGGTATATCCAACATGGCCGACCTGCTGATTGTTTACGTGTCGGAGAACAGAGTGCTATTTGATAAAAATTCGCTTGAGAGTATTTCGTAATTTCGTGTCATTTATTTGCGTCGCTCCCGGTGTGTAATGACCTTTAGAAGCGCGTAAAGACACTCGATCTGACCCGAAAAACTCTCAAAATTAACTTCGTACGACACAGTGACTCCGCCCCCGCATAGTCGTGTCCTCTTTTTGGGGATTCAGAATATAGTCACCCTACTTCAGACAGCCTGATGCACTGATCCACCCTATATTTTGAATATTTTGCTAATTCAAACTCTTCTCCCTGAGTTCAGACGGAGACTCAAAATGGGACTAATTACCAGTCACTAAAATTGACATTTACAAAAGTCATAATAATACAAATTTATGAATTAAAGCTCCTGTGAGAAGTTTTTACCTATTAATGGAACAGAGTGAAATCAAAACCGTTGCCTCTCTCTGATCTACAAAAGCAGAAATAACCATCAGAGTGTTTTTACGCAGCAGTTTGTCATGGTAGTAAACCATGTGAGGGGATAGGTGTCGACACTAAATATCTGTCATAGAAGCTTTAAGTGGACAGGTGATGGATTGAAGCAGCACACCCCTGCACAAACTTGTATTAAGCGCAAAACAACAAAAACAAGGACTGTCACATTTAAGGTTTTGCTAAACTGGTCCACATGATGCTGCTTTATAAGAGCAGAGTAGGTCTTTTCTGCAGTTAATGTGAAAACCAAGCCTTCTTTTGTTGCAGATGTCAAAAGTGCAATCATTTTCATCGCCAGAAGGGGGAGACAAGCTTTGCAGGTCGGAGAACTCTAACCCAGTCAATCCTGCTTGTATGTAACCTTTTGCTTGACTTTTTCTCCGTCAGAGGTTATTTTTTTCCAAGTCCTGGTGGAGACAGACTCTAGCGTGGACCCTGCTCGTGATCCAGCCTGTGGGCTTCGGGCTGGGATCAGATATTCAATTGTTTTTGTATTGCATTTAACTAAAATACATTTGTATTTGTGTTGCATCTCTTCTTTGCACCTCTAACCCTTCCTGCTGGTCGACTGCATCTGCTCAGTGTGAGGGAAAACAGGTCTGTGCTCTCCTTTAAACACCCGATTATTCAACATCATTGACTGTCTGAATGCAGAGATACAGTAAGTCTCACTGTACACAGCACTTCAGTATGCAGAGCGGTCTGAATCCATCTCGTCCTCTGCAGAGGAAGATAAGAACCTCCTTCATGAATAAAGATGTTTTTCGGCATCCCTCTCTTCTCCCTGCGTTCAATGTGTACTTGTTACCGCGGCCATTATTTATAGTCCCACGAAGGCCCGCCTGGAGTGGTGCGAGTGGGTCCCACGGGAGATTGGGAAGTGGAGCCACAGCTACCTATAGTGGGAGAGATATACCACCTCACCCCCGCTGAGAACTTCTCGCAGGAAATGAACTCATAAATCAAGCAGTAAATTGAGTGTAGGGCCGCGCTTACTCATCTCAAGAGGTCCGCTCCTCTTCCTCCACACACCCCTGCTCCTTTTTACTGCATGACTAATGCAGCGCCGCAACTTCTCACTCTCCCGCTCCGGTTATCTCTTAACAAACTGTGGGTTTTTCAGTTTCGAGTCAACATCAGAGCTCCGGCCTGGAGGCTACAGTGAAAGTGGAGGCTCCCTCTCTCTTTCTGATCCCTCGGTTTTTCTTTCACCTGATGAATCTGGTCCCACCCGGGGTTTCTGCCTCGGCGCGAGCTTTGGTGAATTTAACGTCACTGGATGTTGCGGATGGCTGTCCACCAATGAGTACGGTTCTGGTCGAGGTCACTGGATGTGGGACGTGTGAGGTCAAGCGTCAATTTTGCCATTCAGAATTTATAACCATCATGTAGGGGTTCGGACCAATCAGAATCAATATTTAACACGGCTAAGTGATAAGTAAGAAAGCCTGATGATAAATTATCGAGTAACAGCAGGACTATGAGGGATGTTCAGGTTAAAGGGATATTCCAGCGTAAAATTAATTTATGGTCAAACACACCGTAACACCGAGTTAGAGACCCCCTTGAGAGATGAATGTTGCCAACCGCTTGCTTCTCTAGTTTTACCAACTTTAGTAATGACCGCACGATAGCAATACACAGCGGTCTGAGGAGCCATAAACAAACTTCAACAAAACGCCACAAATAATGCTCAGAACAGCACCTAACTTCATCAACAGGACATATAGGGTCCCAGCCATAGTACTAGCCACCAAACATCTTTTTAACTTTGCCTAAGAGACTAAACACAACTCAGCTACTCTCTTCCAGCAGCCGCTTGTTTGTAGCGAGACTTCAGGCCAGTCCATTATGGACTACAGCGGGGGGATGCAGCTTAAGGAAGAACATTAATCATCCTTACTTTATCATTTCCTTGAAGTAATAACCATCATATTGATCATTTTTTCACTGCAGACGCGGAAGTTCTTCCGCCTTAGTTTCTCGGTCTGATTGCATTTCCATGAAGAAATGATCATAAATGTTCTTCCTTGAGCTGCGTCACCCCACAGCCGTAATGGAGGTCTCTGTACAAACAAGCAGCTACTGGAAGAGAGTAGGTGAGTTTTTTTTGTCTCTTTGCTGAAGAAATCAGGCAAAGCTAAAAAGATGTTTGGTGGCTAGTACTATGGCTGGGACCCTATATGTCCTGTTGATGAAGTTAGGTGCTGTTCTGAGCATTATTTGTGGCTATAGAGTGGTGTTTTGGTTGAGGTTTGTCTATGGCTCCTCAGACCGCTGTGTATTGCTATCGTGCGGTTGTTACTAAAGTTGGTAAAACTAGAGAAGTAAGCGGTTGGCAACATTCATCTCTGGAGAGGATGTCTAACTCGGTGTTATGGTGTATTTGACTCTAAATTAATTTTACCCCGCAATCTCCCTTTAAGGCAGACGGCTATCCACCAATGAGTCACTTTTCAGTCAAACAAATACACAAAGTACTCAAAAAAATGGATTTAATTGTCAACAATCAATATTTGTGCATTGATTCTTTACTTAAGCCATTGTACACCAATTAATCTGGTTCTGCCTGAGATTTCTGCCTGTTTCAGGAGTTTTTTCTCGCTGCAGTTACCAGAGAGCTTCCTCTTGTGTTAGTAAGTGGCTCATCTCTCTAAATAATACAACAGAGTTTATTTCAGAGCTTTTTTTTTTAGATAAGTTTTGTTTTGATTTTGTGTTGATGAATAATTGAAAAAGTCAAAAAGCTTGAGTGGTTAAAAAAAAAGGAAATCTGGATTATGTTCTTGGTTATGCTGCAATAAAAAGCAAACCAGCACCTTGTCCTACAGCTGAACTTCAGCGCCTCATTGTGATGCCACTGGTGAGATCTGCCTGTCTTTACGCGGCCACAGAGAGTCTCTCCTGGCCGCCTCGGGCTATCCTGACAGTCGCAGGGTGCTGTCTGGAAGAATTAAAATCTCTATTTATCAGGGCTCTACTGAAGCTGCCCGGGGACTGGCCGGGGAAATGGCAAACAGTCGGCCGTCTCACTGCAGAGGGACTCAGATGAGGAGTTCAACATGCCGGGATGTGCCTGTGCAGGTCTCGTCTTGACAGTGTATGTGATGTAAAATATGGAAAAACTTCCCTGTCCCTGCTTTACACTTTGTTTCACTTGAAGTCTGAGCCAGCTTGTGCGCTTTCCTGAATGTAAATCACTCTTTAATGTTATTCCAAAAGAGCAAATTGAAGCCTGATCCTTGAATACAAACAGTGTAGGTGAATGTATAAGTATGTGGATCCACCCTGCAGAGCGCTGCTGCACATTAAAGCGGGGACTGTGTCGCCTCCTGCAGATGTTCTCCATCACAGCAGCGGTAGGCAGCGTTTCTTCTGACAAAGAGGGAGGACAGGACAGGAGGAAGCAATCAGGATCCTCTTAACTCAGATCAGATCAGAGCTCTACTGAACTCTGCTGGACAAATCAAGCAAGTGTAAGTCAATCACAGGTGACACACACATAACACACACAAAGATGCTTATAGCTGTACATGGTTAACATGATTGAAAAGTCATTGATTATAGTTGATTAGATGGTAAACTGCTGCTTTCTGCTCGTCTCTTCTTATCAGGTAATTTGCTTCATTTTGGTCGTATGATCACATCACGCCAATTTTAGGATCTCTGCATCGGTTACCTGTGTCTTTTAGAGCAGATTTTAAGGTTCTTTTATTGGTGTTTAAAGCTCTTAATGGTCTTTGTCCTTCTTATTTATCTAATTTGCTTTTACCATATGAGCCCACTGAGCATTTTTGGTCTAAAAGAGGTCTAATAGACGTCTAAATGTAGCCTAGACAACTGGTGTAAAATCAGGCTACCACAGGTCTAAAAATGAACGTTTTTTAGACGTCTAAATTTAGACCAAGTTTAGACTAGTCAGCTAACTGTATATTGCTCAACGGCTATCATAATTGTTTTGGTTAAGTACTTGGAGATCAGTTATGCAACTAACAGTTGCTTTTTCAAACAAATAGTTCTTGAATAATGGGTTAAAGTGCAATGTTGAAATTCTGTCTAAAAATATACAGAATCTAGACGTTTGAAATGAGGTCTAAAAATAAACTAGACGTCTAATAGCCGTCTGTTGCTCAGTGGGGATTCCTCAGGTGGTGGTCTTTTAACTGTTTCCAAAGTAAAAACTAAAACATATGGTGAATAATTATTCCATTATTACGGTCCCCATCTGTGGAACAGCCTACATGCAGACCTGAGAGCAACACCTACTGTTCATATTTTTAATTAAGTAAACTAAGGACCGACCTTTTTAGTCTGGCTTTTAGTTAAATTTTGTTTTAATCTTTTAATCTGCATTAAGTGATTTTACTCTATTTTAATCATAGATTAACTATTTTGTGTTTTATCACCTCTTTTTTTAATTTACTTTCTGTTATTGTTTGATTTTAAGACGGTTTTATTTAATTAACTTTTAACGCTTTATCACCTTTATTATATTTGATCATGGTTTTATCGTTAAATCCAGAGTTACCTCAGTCATCTGTGACAAGTTGAAGAGTCCTCACCTGGTCTTTTGTGTGTGTAGGTGCTGTGTGTGTTGAATAGGGGTTAGGAGGGTGGATGGGGTTTGGTATTTTTTTTTTTTTTTTTTTATTTCATTGTTTTTAATATCCTGCTTGATTGGACAGCACTTTGTGTTACATTCTATATATGAAAAGTGCTTTAAGATTAAAGTTCGACTGAAGTTTGACTGATGATGTGTTTTAGTTTAGTAGGTCCATCATCAGACTGTGAAAATCTTCTGGTTTTTTGGTTCAGCATTCGTTTGCAGCTGCTGCCTGATTTGAGGATTTGAGGGCGAACTAGAATCCTGATTTGAATCTCATGAATGCAGTCAAGGACTTACACTAGGGGGCGCTTTAACCCAATGGTTGTTCACTCAGATAGTTCAAGCAACATGAATCCACAATGCAGTAAAAACTCTTAAATGAATCTCACCTTAAAAACATGAGGCCTGGATGCCTGTACTGATTCTGGTAGCTTATTTAACTTATTGGTATTATTATTTTTATCTTATTATTCTTAGTTTTTCTATAATGATTGTTGTTGTATGCAAGAAAAGATTGAAATGATTGGCTGATTGGAAGCAGCTCTTTGATTGGACAAATAAAAACAGCCTTCTGGTCTATTTGGAGCTATTTTTCAGGGCTCACTTGTGTAATTTGATGAATTTACATCATACTGTGTTGAATCAAAAGCACAATCGGGACTTAAATTGTCATGTTAGATTTAAATGAGTGGGTCTTGAATCCTAAGACCTGTTTCCTATCACTCTATCACTTACACAAGGCGGGGCCGCTTTTCACTCTCGGTCACTTTAAAGCACCAAGCTGTAAAAGATGAAGACAAGCTGTTAGTTTTTTATGTTTATTATCTGTATTTATTTACTGTATGAAACTTCAAACTGTTGTCTGTTGTTTCACTTTGGTTTGACTTGTTTTTTTTTTTATAATCAATAAAACTGTAAAATGTTTTGACTTTGATACTGTCATGATCATATAATACTCAAATAATCACTTATCAAAGTTATATATTATTGGTGTAAACTATGGCCTTAAGTTTCTGTACTTTCAGATTATCAAGCGTTCAAACCTTATAAAGAAAATCTCCCTTGAGTTTAGTGAATTAAAAGCAGCAGCGCCCTCTGCTGTCCATAAAAGCATACAGCACCTCGCGCTAGATTTAATGCAAACAACACAACTCCTCCTTTTGACCTAACTAAAGCAAAATTATGTTACAGTAAAATAAAACCTAATTTTGCTTTAAAAACGAGCAGAAACTTGACAAACATTGTAAACAAGATCCATTTATTTATGTATTTAGACATGTCCAGTAATATTCTGATATACTGTAGTTTTATTTGTATCAGCACAAAGGAGACATAATCTGACACAGACACATTACATTTACATGTTTAACGGCCCTCTGACTAAAAACATCTTTATTATTTAAAATCATAAATATGTGATTTACGGGTCTGAATTTTCCTGAAGCTTCTTTATTCCCACACAAAGATGATATATTCACACACAGTCAAAGAAACTGTTCTGGAAACTGATGCAAAGGACGAAGATAGTCATAACAAGACCACAATACTGATGCATAAGATAAGATTACAGGGGCAAGTCCAAACTTTTTGACTCGGGGGGGCCTATTTGATGCACAGACTTTTATTTAGCCTTTCTGCCACATTTTATCATGTCGAATCTGTAAAGATTTTGAGTATTGTCATTTAAAAAGTGAGCCGCATCCTACACACCTAATGCTGAGAGAAATATTCTGTTATGTTGCAGTATTTTACCCAGAAGGTGGCGCTCAAACAAGAACGCAAGGTGGAGTGATATAGCTTTTGCTACCTCTGGTTCCCCCTATTTGGATCCTCACTTTTTAACGTTGTTCTTAATCCAAAATGAACTTTTTTAATGTTAACTTTTGACTTAAACAGGATCTAAAAAGTGTCTGCGCGTGTGTCTGCACAGGGCAGCCAAGGAGGCAAACGGATGAGCCGTCTTCACCGTCAATGATCAATGATAAGGTGAGTTTTTTTTTTTTCATTTACAGAAACCACAGTATGATTAGAAGAACTTTAAACCCGTGCTCTCTAAGACGTTCAGTGGAAACACAGCCCTGCACGTCGTCAGCTCTTTGAGGAGCCTCGACACTCAAGCTGCAAAGCCTCTGATGAAAAAAGCAAGTTGCCAAGCAAGCTACAGTCCAAAGAGAAAGAGAGAGAGGGAGTACAAAAAAAGGTCTGGGGCGGACAATGAAAGTATAAGGAGTTTTCTTTTTTTTTCTTTATTTACAAGATTCTTCGATAAAATCATAAAGTTTACAGAAATCGTTTACACTTTTAAAAGCAAACAAAAAATACTGCCAAAGGTGTTTTGATGCGACTTTAGGACATAGGGGGGAGCGGGGTAAGTTGAGCCACCCCCTGTTGCCTGTAAATGGTAAAAGAAATTGATCACAGCTCGACTTACCCCATACACGGAGTAAGTTGACCATAGGAGACGACTTTTTTTGGCATGCTGTATTATCAATACAGCTCTGTTTACACTCATTCTGTTGGTTTGCAGGGATAAACAACATCCTGAAATATCTGCAGATTCACTAGTTAGAGACAAAACTGTGATTGTCTTGATGTAGTGATCCGAAATATGAAAAATGGTTCATCCTACCCCACTCTCCCCTAACTGTATATTTAGCGTTTTGACGCCCTTCTTGTTTACTGATCTTTGTAATCGTCGTACACTTTGTTCAAGATCTTTGAGAGAGAGAACAGTAGAGGGTGTTTTGTTCCCAAATTAAATGATCAAATTTCTTTCTTTGATTTCCTGTAGAAATAAAATCAAACATCCTCCCAAAATGAAACAGAGTCTCTAAAAACCTTTTTGGTAGAGGTAGTTAAATACTTAGAGAACCGCTCCTTTGCCGTCTGAAGTCTGAGACGTGGATCTGCTGAATGTCCCCTTTGACCCCGACATCCTCTCCTGCCTGGCCTTCCTCTGCAGCAGCAGCTTCATCCTCCTCCTGAACTTCTCCCCCACAAAGGCGTAGAGGACGGGGTTGATGCAGCTGTGGAAAAGAGCTAAACTGTTGCTGATATCCAGGGATAGGTTCACCTCCTTCCTCATGGCGCAGTCGTACGGTATCACCGCCGCTCGCATGAGCGTGTCCACCATCATGGTGATGTGGTACGGCGTCCAGCACAGCAGGAACACGATCACCACGGCGATGATCACCTTCATGGCGCGGTGCTTCTGGAAACCTCGTGTGCGCAGCAGACGGGTGATAGTGATGCTGTAGCAGGTTATCATGACGCAAAGAGGGAGGAAGAAGCCAAAAATATGGCGGAACCCACGTGTAGCTAACCTCCAAGACGAGGCGCTGCCAATGTCGAAGTTTTCCGAGCAAATCATCCTCCATGAGTCAGGGTCCAGCCTGGATACCTCGTTGAAAAGCGCAGGAAGCGCCAAAGCCGAACCAAGCGCCCAAACTGCCGCACAGAGGAGCCAGCTACACATCCTCTGACGACTCCGCAAACTCTCGCTGGCGTGCACGATCACAAGATAGCGATCAATGCTTATGCACGCCAAGAAGAGGATGCTGGTGTAGAAGTTGGCCTCCATGATGAGGTTCAGAAACTTGCACATAAAGTCTCCGAATACCCATCCTTGGAGGAGCGCCACGCCCCAGAACGGGAGCGTTAGCGCCATCAAACCATCTGCTACCGTCAGGTGAAACAGGTAGACGTCTGACGGGGTTAGCGCCTGCTTGTTGGTGCCGATCACCCATCCGACCAGCAGATTCCCCGGTATTGCGAGCAGAAAATTGAGACAGAGGATAACACACAAGGTTATAGCCCCTGTAGTACTCAGAGGTTTTATCTCGCAGGGTAAGGTCTTCGGATCCACGACGTAGACTGATTGGTTATGGACGGTTTCATTCAGGACATCCCAGAAAGAGTCGTCGAAGATAGCGGTGAAGGACATGGCTGCGGATAGAAAACAGATGGATCACAATAGTGTAAAGAAATTCGGCCTAACCAGGTAACCAGGTAAGAACCCGTTGAGATCGAGATCTCATTTACAAATGTGACCTGGCCAAGAGGTCGCCAGCACACAACACAATGATAAATAAGAATCAAGAAGAAGAAAATGACCTCCAGAAACATCATTTCACGGGCTCCCAAAGTCTGTCATGTCAGATTGAATGAAATGCTGCCAGTGAAATTAAAGGTGAGGTAGTCAGGATCTGAGGAAGTGCCGGTTTTGGGGTGAAACTCTACCCCTCCCAACCAGTTTTCCCCTCAGCTCCTCCTCTCCCCTCCCTTTCTGCACCAGCAAGCCCCGCCCACAAACAGACGCTCCTGCTCGCTCGTATCGTTCCAATTAAATTCAGATATAATGCAGATAAATACTTCAGATCATTACAAATGGGGCCCAGTCAAGGTGAAAGTCAAAAGCATTGATGCTACTGTAGATGCCAACAGACTACCAGCAAACACAATGTTTGCAGGACTTCTACAACTAGGATAAAGTGACATAGTCCAGGACCCGAGGGAGGACAGTTTAGCGATGGCGCTACAACACGCTACAGCAGGTCCGTTTGACAAGAAACACTTCTGTTACAGACACTTGTCTTACTTTGTTAAAGCGGTTTACCTGTCCAGCAGAAAGATAACAGGGTCACCAAGATCTAGAAGTGTCCCCCATCATTGTTGACCCGGCTTTTTAGCTCTTGTCCGGTCTACCTCCGTTTTAAGCGCCCGTTATTCCTCCAGAGTCTCCGGTATTTACTGTGTTTTCTTGCTTGTGTTGGAAGTCGTGGCCAAAGGAGGATTCAGACAATTTTCTGAACTTTCTAGTTGGTTTCTACTGTCCGATATTGTAGCACGCTAACTTTGTTTGGGCTCCTGAACGACTCGGGGGAGCAGCGTCTGCCTCACAACCAATCAGGATGGGGGAGGCGGAGAACGGCTTTGTTTACAGTCAGAAAGAGCGGGTCGCTCAAAAAATTTAAAATGACTACACAGACATAACAAAACACGGCGATATTCTTATATTACCAAATGTCATCAATAACTAATAACTATTGACTGATATTAAAAGCTTTTTTCTATATACACCACAAAAAAAGATGCTTCTTTAACGGGTTCCTGTACCCCACCTTTAATTCCGACAGTTTCAGGTCAGTCTGGAGAGTATTCCATGCTGAAGTGGCAGCAAAACTGAACGCTTTTTTGCTCAGTTCATTTCTGATTCGTGGAACAATCAAATGGACAGAGAAGAACCTTATAAATTCGAGTCATCCAGTGAGTGTACCTGCGAGGACTCAGAGAAGGCCAGCCAGACTCGGCATAAAGTTTGCAATGATGCATTAGGCGACTACAACCAGTAATAAATTTCAGATTTAAGGACTACAGGCATTTTGCTGAAGCAGTCATATATAAAACATCACTGTAATCCAACAATAGAAGAAAGGTTGCAGAAACAAGGTATTTTTGAGCATTTATGACACTTAACTAACAAGAACGATCTACCTTTAGAGTTTTAACTTCAGACACTCACCTTCTGCTGTGCAGAAACACCTTTCAGTGACAACAGGCAAACACCCAAATGTGTGAAAACCGTTTATCGTGTTTTTCCTTCATGGTGAGTTGACCCAATTTGTGGTTTCCCCCCTCAGTAGATTACACCGCATGCACACGGTTGCAATAGGACACATTTCAACATGCTAAGTCAAATTGCGTGCAATCGAGGGCAACATGTGAGTTTTTTGACATTTATGAAAACAGACTAAAACTCTTCCAACAACTTTTCTTTTTATTTATGTTTTATTTGTGTCAATTATGGGTCCTAACAAACAAAACACCTCATGCATAAATGACAGATATGAGGTGCGTGTTGTTGCAGGCTGTTGCATAATCCCGGCTGTGTGGTAAGGTGTTTTACAAATCATCACTTTCTGGAAATGAAACATTTTGTTCCTGATTTGTTGTTGCGTAGCCTCATCAAAAGCAGCTGATGGCACTTGGTCAGTCGAAAAAACGCAGTTACATAAAAGAGAAAACCTGATGAGGCAAAAGTCAGACGTGCCAAAGGATGAAGCCCGCAGGTGAGCGGGCTGAGGGGCCACCACCTCCACCTCTGACACATTCCTCCTTTTGCATCTCCCCTCGCTCCACCTTTGACTCCATAAATCACCTCATTTAAGGTCATGAGGGCCCAGATGCACAATTACCACAACGATGTGCTGCGTCACAGCTGCAGCTGTCCGCACACATTAAGTCTCCACATCTATGAATCTGTCACTTCTGCCTCCATCAGGACACATGACAGCCCCTCAACAGGACAGGCCTGTTTTTAGTTCCTGCTGACTTTGGTAAACACGGTCATGGCCAACAGACTGTGTGTGCGTGTGTGTGTGTGAGAGAGAGAGACTGAGCCTCTTCACACTCACATAAGAGTATATATTTTGTTATTTGACCAATTTTAGCTCCTTTTTGGCATCCCTAGTACATCATTCAGCATTTATTTACATAATAAAGTCAAATTTTGTCCTTAAATCGCTCATTTTCTTTGACAGAGCTGATTTAAAAACACTTTAATCCATCGAAAATAAAGTTACACATGTGGCCAGAAAGAGGAAATCAAGCAAGGTTGGGAAAATGCTGAAAGTTTTTTTTTGCAATTCCTCTAAAGTGACCAAGCCTAATAATTGGGAAAGCAATAACCTCTTTAAAAACGCCTTTTTATAAAGATTGTTTAATGTTTTAATACATTTCCTCTGCTTTATGAGTTTCTTTCTTTGAGGCTTGATTATGACATGTCTGAATGTCGCTACATGCGTCGATTTTAATTCCAAGTATTCTGAAATTCTTTGGAAAATCATGATAGAAACTTGATAACTGATATAAAAACCTGCTTCTCCATCACCCTCACAGGTATTGTTATCTTTTGCATGACCCAGCGGGACAGTTCCTCAGAATCACTCTGTTTACATCTTGCATTTCTCTTAACAAAGCATACCAAAGATAATGTGAAACTTGGCACCGACATGCATGTTCTTAGAAGCCGAAACAGGGTCCAGTTCTCTGAAATCACCTGATTGACACCAGGATTATCTGTCAGCCTCTTGAAGACGAGTAAAAATGTTTTCTTTAGCCTCAGGGTAGCTGTCATCTTCGGGTTAGAGGTCATCAACACGACATGCAAATCCACCTACTGTACTGCATGTGTGTTCCTGAGGTTACCGTGGCGACTGGAGGTAATCTCTGCAAATTAAAATCCCTGTAAAGTGACCAAAGTTGTTTGGTATTCACTTTATGTTGGGTGTGTTATGTAAGATAACCTCTTTATGAGTTTTTTGTTTGACCGGGCGCTGCTTCTGACATTTTTCAGTCACCACCCTAAAGTCTTTACAGCCAGGGGTGTGTCCAAACATTTTCACTTAAGGGTGAAATGGGGCACCCACATCAGCAGGGGGCGTAAATAATAAGTGAAAAAAAAGCATTTGAAGGTTTATTTTGAAAGGGGGATTTTTGCCTTTATTTTTAGAGGACAGGACAGTGAACAGAGTGGGAAACAGGACAGAGTAGGGGGTGATATAAGGGACAGGAACCACAAATCCTGATCAAACCTCTATAGGCGAAGGATGCCCCTCCAACTGGCATTAATTTACTAATTTTTTCTCAGCAGATACACAACTTAAAAGACTGCTCTGTCCACATGCGCCAAAATATACATACAGAGTGGTAACATAGAAATCCTAATGCTTTATTTTTCAGTGTGTAGGAGCCATAATGTTGCTTTGCTTATCGGTTATCCTGTGTTCAATTACTTTTGTCTGGTTGCCATTGGTTTCGCTGGGTTTTGGTCACGTGGGCACTGAGTTTGAAAGCCGGTAAGTTAAATAAGGGGCGGTCTTACCTGCACTGTGGTGGAGAGGTGAGTCTTGGTCGCCATAATTTTTTTTGACAAAATATTGCGGCTTGAGGCAGAGACTAGGTCCTGTATATTTTTTGCTTTATGTTACGCTTTATGTTCTTTTGTTTGCAATGATGCACGTCGCAAAGTGTGAAGTGAAGTGTGGATCCCGAACTGTGTGCTTCTTTTGAACGGCAGCAGCGTGTCACACAAATATGCAGGACCTAGTTTCTGCCTCAAGCGACTTTTTTAAAGGTACTAAGAAAGCCGCAGTAGGATGCATCTCAAGATGTGCTCTTTTAGAGTAGATTTTAAGGTTGCTTTATTGGTTTTTAAAGCTCTTTATGGCTTATCTTATTTATCCTTATGAGCCAGGTAGAGAACTCAGGTCTTCAGGAAGTTCTCTGTTAACATTACCTAAAGTTAAAACCAAGACATACGGTGAGGCATCTTTTTATTACCATGGCCCCCTTCTATGGAGCAGCTTACCTGAAGACCTGAGGACTGCACCTCCCAACCTTCCTCCTGTGTTAGCTTTTACTACACACCCACCATGTTAAGGGTCGGTTTTGACCTGTGTCTTAAATCAGCTGTAAATTACACTAAAAACAATTCTCTATCATCCAATTTGGTTCTCATATCTAGGTTACCTTGTTCGGCTTCATTATCCATGAAAATATTGATGATAATATTTTCTTTTGGGTCTTTGGGTCTTTTTTTGTCGGTATACCCCTCACACAGACATCTATACTGAATTGATCTCACATGTTTGGACATGCCTGACATAGTTTTTTGGGAAAAACATGGCAAAATGAGAATTTTCTAAATCTCACATGATTGGAAAAGGATCTGACTGTCAGTGCACTTGTGATTTCAGTTTTTACTCTAATTATTAGATATTAATCTAACCAGGTCAACAGCGACCCTAACACAACAAGTGCCATAATTTTAATTAAAGCATTTTATAATATAGTACATTTATTTTTTTATTTTGCTGAAATTGAGGTTCCTGACAAAGTCAAAAAGTCTTGCTTTTAACTTAATCTTATATCATTAACTTTGTGTAAGTGTCTTTCTAGTTTTAATGACAGGATCGTCTTGTATTGAGCTATTTTGCTGCTCTTATTTTAGTATCTTTTACTGATGTTTTTAATTCATCTTATTTATTATTCATTGTATATTAATGTGTTTTTAGATTTTAATACAAACCTCCACTTTTTCCTTATCTTGAGTTTTAAATTGGCGTTTCCTCAGTGCGCACATCCCTGTTTCCACGAAATCAAGCCTTTTTCAAGTTAATTCATTTTAATACTGTTTCTGTTGTGTTTAGATTGTGGGGTGGGAATGAGAGGTTGGGTTGGGGTAGATTTGGGTTTTTTTTGTTTCTTTTATTCCTTTTTCTGTGTAAATCACTTAGTGCTACATGGTCGTGTACGAAAAGTGCTGTATATAACACCGAGTGATTGATTGAAAATGTCACAGCTTTGAATTGAAGTCTTGCCGCGAACAGGGGAGATCGCTCTCTCTCACTCGAGGTATTTCTGTGATGTTAATAATGCTCGAGTAAAAGAAAAAACAAAGCAGCAACAAAAGAGAACTTCACAGGAAAGAGGGGTAATTATCTGAAGTGCTCGGATGTCTGACGCTGTGAATGCTACATATCAGGTTCCCCTCAGTGTGTTTATTGTTCTGTGTAACTGGGTTTCCTCTGAGTCAGATCTGGATGGAAAACAAAGATGATCAGTTTATCTCCGATTTAGCCAAATACTCCTAAAGCCAAAGCATGCAAAAGTGTTTGTTCATATTACACGTCTCAAGTTCAGGTGAAGATGGAAGGTTAGAGGACTGGTCTGTCAGTGTCTCGCGTGTCGTACCAAAAGATGATCTTGTCCTGGTGAAATCTGTTTCTGACAATCGTATGATCTGTCATGAACATAAATCCTTCAGTGAAACCATCCTGTGTAGTTTCACTGTCAACAGTATGTACAATCATGACTATCATTCCAACAATGCCTATTATCACACTGACGCCTGTGTTTTGTTTTACGAGTAAATCACGTGAAAGATAAATGGTACTTCGTGTCCTGTTTCATTTTTAAATGATTCAGAGATGTTATAGATGAACTTTTACCTGCTAAGACTCCAAGATGTCTTATATTTATAGAAAAAATAGTGTTAAAAATTAATCGAAGTGAACAAAAACATTCATTAGACAAGACTTAAGGGCACATAATGCACTTTATGTTTGTTTGACATCTTTATCTGGTATATTTTTCACTAAAAACTGGCTGTTAATTAAATAATAAATCATCTTGATGTGGAAAGACTTTAAACAGAGACTGTTGATGTTTTTAAGAAGGGGCTCAAGACTCACCTTCTTAACCAGGCTTTTCACTAATTACCTTTTTATATTTCTCTTATTGCAAATGTTCATTTTAATCGAAGTTCTTATTGTTTTTTTATGTAATTTTATTAATTATCTCTGTTCTTAATCTTTTTCTTTATTCCTGTCATAGTTTTTTACTTCTTTTACCCCTTTTTATATGGTAAAGAGCTCTTACTTATCTGTTCATTTAATATTATTTTCTTTGTTTTAGTCCATCAGGTTTTACTCTTTCTTTTTACCATTTTATTTTTTATCTTTATCTCCAGTGTTTCTCAAAGGTAGCTCTCTCCTCACATAATGTCTCGATGTCAGGCCATGTTTCTTTAACAGTATATCTTAAATTCTCACACTGTCTGTGCTTGTGTGTATGTGTGGGTGAGTGAGTGAGGGTGGGTGTGTGTCTTTGTGTGGGTGTGGGTCCATGGGTGGGTGTGTGGGAGGGAGGGTCGGGTTCTATTGTTGTTAATTGTTGTTTTTAGCCTCAGTGAAGCACTTTGAACTGCATTTTTTTGTCTGAAAGGTGCCATAAAAATAAAGTTGAATTTGAATTTTAAACGGACAGTCTTGATTTATTTCAAGTCTATATTTTTTCTTTTTACTAAATATAATCGACAAGATTGACTCATTTGAACCATGTTAGCAAAAAAGGACCAATTAATTCATTTGAAACAGTAATGATTTGATGGTAAAAACATGAACAGTGAATTAAAGTTAAGGAATAAAATCTTCATAATGAATTGGGTGAATGTAAACACATCTATTTATTTATTTATTGGGAGCGTTTCCTAGTCGACACATAGTATCGATGCTATTAATATCTGGTTTTGTTTAAAGTTTATTCTAACATTATTTATGTTTTCCTGTTGTTGTAGGTCAGTGGTACACCTGTTCTATCCCTCTTAACCCTTCCAAACTGTCAAAAATCTCACTGCGAGTTTAACACAGGCGACCCCACGGGCACTCTTATACTTCGGGGTCCTGAGTGTGGAAAAACGCGGAAGCGACAGGCGGAAGGAGCCTCGGCGGAAGCGGTTCGGTCTGTCAAGGGAGGAAAAAATTGACACAAAGAGGTTAATCCCACCAAAACAGCACCGAACATCCCCCCTTTTTCCTTCTGACACCGGCGTCCGCTGCGATGATCCTGTTAGAAATCAACAACCGCATCATAGAGGAGACGCTGGCGTTGAAGTTTGACGGAGCTTCAAATGGGTGAGAAAATCATCGGTACACCTAGCTAACCATGCTAACGCCAGCTAGCCTCCCCTGGAGCCTCTCAATGAAGCTGCACACGTTCAATTCCACTAAAAAGGCTTTCTACACAATTTGGACCAGTTTGCACCATTGCTCGTGTCAGATAGATGCCCTTATTTGCTGTAAAATGATAAATTAAGAACGCTGAATCGGTGTGCTGCTACACTAGGACTGGTCCGCCTGAAGCTGGGGTGTGTCTGCACGGTCACTACATGACTGAGTTTATGACTCAAATCAGGTTAAATCATGTTTTTGGTCCCCTAAAATCCACAAAAGGAGAATACTAATGATATTTAAGTTATTATGCAGCCGCAAACCTGACATATTAAATCAAATAATCCGTAATTTGAGGTTGCATCGTATCACACTGAGCTGGCCGACCGTCGTAATAATCTTTATTATTTATCATTCATCCTCAAAATTAATTGTACAATTTATTTTTATTACTCAAGCAATTTTTCTCAATTTTTAATTTGCATTTCTTTTTTATTTCCCTGCTTTTTATTTTTAATTTTACATCGCTTTTTTCGCAGTCATCGAATACGCTGACGCCTGACGTCACCACGTAAAATTTTTAATTAATCGCTCCAACGGTCCATTTTTACACATTTTATAGGGTTTATTCCGCTTAACAACACACAAACACAGCAGATGTGGTTATACTCTCCTTAAATTCGCGTTTTTACTGAGTTACGGCTGTTTTATGAGGTGTCCAAACCCAGCTGTCTCCTCTCTGCTTCCGCATTCTTGTCGTCGAGCTGAGTCAAGTCTGTGCAGAGGCAGCAGCTTCTTCAAACATGCAGAGTATGTAAGAAAGGAGACACCGTTATGCTGGTTTTAGTGTGGAGGCAAAGAAAAGAGGGAGCCCTGCAAGATTAATAGATGAAATGAAGACAGTTTGGGTATGAAAATAGGCAAAAATTACACTTAAGTGGAGAGTAAGTACTATTTAGTCATAGGCAGCTTTTCAGTTCCCTGTTCACTTTCATTACCCCACATCCAGGACTTTCACTTACTGTAAAGTCTGTAATTATTTCCAGATAAATAATTCACCTTTAGGTCTGTAAAAGGTCAGTGTATTATCCGTCCATTCAATAATTTCATTCAATCTAGTAAAAGAAAACTAAAAAAACGAGTCAATATTGTGTTTATTTGCTTTTCTATAAAAGGGTCAATGACGCATAAGGTTTTTCAACATGCCAATTTTAAAATAGCAAAAATAAGAATGTATTTTGCAAAAATTCAAACACTTAGGGTGTTGTTTATACAAAATTAATGTTACATTTTTAAATTACACAATTTTAGTGTGTTTTCATATAGATGAATTGCATGTGGGAAATGGGGGACATCGATAACCCAAAAACGAAAAGTAGATTTATTATTTTGTTTTTGTTTCCTTCTCTATTATATATTCTGTTTTGAGCTGAAAATACAAAAACAAACACTAACCTCTTATTTTCTGGTTATTTTTAGTTTTTGTTTAACAAGATATTGACTCGTTTTTTTGTTTTTTCGTTTACTAGATTGAATGGAATAACTGAATGGACGGATAATACACCGTCTGTAAACTATCGAAAGATTTCTTTTTTCATTTTAAATAAATATGACTTTGTAGCATGGCAACAGTGAAGGAGGTTTCTGGATTGCATCAAGACAAAGAAGCTGAATTGAAACATTTTAGACAGAGGCTGAAATGAGGGTTGAAATATACTGGTCTAAAACATTTAAAACGACCACAAAGCCATCAGAAGCACATAATACAGCTTTACAGTTAGCTTTACAATTAAATATATTGAATTTGTTTGGATTTATTTTTAAAATTTCACCACGAAAAGCTGCAAATTCCTCCAAAATTAAGACGCTAGGACCAGGAACTCCTCTGCTTATTGTGATATTAGTGTTTGTATATGATTTTGATGCTCATATGAGAAGGAGTTTTGACTCCAACTCACAATATTGTCTTATCTTGACTGTTTTCTGTATGTCTAATGAATCTTCCAACTCTGATTTGTCTTTACAGAACCAAGCCAGAAGCTGTCGATGTGACGTTTGCAGGTAAGAAAACCAGCTTCGAGTTAACGTCATGAATGTAAATGTCCTTTTTTGGGTGCAGTCGCAAAGCTGCTGCTTTTGATTCGGGGGAAGGAAGTCAAGATTTTACACTCTAAATAAGTTATGGGCTATTTTTGGAGACAGATTTTTCAGCTGTGTCTGCTTCTACATGTGTTACTGTTACGTAATCAGCCTGCTGTGCACACTAAGCCCTGCCAGTCATCTCTGCACAATGATGGAGTATGCACCAGAAGTCTTTAAAACTCAGGCTTCAATGTTGCTCGTCTCCCGCTGCAGATTTCGATGGCGTCTTGTACCACATCTCCAACCCCAATGGGGACAAGACCAAAGTGATGGTCAGCATCTCGCTGAAGTTCTACAAGGAGCTGCAGGAGCATGGAGCTGACGAGGTAGGGCATAAAAAAAGCTTCCTTATACCTGTCCGGACAGAAACGGGGGCCTCACAGACATAAATTTAAATCCCAGCTTCACATTCCTCGACGTATGCGTACACACCTTAAACACTCTTTTTACGCAGAACAGGAGATCTGCTTCTTCAGGAGTCTGAAATTCGGCTCTTGTTATTCCAGAGCGGATATGTTTGTCTTCGAGGTCTTTAAGTTGAGTTTTAGAGTTTACAGTTTTAGTTTTATTCATGCACTTTTCCCTAAAAGCTTCACACATCATCCTTTTTGTGGTTTTTTATGCATATCAGGGCTTGACACAAACTTTTTTCACAAGGAGCACATGTTGAAAAAGTAAGAACTTTAGAGGCACAATGAAAATTGATCCAATAATGTTTGTCTTATTGGTCGCCATAGGTACTACTATTTCAAAACAATCAATCAAACTTTATTTATAAAGCGCTTTTCCTACAGGAATGTGACTCAAAGTGCTCTACAGTCTTGTTAAAAACAAAAACAAAAAACTATCCCACATGCCCCCTTACCACCCCACCCCACCCCCCACCTACACACACATATCGAGGCTAACTAGATGAATGAAAATAAAACAAATAAATATCAATTAAAAGTAGTGCTGCAACTAGCAATTATTTTTTTGTCAACTAATCTATTGACTAGTCGTCTGATTAATCACTATCTTCTTTATTTATAAACACCTATTTCCGGGGTGTCGGCGTTTCAGGTGCTCATGCATCGCCGTGGTGCTGCCATGGTAGGAAAGCTGAGCTTTGATCAACGTGTTTTTTTGGTTTGTTCTCCGTAAAATGTTCCCAAACTTTTGAAGTTTTGGGTCGGAGTTTTGGAGCGTCTTTTTCAGTTTGTTCTGCCATAATGTGTGCACTCTTCTTCTGTGTTTGCTCGCGGGATGTAAACAGCGAGCGCTACTGCCCCCAGCACATCCTGTAGTGCACTGCAGTTATAGATGAGCATGAGGCGCCGGCATGTGATTCTTAACAACAATAACACGCCACGTCGAAGCTTCGTTTTCATGTCGCTGAATTTGTCGTGTCGACGTAATCGATTACGTCGACTAATCGTTGCAGCCTGAAATTAAAAGCGAAGCTAAAAAAGTGGGTCTTGAGCCTGCTCTTAAAAACATGAAATCAATTTTAAGTCTTTTGGTCACATGACATGGAATCTATTTAAGGAAAACAGCCTTTTTTGAGAACATCAACCGGTAATTTATTGAAGGTCCCTTATTCAACACCTGACGTTGACAGCGAGGGTGCTGAGTAGATTTAACCGCGCTGCTGCTGTTACCCGGTTATGGAGAGTGAGAAGACTCCGGAGGATCTGCAGTACTGTATTTTTCGCACTATAAGGCGCACTTCAAATCCTTGAATTCTCTCAAAAATCCTCAGTGCGCCTTATGTACTAATCCTGGTTGTGCTTACTGACCTCGAACCGATTTTATGTGGTACAAAAAGCCGTGAAAATGTTTTATTACGACTTCGGTAAACTATGAAGCCGCACAGCCAGATGGCTTGTCGGAGCACTGCAGCTACCGTAACCTGGCGGAGTTATTGAATGAGTTAAATAAATGCGTTTTTCCCTCTTTGTGTTTTTTATGCATATCTTAAAATTTGAAGCTCTTTTTTTTTTTGCGAAGAAACACAGGTGCAACAATAAAAACCTCACTGCAGATGAATCCAGGAAAAGAGCAGAAGTGAATGAGCCTCTGATTACCATCTAAACACAAACACACCTCCACCAATAGAGCTCCGTTGCCATGTAAGGAAGAAAGCAGCTGCCGAGGCTTCTGCTCGAAACAGGAAGTGAGCGTGAGTGAGTCACCCCAGGCGAGGAAGTGCTGACTGTGAGGAGTAGCCGCTGCGTTTGTGTGTGAGAGAGGACGTCTTGGCCGGCGTCCAGATCCGCTCAACTTCCCCTCTTGTTCTCCTACGCTGAAAAGCGGAGGGGGTGGATGAATGGATCGGCAGTGTCACAGTCAGTCATTCAGCCTGTGAAACGTCCGTTTAGAGCGCTCTGTTGGCGCTCGTTCTCTTTCACACTGACGTTCTTTTTGATCAAATTCAGCACAGATTAGAAAACCAGTCTTTCTTCTTGACTTTTGCTGGACTTCAGAGTGTCGTTCATTCTCCTACCACCTCACTTCATTCCACAGTGACAGGTATCAATTAAAGAGGCCCCCGCGCTGAGATTCGAACCTCTCAATAACACACACACACGCTCACACACACCTCCTCTCCTTTCCTGTCTTTTGTCGTGCTGCGAGTTTGTTTAGCCGTCTGGCTCCGCTTTTATTAGTGTTGACATTTCTGCTGCTTTCTTCCCATCTCTTAAACCACCTGCTTTGTCTCCGAAGGATTCCCCCACAGGCTATGAAACCGAGGAGCATGTAGCTTTTTGATAACTAAAGGCTGGCCTTGAAAGTGCCTGTTAGAAAAATGATCGAGTCTCTCGGGAAGTGTGGGAACCTCTTCTCCGCTCACAGATCAAAATATCCCCAAACTCACGTGCTTTATCGATTTCTTTGACAAGCTTTTAAACCCCTGTTTCTTCTTCAAGATCCATTTTCTCATCAGGTTTCCTCTTAGAGTTCGAGTTGTTGCCGTCTGTGTTGTGGTTTTTCTCTGAAGCCCTTTTTTAAAAAATGTAATTAAAGCAGCGTGACACAAATAAGAGTTCTCTTTTTTTAATTTCAGCTGCTCAAGAGGGTCTATGGGAACTTCCTGGTTTCACCAGAGTCTGGTAAGTCCTTAAAAAGGTCACTCTCCTTCCTGTAAAGTACTGTACTGTGTATGAACACCTTTAACAAAAACAATGTTCAGTTTTTTAAGTGCTTAGTATCCACTGATTTCCAGGTCAAGAGTTGTTGTAAATGCTTTTTAAAAAATTGTATTCGTTGTTTAATTAAACGTGGCTGATTAAAGCTCCTGTAAGTAATTTTTAGGTATTTATGAAACAAAGTAAAATTGATGTTGATGCTTTTTTTATGACTTAAAAAAAGCAAATGAGACTATCAGTTACAGTATTGATCATTTCTAATTGAGTGTTTATAATGTTTAATATTGCTGGCGGAGGTGGTGGGTGTCAGTGAAGCTGTTTATCCTCATTCTCACAAAAAATAATGGGGGACACTTCATGTTTGTGGTATTTTTGAAGTAAAAATTTAAAAAAACGTAGAAATGAAAATGTTCAAATACAAAGAGATTAAGGTTTCTGCTCTGCGTCAAAATCAAAACAAACAGGAAGTTCCTCACTGGAGCTTTAAAGGTTGTTGTCTCGCTGTAAAACAGGATGTAACTATAACTCAAACATACAAAGTCCAAAATGCCTCAAATTTTATATTTAAGGTTAAAATCTCAGCTACATGTGATGTTAAACTCGATTTTTCACTCTTTGTAATCGACTTGTTTTCCTTCCAGGCTATAACGTGTCCCTCCTCTACGACCTGGACGCTCTACCAGCCAACAAAGACGAGGTGGTCCACCAGGCGGGTATGCTCAAGAGGAACTGCTTCGCCTCTGTGTTCGAAAAGTACTTCAAGTTCCAGGAGGAGGGCAAAGAGGGCGAGAAGAGGGCCGTGGTCCACTACAGAGACGACGAGTCCATGTACGTGGGAACACGGATGCGTCTCCTTTCTGTGACGCTCACTAAGCTTGAAATCATTCGTACTCTGTTGTCTGTTTGGGACCTTTGTTTTGCAGGAGGATTACTCTGTCAGTCCCGGTTCCTTTGGGGGTCTTTAACCTTTGACTCGTCGTGTGTTTTCAGGTATTTGGAGGCCAAGAAAGACAGAGTGACGGTGGTGTTCAGCACAGTCTTCAAAGACGACGACGACGTTATCATCGGCAAAGTCTTCATGCAGGTACGTGAGGTTGACAGCTGATGAAAGACGGACATGTGGTGTGACAGACATTTACTTTGACTCGATGGCGTTCATCCCTCTTTGTTGTTTCTCTCGCTATTACTGCGCAATAGAAATAGTTATTGTATGGCGTGAAACCACAAAACTACCAGTTAGGGTCTTTGAGAAATTTGTTAGCATTCCCAAATGTGTGAATTACAGGTTGAGGACTTTCTGAATGTTTGACTGACATGTTGTTTACCTAATTAGTCTCTCTGGTTGTATTTCTCTCAACATTGAACTGAAAATAATTAAAGAAGAGCGGCTCACTCACTGAAAACCGGTTCTGTTTTTGTGCTTTCTGTGTTTAAAGGAGTTCAAAGAGGGTCGGCGAGCCAGCCACACAGCCCCCCAGGTGCTCTTCAGCCACAGGGAGCCGCCCCTGGAGCTGAAGGACACAGACGCTGCCGTCGGGGACAATATCGGATACATCACCTTCGGTTGGTACCATGAAAACATTCGCTGAAACTTTTGTTTCAAATTGATCCTCATGTTGTTGTTGTTGTTGTTTTCAGTGTTGTTTCCACGTCACACCAATGCCAATGCCAGAGACAACACCATCAACCTCATCCACACCTTCAGGGACTACCTGCACTACCACATAAAGTGCTCCAAGGTCAGTCCAGCTCACCCGAACGCCGTCGCAAACTTTTAACTGTTGATAGAAATGATCATTGAGGAAACTCAGGCTGTAAACACACCATAAAGCCTCCTCTGTAATCGTCGAGGGTTTGTTGATCACATCAAACGAAGGTCTCCACCTGACGACAAGCTCGCCCTGCCACTCTCAGTGTGTGGGCGCAAGCGTACACATTACTCACAATTTGAGACATACTTTGAATGGTTCCTCTAATGGACTCTTCTCAACTGTAAGCCCTAATCAGAGCCATTTTTTACATGACTGACATTTCAGAGGCTCCGTGTGGTTTTGCAAGCTGCTGCTGCTGATGCAAATAATGGAAGTGGATGTTTTGGCATCAGACAGCAGGGAGTCTGTGTGGGCGACACAGCCAGTGGGTGGATTTATGGGCAGCTGACAGACTAACAGGAGATTATACAGTACTCACTTTCGTCCCCGTCTGTGGTTAAAATGCCGCACATGTCACAAATGCTGACCACTCGGTTTTCAAAATAAGGAAAAATCTGAAAAATGTCGACACTTGCACCTGTAACAAAAAAAACAACCTCATTATCGAGTTTGTTTAGATTTGTTCCAGATTATTTGGGGGCTTATGTAAGCGTTTTTAAACTGTGTTTATTGCACAAGATCTCCCCCACACATTGAGTTTTCTCTCCTGCAGGCCTACATTCACACACGTATGAGGGCCAAGACGTCAGACTTCCTCAAGGTGCTGAACCGGGCTCGACCTGACGCCGAGAAGAAGGAGATGAAGACCATCTCGTACGTAGCCTCCTCTTGTTAACTCAGACTTTTTTAATCATATCAGGTCAATTTAAAATCAAATTAAGAGTAAAACCCCAAAATAAGACATTTCAACAACAACAACTACAAGAGGCTGCTAGCTGAGCTGCCTCTAAATTTAACTGAACTGTTTTGATTTTATGATAACTGAAGATGAAGACTTTAAAGGGTTAATTATGTCTTACTAATGTGGGACGTTAACACCAGTTAGTTAGTGTTTTTGATAATGGCATATTTTGGGTGAGGGGGCTGCAAGCTGAACTGTAGCTAAAGTTAATATAATAATAATATAGTCAAGAGAGTATAGTCAAGCCTGTCAAAAATGTGAAATGAGCAGTTTCAGTGCAATGGAAGCGTTTCTGCTGAAAACACATTCAGGAGGCTGCTAGCTGAGCTGCCACGAAACGTAACTGAACTCTTTTGATTCTATGATAACTGAAGATGAAGATCATTAAGGGCTAAATATGTCTTTCTAATGTGGGATGGTTAAAATCAGTCAGTAAATGTTAAATAAGCAGCCTCAGGTGTAAAAACACACAGTATTTTGATAATGGCATATACAGGGGGGGCAGCAAGCTGAGCTGTAGCTTAAGTTAATACCATAATAATATAGTCAAGAGAGTTAAAGCCTGTTAAAAATGTGAAATGAGTAGTTTTGGTGCAATGGGAGGGTTTCTCCTGAAAACGCACACTCAGGAGGCTGCTAGCTGAGCTGCGATCCAGAAGATGCTCAACTTTTTCATGATGACTTCAGATCTAGAAACTCAAGAGTGTGTAATATTATCATAATAATGACACATTCAACACAGTAAACGTTAAATTAGCAGTTTCAAATGCAATGGAAGGGCTTCTCCCCAATTTTGGCAGCAGAATCGGCACATCCTTGGGTCTGCCAGCTGATCTGCCCCCTAAAAGAAGCTCAACTTTTTGGATTGAGATATTCAAGGGTGAACAAACTTCTTACTCAAGTTATATAAACCGTTTCAGATGCCAAAAAAGAAAAAAAATGCTCCTCCTGACTTTTCTGCAGAAACCTAACATTAAGGGAGCTGCCTGCTGAGCTGCCCCCCAGGGTTACTCTCCTATTTTGAGGGGATTTAACATCTAATAATTCCAAGTCTTTGGATTGTTCCACATTTTTTTCTTGTGATTTTTTTTGACGTTAGGTTTTCTGTTTTGAGTGACACCAACTGACTGCTTGTACGCCGATTACTCAATCTTAAAATTGAGCTCATCTGTCGTTAAGTTTTCTCACGGATACTTGAAACGAAACTTCTTTATCAAACAGACGTGTTTGTTCTGCTGGTGAAACTGGCAGACTGGTATGAGAGCAGATTATGTTTATTGATTCACAGGAAAAAATCCTCTTTATTATTGTTGGTGATACAAATTTTACAATGATCCATATCTACGTTGTTTTAGAGTCAAGCCTCATTGAGTACATCATCTATCTTCTAAGCCTTCTCTTCTGCAATTCAACTCCACTCTTGATAAAACTTGAATGATTAAAGCAGATGGAAGATGAAGATAAGATTAAATATCTGAAAGGTCTCTCTGATAGGATTATTTCCTTATTTCGGTGTAAGCAGTCTGCACCTGTGTATGCTTTAGTGGTTTCGAGGTGTGTGGTTATGTTTGACTGTTTTTGCAGTGTTTGTAGTGAGTCAGGGAGGAATTTTTACAGCCTTCAGCTTTTTTAAAACCCCTGAACGGTTGCACATGCAGTTTTTTTTTTAGGTCTGGGATAATGGGAAAATATGAGCCATCAGACGACAGAGAGTCTTTGTTCTGTGGTTAATGTGTATGTGGAGGCCCACAGGAGCTGCCGCCCTGAGAATTTTTGAGGAACTCACATTGTTAACGACTTAAAACACACATATGAGTCAAAGAGAGACATCAGGTGGATTAAAGTATGAAAACCAGTTGTTGTTTTTTCTTCAACGTGTCTTTGTTGGATTCATTTTAGTGGAAAGACCTTCTCACGCTGAGGCTGGATCCAAACTCCCCCAGAGGACACGCCCAAACGCGCTACACTGAGACTCAAACGCCACATCGGACAGGACTCGAGGACGCATCAAAACGCCCCCCTTCGCCCCCGCCCAAACCCCAAAAACCGTGTCCAGTCTTTTCTTCTTTTTTTTTTTTTAAACGAATAATAATGTTGGCTCTACGTAGGAAAAGCCGCGGTTCAAGAAAAATGGAAAAAAGGGCATTCCTTGCTTTGCATAGTTAAAGAGAATTATTAGTCCTATATAAATATATATATGAAAAATTGAAATTTTTGATACGATATCTTTTACTCCATTTGGTACTCTTGCTTGCCCCTCAACCCCCAACCATGCAATATCCACATGTTGGATGATTTCAACCCCCCTCTCCTCCCTCTCCCTCCCTGTGCTTTCATGTTGTCTGTACCATTGTCATTTAAAAATAAATCACTCTTACAAAAAAAAAAAAAAAAACAGCTTGTTGTGAAAAATTCTGTTCTTTAATTAAAGGTTCACACTTTTTCATACGGGTGAGGATTTTAAAGCTTCTGTGAGGAACTTCTACATCCTGTTTACTAACAAAAAAAATCTCTGCTTTATTTTTATGCTTAAATGTCTCACTCATGGTCAGTCTTTGCCTTAAAGGGATATTCCAGCATAAAATAAATTTAGGGTCAAACACACCGTAATATAGAGTTAGACACCCCCTCGAGAGATGAATGTTGCTGACCGCTCGCTTCTCTAGTTATACCAACTTTAGTAACCACCGTACGATAGCAATACAGAGAGCCATGTGCTCAATTAAAACGCCACTCTATAGCCACAAATAATGTTCAGAACAGCACCTAACTTTATCAACAGGACATATAGGGTCCCAGCCATAGTACTAGCCACCAAACATCTTTTTAACTTCGCCTGATTTCTTTAGCAAAGAGACTAAACACAACTCACTCTCTTCCAGCAGCCGCTTGGTTGTAGTGAGTCCATCGACTGCAGTGGGGTGACGCAGCTCAAGGAAGAACATTTATGATCATTTCTTCGTGGACGTCAGACCGAGACGCTAAGGCAGAAGAACTGCGTCACCCCACTGCAGTCGATGGACTAGCTACAAATAAGCGGCTGCTGGAAGAGAGTGGGTGAGTTGTGTTTAGTCTCTTTGCTAAAGAAATAAGCCAAAGCTAAAATGATGTTTGGTGTCAAGTACTATGGCTGGGACCCTATATGTGCTGTTGATGAAGTTAGGTGCTGTTCTGAGCATTATTTGTGGCTATAGAGTGGCGTTTTGGTTAAACGCATGGTTCTCTGTATTGCTATTTTGCGGTCGTTACTAAAGTTGGTATAACTAGAGAAGCAAGCGGTCGACAACATTCATCTCTCGTGGGGATGTCTAACTTGGTGTTACGGCGTGTTTGACCCTAAATTAATTTTACGCCAGAAAATCCCTTTAAAAACGTTTAAAAAATGATCCTTTAGATGATCAAATATACACACAGCAAGTTTTGGACATTAGAAATGACCATGTTAGAATAATCAATCTTGTCTCTGATGGTTTTATTGCTATTTTAGGTCGTAAAAAACTCCTAACTGGAGCTTTAAATTGAACTCTATCTGCAGTTTCAGTCCTGTTTACTTTCTACATTTAAACTGCTCATGTTGGTCTGTTGTACGGTTTTATTCTGATTACAATTAGATGTGACAACTTCTCTGAAAGCTCTATATCGTCTTCTTGTTCACGGTAACATTCCCACATTTTGTGAACTAAAGCTATCAAACACATGTACAGGTTTATTATCTCATCTTACTGAATTGTTCTGTTTGACCAACACCCCTAACACTTTCAAAAGTCCTTCCTTTTGGTATCCAACCACACTTTCAGACTTTAAAGCTCCTATAAGGAGTTTTTCAGAGTGTAAATAAAACAACGAAGCGTTAATTTGAATTTAGATGCGTTTATTTTTCACATTTAGGATTCACATCTCAATCGTCTCACATCAGGTGAGCTAACAGAAAGATCAAGCTTTGGCCTCTTCGCCCTCTTTCTTCACCTTTTTATTCCCTTCGTCCTCTGAGGAAGAGGAGGAGGAAGATGAAGAAGAAGAGGAGGAAGAAGAAGAAGAAGAGGAGGAGCTAGAATCTTTCTTCTTTTTGTTTTTCTTCGGGGCTTTCTCTTCAGTGGGTCCGTTGTTTGGCGGGGTGGGAGCCGCTGCTTTGTCGGCAGCAGCTCCCTCGGACTTCACGGGGTCTCCTTCAGGGGCTTTAGGGGAGGCCGACTCAAGAGAGGGGGAACTTTCCTGCTTCACGAGGTCTACTTCTGTCACCGATTCTTGCTGCTTGGGGACTTTTTCTTTAGGCTTTTGCTGGTCTGGAAACAAAAGAATCCGATTAGTGAGATCTATTTAAACACTTCTTTGAGTTTTGTTTTGTTTTCTGAGTCAAAAAGTGAATAAATATGTTTTTTTTTTTGTGATCCCTTTCTTTGCCAGAATCATGTGGTGTTAAAATGTGGTCCATGCAGTTACAGAGGGCAGCGTTAAAAGTACATTTAGTGACATCTTGAGAAATACTCTTAAATACTTTGTTGCTCCAAACTTCGTAAAAAGGCGACACCACTCCTTTAGGAAGCTAGCTTAGTCACTTCTAATAAAAATAAGTCCATGAAAGCGAATATTTCGCCGCACCGTGGCGTCAATCGTCTTCTCGCACTCTTGGCAAGAAAGCAAGTAAGAGTATTTCTCAAACTCGTTCCTTAAAGTGACAGTAAGTGTTAGTTTTCAAGTTTAACTCTTAAATCAGGCGTCAGTGCTGACATGCGTCATTGGTTATTTCGTAGTCATCCATGTCCACGACTTACCGCTACTTAGGGCGTCCTCTAAACAAAAGTCCGAGCTGTCGAAGAAGAGGAGGATAAGTATGCTAGTTCTTGGCTACTTTTAAAGCACTATCAGTGTTTTTTAGTTTGTTTTCAGGCTGTTAGTCGAGAAGACGCTAAATCAAAAACGATATAACGAAGTATTTCTGACCGTCCTCACCTCTCGGGTTCAGCCGTCATGCCGAGAATCAGCTGCTGGTAGTTGTCGATTTCCGCCTCCAGCTTCATCTTGACGCACAGCAGGTTCTTGTTGTTCTCCACCAGGCGCTCCACCTCCGCTCTCACCTCCTTCAGCTCTCTCTGCAGGTCCATGATCAGCTTGTTGAGGGGGGCCAGGCGCTGACCGTACTCGATTTTGGAGGCTTTCAGGGTTTCCTCCAGATTGTGGTTCTGAAACAAATCGTGAAAAAGGCGTAAAAATCTTAAATTCATTGTTTATTTTGTTGCGTAAGAGCAGACCCGGGTGGCCCCCTCGCCGGAGCGGGTCTGGCTTGTGCAGGTTTACAGTCTAATGACAGGGCAGTGAGGAATGCTCATGAAGAGGACAGGTAGACTAACACCCCTCCGGCTGGTATTAACATTCCTGACACCATAAACGAAAAAATTTGTAAATATTTTGTTATGCACGCTTCCTGCGAGGGTTTCAGCTCCGACAGAGAACAACCGCAGCTCCTGTCAGAGTGTTTTTCAAGTGGTTATTATGTGTTATTATCGTGTGTGTGTGAGCGTACCATGCTGTGCATACTCTGGATCTTGATTTCCAGAGTTTGCTTCTGTTTCAGCAGATCCTTCAGCTCTGTTTTTCCAGAGATGAAGGCCTCGTTGGTTTGGGCCTCCTCCACCTTGATGTGGTCAAACTGAGAAAAGGGGAAAAACCCGAGTAGGAAAGTCAGGTTTGGAAAAATACAAGAGGAAATGAAGCTTTCTGGTTCTGCTGGGTCACGTACTTTGCTCTGGTACCAGTCCTCGGTCTCCTTCAGGTTCTTCTTGGCCAGCTTTTCATACTGGCCACGGATCTTGTTGAGCATCTCAGCCAGGTTGGAGTTCTGGGAGTCGATCTCCACCCTCACCACGGAGTCCTTTATCTTCTCGCGCAAAGCGTCCACCTCCTAAGAGAACCACAGAAACATGTTATCTTTGATTTTATCCAATTTTAAGTCAATTTTATCGCCTTCAGCTTCACCTCCTTGTGCTCATCCTCAAGGCGTTTGATCTCCTCCTTCACCAGGTCGACCTCCTTCTGGGTCTGCTTCACGTTCAGCTTGGTGTCCTCGATAGTCTTCTTCAAGTCCTCCACGTCTTTTTCCAGCTCTTTACGGGCCTTTTTCTCATCCTCCAGCCTGCACAGATGGACGAAAACCCAATAATTATTTACAAAAATACTACAAAACAAACTTTTTTTGTCTTATTCAGATGCATGAACTCACTTCTCCTTAAAATCATCATTGGCCAGGTTGGTGTTGTCAATCTGGAGCAGCAGCTTGGCATTGTCCAAAGTGAGGTCTTTAATCTAGACAATAAAAACATAGTTTGTGTCATAGTTTGGAGGTAAAAATCCAACTTTTTTCACCACTTCTAACAAACTTATGGATGTAAATATAGAAATTAAGCCAAGCTATCAAACAAAAAACCACCAAAAGTGATTGGACTTGATTACAATCCGCTAAAAACGAGTAGAAGTCTGATGGTACGAACCTGCTTCTTGAGGTCATCCAGAGGTTTCTCCACCTTATCCCAGTCTCGCCCCTCTGGAGCCTTCCTCTTCGCCAGGATCTCATCGATCTGCTTCTGCAGATCTCCATTCTCCTTCTCCAGCTGCCTCACCCTGCCCAGGTACCCGGACAGCCTGTCGTTCAGACCCCGCAGCGTCTGCTTGTCGTCCCCGGGGGCTGCGGGCTGAGCGGCGGGGGCGGGAGCCGGGGCCGCGGCGGGTTTGGCTTTAGCGGCGGCGGGTGCGGAGTCTTTCTCGGTCTCGTTGCGCAGCACGTTGCGCAGACCCTCCAGGCTGGCCACGGAGACCCTGGAGCCCCTTCCTCCGGCTCCACCGAACATGCTGGCGGACGTGTTTGAAGGCATGACTGCTGGATGGATGAAGAGCGAGAAGGTGAAGAAGAGAAGAGAGTCACCTGATGGATGAGAGTGCGCGCACAGGTGGGTTTTATACCTGCTGTTTCCGCTTGAATCCTCCCCAAAGATGCCATTGGCTCCCTCTGCCCACCACCACTCCTGGTGAAACAGGTCTCCAGCTGAAATTCAAGTTTTTCATGTTGACTTCAGTGTTTTTCTCGCTGTCATATCTCACCTGTCTTCTTCTCATTGGACAGGTGCAGAGTTGTGGGGAGGTGACGGTGGTCCTCGTCCTCCTTAAAAGCAGCTGAAGAAGGAGAGTTGGAGGTACCTCCACCGCTCTCCAGGTCGGCTTTCAGGTGTATCTACTCACGATACAAGGCAGCAGGATGTCTAAGGCGAAAGATTACAGCAGTCAGTCCTACACACCCGGGTCTACGGGACCCACCAAGAGCCAGCCCACCAACAACAACAAGGTCCCGGACGGAACCGGGAAGTCCAGGGAGAAGGACGACATGGTGGGACTGAACGACAAGTTCGTCCGGCTCATTGATAAGGTATGTATTCAATTACATATCATTATTATTAATGTAGCAGCCGTATTATGATGATAATGGTTGTGGTAGCTTGTCCTAGTTTAAGCGATGGAGTGCCTCTGTAGGGGAGAGTGGGGTAAGTTGAGCCACTCCCTGTTGCTTGTAAATGGTAAAAGAAATTGATCATGTGACCAAATATTTAGGAGATGGGCATCAATTCATGGAGTCTGTGAAGGTTAGAAGCACATGGGTGAAGGGGTTTGACATTTATTTACAAAAAAACATTTAAAAGTTGTTTTATACATCGATTGTGGTTTCTATGAGCAACAACATGAGGTCAAAAACCAACATAAAAGTCCACCATTTTAGCTTAGAGGACTAATAAAGTCATAATAGTAGTCGTAGTAGATAAAAATACACATGAATGTGAAGAAGTGACTGTTATTCAGGGAGAGAGAAGGTGAAGGAGGTGAGGGTTTGGTCATCTTACACCATACATGGGGTAAGTTGACCATAGGAGACCACTTATAAAGACAGTTCTGTTTACACTTATTCTGTTGGTTTACACTAGTAAGAGACTAAACTATGATTAACTTGATGTAGTGATCTGAAATATGAAAAATGGCTCGCCTTACCCCACTCTCCCCTGTGTGTTTTCTTGTCATTAATATACGAATAAATTAAAGTTTATGTAAATAAAATGAGGTGAAAGTTACATTTAAATATCAGTTTCAGATTCAGACAACTTTGTTTATCCCCTAAGGGCAATTCCGTTCGCAGTTACCCTGCCGTTTGATCCATCCTAACATGCAAATCAGCAGACGAACAAACCAGACAAGTGCAAGAGATTCATAGCAGCCAGTAGACAACCACATTCCCTTGTCAGTACTCACAGATCAGCAGTTTGTACTTTTTGTGGTTATTTATGACATTATCCTGTTAATCAGCCAATCTTAAAAAGGTCCTGCACAGTGAGGCCAAAAAACATGAAAAAAATCAGTGACTGGGGTAAATGAGGGTCTAATAATACTCAGAACGTTAAGATTTGGATTTTCTTTTCATTGTTATTTTATTATTTCATTATGGCTTTTAAATCACTCCTAAAAACACAACTTTTTAAATGGGCTTTTAACCTGTGAACTGTTCTTTTATTGTTTTCTCATATTGTGTCTTTTTTTTTTAACCTTTTAAATCGTTGGTTTTATTTCTCAAAATTTTCTGTATTTTAAATTGTGTTTTTTTTTTTAAATATTTTATTTCCTCTTTTTCTTTGTAAGGCGTCTTTGAGTGCCTGTAAAAGCGCGTTATAGATAAAATTTATTATTAGTATTATTATTATTATTATAACTTTTCATGTCTGGATTGATTGAGCAGGTTTTTAAAACCTTAAAATACAATAATAATAACTTTCATTTGTTTAAAACTTATAAAAACAAGGATTTACAAAGTTTATTGACATTTTGCATGAATAAATTTATAATAGGAAAAACCCAACAACAATAAAAAAAACAGCCAAACAATTAAAAAACCCTGAGGACTCATTTAGGAATCATATACACCTGAAGAAACACAGAAATCTGAATCTCTTCTGTCATTTTTCCAGTTTTCTTTGCAGCTCTCATTTTGACATTGTCGCCCACTCATTCGAACCAGTGCAAACATTTTATAACCAGCTGTAAATGTCGGCCTACATCAATATTTACGACTAGATCAAAGTTAAAACACAGGGCTCTGGAGAGGATAAAACCTGTTTTCAGTCCTGGAGGACGGATTAGAGAGGCCTCTGACGCCTGTCATGAATTCTGTGTCTGGAGGCCACGGAAAGTGAGTCACTCTGCCGACTTCACCATCTTCAAAGAGAGATGGACCTGCATGAAGGACGCCATCTTGTGGAGAATTATGTGAATTTCAGCCTCGAGTCATGGATCTGTGGAAATGTTTTCTGTTTTTTTTTTAGGTGAAGAACCTGGAGGACGAGAACAAAAAGCTGGACACAAAGCTGAAGATCCTCAAAGAGCAGGAGGACTACGACGGGAGGATCGACGACATCGTGAAGCAGCTGGAGAGCGAGATGGGGCAGCAGATCGAGAACTTGCTGCGCGACCGCGAGAAGCTGCAGGACGAGCTGCAGAGGAAGCAGGACGAGGTGGAGGACACCAAGAAGAAGTCAGTGGAATGAAGAACCAGCAGACCTTTGTAGTTTCTACATCTGTTCTCAGTTTTTTTTAGACGTTTCTTCTTGGTTTCAGGTACGAAGATGAGATGCTGAAGAAAGCTGATCTGGAGAACGAGTTTATCCTCACCAAGAAGGTACTTGAAGCTGCTGATTTCTTCTTCTTTAATTCTCATGTCTGTGGAAACTCAGTTTGTGTGTTTAATGTGTCTCTAACAGGATGTGGATGAAGGTCACCTGGAGGCGGTGGACCTGGTTCTGGAGCTGGAAGACCAGATGGGAAAACTGGACTTCCTCAGGGTCGGCTATGACGAGGTAACGATGGCGTTTGTGTGATTTTGTTTTTCTTGTCTTCTTCATTGTTACAAATATTTGATGAACCCATGTGCGCCCCCTGCAGGAGATCAAGGAGCTTGAGTCTCAGGTGCAAAATGAAACCGTGGTCCTCCGTGACGACAGCAAACGCTCCCTCGACATGGACGAGATCGTGGAGAGCGTGAAGAACCAGTACGCCAACATGGCCACCCGCACCAGGGAGGAAGCCGAGCATTGGAACCAGAAGAAGGTGAGGAGAAGCTCCATTTGGAGCCAGATTCTCATGATTAATCTGGACTTTTTAAAAATGTTTCTACCTTCTCCTCTCTTTAAGATGGACGCCCTGGTCCTCAACGCCGGACAGCGTGAGCAAGAAGTGCGTGATTTAAGGAGGGACATCTCGGACATGGTGCGCCTCATTCAGAGGCTAAATGGAGACCTGGAGGCTCTTCAAAGAAAGGTCTGGATCAAACTTTGAAACCAGGTTTTTCTTCCTACAACCTCCTGACCCTCTTCGTTTTTCTTTGACTCATCAGGAGGAGGCCCTGAAGAAGGAAATCAACGACATGAGGACAGAAGGAGACGCCAGTCTAGACAAGGCCCGAGAGGACATCGCCCAGCTGGAGGAGGCGCTGAGGCGAGCCAAGCAGGACTTGGCCGGACAGATCCGGGAACACCAGGAGCTGATGAACCTGAAGCTGGCCCTGGACATCGAGATCGCCACGTACCGCAAGCTGCTGGAGGGCGAGGAGCAGAGGTAAAGATAATCTTCATATAAGATTCAGCCAGTGTAGCGGACTTTTAAGAGACTCTCACGTCATCTGCAAGTTTACTCTTAATTAATACTTGTGCTAATTACGGTCTCTTTTCCATGTCTCTGCAGAATGAGGGAACTCATGCGCACCGCAGGTGAGATATTCACAGCCTAAGAACTTGGCAAATGCAGCCGACCTTGGTTGCTTTGTGGTGCATTTCACATTTTCCGTGCATGCTGGGTAATAAATATTTAAAAGTCAAATAATAAAGTATTTCAAAAGAAAAACAGCAACGCATCAGAAGAGTCTAAACCATCAGTCAGGCACTGTGTCCCTTAAATATTTCATTATTATATCATTATTTATTTATTATTATTATTATTATTTATTATTATTATTATTATTATTATATCATTATTTATTATTATTATTATTAGTATTATATCATTATTTATTATTATTATTATTATTATTATTATTATTATTATTATTATATCATTATTTATTTATTTATTTATTGTTGTTATTATTATTATTATTTATTTATGTATTTATATTGATATTTCATTTGAATACAGGCTAATACTCAAGTAAAACATGAAGAAGTAGGAAAAAAGTTAAAATTTAAGATTTACAACAAGTAGCACCTTTTAAACATATTTTATGTGTATTTAAAAATGAGGGTTTTTTACCCTTTATGAATAAGATTAAAATTCATATTTTTGTTTTTTTTATGGATTTTTTGTTGCCTGAAACCAAGGCGAAAGGTTTCTGAAAAACCTCTAATATTACAAACTCTGCTTAAAATATTCACAATAAATGATGATAAATTTGACTGTCAAAAGTCAGCAGGATAATTATTTATCAAAAGGAACACCTTAAAGAATGAAGTGGGCAAGAAAAGTAAAGACTGCTTTGTCCACAGGGGGCGCCACAGTCGACACAAACTAAAAGTTTCTAACAGGAGCTTTAATATTAATATGAAATCTGAAACTTGAACTAAAACCAGCATGTTTCACAATGATTCCTGTCATGTGTCACACTAAAATCAAACCTCTTTTCCGCTCAGATTTCTAAAACCAAACCAATCCAAGTCCTTACTTGCACGCAGACGTTCACCTGCCGTTGAAGCCGCGCCTGCCGCAGAAGCTGCCAGCCCCCGAACACACCGCCGTCACAGAAAAAAACGATGTCCCGCCAGACGCCACCACCATGCCAGCGTATCCCGCTCCCAAGAAACGAGTGCTGATCCGAGTGGAAGTGGAGTCAGGCAGAGTTGTGTCTGAAAGTTCCCACTACTCTGAGGATTAACAGTCTGTCTCCTCAGTCTCTTTTGAGCCACATCCAAAAAAATGTGAATTTAAATCAGCAAAATCACGACTTTCAAGTGACAAAATCTGCAATAATCGAAGTTTTCTCTGATTTCTGGAAGGGTGAGCAATCAAAACAGCCTCTCCTCAGGTTTAACATTTTCATTTTCAAAAATCTGAACTTGAAATTAAATCGACTGCATTCATGTCAGGCAGTGTTTTTAAAGATTTTTCATCTTTGTTTGCATTTACCCAGACTTGCGGTGTTTCTGTTACCATCAGTGTGTATTTTTCATATTGTTTCTGTCATACTTTTATCTGATGTTTTGTGTGTGAATAAAAAAAAAACTCAGATAAAAGAGTAAAAAAGCTTACAGATGAAGTTAAAAAAAGGGAAAGTGTGAGTTTGATCAGGTGGTAAAGCAACTTTTCAGAGTGGAAATGTTCATTTGCAAGCCTAAAATGCTGGAATTGTCCTTTTTATCCTCGTGTTTCTGCACCTTTTACCTCAGACAAAGTAAAGCTTTGAGAAATCATAAGCTGTGAGATTTTACTGTGACTGTGACGAACAATGGAACAACGGATAAATAAAGCGACATGAGCAAACAGTCTGTGTGTCTTTTGCTTTCATAGAAACAACAGTAACTCAGAGACATGTTTGGACAATCATGGAAATATTTATATTTTTAGTTAGGAATAAAACCTCGCATAAAGTCAAATTATCTGAGCATGAGCTAATTTAATCCTGAGTAAAGATAGATTTTAGCTCACAGTATAAAAGTTTCACCACCAGATACAGAAAGGTTGTTACGCAGCCAGACAGTGTGGAAAAGTACTGGAACAAAAGACGTGCAGACAGTGACCTTATGAAGATCTCCTCTTTCTCCTCATGTCCTGTAACGTTTTGTACCTTGTTTGCACCTTAATGTGATTAACATTTACCGTCTGTCTCCTTTCCACCCACGTAAAGTGTCTTCATAACCCACTGTGTCACACGGGGAAAATAGCATGACACCGTCTGTTTGATGGAAATGTATTTTGAATAAATCTATACAGCAAATAAAACATTAAATCAAAAAACTAATTTTAACACAAAAGTCGTATTTTCTGTCTTTATTCTTGTTCGGCTCTAATCTCTCCTTGTCTTGCAGATGTACCGCAGACTTCGGATGAATCCCTATCCCCTCTTCAGCTCGCATACCAGCGCGCAGATAAACAGTAGTGAGGGGGAAAAGGAGTAAACACAGCAGCTGAGTGGGTGACAGATGGAGAATATCTACGAGCAGTTACAGGCACCACAAAGACAAATGAAGGTATGTTTTATGTCTTTGTGCATTTATAGGATATACAGCGCTGATATGAGGCGAGTTTTATTAACCTTTTGTAAGGTTATAATTAAAGCAGGATTTACATTTGAAAGCAGGATGTTTTCACACTTAAACTTGTAAAAAAGTGAATTTTTACACCTTTGAGACCTCTCCTCGCCATCTTCATCGTTATCTTCACGTTAGCATCTAGATCTAGCTTGGCTATGTTGACCGCGTCGATTTCTTATCAAACTCACACTACAATTCAATGAAACGCACCACGACACCAAACATCACCTTCTCTAAACTGATACACATTTCCCCTCTCCGCTTGAGTAACTAATACCAGGTTTTGATCGTCTGTTTTGGGCGAAGTCATCTACGCAGTCACTGGTTCCTAGCGAGAGCGTTGGGAAGGTGCTTTTAAAAGAAATAAGCTCAGAGTAAAATTCAACATGAAAACATTTGACACCAAAAATTGATCAACATGTGAAACTTAAAGCTATTATAAAATACACAACCTTGTAACAGCCCATCAAATTCGCTCGATTATTGTCCGGTTCGTAATGGTGCGTTCTCCTCGCCTTTTCTATTTAAGACTGTGACCAATAACTTCATGGTGCTTAAATACCTTTTGAGTTAAAGGTGGGGTCATCAGGATCTGAGGAAGTGACAGTTTTTAGGAGAAATCTTGAATGTAAACTCTACCCCTCCCAACCAGTTTTCCCCTCTGCTCCTCCTCTCCCCTCAGACATAACAGACATAACAAAACACAGCGATATCGTTATGTTATCAAATGTCATCAATAACTAATAGCTATTGACTGATATTTAAAGTTTTATTGTATATACACCACAAAAAAAGGTGCTTCTTTAACAGAATCCTGCCTACCCCACCTCAAACGCCATAAATTATTAAGAACCAGAGCGAAAGATCAGCTTTCAGTCACACCAGCTAGCTAATTTTGTCAGTTAAACTACGGAAAAAATGGCGGCCAATTCTTAGAAGTGAAAAACTATAGACTGACATAACTGTTTCAAATCGCATAGTAGCCTTTTATGGGAACTATTTATTAATAAATAGTGAGAGAATCAGCGTAAATTTATCTTGTTTGAGTTGGATAGCCCCCCCTTGTGGCCTTCATCAATAAACATTGCACATGCAGTCTGTCAATCTTATTTACATCATCTTCATAAATATTTGAATTCAGTCCCCTCAGACGGCCACTTCATCTGGTTCCTGCGTCTTCCGCCTCCATCGGTCTCGTAGTTTCTGGAGTAGTTTGTACGCAGGTTCCGTGTACTGCTTGTTGGCCAAGCCAAGGACTAGCGGCACCACCGCCATGCTTCCAATACCAGTGCATGACAGGACGATATGAGTGGTGGAGCTCCATTTGGTGTCACTGATCAAGAACGCGATACAGACGTGCATGTAAATGAGGTAGGGGACCCAGCACGCGAGGAACGTCAGCGATACCGCTACGACGCAACGGGTGTAGCGCAGGTTCAGCCGATGCTCTCGATCTGAGGCTTGAGCTCCACGTTCGACGGATCGATGGAGGCGACAGATGTCTTTCAGCTGGCCTCTGGTGATCCACAAAACTCGTCCTGTCATGCAAGCGATGGTGAGGATCGCAGGTAAGACCAGTCCGTATACTTCTAGGTAGATAAAAGCGTTCGGGAATACTCTTCTGTACGAGCAGCAGGTGGTGCCGTTTGTCGAGCAGTTCGAAAGTGGCGTAACCTTTTGGCTTCCCGCGCAGCAGCTGTTCCAGTCCGGACCGGTCCAGTTATTCCACCCAAACGCAGGTAGCGATGCGTACAGAAGCGGTGGCGCCCAAGCGGTGAGCAGCGCCAAAGGAAAACTTCGATGCATCCACAGGTTGTTGTAATGCAAAGGGTCCACGATGCAGATGTAGCGCTCGTAGTGCACCATCACGAGGTTGAAAAGAAACGCCAAAAACAGGAAGTTTGGGAAAATGTGAGCCACCATGCAGGAGTTCAAACTCAACTCCCGGTTCAGACCCATTAAAGGGATAAACGGTAACGCCACGCCTGTGCACAAATCCGCCACCAGCAGGCTGAGGAAGAAGTAGTTTGGCGTGTTGTGGAGCTGGCGGTTCCAAGCGATACCCAAGATGATCACGAGGTTGGCGAGGATGATGGAGGTGGACAGCGGGATGGTGATCGCGTAGATCAGTCGCTCCCCGGAGAGCAAAACCAAGGAGTCGTTGCCTTCCATCTTTTGTGAAATCTGCAGATTACCTCCCATCTGAGGACCCAGTCCACTCCCATCAAGGTCCATCAGCCCTGAAGAAGAGGAGCAGAAATCTTGTTAGAACAGACGGAGGGAGCTTAAAAGTCCAGGTTTAAGGTCTCAAGTGACTCATTTTCGCTGACTTTTCTGAACCTGTGGTTGTTTTATATCGCTCAGCGTGCAGAAACAGGCTCGACAAACAGCAGAGGAAACACATTATAGATGAGAAACGAGGTTTGTGGGAAAATAAAGCAGGAAACAGAGTAAAGTCGATTACTGTAAATAGGTTGTGGATTCAAACCACCAGGAAAGATATGACAAATATCCACGCAGGACGAGGTATACCTAAGACGTTAAACAAGATGAAGATGTACTCACTGTTATGGACGCCACTTTTAAACAGATTAATAAGAATTGTATTCACTCAAACTCCACTCACTGACTAATAAAGGAAGTAACTCAAAGATAAGACACACGTGGCCAAGAGGACGTTGTGTTTAATCTCAAATAAGCCAAAAGATTTTGACCAGACCGTCAGATCGCTTAAGAGTGGAAAAAAGGAAAGATGGAGCAAGATTATGAACGAAACTTTGAGGAAATTAACTTCAAACACAGAAAATTCGACAATACGTTGGGATTATAACCAAACATGAGTGTTTGATGAATGACGATAGCACGTCCCTTCAGAGATGGTCAAAAGTTTTTGTATTTTCCTGAAATGAACTCATCTTTCAGTTCTTAAAATTCAAGATAAGTCTCATCAGTTTTTGTCAGGAAAACCCAGACCCTAAAACTACGTCATATCTTGGTGCCAAAAATACTTTGAAAGGTCATCTCCAGTTCGGTTGTCCTTCCCAGCGAACTCGCCAAACTCTTCTTGAACAGACAACAAAATTCAGAGTTTCTTAATCTTGAAAAGCCGCAGACGCGAGGACGACGGTTACAACACATCAAGTTTAAGACGCCGTCATCCTTCCTGTCATCGCCTTGACCGTCGGGCCTGATGTAACCTCTTTGTTGCTATCAGATAAGAGCACATGGTAATGGACGTGAGGCTGCGGCTGTTCAATAATTCATCAGCTGGGACTCATGCGTTACACCTTCCTTTGTGTTTGTTATCCTTTTAGAAAGTCCAAGAGAGAATTGAACCCTCTGCATATTTGATACACCTGTCCTGTAACTGCACAACACACTGGGATTTATCATATTTCAACTGTAAGATAAGGGTGGTAAAGATAAACATTGCAACATAGCTGTATGCCTGGTGTCCACATACATTACATACAATTTACAACCAGCAAGTTAAATAAAGAGGATTTAATGGTATCAAAGTCCTGCTTTAGTTTCAACAATTACTCTTTTTAAAGGGTCTTTAAACGTTACACACACAGACTGAGCAGAGTTATAGCAGGATACGGTGGATTTATATTCATATATTTATCAAAAATGCTTCACTTGAGGGTTCGAGATTGTGATTCATGATTTGAAAACATGAATCCAAGAATTAAAAACAGATCTACTTTGAATAATGTACAAAAAATACATATTTTTACCTTGATCTGAGCAGTCCAGTCATGTATGAAAGCTTCGTATCACTCTCCTGATATCTCCAAGCCTTTTCCCCTGCATGTCATATCCAAAAGTATGTTTCAAAGTGCACCAAAAGAAGCTTCTTTTTTATCCTCAAGTTCGCCACAGCAACCTCTTAATTCCTCACCAGACGATGCAAGACAGAGAGACCAAGCATGAGGCTGCTCCTCTCCCACACTTTAAGGGGGAAGTGACCACAGAGAGAGGAGGAGGCAGCTGTCGGACTGTGTGCGTCTGTCTTTCCTGAGAGGTGGGTCATACCGAGAATGAGCCTCCACAGTCCACTTACCCCTAACCTACTTACTCTTTTTTTTCCTGCGTCTGTGCAGGTTGTTTTCTGCAGAGCACACCCATGAATGGAAGAGGATGGGAAGCTGCTATCGCTGCAGCGCTGACATTGATAAGAGCATTCCTCCGTAACATCACCAGGCCTGGCATGTGGTTTGAGTTTACATCCTCCACCCTGGGCCCCAGATGTGTGAAAGCAGCTTTGGCGTCATGTAGCGTCGTTGTAACGGAGGCCCCATGAAAGGAGGACAGAAAACTGACCCGCTAAAAGGTTTATAAAATACTCTCTAAGCACAAATGGGTCATTTTTCTTGGTTTAACATCACCCATTGACTTCATCCACCCTCTCTTCACCTGTCCTGTCTAATCAAAGCAAAATCCACCCTAAAAATGGACGCTCTTGTGAGGCTCCCCTCTGGATTTCTTGCTGGTTTTATTCCATTTTTACAGGCAACATTAGGTACCTGCTGTAATTCTGATAGTCATGTATTTTTAATCTGTTAATCTACCACAAAATTATTATCGATCGGTAGTTTAAATAAAATTTTAAGGTGAAGTACATTTGCACTTGCTCAGTACGGATCGTGTAGGTAGAAATCGTAACAACTCACGGCTGTAAATGACACTGAAATGCCAAAAGAGGGAGTGACACATGTTCGCACATGCGCAACACAAATCGAGTTTTCGGGATGGATCAGGTAGCAACAGGCGGACATGAAAATAAAAAAGGAATTTGGTCCGTGTATTATCCAGTCAATATTTAATCGAGTAAACGAAAAAACAAGTCAATATTTTGTTTATTTGTTTTTCTATTTAACCAAAAAATGAAAAATTAGTGTTTGTTTTCGTATTTTCAGCTCAAAACAGAATGTATAATAGAGAAGGAAACGAAAATGAAATAATAAATCTTATTTACCATTATTGATTTTGAGTGCTTCTGTTTTGAGCATACGTGCATTGACCTTCAGAGACAGTTACCATGGCGAAAGATGCGACAGAGCGATTCGAGCGCCAAAATCTTACGTGGTAACAGAGCTCTGGTTGTCATTTTTTCTACAGTCATATCTTCCTCCTTCAGCGTGACTCTCCTGGTGGCTTTGAATAATACGTCTGATGCGTCCATCTCCATGACAACAGGTTAGCCTTTCTCTACCGCTCTGGCCGTGAGTTTTTGGTCCACGTTGTTGGCAGAACAGAAGAAAGGCACCGCGGGAAATGGGGACATCGATAACCCGAAAACGAAAAGTAGATTTATTATTTTGTTTTTTGTTTCCATCTCTATCATATATTCTGTTTTGAACTAAAAATATGAAAACACATTTTTTTTATTTTTTGGTTATACAGAAAAACAAATAAACAAAATATTGATTTGTTTTTTTGTTTTTCGTTTACTAGATTGAATGAAATAATTGAATGGATGGATAATACATGGACCCGTTTGGTTTTTCTTTTGAATTGTGTCACGAAATTTTCGAAGAAAATGAAAATGCAGTTTGTAATATTAATCCTTAATTTAATTTCTGAGTCGAATTATGTAGTTTTTGACTTTGGAACGAAAAAGCCGTGCTGCAAATGCATTTGAATTTTCAGATTTGACATTTCAAATTAAATTTTGGTCCATATTTGCTCGGGCATATTTAGAAGATTAAACCTCAAATGGCTTTTTCTTTTACATTTGAATTGAGTGACAGAATGATCAGTTTTAAAAAAGCAATTGCAGTTCAGATGATTTATTTTTAATTTTATTCATGAGTCAAGAAGTGCAGGTACGTTCTAAAAATGCATTTCTGTTCAAACTTTAAGAAAGCTTAAACAAATGTTAAGATGGATTCGTTCCCCCGTTGTGGCCGCGGAGTAACCTCAACATATACATACAACTCTGTGTACGTCTCAGTTCATAACAGTCGTCTCATATTTAAACACAACGCTGGATGGAAGTCTGGCCAAAGACGGAAAACTCCTTCGCTGATAGTCCAGAGCAGACCTGGTGCTGGTCAAGATGGACGAGCTCCAGTAAGATAATGGACTTAAACAGAGACGTTCCTGAGCGTGGGAGCGCCTGGAAAGACACAACGCAGGGAGGATAATCTGGACACGAAACAACAACATCCTCACCTCACAAAGGAAGAAGATGGAGACAACCGCTTTTTATGAACGCCAGGTCTTGGACGACATTTAATCACAAATACACTGTGGAAAAACATTAAATAAGATATGATTAATAGAAAGTACAAACTAAAAGGAGGTTAGATCTGTCTGGTCAAGTTCGCTGGTGCATATTAGCGCTAAATTGTGTCATGAAAGCAATCAGTGAATGAATGAAATAGATGGTTAAGTGACTAAAGATAGTTTGTGATTAAAGAAAAACTCGCCAAAGTTTGTTCTCTACCAGCAAAAAAATCCTCACAGGAGCTTTAATGTCTTTTTCCAAACTGGTGAAATCATGTCCTGCCACTTTCTTGATTAAAATCCTGAAAGCAAAGGCTGGAGCGGTTTTTAATTTTGTGTTTTTGTCCAACACAGATGTCCTCCTTTAATGGGTTTGTCATTTGCCTCCTCTTTCCCCCGGACATGTTTACCTTGGCACCAGCACCTGCCTTTCTCCGCTTTACCGATTTGTTCAGCTCCTTTTATCAGCGCAGCAGCCGTCAGGGAATAAAGCGGCAATTTAATGGATCAGGCTTCGGCCGTGTCGAGGTTTAAAGGTGGTAATCCGTCAGGACACACCTCGCCTTTGTCTTCACACAGACTGACCTTTGAGGCCAAATACACAAACACGAAACTCTGCAGAGCGAGTTTCAGCTGCGCCTCGTATTCTCAGCAGACTGATGTTTTCATCCTGCTTTCCAAAAACATGCTTGTACATGCATGTGAATTACTGCCTTCCTGTCAAAGTATAATGTGCATGTGGACACAGAGACACGCACAATGACTGCATGAGCTGAGAAGCAGGTACAAGGAAGAAGCACTTGTGCACAGGATACAGACAGTTGTTTGTTTTCACTGAGGCAGACAGTCAAGAAGAACAGGAGACAAAAATAGAGTTAGAGGAACAGAAACTGTTACACGCTGAAGTTATACTTGTTTGCAGCACATTAACCTGAGTTTCCTTTCAGTTAAACCACGGCGACTGAGTCTGCTCTTTATCAGGGCCAGACTAACCGAAAGACTCGCTCTTCTCCTGGTTGTCATTCTCACTTCGACCTGACATTACCCATCAGGCAGTGGAATATGTACATTAAAGTGAATGATTGTAACAACCAGGAGCAGATCTTTAAGTGCAGCAAACCTTGTCCTTTAACAGGCAATGATAGACGTTAGCAAACACTCAGTCACACTTATAGGCTAATATGAGCGGAAGCTGGGCCCGAGTTCAAGTATTGACACAGCAACAAACTACAAAGTGGCTGGTGAGCTAATGTACCTCCTGATTGGAGAAAAAATGACTCAGGGCTGTAAAATACTATGGCGGCTCTATTTTGCACACTAATCGACTTTTACTAGTTTTATAATAACAAAGCTGCAGGGATTCAGAGGTGGTATTTTGAATGATATTAAAACCAGGGGAAACTTTTCCAGAGTGAAGAGGTTATCACTATGTATGACTTATTTTTCATCGAAGTGTAAAAAAGTAAAACAAAAATGTTCTAGAATTTTGGTTTTCTGATCTATTCATTTACTCACACACACACATACACACATATATATTTTGTTTGTTTTTTTGTTTTTGTTTTTTGGTGTAAGTGGCTTGTTTGTATGCTTTTGTTGGACTACAGACTCATATTTGTGTTAAGAATGTGTGTTCTTGTTTGCAAAGTTAAAGTATAAGATAAAAAGAAGTGATAGACTATGAAAAAGGAGAAAAAAGACACAATATATAAGTGTATTTTTTTTCTCTGTATGTGTCTGACCAAAAGATCAATAAAAAAAAAAGAAAAAAAAATTCATTTGGCTGTTGAATTATTATTGTAAAAGTGGGTGTAAGAAAATAAAATAAATAATAAATAAATAAATAAGTAAAAAAAGAAGAATCAAAAATGTATGTATCAAATATGATACATAAGACATTAAAAGGCTCATTTCTTATTTCCGTTAAGTACGTCATTTCCGGTATCGTACTGGGGGCGTCGTTTTGTGGTGTTTGGCAGGTGATTCAAAAACACAGGTGTAGACAGAAACAAAACCGGTTTATCGTTTTTCACGCATTTTTCTACCGTCATTTTATCACATCACCTTTCATTTGAAGGTACAAGTTTGGACCTTGACCGGAAGCGACAAAGAGCTGTAAGTTTTCTTTCTTTTTTGATAAATTATCTTTAAACTCAAGCGAATGAATGTTTGGACGTGTCACAGACGCATGCGCACTTAAAGCCCCCAGCGGCCTTTTTTTGTTGAAAGAAAGTCGCTAACAGGACTGAAATATCTCTTATTTCACCACGAAAAACTGCCGAAATACCACAACACTATCAACTTAGACCAGCAAAAAGTTTTTCAGCTTTTGTACATTTGTTAATTTTTCCCCAAGAAAGGCTGGTTACAAACTCATCTTTGGAAAACGCCATGTTAGTTGACTTTTGAGTCAAAAATTTTAAGATTTAGGTCAAAAACCTGCCTCCAATCTTCAATTTTGAATAAAATTAATTCCTCTTAGAGACCATAATCATCCTCCACAGACCTAAAATATTTTGAAGAACAAACTTGTCGCATGAATATTTGTGGATTTTTCTTAAAAATATCCTGGGTGAGACAGTCACTAGAGAAAAAAACAAGGGTATTTTTCTATTTTATAACTTTTAATGTCTTATTATTTATATTTATTATTTTTATTTTATTTTTTAAGTGTTATTATGTTATTATTTATATTTATTATTTTTATTCTATAATTTTTTATGTTATCTTATTATTTATATTTATTATTTTTATTTTATTTTTTAAGTGTTATTATTTTGTTATTTAAATTCATTATTTTTATTCTATAATTTTTAATGTTATCTTATTATTTGTATTTGTTATTTTTATTTTATTTTTTTAGTGTTTTTATTTTATCATTTATTATTATAATTTTTAGTTTATTTTATTATTCATATTTATCATTTTTATTGTATAATTTTTAATGTAAATATTTAATTGTTTATATATTATTTTTTGTTTGTAATTTTCAATGTTATTTTATCATTTATATTTATCATTTATATTTTATAATTTTTAATGTTATTTCATTTAATTATTTTTAATGTCTGTGCGAAGCCGGACTGCACACGTTTTAAAGTGGTATCTTTTTGTTATTATTCAACAACCTTAGCCCTCTGTTGCCCATTTTTGGCCATCTTTAAAACATTTATTTACAGTTTTATACTTTTTGAAATCAAAGTTGAAGCAAGATAAGGCAGTTTAAGTTCATTGTTTGCTGTATCTATTACTGTATGTCTCCTTAATGCTGGATTCGCTCACATATACCTCGCAGTATTTGTTTGCTGACATTGAAACAAAAAGTCAAACTGACAAACTTCATTAAAAGAAAATCAGAAAATTGGTGTTTAACCTTTTTATGCTTATTTTTATGAACCCTCATCTTTACATTCAGATCTTAAAACAATATAAATCTGTTTCGGGTGATTTGTATTTCCCTTTTATCACAAACAGTGATTTCAAACATAAAGTACAACATATTAAGAGGTGTACACAACATTTTAAGACATATCAGATGGTTGTTGGCCTAACGTAATAGGATTTAAAGTGTTTCTAATGCCTGATTTAGATTTTTTTTTCACTGTCCACAGGAAACAAAGATTCGCTCTAAGAGGACATGAGAAACTGTTGAATTCAATGAAGGAAGTTACGTTTTGGCATCAGTATTAGGGCTCTTTATTCGTCATAATCACCTCATCGGTCGTGGTTTTCGGGAAGGTTTGCGAGATCTTGAAAATGACGCGTCTCCCTTTTCTCTTATCTGATAAAACCGATATTATCCAGGCCTGAATCAAAGATGGTCCAAATAAGTAAGAAGCTCACTCTTACTCACAAAGATTTCTCATCAGATAGCATCATCTTAATCCGTCCAAATGTCACAGTGATCCACAGAGAGTCCACTTTTGTCCTCCGTCTTGTCTAAACTCAGACGGAAATAGAAGCTAATATAAACAGATTTCTGGGATGCAGATGAGCTTTAAGTGGAAATCAAGAGGCATTAGTCACAACACGCTCAACCAGGAGGGAGTAAATTATTTATTTTTTTGTATTTACACTTGGGAGTACATCAGAAGAGACGATTCCTTCCTGTACAGTCTGAGAGATTTAAGGCCACACACACTCGAGGAAAACTAGAACTTTGAGAAACTTGAAAACAGACACAAATTCTAACCGAGGCCAAAGAAACTTTCTCTTTTGAGTCTTCTGTTTTATCTCAACTACAACATTTTGGCAAAGGATGAAAAGGGGATGTCAAAGGCTGAGAACAGCGTTATTTATCACACTTTGAAGATCTCTCTGTTTAATCTCTCGACAAGAAAAGTATAAGAAAGTAATGAGGGAGTTTGAGTGTCTGCCAAAAACATAAACGTGGCTTTTCTTCGCTGGAGACAAAGTGTCTGATGGTGGCAAAACGTGACTTCTTAAAATCCTGAGGAGAAAGGGGAGAATGTTCTCTGTGATTCGGGGACATAAAGTCTTTCTTAGATCTCTTGAATGTTTGTTTTCTTCTTGATTTCTTTATCGATCAGGTCTTTGGAGGCAGAAGACTTTCGCTCGGTTGTCTCCTGAGGCGGTTACAGCGATGGACGCTTCCCTGAAGAAGACAAAGAAAAGATCAAATCCACAACATTTAAGGACTGAAAAGTTGAATCTGAGGGAGCAGAGTGTGTGAGCCGCACCTGTTGATGGAGAAGTCCAGGATCTCTGCCGTGTGACCGTGGTACTCCGACACCATATTCCCCGATCTGGCATCCCATAAGCGCAGCGCTCCATCTAAGCAGCACGTTGACACCACAGAAGAAGACTCCTCCCACTGCAGGTGAACAATGCCGGCCTTGAGAGAACATGGAAATTATTTTAAAACAGCTGATTTCTTTTAGTTTCCAGCTCACTATTAGTTTAAAAGTGACGTCGAAGCATACAGGCTTTAAAAAAGGTTGCAATTGTCCTTTAAACTAAACTCAGGCAGACCTCAGTGTGGGTGATTCATGGAGTACACAGAGTCCAGCGGGGTGAGAATCTGCTCCTGAGTGTTTAGGGAGCCTCACTGAACGCACATACAGACTTTACCTCATGTTGGCATCTGTGCCTCAGGACCTGCGTGGAGAGGTCGTATATGGCCAGAGTCCCGTCCAGGAACGCGACGGCAAACAGAGGCAGGCTGAGGAGGAGGAGCAGAGACGGGACAGTCATGGCGACTCTTCTTCTAGTCATACAAAAGTACAGCGAGAACGCTCTCTCACTTACATGTTGCAGAATCCAACAGATTCCACCGAGTTGGTCTCCTGGCCGTCTCTTGACCCTTTGCCTTTTCCTCCCTCGACAGAGAACGATCCCACCGCCTTCAAACACAAACACAGTTATGCTCACGAGCTGCCGCCACTTCTTGATTCTCAAACACTTCACCCCGTCGCCCACCTTGCCCGTGGCGGTGTTGATGAGCCTCGCGCAGCCGTCCACTGAACCCGTCAGCACCAGGGAGCCGTCCTTGTTGCAGGCCAGGCAGGTCAGCGCCCCCTGGTGTCCGTCCTGACCTGTTGCGCAACACGAAAACAAACAGATGTGCATGAGAATCTGCACAGCTGGAGCACAAACACGCAGGCTGATGATCGTAAAATCGGCAAAGTCTCATCTGTCTGTTTTTAACGACCACAGACGGTCTTATGTCATTTGTATACATCGATTTTATTCGCCTCCTGCCCAATTTATAAGGCTGTTACTTCATTTGATTCATGCCTGATGGGTTTATAGCCTCACTTAAGAGCTTTAATTTATCGTGTTTGCTGTTTCTATTCAACTCTGTTACCATGGAGGAAATATTCAGCTCTTTAAACATCGAATCTGGAGGGTGACCCTTAAATCAGCCCGTTTCAACTTTCCCAGAGAATCACATTTTCTACACTAAGAAATGTTTTTGTTTGACTGCTGCACGAACATTGAGACAGTTAAATGTAGAGAAGACTCACCTTTAATAACGTGGGTGGCGTTTCCCTGTTTTAAATCCCAAATTCGCACAGTCCCGTCGTCATAGCCAACCACAGCCCGTTTACCTGGACAAACATGGAAAAAATACGCATTTTATCTCAGGAAAGGTGCTTTTTTCAAAAGACTAAGACTGCCGATCTATCAGTCTATCAATATTGTTCATATTCTATCAATTTCAGCTCGACAAAGACTGAAAAACGCAGATGAACTCTCCAAAATAAACAAGATAGTCTCCAAAAAAGTGGGTCAGGGAAGTCAATAAAGCCCAAGTTGCTCATTTTTTTCTTCCTCATGACCTATTTCCTGTCTTCTCTCACCATCAGGGAGGACTTTCCCACAGGTGGCCTGGCACGCTGAGCTCTGGAAGGTCTTACAGTCCCCAGATGGGATCTTCCACATCCACACGTTGCCGTCGTCTGTCCCTGCCAGCAGCACGGGAGCGCAGGGATGCCACTCCAGCCACTGAGGAGGAAATTCTCAGTCATCATCTCCAAGTTCATGCAGGTTTGTAAATAAAGGATCTTATACACACACACCTCCAGATCTCCCACTTCGAAGGACCAGATCTCTTCTTTGGTTTGTACTTTCCAAACTTTGATCAGGCCGCTCATGTCGCCAGAGGCCACCAGGGACGAGTCGTGGCTGAACACGGCGCATGTTACAGAGTCTTTGTGACCTGTGGAGACATAAAAAGATCACATACGGGTGTTTTAATTCAAAATTCAAAACTTTTGAGCCAACCATTGCATTTGGGAACTTAACTTTACCTGTGCACTCCAGCAGAACCTCTCCATTGCTCACCCTCCAAACGTAAGCCTTATCATCTTCTCCTCCGGTCACGGCCAGGCTGTTTGTAGCTGGATCCAAACTGATACAGAACACCGACCCTGGAGCGAGGAAAGACAGGAGAGAGTTTAATCTTTTACAAGTTAAATTTACCCTGTGATTAGAGTTTAAAGGGATATTCCAACGTAAAATTAAATTAGACACCCTTGAGAGATGAATGTTGCCGACCGCTTGCTTCTCTAGTTATACCAACTTTAATAACGACCGCACAATAGCAATACACAGCGGTCTGAGGAGCCATAAACAAACCTCAACCAAAATGATTCTTACTTCAAGGAAATGATGAAGTAATGATCATAAATGCAGAGCCTGCTTAGGGCTTAGCGGCCAATAGGGGGCCCCCAAGAGCAATCCAAAAAAAAAATTTAATATTTTTTAATTTTTGCATGTATGAGTGATGCTTTCTGTATGATCAAATACATATTATTGTAAAAATAAATGAAGTAAAAACATTTTATTGCTGCTGCTGATGTAGGCCTATGATTCTTACTGCCAATATGTCAAAACTCCGCTACCATTATGTGCCTCCTGCTGCGCACTGAGCATTCAAAGCTCAGGTAGTTGTGGGGCAAAACAATGTCGCAAAAAAAGGACATATCCTTCAGGAGCAGAGGAAAGAAAGAGGAAGAAGAGAAAAAACGCCAAGATAAAGGTTTGTTTGCATGTCATGGAATGTTAATCCAGTGTTTTTTCAACCAGTGTGCCGTGACAGACAGTCAGGTGTACCCTGAGAAATTATCCAATTTCACTTTTTTAGTTTATTTATTATTATTTTTTTAAATTACTTATTATTTGCGAATAATATTCACTTCTCAAGTGTCTGTGCTGTAATCTACAGCCCCAGGTTTCACACTGGGTGAGTATGAATAAATTGAGAGACTATATTGTTGTTGTATGAACCTGTATCTTGGACTACTAGGTGTCATTTAGTAACATTTTTGGTTGGTGGTGTGCCTCGTGATTTTGTTCAATGAAAAAATGTACCATGGCTCAAAAAGGGTTGAAAAACATTGTGTTAATCAAAGAGATTTGTGAAGGTGTGTAAATGATCAACAATCAATATAATTGGCAGAGATAGATGGCCCCAAAATCAAATTTTGCTTAGGGCCCCACTGAGGCTTTGGCCGGCTCTGCATAAATGTTCTTCCTTGAGCTGCGTCACCCCGCTGTAGTCAGTAATGGACTGGCCCGAGGTCTCACTACAAACAAGCTGCTGCTGGAAGAGAGTAGGTGAGTTGTGTTGATGAAGTTAGGTGCTGTTCTGAGCATTATTTGTGGCTATAGAGTGGCGTTTTGGTTGAGGTTGTGGCTTTGTGTATTGCTATCGTGCAGTCGTTACTTAAGTTGTTATAACTAGAGAAGCAAGCGGTCACCAACAGTCATCTCTTGAGGGGGTGTCTGTAACTCGGTGTTACGGTGGGTTTGACCCTAAATTAATTTCACGCCAGAATATCCCTTTAAACTATAAGCTATAACACTACCAGTGTGTTTGGAGAAGGTGAGCTCGCTGTCGTCTTGCTCTGCCTCAGCTTCCATCTCATCTTCAGTCTCCCAGCCTTCATCGTCGTTTCCAGCATCCTCAAAGTCAACATCCTCCAAATCATCGGCCAGATCATCTAAAAATCACACAAAGATTTCCAACAGGAGTTGTTTAGAACAGCTTTATTATACATTACTGTCTCCTAAAGTGAGCTACACAGTTATTAAACCCACCTGGACCGGGCTCGGTCTCATTCAGGTCGATAACTTCAACAATTTCTTCATCTCCGTGGAGCTCGATCGCGCTGTCCTCAGTGCCGTCCATGCCGTTAGCACCTAAAAGCTACAAAAACAATCGTAAAGTAGATCCAGCTAACCGAAATCTAGGCTGCCGCGCTATTTTAGAGTCCCGACGGAGTTTACGTTTAAACTTCTGCAAAGAAAACCCGCATTTACGGTGTTTTAGTTGCGGTTGAAGGCTGTTAAATGTCAGTCTGCTTTCCCATGTGGGGTACGGGCGCACGATGATGACGTAGACCATAGCAACCGCTCCGACGTCTTCCGCTTACTTGCCCACAAGATGGCGCCGTTGTACTTAAAATATGACCAAAAATATGCCCAAAAAAAAAAACCCCAACAAAAACATGAAAGTACAGCTCAGAAATTTGTTAAAATGCTCAGTTTGAGAGTGTTTCAGGAGCTGGAGTTGTTTGACACCTCTCTGTATTGTGTATTCAGGGGTGTATGCGGTAAGCCGACCAAGGGTGGCATGGGCCCTCTTGAAAATTGGTCACCTCAAAATCTATAGGCTATCCACTCTATCAGAAGCACGAATTAATATTCAAAAGAACTTTTTGCAACTGCTTGTAGCTGTCTTTGCATCCAAATGAACACATTTTCTTATGTTGTGGCCAAACATGCTAATATTTGAACATGTTCCCTTTAAAACTACTCTTTTTTTAGTAGAGAATCTTTTAGTTATATGTTTTTTATGTCCTATTCATGCTAAATTTCAAATTTGAAGGGCAGTTTTTCAGTCAAATGATACGTGACCAAGAACCGCCACTGCTGCAAATAAAAAAGAAAAGGTGCAGATTAAAAAAAAGCCACAATGGAAGTTAAAGACGAAAAAAAAAAGTGGCAATGGAAAAAAAAGTTACTTACTGCAACTAATAATGATGCGCCGCTGTTTTACGATCCAGGCACAGAAGACAGAAGACCTTTTATTTTCGCAGTAAGGAACTTCTCTCTTTTTTTTTTTCTCTTTCTTTTTTGCATCGGCACATTTTTTTCTCTGGAGCAGTGGCCACAGTAAAATGAAGGTTAAAAGTTATTAAAATATAAGCTATCAAGTTCCTGTATCGCCCTTTTTTTGTTATGGTTATAAAATTGTCTGAAACTTTTATTGTCTCTTTGTGGTATAAAGAAGCAAAACAACAGTACTAGCAACAAATTTGGTTTTATTTATTTCACATTGCTGTTAAGACCTTAAACTTCTGCTACAGGGTCGATTTAAGAAGAGGCGATTTTGCCAAAAGAAGGTTTTTATTTTGCTTTGTCTACAGCAAAAATTCTTGACAATTAAGCATGAAATTTTATTGCCAACTAAAACTCACACACATGCAGGTAAACAAAGTCAAATTTGTTTAAAATCCAAAGAACATAAAATCCTGCCAGATAGTCGAAGTATATTTCGGGGTGGCCAATTTTCAAGAGGGCCCGTGCCACCCCTAGTCGTCTGTCTGCATACGCCCATGAATCCATCACAGTGCGGGGTTCCTCAATACACATATGTGATGAGACATCCCTTTTAGTCCAGCCATGACAAATTCCCTTTGACTTACATTGTTATTATGCTGCACTTCCTTCTTTCTCTTTTATTCCCTCGGTGACTAACACTCGGCGGCCTTCCCTTTATTGAGCAGTAAACTGAGAGCCCAGACAGTTACATATCACCATCTGAATCATCACTCAACAGGTGTAGTGTTACAAAACTAAATTTTCTGAGTCTGTGTCACTTTGAAGGAATGTTCAACTCGTAAAATCGCAGACAGGAGACACAAATGTTGATAAATTTGCAGATTTATGTGTTATCACAGACAGAGAGAAGCAAGAAAATCAAAGAAAAAAGCGTCAAGAAGAAGTAGCTGTTTTATCAACTTAATGAATCCCCACCAGCTCTATGTACGGTTACATTAAGGTGACAAATGCTCTTATTTATAGATACATGAGGCTGCAAAAATCACAGACTTCATATTAGACGCAGAGCAGTGCAGCCCTCCTCTTCTCCTGTATCTCTCCATCAAAAGTTCCTCAGCCAGAGATATTTTATGGACACTTAACACAGTTTGTCTTCAGGTTTTTGGGGTTTTATGTCTCCTGCTATACGCAGCTGGCAGGGCTCAGGGTCTGCATGCCCAAAGAGGTTTTACTGGCTGCCTGCGCCCCGCCATCCCATCCCTGGAAAAATACAACCGTCTCATGGTGCGGCAAGATGTGGAAACATCAGGGGGAAGGTTATTTAGACATCGAGAATCTACAGAGAGAGTGAGATTTATAAACAAGGCTGTTGAACTTTGACTCTGGAAATTTAGGCATTAGTTATGATGATGGTTGTTTCAGGACTTCACTCAGCTGCTGTTGACACAACTTTAAAGCCTCGAACGTTGTCAGATTTATGACAACAGTATCAAACTATTGGGCTGTTTCATGACAGCTGGTGCGGCTTATTTTGAAGGATGATGCAGATTCTTATCCAAGAGCGGATATTTTTCTCTTTATGATTAAATTATCTTATTTTCATACCAAAACGCGACACTGTTTTTCCACAAAAAGCCTTTGAAATTCAAGTCAGACTGTCATGGGACGCGCACTCAGACTCCATTAAAACCCCGACTTGGGGAATTATTTTCGGCTTAGCAGCTCCTTAAGTGTTTCAAAAACAAAACACTAAAAATGTCCACAAAAACAAAGATTGACAACAAGAATTAATCAAGTATGGAAAGTCGTGTGTAGCCTGGAGCTCTGCAGTTTGTGGTCAGGACAGGAGTAACAGGAAATACTAGGCATCAAGATCAGAAGCTGGTTTGACCTCAGAAAACATGTGATTCAGTCTCCTGAGCAACCAGAGGATCCAATAAAACTTTAATCATGGGTTTGGAAGAGGTTTCGCCGACGCTTTGAAATGTGTTCATTGTGAGAAAATACATTTTTAGGCTACGTTCACACTACAGGTTATGATGCACAATTTGGATTTTTTGTTAAATCCGATCTTTTTGTGCGGTCGTTCACGTTTCAACGACGAATGCGGCATCTAATGTGAACGGAATGCGCACAACTGGCTGTTCTCTGTTCCCTCGTCCGCCATTGCTTTCCGCGCCTGTTTATGTTGTTGAACAATCGTGACGTTTGTCGCATATTGATGACGTACAGGTCGGATGAACGCGACCTGAGCGTCCACACTGCAGTCACATCGGATACATCTCCGATTTATATCCACATACAAAAGAGGCCTGGGTCGTACATGAAAAATTCAGGTATGTGTCACATGTGGTTAAAAAATCGGAATTGACCTGCAGTGTGAACACAGTCTTAGTTTGAGAAGTTAGCTAAACTTTTCAACTTAAAGCTCCTGTGAGGCGCAGCTGAAGAAACTGAACCACTTTTCACAATGTCCATGTGAAATATTTACAATAAGTGACACATTTGTTGGACAAGTACAAGATAATCAAAGACTGCTTTGTCCACAGGGGGGCGCCAGAATTGACACAAAAAGAAAAGTTCCTCACTGGAGCTTTAAGTATTCCTCGGATGTACAAAACTTGAATTTGTTGAACATTTTCCAAACAAGTTTTGAAGTTAAGTGAGAGAAAGTGATTTAAGAGAATTTTTAGTGAATTTATTCCAATGTTTGAATTTAGAGAGTGATGCCTTTAGGTGCAGCAGCTTACTGTAGGATTATTCGGCGCTTGTGTAGCTTTGCTCCGTCTGCCTATTTTTACCCATACACACTCCGGAGCGGCACTTTGGGTGGGCTTCTCTCTTCCGTCATCAGGACAGCAGAGACCAGGAGCGAGCCGTCATAACAACATTTCCCGGTTTATCACTTCAGCGAGCTGGTTTATGTCTGAAAAGCAGGACACTCTGGGGTGCTGTTACTTTATAGGCACACACATGGAAACACACACTTTGCCTGAGCACCTTTAAAACCCACACACACACACACACACACACACTCGCAGTATCATTAATAAGGCCTGGGAGCTGTTGCTGTGTGAGAGGTAATTACTCCATGCAGCTCGGTGAGGCTTTGATGGAAAGTTTTAGACTAACTGGCTCGACTGTAAGAAGCCTCGACTCTGCTGCTTTTTAACAAGAACTCTTTATGGCTCCGTTTTCTCTCTGCTTTCATGGCATCCTGGAAAGATTTGAAGTTGTATTTTGAAGAAAAGCAGCGTCGCGCAGAAGAAAAGGGCTTATTTACATTCACACATGCTGTCAGGTCGACTGGGAGATGTTCCCTCTCTTTCTTGCTGGCGCAGCAAAGCTTCTTTATGACGCTTGAGGTCTGCCCGCTTTGTCTGTGCGCTGCGTCTGACTCATGTGGGACCGCGCTGGGTGAGATGACGGCTTCCCCTCTCAAACCACTAACAGCCAGTTGTGTGTTCGCTGCAAGAGGTCTGGTCCACAGCCCGCGTGTGATGTGTCTGCTGTGGTAGCAGAGCGGTAGTTTGCGCAGGCCGGACTCGCTCGCCTGTTGACTTTCCAGCCCGACTGTATTGCTGCTTCTTTCCCAGCTGCTGGCCAAAAACCTGAAGTATTTTTGAACCATCATCACTCAGGATCTGTGTTTTTAGCTGCTTGCTTTTGAAATAAATAAGAAGATCTGGCTGTAATCTGTATTTAACATGAAACTTTAAGGTTTCTCGGGGAGTCCCTGTCCTCTCAGGTACGAGGCCTTCCTCGTGTTTTTATTGACACGCTCAAACAAAGTAAGGAGGTCTGCAGTCATACAGGTTTTAAGATTAAGGAGCTTACTCAAGCACAACATCAGAGATGCCTCCAAGACCGGCTGCCTTACGTAACCGGAGCTCTTCCACACAAATTATAATCCTCTGTTGCTATAGAAACGGCAGTCCCGACGGGCCTCCCCTGTACTCCAAAAGAGGAGCGACCTCGATTAATAAATTCAGCTCAAAGCTGGGACCAAGTTAGAAATAATAAAAAAGGGACTCTTGACAGTAATAAAAGTGGTGATAGTGAGGGAAGGTCAGGGCTTTGGCAAGTTTTAAGTACAGGCTCTGCTCAAGTGCCCTTGAGATAGATGAGGAATTGCTAGTGGACCTGGACTTCTGAAAAGGGAGAGCGGGAAGATGGCGTGTGATTTCTCACTGAAGTAATGACAATGACCTGTGAATATTGAAGGTTATAGCTCTGTTCAATCAAACTAAGAGATAAAGAGCGAATCCAGTCCCAGAGGGTTAGCTTAGCCTTCTACCCTTTCAATTGAAACTATAGAACATAAAACAGGTATGTAGTCTCAGAGAAGTCCTCTATCAGTTTCAGAAGAAGTGTTATAAACAAAGCAGTTTACCCAGAGATGCCTCACCACCAGAAAAACTGGTACAATTAGATACATTTGGCATGACTTTGCAAATGGCCAAAATGGACCGAAAACAGCGGAATAACTCTTTAACCGTGCGTCTGAGAAAAAAGTCCAAGCATGCAAAATCAAAGATCTCGTTGAGATACACGTACCTGTAAAATTTCGGGCAGATCAGAAAAAGTCGACGTTCGTGGCGCTCTGTAGGGGGCACGAGCGAGCCATTTATCGCTTCTTTGGGGTCACCATACAACATTGCGATTCTCGCCGGGGCCAACCTGCCTGCAAATTTTTGTGAGTTTTCGAGGTTGTTCAGGGGGTCAAATCTGCATTTTCGTCGGCCATAAAATAATAATAATAATATTAATAATAGTAATAATAATAATTATAATAGTCGAGAACCCCTTGGATTACAATAGGGCTTCTTGCCTATCAATTAAAACTTAAATTAGATCTTTACATTTGAAATGATTAATGTCAGTTTGAGGCATGAGAAATGGCCGATAGTCTTGTTTACTGTCATATGCCACAGACATGAGAAAAATCCCTTATAGGAGCTTTAAACACCTGCTGTATAGTTTGTATCTTTAAAAGAGTGAGCTGTTGAAAACTTGTGCACAAAACTGTGAATCTGTCGGATTCTGCTGTGAAATTAGGTTTTTAACATGGGGGTCTATGGGGAATTTTGGACTTTTGCTCATCAGCCTCCAGTGGACATTTGAGGAACTGCATATTTTTTTGCACTAAGGCATATCTTTTTGAGTAATTGCTCATCTTTGCAAGTTATTAATGGCCTCAGAACATTTAGCTTGTCCAGCTAAAAGACGGCTTGATAAAGTTCAGATTCGCGAGCAAAAAACATAAAACTTAAACCTAGCACTCATATATTCTTATCAGGTGAAATAATATCATCAAACTGCCAAAAATGCAGAGTAGACAAGTTTTATAGTAGGGTACTTTTAAAACAAGTAATTTAAAGCTCCTGTGAGGATATTTTGACATTCATGAAATAGACTGAAAATCATACTGATGCCTTGTTATGATATACAAAAGCAAAGAAGACCATCAATGACAAGATCGACTGTTTTTATACAATACTTTTTAATGCCTGAAACTGGTGTGAGGAGGTTGTTGTCAGCCACTAAATAAGCATGAAGAGGACAAGATGGGGGGCGCCAAAATTTATATGTACTGGAAGTTTCTTAGATATAAACAGCAATATGGAGGTAATATAATGGATATGATATGAGGTGTGTATTTTCTGCAGTATAAAAACTTCATTTCCTGATTGAAAACCATTTTCAAAGATGTCTGTCCTTGGCTAAATGGCGCCCTCACTCCAGTCTTGGCAGTGAAAAAGTAAAGTCATTCATCAACCACTTCTGCTCTCAATGGGTCGATCTGGTCTGAATTTAATCCTTAAAGAAATTTGTCTCAAAACTTTATTCAGCTGTCAAAAAAGCCGAGGGCTGTGAGAGGGACCAGCAAGAGCAGACTGAAGTCCTCGCAGCGCTGTGTAGTCTACCTGCGCTCGGTGAATAATAGCTCTGTCATTGCCTGCAGATGTATGCTATGAAGAAACTGGTTAGCATATTACAGTAATCAAGTCAGCCGAACCAGGCGGTGGTGTCGCAGCTAAGCCTGTGGGCGGCTGCTGAGGCGCAAAATCAAATATACAGTAATGGAAATAAAAGCATATTGGATCAGAGGAGGCAGTGGGGAAGGAGTTTCATGTTGCACGGGGCATGAATTGGATAAAAACATTTGTTTCATTTTGCCACTGCTGGTTATGGAAAGTGTTGAATAATGGAGGGTAGGCTGGTAATAATGAAACAGATCCCAGGCTGCAAATTGCTTTCAATCACTGCTGCACAAACGCTGTTATACCCTGATATGAAATGTAATCACTGCGAGCAGTTTGGTGTATTTTGCAAGAAAACTACAGACAGAGACTCCACTACTTCAGTTTATTAAACTAACCTGTAAAACACACTGATTGTGAGTGTTCATATACTGCAAGGATGGAAAAATGGAGCATAGCTTTTCTCAACTCATGTAAACACACAATAAGTACTATCTGCAGTATATGCACAGCCTTTAAGGAAGTATGTTAAAGATATAACAATATTCTTGATTGTAATGGCAACAATAAACACTCCATAGAGCTGAAAAGTGGCGTTTAAATGTCATTACTGTGTAAATCAGACACACATGCTCCTATATGAATATAACAGAGCAGTTACAGCCAAAAGAAAATACTGTAAAGTCGATTAAAGTGATAAAAATGAACACAATTAGGTGCTCCAGAGCTGCATGTCAGAGTGTAACAGAGGTGCTTCCAAAGAGTATAAAACATTACATGTTAGTTATGAAGCACAGATAAAATATGAGTTAATGTAATGTTGCAGTATTCAAATATGTCAATAATTCATAATTATAAACTGAAAACTACAAAATCATTGGAGCCCCACAAGTAAACTTTTTTGTACTGTGTGCAAATGATGTTGACTTATTCACTCAGGAATAAACCAGAGCACAAGATATGATTATCTTGTGCATCAACATCTTGTGAACAAGATATTCTTTTGTATTTCTTTTGCAATAAGTAAATTAACTTGTCTGTAGGCATCCAGTTATTACATGTGCTCACCAAGTTAATATCTTGTGTGCACACGCTCATAATCTTGTGCCCTCAATATTATTACCTTGTTATCTTGTGTGCGCATGAGTTCTTATTTTGTTGCAACAACTTAATCTTAATGATTTTAAAAGCAAACTCAAAATGCACCTTTTTAGTCTTGCTTTTAAATAAATTTTGTATTGTGTAATACATTTCTAAAGTTTGTCCACAGCTCCATAAGCTTTGCTGGTGAGGGCGGGGTTTATGACCTATACTGCAACCAGTCACCAGAGGGTGCTGTTCTCGGAGTGGCTTCACCCAGCGAGGAGGCAAACAGTGTCCATTCTATATACAGTCTATGGCTGAGACTGCATATTTTGCTGTAACTAAAAACAAAACAAAACAGTATTGCGAATTGTTCCCGGATTATTATCATGTGACCACAGAATAATCAACATATTCAGATTGGGTTATTGGGTTAGGTCTCAATAATTCAGTATAATTTTAAATGAGACTTTAGAAATGAGAAATGAGAAATGAATTTTAAAATATTCATGTGTATTTTTATATATGTGCTACACATTTTTCCTCTATGGGGCTGTTATGGGTCAAATTTGACTCGCATCTATTTAGATGTATTTTAGATCTACCAGTGTGGGACAAGTGACAAGCAGTGAGAACAGTGTTCAATATAAAGTTTGTTGTTCAATAAATCATCATTATGACTTTTATATTCTTTTATTTCTTACATAATATTACATGACATTATCCTGTGTAATAGATATTCTTCTCCAAAAAATATATTTTACCAAAAACGAGTGGTATTAAAACCTAAAAGATACACTTTCCCTGCTTTTTGAAACGTTTAGGAAGGACAAATCAATAATTTTTGAAATTGAATAGGTCATTTAAACATTATAAAAAGGTTTGAGGTTAGAACTTTGGTGAAAATACTTGCTACATGGGCAATTCATGGGCTGGATCAAGTTTGACCCAGAACATACTGTGAGGGTACAGGATTTGAACAATATGTGAGGGTTAAGCTTTACATTTGCCTTTTTAAAAAAATAATAATTTCATTTTTTCTGTATTTATTTATTTTAAACGTGCATGAGTTAAATTTTCCTGGTTGCTTCTAATTCAGGACACGCCCAGAGAGTTTTCTTTTTCCTCATTTCTGACAGCTCCACTTTGAACCCCCCTCGTGTTATTTCCACTCATATCTGCCTGTATCTATATGAGCAGATGATCACATTTTCATCAGCCTAAGCCCGCCCCTGTAAAAGTAAGGGGCGCTCCATGTGACGCTGTGGCTCTAACAAAAATCCAGTATGGCGGAATCTGTCAGGAGATGAATTTCTTCGTTCCCCCCCTCCCTTTCTGCTGAGAAAAACCCCACAGTCTAACATGGGAGAGGACTAAAACCTTCGCGGGACACATGTTGGGACTCCTGGCTTCCTCCCGGCCCGTGTAGGTGAGCTGTTGGTGCGTTTGTGTTCTTGAAGGATGAATGTGTAGCCGAGCTGCGCCGCTTTGATGTTGATATTCAGGCAGGGATGCGATGCACACAGACAGGATTGATCAAAACAATGTCCGGCTGAAGTTTCTGCTCCGCTCCGCTTCGGCTTCGCCCTCCCGGTTACATTTTCACGACTCCTTTGAAGCTTCAATGCTACCTCCATCTGGTTGGTATGATTTCACACCTTTAAAAAACCTCTTTGCGTGAAATTTCCACACGGTTTGTTGCACTGTAGCGGGCGGGAAGTGTGTAGGCACCGAGGAGGGAGGGAGAGAGAGAGAGGGGGGAATGGACAGGCGATGTTTATTATGCCGATTGTTGCTGTGCTATTTATAGAGCACGGCCGAGCCTTAGGCTTTAATGCAACAAACATACTGCAAACACGACTCTTTCGCTGTTGTTTGCTGAGGAAATGCATAAAAATGAAGGTACAGGCCTGCGTGAGTGTGTGTTTGAGTGTGTGTGTGTGAATGGTTCGGGATGGGCGGTGGTAATTCTCTGCATGCGTCAATCTTTTTTTGTGAATGGGGGCGTACGGGTTGTTGGAGCTGTTAAAGCAACATCAAAAGCAGAACATTACGGCTGGTTTCAAGTGTCCTCAAGCGGGTTAGATAGTCTGTGATGGGAGGTGTTAGTCAGAAAATGTGGATTTAATCGGCGAACTGTTTGTATCCACAAGCTTAGATTTGTCTTTTAGCAGTATACATGTAAGTAACATGTGAGTAACATGCACATTTCAAGAGCCAAAGCATCATTTCTTTGTAAATTCAAGCCAAATTCTGCACTTGAGCCTTAGAATAACACTATCCAGGTCTGTGTGTTTATTATTCCCTCAGTTTGGGCTTCAGGGCTTGTCTCCCCGAATCTGTCACAAGCTCTTTTTTAGGGACAATGGCCGAGGACACACACACACACACATGAATCCCCCTCCTGAGACCGCCGAGATGCCCCCGGAGAATGGTGTTGCATGAAGCCCCCCTGGAGTGTCAGCTACTCCCCGTGACACACACGTCCACACGGCTCCTCCTTTTTCATCACAAAAGCGCGAGCATGCGTGCGCTGTGCAGTGACCGACTTTTTTGGGGGGCAATTTGTCCTGCGGCTGCACTGTCTGGCCCTCTTGTCTTGAGACCCAGCCCCCTCCGCTTTATTCCCCTTTTTATTGTGCACACACACATGTACCCAGCCTGCTTCAGAGGACCTCTGAGACCTCTGCCAACACACACACACACATATATACAAGGGCGTCAACATGCACGCCGACCCCCAGATGCCTCCTCCATCACTGCTGCCCCCCCGTCCACCTCGCCCTCAGGCAGTTCCCCTCCCTTATATCTGTGGTGGTGGAGTCGACTTGATGCTCTGGGCATGAGCCGTGATTACATCTGACACTCCTGCTCCAGGCTGGAGGAATTCAGGCTTGTATCTTAAAACAAAGAAAAGAGCAATCAGTCCTTTCTCGGAAATATCACAATAAACGACCTCTTAAAGATCACGTAACTTCACAGTACGGTAAAAAGAAAACGTAAAGTTATCCATCATAAAAACTCACATTTAGATTGCTACAGATGATCTTACTTTTTCCATATTAACCATATTTTTTGTCTATCTTAGCACCCCAGTCAAAAAGAACCTTTAGCCAGGACAAGCAATTTATTGCCTGACTGGTTTTCAGTTTCTTGCAGAGTAAGCTGGAGGTCGAACTTGAAGTCGTATTGAGTTTTAGACGCTGGTCTTGGATCTGCATTGCAGCTGAATTTTACTGAAGAACAAAAAATAAGTATTTAAAGAGCCGGGCACCGAAAGCGCTCCAAAAACGAGACACTGTCCAGAAGAAGTTCATAAACTCCGCAAGAGTCGTCGATTGCTAATTTTGCGGTTCAACATCAAATGTTTTTGAAATCGAGTATTCTACCGAATATTCTATCAATTACTCGAGTAATTGGACCCAAACGGCAGACTCACATAAAGTTAGATTTCCTATAGCCCCGTAATGAAGACTCGAAGAAATAGAGGACAACCGAGGAATCGTTTCAGCCCTAATGTTGTTTCTTCTTTGTCTGTTTTCAGGCAACGCCACTTCACTAGCTATAGACGGGTTTTTGTGCAACATCATCGCAGGTATGCGAGCGCATCCAGGTGGCAGAAAGCGGGACATTTGTTATTTGTTTACTAGCGGAGTCAACGGAGAAAAAAAATGACGAGGAGCTGTTGTGCTGTAAACTGCACGAATCGGTGAAACAAACAATCGGCAAACATTACGACCCTGCTCCTGATATTAGAAACGTCTAAAACAACGTCACAACCTGGTAGATTGAGTGAAATTCATGGATAGTTCAGCAAGTGTTTTTCTGATTTTGATGCAATGAAAGAAAAAGCGATTTTTCAATGAAATGACATTTTATTGTGTCAGGGAGAACTTACAAACAATACGGCATCTGCGTTGATATCAGTTCACTCCGAAGCAGGCTTGTGCCCCTTGGTTGCGCGTGCATCTAGTATTGTTTGTACACAAAAAACCTGTCTATTCGGAGCGAGATATTTTCAGTTTTCAAAACATTTTCAAAATCGGCGCAAGACTGCTCCGTTTTTTATTTAAAGCTCCTGTGAGATGTTTCTTTTAATCATGGAAACAGCACAAATTACAACATACACCTCTTTATGACTGATATGGTTATTTTTAATGTCTGAAACCAAAGCCGGGGGCTAGGTGTCAGGCAATGTGATAAATATTTGCAGCTAAATATGGGATGCATTTAGATGTCAAATATAGCAGGTTATTTGTGTGAATTAAAAAAAGGAAAATATGACTAGCATGTACATGACAAAATAAAGAGAGATGAGATGTACTACTGTGTCCACAGGGGGCGCCAAAACTGATACAAAGAGTTTCTCATTGGAGCTTTAAAGGAATTGTGGGTTTTTTATTTCCCAAAACAAATATTAAAATTAACAACCAAATTTACCGGTCCTAGGTCTGTCTTGACACAAAAACATGTGACACAAGCAAAAAGACCAATCTTGTTGTTTGTCAACTTTGTTTAATAGCATTTAGCATCCATAGGTAGGGCACTATAGCTAGCAACTGAAGTTTAGCACCAGTCAGAGACTAACTGCCTTCCCCGCTATGAAGACGTAGAGTTTGTTTGACGGTTTAATTCACTTATTTGGTGTATAACCGATTTGATTTAATGCTAATGGCCGATTGGGATTCTACTGCTTGTTCCCTTTTTGCAGGGCTTTATTTTAAAGATAATTACACTGTAGAAATGAATACAAAATAAAAACAATGAGTCATGGAAACCCCTCTGTTCTCCTTAGAATCCTCATTTGCAAGCTTGTGTATTCATAATTTAAATATAATTGCTTTTAAGGTTATAAAACTGCCAGGGATCTTTTAACAGTTATAGACAACCGAACTATGAAGGCTGTGTAAACAGAATACAAGAGTTACCGCTGCAGGATCAATACTATAAATAACTGGAAAATGAGTGTGTGTGTGAAAGAGAGAGAGGGAGAGAGATAGTGATAGCTGTCCTGATGCATCTCAATCTACAATCACCTCTCTCTTTGTTACAAACTTTAAACATGTTCCCTTTCTCCAGGTTTCCATGGTGCCTTTTTAACGTTCAACTGTCGTTTTTCAAGATCTATTTTATCACCTCAGCACTCCTCAAATGGTCACCACCTGGAAAAGAATGGATTGTAAAAAGTCTGGAGGGTTTTCAGGCCATCGTATCAACTTTTAGACAAAATACTGATGACTCATTCGCTTTTTAAGCTAACATTAGCATACTGTTTGTACCTAACAGTTTATCAAAAATTTAGTTTAAATTTAAAACTCAAAACTGGCCGGCTAAAGGTTATATTTTGCTAGCTAAATATTCTGTGAACAAGTGAAGAGCAATGTTAACTGGTTACCTCTTTACTGCTAACAATAAGAGATTCACACTTTGCTAGCGTTCCTCGCTAGCAAACACATTTGGAGCTAATTTTACATGAAACGCCAGGATAATTGTAAAAAAATCTTAAGCTAGCTGTAATGTAAGCTGAACATCTATCAAACAGAGATGTCAGCTAGCAAAATGTTACGTTTAGTAGCTAAGCCGTCATTATATTCAAAACTGCGAAAGGTTATATTTTGCTAGCTAAATATTCCGTAAACGAGCTAAGAATGACGTTAGCTGGTTACCTCTTTACTGCTAACAATAAGCGATTCAAACTTTGCTAGCATTCCTTGCTAGCATACACATTTGTTGCTAATTTTACATGAAACGCCAGGATAATCGTAAAGAAATCCTAAGCTAGCTGTAATGTAAGCTGAACATCTATCAAATAGAGATGTCAGCGAGCAAAATGTTACGTTTACTAGCGAAGCCGTCATTACATCACAAATTCCTCCCTTCATATGTAAAAAGTTTTCAGCTATGTGTTTTTGGTTTGAAATTTGGCTCAACTTCCACCAGATTTGAATGATTATTGTTTTTAAGTCGCTGCACTTATACCACATATTTATGATTTTTATGCTAAAATACAGCAGTGTTATCGGCGTAAAAAGAAACCTCTATAAATGTGAAAACCGTGACTGAAATCAGATTGAAGTTCTCAAAGGAACACTTCTTTTTTTTTATCCTCTCCGATAGGTTAGCGCCAGAGCTGGAGAGCGAGCCGCCGCTCTGATCGGAGCAGCCGAATCGAACGCCTCATGGGGATTGGTCGCTACGGCTGGATGTCTGCTTCCTGTTTCTGCCTCTGAGGGATTCTTGAGGGAGTGCTGGACCAGCCTGAAAACACAGACACACAAAACTGTACGCACACTCGAGCTCAGACACCCACAGTTTGGCTCTGCCCCTTTGACTGCACCCTGCGCATCAAATCTGTAGCTGCACCAGACGCACATCACTCATCTGTTGACACAGCTGACCCCACCTGCTTGCTGTACTTACCGTGCGCCCACCTGACTGAGCTGTGAGCAATGACATCGCACAGCCACCAAGGTAAGATCCATGTTCGTATTTTTATAACTGTTGCTTTCATCTTGTGCAAACAACACTTGTCGTAAAGTCCTTTTAAATATGATAGAAGCAGCTTTTAAAGCACCAGTAAGGAGTTTTTGGATGTTTATGAAATAGGCTGGAATTCATATTGGCGCCTTTTTATGGTATGTGAGAGCAAACAAGAACATCAAAAACAAGACTGATGATGTTGAGACTGTAACTTTGAATGTGCGAAGGGGGACGCCAGAAGTGAATTTTTGTAGCTTTAAATCTCCACTGCAAGTTTGAAACTTTTTAAGGGGTGTTTTATCTTGAAGAGGCGTTTCTGTCTTATTTCCATCATGAAGCACAAAAAAGTGCCTTTAATCAGGGCTCGACACTAACTTTTTTCACATGGAACACACAAAGAACTTTAGGGGCACAATAAAAATTGATCAAATAATGTGTGTCTTATTCGTCGACATAAGTACTATTATTTGAAATCAATTTTTGGTCAATTGGTCACATGACTTGGAAGTGGTTGAAGGAAAGGTTCAAAATTTGCCTTTAAATTTAACAAAATGTTTTTAGAGGACAAATTAGGGGAATAAAGAGGTGTGTCTTATTGTCTGACCTTAGTGCTATTATTTGAAATCAATTTTAGATCAATTGGTCACGTGACATGGAAGTTATTGAAGGAAAACAGCCTTTTCGGAGAACATTAACTGGTAATTTATTGACGGTCCCTTATTCAACACCCGATGTTGACAGCGAGGATGCCGAGTAGATTTAACTGCGCTGCTGTTGCTATTCCTGGTTACTAAGAGTGAGAAAACACCAGCAGATCTGCTGTGAATGTGTGTCGAATATCCAACCTAAACTAACCTCACTGCCGTATTTACAGAATAAAAAAATTTGTTGCCTCGGCTGATTTTTTTACGCGCACATGTGCCCCTAAATCCATTTTACAATTCACACACATCTATTTTTAGTCGCAAATGCGAGTGAAACAGTCGCACTGTCGAGCCCTGATGTTTATATTGTAATCTTTAAGGCCCGAAACCTGCGAAGGGGGACGCCAGAAGTTACTTATAGTAGCTTTAAATCTCCACTGAAACCTTTTAAGGGGTGTTTAAACTTGAAGAGGCGTTTCTGTCTCATTTCCACAAAAAAAAAAAACCTTCTCTTGAAGTTTTGCCCTCTGAGGTCACCTGGGGTTAAACTGTGTAAAAGAAAGCGTAATAAAGGATGTCTTAAATATAGTTTTTTTTTAAGTGCGCAGCATTTGAGAGTTATAAAAATATTAATGTGAAAAGAATCATTCGGCAGCGGAGGAATTTTTCCAGGAGTTTCACAGCGTGGGAAAGCCTCACGAGTGCAAAATTGCATTGGGGGGAAATCTCTCTATTTCCACCCATATTGATATATGAACATTTGATTTTGAACACAGACAGATAGCAGTCCTCGAAAAGGCAGTAAAACATTTTAATCTGGTCTTATGGCTGTTAATTGGCTTGATGCAATATGAATGAGCTCCAGAGAGCGAGAGGAAAAGTCCATAACTCGCTCTCATTAAGAGAGCCGACTTCCCTCTTTGACACCTAATGACGCTCACTTTAGAGGCTTCGGTTTGTGTACGGGCGCTCTGATGAATTATTCGAAAAAGCAGCTGGCAGATGAAAAGGTTAGCTTCCTGTGGTAGCTGACGGCGTCGAGCGTGTTTACTTTGTGCACCTGGGAGTGTGTGTGCGCGCCATAAATATCACAGCCGAGGTAACCGCCGGCCCCTGACATCTTCATCACTGACACCTTTAACTCGCCACAGAGCGTGGGGCAGGTTTCCAGTACCCCGGTGCACCTGTGTGTGCTATTTAAGCAGTGTGGGCTTCGCTCTCTCCGTCCAAGCACATTATAGTCGAACATCAATCTGGGATTAAGTGGCTCAACAGTTATCATTAGACCGCCCAGTGTAATACCGCCTCACCTTCACTCATCTACTCTGTAAACAAGACTGACACAATAACTGCTCTGCTACAGCTGGGCGCTGATCGATACAGTGGTTGTCCGGGTCTAAGGTGCATCGTACGTTTCCCAAAACGGCCCTCGATTTTCCTCATCTTGAAGAGGTTATTTGGCAAATTAGAAGTAGACCAATAAGTCAGACTGTAGCCGTCTTTTTAAAGATCAAGAATTGCTTTTATTAAAAAAAAAAGATACCTCTATTATAATTTTATCACAGTTTAATCTGTTGGATGAAGACAAACAGAGATATTGAATCAAAGCCCAGATCTGGTAGCGGCCAAGAAAGAGAACTTCACTCTTTTCTGGCTACAGGCTGCAGCAGCTGATGGAGCCGATAAACTAACCAGCTCCTGTCAGAACATAATAAGATTTAGCTGTTTATAATTTCCCTCCCTTTCTCCTCCTCTCCCTCAAATATCCACTTCCTTATCCACCGCGAGGCCAAAAATAGCCGTGATCTTTCCGTTTGAGTCCAGGGGAGATGATTCGTACCTGCAGCGGCTGTCTCTCGCTGTCTCGTTTTCCTCTGAAAAGCCTTCAGAGGAGACGGTCCGGGTCCTCAGAGTGCTGCCAAGTGTGGGCGTCAATTTGAGGTGCTGCTTCGCTCCGGTTTGAATGACAGCTCCGAGACACACTTGTTGTACGTCGGCGCGCACAGAGAGACAGAAACAAGCGGCAGAGAGACATCTAAAGATGTGAAATGCTATAAATTGGCCTTGCGGAGCTTGTTGGGGCTTTCTCCTGTCGCTTCTTTTTTCGTCGGAAAGTTTGAGGCTGCATCAGTTCGATTTTTTCCCCCCTCTTCCTCTCAGAAACAGATGCGAGAGAATTGATCCTGGTTGCGTCATGTTTTCTGCGACCGTTAAATAAGCTGTATTTCGAGCGCAATTAAACAGCGTTGGCTTTGTTCTCGGGGTGAACAATGAGACTCTCAGATCGGCGGCTTTGTTGTACTCTTATATTTGCAGTGTGATTAAAGCTGCCAACTATTTTTTTTAATTTCCCCAGCTCGCTTTGCACTGGTTTTTAAACATGCACCAGCCCTCTAAATAAAGCCACGAGCGCCTGTTTGTGTGTGTGTTGCAGCAGGACTGGCGAGTGTTTGTTGCATTTGCGCCTGCCCTGCTTGTGTGCCATTTGTGTGTGTGTGTGTGTGTGTAATCTGTAAATGAGCTTAGTAGCGCGCACGTTTTTTGATCCAGGACTTACTCATTTTCTTTATTACAGCAGCACTGGGATTTTTAGATTAAATATCATTTGCCGCAAATCTCTTCCTAGAAAAGTGACATTTAAAACGCTTTGTCGGGTTCAGGTTTCGCAGAACAAAAGGGGGGTCAGGCCGATAAGGTCTTCACATCAGTCTTTTCGCGAGCATATCAGCAAACAGACAGGAGTGTTTGCACAGGAGAGATCCCACTGTGTAACTAAAGCTTCGGCTCATTAGCTGACAACATTTATTCTTCACTCGTGCTTTAGCGGTGAGCTAACATGATGGATTTCTTTGATAGACTCGGTATTCTGAACATGACATCCTAAGCCGGGTCTTCCCTTTTTTGGACAAAGATTTGACTCCTGAGTTGATGTGGCAACAAGCTATCCTTAAAAACGTATTTAGATGTTTTTTGGATCTATGTGGTGGTTTCCATGACAGAGTCATGTCTGTTTTTGAATTTAGTGCAGCCAGGCCAAAAGTCATGGTCTTCCAGTATCAGTTTGTCAGCTCTGTCTCATTTGTGCAGTAGGGTTGGACGAGAAAACGATAATGATATATAACAAAAATTAATTTCCCTCGAAATCAATATAAACTAGAAAAGCATTTGGAGAACGCAGACCTCCGCCAAGCAGCTCATGTCCCCCCTTAAACAAGAAATGCCCTGACCAAGATTCAAACCCAGGACCTTCTGACTGTGAGGCAACAGTGCTAACCACTACACCACTGTGCCGCCTATCTACACCACTGTGCCGCCCATTGGTTATCTTTCAGCATTGAAAATTCCAACAACACCCTTATTTTTGTGTGTTCTGGATCACAGTATCCAGAATTTTGTCCGGATCACCACCAAAATGCGATGGGATCCTCCTGGGGCTGAGACACACCTCTGGTGAAAATTTCAGGTCAATCCGTCTGTAACTTTCTCCGTAAAGTTGCTAACAGACAAACAAACAAACGCTACCGAAAACATAACCTCCTTGGCGGAGGTGAACATGGTCAATATGCTTTAGATAGGCGGCATTCTGCCATGTTTCAGTAGACTATACGAATAGCAGCAACTACACGCAACCATAGCACTTTAACATTTAAAGCCAACGGCACTGTAGGTGAGAAAAAAAGAAAATGAGTGCTACCCCCGTCAGAAATGCAGATGAAGGCTCAACAGATGACGACATCGTCGACGACACTGGCATGAAAACGTCGGTGGTGTGGTGGTAGTTTGGTTTTTTAGGTCGGACATGAAGCAGAGTAATGTGGAGTCAAGTACATGTTCTCGAAAAGTCGGGGAATACCTCAAATCTTTTTCACCACCTGAAGCGGTGACGTGTGGCAGAGCACGCGCGATGCAAAGGGTTACAAACCACAAGCGGAGCATTGAGCTCATGGCGCCTGTGCAGCTGAAACAGCCGACCATTCAGTCCGCTTTCTCCAACACAACACCTCACGACAAAACGTCTAAGAGACACAAAGACCTCACCGATGCAGTAGCTTATTGTATTACAAAATACATGCTACTAATAAACACTGTTAAATTTCATTTTTTAAATCATGATATTTATCGATATCGACAGACACGAAAAAAATATATCCTGATAAACTTTTTCCCATATCGCCCAGCCCTCGTTCTCATCTATTTTTGTGAAATTATGTTCTGTCCATGATGTCCAAAAAGAATGCTAAAGTTCTCCCGCATTAGCCGGTGCAAGGACAAACTATGCAGTGATTTCCACTATAGAGTCATGCAGCCAGGGCCCACTAATCGTGGTCTTCCAGTCTTGGTTTTTAACCCTTGTCTTAACTCTACAGGGATTTTTACAGAGTTTCTGAATCTTCTAATGATTTTTCATGATTTCCAAAATGAAAGTCAAATTTTGATTCAAAGTTTTGAGCATTTCTTCAGCACTTCTGTTAGATGGGTCAGTTTCAACCTGCAGAAGAAAAGCTGTTGGGGTTTTTAGATGGTATTTTAAACCTATGCAGTGATTCCTACTAAAGAGTCATGTCTGTTTTTGAATATAATGCCACCAATGGTCTTTCAGTTTTGCTTTTCCGCTCTCAGATTCTAGAAACAGACTCAGGTTTTGCACCAGTCAAAGAATGTCCATGTTTACGACGCCTCACAGAGTAGGAAGTCATGGCGGTCTACACCAGGAGCTCAGCGTCCATTCCCAGGGGTGAACATTTTATCACCGTCAGACTCTATAGGCAATGATTGCCGATGGGCTCTGAGATTGCCGACCCTTCAAAGATAGTCTACTTTAATTTTGCCGCTGAAGTCTGGGCCTCATCATCAAGTACTTGCATCTTTCCCGTGATCCTCCGGGGCCCTTCTGTGGTTGTGGTCACATACCAAGCACCCTTATCTGGGCTTCCTTCTGCCCTGATAAAAAGGGACGAAGATCAAAAACCACAAAGAAAAAAAAAGGGGAAACTAGTGACGTCAGGAAGGTGATCCTCTTATGGGAAACCGTTCAGTAAAGAAAGAGGTGAATAATTGAGAGAAAATGCAGTTTGATCAGCGTAGAAACCACCTGCGTGTGCTGTTGTCTGCATAGACACACAAACAAGTAGCATCTTGAGGAGTGTGGATTCACTGCTGTCTCATTAACCAGGGTAACACATGTCAGCTCTCCAGGAAGGCAGCAGTTTGATCACACTCACTCCCCGGATCGATCGGATCTTGTTGACTCTGACTTAAGTGCTCCTCTGGTCCTTTATGGGAGCTTTACAACAACATACGTCAAAATTCAGACGTTATAGCTTTTCGTGTTTCGTTTCCTTTTGGCCAGAACCATCTTTAAATAAACATGTATGTATTGATATCATACTAAAAATAGTGGTTATTCCCTCATTTAACGTGAAGTTAAAGAGATAGGATCAATAACTACTCTTCTTGTGCTGTCCCTTTTCTTCGACTCAGATGCCTCAAAGTAAAAAGTGATGCAGGCGGGATATGCAGCGAGTGAAAATGAAAACATAAGTTTATAAAAGAGCAGCCGGCCTCCTCAGGTGTCGCTTTGTAAAACAGGGGGAAGGTGAGGCTTCTTTACTGGCAACGGTTTGTTTTCATGTTAGTCAGAAAGTGCAGCCAGCTTTCCAAGAAAGTCTGCAGAGTTTAGCTGCAGAGCAGGAACTGTTCCTGCACATGAGTCATAGGCGCACGAGCACACAAACAGAGGCCAGCATGTGGTTGGTAAGTAAGTGCCGGGTACAGCGTGTGATTATTTGTGAATGAGAGGTTTGAATTTTACATCGCAATGCGCAGAAATGGCAGATTAACTCGTTCCACAAACGCTACCTAAAGCAGACTGCGCTCAGGTTAGGTTTTTTACTGCTTTATTTTGCTGGATGTGTGTGGGTGTGAGCGCCTTTTATGGCTCTGAACCGGTGAACTTGACACAGTGCTCCCTTCCTCGAAGGCTCAGCTGTAACTAGGTTACAAGCGCAACAGTTTCACGGTTTATACAGCCGTGAAATACAACGAAAACAGAGAGGGAAATAAAGTAAAGTCAAATAAACACTAATGAGGAGGGTCAGGAGATTGTATTGTTTGGGCCGGTACCCAAGATGAGAAAGGAGATAGAAGTGTCTTCAGGCGCCGACAGACTTGTTGCTTTGCAGATTTATACGGCGTACAAACAAGTCAGGTTGCGTTTGCGTAAGTCACAAATAGATTTACCGGCAATGTTTAAAAAAAGCAAACGTCCTTTTCAAGAGTCTAAACAGTTCGCTCTGTTCACCTGCCAGTTTCCATGAGTGTTTCATGCTGTTTCTTTTCACCTCCTTGATTTCTTAACACAATAAGAGTCAAATTACCTGAGAGAAAGCTACAAAGACAAAGAAAGCTCCTGCAAAGAGGAGACTGAAATTATGTGTCAGGCACATGTCCACAGGAGTCGGCTTTTAAGGGCCTATGTCCACTGACTGCTGTTTTAGCACTAGAAGCTGTACTGTTGCATAATTGCTATCTTGCGGCGTTTTCACTTCTTTTTAAAATGTTCTAACCTGAAAATTTCAGCCTTAAAAATAACAAACTTAACTCATCTTGAGTTAGATGCCCCCTCCAGAGATGAATGTTGCCGACTGCTTGCGTCTTCTAGCCACCAAGCATCTTTTTTTTTTAACTTTGCCTAATTTCTTCAGCAAAGAGACTAAACACAACTCACCCACTCTCTTCCAGCAGCCGCTTGTTTGTAGCGAGACCGCAGGCTAGTTCATTATGAACTGCAGCGGGGTGTCGCAGCTCAAGGAAGAACATTTATGATCATTACTTTATCATTTCTTTTAAGTAATAATCATCACAATCATCATTTTGCACTGCAGACGCTGTTGTTCTTCTGCCTTAGCGTCTCGGTCTGATTGCATTTTTTGAAGAAATGATCATAAATGTTCTTCCTTGAGCTGCGACACCCCGCTGTAGTCTGTAATTTTACGCCGGAATATCCCTTTAACTAAACTTCACTTCCCTTAACTTTAACTTTTAACTTAAATGTAAATTTAACTTAACCTAATTTTGGTAAACTAAGCTTTCTTACAGCTAGCTGCCAGCTCTCTAGCTAAAAGTTGAAAAGAAATAGCTAGCAGGATGCATTTTAATTTCGCACGTAAATACGTTTCAACCTCTTTAAACATTTAGCCATCGTTAAGCTAGCATCACCATTAAGCAGAATTAAAAATTACATAAGCAAAAGCATCCTTAGCTGTAAGTAGTAGCTACATGCGAGCTAATGGTCCTATCAGCGAAAAATCAGCCTCAGCCTTAACGTATAAACCATTTTCACCGAGGACAGAAGATGAAAGATAAAGCGGCGCTTGAGCTGCGCTATGTGAGGGCAAAATGTAAACAAATTTTAAGAAGGTTTTGTTGGGCACAATCGGCTAAGCCATAAAAATGTTTAGTTTGTTTTGTTATAGCAAAACTAGCGATCACAGAATGACTTGGCGATTTTTTAATTTCCAGTAAATGGCGTACTCTACGATACCGAAAAGAAAGGCTGAAAAAGCTGTTTTTTGTTGTTGGTGGCTGTTGATGAGGAACACTTGTGTCATGACGAAATTAATGATACTGTGTGTAATACTCTAAAAAGGGGCGGGATTTTTAGCTCTTAAAGGGCCAGCGCACTTTGTCGGAGCTGCCTCTTAGGCGTGGTCCTTTAAGTGTCTGTTTTTTTCCTCATTTGAAACTGCCGCAGCTCGTGTTTGTGTTTACAGCTGCGAGCTCACTTTTACTCTCCGGTCAGTGGGGAGTTTTGGCAGGAGCGGCGAGGGACTGCTGCTGACGTAAACGGTACTACACACGAGGTAGTGACACACATGATAATACTCGGGTGAGGGGCTTTTCCCTCCCTGGTGCATGACTTATGATGCAAGGACCAAAGCTGTAACTTAGTGTACAATTAAATAAAGTAAGCGCTGAAAAGTATGAGCCTTTTGCGAATGTGCTGTCCGAGAAATGAGACCCAGGGGTGTCACAGCTCTTCTAGCTCTGCTGTGTCACCTGGTCTCTTTCCTAAATTCTCTCTCTAGTTTCGAGGTAATAGTTGTCATGGCCAAAAACTAATCTTTCAAGTTTATTAGGACAGTCTCTAATAAAACCTTGTCTCCTGCACCGTGACCCTGCTGCTGGCACTTTAGTATTTTACTTTATTGAACATGACAAGGACAGAACTCTTCATAACATCTGTCCTCGCTCAGCAAATGTGGTTTATTTTGGTTTTACAGTGTTGACAACCAGAATCTTTGAGAGCTAATAGCTCGGCATAAATACAGATCACATTTTTACATCCCCTGAACTATCTTTCGGTCTCACCCCTGTCTTTGATAAACACCGCTGTACAGCGCACACACCAATTTCTGGATGACTGTAAGTCTATATTATGGATTTGCTTTTTATTACACCTGCCAGATACTATTAACTGGGCAGCGGTGGCTCAGAGATTTAAGGGACACACTCGGGAGTGGAAGATCACTGACTTGTGATTTTTGGCAGATGGAAAAAACGATTGAGAAGAACTTTGTTGAAGGCGAGAAAGCGAGGGAACGAGGAAATTGAGCGAAAGATGCCGCAGACTGGTAGAAGTTAGTCTGACACACAACCCTGATTCTATAAGAGCGGGGACACTGAGGAAATCAGATAAGAAGAGCTTTATTTATCCCTGAGGGGAAATTTGGCGGTTCAAAACTGAATTTGATACTTCAAAAATCATTAAAAGAAAATCTTTTAAATCTCTCAGAAGTGGTAAAGACAGAGAGAGATTCACCGCTCTGTGAGAGACAGTTTCAGAATAATTATGCTCAGCGTAAAAATTGCAAAATATTTAAGGATTTCATCAAATTCTGTACATGATACCATTAAAAATTTAGGCCTGAACCCTAAGGTGGCCGTGCCTTAAAAATAAGACATGACTCTGTAGTGGAAGTCACTGCATGGACTCACAATCACTCTCAGACAGAAGAAAACTTATCATGCTCTATACATTTCTCATGAAACAACCAAATTAGTCGATTTTAACTTTTGATATGTCGTCTTTTTAATGAGGTGATTTTGCGAACAGTCAAATTTTATCTCCATGAGCCTCCAAACTCAAGAAAAATCTTTGTAAAACTGCAAACAGAAAATATCAAACAAAGATCTCGTCTGCGTGCGAACATAAAGGAGGTGTGCGTCTGATTAATGCATTAAATTTACATTTATCTCCTCTTATCCTGCTTTCAGTTCTGGACCCCGCTCTGTGACCCCTTTTTCATCCTCTTATCCTGATGCACGCTATCACACCACAACAACACTGCTGCTCGAATCCAGGGGTGAAGGGGTTAAAAGTTTTCACTGCAATAAAGAGGGCCCGGCTTATCCCGGAGTCTATTTTTAGCTGCACACACACAAGATATGTGCACGTGCATGCATGGCGAACAAACAATCATTATTTTTGGTCTCCCGTGTTGATTCTCCTCCCGTGCTCGCTCGCTCGCTCACCCTGTGTCGTGCGGCTAAAAATGGAGCGCGGGGACGAGTGCATGCATGTCACAACCGCTGCCTCTTTTGTGCGCCGGTCAGTGTGATACGAGCATGAGCCTCATCAAGGGGTTATTTCAAGCCTCATTGTCACGTTTTGTGCGCCGTCCACTTGTGCTGACATGTCGTTTTCTAACCCTCACAAAAGCAAATTACGAAATTGTGGCAGATTGCAAAATGCACTTCAGCGGCGTGTTCCCACAATGCCGCACCCTCCCCTCCCTCCGCTGAACCCGGTGAACAGAGATGAGGCTCCTGCCAGCCAGACAGACAGTTCGTCAGTTCTGTCCTTCCATGTGCCACCAACTTGGCTGAACATGGCTAACAGTCCGTCCCAGAACAAACCCAAGAGGGGGTCTCTTGTGCAACGAAGACCCCCCACTTGCACAAGCCCGGCTTTGTGCTCGTGTAAATGGAGCGCAGCGCCCATCTCGCCCCGCCGCACCCACCCCGCTCCTAAAAACAAACACCTAATCACGGCCTTTCTCCCGGCTGGATGTCTAAGTGCATAAGAGAAGCTGTGTTTTTAATTGGTATTAGGACAGAGACGGCGGAGAGGGAACATGAGCTAATGAAAGGACCGGGACACATCTTTTGTCCTCTTGTCTTTTGTCTCGTCCCAGCTGAGAAACGGGATACACTGTGTCCTGCCAACGAGCTGTCAGCGGCAATTACGGTTTACACTCCCTCGTCAGAGCCCCGGCCCCGTGCCTTCTGACATTTTGCTCCACGGGGCTCGACACAAAGCATGAATGTCTGGCCTGGGCATCGAGGGACCACCGGCATTACACAAGCGAAGCAAAGTGCAACTTTTACGGCACTTTCCAACATGCAACATATGGAAAAATCCAGAGAAACACACCAAACGTTCACCTGTGCACCTGTAACTCCCTGCAGCGCTTTACGAGCATTGTCCGGCTTTACAGCTGCAGCTCGAGTCCGTCATGGACGTCCGTTCAGAAACAGCTAAATAAGCAAGAACCAAATCCATGCACAAGACACCCATCATATCTCAGAACAGTGTATAGATGCTGTAAACCCAAAATTTAGCAGAATGATGTAAATTTGGAAGATAAAGTTGAGAAGAATAAAATCCAGATTGACTAGAAAATGTTCCAATTTAACATTCGAGCTGTAAATTTATATCAAAAAACATATTTTATTACGAGGAAAGGTTGTTATATCGCGAGAATTAAGATTTTAATTTATAAGAAATGTCAGAAATTCATAATAATAATAAAAATGAACAAGAATGACGTTTTAAATTGACTAGAAAGAGAGTAAATGTGAAATTAAGTCATACATCAACCCCAAAAAGTTATACTTTTGGAAGAGATAAATTCTAATTTATGATAATCATGTAAATTATTAAGTATAGAGTTTCTAGTTTAAGAGAAGAAAGTGATTAATGAACTCATGAAGTTGTAAATTTGCAAAAATTTGTAACTAGATTTCCACAAAATATAAAAATGTATGAGACAATGTAAATCTTAAAGAATAAGGTTTAAAAAATTGACAGGAATAAAATTGTTCAGTGTTGATTTTCAAGAATAAAGATGTAAACTCACACAAAATGTAAAAAATTGTGTTTAAAGTCGTTAATTTTCACGAATGGAGTTTGAAGTTTATGAGAATAAAGTTGCAAATTTACTTAAAAAGTCATAAATTTGCAGGGAATTTGTCCTCATGAAAAAGTGGTACATTAAAAAATAAAAAGTCACTTCTATAGAGTGAAAAGCTGCTGATCTAAAACAGACACACTGGAGCGTCATGCAAAGATAGCGGAGTGTAAATGTCCTGATCAGCTGTGAGTCCAAACGTTCGTGGTGGTTTTGGAGGAGTCTCTGTGACAGTCCCTGCTGCAGCCTCTCCACAGAGTCCCTCATTGAGAGCCAGGCAGGCGGTTTTGTTTTGGGTGAGCTGGATCTTATTAAGCTCTTGTTTTGAAGCGCCAGACCAGATTGCTGGACATGAATCGAGGTGTGGGAAGACAGTTTTACTTGTTTTACTGTTTATTCCTGCGAGAGAGGAAGCAGCGCTGTAACGACGGCTCGGAGCCGACTGCAGATCTCTGAGAGGAAAGCCCGCGCGTTCGAGTTCCTCGGCCTCCCCGCGGTCCAACTTTTTGTTCTTTTAAATTGATTAACCGACCCCGTGACTTTGATGCACTTTGGCCGCACAACAAACACCCGCGGTCTAATTACCAATTCCCCACTAATTTGTGATTTTATATCGAATGACGCCATTCACCAGGAAGCACAAAGGCATGCTCAGACACCTCGCCAAATTGCACCAGCGCCGTGTTTTTCCCACTACCAGCATGAAACAAGGGGAGGAGGCGGAGGAGGAGGAGGGGGTCAGATGCTCGCAAACTGGAGGGGGACTCACGCAGGGGTCACCCGCTCTCTTTAATCAGCTGCCGTGACGTCAGCCGCTGCCCTCCGGGAAGCGAATCGCGCGACCCCGGAGGGAAAGGCTCTTCAAGGAGAGGCGCGTTTGATTAATCGTATTGTTCCTGTCTGGTTCACCTTGCTCGCCGGAGTCACCCTGGACGGAGCAGCCAGGACGGAAGTGCGCTGAATGTAATGAGGCCGAAACATCCCTCCTTCCTCACTTCCTCACTTCCTCATGTCCTCCTCTCTCCCTCTTTCTGTCACTGTCTCTCTTTGTAAACGCCACAGACAGACATCTCATTCCTCCCGCACAACAAAGGCCTCTGTCAACATCCTGGAAGCGGCGCGGGGGTCAAGCCCGCCTGTCACAAAACGACATTTAGCCGTGTAGCTCAGAGTGCTCCATCACTCCCGTTTGCTCCTCATCCATCCTCCCCCCCTCCTCCCCACTTTCAGCGTCGATCATAACATGCGTGTTTTTTTTTCGACGGGCCCTAGCTGCATTAGCTGGCGTTGACTGACTCTCTCTGCCTGAGGCTAGCTGAGGCTATTTATAGCTCCCCTGTCTCCCGATGCTTGCCCAGTGGGACCAAGAAGAGGAGAGAGAAGGAGAGGAGGAGACAGAGAGAGAAAAGGAGGAGGGGGCTGCTGGGTAACTAGGCTACATTCAAGATTGATGGACCCTGTTGCCAAGGTATAGAGCGCTTCTCCTCCAGTGTGCGGCGGTTGTGTATGTGGTTTGTTGCTCCATTACGCCACACACTCTCTCTCTCTCTCTCTCTCTCCTCCAGTGTGTGTGTGTGTGTTTGTACACACCTGTGCCGCCTCCACGTGCTTCTCAGGTATCGCCGGCGCGGTTTGGACTGAAAGCTTACACGCTTTGTCTAAACGACCGCAGACAAAGACAAACATCTCCCTAATTCCCCCGCACTTAAACCCGGGGATGTAAAGCAGCTACCGGCGATTTGTGCGAAGAGAAAAAAACTAAGGGTAGAGTTACGGCGAGCCACAGGTGTCATGAGGCACAGATGCGCCTCATTTTCATTGCAAAATCCAGCCTGAGCGCGGCGTGTGCGATTTGAATAAAAGCTCATCAAGAGGTTTCGGGTGTCATTAAGTGTTTGTTTAGAGAGGCCGGTCATCAAGTCCAAAAGAGACCGCGGAGAAGTTTGGATTTGACTAACACCTGATCGGTTTTATCGCCAAACATCAGGCGGACGGCGGGTGACTTTTAGGTAAATAAAACTCAAGAAAAAAGAAAAACCGGAGTCCACACCCAAGCGCTCGCGGGGATGGTGCAGGAATGGGTGCAGCGATTCACGCAAAGGTGGTAGACGAGTGGAGAAGCGCGCGATGCATCCTTGAGCTTCACGGCTAATTAAGTGTGTGCATGTATGTGTTTGTGTGTGTGTGTGTGTGTGTGTGTGTGTGTGTGTGTGTGTGTGTGTGTGTGTGTGCCAGTCTGGTCCAGGGAGGATTCCAGAAATAGATTGTGCTCAGTGAGATACTCGCTTGTTTTTTCCTCCCTTTTTTTATTCCTCCAAAGGGATTTTACATGGCTTTTCATCTCCCATCCAAAGGAATAATTGCATGTTTGTGCGCCTCAGATGTCTTTTAAGCCTCGTGCGCTCGGTGTGTGTGTGTATATATAAATATATATATATATGGATCAGGTGCTTACGAATGCTAAAAATACATACATGTGCGGAGTGTGTGAGGAGTGGGAAGCATGTCAATTCCACCCTCATCTCTCCCCTCCCTTTTTTTTTTCTTTTTGGCGCTGTTTTCTTGTTTTTCCTCTCTCCTTACCTCTTTCTCCCCCCGATGCATCCTCCTCCTCTTCCTCCTCCTCCTCCTCCTCCTTCTACCCCTCCATCTCTGTCGCTCTGCTTTTTATAGCCATGTCTTCCCAGGGCTCGGCAGTTACAAAAGCCTTTTCATGTTGCCACTATAATTAAAGCCTACACACTCGCACACACACACACTCACACACACACGCACAGAAACGCATGCAGCAGAGGCAGCGGGATTGTATCTCGGCGCGTGCGCGTGGATGCGCGCCGCGTGTGCGTGCTCTGCATGTGCCGTTATACACAAAAGGGTGAGCTATTTTTACCTCTCTCCCTCCCCTTCCCTCCTCTCCCCTCCCCTCCTCTCCATCCCCCTTCTCTTCATCCCTCTCTCCTCTGCTGCTGCTGCTGCTGCTGCTGCTGCTGCTGCTGCCAGCCACATTTGCTATGCTGAGCACAGGCAGTATCAGTCGAGCCCCAACATCCCTCCTCTCTCTCTCTCTCTCTCTCTCTCTCACACACAGGACAGGAGCCGATGAAGGCTGCTCACTCGCTCTTTCAGGCGTATTTTTAGAACATCCCCGCCGTTAAAAACCTCGCCGCTTATTCACAATTTTTTTTTTTTTGGTGATGGACCAGGCGGCGGCAGCAGCGGCAGCTCAGGTGGCAGCAGCGGCGTTGGCGGCAGCTCGCAGCCTCGCGGATGACCTGAACCCTGCTCGCCCCTGCCCGCTCCTCGGACTCTAGTCTCCACCCGCCCCGTTTTTTGCAGTTTTCTCTCCTGGAAGCTTTTGTGCAAAAAAAAAAAAAAAAAAAAAAAATGTTGCGGACCATATTTGAAGCGGAGTGTGCTCTCTCTCCCACAGAGGGGATCCTGGGGAAGGAGCAGCCGCTGGAGGTGCTGAAGACGTCGGCGCTCAACCACATCCCAACAGGTTGGACTCTCTCTCTTTCTCTCTCTCTCTTTATCTGTTTGTTTACACTCTGAACTCTGCATGTGTGTGTGCAGATGCGATTCCACTCTGAACCGCATCCGCTTCCACTTTGCATGCGAAGGCGATCGTCCTGAGTCCACTTTAGAGACATGTGCAACAACCCGCCGCTCACGCCGTCTCGTGGCCAGGTGACAAGTTTTGAGAGTGGGCGCTCACTCCTGCGCTGTCGTGTTTGTGCGGCTCTCCTCGCAGTGCCATTTTGTTGAATGGAGTTGCAGCCCCCCCTTTGAATGCGGGGCGCCTTGATCGTAAGCTTATGTAAAAGCGGCGGAGAACTGATGAAGCAGCGTGGGGATGCTTTTGCTGCAACTTCTCCGGACAGTTTGCAGTTTGCTTGTCGCTTGTGCTGCAGGAAATGCATGGAGAAGTTTAGAGCGAAGAAAGGGGGAAGCAGAAAGGAGGCAAGAGTGGGAAAACGATAGGGGCACAGATGGCGATGAGGTAATCTGAAGGAGGGTTGAGTCTGATGTAACATATGCATAATGCGATATCTAATTCCATAACAAGGGAGCTAATGCAGAGCGTCATTTTGGATTTTACCCGCTAAACTCTACCCTGTTGCTTGAAACAACTTCATTTCCTTTTCTTCTTCTTCTTCTGACCTGAAGTGTCTCCCTCTCGTCCCGGAGCGTCCCCGAGCCTCACATGTGCGCCGTGTTGTTGTCAGGGGGGGTTATTTTGCACGCGCCTCAAGCTACTCTGATGAAATATTGAAATCCGCCGGAGTGGCTTCATCAGATATTCTCGAAATCTGTTGTCTTGGATACAGAGCCCGCTAGGACGCTCTACGTTTTGGTAGCGAGGGTGACCCCGGCGCCTGTTTGAAAGCGTGAACGCAGCGTTCGTTTGCACTTTCTCAGAGAAGATGCGAAACTCCAGAGAGCTTTGTCACCTGATCTTTACGTAATCAAATCCTCGCCGATGCATCTAAGCAGACGACCTTCACTGCTTACTCTGAGGAGGTTAACCCCCAATTTCCACTGCATCCGGAACGGCTATGAAAAGGCCGTATCCACCGATTGCAGCTGATCGTAACCATTCAAGTTAATGTGTCAATTTCCACCGGCTTCTTTCCGTTCCGCTTCGGATCACCGGACTCCGCAGCTGATTGCAAGAGTTCTATTTTTTCCAGGAGCATGCTGGATAAATTCAGCACAGATTAACCCGTGCTGGAAAGGAAGTCGAGCACAGACACAAAATAAAACATCCGGATTCTTTTCAAAATAAAACACTATGCATTTCAGGTGTGCAAACGGTTTTTAGACAACATTTCACCTCGATAACACCATGGATGAGGAGATGCTGATTCTAGAAGTCTAGAAGTAGATTTCCTCCTCTAGAAGGACTCAATCTACGTGCAGAAATGGTTATGTGGCTGTCTTTATAGAGACAACTTGTTTTCTGCAGGTTCTTGTGAGTTCTTGCGATTCCCGCTGTCTGTAGTCTGCCACAAAAGTCGCCTCACAAACGAAGCCGGTAGGAATTGGCGGATGGCGAAAATCTTCGCCGTTCGGGATGCTGTGGATATTCAGGGTTAACAGTTGCTGCATAAGTCTAAAGTTTGCGTCGACTGACGTGTCTCAACTTTTTTGACACCCTGAATTTTTGTCATGTCAGTATATTTTGGTCTTTAAAACCACTAATAAAGCTAAACATTTACTTTTTAGTCACTTAGATGCTAAAATATGCAAGTTTTTGAAATTTTATGGAACTGATAATGTTGTATTTTGGCTACGGGTCCAAGAAAAACCCAATTCTATAATATTTCTCTCTTGCCGTACTTATTTTGTCACATCTGGATCCACTCCTGCTCCTCTCCCTGCTCCCCTCTCTTTGGATAGTTTGCACCGCTGTTGCATAAAAAATATATTCAGTGTCAGGATGAAACTGTCTTCGGTATCGCTGTCGTCCCACCTGTTTGATCTGATTCCTTCCTAGACTCAGACTCGAACCACAAGCCAAAAAACTGGTCCCTGCTCTTTTACAGACGCGTTCCTGCACGTACCGCGCCTCGACCTGCACACGTCGTCCCTCTCCCAGCCCCACGTGTTTTGTCTCTGCCTCGTGTTCGCTCGTCTCCTTCCTCCTCAGCCGGAGCGCCGCAGACCGTTGCGTGACGTCACGGCCGCGGCGACAAGTCAGGGCTCGCTTGTAGCAAAACAAGACTCGCTGCACCTCGACACGTCCCTCCGTCACACCCTGGATGTTCTGTCTCGTTTGCTCTGAAGAGGTCACGAGATCACAATCGGGCTCCTCTGCAGGCTGGGAAAGGAAAGATTTATCTTCTCCAGGAGGAAAAACCCAAATCCAGATTAGCAGGGAGAGTGAGTTTAGAGTAACACAGGCTGATGCTCCCCTTCGGAGACCGAGCAGGAAGCAGACTGCAGCAATTCCCCGCCATCAACAGATGTGCTACTTGTTGCCTCTCATCTTCACCCTGCTGCTAAATTCGCTGTGAAACCCCTGCGCCGAATATCTCCTCTTCTTTGTCATCCTCTTGCACGCTTTTAAAAAGAAAGATCGCATTTCTCCGAGGCTCTGGCTCTGCTCGGGCTCAGTATGACATCTATTAAGCCTAACGAGTGTGGAGCCCGGGCAGTCGGAGAAAACCGAGTCTTAAATCTGAGACGCCAGGACCTCTCTGCATTGTCTGGTATAAATAGACCTGCAATAAGAGCTGGAGGAGTTGTAAACAGATTGTGATGGAGGGAAGAATAGGAGAGGATGCGAGATAGAGAGGTATAAAAACCAGCAGAAGAGGAAAGGTGATGGAGCGCTGAAGGAAGAAAGTCATGTGAGGAGGAGATTCCCTTTAATGCGTCAAAAACGCTCCTCGTCAAACTAAAAAACGCTCAAAAGGGAGAGGAACAAAACCCACCAGGCTTCCCTTCAGGTTTCAGATCATCCAGGAAACTTGATTCACTCTGACAAACTGGAATTGAACTGAAGTCCTCGTTCTCGTTGAAGTTGCGTAAGATTCCTAGAAGCTCCTCGGCTCTCCCTCGAGACGGCACGATCCTCTTTGTTTTGGTTTTCTCTGACTGCCCCCATATCGTCGCCTATCGGTGCACATCAGTAAACTGAGGGTTTGACGTCACAACTTGTGTACAAAGATGAGCTGATACAGGAGTTTATCTTTGACAAGTGGCAGTCAAGTTAGTTTAATAGGCTTCTTGTTGCCCAGAAACAAAGACCTAGTCCTGATTCCTGGGAATTAATCTTGTATTTTGCGTATTTCTCCTTTACAGAGCAGGTTTCTTTGGAGTTATTCAAGCAAAATAAGCTTTTTAATGAGCTTATTATCAACTGTAGAACTTTTTATTCTGCATATAACTGCTTAGTTGTCTACTATGCTGAAAGTTCGATTGTTAGTTATGATAAAGTTAAACTCTAAAAGTCCTTTAAATGTGTTTTTCGTTCAAAACTCTTGACCTCGTCCTCCAGATTATCGTCCTACCTGATCCCCTCTTTGAGCCTCTGCCAGATGTTGACATGAGATTTTGTGTAAACGCGTCTTTATCAAGTTTCTATCAATTCCTTTGGATTCATCTCAAGCCTAAACAGGTTTTCTGGGTCAAGTTGTGTAACTTTCACTGAAAGGGGGGAAGGACTGGGTCAACGTTTACAGGTCCAGTCAGAAGCTGGAATCAAGCCTCCGATTCGTAGAGAGACAAATACGAAAATGGACGCCTTTGTCTGGTACATTTAACGTTTTGAGAGGAAGTGGATCTGGACAGACCCAAAAACCTCTGATCTTGTCCGTGTGCCATTCGTCATTTGGCTGGTTATCTATATTGGCCTCATATTTTACAGTTGGCCAATAAAACGAAGCGCACTACTTTGACTCAGCTGTGGCCGGCTCTTTCCCTCCGGGTTTGTTTTCTCGAACGTGTAACTGGTCGATTATTCACACTTGTATTGACATTGTACAACGTCTAACATATGGAAAAACCAGTGACGGCCCACCCTTACTCCGAATTTCTCAGAAACACAGGGGAGTTCATGTCGCTGAAAAGCTGTCGGTCTCACGATGCGAGTGGATTTTACAGTTAGACTCTTTGTCGTACTTGAGCCGGTTGTTCGAGCGCTTGTAAACAACAATGTTTTTGAGTCCCATCCTTAAGGGCATCAGTAGTGAGTATATAGGTACATGTGTTAGCCAGGGATTGACTACTATAGGGTCGATACTGTTTATGAGCCTTAAGCAGAAAACATACAGGATCCGTATTGAGCGTGTTCCGTATTTGCTCTGTAGAGCAGCATTGGGTATCACATACAGGACTGGGTATCGTATTTGGAGCGTGGCGTAGTGTAGCCCCGATCAGAGGTATAGAGCAAACAACATGTTCCCAACAGGTTGTTTTTCCTTTCTTTCAGGTCAATTTCCTGCTAATTTGGATATAATTCAGCGACCGTTGAGCCTCTACTATATGTTAAACAGTAACGTGATTTCACAGTTTCGCTTTTCCCAGGTTTACTCGTGTTTAATAAAGTAAACTATGTTCCTTTATGCTGTTACCTTCAGACAGAGTGAGCAGTTCAAAGTCCTGTTGGGGTCCACATGGATCAGGGATTGACCATCGGATTGTTCTCTCGCATATGGTGTTTTATTTTGAAATACCAGATGACATGCGCATTTTTTGTGCTTGACTTCCTTTCTAGAATGATCTTCTCTGTGTGGATTGACGCGCATTGGAAGTGTAGAGCAGCAAAAAAAGGACTTGTTGCGTATCTTTAGTAGTGCTGCTCTCGATACGATGCTGCGACGGAGCTGGGAACCTATTTGCTGCATGATACGCGACGCTGCCGATACGCACTAAATGTGGATCCTGTATGTTTTAGCCTTTAGAACAAGAATTTATAAAGTTATTATCAGCCATCTGTGAAATAAAAGGCCCGGTCCTGATCATCAGCCTCTGAAACAGACACCTATATAGACCCGATGCTCTGTCCTGCAGCCCTTCTCTGAACCAAAACAGGATATTTCCAGTCCTAAGAGCGCATCTAACAGAGAAAACCCCCGACTGTGAGTGTGAACAGGAGTTTCTCGGAAATATCAAAGCCTGATTTTTTTAAAATACGAATTTGAAAATGTCATGGTTTAGAGTGTGAAAAGGGCACATTTTGTCTCAGTAATCCTCTTACTGCCTTAACTTTGACAAAAATAGCTCCTTGAACACTTGACTTGAAGCAGAATTTTCTTTCTTGTTTACAAAAAAAGACTTTCCTCGAAATGGTTTGTGTGCGCTTACCTTGGTTCGATCCTTGGACCACTTATGTTTCTGATACACAGATGCAAAAATGTGAACTTTACGCCACAGTTCATTCACTTTGTATGTGATGAAGAAAGACTCCTCCTCAGATCGAGGAGGAACAATGCAGTTTTTGTCCCGGTCGCGGAACTACGGATCAACTCTTGACCCTCGCTCAGGTTCTTGAGGGGAGATGGGAGTTTGCCCAACCAGTCCACATGTGTTTTGTGGACTTGGAGAAGGCCTATGACTGTGTCCCCAGGGGAATCCTGTGGAGGGTGCTCCGGGAGTACGGGGTGGAGGGTTTCTTATCAAGGGCCGTCCTGTCTCTTTACCAAAGGAGCACGACCTTGGTCCGTGTAGCCGGCTGTAAGTCGGACTCGTTTCAGTGAGAGGTGGACTCCGCCAGGGCTGCCCTTTGTCACCGGTTCTGTTCAAAACCTTCATGGACAGAATTTCTAGGTGCAGCTGAGGGGTGGAGGGTGTCCAGTTTGGCAGGCAGAGGATCGCATCGCTGCTTTTTGCGGATGATGTGGTTCTTCTAGCTTCGTTGAGTGTGAAGCGGCTGGATTGCGAATCGGCACGTCCAAGTCCGAGGCCATGGTCCTCAGTCGGAAAAAGGTAGATTGCCTTCTCCAGGTCAGAGGGGAGGTCCTAAACCTGAAACATAACAGGTCCGAGGATTGAACCCTGGGGTACCCCATGAATTAGCTTCAGTTTTATTGAGTTTTGCCCATAAACAGACACTGTTTCTGCCATATACGTAATCCTCCAGGTATTTACAAGACTTTAAGGTCACTAGTTACAACTCCAGCTTTACGGGATAAAGATAAAACACGTGTCAGGGGCTCATCAATGGAAGTTTCACCTTTTGAACTAAGTAAAAGGAGGAAAAAAATAAGGTTTTCGGGACATTATCAGTTTTTGAGCCGCACCTGTATGTAAATATTTGTCTCAAACTTGACACATAAGCTCACATATCCCTGCCCAGGTGTCCAAAGAAGCGCTGGCACATTATTAAGACAAAGAAAAATGACATTTAAGTCTGAAAACAACAAACACTGATCCCTCAGGATTTGAATATCTGCAGGGAAACGTCCTCGCTCCGGCTTCACCTGAAACCATTTTGTGGGTTTTATTTGTTTGGGAAATGTAGGCAAATTCCAGGCCAGGAATTTGAGCACATGGTATTAAAACCGCACCAAATGGAGAGAGAGGGGGAGAGAGAGAGAAAGAGGGAGCGAAAGGGAGGGAGGGGTGGTTATTATGAGGAGGGAGAGGGGGTGAGGCTGCCTGTGAGTGGGAGGCAGATATTTGATGCACTACGAGCGGCATGGAGGGTTTTCCTTGGCCTTTAGAAGCAGGGAAAGCAGGTCGAGCGAGGGTGAGGAGAGAGAGAGGAGCGCTGGCTGTGGGTGTGTGTGTGTGTTTAGTGTCAGGGTGCGTGTGTGTGTGTGTGTGTGTGTGTGTGTGTGACGTTGGTTCCTGGAAAAGCAGAGGGCTGCAGAATAAACAGCCTGCATGCCTGAGACTGCCCTGTGATGTCACCGTTGGGCGAGCGAGGGACAAGGGGAGGAGAGAGAGAGAGAGAGAGGAGAGGAGAGAGAGAGAGAGAGAGAGAGAGTGACGCCCATCAGGTTAAACAGGAGGGGGGGATGATGAGGAGGAAGGAGGAGAAGTCAGATGAAGGAGAGAGGCGAGGGGAGCGTGTTGTTTTGCCATCCTTTTTCCCGAAGTGAGGGAGGACGAGGAGGAGAGGGCGCAGAGATACAGACTGAGAGAGGAAGAGGAGGAGAGCACTGATGGGTACGTCTCTCTCTTTTGGTAATTAGCGCTCTGGTTGTGATGGAGACGGCATTCGAGGTGCGTTGGAGCAATGGCGTGCGTCACCATCTATAAGTGAGCGAGGCTATCTGAGACTCGTAGCCTTTAAGGAACATTTTGTACGAGGAAAGTGTGTGTGCAAGCGTTTCTGTGCGCAAGTTATGGATTTGCATTAGGGTAAGATCGGAGACACGAACGCACTTTTCATTTATAGCCGCATCTTCCTCTTCTTCTCGTCTCTGTTGTTGCTAAAACTGCTTGAAATCCACAAAAAGAGGCTTCTTTGCTAACTAGACCGCATGCAAGACTTAATAAGGAGTCCCTGCTACTTTCCACACACTGCCAAGACTTCCATAACAGTCCTGAAGATGTGAAGTCAGGTTCTGAATCTGCAAAGTGACTCACACGAATCCAGGTAGAGTCGTGACAGAACTGCGAGGAGCTTGTTTCTTGAGAGGGGGACCGAAATGTCACCTCGGCGGAGACAACGTTATTCTGGTTTGGAAGCTCTCTGCACAAGATGATTCACGGCTAGTAGGAGATAGTCTGCCTCGTGTCTGCTTTAATCGGCTGCCAAAATCGGCCTGTCGTTGCTTCTTAAAGCTCCTGTGAGGAGTTTTTTTGGACGGTTATGAAACAGACTGAAAGTAACGGTGATGCCTCCTTTATGACCTGCGGTGGCAAGCGAACTCATCCACAGCAAGACCGGCGTTTTCTGCAGTGTAGATCTTAATGCCTGGAACCGCTTTCAGACTCTGTAAGTTTACATGTAGTTTTAAAAAATATCAATTTATCGCCTTAGTCTGACTAAACTTGACTTTTCAAAAACACGGACAAGCTTCTAAATCAAAATTCTCCGAGTCGCGCTAACTCACTTTGATAATGCGGTTGAGGATCGTTATGTAGATGTATCGAACAGTTCGAACACGTCTCAGACAGACGAAGAAAAGATGATTTTCGTACAATTGCATGATCTGTTTGTATGATCTACATTTTAAAATCCCTTTAAAAGCTCATGTATACAACTGTTTGGGTTGTGTCGCATTTGGCGCCCCCTGTGGACAACCTTCATTATTTCATGATTTTATCTTTTAAAAAAAAGCTATTTTTAAACAATTTAGATCTGTGTAAAATGTAAAAGTACAACAAACATGGTAAGAAATAAAAGTTGACAATTTTGCATTCAGGAGATTATTAGACTCTGCTGATGACCACATTTGATAATGCGATAATGTGTTTAAAGATCGTCATGTGGATGCATCAGAGTCGACCACGCTGCTAGGAAGCCAGGTAGTTAGCGAAACTTCGACAGATGAAGAAAAGATGAGTTTCGTACAATAGTTTGATCTGTTTCCTAAATTTTTTAAAATCTCTTAAAAGCTGACGTTTAGAACTCTTTGGGTTGTGTTGAATTTGGCGCCTCCTGTGGACAACCTTTGCTAATTCATTATTTTATTTTCTAATAAAATCTAATTGTTCCATAAAGCAATCAAATCTGTTACAAGTGTAAACGTACCTCCTATTCAGCCTGTTTTACGACCAAATAAAAACTCCTTACTGGAGTCGAATCCGCTGCTAGGAAGCCAGGTAGTTAGCGAAACTTCGACAGATGGAGAAAAGATGAGTTTTGTACAATAGTTTGATTGTTTTCTAATTTTTTTAAAAGCTGATGTATAGAACTGTTTTGGTTGTGTTGAATTTGGCGCCTCCTGTTGACAACCTTTGCTATATCATTGTTTAATTTGTTAACAAAAACCTATTTGTTCTTTTAAGCAATGTAAAATTACCTCCTCTTTGGCCTGTTTTACAACCAAATAAAAAATCCTTACTGGAGCTTTAATGCGTCACCCAAAATATAGATTCGTAAACGGGGAAAAAATCCTCTTGAAAAGAAGGAAAATCATGGTTGTTAGTGAAAAAGTTGACATTCTTCACTCAGGAGATTATTAGACTCTGCTGACGACCACACTGACTCGTGTTGATGTCATCCCCCCGTACAAACGCCAGTCCCTGAGGACCTGAAATGACTTGTTGCTCCGCTCTCCAATCTCATTGATGAGTTAAACCCAAAGGGCGCAAACACTCACATGAGGAAACGTAAATATTCTTCATACGTGGAAAATTCGCTCTTTTACTGAGTCGCCTTTCAGTTGACTTCATTGTTTTTGTTTCTCCTTTTATCAATTTTAAAGTTAACTCACTTATTTACTCCTTCTGCCCTCAATCCATCCATCCAGGGGTCCTGTAAGAACAGATTTGCGGCGAGTGCGCCTCATACTTCAGCACAGATGTCTTTCCTTGTTTTAAACTCCTCTAAAGTGGGCCTGAGTGCTGAGTTTAAAGTATTTATTCACACTTGGATTGAGTAAAAGTGTGACATCCTTGAAATAATCATGATAAATCTCCGCCGCAGCCCCAGAGATTTTCCCCCTGCGAGTGTTTTTGTGCACCTCCGATGTTGTGTTTGCCTCTTTATTAGCTCAAAGTTCCAGGCAAGTATCTCTGGCTGTCGCCGCGCTCTCTGCAAACATGTAGGTAAATAATCGGCCAATCGACTCCTGTTTATTCAGATTTAACGCGGAGGAAGCGGCGTGATTGGAAGGCTTCCTGTGCGGTGATTTGTGTGTGGCTGCAGCAGACCTCGAGCCGGGTCAATGCAGTCTTTGTCGGGGTGTCGGAGGGATTCGTGGGTCGAGCTGTGAGGGGGGGAAAAAGGCATCAGTGTCGCAGCGAGAGTGAAGCTTAATTGATCCTTGAAAGAGGATTCTGCCACTAAAAGGTCAGAGGTCAGGGTTGATGGGCGATCTTTGAAATGGCGGGATGTCAAAATGAAAGACGGTTGCTAAAACAAGGACTTTAAATTGATTACTGTTGACAGGAATTAAATATTTAGACCTTTAGTGAGGCTGCTTCAGTACCAATCAATGCCTCTCAATTACAGCCTCCATCAGGTGGTTTATTATCTCCTCCACGTTGATCTTTATGTTTATCCCCATTTAAAAGACTCCTATCAAGTGTCTGTCACGGTATCATCACGTCAGAAAAACAACAAAAAAGCTGAAAATACTTCTTCAAAGTTGGACTCCCTCTCCAGACCCTGTCACTCTCCAGAATTGATATCGACGGTGATGCCAGGTGGCGTTCGATGCCAGCGTTTATTCTGCATCCTTGAGCAGGTAGACGCATTAAATGACATCTCGCCGAGCTTTGAAGTAATCCCTTTCAGCTGTTTCTCCGCCGCTCCGCTCCTGACTAACAACTCCAACAGTTTCAGGCTTTGTAAGGACGCCCGTGACGCACAGGAGCTTCTTAGTCATTTGTAACTTTCGCAGCATGTTTTGGTTTCGTTGCCTTGAAATAATCATCAAAAGTTCCACCGCTCTTCAGTGTGAGAGTTTTCCTGTAAGAACCGTCGGTCTGTGATTTGTCCGGGAGTGTTTAGAAAGTGGATTTAGAGACAAACTCAGTTTTTCTGTTTCCTGGACTGAACCCTGATAAGAGTCTGACTAGTATGTGGTTTATCAAACTGATGCTGTTTTCAGGACAGCTCATAAAGTCAGCCGATGTTCTCCATCTCTTCTTCTCAGGCTTCTTTATTTTCTGATATCCTTATCATCTTTCTTTGTCTTTTCTTCCTTTCTATCAAACAGTTTTTAGTCATTTTCTTTCTTTCTTTCTCTGTATTTTTTCTTTTTCTGTCTTTTTTTTGGTATTTTTTTTCCTTTCATTTACATATTTTGTTGCTTTTTTCTATTCTTTTTCAATTCTTTAAATTCTTTTACCTTCTTTCTCTTTCCTGACTTCAGTTCTTTCTTTCTTTCTTTCTTTCTTTTCTTACTTCAGTTCTTTCCTTTTCTTTCTTCCTTTTGTATTTTTTCTTTTTCTGTCTTTCATTTACTCAATTTTATCATGTCTTTTTTTCAAACTCATTTCTCTTTATTTATTTTTGTTTTTTTCCCCTTTAATTTATATATTTTGTTGCTTTTTTCAATTCATTTTCAAGTATTTTAATTCTTTGTTACTTTCTTTCTTTCCTTATTCTGTTCTTTCTTTTTCTTTCTTTTTTCCTTTTTTCTTTCTTTTTCTGTCTTTCATTTACTCCTTTTTATCATGTCTTTTTTCTAAGTCTTTTTTGTTCTTTTTTGTTCCTCTTATTTACATGTTTTGTTGCTTTTTTCAAATCTTTTCAAACTCTTTTAATTCTTTGTTACCTTCTTTCTTTCCTTACTTCAGTTCTTTCTTTCTTTCTTTCTTTCTTTCTTTCTTTCTTTTGTATTTTTTCTTTTTCTGTGTTTCATTTACCAAGTTTTATCATGTCTTTTTTCCAACTCCTTTTTATGTCTTTTTTTCCTTTCACTTACGTATTTTGTTCCTTTTTTCAATCCTTTTAATTCTTTGTGACTTTATTTCTTTCCTTACTCTTAATCTTTCTGTCTTTCTTTCTGTCCTTCTTATACATATTTAGACAAATCGTATTAAAACATATAATAAAACACAGAAACTTGAAGTGATGTATTGTAATTTGCCGATATGGCCGATACTACCTGATATCGGACTATAATTCAGAGTTATTAGCAAAAAAGGCACAAGTATCATCCACAAGTGTCTCACATTGACTTTGACATATCTTTATTTTCAAGTCAATAAGTTTTCATATTTGTTAATGTCAGGAAACATCGGCACCAATATCAGTATATCCTGATAGGCCCATATTGGCCTGACTGAAATATTAGTTACGCTAGAATTAAAAGGAACTGCTAGTCGCACACAGACATCACTATCAACAAAGAAACAGATCAGCAAATACTGATATAAAGTGGTGGTCCTAAATCGGTATAAGCCGATAATAGTACCCACTGTTATATCTGTCAAATTGGGATTGAAACAGGTGTAAAATGGACACATATATTATCCTCAGCTCTGCTCTAACACGTCCATCTCCGTCTCTTCCAGTGGACATCAACTCAGCCCTGCCCCTGCGTCTCCCTCCAGCTGCCATCCCCATGGACCTGCGTGTGGACCATCACCAGCAGCAGCAGCAGCTTTCCCCGCCCGGCCAGCAGTCCTCCGGCTCGCTGGGAGGATCGGGCGGCGGGGGCGTGGTGGGGGCCTCTGTACGCGAGCAGCAGCTGCAGCAGGAGCTGCTGACCCTGAAGCAGAAGCAGCAGATCCAGAGGCAGATCCTCATCGCAGAGTTTCAGCGGCAGCACGAGCAGCTGTCCCGCCAACATGAGGCGCAGCTCCAGGAACACATTAAGGTAAGAAGTTTAACATTTTACAGGCAGTGCTTTGTGGACTGGAAGTGCTCTGAAATCTGGCTGATTTGGTACCATCTTAAAAGTTAAGGAATCAGAGCATCATTATGTATTTTGTGAAAACAGTGGCGCTACATTTAGTGAAATAACTCGTGAAAAAAGCGAGTAACCAGTAGAAGTAGGTGGCGCACTAGCAGGCTGATTTATTGTTGTCAGAAGTTACTGTTGGATGAGCTCAACTGGCTCACAGAACTACATATGCAGAAGAAAGAGCTACGCAGCCGCACGAAAATTGAACATTGCTGACCCTTAATTAAGTCTCATGTAGCTGTAGTTACTAATTAGTTTGAGATTGAACATTTTTAATAGTTTTGAGTAGGGCCCGTCCGATATGGAATTTTTGGGGCCGATGCCGATTGTTAGGGGGGAAAAAAATCTGAATACCGATTATTCTGCTGATTTTTTACATTTTTTATAAAGTTATAAAAAATACATATATACTGTAGATATCTATAGATATACTATGGGCTACTGCTCTTCACGCCGACAGGAAGACCGAATAGGACCGGAAAAAGAATTTTCAACTACCCCACCACCACCCCCAACTGCTGCCGATTCTACTGTTACTGGCACGGCTAACAGTAGAGGGCTAACTCTAACTTTAGCATGCATATTACATGGTGCTTCACCGTTAACTCGGCGTGACCGAGACCAGCACAGCGGAGAACATGGTGAAGTGGGTTGAACTGAAACTTGTTGACTTATTGTGTATTTCACAAACTGGTTTATTTCCCGTTGAGGCGGACCACTCTCCTCTGTGCGTCCCTGAGCTGCCTGCTTCAGATCCGTCTCTCTGCTGTGCTGTGAGGTAGTTAGTGGATGAAGATTGTCATGAGGTTGCTGCGCCATCTACAGGACAAGTTGGCGAACTTTTCAAATGGCGTAACATTTTCAAAGTGAAACCGAATCTTATTCTTCACATTTTATTTCTGAAAATAGTGAAAATTGGCGAGTTTTGGCCGATAACTGATTAGTCTCCAACGGGCTAAAATTGGCCAATTTAATCGTCTCGCCGATAAATCGGTCGGGCCCTAGCTTTGAGCCTTACTCGCTTCATATATTGGTACCATTGTGTGTCAACATATCCTGTTTTTTTATCAAGTGCAATTCAATTGGAAAATATTGGCTGCTTTCGCCGGTGTTTGTTGGATGTTTGGGGTCTTGTGCATCTTTTAGTAAGGCACTTTTTTAGATGCTAAAATAAGTTGGTTGTACTGTTGCATCAACTACGCTAATTGATATAATTGATTTATTGCCCGGCCCTACATGTATTAAAATAAACTGGGCCCTCTTTGCTGGTTTCCCTTACATGCAACTTTATTCTGAGTTACATCACGGGAGATATTTCTTCCTCAGTCATCACAGCACCTGAAATGTTAAAGGAAAAGTGTAACACCTTTTCTCCATCACCCCACTTACACCATCTGTTTCTAACCTGCGCATGTTTTTAATGAGGAGAAGCCTTTTCAGCTTAACATCTTTTTAGCCAGACTGTCTAAATATGTGAGATGTGAGACATGATTCAGAGCCAAAATCCTCTTTAAATAAATATATATATATGAGCCTTTAGTTTTAAGTTTTACTCTGCTTAATTTTTCCCTTTTGAAACTTACTTAAAAAGCACATGTCCTTGTCGAAGAGAAAACAGCACCATCAATCAGCAGCGATGTAAACAAATAGAAAATAAAGCCCCGCTGAGTCGTTACTCAAGTCCAAATCCGAGAGGCAACAATCCAAAATCAAAGCGTCTGTTTAATAAAACTTAGTGAAAGGAAGCAGAGGCAGCTCTTCATTTAGTCTGCCACAGTTCTTCATTAAGAGACTGCAGCAGCTCTGTCCGCTTTAAAGCACTCTGCTGCGAGGAAAGAGGGAGTGCACAACGAGAAGGCACTCTGGATTCATTTGCTTCAACTTCAGGGACGGGGGGGGAGCAGAGATGGAGGGATGTGCTCGGGATTCAGACAGACTGATGTAGCTCTGGTGGCGTGTTACATAACCGAACCCTCCTGCTCCAGTCGAGTTACCGCCTCAGTGTCAATACAAGCGTCTAATATTACAGATCAGATCCAAACATGGAGGTAATTCTAGCAGATATCTCTTTACATGTACAGCAGAGTAGGACATATAAGAGACCGAGAGTTGATATTATAGTGACCTGGATATACAGCGTGAATCTAGATCAACACGCCCACACTCCGAAGCTGTAATACACCAGGGCCCCTCGAACGCACCACAAAGCTCCTGCATGGCTGAAATGTCACATAAAAATATCCTGTTTGCTCTTTTTTTTTTTTTTCAGAGTATTAAACCGTAACACGGATTGTGATTCGCACACGCGGCTGAGCGACTTTATTTTTTCAGGACTCAGAATGAAAAAGTCTAAAAATGGATTGTGGGGGCAGGAGATTAGATAGCAGCCAGCAGGATTACATTAGTTTGAATGTAAGGATTTTAATTCCTCACGTGTGACTCTCTCTCACTCTTTTATTCCTTTTTTTCGTCTCTTGTCTTTCTGTTTTCCTTCCTCTTTTTTCTAAACTGTCCTCCTGACACTTTCCTACTTCCTCTTTCAGTCTTTCTTGCCCTGTTTTCTTTCAGTTTCTGTTTTATTTTTATTTTTTTATTTTACTTTCTTTTTATTCTTGACTATTTGTTTAATTTTATTTTTTTCTTTCTATACCTTCTCCTGTCCTTTCGTCTCATTTCCACCTACATCGATTTTCTTTATATAAAATTATTTTTTCCTCTTTTTTTCTTTTTCAAAAAATTCCTTTTTTCTTTATTTTTTTTACCTTTTTTTTTTTTTGTTTTTTTTCTTTTTTGGTTTTTCTTTTTTTTTCTTTTTTTTCTTGACTTTTTGTTTAATTTCATTTTTTTCTGTCTTTACCACCTCCCGTCTATCTTCCTGTCCTTTTGTCTCATTTTCCATCAACATTCAGTTTTATTATTTTCCTTTTTTTTCGTTTTCAATAATTTCCTTTTCTTCTATTTTTGTTTTTTTCTCACAATTTTTCTTTTTCTTTTTTTTCTTCATTTTTTGTTTTTCTGTCTTTTCTTTTTTTTCTTGACTTTTTGTTTACTTTAATTTTTTCTTTATTTTTTTCTACCTCCTCCTGTCTATCTTCCTATTCTTTTGTCTCATCTTCCATCTACATTCAGTTTTCTTTTGTTAAATTCTTTTTTCCTGTTTTCATTTTCAATAATTTCCTTTTTTCTTTTTTTTTCTTTCTTTTTTTTTTACCTTTTTTCTTTCTTTTCTTTTCTCTTTATTCCTGACTTTTTGTTTACTTTCATTTTTCTTTCTATACCTCTTTTTTATCGTTTTCATTTCTTTCCTTTCTTCCTTTTTTGTTTTTCTGTCTTTTTTCTTCTTTACTTTTTTGTTTCCTTTCCATTTCTTTCTGTCGGTCCTTTTCCCCCTTTTTTTCTTCACTTTTCTTCTGATTTCATTTTTATTATCCCTTCACTTTGTCACAGTTAATTTCCTCTCTTGCAGATTTTTCTCCTTCATTCTTCTTTCCTTTCATCAGTTTGTTCTTTTCTTCCTTTCTCACCTGTCACCTGTGTCTTCATTTCTTTTACTTTCTGTCTCTTTCTTTTCTTTATTAGTCTGTCTTCCACTTTTCTTTTTTCTAACATCCTTCTCTCCTCTGTGGTTCTTCTTCTTCGTCTTCCTCTTCATGCTGTTCCTCCATTTGTCCTCCTTACCTGCGTTTTTTAAGTGTCCTTTCCTTTCTCCCTTTCTCCTTGTTTCTTTCCCTCCTCTTTTTTTTCCCTCCTCTCCCTCTTTATTATTTTGTCTCTCTCTCTCTTCAACATCATCTGCCCTTCATAACAAACGTCCTAGCCCTCTGTGTCTCCTCTCTGATTGGTCGATATTTGTTGCCATGTGATGACTGATGCTGTCTGAGGGCCCGTCTGGCCTGTGGGGGGGCTGCAGGACCACTCAGGTGGAAATGTGTGACGCACAGCCCGAGTGGGGAGGCCCGGCCTCAATCAGCCCCATTCACAGCTTCTCTACACACACACACGCACACACACACTCGAGCATTAAAACCTACACATCCTCTCAAATGTCAGCAAACACACTCTCACATCCTCGCCCACCTCGCTCCCACATTAACACAGAAACAAATACACGCTTCACCGTCTGCACACACACACATACACACACACACAGTTCTCTCATGCTGACAACAGGAAAGTCTCCTAAAGTGAGAACTAACCTGAACTCTCACAGCGTTCCTCGAAAAAAGGTGCAAAGAAAAGGAAATTCAGCGCGTACATCTCTGGTTTGCCGAGCCACACGGGGGTTCGCTGTGTGTTTTTGTGTGTGCATATGTGGGTGGGGTGGTTACTCTGAGCTTCCCACCCACTCAATCCCTCATCCCCGATGTTGAATGAAAGGCGGAAAGTGATGCAGGATACAGGGATGGACTTGGGCCTTTCACACACAAGCTGAAATCTTCCACCTTTTTGCTCTGAACTCTAAATCTCTATAACTTCAGGTCAGTTTGATTCAAGTTTCCATTAAAGGCGTGGTTGACGGTTTGAGAAGCAGTTGAAAAAAACTGAGTCGTTGAGGCAGATTTGAAAAAGCGTCTCACTCCCCACACACAAACCTCTCCCCCTGAACCTGTATCACCCTCCCCATGACACAACCCCTCTGGCAGAGCAAGAAGCCGACCAGCAGAAGATCCTACGCTAGCTTCAAATAGGATTCACCATGTCGGATTTCTAGCGACTAGCGGCAGAAAACTCCAGCTCTGCTAGCGGGCGCCGTCTGCAGCTGCCTGGACAGCTAACGTGTTGACATTGCAGCGACTAGTAAGAGTTATTTATGTAACATGTGACACGATAAAAGGCGATAAAAATTACCTTTTTAACAAAAACTCTGCTGTCTCAGCGTCTGTTTTCAGGCCCAAATCCTGGTGGAGCTTTCTCCACCGCTCGAAGGATGACCCGATGTTTATTCCAGTTAGATTCCTTTCTCCTGTCAGCTTGCGTTTCCTTCCCACTTTTGGCGTTGGAGCAAACAGAAGGGTTTTTTTGTGTCCTTCCCTATCACAGCTCCTGTAGCTAAGCTGCTTCGCTACTTTTAGCCGCTCGGAGCTCTGAGGATGGCCGGGAGAGTGGGAGGGGACGAGTCGGAACTACAGGAGAGGGGTGTGTCGAATTCAGCGAGGTGATTGGATGGAGAGGCGGCGCAGGAGATTGATCAATAGGAGCTGTCCGCGATTTTTTTTTTGTAGGATGGTAGCGAAAGGTCCCGCCCTCCTTCGCCTGTGATTGGCTAGAAGTGCTGGGCTCCGATTGGTGATTCCTAATGTCTGTGAAACGTCATCGTCTGTCGGGTTAGGAGATTCAGAAGTGCGATAATGTTCTGTTCGATGTACAGAGCCGACAGCCCGCGTTTGGCTTTAGCTTGTAATGACGTTTCCAGCTTTTCTAGCCAGTCAGAGGTGAAGGAGGCGGGACTTTACCCTAACGTCCTACAAAAAAAATACGAGACATTTTTTCCATTCTTCTTTCTCTCGTAACTTTGTGGAGATCGCACTATAGGACCATGATCGCCATATAAATGAGGTTCATAATAATTACCAATCTCTCCAATCGTCGACCATGCCTTCAGCTGTTACAAAGCAGGGTAGCCCTTCTCTCCCATTGAAAGATTGCGCACATGCAGCGCTCTGCAAAGATGGTAAATGCAAAGACAGCGATTTCAGCTGCAGTCATGGCTTGTTTATGCAGTTGGGTTGTCTCCCAGTTGTAGATTTACAAACGTTTTTTTTTTTTTTGCTTTACTGTAGCCGAAATCCTCCACAAACACATTGTCATATTTCAGGAGCATTAACGGATGTTTGGGGCTTTAGATTTTGGAGCTTTAGGTTCAAGGAGAGGAAGCTTTGAAGGATTTGTGTGAATTTTTAAGCCTTTAATTGGCGCCTACATCTCCAGTGACTCTCCCGACTTCCTGAGCTGGTCGGAGGACTCTTGAGGTGTTTCTAAGAAAATTCTGCCTTTATCGGAGCGTTGTTTTGACTTCCTGTTACAGAACAAACTGTCTAGTTTGTTCTTTCAACATATAAGCTCAAGGAGGACTTGTTTTCACATCTGAGGCGATTAACAGATGTTCCTCTCCCGCCTTTCTAGAGAAATGAGGAGGAGAGCAGATTGTATTATGTGTCTTTATGAAGCCTCATCTGCAGTTAATTTGTTTATGTTTATTTAAAGGCTGAAGCTTGTGGCCTGAGGTTTTTAGAGGCTTGCAAAGGTTTTATTTTATTGCTTCAAACAGATGTCTTTATTGATTATTTCAGTCGGCAAATTAGGCAGAAGAGGCGAGGAATGCGAATAGATCTGTGAATGAGAAACCTTTGTTATCAAAGCAGGTTGGAGACTTCTTACCATTTTCACTCACACATTCCTGTTTCGCCCTGCAGCAGCAACAGGAGCTCCTGGCGCTGAAGCACCAGCAGGAGCTGCTGGAGCACCAGAGGAAGATGGAGAACCACCGTCTGGAGCAGGAGCTGGAGAAGCAGCAGAGGGAGCAGAAGCTGCAGCTGCTGAAGAACAAGGAGCGAGGACAGGAGAGTAAGTTACAGATGCGAAACCTGTGGCTTCAGATGACTCACGCGTCACTCACAAAGCGTAGATCTGACAAGCTAGCGTATCCCTCAGCGTAGATAAATCACACCAGAGCACAGACAAGAGCGAGTTCTCCTGGAGGTCTCGCCATTTTTTCTTACACCATCAATGACGGCATGTTTAGTCTCCTGGTTTTCTTGACAATCAGACTTTGTCGGGAACATCAGCAGGGGGTCTGACCTGCTTTATAAGAACATTTCATTTGAAATGCACCAAAGTTAAAAGAAGCTTTGAGATCAGTGTATGTCTCTTTGTGTGTCTGTGTGTGTGTGTGTGTGTGTGTGTTTCCATTTTACTTGGAGAACCGGTGTATTCACGGCGGTAAACGAGCTGTATTAGCCGGTGGCCTTGGCGCAGGGGTATGAGCCGAGCTATTACCGCTGCCTGCTGGATGTCTCTCAACAGTTCATTGAAAGCCAGTGGACAGGAGTCCTTGAGAGCAGTTTACACACACTGTATGGAAAGTGGTTACAGAGCGAGGCTGCATCTGTGCCAGTCAAGTGTGTGTGTGTGTGTGTGTGTTTAAGAGACAGATCAGGGTTGCTCGGCGTGTTTGCTCTCACGTGTACCTGCGCAAGTGTGGTTTGTGGTTAATTTTCTCGGCGTTTTGCATCGTTTTTACGTCTTTTTCCTGCATTCTCGTTTCAAACTTCACATAAATAATTCATTATTGGATCAGGAACCAACTGCTGCCTCTAGTTATTAAGTTTCCCTTTTAGTCTGCAGAGGATTTCCCCAACCGATTGATTAACTCCTTGGTGTCCAAACAAAGCGGGACGGATTAAAGTCCGTATTCAAAGCTTTTAAAGATCTTATTTGGTCCACTTAAGCTTAGATGAAGCATAAAGGGTAAATGCTAATATTTTCTGCCATACCTACCTGATTCAGTGCCACCCCAGTCAAAAAATCTAGGTATGCCCCTGCATAGTCAAACAGGGATTGATGTTTCAGTCTTCAACAGGTGAATCACGGTGAAATGTTGGTAAATTTCAATCACACCAAGAGACAGAAGGATCAGGTAGATCGCTGATTGTGCTGACTTTATAGATGGAAATAAAAATTGAAACAACAAGTGTCTGTTTCCCATCAATCACAGGATATCATGTGGAAGAAGTAGTCAAATCTAGAAGAAATAAATGCATGGATGACTTTTTAATGTTGGCAGGAGAAAGAGAAGATCTAGTTTTAGCTAACCGTCTTAACTGAGCATGACAGCAAAACTCTGATCACATGGGCTTTTTTTCTGGACAGGACAGGACATAATATAAGAAACACATGAGCGGTACCAGGTTTTAATGTGACATACAGCTGTGTGTCATCTGCATAGCAGGGAAAGTCTAAACTTCCCCTTTTGCAGGATTTGCATGTAAGCAGTGAATAAAAGGGGACCCAGGATAGACCCCTGGGGGACTCCACCAGATGATCATCACTAAGTTGTTCAACTTGTTAGACAAAGCAAAACTTTAAAGCAGCAAGCATCTGTTATTCCAGAGACAGATTTTTGTAATTACTCGCCTCTGCTCGAAGATTATAGTATAATTTAGCACACAAAGGAAGGGCATCCTGGTGGGTTTAAGATGCTTTAAATGTAGACGCTAAGTCATTAAAAACATCTTAAAACTTGCTTCACTTCTTACTTCATCTCCATCTTTAGGTGCCGTGGCGAGTACTGAGGTGAAGATGCGGCTCCAGGAGTTCGTCCTGAACAAGAAGAAGGCGCTCGCCCAGCGCAGCCTCAACCAAGGAGGCCTCCCTAACGACGCTCCGTACTGGTACCGGTGAGGAAACAGCAACTGGCATTTGGATGCAACTTTGCACTCGCTGACAGGTTTTTGCATCATAAAGAAAAGGAAAGATTTTGTTGCAGATATGCGAACCCCAATCTTATGTAATGATTGTAAGCAGCAGAATACAGTCGCAGCTCCCCGCAGATGCTCATGAGTTCGGACTGTAATTTTCTTTCTCTGACAGCAGATGAATAATGTATTAGTTTGTGTCTCAATCTGTCACCGAGCTTCCTCTCTTCCTCACCTGCCACACTGTATGAGCCTGACTGAGCGACGGACCCGTCAGGGTTATAAAACAAAGCCGGGGAATACACCTGCACACTCACACTCGCATGCATGTGAGAGCAGGATATTGCAACCCGATGATAGGGGCTCTCACACCACAGACTCGACCTTGAATGTTTATTGTAGCATCTCAGGTGCCTTTTTTTTTTTTTTTTTTTTTGCAGGTGTGCACAGTGTACACTTTGCATGACTGGCAAACTACAGCAGTTAATATGCAAATAAAATGTGTCAGTCAAATTTGTGTCAGTAATATGATCATCAGAATCTGATAAGTCTCAAAATAAAGACACCTGGATTTCAGGGTGGGAGAAAAAAATTGATAAAGCACGGTATCACAATATTTTGTTTGGTGATGTATCGTATCGTCTCATTGACCAAGTGTCGATTTTTTTCAAATTAATTGTTAATATGGAGTCAAATGTATGATAATGGAAAAATAAAATAAACTGTTTGTCCGGTGAGGTTGGCAGAGGACACATCATAGAGCAGAGAAAGTCAGAGCTACAAATATTCATAAGGTTTACAAGATGTGCTACATGAAAATAAAATACTGTGTAAATAAGACAAACATAAAGGAAAGACAAACGCTAAATTAGCTAAACAATAGAAAAAAAAGACATAAATTGCGATATATTGTATTGCAATACTCACTGTATTACAGAATATTAAAAATCACAATAATATCATGTTGTGTCCCAAGTATCGCAGTAATAACCTATCATGGCCCAAGTATCACAATGTAAAATTTGTGCTACATGAAAATAAAATACTGTGTAAATAAGACAATCATAAAGGAAAGACAAATGCTAAATTAGCTAAACAGTTTATATATTGTCTTGCAATACCCACTGCATTGCAAAATGTTACAAATCGCAATAATCTCATGTCGTTGCCCAAGTATCATGATAATATCATGTCTTTGCCCAAGGACTGCAAAAATATTGTATTGTGGCCCAAGCATCGCAATAACAACATATCGTGGCCCAAGTATTGCAATAATATTGTATCGTGACCCAAGTATCGCAATACTATCGTATCATGGCCCAAATATCATGATAATATCGTGCCGTTGCCCAAGGACTGCAAAAATATTGTATTGTGGCCCAAGTATCGGGATAATATCGTATCGTGTCCCAAGTATCGCAATGATATTGTATCGTGACCCAAGTGTCGTGATAATATCGTATCGTGGCCCAAGTATTGTGGCCCAAGTATTGCAATAATACCATATCGTGGCCCAAGTATTGTGATAATATCATATCATGGGGCCACTAGTGATTCCCACCCCTACCTGGATTAGATCGTCTGTTGTTACCTCTTAATGTATTTACACTTCCTTTGGCACGTCCCACCTGTTGATGCAGATTAGGAAGTTTATTTTGCACTATAAAAGCTCTTAAACCCTCAAATGCAAATACACAACATTACATAATGTTAATGTGTAATAAAACCACCCACAGGACTTTCTACAGCTCAGACTCTCTTCCTGGCTGCACTCCTCAACACCCCTCGCTCCTAGATGTAAATGTTCTCCTCTCGTTGGACTGAGTGTTTCCATCCACTAGTTAGAAACATGCCTTTGGTCCGGCGCCAGCTGAGCTTAACTTTGCCTGCAAACTCCACCTTATTCTGTAGGCAGTGAGCAGATGGCAGCACATGTCTGCAGGTCTTGCCAAGGGATTTAAAAGATGTGTTAATCATACAGATATCTGACAGCCATGAAGTTAGTTACACTGTGAGGATTACTCTTTCAGTCACTCGTTTTGTCGCCCTTGTTAGCATAACGCTGTTATCTTTGTGTGTTTTTGTTCCACAGCAAAACCCAGCACAGCTCTCTGGACCAGAGCTCGCCTCCACAGACTGGCGTGTCCACCTACAACCACCCTGTGCTGGGTGTCTACAACCCCCGTGATGACTTCCCACTGCGAAAAACTGGTACATCGCACACGCATACACACTTACACATGAGTTTTGGCATCGCAGAGCCGTCTGTTTGCTTCAAAATCACACATTAAACAGCGACTCTTTCGCCCAATTCGCCCGTATGCAGCCTCACGTCCAGCATAATTTAGATCAGGCATCAGGGCCCTGCACCATTAATCACATCCACATTAGGCTGTCAGGGTCTCCCAGCATCCCCCACATGAGAGTCTTTGAGAGAGTAGAAGCGTAGGTGGTTCAAGAGTTCAATAGAGGGAGAGTTCAATAGAGTGAGAGAGGTTTTTACTCTTTTAGAAGCTGACATTTCATTGGGTTTTTAAGAGTTCTTTATCTTGGGGGTTGTTTTAAATCAAACACTGTCGGGCAAAGTCTTAACAAGCTTGATCTCCACCCTGACGGCAATCACAGCTACACATTTAAATCAAAATTTATGTCACCGGCTGAGAGGTTTTACACCTTTTTTTTTCCAAAGCCCTTTAAGTTTGAAGCAGATAAAAGCTGTAGGTGTTTTTCAGGCTCTTATTTTCTGTGATGATTGCTCATTAAAACCTGCTTCCTCTCTTGGATACTATTTTAGGAGGTTTTCATCTGGGACTGTCTTCTCTAGTAATGCAACAATTACTTTTGGGGTTCCCCAGGGCTCTATTCTTGGTCCTTTATTGTTTTCTGCCCGTTTAATAGCTCTGGGTCAGGTAATTCACAACTGCGATATTTCTTTACTCTGTTAAGCCCATAAAGCTCGCACATTAAAACCCATCAGACCACTTCTCTGTCGACTCGAAGGCTGGAGGAGTCCAAATTTTGGATGCTGGTGAAAACCTCTGAGCTTCTTCGAGGTTTTAGATTTTTCTGCAGTCAGTTTAGTAAATGTTTGCCTCATAGCAGTTGAAGTATGGAGAGGTTAGGGCTGGGTGATAAACCAAAAATTTACCAAAACTGAAATTTAGGACCATAACCGACGTCATTTTTAGGGCTGCAACTAACAATTATTTTGATAATCGATTAATCTGCCGACTATTTTAATAACTAATCGATTAATCGGATAAACAGGCTAAATTCATCAATGCAGCTGTTAATAGCAATAGCATAGGGCTTTAGTTTATCATATGAGTTTATCTGCCATGAGGTGTTGAGGTCTCTGCATGTGTCGGTTACTGACTTACTGTAATCATCGGGTCTTTCTCGTCCTTATAAAAACCTGCTCTATTTCGGCGAGTGTCTGTCTTCTTCTGTAGTCAAACCGCAAGATATCAAAAGCTACCCGGATACAGCAATGCTGCTTTTTGATTGGCTGTTCAGTAGATATACTTTATTTGATTGGCTTGTGCGTGGCACGCAGCTTCTGAACTCTCGGAGGAACTCAGTTGATTTCCCCCAGTTCCAAAGTTGAAGAAGTGCAACTTGGTGGACATCACCGTGTTCATTTAAATGCGTGAGAAATACAATGTGTGGTGTGTGAGCGTGTGAACGAGTGGGAATGCGTGTGTCATACGCTGAATGCGTGAGACTTGAGAGCCCTGTGCTCACGCATCATCGATGTACTCCCGAGCCATGCAAAACGGTCTTTGCAAATGTTGCACCGAACGCCTTCCTTTTCAGTCTTGGTGAAGTTTTCCCACACCACTGATGTTTTAGGTCGGGATTTGGGTTGGGTTGTGTCCATGTTTTTCTCAGCCGCTGCCTCGGCCATGGCTGTTTCTTTTCTGTGCGTCCTGCTGATGTTTACACGCCGGTGTCCATGGACATATATAAAGACCCGACGAATCGATTACAGAATTAGTTGGCAACGAATTTTTTCGTCACGACGAATCGACTTAATCGATTCATTGTTACAGCCTTAGTCATTTTGCCCATGCCATGTCGGTTTGGTGTCAAAAAATACATAAATAAAAGTTGGTTTTGGATGTGTGAAGGTAGGCTATGGTCTCATGTCCCTTTAGACGTGACTCCACCCCATCCAGTCTGTAACAAAGGACGGTGGAGGACGGTTCAAAAGTTGTAGCAGCTGAAGTAGACAGAGTTAATGTGGGAGGGGGTGAGCAGCTTGTGGAGGAGTTATCGTCCATTTATCGTTATCGAGGTGAGCTGGTCAATATATTGTGATATTGATTTTAGGCCATATCGCCCAGCCCTAGTAGAGATTAATCTCTGCGATTTGAGGTTCAACGATGTCATTTCTGATTGTTTTGTGTAGCAGGAAGTTGAGCTTGTGAGTAGATGGCGAACATGAGAAACAGAGCGTCGTTAAAGTGTGATTCAATTCAGCTTCGCTTTCACTTTTACTGTTATATTACTCTCATTTATCTTAATAGTGGAGGTGCGATTGATCTCAGAAGATAAGTGCTGTTTTTAAACGCAGGCTGTTGACCCTTGACCCCAATAAAAAGTGCGGTAAACGCTTTTAAACTTGAAACTCAAGAGCTGATCGACTGAAACCTACGATCCAACATTTCCAGGCTTCTCCTCTCAAAGCACAGAAGCCTCCGCAGAGCAAAAGCAGCTGTTTGCACTCGCTTTTTTGTCAGTTGTGTGTCTGTGTACAGCTCGGTATGTGTGTGCAAAGTGCCCGGCGGTGTGTGCGGCGGTGTAGCTGTGAAGCAGCGGTCGTCTTACAGTGCAATTATTCACTTAGCGCGGCGGCAGGAGGCTACGGCCAGCGCTGCAGCCCTGTTGACTCTGAGCCTCGGGGCTGCTGGCTACAACAGCAGAGAGACCACAGTTGACACTGGCCCACACAGCCACATTCCTCCCTGCGAGAGAAGAAACAGAGGAGAGGAGGAAGAGGAGAGAGCAGGAAGCATGGAAGATGGAGGAGGAGCGGTGATCAGAAAGACGCCGACCTCGAGACGTTATTTTTCCTGGAAAGCGAACCACTGAGGCGAAGGATGAAGGGAATGATATCGTTTAAAGACAGGGCAGGAGAGGATGATAAGACAGAGCATGGAAGCTGACATCGAGATGGCGAAGATGGCGAGGAGTCGAAAGATCATCCCTGGAGCGTTCTTTGATTTCTATAAGGCGAAGGATTGTGCTCAGCTGCCGGAGAAGAGAGGAGAGGACCTGTGCCACCCTGATATTTGCCCACAGCGATGACGTGTTTCGGGGGGTTTACTTATGGTAATGGCAGCTCTGGGAGGTTAGAGGCTCTTTTATTTCACCGCCTGGCCATAAAGTAGAGGACTGGCACCCCTGGCTCCCGGCGACAGTCGAAAGCAGGAACAGCGCTCTTTTGTACGAGTACGACTAAAAACTTTATCGTAGAAAATAGTCGCGTGACGTCTGAGTCTGGGCCAAAGCTTCTAAAGTCATGAGCTCGTCTTGCATTTGGCGCAGTTGAGGGATGAGAGCGTCACATGAACTTCCAAACGCCTGTGCTCACTTTCACATGAATGCCTCAGACTGGGTGGGAAAGTTGGAGGCACCCCGACTCATTGTGCCCGTTTGATCGGCGCAGAGGAAGGCATGCCGGTCCTGTCTTTTCACTGGTGGAGGTTTTTTTTCTTTTTTCCTCCACAGCCTAACTGGGGCAGCCCATCCTTCACATGAGTACACTAGCACAAACGCTGACTGCTACTGTATGGAGCATGGCGTCGTCTGAAGAGGAGACCGAATAGCTCTCCCATTATCACAACGCAACAAACAGCAGTCTGAATGTAGGATGTCACCCGCTGAATACACAGCCTTTCACCTCTGCAGTGAGGCCCATTCTAACCGGGTGACAATGCTTCATCTGTGTATTGATATCATGCGTGAGCGCCTATACGCGCAAGCTCCCCCAGTGCCTCTCGTTTGTGAGTATCACCTCATTTCTCGGTCGTATCTTTGTTGAAACCTCTACACTAAGAGAGTTCATGTGGCTGATGACGGTCTTTTTAACTCTTCGAACAGATGTTGTTCTCAGATCCATGGCGATCAAAACCAGTTCCTTTTTCTGAGTAACTTCCTACTGAAAGTGAAACTGAGACCAGATGAGTCGTCGCTACTCTAGAGGATGTAATGAAACAAGAAACGGAGGAAAGAGGAAGAACTTTGAGTGAATCTCAGGACTGTAGATTAACTTTTTTTGGGTGTTATACTTCTGAGTAACTTCCTACCAGTGGCGATTGCTCTAAGACTGCAAGGGAAGCTCGGCTTCCCTTAAAATGTCACCCCCCCAAAAAAAAGAAAAAGTGGTGAAATACGTACGGCTGTGTGTACATTTCATTATCATCTCATCTTTTGTTCAGACACTGTGATAAGAAGCTGATAATTATAGGTAACCAGCATAACTTTGTTCTCATTCATCCTTGCAGCGCCTCAGCGCTTCAAACAGTCGGACGCTGGGCTTCTGCTGACTTCAATGTGGAAGCTTAAAGTGGGTTGTTCCAGCAGCGAAACTAGACGCTCATTGGATAAATGCTGGGCTTTGTCCCGCCCAATGGAAGCTAAGCTTCACTGGAGTTCTATGGCGAGAGGGCGGTCCCGACTTTCTCCCGGACTCCGAGCTTCTGCATCCATGATTGGATGAGCTGTCTGAGGCGAAATCCTTTTTTGATTGACAGCTAAACAAGCGAATCAGTGATCTTGAAGAATAAAACATCTACCAGAGCATTTTCCAAGTTATTCATTCCGTTGTTCTTAACTGCTCCGGAGACTTTACCGATCCTCAGCGACTTTTGTCTTTGTTAAAAACGACTGCCGTTGTGTTTGGCAACTCTGTTCTGTTACATACTAATAAACAAATACAATTATGATGTAGGCCAGAAAAAATGAGCTTCCCCTCCTTGAAAGACCAGCAGCCGCCACTGCTTCCTACTAATAATGAAACTGAGACCCAGTTGAAACAAACGGACATTTAAGTCTCTGCGGATGTAAACGACCAAGACTAGCGATGCGTCGATCGGATAATTGGATCGGAAATCAGCTCCGATATTGACAAATTAAGTGGATCGGATATCTGATGAATGACGCCGATCCAGTCTTTTTTTCTTTTAATTAATATCAAACACAGCGATTCTGTTCGCTTTATATTCTATGTTAGTCTATCTTTATGCACTAAATGTTTACATGGAAGTCTTACTTATTTTTGCTGTGTGCTAATGTGCGATTTGTTATTTCTTGATCAATAATAAGAAGTAAATTTATATCTGTGTTAATTTGTTACTTTTTTGTTGACATATCGGCCGATACTCTCAGCCCAGGTATCGGTATCGGTATCGGATCGGAAAAAAATGGATCGGTGCATCTCTAACTGAGACACGACCACATTTCTGTTTCAGACGAAAAAAGGAAGTCTTGTTTTTTGAAGTTGCTTTATGCTAACTGATGGCGTCACTGGAATTGAATTCATGTGTAGAATCAATTGAAAGTTCGGTGAGGCTAATGACTCAAATAAAAGGCTCTCCGTCAAACTTGAAGCTGAAGTTTTGGTTCGTAGTGCAGTGGCTTTCTGTCAGTTTTGAAACTTACGTCGACCGACTTTTAGAGGGAAATATCCCCCAAAATCTGAACCTGTGGTAACTTTACTTGCAGAAGACGTCCAATCAGGTCTTGACGCCACTTTGGCACCATGTAGTCGACCTTGTTGGACCAGTTGTTTTGGGCAAATTTTGCCTTTTATTGATCGTACAGACTGAAATGTAGGAAGATAGAGAGAGAGAGAGAGTGGGGAGGACATTCAGGACTTGAACCCGTGACCGTGGTCCCTATACATGGGGCGCTAACCCACTCGGCCATCTGTGCGCTCCCTGGACCGAGCTGAATCTTAAACATTATTCTGATCGTCTTTGAATAAATTAAGTTTTTGGTCCGTGAACCTCAGAAGTCGTTGATTTAATTCGCTCAACTAAATCCCGCTTACATCACTTGGCTTGACTCCAACCGGCCCGAGTGTTTCCTCCCACTTTGAGCTGTTGAAGTTTCACACTTCTAAGTTCACACTTTTATTTTGATCCCACACCGTGAATGAAACCATGTTTGTTTGTTTGTTTGTTTGTTTATTTGTTTGGTGAATGTTTCCTGAAAGGATTTTCCAGGTAAACTTGCTTCCATGAAAAGTCGTATTTAATTATCCTCGCCATCTGTTTAAAGCTAGAAAAATAGTAGCGGATTAATCCGGTTGTGTCATAATCAGGGTTCGCGGTGCACCTCTAAGGCCTCCTTTGGTAATTAAAAACTGGATAATGAATGGTGAAATTATCCGGGGCAGCTGAGTGGCAGGGCAAAGTAAACAAAGCGTTAGCCTCCGCGGCCGGAGCCAAGGTGACATGCCGTTCCCTTCTCTCTGTCTCCATTCACAAGTTGGTCACAGGGCTCACAAAAGACCCGGGGGCCTGTAGGCATTCAGACATGGCTCCCAAATTGAAGCTAATTGCTCTTTAGCTGCTATGTTGTTGGGAAAGTTGATCAGATTCTGGCAAGTTCAGAAAGCATCCAAACAGAAGGGAGGACTCGCACAATAAAGGAACAGCGGCGCGTACCAATATGTCGAGCAAACAGGTTTTATAACAGAGAGGCTCCATGACAGATCGATGTGTGGAGCTCCAAGTTTAAGCTGAAAGCCTGTGAGACTGGAGCTCAGGTAACTCTCCCACCCTTTGGATTGATTCGTCCAAAGCTGCAAAGTTTTCTGTTTAACATCAAGGAGGCTTGAGAAGGACGATAGAAAGACACCAAAAACAGATGGAGAGTAAATTATTTAGCAACTTACAACGAGAACCAATAAGGCGTCTTTGTAACCTGTACAATAGAGAACCAGACTTCCTGAAGAACAGTCAATTCGTCTGACTACTCCAAGCTTTACGCGCTCGAGGTCAGTCACGAGATCAAAATCAGGATTATTGTGAATGACAGAAGCTGTTTGAGAAAAGATGTGTTCTCAGAAAGCGATCGTTTTTGATGCTTTCGTTTGGAGATTCTGTCTAGCCCCCTCAAAGCAGAGAATACAGCGTCCATGGTTTCCAAGAAGAGTGTCAGATATCACATGTAGAGGCTTAATAAGCATGTGTTGATACAAATCCCCATCAAAGCAGAGGATAGAGTGTCCAAGATTTCCAAAAGAGCGACCACAGGCCTTCTCCTTTGTCCCTTTTAAATGAACCCGGGTCCAGAGAAGTCATCAGCATATCTGGTTTTTGTTTAGCGGAGGATACAGCCTCCATGATTTCCAAAAAGAGTGTCAGATATTGATTTGTCAGGCATATGTGAATCCCCAAAGCATCACATGTAGTGGCTTATTAAGTCCTGATCAAAGCAGATGATACAGCGTCAAATTTTGGTTGATAGGACCACATGACCTCTCCTCTGTCCATTTTAAATAGACCCAGGTCCGAAGAAGTCATCAGCATATCTGATATTTGTTTAGTGGAGGATACAGCGTCCATTATTTCCAAAAATCATGGTTTGGAAATCAGGGATGGTTGGAAACAAATATGCCTTCAAAGATGTCAAAGGCAGTGATGAAGCTACACAGGGACCCATGATAATCAGACAAACGCCACGTAATGAAAATCACGTAAACATGTTTGGTCGTGTCTGTCTGTCAGCCTCCGAGCCGAACCTGAAGCTGCGCTCCCGGCTGAAGCAGAAGGTGAGCGAGCGGAGGAGCAGCCCGCTGCTGCGTCGCCGAGACAGCCCCATCACCACCGCCAAGAAACGCTCGCTCGACATGGCAGGTGAGGAGGGGGGGGGCGACTCAGACACACGAGGAGTTTTTATTCTTCAAAAAACTTCTCTTCTTTGTGAACTTAATTTTTTGATGCGTTTGTTTCAGATTCTGCGTGCAGCAGCGCCCCCGGCTCAGGACCGAGCTCCCCGAATAACAGCTCCAACAACATCCCCAACGAGAACGGCATCACCGTGTCGCTCTCCAACAACACTGAGGTAACGCACACTTTGAAAGTTCAGGTCGAACCAGAACTTGAGAGGGTTTGCTTTTTTTTAACTCCGGTAGAAACTTTAAGCAGCAGCTGATTGGCCGGATTCTGATTCATGCCTCTTCTATAGAGAATAAAGCAGATGTGAAGCGGTTTTCTGATGATTCGAAGCACTCAGGAAACATCGAAATCATGTCCTAATTTTTGTATAATGGACCAAAACATGAGCCTCAGTTCAGAAGCCTCGGTTTTGAAATGAACACTCGTGAAAAGAAAGCAGAAAAAGTACACAGTGAGGCACTTGTAGAGAATCCACTTAAGGCGGAATTATAAACAAATTATGCATCTTTTTGCTGCAGCTTTATTAGCTTTTAAACATAGCAGCCTGTAGCATCTTCAGAGGCTCTGAGTGAGGCATGATGGGTCTGCAGAGGAGGGAGACAGCCGAGGAGCTGGCAAGGAGCTATTTGTGGCAGCCATTAGGAGCACTCAGGCAGTGTGGAGGAGGCTTGTCGCCGTGACGATTTCATATCGCCGGTAGCTCTCTCCTCATGTGCGGACATCTACTGCTGCAGTGCTGTTCCCCCTCTTCATGATGCAAACATGAATAAATCATTTAAATGTGCTTCCCAGGCGTCTCTGGCCCAGAGGCTGTGCAGCGGTGCCGAGCGGGGCTCCGTTAACCAGCTGTCTCTCTACACTTCGCCATCCTTACCCAACATCACCCTGGGGCTGCCCGCCACTGCCACGGCTACGGCTGCTTCGAATGTGAGGAGGAGAACCGCCTACTAGGCTAGAATCGCTAACAGACTCCATGTGCATCTGTTTATCTTCAAATCCTGTGAGCATTTACCCAAAACCACCTCCTCTGCCTCCTCTCTTCTCCTCGTTTTTCTCCTGTCCTCTTAGGTGACCTCAGCTCAGCAGGATGGAGGTCTGCAGCCGGCCCTCTCCCTCAGCCCGCCTTTCCTCTCCGGTGGCCACCTGACCCCTTACCTGGCGGAGGCAGGAGCGGGAACAGGCGGGCACGGGGCGCACAGTCCACTGCTCCAACACATGGTGCTGATGGAGCAGAGTCCGGCGCAGAGCCCCCTGGTGACAGGTAGGAGCGGTTTTACAGCGAGAGCTCATCATTAACCTTCCAGACCTGGGAGAGCTTCAAAAAGTTGCTCCGGTTCGGTGCAAACTTCAATCAAATTAGTGACGAAAATCAGCCTGACAAGAAGTTGGAGTATGAGTCAGTTTTTTCCCTGACGCTGTCAAAGAAAAAGCTGGATGTGTGTCCCCTGAGTGCCCCTCACGCTGACAGACGTCCATTCATTTGCTCATACTAATGAGCCCCTTTCATATAGCGTACGCAGTGAAAGTGTGACATGGTAGCATTGTGCGCCCTTTCCCATCGCCTCATTCATTGACTACCATTCGGTTATTTCCAGCGGGGCAACGGCAGTGAATGGGCGATGACGCAAATACAGTCGCATGTACGTGTGCATGCGTGCGAACACACACAAGAAGAAGAAGAGGAGCGAATGGAGTCGTTTGTTTCTCGGCTCAGTCAAAAAAGAGCGCCGCCATGTCCGAGCGCTTTTCTTTTCCCCCCTGCTCGTCTTTATGGCGGCTCTCTGTCAGCAAAAAAAAAAAAAAGAAAACAATTTACAAAACGCTCAAGCGATGGAGTCGTTTTCACGGCAATCAAAAGTCTCGGATTGTTTCTCAGTCTGCTCTTCTCGCTGTTAACGCACGAAGCTGCTCACTTTCCCCAGCTCGTATCATCACAATAGAAGGACGGCAGTATGGCAGCACAGATGGCGGTTTTTATTTGGTTCACAAATACATCTGCTGGCTAATCTTAGGTCCAACACTCCCTTAGATCAAAACAAGAATCTGTCTTATTGTCTTTTAAGAATTTAGCGTGAAGTGTCGTCTGTGCCGCTCACTCAGAGGGCAGGGTCTTCCTCGGTGTGTCTGATGTTTGATTCTCATCAGGTTGTAAACCAGCTGCTTTACAGCTTCTCCTCTTCTTACGTACACAAACACAGCACGCTTCTCCTCTAAACGATTTGCTTTTGCTTCTGATCCTCACTGGAAATGTCACATTTGGTTTGAGTGGCGGCAAAAGGAGGCGTCCAAGACAAAAACAAGCATTTACTGGAGCTAAAAGTTGAATTTATCGCCCTAAAACTCGATATCTCGTCAAATTAGACGTAAAGATGTCCGTTGTTTTTCATGGTGATTGTGAAATATTGAAGCTCTTGTATGGAGTTTTTTCACAAACATGCTGTCATTTAAATCAATATCTCCATTTGACCCTCAAAACCTCTGACAGAAAGCCGGACTGTTTTTTTAAAGGGATATTCCGGCATGAAATTAATTTAGGCTCAAACACACCATAGCGCCGTGTTAGGCACCCCGTTGAGGGATGTATGTTGCCGACCTCTTGCTTCTCTAGTTATACCAACTTCAGTGACAACAGCTCGATAGCAATATACAGCGATCTGAGTCGTAAACAAACTTCAACCAAAACGCCACTCTATAGTCACCAATAATGCTCAGAACAGCACCTAACTTCATCAACAGTACATACAGGGTTCCAGCCATAGTACTAGACACCAAACATCTTTTTAACTTAACTTAATTTCTTTAGCAAAGAGACTAAACACAACTCACCTACTCTCTTCCAGCAGCTGTTTGTTGTAGTGAGACCTCAGGCCAGTCCATTATGAACTACAGCGGAGTTTCGCAGCTCAAGGAAGAACATTTATGATCATTTCTTTATCATTTCTTTGAAGTGATTATCATCATCTCGGTCTGATTCCATTTCCATGAAAAAATGATCATAAATGTTCTTCCTTGAGCTGCGAAACTCCGCTGTAGCCCATAATGGACTGGCCTGAGGTCTCGCTACAAATAAGCGGCTGCTGGAAGAGAGTTTTGATTGAGGTTTGTTTATGACTCCTCAGACCGCTGTGTATCACTATCCTGCGGTCGTTACTAAAGTTGGTTTAACTGGAGAAGCAAGCGATCGGCAACATTCAGCTTTAGAGGGGGTGTCTAACTCTGTGTAAAGTGTGTTTGACCCTAAATGAATTTTACGCTGGAATAGCCCTTTAAACAGAGTACCCACTGGGGAGGAGTAGGTATCAGTCAACCACCACAACAGTCTGATTAGTTTCATTTTTGAGTGTTAAAACGCCATTTTCATAAGAATCAAGAGGTTCTGCTTTTTCCACTAGAGGGCGCCCAAATCATCACAAACTGAATGTCCTTTAACTTGGTAACCACTCCTCAATATTTTCTGTCCAAGGGGTGAGCGGCCTGTCCATGTCTCCGGCAGCCTCCATGGCCAAGCTGCAGCGGCAGCACCGGCCCCTCGGACGGACTCAATCGGCGCCTCTGCCCCAGGGTAGCGCGGCGCAGGCTCATGCCCAGGCGTTGGCCCTGCAGCAGCTGGTGGTGCAGCAGCAGCACCAGCAGTTCCTGGAGAAGCACAAGCAGCAGTTCCAGCAGCAGCAGCTCCACCTCAACAAAGTGAGTTTCTGTCGTTGTCGTCTTTTTAGGGCCTGTTTACACCTGGCATTAGCTTGCAATGTCGACTATCATACCCGTATTGTAAACTCTGTTAGTTACTTGAATTTAGTAGTCTTTCACTTTCTGACAGCTTACCTGATTCCACTTTGTGGCTTTACGACCGGGTCGCTCATTTCATGTGTCAGTGTAAACAGGCCCTTTGCTGTCGTTACACAACAGGGAAGCAGGTGGTAGAAGACGCCACAAATCTGACATCACATTCAAATGAAGTGGTAATTATTTAGGATTAAAAGTCAGTGTGGAGCAGCACAGGAGAGCTGTAGTGTGTTTGTTTGTGTGGGCAGTAACAGCCGATAACGTGCGAGCTGTGAGTGTGTGAAGTCCTCGATTTTTCATCTCCTATCTGTAGTATTTTTGTTTGGTAAGTAGGCGGAGGCAGGTATGGGTTAACATGTACATCAGAGTGTGTGAGTGTGTCTGTTTGTGAGTGAATCTTTGCATCCAAGTTTCTGTGACTGTGGCCGAGGTAACTGCACGCTGCCATGGCAACAGAGCGGAAGCCTCCTGCCTTATATGGTCAGGGAGGAAGCGAGCAGCCGCTTTACCTATTCGAGCCGAGCTCTCGCTGGAGAAGAGGTGGGTGGATGAAACAAGGGATTTCCTCTCCACCACCTCCTCCTCCCTCCTTCTCCTCTCCTGCCTCCCCCCTGGCTCTGCTCCCCTCTCTCTTTCTCTCTTTTTCTCTCTCTCCCTCCATATGTTTCAGAGCTCTCCAGTGGCAGCTCTTCACACAAACATCTCTATAACAGCCTCTGGCACGCCAAGGATGAATTCTGCAGGATAAAAATGAAAAGCTCCTCTTTGGACACTGTTTTATTCTGTGAAATTAATCCAATAACACGATGGTGAAGGATTATTTTGGCTCAATTTAATTGTTTTAATCTTTATAATATTATGTTTAATGGTTTCAATTAAGTGCAGCTCAGTGGGCTAACGGTACACCGGTGGAATATTTAAAGAAACACCTCTATTTCACAGCGCGTCGCCTCTGTTTTCATGCCTGTTTACCCTAACCTAGCTTAGCACTGAGATAAGTGACTGTTTGTTGTTGAAATAAATCTGCGTATCATCTTGAATTCTCAGGATAACTGTACTAACTGTTACTGCTTATTTATTAACATGAGAGCGATGATGTATAGTGAGCAGGTTGTAAAAGCAGACAATTATCCAGCTGCGTTCAACAGTTGATTCTGATTGGTCCAAACTTAAAATCTAAAAGAGGGGCAAGATGAGTCCTGCTCACCCTGTCGGGACTCTGATTTGGAAGGTACCTGCTCACTATACTTTACCACTTTAATATCAAAGTACTGATCAGCCTGTTGGGGTAACAAGTAATGGATTACACATAGTGAGGAGGTGTTGGTGCGTTATGAACCCTGAGAGGGTGAGCAGGACTTTGAGCCAAAGGAGGGCCAACTAGACGGTTTCTGATCTGCGTTGACTACCTGCTCGGAATACATTATCCGACTTATTTCACTGCTACTTACTTCATTTATAACAAGTTTGGCATAAAATGTTGATTTGAATGTGATTAAATTGATTTCTATAGTCATCCTGTTGACTTCAGCGGCGTGTTGCTACAAAAGGGATGATGTATAGTGAGCAGGTTGTTTTGAGCAGACAATTATCCAGCTGCGTTCAACACTTGATTCTGATTTGTCCAAACTTAAAAGCCAAAAGACGGGGCCTTCGGGGCAAGATGAGCGTTGGGACTCTGATTTGAAAGGTACCTGCTCACTATACATTCACTCTGACATCATCAGGGTCCTGCTCACCCTGTAGGCGTTCTGCTCACTATACTTTACCCCTTTAATATCAAAGTACTGATCAGCCTGTTGGGGTAACAAGTAATCGATTACACATAGTGAGGAGGTGTTTGTGCGTTATGAACCCTGAGAGGGTGAGCAGGACTTCGAATCAAAGGAGGGCCAACTAGACGGTTTCCAGTACGCTTTCCGTACCTGCTCAGTATACATTACCTGACTTATTTCATTGCTACTTACTTCATTTATAACAAATTTGACATACAATGCTGATTTGGACGCGATTTTATTGTTTTTTTCTGTTCCTCCTGTCGACCTTTAGCGTCATGTTGCTACATAAGCGATGATGTATAGTGAGCAGGTTGTCATTGCGGATTGTTGCTCTGATTCTGATGGATCAAAACCAGATAAAGACAGTCAAGTGACACCCATCAGAGAGGGACAAGACAACCTTACTTTACATCAAGGTCCTGCTCACCCTGTCAGGAATCCACTTTGCAAAACCACCCACTCACTATGATTCATCTCTTGATTAACCCCTGACAGGGCGAGCCAAAATCTTCCTTTTTTTTGAGGTTTTTGTTTCTTATTTTTACGTTTTCTTTTGACGTATCGCTGTACTGACTTTTCCAAGAAACAAAAGGCGGATTATTGATGTGGTCAGCTCCAGATTTAAAGGGAAATATGACTCTCAGATTTAAGGGATAAGACAACTGTATTAAGAAGAACCGATGGATCCAGCGAGTGCTCCCGCTCGTCATGTAACAGACTGATTAACTCAAAGATGAAGAGGAGGTTTCTGGGAAAGTGGAGCACATAGGCGGGAAGGTGGGGGTGTGGGAGGGGGTTTGTTTGGACCCCAAGAAGACGAGGAGGGGGAGGGAGGAGCGGGAGAATGCTCTGACGTCAATGCTGTGTCAGCGCTGTGCCAGGGGACCCAGAGGCTCACAGCTCAGGGGACACACACACACACACAAACACACACACCTGTAGCTGAAGCGCACATACAGGAGACTTTGAGCAAACACCTTTCCCCAAACTTTGAACTGCGGCCCTGAGATTAAACTTTGAACGAGCAGACGTCTGAATCAGCGGCCGGTTTTAGCAGCAGGCCCCCAGAGCGAGTCGATGAAAAGCCGCGCGACGGGGAGCGCGGAATGTCTCTGTTTTCCATGAGACGCATTTCGCCCCCGAGTACAGTCGGCAGAGCGGCCACTCACATTCAATTAGAGCGGGTAGGTTTGAAACGAGCAAGACACCAATCTGACTGAGTAATCCAAATTAAGCTTGTTAAAAGAAGAATGCTGCAGAGAAAGGAGCGATTTGCCAGGAATCTGATTTGTCTGAATGCAGCCTCACACGTCTGAGGGGATTTGTCACATCCTGCTGTTTTATTGTGGAATAATTCCCCCCCCTCCTCCCTCTGCAGATGATGGCCAAACCCAGCGAGTCCCCCGTGGGTCGCCAGCACCAGAGCCACCCAGAGGAGACGGAGGAGGAGCTGAGGGAGCACCAGGACGGAGGAGGAGGAGGAGGGGCCCTGCCGCCGGGCGTCACCATCAAGCAGGAGCCGCCCGACCCGCAGGACCTGCAGGAGGAGGCGCTTCAGCAGCACAGGGAGCGGGAGCAGGAGCTGCTCTTCAGACAGGTAGAGGAGTTTGGAGGATTGATTGGGGAAGTCCTCGAGAGCGAAAAACTCCCAGAACAGACTCAGAGTTGTTTTTTAAGGCTGCTCAGATGTTGCTGTTTGTCTTATTTTTCCTGTAATTAAATGCTGATTCAAGTCAAAGCTGCAAGTTTTGGCTGCCATCTTATGGCCAGAGGTTGCAGCTGCAGTGTGGAGAAGAAAGAAGCAAGTTTCCCAGACTCAGACGAGAGGAGTTTGACTCTTTTTATGCATTTTACACAACCAGGTCCCTGTACCTCCAGCATGTGACAAAACTGTGCTTTTATTTTGAAGTAAATTAAGTGTGAATTCCCAAAACAAGTGAAACCAGCACATTTAAGGTAAACTCGAGGTCACATATCATATTTATCTTCAGGAGTAAATGTTTTATTAGACGTCAGCCTCATCTTGAACATCCCTCTTTTGTGTCGTCTCCCTCTCTCTGTGTTTGTGAGCAGCAGGCCCTGTTGTTGGAGCAGCAGCGGATCCATCAGCTCAGAAATTATCAGGCCTCTATGGAAGCCGCCGGCTTGTCCATCTCCTTCCCGGGACACCGCCCTCTATCCCGGGCTCAGTCATCCCCCGCCTCGGCCTCCTCCTTCCCCATCAGCGTCCCGGCCTCCGACCCTCCCGTCAAACCTCGCTTCACTACAGGTCTGTGAGACGTTTGATGTTCGCGGCTCAAATCTCTGTCAAGCCGCCAGTTTGACTCGCATCCACGGCGTCCGCCCTCCTCTTCTCCGCCTTAAAGACTCATTTGGGAAGTTTTTTTGGCTTTGAATCGACTTCCTTTCAAACACACAGGGGACTTAAAAAAAAAGAGAATTTGCATCCAAAAAAGCAGGTGAACCGGCCAAAGAATGGTAAAACAGCTCCGGCCTCCATCTGGTTGCAGAAATAATCAACCTAATCCTGCCAAAACCTTTTTCTCACCCACTTTGTCTCCATCTCAGACATCTGAGTCAAAACGACAGAGAAGAGCTGAGGAGTAATCCGTCTCAGAGAGGGAGTGAAGCTCTCAGTGGCTTTTCTCTCTGCACTCAAATGTTATCAGCGTGAAGAAGCTACACACTGTGTTATTACAAGCACAAGAGGTGATGATATTTTTATAACGGTTTGGCCTACTTTACTCCCACTCAGCAGCAAACTGCACAGAGCATTTAGGGAGAGAAGAGTTTTAGATCAAGAGTTTTGAGGCTGTGCAGCTTTGCGTTTGTAAAAAAGCTTGGGTTAGTCTGAGGGATAAGGAGGGAAGTTGAGACCCTAAAACAGACAACAATTAAAACTAAAGAAGGGGTTAAAAATCTTTACATGTGCAGGAAACATCCGAAATTAAATAAACATTCAAATTTATTAATAAATAGGGTGACATGTCCTCTTTTTTGGGGGCTGTCCCGCCTTGTCCAGGAAGCTAATTTTTTTTTTTGTAGGGATGGTAGGGGAAAGTCCCGCCTCCTTCGCCTCTGATTGGCTAGAAAGGCTGGAAACGTCATCACACGCTCAGGCCAAACGCGGGCTGTCGACTCTGTACATCGAACAGAACATTACAGAACTTTATCGCACTTCTGAATCTCCTAACCCGACAGACGACGCTTCACAGTCATAAGGAATAACCAATCAAAGCCCAGCACTTCTAGCCAATCAGAGGCGAAGGAGGGCGGGACCTTTCCCTACCATCCTACAAAAAAAAGTTCACGTCCGGGAAAGTTTATAAAATACTTCAGATGTCGTTTTCATACGTAAATTTTTTGATGTTGTGTCATGTGGACTTTCTGAGTTAAAAGCGAGTAAAAGACTGTCGATCCAACCCGAAAAACTCTCAAAATTAACTTTGTGCGACTCCTTGACTCCGCCCCTGCGTAGTCATGTCCTCTTTTTGGGAAGTCAGAATATTGTCACCCTATTACCAAGTCTACCTCCCCTTCCTGCGGCATTAACTCGAATCCAGTCAAAGATTTTCTCCAAAGGTCGAACAATCCCGCTCAAGTTGTCTGTGATCCATCTTACCGTGTTGGAGCAGAGTTTGAACCCTCCCTCTTTCCCAGGTGAACATATAAACATGGGTCGACCTGGTAGTCCTTCAGTGTTGCACCAAGCCCTGCAATGCATGTCAGTCAGTTGCACACTGGCGCCACCTTCTGGCAGGAGGTTTTAGCGTCTTTTTCATCTTACTCGCACGGACGCTTGACGGGGAAAACTTCACACCCTGAGAGGACACGTGTGAACACTAAATTTGGGGAAATTCAGGTCCTGATACAACTTTTTTACCTCTGATATGATACCGATATTGTCGCCTTCAGTATCGGCCGAAACCGATATTGTTCCGATATTGGCACAAACTCATACATAAGTTTTGCACTCAGCTGCAATGTCTTTGTCGGACTTCAACGAAAAACACTGCCACACAGCCGACATCACTCTCACTCCTTGGTACTTTGTTTGTACCTTAGTACACACTGTTGTTGTGATCACATGGGCTCTACATGCTGGATCTGGGTGCTGGAGTGGAGTCTGGAATGGACTGCTTGTATCTGAGTGCTGATATCGGAGATTCTAGATGCTGGCCGATATAATCCGATATTTGATTTTGGTTGATATCGGACCGATATGCGATATCAATATCGCATCGGGACACCCTTAAATTCATATATGGGACAAAACGACTATTTTTATCATCAAATAATCTGACATTTCTCTTGATTATTAAAAAAAATCCCAAAGAAGTGAAACTCCCAGACTTGAAACCAAAAAAGCACAACAAGCGCCGAAATAACTCGCATATATGTGACATATTTGAGGTTATGAAAGAGTGTGTGAAAACGGTGTGACTCTGTGTGTCTCCTCAGGCCTGGTGTACGACTCCCTCATGCAGAAGCATCAGTGTATGTGCGGAAACACCAACAGCCATCCAGAGCACGCGGGCCGTATTCAGAGCATCTGGTCTCGGCTGCAGGAAACGGGCCTCAGATCGCAGTGTGAGGTACGAGAGAAAAAGAGTGGAAACAACTCGGCGGCGGACATCACACGAGCATGAGAACTGTGTCATCCTTTGTGTGTTTGTGTGTGTTTGTGTGTGCGTTTGTGTGTGTAGTGTATCCGTGGGAGGAAGGCCACTCTGGAGGAGCTGCAGACGGTTCACTCTGAAGCCCACGTCCTGCTGTACGGCACCAACCCTCTCCGACAGAAACTTGATTGTAAGGCACACAAACACACTCTGGCTGCACTAGAATTTCACGTGATCGAATATCCCTCCACTAAACGGTCCTGATTCGATCCCTGTGCCCTCATCTCCAGGTTCAATCACTCCCATGTTTGTACGGCTGCCGTGTGGAGGAGTCGGGGTGAGTAACTCTCAGATTTAAGGAGCGAAATTTGACTGAAGGGAATTATGAAAATCACTTTGACTCACTAAACAACTGAGAATTTCTTCTTGTCAGCCTGAATTCGCCCAAACTTTTCCACTCCAGCTCCTCAGATCTTTCTCTCCGTTCATGCTGCTCATTTTCACTGTGCTTGTTCTATTTTTAGGTGGACAGCGACACCATCTGGAACGAGGTGCACTCCTCCAGCGCAGCTCGCCTCGCCGTCGGCTCTGTGGTGGAGCTGGTTTTTAAAGTCGCTACAGGAGAGCTGAAGGTAACCCCCGGTCACATTTGTCAGGTTGTCAAGAAGAAATTCTTCTTTTTTTATTGCTTTAGAGGAAGAGTGAAATGCACAGATTTGTTTTTTGGTGTTAAAAATGACCCAAAAGGAGTCAAAGAGTCAAAAGAGGCGACAAATATTGTTAAAAATGTCCTTTTTTGTGTGTTTTGAGTCTTTATTTGGTTAATTCTCTCAATTTTTTAGCCCTAACTTGCAGCTGATAGGTGTTTGTCGCCCCCTTGTGTCTCTGCAGAATGGTTTCGCCGTGGTCCGCCCGCCTGGACATCACGCAGAGGAGAGCACTCCCATGTAAGGACACACACAGTCAGAGAGAGTCGCCTAATCCACGCACAAACATCAGTGTAAAACCCTCTCTCTCTCTCTCGCTGTTTCAGGGGTTTCTGCTACTTTAACTCCGTGGCCATCGCCGCCAAACTGCTGCAGCAGAGACTCAACGTCAACAAGATCCTCATCGTGGACTGGGTAAGGTCTCAGAGTCGCCGCATTTCTGTAAAGCGACGTGTTGTTGGCGAATTTGTGCTTATATTACATGTGCTGTTTGAACGTAGGACGTTCACCACGGCAACGGCACCCAGCAAGCTTTCTACGACGACCCCAACGTCCTCTACCTGTCCATTCACCGCTACGACGACGGCAACTTCTTCCCTGGAAGCGGAGCACCTGACGAGGTGCGTACAGCCGTGTCAAACACAGCCGCAATGCATCGTGGGAAACATCTGAATCAAAACGTGAAAAAGTTCGACGACTTGATGTTTCTGCGTCTCTCTGCAGGTGGGCAGCGGGCCCGGAGTCGGCTTCAACGTGAATGTCGCTTTCACTGGAGGCCTCGACCCGCCGATGGGAGACGCCGAGTACCTGGCTGCCTTCAGGTAGAGTGAGAAGTAGTAGAGTTGTTTTTGGACGACTGTTTTCATTTTAGTTTTAGTCTTTGTGTCAAACTATCATTTTAGTTTTGATTAGTTTTAGTCACGTTTAGTCAGTTTTATCATATCTGTGTAACTGCATCCTCCACCCTCTCTCTCTCTTTTAGGTCGGTGGTGATGCCCATAGCCAATGAGTTCGCCCCTGATATCGTTCTGGTCTCATCTGGCTTCGACGCCGTAGAGGGACACCCTCCTCCTTTGGGCGGATACACTTTGACATCCAAATGTGAGATAATCTTCACTTTCACTTTCTTATCTCCGTGAAACATGTGCTCCACTTTGGTGCAATGAAAATCTACACTCACTACTCTAAGTGTAACATGAAGTCACATCCTGGTCCTCAGGTTTTGGCTACCTGACCAGGCAGTTAATGACTCTCGCTGGAGGCCGGGTGGTTCTGGCTCTGGAGGGGGGTCACGACCTCACAGCCATCTGCGATGCCTCAGAGGCCTGTGTGGCTGCTCTGCTCGGACAGGAGGTAGGAAGGTCAAAGTCTCACGTTAAATCAAAGAGACAGAGATTAATTGAAAGGGGTTTTATCCCCAAATCAGCACCTTGTTGAGGTGAAACCAGGTGAACTCCTGCAAAAACATAGAAAACACAGCTTCTCCAGTCCTCTGTCCTCACGCTCATGTTTACATATTTCTGTGTGTGTTTTTGTCCCGTGCAGCTGGACCCGCTGCCCAAGGCCGTCCTGGAGCAGAGGCCCAACCCCAACGCTGTGCGCTCTCTGGAGAAAGTCATAGAGACTCACAGTGAGTTCATCCAGGACAAAACTCTCACATAACACTGATAAGATACTGAGACACAATCCAATCACACACTTTTACTGCTGTGAGTTATGTTTGAAACAAGGCATGCACAAAAAGTCATCATGAGTTGGATTTAAAATAAGGTATTTTTGTTATAACACCAACTGATGAAACAATATGGGGCGCTCACACCAAATGCAAGTGAAATCCTCTACTCGCTTAATTCGCGCGAACCAAGACGCATGAATAAATAGTATTTACTCGCTTTAGTCGCATGTCAATGCACGTCACGACAGTTGGATTTAGAATAAGGTATTTTTGTTATAAACACCAGCTGATGAAACCTTATGGGGCGCTCACACCAAATGCAAGTGAAATCCTCTACTCGCTTAATTCGCGCGAATCAAGACGCGTGAATAAATAGTATTTCCTTGCTTCATTCGCATGTCAAAGCACGTCACTTCAGTTGGGTTGGGTTGAGTACTTTTGTTATAACACCAACTGATGAAACTTTATGGGGTGCTCACACCAAATGCAAGTGAAATCCTCTACTCGCTTAATTCGCGCGAATCAAGACGCATGAATAAATAGTATTTACTCGCTTCATTCGCATGTCAACGTTAATTTCAACGGTAATCCCTGCCAATTCAACCAGCAGGATCAAGTGATAGACAACGTTTTTTTTCAATTTACCAGATAATCCGACCTCCTCACTGATTTTTCTCCAGGCGAGCTCCTTTTTATACTGGTATTGGTAATTGAAAGAAAATGTATCATAGAATTCAGGGCACCTGTGATAGATACCTGTGCACAACCATCCGTTTTCATATGTCACCCGGCAACCTTTGTGCTGATTAGTTATCGCGAGGTGAATAACCGCTCATGTTAAGACATTTTCAGCTTCAGCCCAATTTGTGTCATTTGTGCCGTCAGAGTAGTAGGAGCGTCTAATCGCGTCTTTACATTGACTTAACATGTAATTCATTTGCGCGAATGATTTTACTCGCACTTGTGGAGACAGTAAAAGTTCCTTATGGGAGTTTTAAAATAAACAGGATTGGGGCTCAAATACAAAGTTTGAACCTCACCAATCAAAGTCAAGCTTCCTTTTTTTAATGTGTTCATTTCAAACATCCTCACTCCTTTATTTCCCTCCTCCTCCTCAGGTAAGTACTGGCGCTCGGTGCACCGCTCCTCCCCACGGCTAGGACTTTCCCTTCTGGAGGCCAAACGAGGAGACTCAGAGGAGGCGGAGGCCGTCAGCGCGATGGCCTCGCTCTCGGTGGCTAACACCAACGCCATGGATCAGAGGTAAAGGGACATTCCTTCTTAATTACTTGCTTCTTTATTTAGGTTATTGACCTGTGATTTTAAAGCTTGTGTGAGAAGATGTATGTAGACGTCTTTGTCCACAGGGGGCGCCATAATCAACACAAACATCAAGTCACTTACAGTAGCTTTAATCAGCCATAGTCAGCCACTGTTTTAACTCACTCAAATCTGTATCTTCTGAATGTGATCTTTTTGTCCGTCAGGCCCGAGGAGGAGCCCATGGAGGAGGAGGAGCCGCTGTAACGGACGGAAACACGAAGGTGTCACACCGTTAACCTTTGACCTCTGCGGAGACAACTCTTTGAGCGACGAAGAGTCTTCGACTGACCCCTTCATTTAGTCCCCCTTACCCCACTCACCACGTCAGTCACCTTGATTGGCGGCCCCTCGGCCAATAAAACGAGGGAGAGGGGGTGGGCTCAGCCTCAGAGTAGGGAGCCAATCAGGAGACAGAGGACTGAACTGGGAAGAAAATATTAAAAGAGACTCATTTTTTCTGTCAGTCTTCGCACCCTCATGTTAGCCCACAGCGGCTAACCATGTGACCAAGGCAGCAGGTGGGTGTGTTTGGAGTTTGGGCGGGACCAGGTCTCGCCGTAGAAAGGTGTGATTTCACTGCAGGAACATACGGTGCTTTACACAGCTGCCTTCTGACCACGTACAGTATGGACACCAGAGACAGCAGACAATCCCAGCTACCAGCTCGGGAGTTTCTTTACTCTTTTATCGACTATTTTTCCCTGCGAATCTAAAGGGCGTCGCAGCAACTGAGATCATATTTTACACGATGCGTTCACTGTGGACTTTGGTCAAGCCGAAAGTTTGAGCCGGCTTTTACAAAGATTTGAAGACGAGACTTTCGCCTCGCCGGACCAGCCTGTCGTTGAAAACGGTTGACGAGTGAGAGGAGTGCCTTGGTGAGGGAGGGTCCCCCCCGCTGGATTTCAGGATTGTTTCAGGAAAAGATTGCCTTAAGTCAAACGAGGGAGGAAAAGTTTCCGCTCCTTTAACAGGGGGAACATTAACGCAAACAATCTTTCAGCATGTTTACTTGGAACGTGACGAAGACGACGTTTACGTCTCTCACAGCCTCTCGAAGAAGAGTTACTCTACTTTTGGATGGATCTATTTTTCTGTATAAAAAAAGAGAAAAAAAACACAAGGAAGCGCTTTGAAAAGGTAGTTGCCAGCTTCAGTAGATAAAACGGTGCAAAAATGGAAACTCCTAAACGAATTAGACTCTCAAAAAGTAAGCCTCTGATGTAGCTTCCCTTTAACAGAAGTCATTGCTTTGTAAACACGAAGCATGCGTCGAAGCCGAAAAAGACCGGACGTTTTTAGCGAGATTTTTATCCAAAAGAGAAAGCCAAGCAAGAAAAGCCAAAGCATGAGTTTGCATTTACAGTAGTACTTTCACTTCACTTAGCTGGCAGACATTTCTCGTACCGGCCCTTTAAGAGAAGGCTCCCGGTACCCAGTTCAATGTTTACTAATTTAACCCTCCACGGATCAAGTGAGCATTTCTGTCCTGATCGGCCCTCCGTACACCGGCCGGTTGGCAGCTACCTTGGTTGCTGTGTGTGAGCTAGTCATGTATATTGAATTGAATATATTTTGAGGGGCAGTAATCGCCTGTTTGTATCTACATGTATGATTTCCACATCTGATATCGAAAAAGAAAAACAAACAAACAAACGAGAAAAAAAGACAAAAAAAAACGTGTTTGGTAAGCGTGTCCACTTTTTATTTTTTAATGTATAAGATTATTTTTCTAACTTTTTTCATCCATAGATTTCGTTCTGTGTTTTTATCCGTTTTCTGGATAGTTATAGGGCTGTCATTCACACACTTAGTACTTTTGTCACTCCTTGTTCCAGAACTTTCTTTCTTGTATTTATCAGAACCAAGGAGCAGAACCTCCTCCTTTTCTTTCTTTCTTTCTTTCTTTCTTACGGCTCTCCAGGCCTTTTTTTCTGCATTTTCATCAAGCGTGTATTTATAACATGTACTGTTTATAGCAGATTTGTATATGGAAAAATTTATAAATGTACTCTAACTAATGACAGCTATGATATTGTGAGCGACAAACAGTATGGTGTATGATATTACTACCATGGACGTTTCAAAAAAGCAGCATATTTAACTCGTCATCGACTGCACTGTTTCCACGCTGCCCTCGAGTGAAGTCATCACGGCACTGCAATTGACTTTTCAAGTACGACATTTGATCACTTTGTTGCCTATTTGATGCGTTTTTTTTCCTTACCACTTACCTTTAAACTGTGACAACACGTCCACAAAGAGGTTTAAAGGAGGTTCCATGTAGCTCGCTGAGTTTCGCGTTTGGCCGGAGGCGAAAAAAGCGGAGGAAAACGTTATTAAAAAGCGGATTTTTTTTATTGTAAATTTGAAGGGAAGACTCAGCAGATATCTTTCAAATCTCTTTCTGAGCATGTGTTGCACTATCATGTTCAACTTTTGCCGACTTTCGCGCTTGAATCAACGTACCTAACGGTCCAGTTACGCAACATGACTATCATGTTCATTTGAACATCATTTTCCACGTCTTAAACATTCCACTTGTTGTTTTATTTTTTATTTAATTTGGCTTCTTTTTTACTGATTTAATTTCTTTTTGTAGAAACTTTATTACCGCTCTTTCTTTTCTTTTTTTTTTTTTGCCGTCTGCTCGCGCCAAATTTAACTCTTTGCATGGTTTGTGAGTCAGCATGCCTGCTTGTCTATGTAACAAAAATGTATTTGCACAATAGAAGAAGAACACTGGAGGACTTTAAGACAAAAAAGCAGAAAAAAATACAAACCCTCCGATGATGGCAGCGGCGGCGGCGGCTCCCAAGAGCACCAAACGGGACGGTTTTTCTTCCTGTGGTGTGCTGACGGTTCAAAAGACTCCACTGAGGACCGTTTGATATTGTTCTTATTGTTTCCGACGAGTGATTTTAACGGCACTTATGACATGGACAGACTGTGCTGAAAGAGAAAACACGCTCTGCCAAACCTCTGCTACATCCACACCTTAAGAAAAAGAAAAAAAAACAAGACTCCCAAAGAATGTTCCTCTTCTGCAGATTTGTGAGCACTGTTACAGGAAAGACAAGTTTGGACAAAAAAAAAGGGCATCGTCGTTTGATTGTCACTCCCACCTCGGCCAGTTCTCTCTATATATAACCACTGTGGCTCCAGAGCAATTCTCGGTTTACATGTAAATGGATAAAAAAGTTATTTTTTGTTTGTTGTTTGTCTCTATTGATGAAAAATGTTATCTTTCTTTGGGACCTACGCTTTGGACATTTCATCTCTGACATCATCTATAAAATATATTTCTGAAAAATACACCATGTGGTTGTTGTGTTTTTGTTTTCCTTCTTGTTAGGCAACTCTTCTTGGAATTCTTGGATCAATATCAAGCAGAAAAACTCAAGATAATCCCACTGATTTATCAACTCTTCTCAAAGTCCGTTAAGGTGCAACAAAAGTGCACAAACATCAATAGTGCTGGATGCGGTGAAATTCCTACAACGTCTCAAGACAGACCAGAGGTTCAGAAAATTAGTTTTCCCAGCACATGACAGCAGAAGCGTGTCACGGTCGAAAATAAGGACCACTGGTCTCTGGTTTGAGGAGACGTACGAAGAGACGTGAAGTCTCAGCTGATCGTTCTCTGAGTGGAAAATCTAATAAGAAGATTCAATATCACAATGGGCATGCAAAATCCCTGCTGCTGCAGCTGTCAGCTGACCTCCCCACCCAACCAAACTGATGTGTTTTTTTTTGCTTCATGTCTCAAGAAGTGAGAATATTCTGTAAGGATTTTAAAAGGCAACGTTTGATTCATTCAGCCAGGTAATTTTTATGTTTGTTTGTAACCATAAACAGTATTTTAAAAAGTTGGACTCAGAATTAATGAGGAATTGACTGAAAAAAAACCAAGTAAAGTGAAATATTATGACAACAAATAATGAAAATATTCAGTTAGCGAAATGAAACTGTTTGAAATGGAACATTAAAAATTCAAAAACTAAAATTTGAAATTAAAAAAAAAAAAATTTTAAAGAAAACTGGAAAATCTAAACTGAAAATCAAAACGAAAATGTATATCACCAGTGATCTGAATATTAAAATTAATGAGGACTGACATTTACTGACATTTATGAGTTGAAAATTAATTAAAATTAAAATGAGTTTCAAGATAAAAAATTAAATTCACAGAAATTTCAAACTAAAAAAGCAGTTTAACATTTTGGAAAAAAAATAAATAAATTTGGCGGAACTTAAAATTGTTAAGTTAAGATGAAAGTTAAAAGTTGAAATTCACAGAATGTTAAAATTTAAATGATTCCTGCCGGAGGAGTTTTAAATTTTTAAATAAATTAAATATACTGTAAATAAATGTGAATTTATTAAATAAATAAATAAATCTTAGATATTCTTAGATAAAATCAATTTTTCAAAACACAGTGAGAACAAAAAATGAAATGTATAAAATTAAAATTCAATCTATATACAGTCTATGGTGTTATCCCATTAGAGAGGACTCCCACTCTAAAGGGGAGGGTACTTCCTTCCAGCATGCACACACTGACCTGAGATTTCCTCTCTGCACACTGTCCCCGCCACCGCACCAGTGCAATGCTAAAGCTGCAACATTAGCACGCTTATTCTCCCCTTTTTTCACAATCCCTTTACAGGGGGTGGACCTGCCGTTTTTTCTTTACCGTTTTTTACTTTAACTTTCTTTACCTCATCGAGCCTCTGTGTGTTTTTTTTTCCTTGGACATGCCGAACATCGTGCTTTTCAGCGGGAGCTCCCACCACGACCTGTCCCAGAAAGTGGCTGATCGGCTGGGGTTGGAGCTGGGGAAGGTGATCACGAAGAAATTCAGCAACCAGGAGACATGGTGAGTCACTTCTCTCTCTCTTAACTAGTCATTAAAGGTGGGGGGTTTTGCTGATAGAGTGTTGCCCTGCTGCTGTTTCCCATGTGGGTTAGGTTAGCTCGAAGCTAACAATAGTTTACTATTTAGCGGGCAGCACACGTGACTGGTTAGCCACATGTAAACACGCCAGGCTAGCAGGCTAGTTCACTCTGACTACGCTGCGTTATTTTTCCTCGACTTTCAACACTTTGTCCGTGTCGTGTGTGCAATTCATTAAATCAGCACCGAAGTGGTTGAAAAATTGCGTGTTGTGTTTTTTGCTGCGTAGCATGCTAACGAAGCTAAAGACCTCCCCTCTGTCAGAGGCGATATGAGGGGAAAACGTCAGGCCAAATGCTGCACAAGTTTCACAAACTATCCTCCAGTTATCGCCTTTCGTGCTTATCTCAACCCAATTCATTAAATGTTTTTGTCAAACACGATAAAATATCGTTTTAGTAGAATAACGAGCTCGAAGTCGTGCGGAGGGAACAAATTGTGACTAGGATACAAAAGCTACCGTTACACCTATTGAGCAAGTCACCTGACTTTCGTCTTTTAAACGGTTTTTATGATTTATCTTTTAAAAAACGTGCTTAAATATGATTAAAATGTGTACGTTTTGCATTACTTTATGGGTGTCTATTGAAAACTAATGTAAACAAGCCGTGTCCGATAATGGGTGCCGTTAGCACACCGTGTTCAAACAGGCAGTTTTCTTTTACTGGCGAGTTTTAGACGACAGTGTACAACAAGATAAAAAAAAATTTAACTGTCGCCGTAATGTTTTCTTTACACGAAGAGGATAACTTATATGAGCTAAAAAAATGCACATAATCGGAGGAACACATTGTTATTAGGGGTGGGAGAAAAAATCGATTCACATAAGTATCACAATTTTTATTTTACGATTTTTATACGATTTTTAATGAAAAAAACACTCTCTTCTCCGTCATATAAACAGTCAGCCGGTCGGCCATGTTGGATATACCGGTGAATCTGACGTCACAACAACACGCAATCTGATTGGTCAGAAGTGGACACCCAGTATGCGAAATTTAAGAAAAATCGACCGTGATCCAAAAAAACAATTCCGCAATATCAGGATGGGAAAACGTCGCTGATGTATTGACAGGATACAGGTTCGAAAAAAATATTGACGTCTGAAATAATCGCACGATAAAAACGCTCCCTGTGTGAAAGGACCTTAAATCTTAAAAACTGACTTACATGTGAGTCAGTAGACACTCAATCATTCAACTGTTTCACTGGTGTTAAAAATGAAGACTAAAAATCGAGAAAATTGACAATATCGTAGAATCGCAAAAAAATGCATCCAAAAAATCGTAGAATACCGTATTTTTTGCACTATAAGGCGCACTTAAAATCCTTTTGGCTTGTTGGAGCACTGCAGCTACTGTCGCCCTGTGGAGTTATTGAATGAGTTAAATAAAGTTTGACTTATCTGACTGTTTTGTTTGGCTTTATGCGCTTTATAATCCGGTGCGCCATATGTATGAAAATAGACGCATTCATTGATGGTGCGCCTTATAGTGCGAAAAATACAGCAATCAAATCAGGAGAAAAGCATATCATCCCAGCCCTAATTCTTACACATTTAACAAAGTAAATTGGTTAATTCCTCAGTGCTCACATCACGTGCGGTTAATTTGTGCGTGCTGTAGCTAATTTGATCCTTAGTTTAATCACCGCCCGCACGTTTGCACGAGTCCTGTTGACCTTTATGACTCTTACTCCCAGTTTTCCTGCCCAGCCTTGAACGAGTTTTTCTTTCTGGCCTTGAGCAAAGTTAGTTAAGGTTACGTCGCCTGTTTGAACCCTACTCCAGGATGAACGTTTCGCTTTATGTCAGCCTGTTTGTTTGACACGAGTTGACCCGGATTCACCACAACACCGTTTGAAGCAGCTTTAGGGTTCAGGACTCTGTGTGGTTTTCCATCCGTCTCCTCCAAATGCATTAGTTAACCATGCATAATGCGCTTGTGATCCTGTGGTCCAGTAAACGCCGCATTAACATGATCAGAGTCGTATTTCAGGCCCTCTGGGGTCACTCTTTGGATGCTTTTATCCAGAGTGCATTACATTTCTGTCTCTCTGAGTTGTTTTGTAATCTCTCTCTTGCATGACAACAGTAAAATCACACCGACACAGGGTCACAGACACGTAGAGGTGTCTTGACTTTATAATCCCCCCCATAAAATTCAAGGAAAACTCCACGATTGTCTGCGCTGAGACGCCTCTCTTGGAAAGGCATCTGTTTGGGTTTCCACACAACCCAAAACACAGAGTACTTTCCCATCCTCTCACACCGACAAGGAGGTGCTAAAGCTCGGCTTCTCACTGGGAATTAAAGCACAGAGGGATTTTTGCTTGCACAGGGAGGTACGTTTAAATAAAGATTAATCTGACATACTTTGCTGTCGTTTTAGGCAGAGATCCAAGTTTTCTTTGTGCCTAAAAGGTGCTGGAAAAATTAGTCGTGCTGCTCCTTTAAAGTGGTCACAAACTTTGTGGAGCGCATTGTTTTGTTCAGGATCAGCTGCGGTAAAATATAAGGCCGATTTGATAACATAATCGCTAGAATTTCACTTATTATGACCTAAATTAATAAGACTTTGCATGCAGCAGTTTTGCAACGACTTGCTGTGATTCAAGGTCCAGAGCGATGGCGTTTAAAAACCCTCACTCGGCTAACTGTCATTTTTTCCTTTTCGCTCAGACTTCAACAAACACGCTGTCAGACGAGTTCAAACAATGAGAGCGTCCGCCTTTTTTCACCACATCTACAGACGCGTCGGGGCTCATGTGTCAGCGCTGGCCTCTCTTATAAAAACCATGTGACCGTACAGCCGGACCCTGTCTCTGTCTTTTATTTCGGCACATGTCCGATGATCACATGACCGAAGCGGAGGGGGACCCGGTCATGTCGTCGTCCTGATGAGGAATGTTTCACACACACACGCTGCATGCGCTTGCATCAGCTGTAGACTGACTGTGTGTTTAAATATGTGCCTGGCAGTGCGGTTTAAGTCTTCATCTTTTATCTAAACATCCTCAGATGAGTGACAGCAGCCAGGCCTGGACTTGTTTGGAGAAAGTCAAGACCGCTTTCTCATACAATAATTGATTCTGGTTTTATATGACTCATTCCTGAGTCAGTGTGAATTACTGTTTCATTAAAGTTTGGTAATCAACTTTGTTAAATTTGAACTTGCACAGGCGAAGACTTTATGGTCTGGTTCAAAACCACATCGATATATCACTTTGTTGATATTTTTGGCCAATATCGGCCCTTTCCTTGCATGTGTTTTGGCACATTTCAAGCAGAAAACATTTCTCGAAGTGATTTAAATGTGGCGTAATCGCTCCTTTCTGCACCAAGTTCCCACTTTATCGGTAACAACACTGTCAGAATTGCCTGCAGCACCTGAGCAGCCTCCTAAGTTTACATGTTTGCATAACAGGGGGTGACAGATATTGGTTTTTCAGAGCCGATACTGACATTCAGAACCAACATACATTGATAGAATTTAGAAAATGTAGAGATTGAAACGAAGAAACTCCAACAAAAGTCTTTGCTTCAATGACCCAGAGGGAAATACGCACCAACAGCCGAGCCAAAGTAGCACAGAAAGGACCGATACAGATGATCGGCCAAGTGACACGTATCGGTCACCCCGCTTCAAAAATCAGTTTGAATGAAATCTATAAAGAAAATGAAGTTAATTATTCAAGCTCAATAAATTAGGATATCGGCCTCAACACTAAAGTATCCTTCTATATCGATAGTGATATCGACCTCATAAATCCAATATCTGTCAATCTGGTTTTATCCCATTTAATGTATTTTAATTGGCTGACCAGTTCTGTAAATATCAGCATCGATATCGGTTGTTGTATCGGCCTCAAAAATCCGATATCTGTCAGGTCCTTGTCTTATTCTCTTATTGTCATTAATCAAAGTCTGACTTTTTGTCCCATCAGCGTGGAGATCGGGGAGAGCGTGCGAGGCGAGGACGTGTACATCGTGCAGAGCGGCTGCGGCGAAATCAACGACAACCTCATGGAGCTGCTCATCATGATTAACGCGTGCAAGATCGCCTCCTCGTCCAGGGTCACCGCCGTCATCCCCTGCTTCCCGTACGCCAGGCAGGACAAAAAGGACAAGGTAGGAACACGCGCAAACACACCATCGAACCTTTCTTTATAGAGAACACAATAAAAAGGGAGTTAAAAACAGTTAAAATGCACTTAAAAATCTTTATTTTACACACTTTTCTGTGATAAAATGACATCTGCAGCGTGCTGACTGTGCTGTTTTTAAATATTCATTTTGAGCATTTATACATGTAACAAAGGGTTTCTAAAACGCTACAGATGACCTAAAAGCAGACTTAAGTGCCTAATAATGGTTACCCTTCATCAAAGTCTTGCTTCCAGACACAAACTGGACATTTAAGCTTCTCTGAATGACTTAAGTCCATGTTTCAAACCCCCTCAGTGACCTCTTGAACTGACTGAGTTTAGGTCGATGTTCCCCCCTCAGATTCACCTCACAGCTGTGTTATCAAAATCAAAAAATTGACTCGTGCAACCAGCTTATCTTGTCAATCATTATCGTGTGTTGCCTCAGATGTTTACGTCACTACAACAGAAATATGCTCCGTATTGGGCAACCAAAGAGCTGCTATGTCCTGCTAATCAATAGAGACGATTCCTGGTTGCACTTTCAAAGTTGTTGAAAGTTTAAGGATGTGTGTGTTTAGTAAAAATGAAACAGGAAATGATGAGTAAAAGCCTCCAGCTGCTCTTATTGTGAAACGATGCAAATAGGGAACTGAAAATGTGTGTGCAGCTGACTCTTGTTTGCACCCCGGCGCTCTCCTCAGTGCGATTAAACCTCTGAGCGCTCTCAAAAGCTCAAGAGGTCAGACGCTTCAGTCCGCTTTAGGCGCTCACGTTCAAATCAGACGTGCTGAAAACACTTGATGTCAAATGCAAAAAGAGTGTTCACCCCGAGCGCTGCTTGTGTCTTGATGCCTGTCACAGAGCCGAGCGCCCATATCGGCCAAGCTGGTGGCCAACATGTTGTCCGTGGCCGGAGCCGACCACATCATCACCATGGACCTCCACGCCTCGCAAATTCAGGTCAGTGTGCAGCTCTATCGGAGCTTTTCTGCACCACGAGATACATGCAGAGGAGTAAATCCTGAATTTGTCGGGTGTTTTTTCATTTGAAGGGTTTTTTCGACATCGCCGTAGACAACCTTTACGCAGAGCCCGCCGTGCTGCAGTGGATACGAGAAAATATCCCAGAGTGGAAAAACTGCATCATTGTTTCTCCAGACGCAGGCGGAGCGAAACGGTAAGAAGAGCAACCTTTGAAAATAAGACACGTCTAAAAATGTCTTTTAACGAGATTTTAATGAGAGATTTCTGAATGTGTCTCTTTCTTCACTCAGCGTGACGTCCATCGCTGACCGTCTGAACGTGGACTTCGCTCTCATCCACAAAGAGAGGAAGAAAGCCAACGAGGTGGACCGCATGGTGCTGGTCGGGGACGTTAAAGACCGCGTTGCCATCCTGGTGGACGACATGGCGGATACCTGCGGCACCATCTGCCACGCCGCGGACAAGTCAGTAAAATTTCAGACCTTTAACGTGTCTGTGACGTGTCTTAGACTGATACCGAGTTAAAGAGGCAAAGGGCAGAGAGGCGTTATCAGAGTGGAAGTGGGTCACAGTCTGGATACGAATATCAAACTGATAAGCTCTTTTATCTGAAGACTTAAGCGGTTTAATCGCTCTCTTTTCTCTAGACTGATCGATGCTGGAGCAGTGAAAGTCTACGCCATCCTCACACACGGTATTTTCTCTGGTCCGGCCATCTCTCGCATCAACAGCGCCCCCTTTGAGGCCGTGGTGGTGACCAACACCATCCCACAGGAGGAGAAGATGAAGGCGTGTCCCAAAATACAGGTACGTGGCGCCCCCTTGTGGACAAACATCTCATCCTGAAACATCAAAAAAAAAAAAACCCTCACTGGAGCTTTAACATAGCTAAAATCGCATACTTGCCCTTTAACACCACTTGAACTTCTTATTTTCCGCTTCAGGTCATCGACATCTCCATGATCCTGGCGGAGGCAATCAGGAGAACCCACAACGGCGAGTCCGTGTCCTACCTCTTCAGCCACGTACCTTTATAAAACACCTGATCCTCCTTCCTTCCTCCCCCACTCTCTCTCTCTCTTTCCTCACCCGTTCTTCTCTGAGCCACTCGACGGGCACTTCTCCTGCCGCACGTCCTCCAGAGAGGCTCCAACGACTAAAAAAAAAACAGCCTGATGGTTTCCAGCCAGCCTACATGCGACTGTTAAAAGGTCGCGCCCACTCGATCGTCGTCTTTGACATTTTCCCCCCGCGGAGACAAATATCACTTCATCATCTCTGGAGGCTAAGTTTGTATTTATGAGTTTCTCTTTTTCTTTTGTTTCATTTCTGACAACCTCACGCACCCGCGGTCCGGCCTTCACTTTAACCAAAGGGTCCACGATGAAATATTCGAACCTCACTTTTGATGAACCATTCCACCGAGGCATGTGATTGGGAATATTTTTGAATTGTTAGGCTCCACAAAGTTTTAAAAATAGTAAAAAAAAGTATAAAAAGTGTGCACCTTTTCTCCCCAGAGTCTTTGCCTTATAACAGCTGCTAAAAGTATTAACATTATAAAGCTTAACTCGCTAATTCTGACCTAAATGTGGTAATCACATTTCATCCTTTTTTTAATTCTTAATAATTCAGTAAAATCTCTCCGTCAGGTCTGGTATTGATATGATTTTCCTCATACGAGGTGTTTCTGGGTGGGTCACCCATGGTCAAAAAGGTCACAAAAACAAAAGGAGCCCCCAGCGTGGTGAAAGTGTTGATACTGAATGATTGAAACATTTGTGTTAAATACTTTCACCACAGCTGTGACGGCTCGCTTGAGTTCAGATGAAGCAGGTTTCACTGTTTGCCTGTTGGTGGAGAAAAAAAAGTGTGATTATTATTTTTTTTTTTTATATGTAACACTTGGGAGCTGTTTCCATGACAATAAAGCTTTGTCAATGGCTTACAGATTATCTGTCCTGCTTTGTTTTCTTCATTAAGACTTTCCGTCCTACATTTCCCAGAATGCAACTCAGCAACAGCTTTTTTTCAAGCCCCTTCATTCTGTTCAAAGCTTCAGACACTCTCAAGAGGTTTTCAGTTTGTCGATTTTGGTGCTCCCTGCAGTCTCCTGACAAAACAAACCTCATCACTTCAGTGACAAATTATCATTTTTTTTAAATGAGGAAATTTTTGCATTTTCTTCATAAAAAAATATCATTTGTCTTTTTATGAGGAAAATGAAAAAATAGCTGTTTTTACCTTGACAGTTTTTCATAAAAACTAAAATCATTTTTATTTTTACATTTTCTTTATAAAAATCATTTGTGTGTTTTTATTATGAAGAAAATGTAAAACCAGCTGTTTTTCCTCTGCTGTGCTCATACCTACTCTCTTGCACAAAACTCAGGCATAAAAGTAAAAATCTTAAAATCATTCATTTTAATTGCTTATATTTTTATGCTTTTATAAATCATAATCAACTTCCAAAAAACTCCTCATAGGGGCTTTAAGATCCATTTTCCAGGCTATTTGCTCAATCAGCTGGAAATATGTTGCGTTCGGGTTACCTCAGAAGTAGGAGCTGAAAATGACGTGGCACCCGAGTTCTGAGCGTTTCAGTTAGTTGGATAAAAGCAAAATTGGAGGCCTGAAACAAGATGGCTACGTCTACGAAAGTTATTTTAGCGCTTGCCTTATATTCGGGCAAGACGAGCGTTAAAATAAATGAACTTAAATATTAATAACTTAATTAATAATTTTGTAGATGTAGCCATCTTGTTTCCTCCAATTTTGCTTTTATCCGACTAACTGAAACGCTCTGAACTCAGGTGTGACGTCATTTTGAGCTCCGACATCTGACTTCTGAGGTAACTCGAACGCAGCAATAGATGAGGTAACCTTGATGACATCACTGTAACATCATTGGTTATTTCCCCCGGCAGCAAAAAACAATTTGGACTTTTTGAATAGATATGTCTATACATATAAAAATGTTTACATAAATATATTATAAAAGCTAAATAATTGGTCATTTAAGTTTGTTTTTGTTTGCTTCTATGCTGTGATTAAAGATAACCGAAGTTTGGAGTCTCAATACAAAGAATGAGGTAACCATGGTGACACCACAGTAACATCATCAGGGTCATGACCTCCAGCTTCAAAACTCAGAATAGAAAAACTAAGAATAGATAAATATATTTCAATGAACATATCTTTAAAAAGACCATTATTAAGAGTTTTAAGCTCACCAGTATTTTTACTGACATAAGTGCTGTGTTGATGTTTAAACTAAGAGAGTGAGGTAACCCTGATGACGACATGATGACACAATTACTGTCTCATAACCTATGAGTAATACAAAATAACATACATGTTTATATTCCAGTTGAGCACAGATCTGTGATTAAAAAAAAAAGGTTTTCGTTTAAAAAAATCAGCATACTTTCATTACAAACACTAAAATGTTTAAAAGGTTTATTTTGGTGGCTTTAGTTACAGTTATTGACCTTTGACCAACTTATTTTTCCCAGTGATACCTGCAAGATCACATGAGCTTACATGTTGTATATATTTTTTTTTTATGGACTTCATGATAAAAATAAATAAAATAATAGTCCTGTGGCTAATAGGTGCTTGTATTTTTGTAATTTTACAGCCTTAACTCAGACTTCACCCGCTTATCTCAAATTAAAGCATGAAATACTTTTTTGTTATGGTTTAACATTTGTAAAAATTTCTTGACATAATTTGAGGATTTTGAGGATTTTCTCAGATCTTTAGACTTGTAGGCAAAACAAATCAAAATAAAATTGAAGTTCTATGACTTATAGGTGCTTGTATTTTTGTATTTTTACATCCTGAACTCAGACTTTACCTGCTTACCTCAAACAATTAAAGTATGATTTTAAAAGTTCTTCTTTATTAGGGCTTAACATTTGTAAAAGTTTCTTGACATAAATTGAGTATTTTAAAGGTTTTCTTAAATCTTTTGACTTGTCGGCAGAACAAATTTAAAAAAAAAGAGGAAAATGCTTAAATCTATTCATTTAAATGTATGAGAATCTTGTTTTTATTCTGTCGAGGTTCGCTCTTAGTTTTTTTTTTGTTTTTGTGATCAACTTTTTATTATAATTTAAGAACAACAGTCATTATTCAACAGCACATTAAATAATTACAAGTGATGATAACCAAGTGCGTATCCATGTACGCACACACACAATAAAGTCATTATTTTTTAAATTATTATTATTGTTGTTGTTGTTTATTATTATAAATCAAATGAAAGATATAAGTGAAAATCATAAATAGAAACATACAAAAAGCAAATAAACAAAATACATAAAGCACAAATGCAACAAAAAAAAGAGCAAATGCAAAAAAAAAGTTTGTCTTTTTTTTAAAGTTCACCACTATGTTTATAAAGTTATTAAAATCAATTCGAGCTTTATTTTGGACCAACCTTTTTCTCTTTGAATCTTTGAATCAGTTAATCTAATAGTAAATAATAAACTGACCTGCTTTAGTTACATATGCTGTGTGATGTTTCCTCGCCACCAGAGGGCGCCCTTTATAAATGAATGTGCAGCTGCAGGTCGATAAGAGTCAGGAGGAAACAAAATATCCACTAAAGCTGATTTTCTTGGTCATTTTCATGTGAATTACTTTAAAGATTTTTGTAATCAAGTCTCAGTGATCATAAATAGACGTTTAAGACTCCATGTTTGCGTAAATCGGTGTTTCAGAATAAGAAAGGAGACCGTGAACTCATCACAGAAACATGATAAATCTGTATGTTATTGTTTCCCTCCACGTTCAGCTGATAAGAGGCTCCTTTGAGGGGGTTTCAGTGTTTGGTTTCACTCTCAGGATGATGGTTCGAGTCTCTCCAGCAGGGGGCTTTGGAGGATGGAGCCGGTGATGTCAGATGTCATTAGCATATTTCTGGCTATAACTAATGCTTGCGCAAAGACGCGCCACTACTGCTGCACCGCACTGACCAGAGACAACCAGCGACCCAACAGCATCCTGGTAAGACACCCTCAGCATTTCTTTCACTATTGTTTTAACATTTTAGATCAACTAAAGGCGGATAAATGTGAGGGATAAAGGAGGCGTTTGAGAAAATGCGTCAAAGCGAGATAATAACGGAGATAATTTTGATTTTTACGCGAATGCAGCGTCTTATTCGTGCGTAAAACCTCCACACATGATGTGATGTGACAGCAGAGGGGGCATGTTTGTGTGTGTCTTTGTGTAAAATACCCACATCCACGCATAACACCCTGTTTCTTTGTTGCTCGGGCTGCACACGCCTGGTCCCGTTAGAAAAATGATGCGTTCACGGCGCGTTAATCTGTGCGTCTGCGCTCTTTTTATGGCTGGATTTTGGACGTTTTTTGGCGTTGAACTTGGATTTTTTTTAGGGGGACTTTGGGTGGATGTGCAGACATGCCAATCTGGGCGGTGGTTCCTTCACGTTGCACTCCCCCCCCACCCCACTCCACCACCACCCCCAAGAGGGAATAGAAAAAGAAGTACGTGACAAGTGAATTTTGCGGATGTTGCACAGCTTCCATGTGGAAAGCCCCTGCGTGGACTCTCATAAAGCAACATTTAATCATAACAATATCATATTTTTGATCTTTTCGGGTTAGATTTGATAATATTCCTACAATAATGCTCAGAATGTCTCTCTTTTTTTATATTTGCCCAGCATGGGAACTCCCATTGTTATGTAAATGTCGGTTTTGAAGGCGTTGTGGACTGGCTTCATTGTCTGGAGCAGACCGTCCCCTGCATGTGTGTGCGTGTGAGTGCGTGTGTGAGTGTGTGTGCATCCTCCCCGAGGGTTTGTGTGTTGGATAACGGGGATGGAAAGCAGTCGTTTCACGCTGGGCAGAGCTGCAGGCGAACAAAAGACGGCGGACGCACATTTGAAGAAAAAGTAGTGCGGTCACTCAGATTTAGGCAACGCCCTTTTTCTCTTTGAAGCACGTGTTGATGTGGATTTCATCTCAATTCAACATGTTATTTCACTCCAATCTCTCTTGCATAATAACAACAATAAGCGTGTTGTTTATCTTTACAGATTATCTGCAACAATGGGTGACAAGCCTGACATCTCAGAGGTGACAAAATTTGACAAATCCAAGCTGAAGAAGACGGAGACGCAGGAGAAGAACCCCCTGCCTACAAAAGAAAGTAAGCCCCTCAGCTGCTGGTGTTGAATCACTCATGTTTATACTGGACTGCGGTGCGTTCAGGTGTCTCTCCAGGGGTGACGCTCACTCTTGTCTCCTCTTTTTTCTCCTCGCAGCCATCGAGCAGGAGAAGGCGGACACGTCGTGAAGCCCCTCCCTCCTGTCATGCACTGTACACCCCCTCCTCCTCCCGCATTGCCTTGTTTTCAGTCACTTCTTTTAGCTGTATAACTTTGTAACCGAAATTATGAAACGACAACAATAATCGAGCTGCGCAGCCCGCGGACAGATGAAGCCTTGTCGGGGCTGTCGGCCCCGCCCCCTCAACGACTCCCCGTACCACCTACACGCTCGTCTTTCCGAGACGATGAGGAAGATTTGTCCAAGGCGGAGGAAGGGGGGCTGCAGGAGGTGCACCCTAACACCTGGCAGCACCCACACGCAGCGGAGAGGCCTGAGGGACGGGGCGTGGCCCGCGTCCTAGGAAGCTCGTCCTCGTCTCACCACCAACACCCAACTTCTTGTGTGGCTGCTTTTGCGCCAAAGCTACGGCGTCAAGCTTTTTATTCGTTGTTTTTATTGTTTTTCGTCTTCTAATTTTCGGGAAATGCACAACTTTGTTTGTACGCTGGCCAAAATGTAAATGCCCCCCCTAAAAAAATTGATACTGTGTTCAATCACGATGTTTTTTCTTTTGTATGTACACGATGATGAGAAATTAAGTGTAACGGATTCCATCTAGAAGTGGGCGATCCTCGAATGGACCTTATTTTACAGTTAATTTTGTCAAGAGTGATTCGGGATAGCTTTTGTGTTGCAATCTGTCTCTGAATTGTCTCAAATGAGGAAAAAAGGAAAAAAATATATCTACTGGAAATTGATTCCATGTGTTTGCTTTCAACCGTAGATCAAAGTTCTTTGGAGTCATGTAAACTCTGCCACAAAACATTACCAGAAATGGAAAACCGTGAAATGTTGTAATAAAAAAAGATTTGTTACTAAAAAATCGAACCTCTGGAGTCCTTTTTTTGTAAACGCATATCTGATCACAATCCCTGATTTAACCCGGATTCAGATCAGCTCACATTTATGTAATATATCATCGCTTAAAATTAGCCTCTGCGTCTTACTGTAACCCACTTTCACACTTCGGGAGCCAAACAATCCTTCAGCGTTACTTAAGGGATGAAGCTGTGCACTATTGAAAGGCTTAAACGTCTCTGCGGAGAGCCTGGCAGGGATTTACCGGCACAGGAGATGAGGCGTTGGAGTGTGTGTGTGGAAATAGAGACAGGCTGGGAATGAAAGACCACCCTCTGTGAAGAAGTTGTTCGCTGCTGTCAGCTAAAAAACTTGACAGTAGATGTTTACGGAGAAGACGCACTCCCCGTTGGTAATATGATGCACTTTAAAGCCGAATAAACTCATTACACAGTAAAAATATCAAATATAACAGGAACTAAAAGGCGTCACTGATATTTTTCCCGCTTTTATCACCTGCTTTGCTGCACTTGTGAGCGATGGCTTATGGGTCAGCGTGCCCTGACCCGGAGAACAAGGTGTAGCCTCAGCGGGAGATTTACTCAGCCCTTCTTTACTCAACTGCCTTCGTCCTAAATTAGCCACCGCCTACAAAGCCTTAATGCCATCAGCATGACATTGCTAACATCGCCTGTAAACAGCGTGGACTAAAGCAGCTAAACGCCATATTTGCGCCGTTAGTTTCCTTGATATGTTGATAGATTCCCGTTCGGATTTGATGTGGATCCACTTTAGGGTTTCACTGACCTTTCCAAGGAGGTCAGGGGTGTTATTTGTGCGTTATTGAGCGCATTTCTCACTTTTATGCGTATTGTGGCGCATTTGCCGAACATTAAAAAGCGAGGAAAGGCGTCTTCGAAGTTTCTCGTCTGTTTTCCCTCCGGGCTAACCGTGAGATGATGGGTTGAGGCCTCGCAATAGTCGGCAAATCTTATAGTTAGCGTAAGTGGATTGTTGCTAAGTCAGTTGCTCTTAATAAGGCATTAATCTGCACCAACAAGGAGGGGTGGATGTGGAGGTCAGTGGGCTAGCAAGCAGAGAGACTCGGCCAAAGCCTTGCAGGTCCTCTCTCTCTCTCTCTCTCTCTCTCTCTCTCTCTCTCTCTCTCTCTCTCTCTCTCTCTCGGTGGGATTAACACCTCCCATCTCCAGTTTCTCCCTCTGCATGCTGTGACAGAGCTTTCCCCGGGAAAGTGACGGAGGATTTAAGGTGGAGCAGCAGCAGATGGGCGAGAGAGAGAGAGGAGGAGGAGGGGTGGGGGAGAAGAGGGTCAGATGTTGAGGAGATCCGGCGGTAGCTCTTCCCGGTATCCCATGGTAACAGCTGCTGCTGAGTCACTCCCTGGTGCTAGGCGGGCGGATGCTAGTTATCCTCTTGGAGGCCGTTTCTCCCCACGAGCTCTCACATTAAACCTGTCCTCCTGTCGGCGTGGTTTAAATACCACAGAGATTATGCGCCACATTCTGCCGCGTCATGTGTGTTTAAACACATTTAACCAGCTGTTGGCTAAAGCCTCGTGTCTGGAACAGCGGCCCGTCTTTAAACTTAGATCATCTGAAGGTTCTGGGTTACTTTACGGTTACAGGAGGCACTTGAGATTTTGTCTAAGCTTGGTGTCTTTCTGTTTGTTTACACGCAGTTAAGTCAAGCTACGGTTAAAGCTCCAGTAGGCGATTTAACCACTCCACTGTCGCAGTTTAAAGGACCAGACAAGAGTCAAATAAATGATAGTAGCATGTCCGCAAGTTACTGTCCAATCAATTCTTAGTTGACCTACAATTTCACGTAGAAAAGTCGTTAACAGGATGTAAGCGGATAAATGTAAAAATCGTCACTTTTACAGCTCTGTCTGTACCTCATATTTGTACGAATGAAAAGTTTAGTCTTTTGTTCGTCTCACGTGGTTTCTTTCTTTTACGACCCAGCTTCATAGGAAGTTAACTTACATGTTCACATTTTTAACATTGTTTTTCATTGTCGGATTTTTCATTGTTTCAGTTATTTAACCCTTTAATGCCTTTGTATCATATTTGATGGATACTTTTATATACTTCTATCAAATCAATATGATCAACAAATTACTAAAAAAACACCTGAATACAGTCGGATAAATAATAAAAATATCCTCTTGTAGTTTATTAGTTTTCAAAAACATCTAATGTATCAAACGAGAGAAATAAATATATTTGTTAAATTTTAAGGGCATTTTGATTTTTGTTTTTTTTTTAATAGTAAGTGGAATAAACATTTCAGCTCCAGAAAATTTGGAATTTTTTTTCCATAATTTGTGTTTTCAGGTATTAAAGGGACACTTATAACGAGTTTGTGATTTGTTAGTAGTTGATAACAAACCAGCTAGTTGTTTTACAGCCTAGTTTATGCTTCTCTGCTAAACTCACACATTAGCATACGCTATACGTTTGTGTTGCTCTGTAACTTATGTAGGGTGACCATACGTCCTCTTTAACCCGGACATGTCCTCTTTTTGGGGGGCTGTCCGGGGAAGTTTATAAAATCCTTCAAATGTCCGTGGTTTTGTTTAGAAGTTTCAAGTTTGTGTCACGTGGACTTACTGAGTTACAAGCGCGTAAAAGACACTCAATCCGTCCCGAAAAACTCTCAAAATTAACTTAGTGTGACTCTGTGACTCCGCCCTTGTGTAGTCGTGTCAGAATATGGTCACCCTACTTTATGCAGACTTGAATAACTCGACTCTTATACGTGGAAAATATGAGCCAGCTCCCATCTGAGTCCTGGTTTCCTTTGTTCCCCTTTTTGTTGAAATGACAGAATAAAAGGTCGATCCTCCTTCTACGTCACTCATGCAAAGAACATAATGCAAAGTAGTGATCCTCTGAGGACAGCAGGGTTTATTAAAGCTACAGTAAATAATCTAAGTCAAATATATGCACACAGCCGGGCTCAAAGGAAGTAAAAATGAAGGAAATTGTTGCACAGCAGGAAAAAAGCAGTTATCACATATGTGACATGTTAGATACAAATTGGTCCTCAGTTTAAAGCATTTTTGCATTTCTTGCAAATGGCTTGATAATGTTCATTGCTGCCAAGGTTGTATTTTTCATCTGGGACCACATTTCCTTAGATTTGCATGCTCTCATTTCCCTTAACTCCACTTTTCTTTAGGATTTGTGAAAGCACACTCGGAAAGCTGCTGTAAATACTGTTTTAGTCACGTGAGTGACGTGTCCGAATATCAGAAACAATGCTAGATTTTACAGGCATGTCTTAGATGCCGCCTATCTAAAGATTCAAGACCTCTCACAAATAAAAACAAGACTTTTAAACCTTTTTTATGAACTTTAAAACTCCCGTCAGTAACTTTTAGTTTCTATCAATTTGGCGCCCCCTGTGGACAAAGCCGTCTTTCCTCATTTTGTCGTCTACATGCTTAAAGGTGGGGTAGTCAGGATCTGAGGAAGTGACAGTTTTTGGGAGAAATCTTGAATATAAACTCTACACCTCCCAACCAGTTTTCCCCTCAGCTCCTCCTCTCTGCTCCAGCAAGCCCCGCCCACAAACAGACGCTCCTGCTCGCTCGTATTGTTCCAGTTAAATTCAGATATAATGCAGATTAATACTAATGAAAACAAATGGGGCCCAGTCAAGGTGAAAGTAAACAGCATTGGTGCTACTGTAGATGCCAACAGACTACCAGCAAACACAATGTTTGCAGGACTTCAACAACTAGGATAAAGTGACATAGTCCAGGACCCGAGGGAGGACAGTTTAGCGATGGCGCTACAACACGCAGCAGGTCCCGTTTGATGAGAAACAGACACTTGTCTTACTTTGTTAAAGAGGTTTACCTGTCCAACAGAAAAGTTACAGGGTCTGTAAGATCCTGAAGCGTCCCCCATCGTTTATGATGTTGACCCGGCTTTTTAGTTCTTGTCTGGTCTACCTCCTTTTTAAGTGCCAGAGTCTCCGATATTTACTTTGTTTTCTTGTTTATGTTGGCGGTCGTGGTCAAAGGAGGATTCAGACAATTTTCCGAACTTTCTGGTTGGTTTCTACTCCCACTGCGCAATGCGATGTCGAAAAGACATCTATTTAACGTATTTTTTTCGACAATGAGATACAAATGTGGACGTCACTTCAACGTCTAAAAGAAGTCCAATAATGACGTCTAAATCTTGGATCCATTTTACACATTGTGCCGATGTTTAGATTTGGACTTCAGACGACGTCCAAATTCTAAAAGTATGAGCGATGTCTAAAAAAGGTCCAATTTGGCCGTTGAAATTTCTAACCTATTTTGCACGTCGCACTGATGTCTAGATGTGGTCTTTGACGGGACAGACCCAATACTGACTTGATCTGCCCATCTCTTCGACATCTGATGTTTGGCGGGCTGTCAGATATTGTAGCACGCTAACTTTGTTTGGGCTCGTAACGTTGTTCGTGGACCGTGTCTCACAAGATGAGGGAGCAGCTTCTGCCTCACAACCAATCAGGTTGGGGGAGGTGGAGAATGGCTTTGTTTACAGTCAGAAAGAGCGGGTTGTTGACTACACAGACAGAACAAAACACAGTGATATTGTTATATTACCAAATGTCATCAATAACTAATAGCTATTGACTGATTTCTGTCTACCCCACCTTTAAGTAAGTGTCTCTATTGAATCAAAACAAACAAAAATACGACTTTTATCCTTACAAATGTTAACACACCACCTGCTAGCGTTAGCCTCGTCCCTGTGAGCTTGTTAGTATCCCAGCAGCCTCTTCAGTCACTCTGTCTTTTGTAGCAGAGGACACAAATGAACAGCCGTGTATCAGCGGAGCTCATTCACCCTCTGTCTCTCTGTTATCTGTGTTCGATAGTATGTGCAGGTACCGCTCGCTTTTCCACAGAGACCGAGTCAATTATCTTTCTATCACTGGCTGGCAGAGACGAACAGAGGATCTTCTGCTGATTTCCATGGCAACTACCCACCCAGGAGCTACATTTGGCTTCGCTACTGAGGCGGGACGTGGCTGGTTTGACCGCACGTTAACACCTGACCATTAGCTTTAACGCTCTCAGAGATATCCGCCGTCTGCGGCTGCGGGGGTGTCAAACAGAAAGAGGGGAAACACGTCAGCGTCATGCTGTCTGTGGTGTCTTTGTGGAGCGGTCGCCATCTCAGCTGTCGGCCACGATGATTTAGAAAAAAGAAGCACAAAGACTCGAGCTCGCAGCACTCGACAAATATGTACCATTTGTCCCTCCTCTGCTGTGTTAGAGGTCATTCGATACTCGCCGCTGCTGCTTTCTTGACACATGGTGATGACGAGCTCATGAGGTATGAGCCTGGAGAACCGTGTGTGATCAGACTGTGATTCAGAGGGAAACACAGACAGAGGAACCTTGAACTATCATTCTACTGGGTTATCCGACTCTGTAACACTCAGTACGTTTACATGACACTCGAGAAAACCGAATTATCACCTTATTCCGATCAAGACGGGACAACTGAAGTGCAGGTAAACACCTTAGTCCGACTATAATCAGAGTTTGAAAACTCCGATTCAGACTCCCAGATAATGTGATCGGAATTCGATTTTCTCCACCATGTAACCAGCGCAGTCGGAGTATAACTGGCTAAACCCACAGGAACCGGAACTGCTCCGCTCCACTCCAGAACAGCAGGCGGATCAGATCCACAAGCCTACAGTGCCCCGCAGATCCGATCTACTGCCACCGTCAGAGGAGAAGCACTTGCGAGATTAAGATATTTCTCGCCAGACTGGGCGTGATCTCACAAGCTCCCGCATGTTTCCCCGGGAGTCATAGAATGAGATCCACCGATCGGTGTATGTTAAAGGCGGTGTAAATAAACACCCACATCCCACAACCCTGGCCTCTCCTATTATCAAGTTAAGACCAGTTAAACATATTTAACTTTATTTTATTATGAAAATTCGCCAGATATTTTACAACTTCCGCTGCTGCTCATGCTGCACTGATTTGATGCGCCGGGCTCAGGCATCCAGCAAAAAATGGAAGCCTTGCATATCTGATCTGACCGCCAGAGCCGATCCGCAGCGGAGCCGACACAGAACAAAAACACCAGAGAAGAGGAGTAGCGTGAACCTCATCTGCAGAAAGAGTAGCGCGTACATCACGTACGACAAAAACAACGCTGTACTGATGCTCCATCTTCTTGCCGCAGTTGTAGACACTTCTGACGTCTGTCACGAACCTGCTGTTGTTGTTGACAGTTGTATGGGGTCGGAAACAGCGCCGCTAAAAAGACCCCTATCGCCCCCTAGTTTTGGGGAGGAGAACACGTTCACGTCAATAATTCAATTTTCTCAGCTGCATGTAAATGGGGACAAAGAGAGACGTCCGATTTGGTGAAAAAAAAAAATAAATTATGAGCTTAGTCTGATGAAACTGTGCATGTAAACGCACTGAATGTTCAGGGTTAACACATGATGGTCCTCGTCTCCAAAATCAAGTTCTCCTCATTGTTCCTCAGGGTCAGATAGTTTGTAGTGATATCATGCAGCAAATCTAACAACTGCATGACCTCGCAACAAAGCAGGAAAATCCACTTAGCTTATTTACACGCACTGAAATGTTTTCACGCAAAAAAAAAGAGAACTGGCTTTAGATTGTTTCTTTTCCACTCACGTCCTCTTTGTGCCCGTGTGTTTACAGATAAGTGCAGCCCTGCGTCCGGAGTTAGCAGGGAAGCAGGAAATTACTTTTTATAGCACTTTTCTGAACAAAGACACAAAGCCGTTTGAAAAAGAGGAGAAAAAAAACACAGACGGGCAAACGGGCAGAAATACGGCTTCAGGAAAACAAGAGTGCGAATGAAACTGACACAGATCAGGAGTCAGTGAGGCACCGATCAGGCGTGTCCCTGCATTACTGACTTTTCCTGCTGCCTGTCCATACATTGTGTTGATTATCCGAGACATGCTCTATTAGTCTGGCCCCAGTTGGGCCCCCCGATCAATGGCGTCTAAATGGTGTTGACGTTCTCCATTCCTTGTAAATGCATTAGCCGAAGCGCTGCACAGAATCGATGCAGCAATACAGACGGCAGAGCGAAGCTGAGAGCATCACAGAGTGTCACATCGACTCTTTTTGACTTGATGAGGTGCTGCTGAAAGAGCCGCCGCGGCGAAAGAGCCGTGCGTGCACGTGTGTCTGCGGGGAGCAGGAGAGAACTCGTGGCATGAGTGCTGGAGAAAAAAAAACATGGAGAAGCTCTCAGCCGCTGCTCTCCTGAGGGTTAAACAGAGCGACAGCCGTGACATTTCCCCTGAGCAGAGAGGCCGCAGATGAGACGCCTCCGCCTTCGCTGCAGGTGCACATCTGGGCCACTCTTTGCATCACGATACTGTAGACAAGACTGGAGACGCTTTTGGTTTCTTTTCACCAGAGAGGAAATCACACATATGAGTGTGAGACTATTTCAGGAGCACAGCGCCTTAAATTACAGCAGCACCTTCTCAGATTTGAGTGAAGTTACGTCTTCAGAAAACACAAACTCGCAGCGCAGAGGGAGTCGTCAAGGTTGAGTCGCCCGCTAGATTATTGTTTATCATGAGCGTTAATTATCCTGGTGGTCCCAGAGGAGAGCAGCCTAATTACTGCCCCCGTGTTAATAATAAGCTTAGTCATGTTGGGCCTTTATTTGAGTTCATATTCATCATTCAGTGCGTTTACATGCACAACTTCATCGGACTAAGCTCATCATTTGTTTTTTTCGCCGTATTTGACTTCTCTTCTTGTCCGCATATACATCTAGCTGAGAAAATTTAATTATTCATGTGAACGTGTCCTCCTCCCCAAAACTAGGGGGCGATATGGGTCTTTTCAGCGGCGCTGTTTCCAACCCTATACAACCGTCAACAACAACAGCAGGTCCGTGACAGACGTCAGAAGTGTCTACAACTGCTGCTGGACATTTTCGAGCAAGAAGACGGAGCATCAGTACAGCGTTGTTTTTGTCGTACATGATGTACGCGCTTCTTTTTCTGCAGATGAGACGCACGCTACTCCTCTTCTCTGGTGTTTTTGTTCCAGGGTTATGGAGGCGTGGCACATGCACACGTACGTTGTCCAATCATTCTGGTTACACAACAGAGAAAATCAAATTCCAATCTCATTATCTGGGTGTCTTAATCAGAGTTCTCCGACTACGATTATAGTCGGACTAAGGTGTTAACATGCACTTCAGTTGTCCGGTCTTAATCGGAATAAGGCGATAATTCGGTTTTCTCGAGTGTCATGTAAATGTACTGAGTGTAAGACCAACAGAAACTGGGGGACGTAGAAACCACAAATGGCGTCCGAAAGGCATCCTAACCAGCTGACTCCTCTCGACGTGGAGGAGCAGCGGTTCTACTCTGTGTCCGAGCTCCTTACCTTTTCTCTAAGGCTGAGCCCGGACACCCTGCGAAGGAAACCCATTTCAGCCGCTTGTATCGGCGATCTCGTTCTTTCGGTCACTACCCAAAGTTCATGACCATAGGTGAGGATAGAGGATAGGTGAGGCACGTAGATCGACCGGTAAAGGACCTCCCCTCCGACCTGGAGATGACAACCTACCTTTTCCCCCCATTAAACAAGAAACGCCCTGACCGGGATACAAACCCACGACCTTCTTGCTGTGAGGCGACAGTGCTAACCATTACACCACTGTGCCGCCCATTGGTTATCTTTCAGCATTGAAAATTCCAACGACACCCTTATTTTTGTGTGTTCTGGATCACAGTATCCAGAATTTTGTCTGGATCAGCACCAAAATGTAATGGGATCCTCCTGGGGCTGAGACGCACCTCTGGTGAAAATTTCAGGTCAATCCGTCTGTAACTTTCTCCGTAAAGTTGCTAACAGACAGACAAACAAACAAACCAACGCGACCGAAAACATAACCTCATGACATGCGCGGTTTTTGTGCTGGACTTCCTGTCTGTGTGGATTGACGCGCGTTGGAAGTGTAGAGCAGCAAAAATGAACGTCACGTATCTTTAGCAGTGCCGCTCTCGATACGTGTCCTGTACGTTGTAGCCCTCGACTGTTTCCTGTAAAAACAGATCTTGTCATGAAAGTTTGGAAGTGCTTCTCTAGGAGGGCCTCTCCAAACGAAATTAAAAGACTCTTGAACAGACGGATTGACAGACTCGTTTCTGAGCCTCGGCCCACACCTGCCTCTTCTTTCTCTACTTTTAGATCAGACTGATTTATTATCTTGTTCTTTCCATCTTTCCCTCCACGCTCCGGCTCTGTATGCGCAGGTGAAAAGCCCAAGGACACCTTTTCAAGCCGCCCCGCTCGCGCCGCTCGCAGGTGATTGATGAGTCATTTCTGGAGAGCTGCCGGAGCTTTTTCCTGCTGATCGGCCTGTTTTTCACAAAGTCACACCTCTTCAGCTGTGTTTAAGAGAAGCTGCTGTTTTTATTCCGCTGTTTTTTTCCGCTTGCTGCTGTTTTCGAATCCGAGTCTCAAACATTACTCAGCATGTGCCTCTGTTATCAGGCTGCAGTCGAGGGTTTAATCTATCTGAGCCTGTGTGTGTCTCTTGTAATTACACAACACTACCTCACTGTTCCTCTCATGGCCTAGAGGAAAGGTTTTATTAACCACATGGGTAACAGGAAGGCATGTCAAATGTGCTTTTTGCCATCTATAAGCTCATTATCTCGGTTTCGAGCCCCACAGGGTTAATGATACGCTCATACCGATGGAGATTGCGTTGAAGACCGTCTCGCCTGCTGCTCCTCGCCTGAGTTGCCCTCCGGTGCTTTAAAAAGCGTCCTCATGGTGTTACATCATGTGGGATATGTGACATGAGACTGGTTGCTCAAACAATGTTGCTTAAAGCCCTCGTTGTGCAACATCTCACTCCTCAGATGATACTGTAATTCAAAGCGTTAATGAATCATGTGTTGAGTGGGGAAAGTTGTGAAAAGCGAACACTGAAAGGACTCAAAACACTTCCATAGAATATTCTCTTTACAGCCCTGATTAGCATCGCAAGAGTCCAGGTCTGCAACCACTTAACCTCGTTTCCCTGAGCTGTTTGACACCGTGTTTACTTTTTATTTCCTATTGCAGAGGTCGATGCGGCGGAGATAACGCCCGCTGGCGTGGCAGTGAGTCACACTGAGCCGGGGTCAGCTTGAAGCTGCAACAACAACAACAGCAGCAGAGGAAGGTGGGACGAAAAGGAAACTGGACTCTCGCCATCATGTGAGTGGCTGACAGCATGAACAGGTTAAATTATTAGTTCCTGCATTTGTTGAAATTTTCCCCAGAGGTGATTTGTTCTTACTGAAATACACGTAATATCTTTATTTCTTAGGGCCAAGAATAAATGAAACTATTGTGATAAATAACTGAACTGTAGATGAAGAATAGAAATCTCAGATAAACCCTGAAACTTGAGACGGGCAACTTCAAATCTCATTTTAACCTTTGTCTAAAATGCATAGAAAAGTATCACAGCCATTAGGGCCTGTTTACACTGACAGCATTTTTTTTTAAAGCCTGGACTCAAGAGATATTCTGGCTTAAAATTAATTTATGGTCAAACACACTATAGACATCCCCTTGAGAGATGAATGTTGCTTCTCTAGTTATACCAACTTTAGTAACGACCGCAGGATAGCAATACACATCTGTCTGAGGAGCCATAAACAAACCTCAACCAAAACGCCACTCTATAGCCACAAATAATGCTCAGAACAGCACCTAACTTCATCAACAGTAGAGATAGGGTCCCAGCAATAGTACTAGCCACCAAACATCTTTTTAACTTTGACGAATTTCTTTAGCAAAGAGACTAAACACAACTCACCTACTCTCTTCCAGCAGCCGCTTGTTTGTAACGAGACCTCAGGCCAGTCCATTATGGACTACAGCGGGGTGATGCAGCTCAAGGAAGAACATTTATGATCATTTCTTTATCATTTCGTTGAAGTAATAATCACCATATAAATCATTTTCCACTGTAGACGCAGTAGTTCTTCTGTCTTAGCGTCTCAGTCTGATTGTATTTCTATAAAGAAATGATCATAAATGTTCTTCCTTGAGCTGCGGAACCCCACTGTAGTCTGTAATGGACTGACCTGAGGTCTAGCTACAAATAAATGGCTGCTGGAAGAGAGTAGGTGAGTTGTGTTTAGTCTCTTTGCTAAAGAAATCAGGCAAAGTTAAAAAGATGTTTGGTGTCTAGTACTATGTCTGTGACCCTATATGTCCTGTTGATGAAGTTAGGTGCTGTTCTGAGCATTATTTGTGGCTATAGAGTGGCGTTTTGGTTGAGGTTTGTTTATGGCTCCTCAGACCGCTGTGTATTGCTATCCTGTGGTCGTTGGTATAACTAGAGACGCAAAATTAATTTTACACCGTAATAGCCCTTTAACCACAAAGAGTCAAAGTTGTCTGTTAAACATGCTTTAACTTAAATTAAAACAGTTTGGTCATTTTAATTTGAACAGTTTCAATCCCCAAGTGTATATTTACACTATTATCCTATTTCCATTACTTATGCTAGGCTAATTGAATCATCTCCTACCTTTAGCTCTATATTTAGCATGAAAAGGGTTTCTTGTCATCTCGTGTTTCTCTGGTGCAGCTCCTTAAATGTTCAGTCAAACCCATTAAAGCTAGCTTAAACGACGGTTTAAACAAGACATCTCTATTTTTGCTAACACAGTCACAGCTACAGATATTTGGGATCAAACATGATGCAAATTTCTGCCCACCGTGCAGCGAGAACAAACAGCCTCACTGTGTTTTTCCTGCACTGGAGGATTTTACTGCTTAGCCTCCAGCTAACACACACACCTGCATTAACGCCCACAGACCCAAAACACACTCTCCTGTGGATGCCAGGAGATGTTTAAAAGCCAGAATTGGCTGATTTAGCGGAAAGTTTTGAGATTTATGAAAGCGTTTAAATCGGAGCGCGGGGTGCTGGAGGCGTGTGCGTTGAATTATAATGATGTCATCGATCTCTGGCTCGTTTTCTCTCCGCTACGTGTGCCGGTTGGTTGTTTATTGCCTCTGTATAAAACTATGTTTTTATTTTGTATATCCTCAGTGTGGTTTGTGTACATCTGTGGGTAAGAAACGCTAAAGCCTCCTAGAACTAGGGCTGGGCGATATGAGAAAAATTTAATCATGATATATTTTTTCATATCAGTCAATATCGATATATATCACGATATAAAAAATGACATTTAACAGTGCTTAATGGTCACATGTCTTTTGCAATACAATAATCTACTGTATCTGTGAGGTCTTTGTGTCTTTTACCACGTTTTGTCGTAAGGCATTGAGCTACAAAAAGCCGACTGAATGGTTGGATGTTTCGGCTGTCAGGGTTTGTAACCTTTTGTATTGCGCATGCTCTGCAGCGTGGTGCTGCTTCAGGCGTTGAAAAAGATTTGAGTTATTCCCCAACTTTGTGAGAACATGTACTTGACATAATTTGCAGTGCACATTGGCCCCAATGGGCCAAAATCCAGACTGTTGTGGGATGGAACGGCAAGTGATTCACGCAACAGGATGGCCCAGCCAGGCTACTTTTACATATCGATATTGAGGGAAATTAATCGTTTTATCACCCAGCCTACCTAGAATCGAGGACCACCTTGCATCCTCACGAAAACTAAAAATCTTGATGTTATGTGAGCATTTCTCTCCTCTTTAATTCTCCGTATTTTGAAACAGCAGCACCAAACTCAAGGACGAAAACACTCCAAACCTGTGATTTGTCAAACTTTTCAGGAATCCCTGGAATCCTGAACCACATGTTGTTTTGTCTGCTCAAAACAACATCTTATCTCATGAATGTTTATATTATTGAATAGCTTTTTCAAACACTACAGGCTTTCACCGAGGAGATTCAAGACCTTTCGTGGCCTGAAGTGAAGCAGCATTGTGCAAAAAAACAAAATGACTGTGATGTCTCTTAGCTTCCTCGCATCTGCGTTTCTTGAGGCTGGTTGGTTTGTGACTCAAGAGGAAGAGGTCTTGCATTTTGGCTGTTCGCCCTCCTCAAATCTCCCTGATCTCTGGGCTCAACCTTTGACCCTTCTTGTACGTGGCAGATACCAAATCCAATTTCCTAACAGGGATCATCTGCCAGAGAGATTTGTTATCATCCCAGAGGTTTACAGAATTGATTTGGAGTCCATTTCTTTCCTCTTAGTGGCCAAACCCACTCCTAATCTCGACAGTGATTCATCAGATGTTCACGCTAAAGCAGCCAAAGGTCAGGAATACGACCCAAACCCGCGAAATTGCAAATAAATTCATATTCCCTTCCTTTAGTCCGGAGCTGGTTTTTGGAGGAATGAGCTCTGATTGCAGCCAAAATCTGCTCAGATTCCTGAATGTCCCAGCATGCCTCTGTGAAAGCTTTTTGTGCATCTAGAGCAGAAAAAGGGAAGTCTGGCCGCTCTTTACTTCCTCTTAAACTGTATCAGTAATTACTGTGCTCGCTGCCTGTGGTTGCAGAGTTTCAGAGCTGGTATGCTTGACATTTTCAAGTGCAAAAAGGAGAGTTTGACCCGTGTTGTGTTGAAATGTCAGGGCATCATCGCTGTAGGATCTTATTTTAAATCATTTTGTAAAGCTGATGGGAAGGAGGAAGTTTAATATGACTCATGGTATCTTAGAGTTATTGCTGAAATAGCCGCTGATGCGACAAAAAACTATCAGATAATGTGAACAACTCAGCAGGTTGGGGTTAAAAGAGGTTAAAATTGTCATTTTAGTGCATTTAGTTAGAAAATGACATGTGAAAATGGTTGAAATGGACCTTTAAAACTAAGAATAGCTGACCTATTACAACCCTAACTTCACTTTTTAAATAGTATACATGAAATACAATCCTTTTTGTCTTACAGTTAAAACCTATATTTGCCTATATATAACCTATATTATCTACATTTTTAATGATATTATGAGACCGTAGAAGCCAAATCTTTCAAATTTGGTGTAACTACGGTGAAATTGTTGAATCATTTGCTCACACGGTGAGTTCTACTACAGAGCCATGTCTATTTTAACACAGAGCTTCCAAGGGTCTTGGCCTCTCTGGATTCCCTTTTTATGCCGAGTCATGTTACTAGACTGTTGCAATTTGGGAGATTTTGTCCAATAGTTTCTGTCTTTTTTTAGCGTTGCATAACTACAGTGTTGTTTTTAAACAAGTAACTGGTGTCATGCTTTAAACAAGAATACATCCCTGTAAAAAACATCCAATTTTCCAGCTTTAGTGCTATTTCTAATTAAACACAAGGTTTAAATGATTTGCAAAGGAACAAAATCTGCTTTTTAAAAACATTTTGCACACTATTAATCACATTTAGAACCGTGTTAATACATTAAACTGACAAGCAGAAAGAAAAAAACCTTCAAATTTATGTATAATTGTAATTTATGTGCATTTAGTTGGAAAATAACATGTGAAAATGGTTTCATTCAAGTGCATTTATTTGGAAAATGACGTGAAATGGTGAAGTAAAGATTAAACCTACATTTGTAGAAATAGAGTTAAACTTTGCTCAGATTTTGGTTTGGGGATGTAATTTTGATCCAATGTGGTGAGTTCCACTAGTGTCTTTTTCTCAGTGTTTAGAACCGTGTTCATGCATTTCACCATTCAAACAAACAAACAGAGTGGTATATAGGCTATCTCCATGGTAACAGACATGCAATCTTGCCATGGATACGTGACTATAACGGTGTATCTTACCTAATTTGCTGCGATCCTTAACCCAGGATAACAAAATAATAAAATCTCTGCACTATCTCTGCTAATTCCACACCCTGCTGATTAAACTGGTCTGAAAGGGTTTTGGACTCGCTGTTCCCGCAATGGTGCAAATTTTAGGTCAGCTATTTATCGATTTTATCAAAGTGATGACTAAGCTGATACAGACAACAACCGGCCATTACTGGTGCACTAACAGCGGATAAAAAACTATCCAGACAGTGACTCAGTGATAATGTGAGAGCTATTCGGGTCAGCGCCGCTTCAATAAAGATAACAAGACCTGATTAACTTGAAGTCAGGGACTGTCATCACGTCCAGCAACAGAAAATTGTTGTGGTTTATGTTTTGAAGAGGAATCGGAGCTGTTTCAGTTTCTAAATTTGGAGCAGTTCTGCGTAGAGAAGAAGAAGTCGATGTTCAAGGCCTCAAAACAACAACAACAACCGCTGGACTGATTCGCCTCCCGCTGCTGCACGAGGAAGCCAAGGAGCTGATTGCTCTTCCTGTTTTTTCGGGTGCGAGTTTAACTCTTTTCTGCCAAGTTTCCCTCGCCTCAGTATCAAAGGTGAAACCGCGTTGTTATGAGGTCAGATTAATGAATTATAGAGGGTTTTACAGTGGTGGAGAAACAACCGCGGAGGTTACGGGAGGTGAAAGAAGAAGAAGAAGAAGGAGAACCAGTTGAAAAGGGGAAAGTGCTAATGAGGATGCTAACTCATGTGGGTGATTTCAGCTGCTCTGACTGTAAATCAGAAAGTAGGACTTCCCGCAAAACGCCGATCGAGCCGTTTCTGGGTGAATAGAATCCCAGATGCCGGAGCGCCCCTCCGTCTTTGCAAAAGGAAAACAGCCGGTCCCTGTGTCTTTTTGTCCGTTGAGGCCCCTCCTTACATAAAGGCTTTAGTCAGACGTGTGCCTACATTCTCTCGCCCCCAACCTCCAATCACCCAACCCAACTCCGACTGGACCCCTGCCCAGATGAGCACCGACACGCCCGCTTTGTCTGCAGATCTGGCACATGACCTGCTCTGGCAACTGGCACGGTGGGCCGAGCTCCAGTCGCCACCCACGCCCTCATTGCCCCCCCCCCCCTTGTGCCCCTGTTTTGCCCCTTCAAAAAAAGCCCCCAAGCCCCAGCGTAGGCAGGGCGCCAGGACGGGCAAGACAACAATAATGGCGTCTGTGGTTATTTGTTGGGGGTTTGCAGTCAGCGCCTCGTGAGGCACGATCTGGGATGTTGGGAAACAACTCAGCATGGTGGAATTAAGAGCGGTTATAATATTTTGACAGCGGGGACATTTGAACCGTCGTCACGTCTTTGTTTTTGTTTGACTTGGATGAAAACGCGGCTCACAGGATGCCAAAAAGCCTGATAATGACACTTAACCCTTTGACCTCTGGACAATACGCTTTGATTATGACCCTTTTAACCTTACAGGTGAACATTTTCAACACAGATGAATTCAAAGTGTTGAAAAAGCAAACAATGTCCATATTTGATGTTAGATTTTACAGATTTAGGATTGTTGTAATCCTCGCTAAAACAGAAACTGATCAGACGATTAAACAGGTATGAAGGCGTCTGTTCGAACAGGCTCAAACAGAGCGCCAAATCCCTGGCAGCAGCACCTGAAAAAGCCTCAGGCGGTGATTTTAATCCAATTGTGCAAAACTGAGTCACTTTCTGATAGGAGGAATTAATTATTACGGCGGTGAGTGTTTAATAAAAATTAATAAACCACATCTAAGAAATTAAAGACGATCCTTTTATCTCATGTTCGGGTTGGCACGAGGTTAACTGAGGTTTCGCTCGATGGTCGTAGGCGGGAACAGCTGAGAGGGTGGGAGAGGAGGGAATGTCAGCCATCCGGCATGAATCTCATGTTTGAGTTTAAGATGGAAACTCTGGGGATGAAGTCGATCCAGAGGAGCTAATTTAGGGTCAATTTTGAGGAGTTTCAACTCAAATAAGCGGAGGAGTTCATCTGTGAGTAAAATGGAAGTAACTCAACACCGTCTTTTGTTTTGATTTGATTAAGACGAGGTGGTTTTTCTCCTCTTATGAACGTTTTCAGGCCCCCCCAGCGTCGGAGAGAAACCTCAGACCAAACAGCAGAGGATTAACTCGAGTAAGAGAGAGAGAAGCTGCCACAATCCCAGAGAACCCTCCTCCTTCTCCTCCTCTTTCTCTTCTTCATCCTCCCTCCCTCTGCTGCTCAGAGGTCAGCGCAGGGTTACTTCCCAGAAACAGGCCCACCCTCCATCGCTCTCTTTCCATAACAAATCTTCACGAACACAAGAGAGCTCTCTCAGCCCGGGGGCGCTCAAAAACGAAGCGCCTGATAGCGTTGAAGGGTTTCACACGGCTGCAGACGGTTATACGGTGAATTAAGAGTGACGTGTGTCGTCTTTGCTGCTTGTATTATGTCTCACGGTGTGTGTGGTCCCCGTTTCCTCGCTGTGATATTTGCTTTTATAACTTTCTCTGTGGATTAAAAACCAGCTTTGAAGCAGGCAGCCTAATTCAATGCTAATGTAGAAACTGGATTTTTAAACATGGGTGTTAATGGAGTTAATGAGCTTTTGGAGCTAGCCTCTAGTGGACACTTGAGGTACTGCAGCGTCTTTTCTTTTTCCTTCAAGGTTAGCAGCTTTCTAGTAAACAAAAACTTGTAGTCGGGAGCGTTTTTTTCGAGTGATTATTTTGGACGTCAATATTTTTTTTCGAACCCGTATCCTGTCACTACAAGCGTTCACATCAGCGACGTTTTCCTGTCCTGCGATATTCCCTTTTTTTTCATTTCACGGTCGAATTTTCTAAAGTTTCGCATACTGTGTGTCCACTTCTGACCAATCAGATTTCGTGTTGTTGCGACGTCAGATTCACCGGTATATCCAACATGGCCGACCGGCTGATTGTTTACGTGTCGGAGAACAGAGTGATTTTTGATAAAAAACACAAATATTACAAAGATAACGACCTGAAGGACGACTTGTGGAGAGTCATAGCGTCGGATTTCTCACATGACGATGGTTTGTGTGCTTTAACAGTTTGATAAACGTCTTTGTTTTGATTTTCATCTGTGCTAAGTAACTTTAGCTCGTAAGCTAACCTGTTCAGATACAACATACCACATGTATTTTCACTGTCTCAAACTCAACCACAGTGTTGCTGTCACAGCACCATTAGGTGTCAGTTTTTACCTTATGTTTATGGATTATAGGCTACATTCACACTGAAGGTTTTGATGCACAATTCGAAGTTTTTGTTAAATCCGATCTTTTTGTGCGGTCGTTCACACTACAACAATGGATGCGGCATCTGATGTGAACGGAATGCGTACGTGAAGTGACCCTGATGCGCACAAAGCAGGATGTGACGCACTTCTCCGTTTCCACGTCCGCCATTGCTTTCCGCGCCTGTTTGTGTTGTCGAACAATGGTGACGTTTGTCGCATATTGATGACGTATAGGTCGGATGAATGCGACCTGAGCGTCCACACTGCAGTCACATCAGATACAAACATCGGAGTATCAATTCGCCATCACTTGAAGTTGAAGTAGACTCTATTTTGTCTTCTTGCGTCCGCCCGGGACGCGTCTTTTTTTTCCCCCCGGAAAGTCGCAAAATCGCCTCAGAGTATTTTGTAATTTCGCCTCGTATATTTGTGTTGTTCCCGTGTGTAGGGACCTTTACAGGGTGAAAAAAGTCTAAATAAGACGCAGAAAGTGTCTCCAGGAGCGAGCTGATCCAGGATCTTCATCTGCGCCACATTGTGATGTAATACCGCCGCTGTGTTGACCGGTTTCTTCTAATGTGTTGTGATAGTCTCATTGTTACGAACCCCCGTCGAGTGTTTTGGTGTCTGCTAATCCCTCAAACCCGAGGATCTACTGTGCTGCTCAAACAGGATTTCTCCTGGATTGTTTTTCACGGCTCCACCTGCACTTGAAACAACACGATCCTCTGGCATTGTTTTCGACACACGGCGTCCGGCGGGTTGAGTTGTGTTGCATTTTGGCACTCTTTACTCCAAGTGTGACTGATGCTACCCTTCATGTTACATCAAGCAGCTCATATTAGAGCACTTAAACCAAACAAAGTGTCTTTATTAGCGCAGCTTATCGTGGAAAAACCGAGTAAGTGAGTCCAGAGAGTGCACTGCCTTTGAAGCCGTGTGCCTCTTGCATAAGAAACAACGATAAACAGCTCGGTTAAGTGTGTTGACATTGTCTTAACAACTGGAGACGAACACAAGAGCACTTTGAAACAGCCTGGAGGTAAAGTGGGCAAAGTGGAGAGGTAAAACAGCTGGTTTCTGAAGATATACGTCCATCTGAACCTCACTTTTACATTCCAGCGAGCTAACCGGGTGATGAGATTAGATAGCGGTCGAGTCAGACCACAAGCCTCCTCACAATGTGGCCACTATCAGAAACAATAGGCTAATGTAAGGGTCTGGCAGCCTCTCGCATTCCTTCATCCCCTTGAAAACAGCCTGAAGATGTTAAAAGCTGATCAATTTGCACGGCGCTGCTAAATGGGTTGCACATCTATGTCACATCAGGGCTCGGCGGGAGGAGCAGCGGGTTGCTAAGGGGCTGAAATGCTTGAGTTTGAGCGCAGGGCCGATAAATAGGACGACTGGTGCTTCTAGCGAGAGTACGGGGAGCTTACTTTTTTCTCATTACGCTCAATAGAGGGGACATGTTGATGCATGTCGCTGAGAGGGGGGAAGCTTAGGAGGCTTTTATGGATAAGAAGATTTCAACTGGAGCTAAATGTTTTCACAAAATTCGACTCATTGGCGGCTTAAAGCGAACGAAAGGGTCCATCTTTTTTTATGCGGCATTGTGTTGAATCGAGAGTGAGCTGGTGTTGTAATTGGCGTTGACTTTCCCCACCTCCCCAAAGGCTGTCAAAGAAAACACACAAATACAAACACACACACACATACGCACTAATCCGCCCCGACAAGATGCTGATCAGACAGAGTGAAGGGTTGCCAGATCTCTCAGATAGACGTGCAGGTCCTGTCAGGCTCATGCAGCACAGATCTGTGTGTGTTTGTGTTTGTGTGTTTGTGTGTGAGTCCTCAGGCTGAAGCTTATATAACACATGACAGCAGAGAGACAGTCACTCACATAGATGGAGGTTTTTGCACCCCGGGGACACACAATCCAACCTCTCTGCTTCCTGCTGCGGTTGACAAAACTTACCTACATTTCAAACATGTGTACGACACCGTCGCTCATCCGAATGAACGCCACGCTGACGGGCAGGTGGCTCAGCGAGGACACAGAGGACTGTAAATAAAACCAATGAAATACCCGATTTTTTTACACATGTCCCCCAATTTAAAATAGTCATCATTTAAGTTTTATTTTGCTGAGTCATGGTCATCTAATGCAGCAGCCTCGGTCAGCAAAAAATGACAAAATTCACTTTTTTTTTTCAGCAAGATCCTTATTCACACGTGTGCTTGAATACGTTTTTTTAAAGACCCACTTCAGTGGAAATCATGTTTTTTTTTTTGTCTGCATGTTCATGTGGTGTTTTTCTGATGCTACAGGACATATCAAGGGAAAACTAACCCGGGATTTCCACTGAATCTGGAACGGCTCAGATTCAGAACGATTTTCGCCATAGGTCAATTCCTACCGGATCTGTTTGTGAGATGAATTTCGTGGCAGATTACTGACAGCGGTAATCGTGAGAACTCATGAGAACCCACGGATTCACGTGCAATCGTGCGATAACAAGTTGTCTTTTGCCACATAGACTAACCATATAAGCAGTAGATTGTGTCCTTCCAGAGGAGGAAATCTACTTCTAGACTTCCAGAATCAGCATCTCCTCATCCATGGTGTCATCGGGATTAAATGTTGTCTATAAACCTTTCACTTGTTCGTCCCCGCCTGTTTGCATGATGTGAAATACGATCCACCTTATTATGATATTAGCTTTCATCGTGTCCCTAAAGACATTAGTGTCCAAGAGCTGAATATCTCTTATGTTACCTGCCACTTCAGCTACCCCGGAAATGTTAGGCTACAAGCTAGCGTGTAGAGAAGTGTGCAGAGCAGCGCTGTCTCCGCCCACGACTCAGAGGCAAATTGCTAATGATCTACTGGAGCTCTGCAGAAGAAAATGACACGGGTAACGTGATTTTGGCTAAAAACTTCATAATTGCAATTTAAAGACCACTGAGAACACTTTAAGTAGTAAAAAATAAACGATCGGAGTGGGAATTTTGAGGGTTTTATTTTACTGAGTCATGGTCATCTAATGCAGCAAAACTTCCTTATTCACACATGTGCTTAAATGCGTTTTTTTAAGTTAAGTTTCTCTGACAGTTTTATCTGACGCAGGAGATGTAAATTTATAAAACGATCTCAGATACCTTTAAGTCTTAAAGTAAACGACATAAATCTTCCAAACTTTATCAGCCTCTCCCTGTCCTCCCACTTTTTTTTAAAGAAAGTACACCCTGTCAGCCCTCTTCTCGTCCCCGCAGTCGATCACAAAGTTTATGGGCGTTTTATTCCAGGAGTTACTGTATTTATTTCTCCTCTTCGCTGTTTTACAATCTGTAATTAACAACACATTTAGGCGCTGAAAGCCTGCGATTAGATCCTCTTATTGACTGTTGAAGCAGGCTGTAAACTCCACCCTGCGGCTCTGATACGTCTGTTATGTAACTTATTTTAATTCTCAGCACAATGTAAAAGTAGCCACATATGTCCCAGGCGGTGGTACAGTATGTCCTGCATTGTGATGGAGATCTAACACCTTGCAAATTCCTTTATTGTGACATGTACAGGACATCTCATTCAGGAGGTTCAGGCGCTGTTAAATCTGACTGAAGGCTTCAATTTGTAAATAAAGCAGCTATACAAGAGTGGGAGTGAACGCAGCCCAGAGGAGCAGAAAACTCGTGATTAAGACTCGAGAGAAAAGGTCACAGGAAAGAGGATCTCCCTGCAGACAAAGAGAGAGCAACCTGTTTTCATGGGAACTGGAATAAGCAGCGGGGAGGTTGTGTTGTGTTTGCATCGCCAAAAGCTGTGTGTAAACTTCCCATAAATCTAAAATGATACCTGTGTGAGTCAAAACAGGAGGAAAATGAAAGTAGGAACTGTTTAGGAGTGTTTCAGAGATCATGTTTTTGGAGTTTCATAGTTTTTCATTACTTCTAAAAATCCACGAGTTTAAGTAGAAGTCGTTTTTTGGCTCCTGGAGAACCTAACGTGAAGAAATATGTGTTTATATGAGTTTCCCTCTGTTATGAAAATGTTGATCCGGGATTACAGCTCATCTCAGTCAGGCCATATCAGCAGTCTTTTTAATAAACACACAAAGAAAAGCGGCTGTGATTTAACTTCCCCGCATGAGCAGATTGCGGACTTAAATAAGTCTATTCTCCATTTATCAACACAGAGTTGTCATGGAAATGTTCAGCGGGGCCAAAAGCGAACAGATGGCCCGAGAAATCGATGGCTGAGGCTCAAACTAGCTGATCCGCTGATTTGCTTCAAACCCAAGGGGAGAGTGTTTGGACTCGTCCCCGCATGTGTTCCTCGGCCCAGTGAGTGAGTGTAGTATTTTCAGAGTAAGATAGGGACAAACATGCTCCAGCCTGCCTTTAAACGCCAGAGCAAGAGTTTGTTATCTGGAGTCGTCTTCTGGTCTTGACAAGTCAGACATACGCAGCAATGTAAAGAATGTGTGACCTGAAGAGCTCAGGTGAGGCTTGAAAAGCTGATTTACACCAGCAGATAAATCTGTGTTTGAGACTCCAGCTCCAAAAAGACAAAAACACTTTTGAACCAGTACATTTAAAAAATATTTAGACTTTTTTATCTCTCTAAACCTATTTAGAGACCAGATATGCTTCAGTCAGTAGCATGGCCATTGGAAAATGTTGTGTTATCTTGTGGGAAGGGAAGGTTATCACCTCCCTGCTGCCGTCAACACTGTGAATGTGCCCTCTGGATGCCTTTCCAGTGCAGACACATAAACAGATACACTATAGATTACATCTCATCAAATAAAAATGTAAATATGTGGACCCCAGGATTCCCAAGTGTAAAAAACATCAAAGTTTCCATGGTATACTGTTCTAGCACCAAAAATATGCCCCTCTGGATTCCCTTCCATTAGATAAAACATTATTAGGGTGCCCTCTGAATGCCCTCCCAGTATAAAGAACATTAAAGTGCCCCTAATATACCTTAACGGTGTAGAAAACATGTAAAAGTACTATCTGGATACCCTTCCAATAAAAATAGTTCTAAAAATGTGCCCCCTGGATTCCCTTCCATTGGAAAAAACATTATCAGGGTGCCCTGTGAATGCCCTCCCGGTATACAGAACATTAAAGTGCCCTCTGGATACCCTTCTGGTGTAGAAAACATGTAAAAGTACTATCTGGATACCCTTCCAATTAAAATAGTTTTTAAAATGTGACCCCTTCCTATGGATAAAACATGAAAGTTTGTCCTTTGGTTGCCATGCCAAGCTAGGTAATATGCAAACCTGCCCTCTGGGTGCCTTTCCAGTCTCGTAAACATGAAACAAGCCCACTTGTTCCTCTCCAATATAGAAGACGTGAAGATATTCCATTTTTGATGCTCTACCAATAAAGATAATATGAAAAATTCCCTTCTGGATGTCCTTCCAGGTCATAAAAAGGGGAAAATGCAGCCCTCTGATTTCCCTTTTTTCTCGATAAAACCTAAAAATGTGCCCTTTGTTGCACTAGAATGCAGTAGACTAAGTGTTAAGAGCTCCAGATTTTCAGTAGGAGAACCCCCCGACCCCCTTTTTATTGTTTTACCTCAACCTTACCCAAAAGAGCAACAAAACAGTCTTCAAAATGCTGCTGGAGGCAGATCTCCATTTATTCCAACTTTCTGTGCGCTGGTGCCCAATAGCAAACTTGAGGTGCCCTTTTTATTTTTGTGCCCCTGCCCTCAAATTACAGTTACGCCCCTGTAAAGTTATCTTTTTTTTTTAAATGCTCTTCTTTTATATTAATCTTTAGAAATCAGGTCCCAGTCGTCAATTACGGATAAATTTTTTTTTTCTCTGCCCACTCTCTCACCCTGATGCGCTGTGGTGGTTTTAATATAGACTCTGTTGCACAATAATGACTGATGTCCTTGTTTTGCTGTTTGTTTTCCTCTCACCGCGCATTCCCTGCATGAATATGAGTTTTAATATCAATAGAGTGCAGAGAGAAAACAGTCAGACAGACAGATTGGCAGTCTGCCTTTGATGCAACTTTCCAATATTACCCATAATCCTCTGGGGTGTTTGTGTTTTTTTTGTGTGTGTGTGCGTGTGTGTGTGTGTGTGTGTGTGCAGAGCAGTCTAGTTGTCATGCTTTGAAGCAGCCAATCAGACCTCTTCTTATGTAATCCCTGCATCCATCTAGGCAGACAAACTGTGGAGGAGCAGTGAGTGTATGTGGGCGCGCACACACAAACACACACATTTTAACAAAAACACACACATACACACACATATTGTATTTATACACTCCAGTCATTTTATCTTTTAACAATCTGGAAACTGACCGTTCGCCATTGTCCCTCAAGACACATTTTTCTTCCCCCCCTTTTGTCCGTCAGCCTTTTCAGCGCCTTCACACACACTCTGTAACACACTCGGTCCACCCTGACAGGCCATTATTGTGAACATTCCTCTTTTTCCGAGCCAGAGTCTCCTGTCGTGCATTCCTGGGACGTTAGATTGAGCCGCTGCTGCAGATGGAAATGACTGTAACAGCGAATACTCCTCTTATGTCATGTGTATAAACGAGTGACGTATTTAAATGTGGACGTTATGAATGAGACTGTGTTTCACTTGACATATATGTGGAAAATAACAACTATATTTAATACATACTGGAGGATTAGGGCAGTAAAAATGCTTTATATGAAGGTGGCGCCCATTTTCCAGCAGCCATCATCTTCAGCACACAATCATTTTTTGTTTCCTTTAAAGCTCCTATAAGGAATTTTCTGTCTGTGTTGATTTGGCCGCCCCCTAGTGGATGAATACCTATTTATATGAGGTGGCTTATTTCATCTAGCCTTTATTAGTGGGGTGTTAATTGACAAAACAATCATAAATGTTCTTCCTTGAGCTGCGGAACCCCGCTGTAGTCCACAATGGACTGGCCTGAGGTCTCACTACAAACAAGCGGCTGCTGGAAGAGAGTAGGTGAGTTGTGTTTAGTCTCTTTGCTGAAGAAATTAAGCAAAGTTAAAAAGATGTTTGATGGCTAGTACTATGGCTGGGACCCTACAGTATATGTCCTGTTGATGAAGTTAGGTGCTGTTCTGAGCATTATTTGTGGCTATAGAGTGGCGTTTTGGTTGAGGTCCATAGACAGCTGTGTATTGCTATCGTGCGGTTGTTAATAAAGTTGGTAAAACTAGAGAAGCAAGCGGTCTGCAACATTCATTTCTCAAGGGGGTGTGTAACTCGGTGTTGCGGTGTGTTTGACCCTAAATTAATTTTACGCCGGAATATCCCTTTAAGGTAGTACAATTGCTTAATGTGAAGGTGGTGCCCATTTTCCAGCAGCCATCATCTTCGGTACACAATCAATTTTCTATTTCCTTTAAAGCCCCTATAAGGAATTTTCTGTCTGTGTTGATTTGGCCGCCCCCTAGTGGATGAAACGGTTAGCTTTATTATGTCTTTATCATTTCATTTCGTCCTTATTAGTGAGGTGTTAATTGACAAAACAACCACCTCTTGTTGCAGAATTTGTCTCTTACTATAAATATGTAAGTAACAAAGGCTGTTCCTTCAGCTAGCCTTGCCCCCCTCCTCCCTCACAGCAGGTACAGGTGTTAAAAAACGATCATACAGATATCGTAATCTTGCCGTTGTACATTATAGAGATGTTCTACTTTTCGTTTCAGTCTGTTTCATAACCGTCCAAAAACTCCCTACAGGAGCTTTAAAAGACGATTAGCATCAGTTTATGTAATTAAAGCTACAGTGGGGAGTTTTTAGCAAACTAAACACTCTTGGAAACGTTCCTAATGGATCTGCGTCAGGAAGTAGCTGTCCTAACAACAATGTGCTGCATTTTATCCCGAGATAGGAAACCCACTGTAACACACTCTTGGACTGATAATGCTCCCTAACAGTCCGTTAATGCACTTTTTATACTTTATCAGCAGAGAAGCACTCGAGATTTCTTCCCCACAAGTCTCACCAGTTGTCCTTTTTTCTGTTGCTCCCTGTACAGAATTAACACAGCCGTGGCGGGGAAAGCCCGGCGTGCCATTGTCTGATAGGGGGGCACCGTTAGCCGCGCACAACAGCCGCCCAATGAGAGGACCCCCCCTGCTGCGACAGCTGTCGTGCTGTTTCACTGATCTGTAAGCATTTCTGCTCATTAGCAGGCTTTGTTGTTTGGTTTGTGTGCGTGTGTGTGTGTGTGCAGTCATAGCTGGGTGATGAATCGACGGTGGCAGGTAAAGTAAGAGGGAGGAAATGAATATGTATGAGACCTCCCGGACAGTGAGCGCCGAGGATAAGCTGTCTGTTTTCAACGCCACATGACGGAGTGTCACTTCTTTCAGACTCCACCTGGGGTCAGAGGTCTGGACTCTTCTTTTTCAGAGTGCTGGTTCCAAAAAATTTCGCCTTTTTCCTCCATTTAAGCTCAAATCTGTCGCTCTTACCTCTTTTTTTTAAAACTTCGTGCCAAATGCCAGCAGGCTGCCTTATTTGGACACAAATGTTCCAGTTTTCTGTGCAGGAATTTCCCAACGTACGCCCTTATCTCTGGTAATCGCAGAAGTGATAACAGTGACTCTTTTCCAGGACAGGGAAGTAACATTAAATGTTGACGAACTAACAGGAAAATTAGCGGGAAGGAGGAAACTTAATGAGATTTCTTTTGCATTCTTTCGTTTAATCTTTCGCACTTCCTAGGTGTGAAATTTCAGACCGTCCCTGAACATAAAACTTAAGAAAATATGTGTCAAAGCCCTACATGTGTGTCCAGCTCTGCTCGTTTTTGTTTCTGCAGCAGGTAAAATGGTCTAACAACATGAGGTCAGTTCAGAGGAATGTGGGCCGTCCCTTCCTCTGTTCCACTGAAACCAGTCAGATAACCTTGCAAATACGAGGACAATATGTAACCACATCAAGAGGGTTTTTTTTTCCTCCTCCATCACACGTCCCTGAACTGAAGAACGGCTGTTTTTGGTGCAGAGAGCAGTCATTGTTGCAGGAATGTGGGAGGAACGGTGTGGTTATTAAGGCGAGGACAGCCTGAAAACTCACCCGGCAGCGTCTGAATGTGCGTTTTTCTGCCCAAAAACAGGCATTCGTGAAAAGCACAAGCATATAAAAGCTCCTCGTCTATAAATGCACCTTTTTGAGAAAACAAATCATGTCCTTTTCACTCGTTTACCTGCATGTATCTCTAAAGGAAAAGGAGAATCTCCTCCTACAAAGGAGTGCAGTTTTCACAGTTATGTGTCACCTTGTTTGCTGTCGTTGTGTAGGCGCAGCAACAATCCAGACAGAGACATGCTGCTGTGTTTTGCAGAGTAGCTGAAGGGACAAACACCAACTCCAAACACAGTGCTGCTACTGTATAACTGAGGCGAGTGTAATATTAAACTGCGTGTAGCTCAAAGGGCAGAAAGAGACCGTTTTGACCTCGGATGCATTTTTCTTCACCACTTTGATAGATGGTGTAAAGTCAGATAAGGTTACCTTTAAAAGTCAGGTTACGCTCGAGTGTTTAAGAGGCTAAAGACCTGCTTTTTGTCTGACATGGACTGTGGTTTCGTCTAAAAAAAAGTGGCGAATGCAGTTGATCCACATCCGAGTGAAGGTGAGAGGGTTGAGCCCTTATCTGACCTTGAATTTCCGTTGAAGCATGTTGACACCATCTGCTTCTTTTTCATGTCCAGATTAAGACGGGGATGTTACCCATGTGTTCAGTCTTAGCGTCAGCGTAAGCCGTACAAACACGGTTATTCCACCACTTTGCTGGAACAGCATGTCAAATAAACGGTTTATTAGAATTTGAATCTATGTAAACAGCAAAACAATTCCTCACAAATTTACAGTGAAAACCCAACAGGTCGTCATGGTTAGAGGGATATTCCGGCGTAAAATTAATATAGGGTCAAACACACTGTAACCCTGAGTTAGACACCCCGTCAAGAGATGAATGTTGCCGACCGCTTGCTCCTCTAGTTATATCAACTTTAGTAACCACCGTACGATAGCAATACAGAGAGCCATGTGCTCAACCAAAACGCCACTCTATACCCACAAATAATGCTCAGAACAGCACTGACCTTGGTCCAGTCCATTACGGACTACAGCGGGGTGACGCAGCTCAAGGAAGAACATTTATGATCATTTCTTTGTCATTTCCTTGAAGTAATAATCATCATATTAATCATTTTTACTGCAGACGCGGTAGTTCTTCTGCCTTAGCATCTCGGTCTGATTGTATTTCCATGAAGAAATGATCATAAATGTTCTTCCTTGAGCTGCGTCCCCCCACTGTAGTCGGTAATGGACTGGCCCGAGGTCTCGCTACAAACAAGGGGCTGCTGGAAGAGAGTAGGTGAGTTGTGTTTAGTCTCTTTGCTAAAGAAATGAGTCAAAGTTAAAAAGATGTTTGGTGTCTAGTACTATGGCTGTGACCCTATATGTCCTGTTGATGAAGTTAGGTGCTGTTCTGAGCATTATTTGTGGCTATAGAGTGGCGTTTTGGTTGAGATTTGTTTATGGCTCCTCAGACAGCTGTGTATTGCTATCGTGCGGTCGTTACTAAAGTTGGTATAACTAGAGAAGCAAGCGGTCAGCAATATTGAACTCTCAACAGGGTGTCTAACTCTGTGTTACAGTGTGTTTGACCCTAAATTAATTTTACGCCGGAATATCCCTTTAAGGTTCAATAAAAGAACTATGGCGTCTCTCTTTTTTGCACTGGTGTCTAGATCCATGGACCTGCACTTATTGTAATTTTTTACTGACACCTTCTTTTTTACGCTAAAGAACCCAAATTCTGCTGCTGAGGGTTTATTTTCCGTACATTCTTCAGAACAGGACCAAGAATAACTCGCCTTCGCAGTCTTGTTGTGGTCTCATGATTAATGCATCGCAACTCTCTGTGGTTTTGCACCAGATAATGAAACTGACTAAGAAATGTAACCCACAAAACATGAATTTTTCTGCTCATAAAAAGGTGAAAAACTGAAGAAATCCGATTTTTTTTCTCTTTTTGATTGGGTTACATTTAAAAAAGTGGAATAGCCCTTTAATTTTTGAAAGTAGATAACAATGAGGAAGACGCAGACGAAGGCGCTCGCACAGGGAACCGAGAGCGACCTTTCTCCGACCCAAACTGACTCCACTTCTGCATTCACTCTCACCCAGGAGGAAGTGGGACCACTGACTTCCTGTTGCATTCTGCGGGAGTGGGCGGGGTTTCTGTACCTAAAGCCCTTACCCATGATTCTTTGCACAGCAGAAAGACAGGAAGCGTGACCCGGGATTGATAACAGCGGGGGCGGCTATTTCTGAAGGGGGGAGCAGACAAGGAGGTGTCTGTTCGGCTTCCTGTTGGTTGTTTTGTCAGATGTGAGCGGCTGAATGTGTCTTTATGTGTCAAAATGAACCGTTTGTGCTCTGCGGTCGCCATTACGGCTCAAAGAAACACACTTTGTTGAGTGTTTTGACTGTTTTTATCACTCAGGTGTGCTTTCTTCTGAAATGAAGTAAAAAATGCGTCTTTGTTTACATGGAAGAAAGACTCAAAGGCCCCAGAATGGCCGACCTGATCGCCTCCAGAAACTGTTATTAAGCTTTCGTAGGAGGTGAGGTTTTAAAGTCTGCTGCTGCTGCTGACTCCACATCAGTCTTTGTTTGATAAAAACCCGATGTGGAATTTTGTCCGCCTCCTTTTCTTGCCTTTTTTTTTTCTCTTTTTCTTTCCCGAGACGCCAAATAAGGCCGTTTGGCCACATCTGCTGAAACCCGAGGTCTGCATTCAGCGTTTCGGCATCCTGCTCTGGATGAAAGAATGAGAGAGAGAGAGAGAGAGAGAGAGAGAGAGAGAGAGAGAGAGAGAGAGAGAGAGAAAAGATGAGTGTGTTTACCCTGCTGACTCGATCCCCCTCTCGTACTATGACACGTATGACATCATTTGCTTCCCCCCTCCTCCCCCTGTTCTCTCTCTTTCTCTCTCATTCTCTCTCTCTCTCTTCTATCTTTCCCCTTTTTTTCCTGCTGTTTTTCCCTTCACATGTTCGCCGTTATGTAACCGAGTCGAGGCAGCCAGGCCGAGTTTGTGAACCTTTGCACCGCATGGTGAAAACATTTCCCTTTTTTTTTTTCATTTTCTCTACAGCTGCTCTCTTTCACTGTCTGTGTCGATGTAAACACCATCAACAGATTTATGAATGCTCAACATTTAAAATCAAAATCACCTCCAAAACAAGCTTTCAGGTCTTAAACCCAGACTGCACACCCTTCTACCTATGTCCTTTTTTACGTTACTTCCTCTAAATTGTGAACCAGCACACTGTGTGTCCCTTTTTTCCTGTCAAGTTCCTCTTTTTGAATGAGAGAAGTGCGACATGCCGACTGAAAGCGAGGAAGTGAGACGCAGCGTTGTGGTTTACCTCAGATCACCGACTAACAAAGGACCTCAGTTCAAAGCCTGGAGGAATGAAAAGAGCATGACCTGTTCTTGGTCTTCAGATGTCCCCTCTGAGAGGACGGGTTTGGCGTGCACATGTGCGTTTCATCACGGCAAACTCGTCCTGAGGGCAGCCGTCAGCGTCAGACTAAGAGGGGGCTGAGATTTCAAAAGGCCCACACCTCTGCGTTCACGTCCCACATCACAGACTCCACATGTTTGTCAGCTCAGAGGTTAACCATGCGCAGAGGTAACACAACTGGAGGAGGGCAGCAGCCTCCGAATGTGTGTGATGTCCAGATATAAACAAGCGCTGATTTAAGGGTGTGTGTTCCAGCTGAGCGTGTTTGAAGAGGTTCGCTGGACTCCTTTATCTGTCTGCTCTGTATATCTGGAGAAGATGAGGCACTTTTTTCCAGGACTGTTTGTTTTGCAGTCGTATAGAGACGAAACTTCAGAAGCTGAAACGAAGATTTGATTAGAGGGTTTCTCACTGAGTTATTAAAAGTGATTTTAAAGCTCCTGTGTGGGATTTCGGCTAATCATGAAAAAGACTAAATGCCTCTTTTATACCTTTAAAAAAGTGAGTGAGACCCTCAAGAGGGAAATTATCCATTTCTGTGTAGCTGTTTTTAAAGCTCCTGTAGCGACCATTTCTGTTTAGCTATGTGGCGCCCCCTGTGGACAAAGCTTTAGAAGGGTCCTCCAAAAAAAATCTAATCATGCTAACTTTTAATGTCAAAGTAATCATCTATTGTGACTTTTCCTCCGTGCGCTTCAACTGTCGCGTGTGATTAAGGTTCTTGCAATCTGGATCTGGGGGGTGTGGTGGTTTGTGTTTGGTGTAGTAAGTTTTATTTATTTAATTATTTATTTATTTATGTATGTATTATGTATCTATATACATTTATAGGTATGGGTATATGTTAATATACATTTTATTATAAATATTTATAAATAATAAAATATACATGTTAATATATATTTTATTATTTATAAATATTTATAAAAATCTATATACATTTAAATTTTATTTTTTTATAAATATTTATAAAAATCTCTCTTTCTATATGTAAAATATGTATTTAAAAAATATATATAAAAATGTATATTTATTTATAAAAACCAAGGTGCTGCATTCACATGGAACTTTTAGTGCAACAGGGCTAATTTCAGCCTACTTAATTTTTCTTTTGTTTACATTTTTATTACATCTTTATTGTATTGTATCTTAGCTATTGTAATATTATATAGTATTACCACAGATTGTCAAAGGTGTGGGGTATGACAAATGAAGTTCCTTGAATCCTTATTCATTGCTGTAACACTGACTTGTATCTTTCTACTTTTCTCAGTTAAATTAAATACAAAGTTGATCACAAACTAATCATTTATTGTGAATTTTCAAAGACTAAAATGCAACACTTGGCTGTTTGTTGTGCTGCTCTGCTGACACCTACCCCCTTGCACTAATTTTAATTGTCAGTCTCGCGTTTTTGTGTTTTAAAAATCCATCATTTTGAGTTTTAGTGCATTTCCTTTACTTATAAAAACTCCTCACAGGAGCTTTAATGTCTGAAACAGTGACGGGGGTAGGTGTCAGAGTGACACAGGAGCTTTAATCTACTTGACGCTTTTTCAAAATTCAAATTAAAATGATTCACAGAAGATGTCGTTGCAGTCGAGACTCAAAACGGAAATTTTTAAAAACATTAAAAGGTTGAAATTCAGATGAAATATGGAACATGTGTAGGATTGTGTTAAGAAAAACAAAGACCTGACAAAGTGTTTGCCTTTTCAATCAGAGCGGATAGCTGTAGGTGTTGTTGTCTGCTCACAGCTCTGCTCATCTCACGGTTCAATTGTGTGTTTTTGTGTTATTGATTACTTAAAGGGTGGAAGAGAGGGAGGGGGTGACTCTCGTCGCCAGTTGGCTGTTAATATCTTCGCCACATGACCGAGCAGGAATTTGTGGGAGCGTGTTAGGGAACACATGCGTACTGTAAGCGTGTGCGTGCATTTCCCTCACAGTCTGCAAACACAGCGCATCCCACTCTTTCTCGCACATTTTCTTTTACCTTTAGCTCCTCTCCTCGTTCGACGTTTCAGATCTTGGAGAGGAGGAATGAGGAAAGAGGAGAAAAACAGTAAGAGGAGTAGTGGAAGTGGAGGAGAGGATAGTGAGGGAGGAAAAGAAGATAGAAAGAAAGGATGAAAGGTGTAAGGGGTTAAGACGTGTCGTGTTCACACACACACCGCAGGCCCATGAATCTTAACTGTGGGATATGAGGAATTCAGACTCAATCACCCAACGGAAATTACAAGAGGAGCAGAGGGGGAGAAAAGGGGGAGATCACAGGCTAAAAATGTAAAAAGGACAGTACACACTGCTTCTGACCCCTCAGCTCTAAAGCAATGAATCATTATCCATGTCGGGGGGTTTATTTACACAAAATGACCCCAAAGTTGAAGCAGAAAATTCACGTTTCTTTACTGCTTCTTATCTTTCTAATCGAGACAAGATATGAGTCTCCACAAAGCGGGTTCATAGAAGTTTCAAGTTTTCTGTTACTGTCCTTTCTTACACTCGGGGAACCGCCCCGTCAGACAAAAGCACATTCAGTTCTTATCTTCATGTACCTGATCACACCTGTCTGAACCTCGCCATATAGGTAGATCTTTAACTCTGTGTTTGCAGGTTACAGCTTTTTATGAGATAGGAGGGGAGAGAAATCTGTACTTCACTCTAGATAAGTAAAGTTATGATGATGAAAGAGGCGGATGACGATATATACTGCTCTTAAACTTTAATGATAATACGATCCATCAGTTTACTGACCGTTGACTTTATATTATGATCTTATTGCACAAGTGGCGTATTTGAGACTGAAACTCTCTCTCATGTTGGCAGACGCTCATCGTGATGGAAAGTTCAGGGACTTTTGAGTTGTAGATGAGCTCTTACTGATTTGGTTTTACTTTCAGGGGGCGGTTGTGCGGTCCATATTCTTGTCAATATGAGTTTACCAGCTATTAGTTTAAGCGAGAAGATGCACAAAATTATGTAAACACAAAAAAATTCAGATTAAGTGGAGTTTAAATGTTGGGATTTTTTTAAGGACGTTGAAAAAAGAAAAGAATAAACTCGCTCAAATTGAAATAAGGTCATAAATCTATAAGAGAAGTCATAATTTTAGTCAAAGGTACTGTTTTTATTGACCGCCCAATCTGTTAGGACACCTTAGCACATTGTTGCAACATTATTCTTGGAGGATTACAACCCTAATCTAATGAGTTGGTTTACGTAAATTTGCTAAAGTTCATCCTCATGAATTCATGGCTGTTTATAAGTAAATGTATACGCTAAAACTGTTGCAGACAATAATCTATGTTTACTTAAATGAAAGTTAAATTTTTCACAACTTAAAATTTCGGAAAAAGTTACGTAAACATATGTGAAGTTACGAAGAAAGAAAATAAAGGATGACTTCGCAAACAAAAGCAGCAATAGGTGATTTTTGATATGAAGAAAAAGTAAATCCAAAAACTTTTATGTATTTTTCACTGATTTAAATGTTAAAAAAATAAATATTTGATGTTCCAGAAGTTCATACTCTCACATTGAGTTGTGTTAGCATGAAACCACATGTATGTTTGATATATTCAGGTCACTGAGAGTTAATCTGTGTGCTTTACTTCTCTTTTGTAGTTCAGACTTCACAAACACAGCTGCTGGCACCAAAAGCTGAACAGAGTCACTCTCAGATCCTCACCTCTGCGCTCGTTTCTCTCTGTTTCTGCAGATGCTGGACGACTCTGAACGACATGGGAGGACGTGGTTATCTCTGACCCCTTGGGCCTGTTCGGTTGCGGGTTTTCCCAGAAGGCCGAGCTTCTGTCCAGTCCATGTTGTAGTGTGTATGTGTACGAGTTCATGGGAAAAAAAGTGAAGGGGGAATTCGTGGATAACTCTGTATGTCTTGTAATTTATTGTAGTTTATTTTCTGTTTCGGGGCTCCACCTTCGGTGAACTCTGTGGTTTAATTAAAGCATTTCAAAGCTTGTGGTGGTTGGATGCAACTTCCCCTTAAACGATTACAAAAAGAAATGTTGCATCACATCAAGAGTGGCGGTTTTATCTTTAAATTCTTGCCACAATCTTCGCCCACGATTGTTTATCTGTTTGACTGATTTCTCTGCTGTACTGTAGCACAACCATCAGCCACACTTCCTCTTTGTTTCCGCCGTTTACAAGACTTTTATTATCAAAGAACAATGTTTTGAACAGCCAGAATAGACACTAAAGCAGCTTGTTTCTGCGGCTGCATATCTGAGGAGTCATTTCCTGCCCTGCGGTGTCGCAAGACTGTTAATAAATACGAGCTAAACACTGTGACACTTTGTCTCGTTTGAAATAGAAACTAGAGAAACGCAGAGACCTTTCAGGGTGTCAGTCAAAACAAAAAGAAAACCCGGGGGCAGACGCAGAGAGGAAAGAAAGACAAAAGAAGAAAAAGGAGAAAACGTCCGATCCAGTCATCTGTGATAAACCTCAAGGTCAGGATGTGTGGGTGCGAGTGACAAGGCAACCCCCTCCGTCACACACGAGCCGTCCCCACGCACACGCACGCCCTGTCAACAGCATTAGGCACAGATTCAGAATATAGGTTGATTTTTGCTTTGAAACTAGAGCCTCTCACTGTCTCGCACATGTGTGTCTGTGCGGCTGCAGGGACTTCCTGAAGCGCTCATGTGTTAAAACCTTAAACTTTAGATGCAACACAAAATATTAACACTCACTAAAGCCTAACTAGGAGGAAACTAAGCATAAACAAAGAACTCGGTAACCTTTGACCTTTCATTTCACACTCCCTTCTCCATAAGTCATTTATAAACGGTCCCTAAACAGCAGAGCAAGAATGAGAAACAAACACAACCTTCATAATCTGAGTCTTTATCAGCAATATCTCATGATTTTATCATTTTTCTCAGCACCTTTTGTTCTTTTGTGTTGCTTTGAGTCCACACACACACATTCACACGTCACATCACACACTGCTGGGGATGTGGGGGGTGTCTTCAGGTGGTGTGGCGGTGAGGGGGGGGCTTGTAGGGACTTACCATGTTGTCATAAATGTCTGCCCATGAAGAAACTGATCACTTTAACAAGACAAGCTCCCCATCCCTCCCTCCCTCCCTCCCTCATCAGGATTTCTCAAGCTCAGGGCGGGGTTGTGTGTGTATGTGTGTGTCTCTCTGTGTGTCTGTGTGCTCATGCATACACGCCGTCAAGTGTGGCGTGGTCCACACAAAGAGGCGGAGACAACAAAAGCAGGATGTGATACAGCAGGACTCCACTTCCTCGTTCGGCTCCAGAGGAATCAGCGCAGAGCAGGGAGCGCCACCTCTTGACCGATGGTCGTCATAGCAACAAGGTGCTGGTAAAATTCCATTCCCACAGATAAGAAGCGTTCAAGTGCACGCAGGCCACACACGAATCATCTTTTACAACCTGAATAAGTGTGTGCGTTTGTTCGGGTTCGAGTCATGTGTGGTTGGGCGGGGGGTACAGGTGGAGGTGGAGCTGTGCGGCGTGTGGATTCACAAGGATTGTTGATTTTTTTAAGCATGTTTTCACTGAAGGCCCAACTCGACCCCACCCATTTCTGCGCACACATCCACACTCAGAGGCGAGGGGTCACAGATCCACTTGAAAAGAGCACCGAACACTCAGAAAAACTTGAATATCTGATGCCGCACTGGAAGAAACTCCTTAAGCCGGCGCTCTTGGAAAGAAAAGTTAAACATTAACGCTGCTAAAAGCCTCCTGGAAGCTCCATCCTCCATTTGGGGTTTTAAGAGCTGCTGGTTGAAGACTTGAGAGCCAGGAGCTATTACACGAAGAGATGCTGTATCAATTTTCCCTCAGGACTTCCACCACGGTTGGCCTCAGCTGCATAAATCTTGAAAGCAAATCTTTAATATAAGATTAAGAGGGTGATGTCATACCCCTGGTTACGTAATGGCACCCTGCTCTTCCATTCACACGGCGCAGAGGTATTTGTGCGTGAATAATAGGGTGTATAATTTAAAGGGGAGTGGACTTTTAATTATGGGGCTGCTTCACTGAATTAAAAGGTAAATGTAAAAGTCTAGTTGAGTTTATTTCTAATTTATGTGCAAAAGTCTGAGAAATCTGCCAATGGAACAGTCGTCTCCCAGTCTACGTGGTCATCATTGTCAAAACACTAGCGAATCAATCAGAAACTCAACGGCGAGAGTTACAAAGACAGAAATGTTTGATTTGATTTGAAATAGTCTCGCCTACATAGTAAAATGAAATTATCAGACAGGTTATCACGATACACTCAATTTTAGTCTGTATTCAGGGGTGTGTCCAAGCTGTTGTGACTGGGGTGGCTCAGCCGACAAGGGGGCCAGATTGAGGCTGACCACACACTAGACATCTGTAAGATCTGTTTCAGAGTTTGAAGACAGTTAAATTAAGCTACGGTAAAAGCTCTGTTCGACAATTTAGCTGTCTCATTCTGTAATCGTCGGGCAAAAATTGATTTATCGACAAAAGTATGTTTACCCCAGGAATGGTAGGAGATTGTTCACCACCATAGACTGTATATAGAATGGACAGAGTCTGCCTCCTCGCTGGGTGAAGCCACCACGAGAACAGCACCCTCTGTTGACTGGCTGCAGTATAGATCATAAATCCCGCCTCCGCCAGCAAAGTTTATGGGGCTGTGGACAAACTTTAGAAATTTATTACACAGAATATAGATTTTTCTCCCCCCAGCTTGCGATGTTGACATGTAGTCGACATGTAGTCCTCTTTTTTTCTGTGCAGCTCTGTTTTTAAAAGTTATTAGGGGGTTCGTGTTTTCTATGATTGACACCTGATACAGCCTATAGGCATACAAAGATTGTGTAGCTCACCCGGACGATACGCTGTTTGAGCCGAGTGTGCATCACAGCGACTCTCCCGCCGAACACGCACAATGCTACTGCGCAATGTTGGTTTAAGGAAATGAAGAAAAATTGTGGAAATACAGAGAGCTTTTTGGCTTCAAATCCGTATACCGGTATACCGGAACCAAGTTGTCCTTAGTATATAGAGTCTTGTTCACCATCTTTCAGATTATTAATATTAGGCCATCCAGGCTTGATCTATCTCATCATCAACCAAAACAATCGACAAAGGCATTAGCAATAGGGTTGTACGTCAAATGATGAAAACACAGGTAAAAGCATATGGAGGGTGACCATACGCCTTCTTTTACCTGGACATGTCTTCTTTTTTGGGGGCCTGTCCGGGTTTGTCTGGGGGAATTTATAAAATGTCTGTGGTTTTGTATGTAAGTTTCGATTTTGTGTCACAAGACAATCCGACCCAAAAAACTCTCAAAATTAACTGTGCGACTCCATGACTAGTTGTGTCCTCAACCAACCAACCAGAGTCCAACTGTATTTCCAGTCACTAACCTCATTCTTAAGTACATGATATATCAAACTTTCACGATAGCTCTCAGGACATGATTACAGGTACAGTACCTGCTATCTACTCCAGTCAACTGTAGTGGTTTTGATGCACTGAAACTTTCCTTGTCTTTGCTCCACAACCCTGAATTATCCCAAACACTCACTTATCCTCCTCCCTCATAACATATTATTAAACAACAGCTGAAGGCCTGCCTCATCTTGTTGTGACATACCTTCCACTCTTGACTCCTTGTACACAAGGCCTGCGTGTTAATGCACGCCAAGTCCAAACATCCACACCACCAGACTTTTCATGCAAATCCTACATTCACATCAAATCATTTCTGGAGAAAAAGACAGGAAAGCACTGTCATGATAATGCAGATTAATCCATGATCATTCCTGAAATCATATCAGATACTCTAATCCCTCAGATGTTGGACTGCGCACTCAGCTCTTCCTATGCTTTGACGTGGATGTTAATCCAGCTTTGTTTGCACAGAAAAGAGCTGCAAAAACAAACAGAAATGAAACTAGGTTTCTGTCTGCAAAGGTAAATGCACACACCTACAGTAAATCCTTAAAGAAGGAACTAATCCTTTGTGCAAATTACAGAATTAAACCAACATTGTTTGGCTTTGTTACTGTGGTAGGCTATAAAAGCAGATTTATCATATTAAAGTACTTAAGAGCAAGTGTTTGATTCAGGCATTCCCTTCAATAAAGCTAAAATTTAGCACTAGAGTTAGCTTAAATTTCTTATATTTTCATCTGGGTCAAAAACGTCCCTACAGAAGAAAAATTAGAGACGTTTTATCAGGTTTTTGTCATGTACATTTGGTTCTTTTAGTAGGAATTTGTAGCGGACTCTCCGGAAGTGTGGCCTGGGTGTATAAGACGACAGCGCCATCTTGTGGAGACAACCAGCGACTGCGCGGATCCAAGATGGCGGCCTCCGTGCTGATGTTTGGAGGAGCTCTGTTTGAAACGACGAAACACGAAAAATTTCAGGTGAAGTGATTAAAACACACCGGTGAAAAGGGATATGGGCACATTACTGAACTGTGGAACATGAAATACCACGGTGCTTTTTCGTTTCATGGACTAAATGTGCATATTTTGGGTCGTGAAGTCTGACTTTGCCGTTGAAATGCAAAAGTGAGTCTGCATTTAACATGAATACAAAAGAATTGGTCCGTATTGCTCTACAAATGGAGAAATGTATTGACAACAGAAGCTATGGGGACGTTTTAACTCTACTCTCTGACCTGGGTAAGGTCAGAATCACTTCAGAGCAGCTGGAAACCACAGACATAGTAAAAGTTCTCTACAGACTCCTAAAATCCTGTCCAGACAACAATTTAAAGAAGACAGTGAAGAGTTTGTTGGCAAAGTGGAAAAAACAGTACGGGAAAGACAGGGATATGAAATGTACAGAGAAGGAAAAAGTGTCTGAACAGTCTTGTGGCGATTCATCTTTAAATATTTGTGATAAAGGTGTGTCTGAACCAGAAAATATTGTTTCGGGGGACGAAGACAGCCACCAAACTCTTCCTTTAACATCAGAAAGCACCTCCTTATCCTGTCTACCTTCGTCTGTGAGATCCAAAGGTGTCCAGTTTCTTCTTGCCGCCCTTTCCAAAGGAGTTACCGATCAAGAAACGGCTGCAGATTTGGCAGGAAAGCTTGAGGAACACATCCACGAGCTCCACAAATCAAACAACACCAGATACAGAGCCTGCATAAGAAGCAAGGTAGCCAATTTGAGGAACCCTAAAAATGGGCATTTACTAACAGGACTTCTCAACGGTTCACTCACACCTGGGGTCTTTGCTGGGATGTCAGCGGCGGAAATGGCGGGCGAGGAGCTGCGGCAGCTACGAGAAGAGTATTCGTCACAAGGTGTAAGCGAAAGGCAGCTTCCTCAAGGGATAGAAGGGACAAAAACGCAGATCAGGTGTAAGAGATGTGGGGGGTCGGACTGCAGGGTGACGCAGGTGTCCAGGGGGGCCCTTTTTCTGCCTGCATGGGTGAGGAGAGGCGGCCCTGATGAGGACGCAATGACTTTTGTGACCTGTAGTGGGTGTGGTCAGCAGTGGTACCACAGCGGCTGGATCTGCCTCTAGATCCACACTCCTGTTTTGACAGATTTAGTGACTATAGATAACACATTTGACAAAAACTGTCAAAGAGCAGAACTATAACATGTGGAGGAGAATAAGAGAATATTTATGTCCACAGGGGGGCGCCAAAATTGATACAAACTGAGAGCTCCTCAGGACGAAAGGTCAGTCAAATGCAGTGAGAAAAAAAGGAGCAGAGCATTCTCCCTGTATCTTTAAAAATGCAGCGTCAGGCTTGGACTTTTAAGCTGTAAATCTAAAACTGAAAGCTGACTCGATTATTCTTACATGCTTTAAAGACTGAGTCACTGTCCATTACAGTTGAAACCACAACTTTTGAAGAAGCAGATCTCGTCATTCTCCTCCTGCTGAGTCATTTCCTTACTTCAACTACACTTATAGAACCTCAGCTAACTACTTTTCTTTTCCATCTTCTCTTGCATCCTCGCTCTCATTGACCTTCAGTCTTGATATTAATGTGGAAACTTTGTTCTACTGCTTTTATTATAAGGGAGAGCAAAGCAGATAACATCATGCCCCCATGCAGCCTCCTCTGACAATATCCCATTCATGTGGGGCAAACTGGCTCCAGCAGATCAGACATGTGACTTGTAGAAAACGGTGAGCATGTGAGGCAGTAATCTGCCCTCCTGAGCACCCTCAGGCCTGGATATCCCATGGTGCTTCAGTCAGTGGACGTGGCCGAGTGAGTCATCGAAACGTCATTGTGGCATCACATCCACGAACCTTCACTCAACAGGGGGAATAGTTTCACAAATTCTTCAACATTGTTCACTTTTTTAAGTTGAAGGACTTTTCGTCCTGAGGAGCTCTCATTTTGTGTAATTTTGGCGCCCCTTCTGTGGACAAAAATCTTCTTACTCTCCTCCACATGCTTCAGTACCAGGGTGTCTGCAGATAAGCTGTCCTGTAAGAAAAAAGTCATGTAGTTTAATCTTTACTCAGTTCAGTTTTAGCCTGAATTTGTGGATGTAGCAATGAACTTTGTCCAGAGAAAGCTGTTTCTGGAAGGGATTTTGACTTCAGAGTCATGTCTGTCCATCACTAGTTTTGTCCCTTTTGTGCAAAGTCCTCCAAATTTCTACAATCTTTTGTACAAACTTAATAAATTTACGGATTTTATCAAATTTTTATACAAATGAAGCTGCCTTCAGTGAAATTAAGTTCTTACACAGTCACATTCTGGTATTTCCCCTACGTATATTTCCTGGTTTGACCCACTTTTCTCTCTTTCTTGGTTCTTTATCTTGGATGTTCAAAGATAGAATCCCCTGTAACTGAATTATCATGCTTAATGATATGGCGCTGCACCATCTTGTCAGTCAGATACAGCAGGAGTGTGGATGCACTTTGTTATCTGTGGCTCTTCTCTGTGTTGTGTCTCCTCTCAGTCGCTCTATATCTAGAGAGTGTCGTGTTCCACCTTTTCAGTCACAGTGGTCTGTCAAATCAATCAGTGCTCTGAAGGCATTTATCTCCTCTTCACTCGCACATATACACTGATTTGAGCAGAAAACACACCGCAGGAACAGATAAGAAGTTGAGGTTTTGCTTTACGAAGTGTATCATACTTGAAAACCTGCAGAAGTGCAAGAATTCTTTTCAGAGACAATGTACAGATATCATTATCCCTTTCTTTTTCAGTCAGTCTTGTGCTAACTTTTCTGAATAACTTATTAGATCTGAAAAAAAAGACAACTACTAGTAAAATATGATTAGTTTTGCATGAGCAAGGTTACGTCCCTACTTTGTTCTGTGCCAAACCACCAATATAATCAATTAAATCTTCTGTGAGGAACCTTTGATTTGCGTCAATGGCAGAAACCTCCCCCTTTGTGCTGGTTTCAAACAATAAAAATCTGTACACAAAAATTGCTATTCCTGTTGCTGATGGGCTTGTTTGCATTTTGATATCAGAAGAAGGCATCACTATGAATTTCGGTCTATTGGAGATCAGAAAATTACCCTTATTTTCCAAACCAAAACTGACATGGAGTTTTCCATAGATGAGTTTGTGAGAAGCCCTACTCGGGAGAAAATGAACAAATGTACAAAAGCTGATTTATTTATCGTTGCTGCGTTTTATGATATCCTTGTTGCCTACAACATGGACATCATAAAACGGGGTTGTAATATTCCAGTATTTTATATTGAATTTCATGTTTTTCTCTGGCCTGGCTGTGTGTGGTGTAATTACCTATCTTGTATGTAAATTAGGTGTGCCATCTCCTGCTCCTGAGCCAATTTGGGGCTCATTCTCGTAGTACTTTTTCCTCGCATTTTAATGTTATAAAATACCATTTCCAAGCAACCCCCTGTTGCTCATGTGTCCGAATATTTAGGAGATGGGCAACAATTCATGGAGTCTGCGAAGGTTAGAAACACATGGGTGAAGGGGTTAGACATTTATTTCCACATTTTCACTCTTGAAAGTGAATTTAGTCTGTTATATGTTTTATTAGAATTGTGTTCAGACCAAAAAAGATTAAACTAGTTTTATACATAATTTGTGGTATCTATGAACTACAACATGAGGTCAAAAACAGCTTTTTAGCAGTTATATGAAATAATTAATATATATATTATACCTGTTGAATAGTGTATAATAGATAAAAATACACATGAATGTGAAGAAGTGACTGTTATTTAGGGAGAGAGAAGGTGAAGGAAGGCTGGGGTGGAGTGCTGTAGGAATACGGCTCAACTTACTATGGTCAACTTACCCCATACTCGGGGTAAGTTGACCATAGGAGACCACTTTTTTGCTGCATGCTATATTATCAAGACAGTTCTGTTTACACTCATTCTGTTGGTTTGCAGGGTTAAACAACATCCTGAAATATGTGCAGATACACTAGTTAGAGACAAAACTATGATTGACTTGATGTAGTGATCTGTAACATAAAAAATGGCTCATCTTGAAATCATAAAACTCTCCAAACTTAAAGTGATTTGCCATGACTTTTTATGTTATCGGTTGTTAAAGATGTTTATGCAAAGTAAAACACAATAAACCAGTTTAAACGAGGTGAAACAAACCACGAAATCAACAAGTTGAATCAACCGCGGATGCCTCCAGGAGACCGCCTGATGGGCGGAGGCGGGACACTCACTCGCGGGTCATGTGAGCGTCATCAGCGGCTTTCAGTTCCAGAGTGCAGCGGGGGGAACCCGGAGCGCCATGTCACCACCGGTCGAGAACTGCACTCTGCCGGGATGAACAAGTTGGAAACCAACCGCGGAAGCTGGACTGTGACAGCCACACGGACAGGTAAAGTTTCTAAAAAGACTGAACTTTGACTTTATCCGTAGAAATCCTCATTTTGTGTTGTTTTTGTCTCACGTGAAGCTCGTTTTCGAAGAGCTAACGTTGCAGTTATCGGCGATGCGCCCATTATCGGACAGCTAGAGTTTGCAGCGAAGCGTCTATTATCGGACAAGCCTTGGAAATATATTGACAGCTATCACAAAATCGAATAGAGATCAATATTGAGCTTAGATGAGGGAAGTGTATGCTTGTTTATGTTGATAGAGCCTTACAACCCTCCTCAGAAGCTTAAGTTTTGACTTCTCAATGTCAATTATGACTGTATTTATGATCCAAAGTGATAAAGTCTTGCTTTACAACTGTTATAAAACTGTTTCAGTCATGCTTGTGTTTTAATAACAGTGTTTCTTCCTTTCTGTTACTGGGTAAATTAATGTCACGCTGCAGATTAAGCTCATAACTTCTTAAATATCAAATGTAATATTGATAAATTGTAATCATGTGGCTGTTTGGGAAATCATCATGACTTTATTGGACCTGACCCAAAAAAAAAGCAGCCTACATCTGAAGTAGTAGCTTTCTGAATGAAGCACATGACTGCTGAGCGTGTCACTATGTGTGGCCATTCATTCCTTCTTCTTCTTCTTTGCAAAGTAAAGAAATGACAGTGTGAACTTTAAAGGTCGAGGGACAAAGGCATCATTTTTCTGGTTTTAAGTCCCGTTCTGCCAGTTCACATGACAGCACAGTGTACGGGCCCCTCAGGTGGACCATTATGGAGTTTCAATTCCACAAAGTCGCCCGAAATGTCTCTACAAAAGCAGATTTTATCTTAATCCACATCACAATACTTGTACCGTAACAGTAAAAACAACAACTTGGTTTTTGGAGGATGTCTTACCCTCATTCTTGGGCATCTTGGTCACACACAGGTCCCAGTTTGGCGAGTTCACAATTTTTAATCATTACTATAGAAACAGTGTAATGAACAGGTGGATTGAAGCAACACATTTAGGTACATTTTCATGAGCTAATTACAGAGTGTTTCTACTCAGATACAACAGATCATTTTTTGTTAAATTCTCGCATTTAACAGGTAACATTTATAATTTTAGGTGCATATATCAACCTTTTAGTAGTATAATTTAGTCTTCAGTTAATCTGATATCGTAGAGTGTCATTTACTGTGTGTGTTTTGCTGTTACAATGCCTCAGGTATCATATCACAATGTGAGTTACCCTTAAAATCCCAAACAAAAACTTATTAAAGCACCAGTGAGGGTTTTTCTTAAACAGTTTTAAAACAGACTTAAACAGATAATTGATCTAAATGACCTACTGAAGCAAAAATAAAAATCTGATTAAGTACTTTTAAAAGGTTTTTTTAAGGTCTAATGCAAACCTATCATTGGCACCCATCATTGATTCTCTTAACTGGGATGAATGATGTGATTTCGGTCTCCCTCGCCCCTCACTGAGGTTTCTTCACTTTCACCTCGCAGATTAGCTCTGGTATGTGGGTGGGATGATTCGCCGGTTAGCCTTAACTGGTATGCTAAGTATGTGTGTGTGTGGTATGAGATTAAATTAGCACTTAAACCCTTGCTTGTCTTTGTAGCTGAGGCTGTGAGTGGGTGAACTCCTTGGCCGGTTGGTGAAAGTGTAAAATCAACACACTCTCTCTCTCTCTCTCCTACAGATTGGTGACAAAATGCTGCGTGTGCTGATATAACGGTGAGGAATCCTCTCTCTCTCTCTCCTGCTCTCTCTCTCTCTGGTCCTGTGATCACTTCCATGTGATGTGCTGCACGGATCGCTTCATACTCAGTGTAGGAAGTTCATTAGTTACAAAGGATAATGAGCAGGCGGTCTTTTAATAGGATTAGCGAGTCGACTGACTTTAATCAGACTTGCTCACCGTCTGACTGTGAGGGACATGTAAACATGGCTGCTCAGGGGAAGGGTGTTAAAAAGAGAAAGTGGCGAGTCTTATCTGTGAGGCCAAAGGTACAAAGACACTAAAGTCGCCCTGTGTGTCGCACAAGTTGTTCCCTTTCTGGTAGGATTGAATGATCTTCAGATAGAGTTTGATTTAGATCAGATTCATTGATTTTGTTGTTTCCTCAGGTGAAACTTCGTCTTCTGTTTCATCGTCGCCAAACTACCTGTGCAGACCAGTTAAACAAGAGCCGACCCCCTTCGCCAACCTGCAACCATGACAACCAAATCAGCCCTCCTGAAGGTGATCCTCCTCGGAGACGGCGGCGTGGGGAAATCGTCGCTCATGAACCGCTACGTCACCAACAAGTTCGACTCGCACCTCTTCCACACCATCGGCGTGGAGTTCCTCAACAAGGAGCTGGAGGTGGACGGCCATCACGTCACGCTGCAGATCTGGGACACGGCGGGTCAGGAGCGCTTCCGCAGCCTGCGCACGCCTTTCTACCGCGGATCCGACTGCTGCCTGCTCACCTTCAGCGTGGATGACGGGCAGAGCTTCCTCAACCTCAACAACTGGAAGAAAGAGTTCACGTATTACGCCGACGTGAAGGACCCAGACAACTTCCCCTTCGTGGTGCTCGGCAACAAACTTGATGTGCCCGAGCGGCAGGTTTCAGGGGAGGATGTGCGGAAGTGGTGCCGCGAGAACGGCGGACACCCTTACTTTGAGACGAGCGCCAAGGACGCTACGAATGTAGCATCCGCCTTTGAGGAGGCGGTGCGGCGCATCCTGGCGCTGGACGACAGAGCTGATCACCTGATCCACACCGACACCGTGGACCTGCAGAGGAAGACTCCGCCGGATCCCACCTGCTGCTGAGCTCACGTCTGACTGTGTCCATGTGATGCTGACACATCTGTGTGCAAAAGAGGAACTTGTGTCTCATCGGAGGTCGGGTCATGTGATGTTCTCAGACGATCTTTTGACCAGGATCAGACTTCGTGTGAAGGAGATATATCCTTTTATCTCAGACTGAAACTGAGAATATTTTGTACAAATTATCCTAATTTCACCAAACATGGGACCAAAGCTTTCCATCCTTCATCTACGTACTTTGATCCAAAGACTGACTGGACATTTGGGATAAAATCTCTCTGATACAGGCTGTTCCTGATCTAATTTTTTGGTCACAGACAAACCTTGACTGTTGAAAGATTTGACGTCACAGATGCAGCCGCAGCTTTTAGTTTCAGTTTACAAAAAAAAGAAGTCCTGTGATTCAAATGGAGCAAGTTTAAAAGCTTTGTAACTCTCATATGTGTGTGGTCGAGGAGTTCATAGATAGAAAATTGTCGTTTTTTGGAGGAATACAAATGAGATTGTTTGATTGGCGCAGATTATATAGTGTTAGTCACATGATCAGGTGGATCCAAAAGCCGTTTTTTCCACAGGTGCTGTGATTGAATCAGAATATTCATAAAGGAATGAAGTCAGAAACTTTGTAAAGTAAGAAAGTAGAGCGCTTGAACTAGTTGGAGTTATTGATTTCATGTATTTACATATTTATTGATCAAACAGCTGATCTGGAAACACCACAACTTTTCATACTGGAATTAAAACTTCTGCCAACTCAGACACTGCAATGAACTCTTGATTCATTTTGTGCAGAAAAATTAAGTTTAGTATCATTTTTGTCCACAAGAGGGCGTCCTCTCATTGCTAGATTAAGAGTTTGACAACCATTTCTAATTTAATCCATGGAGGTCTGAGGGACTGACAGACCCTGATCCAGTCAAAGATCCACAAAGGTGTGGCGGTCAGGTGAAAGTGGGGCAGATTATCTGAGAATAATGTAATCTGAGTTTTTTTCTTTTCCTTTAAAAAAAGCAAAACTGACAGAAGATGAACGAGGGATTTGTCAATCAAGTGCAGCCCACTCAGTTCAGAGCTGGCAGAGTGGAATCACCTGTGTGGGTGCTACATGGGAGGAAATCTAGTCTACAACTGTGAGTATTTTAAGACCCACATCCTGGTTTTTGATGTTGAAGCTCCACAGATATTCTCCTGAAAGCCAGAAAATGTGAGCTCGCTTAAGTCTAAGGTTTTTTTTTTTTTTTTGTGAATTTGAGTCAATTTGTGAACGTCTAAACTCCTCATAGGAGCTATAAGTGACTTACGCTTTAATGAAAACCTAAAAAGTTAATTCATGCTTCTAATATGAGTTCATGACATTTATTTGTGTGTTACCTGTTACTTAAAAATATTCAGTATCCAGGATTTTGGAAGCTAATAAAACAGGAAAATTCATTTTTTAAAGCTCCTGTGAGGAGTTTATATGCCGTCAATGAAACGGACTCATATCTACAGTGAGGCCTCTTTATGACCTACAAAAGCAGACAAAATCATTTGCAAAACTTTTACTATGACAGTGTTTTTTTTTTTATTTTTATTGCTTTAATCACTAATGGAAGGAAGTAGGTGTCAGATTAGGCAATTTACAAAGCATTAAGTAAAACCCGCGTCTTTACTCTCCACTGCAAACGTTTCTAATCAATGATAAATTAGCTTTTAAAAAAGCCAGATTTTTTAAGTTATAAGTAAATTTTGTCCACAGGGGGCGCCAAAGTGAAGACAATCCAATCGAACACAATCTAAGGATTTGAACAGGTCTCAACAGGAGTTAAAGGTTATTTTTAAGCATATGACCTTCAAGTTTATTTATTTCAATTTTGGCGCCCCCTGTCTGTCCTTATCTCATCCTTTTGATGCAAAATGACCACCAAAATATATCTCTTGTGAACTATTTATATCCAAATGGTTAAATCAGGGCTGTTTTTCAGCTGCTTGACTTATACCTACCCTGTCACTAAAGTTTCAGGCCTTAAATAACACAATATAAAAATCAGTCAATTGTGGCGCCCCCTGTCTGTCCTTATCTTGTCCTTTTTATGCAAAACAACCACCAAAATATATCTCTTGTGAATCATTTATATCCAAATGGTTAAATCAGGCCTTAAATGTTACAATCTAAATATAGACAATGGTCTCGTTTGCTTTTGAACATCATATATAAAATTCAGTCTGTTTCATAAACATCAAAAAACTCCCTACAGGAGCTTTAATAGAAAACTGGGAGACTCACACAAAAAAGAGACAGGAGACACGGTGTCACGATAATAAAAAATATCGGTTTTACTAGAGAAGGTTACAAAAATCATCACTATATAGGAGTCATAGAACTATTTCCAACTTAAAAAATAAAACCATAATGAAACACCTACAGGGACTACAATGCCATCAAAGTACAATGGAGTTTTCTTTAGAAAAGCGTGGGTGGAAAGGGGGGAGGAAGGGGTGTGGAGGAAGGGGGTCAAACACCGCCTACCATAGTTGTCAGTACAATTGACTACACATCACCTGAAAAACTGCAAAGACACAGTCATGTCTCCTTCATGCAAATAACGAGGAAACAACAACACCCTGACACGCATCGTCTTATAGGAAATTGAAGTTTGCCTTTACATCAACCTGGCGGCAAAGCACGTATATTTATCAAACATAACACACATGGCAATATAGTCCTTTTTTATACAGAATAGACAGCTGCACACATGGACGATACTGACATGCTTCATCTCATTAAAGATCAAAAATTTGTCTTCTTCAGTGTTATCTTTTTTTTTCTCCAGGGAAAATAACCAGTGATGATCAATATAGAATATAGTTCATGATCATTAAACAATATCTAATTATAAAATTAATGTATGAAAATTCCTGACTGGTTTTTATTCAGAGTGTAAACATCCAAAAACAGTCTCTGTGGCTCATATGAGAGGCATGACGTTTAAAAATAAAACAAAAAAACAAACAAAAAGTTTAAAAAAAGAAAAAAGTGACTTTTAAAAAATCAACCCATGTGCTGATGAGTCACTTACTTGGCCGACCATTGAAGGAAAAAACCAAAAAAAAGCACAAATAAGTTCAATAAAATGAAAATTACTGAATCACGAGAAGAACCCAGCTGCCTAAAACTGATAAAACATTAAAAATTAATCTCCATATTTTTTTTTGTTCACATTTTAAAATGTATACGTCACAAGCACCTCAATCCATCATATCATATCATGACTGCACTGCATCCCTCTCACGACATATCATTGAAGATGTTACATTACAATTATTATATCAAATGCAGAACTAGTATTTGAGTGCTAAACACATATCTCAAAGGGTACATTTACATATATCTGTGGAAAAAAATCATAGAAGAGCATGGCGAAACACTGATTGTGTCCTCCTCCTTCGGGAGAGGCGTGAATTGAGATTTTTTTGTTATTTTTTAAGGGTGATTTCGCTATTTACAGGTGAAGTTTATTCTTAAAGGAGAGGCTTTAGAAAATGATTGTTGGTTCGTCGTTCAGGAAGGGGTTTTAACGGTTCGATGGCGAAGCTTTAGGAAAGAACACAACTGGCAAAAATCAGATTTGGTTTGATTCCTGAGGTGTGCGTTTTTTTAGTTTGTGTTTTAAAAAAAAAAAACCCGGGCGGAGCTGCGTCGGATTCCCGCAGCCGCTGGTGTTAAGTGTAGCAAAAACAGAAAATCTGAAAGGAAAGTAGTTTAAAATTTCTGGGAAATGCCCCTTTAGTTGATACCGCTTTCAGACACGAAAGTAGCTTCAATAACTTTTCCCCTTATAAAAGTTTGCTACACCTTTTGTCTTAAAGTAACACCAATAACTTCATGTATATGTAAAATAAAAATAAAATCCTTGAGATACAACATGATTAGAGTTTTCGGTATTTCGATGGGAGCAGGGGGCATGGGTGCTGTGTGTGTTTTTAAGAATTTTATTCTCCCTTATTATTGTTTTGTCATAGTGCAACAACGTATCGAGCATTAGCAATAAAAAGTCTTAAGATGGAAAAGAAAGAAAAGGAGAAAAACCCCATGAGCGCAAAATAAAAACCATAAAGAAGAAGAAAAGATCATAATAGTACCAGGCATACTTTTCCGAGAGCATTAAAAAAAACAACAACATTCGTACACATTCGCACAATATATTCATATTCATATATATATGCATATAAAACACCAAAAAACGGAGGAAGGTGGTCGCTGCCCGGCTCCCCTGTGGCTGGAGCAGACAGTGAACAATGTTTTTTTTAGGCTGTTAGGAGCTGTGTGTCGAGAGGCTGTGCTGGCTCAGGGCGCGAGGCCATCACAGCCGGGCCTCGTTCACGAGCCGCCGCCCAAATGCGCGCGGGAGGAGACGCTTCTGAACTGATGTACCGTACCTGAGCTCCACCCGGGCGGCCGGGCGAGCCCTCCCGTTCTGAAGCATCTGCCTCCGTCTGGGCCTGCCGCTTCTCCCGATCCTCTGTCCTCTTCCCCCTCGTCTGCGAGCTGACGACTCGTAATAAACATCGTGGAGGGGAAGAGGACGGAGGATCAGGCGGTTTGGGGGACTATCAAACATGACCGAGGTGGTTTTGTTTTAACTGAGGGAGGGACGGGTGCTGGGTGTTGCAGGGTGGGGGGATTTGAGGTGTGGAAAGGAGATGGGTGGTGGCAGTAGAGGATCCCTGGTCCTTATGAGTAGGAGGAGGAGTTCTGGCCCTCCTTGGAGCGCGCCTCAGCCTCCAGATCTTGGTCGTCCTTGGTCTTTATGTCCTGGTACTCGTGCGTGGAGACGGCGCTCTTTAGGTAGGCCCAGTTGGCTGCCAAAATCATCAGGTAGTGGATCTGAAGAAGAGTGGGAAGTTTGTGGTAAATTCAGTGACAATTCAATGCAAACAAAAGTGACTGACACCAAAATACAAACAACACTTGTTGACTGTTTCAACATTTATTGTTAAAGCTCCACTGAAGTGAGCTGGTCTGCAGAAACTATTCTTTAATAATATAATGCTAAATGTAAATAATAAATATGGAAGTGTAAAAAACTGCAGTTCCTTGAGTGTCCACTTGGGGCTTACACCAAAACTAAGCTGTATCCATTGGCACCCATGTTAAACCTCCCATTCAGTAAATGTTGGTATAACTTCTGTAACAAACAGATATTGTACATAGTTAAAGCTCCTGTGAAGACATTTTTTCTGTTTATGGCGCCCCCCTGTGGACAAAGTTAAACCTTTTTATCTCAGCAGTCTTGTTCAGTACATGTTTAAGTTGTGTTTTCTTACAAAAATACCCCCTCGCAGTATTAAAAATTACAAACTAGATATCGTTGATTGTTTTAGTAATGGGTTTGTTTTCATGATTAAATTTAATCCGTTTTACAATCACTATAAAATTCCTTACAGGAGCTTTAAATCTGACTCACTAATAAGGTAACAAACTGGAACTTTGGAAAGGCTTTCCTTCTAATACCTCATGTTTTTAAATAGAAAATATTAACCTTTTCACTCTTATACCACTTTATTTTTAATTTTCTGCATGTCTTTTCTTGTAAGCCCAAATACAAACTTCCAGATTCACTTCTCGAATGTGTCTAAATCTGTTTCAGCTGGATTTGATTCAGACATTAACAGTTAAATATAAAATTTGGTATGCTGACTGAGTAGATTCAGGGCTGTTGTTGTGTAACGTTGCACACTCTTTGGTAGTAACAGAAAACGTGGACCTAGTTTTTGACTCTCTTGGCGCTCTTCTGCTGGAATAGTATCCTGCATCTCCTCCTAAATAAGCGAGCTGAAAAACATCAGAGTGCAGAGGGCTGTCAGACCCCACACACCATCAGCGGAGGAGCTCGTCTCTTTTTTAGCACCTTCATTTTCCTCGATATGAAACAAAACCATCCGCCTCCACAGCGGAGTAAAACACTGACCCCGTCTACACACGCTCACGCAGCAGAGGCAGGCTGGAGAGAGAGTTGGAGTTTTTTTTTTTTCTACCCATCGCATGACATACCGGCGAACGTGAGAGGCGGGGTTGCCATGGCAACAGATAAGCACGCCATGGCAACGTGCATATTTTCAGAAGCACATTATCAGTGGGATCATGAGCGGCTTACCAACGCGATGACAGTGGCACCGGCGCCGGCAAACGCAACGATGTAGAGGTGGTAGGAGAGGTAGAACTGCGGACGGAAAGAGAGAGAGAGAGAGAGTCAGAGACGGAGGACGAGAAAAAAAGATGAAAATGAATAAAAAGGTCAGGTCAGCGGCCTCTCACCTCGCTGGTGTTGCAGATGTCTCCCAGTGTGGATCCGCAAGCTTTTCCCGGTGTGGCGTTCAAGGGAATAATACCTACAGGATCAGAGAGATGAAACATCAGAGGGCTGCCGCTTCCTCGTCGGAGACAAGAAGCTTTTTCCTCCCCCGAGACTGTGTGATTGAAGGCATTATGAATTAGGCTCGGATAAAGATTAAAGGAAACCGGGCTGCGGCTGTGTGGGCCTCTGAGCCCCTCCTACAGGAAAAATATGGGTCATTATTTGGATTTTAAACCTTTACTTGAAAAGATTTGGAAAAACTGGATCGCACGGACTTCCTTTATGAATAAAGAAAACACGATAAAGTTAGAAAAACCTCTCCCCTCCACTCTAAATCCTGATCTGCTGATAATAATTTGATGACTGCCAGTAATTGGGGTTAATATTTCATACAGTGTAGTACAGTATGACTGCCAATGAAGCATATGTGATCCTCATCCTGCTTTGTGAGCGGGCCAGCTGTCCTTCAAATGTGGGTCACATACTGTACATTAGGGCCATCAAACAGATAACCAGATATGCAATCACAGGAGAGGGTTACTGCACTGTACGGCCGCAGGAAGGTGGATTTTCATAAAGATCCAATCAGGATCCTGGTAATCTAAATGTGTATGTTTGACCTCTTCATATTGGAGCTGATATTTAAAGCAAATCAGAGCTCGAACAATCGTATAAAGATTGTGTTTAGTGATGGGCACGGCGGTTCTTTTAGATGTACTGTATCATTAGAATCAGTTCACTAAAATGATTTGTTTAAAAGATTCGTTCATCAAATCACCGAATCATTCAGCGGGAGGAGCCTGCGACTCCGACCTCCTGAACTGATACACAGATGAACGGTTCAGGATTCAGATCATAGCTTCTGGGAGACGAGAGTGTTTAACTGTGTTGCCTTGAAAAACAGGTTTGTAAAAATGAACTTGTTTATAAGTCATGATGTTTTAAGTGTACTGTCCTATGGTATGCTATTTACCATTGAGTGATTCGTTCACTGAATGTTTAGAAGAATTCACACTGAACGTGAACCGTTCCCTCGCAAACCGCTGCAATGACAGGATGCTGCAGGTTTAATGCACGACTTGTTACATGCTGTGTCCTATTGTATGTAAGTTGTTGTGGTGGCAATTTAGCAGTGAAAAAAAAGGTAGTTTTGTCTGAGGAAAATGATTCCAGAGAGTGTAGTTCAATGCGTGATTCGTTCACAAAGTGATTCAGGCGTGGGTGCATGCGGTCCCTCGTTTGCCGGCTGCTCGCCTGGCAGTGCTATCGCTCACTTCAGCTCAACTGAAGTGAGAAACGAACGAATCACTCGAGGAAGTGATTCGGTTCTGATAGGAGAATTTTCTTTAGCCAATCCCATCAGCCTTTAGGGTGGCGGAGCCATGCAACTCAAATACAAGGGGTGCGTTGGTGTTAGATTGTTGGAGCCAGGGGCCTCTGACAACCATTCTCATAAAAAACCCTTGTACACATTTTTGACATCACTTAGGTTCCCAAAATTTGTTATGCTATGGTATTCCCCTATATGGGCTCTCCATATGTTCACCTAAGGCTCCTTAAAATATGTTGTCCTTTGTTCTAACACTACATGGACTCCTCTTAGGGTCAACTAAATGCCAGCAGAATGCTTGGATATGTGGACAGCTATATATACCTGAACAGTCTCAGCCCAATCTTTGTTACACTTGTGGCATGATGAAGCTGTAACCCAGATTTGCAATCAGTAAAGTTTGTCAAACTGACCATTTGTGTGGACCTTCCATTCTTTCAAGTGTGAGTCTGGGCTAGGCATCCTTGCAGGTTCATTACATTCACTTAAAAGATTTGGTTCTTTTGAACGAATCGTTCACTAACGACACATCAGTAATTGTGTTCATGGTGGTGAGTTTAAGAAGGATCTTATAAAAGAGATGTAGGCAGAAGTTTATCGTGTTAATGACAGCAAACTTAAGAGAACTGTGGCCACTGGTTGTGAAAGATTCGTTTTTTTAAGATGTTGACTTCGCAGGTAAATCCCTCACAGAGTGTCAAAACAGCGAGAAAATCACCGAGACGCTCTTTTATGAGCGGAGTTTAAAGCGCTTCACTAGCCGGCGTGTCTGAGCTCACTTTGCCTTGATCAGAGGAAGTTCGTTTTTAACTTTGAGGACGTGTAACTCACTTCACAGTCTGATCCTTTTAACTTCAGCTGCAGGAGAAACACCTCAGGGACACGCAACAGGTTTCTCTTTTTTAACGGGTGATTTTCAAAAACAGTCTTATGACGGCTCCGACTTGTTAATCTTCTTTTCCTCAAAATGTTTTCGAGCAGCGTCGTAGTTCCCTCGACTTACCGTACTGCCTTACGTCCACACAGATGGAGTCGGGCGAGGTGATGTTGGGAGACTTCATGGCGGCGCAGGTATTCCACACGTTGAAGAAGAGGAAAACCGGTATCGCCGTGAAGCCGAAGATGGCGAGGAAGGCCAGGAAGAGGATGTAGGTCAGGAACATGAACTAAGGTAAGCAGAGCAGAGATGGGAAAGATATATTTAAAAATAGGTTAATGATATTCTGTTAGGACCTTTACCCACCGACATGCAAAGAAACGATGAGCGTGAGTTAATGTTACCGGACATCTGCAGCAATTAGTGTAATCAGGTTAGAGAGGACAAACTGTGCCAGAGTTGCCCTCAAGGCCCCGAGTGGGTGTGTTTGTGTGTTCGGTGCGTGTGTGCACAAGTGCTTCTATCTATCTCTGTTCTGTGTGATCGGAGAGTGGAGGTGTGAGATTGCGCCGCTCCAGCGCTTCAAAGATGACCTCCGTCCTCGCTTTGTAAACACAGAAAAGCTCGTCAAAGTTTTTAAATCTCATGCGGGCGATTTCGTTTCAGTGGGTGTGATGGTTTGATGGAGTTTGAGTTTGAGTGAGTCGACGTACGAAGGCGGTGATGCAGCGTCCGCAAACGGTGGTCTTGAAGTCGCTCTGCAGCTCCTTCTTGATGGCGCTGGTGGTGTAGAAGCCCTCAGCGAGCAGGATGATGGCGTAGACGAAGAAGAAGGAGGCGATGCCGTAGATGATGTACTGAAAGATCTGGATCCTGGACACACAATAATTCATCGGTTAGACTATGATCAGGACACAAACAGTATTAGTCGATATCTAAAAATCTGAAAATCTGAATTTTAGGACTTACACCATGGCGAGGGTGGCGTGGTCCGAGGGGGTCCGGGAGAAGTGGTTCTCCAGCATGGTCAGAGTGCCGGTCAGCGCCACGTGGCCGCAGCCGCAGAACAGAGCCACGCCCGAGAAGCAGAGGATGGTGGCCACCAGGGAGGCGTAGGGAACCCCGCCCAGACATTTGATGCAACACTCGAAGCATCCTGCAGGGGGAGGGGAAAGAACGCGGGTTAATAAACGTAGAACAAAACATGCAGCTGTGTGCAGATGGCGAGTCTTAAATCTAAGTACGAATTATCCAGGTCAAATCTGTAAAACAAAATGTGCCAAAGTGAGCCGGACTGAGCGGAGCAAACCGCTGCAACATGTTAGCACACAAAGCATCCAGATCAGCTTTGGTGACGACACTCGCTGCAAGACTGGGCGTCCTTGAGTCCACCGCCGCTACTGCTGCTGCTTCTGCTGCTGATGATGATGATCTTACTGCTTACTGCTGAGCGTCATGCTTGTCTCCCTGAGTCTACAAGAGCGAGGGCTGCACTCCTCCCTGTCAGGCATGTCGGGCGGCTGATCAGAGCATCTCTCACAGTTAGTGTTAGTGTTCACTTTGAGCTCAGCTGGGAGTGTTGAATATTACATGTTAAGCTGCGCTACACGCTCGCATCCTGCTCCGTCTCCCTTTTGTATTAAGAGAAACATCTCAGGCTTCTTTTTTAAGGCTGAATTGTATAAATAACTCATGACATAATGCAGGTTTCTTTTCTAGGGCATGCACAGTGACATTTAGGAAGCGCTTGTTTGGAGTCGTAGCTTTAAAGGACTGCTAGGAGACTCAGAAATGTCATGCCTGAGCTGACCTGCACAGATTTTAATATTTTTTATTTTAAATTTGCTAAATTAATGTTCCCAAATCATCCTAAATCAGTAAATTTGTTTCCAGAAGCGTGAGCTACACAGGACAGCACGGCGTTTCTGCTCCCATCAGAGTCAAAAGTACAAAGAGGAATAGAAAGGAGGGAAAATAACGCATTGTATCGAGCACAAGAGTCGCATCTTATATAACAACCCGTTAAAAATAGCTCCTCCAGCAAAAGCAGGAAGTAACTCCGAAATAAAAGGAAAACTGAACCGTCTTCTGTGTGCCACTTTGCTGTTTCCATGACAACCCGCTCCAATTGGCAGCCGGGGAGCATCACTATTTCATGTTCAGAAGTTTGTTGAATCGACACGGTCCTGTTTGTAAAGCCTTGTCTACATGACTGCGTTACATGTGTCAAACCTTCACTTCTGCTTCCGTATTTCCACATTTTTGCAGCAGAGTTACGAGTTTATTGACATTTTTATTGATTAGTTTGAGAGTTTACTGATTGAAGCCTCATTATGTGGTTAACAATGATCAGTATACTCATTCGCCACATTGATCCAAGATAGAAACTCCTAATTATTCATGATTAGGTTATCACAAATATGTAATATTAAAGCTCCTGTGAGAAGTTTTCAACTAGTCATGAAGGAAGCTAAAACTAATATTAGTGTCTTTAAAAAACCTTACAAAAGCAAACAAGAGTGTCACAAGAAAAGTAATTCATGTTACACGCTTTATTTTTAAAATCTGAATCCACTGGTGGGGGGTAGGTGTGAGACCAGGTGAATCACTGCTCTTCTGCTTGATTCTTTGACTTTTAAAAAAAATTTAATTGATTTAATTTGCATCAATATACTAATTAAACATGCACACGTCAAAGCAAATACTGCTTTGTCCACAGGGGGGCGCCAAAATCAACAGAGTTCCTCACAGGAGCTTTAAGTTGTCAGGATATTGTAGAGTTATAGGTTTTTTTTAAATGATTTTTTTATTCTTATATAATATAATATAATATTTTAATGATATATAGAATTTTCCTGTTATATGATAACTTATGGCCATTAGTAGTTAATGTTTATAAGGTTTGTATATTTTGACAATAGCTAGCATGAAGGCGACATTATTAATGATATTATTTGAACAAATTTAGCATGTTAGCACGCCTGTTTTAGCATTAAGGTCCTTACACACCGGGACCGTTTTTTCGTGCGATTATTTCGGACATCAATATTTTTTTTCGAATCTGTATCCTGTCAATACAAGCGTTCATATCAATGACGTTTTCCCGTCCTGCGATATTGCGGCATTTATTTTTCGTATCACGGTCGAATTTTCTAAAGTTTCAGTAACCCGGGACGCATCTTTTTTCCCCCCGGAAAGTCGCAAAATAGCATCGCGCTAGATGTGTATAGTCAGGTGCGTCAAAATTCGCCTGAGAATATTTCGTAATTTCGCATCGTATATTTGTGTCATTCCCGGTATGTAAGGACCTTTAGGTTTAGAGGACAGTTGTCTAAGCACAGCCTCACTCCACTCACAGTCTTGACTTGCTAGCATCGCTGTTTTTTGTCACGAGTTAAAGCTCCTGTGAAGAGGTTTGGCGCCCCACTGTGGACTAAACAGGCTGATCTTGCCTTTGGATTTTAAATTTGTTTCTCTTGCCATCAAAAGTTTATCTCGCTTTCTTCAAAAAGTCAAGTATATCACTCTCTTTGAGTCGTTTTGCAGCATAAGGTAAACAAAAGCCGTTTCTGACACCTACCCCCTGTCAGTGGTTAAAAAAATTTGATAGAAACTGTACAGAAATGATTTATTTTGCTTTTTTGATCATAAGGGGCAGCAAGTATTAATTTTAAAGTATTTCATAGCCAGTGAAAAATCTCTACACAGGAGCTTTAAAATAACTTTTCTGGGCGGTTTTATTGAGCGATGTGTTGGAAAGTTGTGCACCATTTCATACAACAAAGAGAACAAGCTATAAAGATGCAAAATATTTCAACACATGACTTAAATTTTTGGAGTTTTCTCCCACAACACTTACTAAAAGTCTCAATTTTTATGTGAAGACCGAGCCGACAGATATTTTTATTTGTGTTAAACCAAATTACAGTTGTAACTCGTCTAACTCTGAATCAGCTCATCATGTCGCCTATCTCTCGCCTTCTGCTGTGTTGTCTTTTGCATTGGCCCACTTTTCTGAGGCCGTTTCCCGACCTGAGCGTGGGGTCATGTGTGAACACACTGAAAACCTCTCCCCTTCGTGTCAGAGCGAATAAAAAACCCCAAACTATTAATCTAAGATGCAACTCCGAAGTGTGCTGCTGCCGCTGAAGACTCAGCATTGCGTAACCGCGCGGAGGCTCGTTGCATAATAGATCCAAATCCTATTAATGTTAATGAAGGAAGCGGGGCTGATGGAGAGGTGCAGCTGATAAGGCTGGATGGCTCTAAAATCCTGAGCTGAGAAACAGGCCAGGCCTCCAGGGAGCCGGGTTCGCAATGGACTCAGTGGTCGATACAATGACGACCGGGGGAGGCTGTTTAAAAGCTGCGCTGCACTGACACTCCATCTGCTGTGAAAGGTCAATCTAAACAGGTGATTCAGTCTGACGGTCCACCTGTTTCTCCCCATTTAAAGAAGAGAATTAAACCCGCTGAGCGACGTGATAATCCTGCTTTTAAAATTGAGTGTTATCGCCAAAGTCGTGAACTCTTCTTAAGGTGATAAAAGCAGCCGGGTGCAACTCATTTTTCCCAAGAAAGACTTCAAATTTCCGATAAACCCAAGAGTGAATAGGTTTGAAATAACTCTGCTGTTAACTCTGCTTTTCCCAGCTTCACGGATGAGCTCACAGGTCTGCCTTTAAACGCTGAAACGGGGCCCATTATCTGGTCCGCCTGAGGTTACGACTGTTTGTCAGCTTCAGTTTTAAAGCCCGCTAATGGGAAACAGACAGGCCGGAGTGGCCAGCTCCAGCCGGCTCTAATGGAAATCAATGGTCTATTCATTAGAGTAGAATTTAGGTGACACAGTCAGGGCCAAGGCTGGTCGCTCTCGTTTTATACCTCGCTGCATCCCGCCACCTCTTGTCTCTTCGTCTTCGCCGCTCGCTCTCTAAAATACAACCACATGCCCACGCCGTGCTTACAGTGAGCCAGCTGGAGTTAATCGCTTAGACAATATGTTGCGATCCCGTTACGGCGCTGTATCATACATCACCTCAACAACCTCAGAGCGAAGACGATGCATCAGGTTGTGGGAGTGTTTTAGAAGCCGTCTGGGGAGGTGCTCGAGCTTGGCCGGCCAATAAGAAAAGCACAAAAAGAAGTCGTGAATTTCTGCTAATTTCCTCAAGTGACAGAAAGGGAAATAATTTGACAGACAAGAGCTGCAATTAGGATTAAATCCCCCCGCTGGTGGAGCTTTTACGTCTTCCAAAAGTGCTTCCAACAAGTCGAAAACGTCCCACTGCTCAAATTAGGATTTCAATTTGTGGGCTGAGGGTGACAGTCAAGTGTAAAGAAGAGATAATAGAGGCCTGCTCTTTTTGTGCTTTCGCCGCAAAGACAAAGAGGGAGCGATGAGAGAGGGAGTTTCAGACGCCGAGGAAAGGGTGGCACGAGCGAGAGAGAGAGAGGTGACTGGGGGAAAAAGGGCGAGAGAGAGAGATTGAGGAAAAACGAAGGGAGGAGGAAAAAGAAGAAGAAGAAAGAATAGATAGAGAAAGTGTAAGTGAAAAAAGCAGCGCTTCGCCCCAGGGCCGGCGAACAGCAGTTGCCATAGCAACGTGTTACCCACGACCCAGTTCAGCGGTAGTCCTTCGCACAAACACACACACATAAGTACCCTGATGGAGAGTGATGTAACCTCAAAGTAAACCTGAGGATCGGCGCTAAACGGCGAAAAGTGTCTGCGATTCGAACCCGATATCGCAAAGAGGCGAAGGTAGAGAGAGAGAGAGAGAGGAAGTGAGGACATAAAACAAGGAGGGAGGAGGTGTGAAGTAACGCTTCACTTTATGTGTTTGACCTACTTCCTTAAATATGCCCTGGAAATATGATGAATTTGACATGTAAGAGAAAAAGAGCAGCGCCGTTTTTGTTTCTGCTGTTTCTGATATTTTTTTTTGAAGATTTTTCCACTGAAATTTCTGTTTTCTTCACTGCTGCGTCTGTAAAGCCTAAATCAGTAAGACTATAAAAAAAGAGGGAGAAAATATCTTCTAGTTTATCGTCAGTATAAACCAGAGGATGCACTCTTCTACCAAGAGTGCATCTGCCAGGAATAACAGCCTTAATAAAGCTTTGTGAATATTTCAGCGGCCGGTCTGGTCTCTGCCTGCGGCTGTATACCAATTTAGAAGTGCTGTATTCATTATGGGGCAGTTTCCCTCACAGTGCATTATGGGTAGATCCCCCACAAGAGTCGAGCAGAACCTGAGAGAGAAAAGAAACGTGAGGATGTGGGAATGTAAAGGGAGAGGGAAAAAAAAAGGAGGCGGAGAGAGCTGGGAGATGTAAACGAAGCCACATCTGTTTGACGGCAGATTTCAAGAGCCACAACAACAAACACACACAACCACACACACACACACACACACACACACACAAACACTCGTAACCTCGTGACTTCAGCTTGGGAGATTTCCGTCTTTCCACTTGAGTTGCAGGATAAAATGCTGCTCCGTGCTTTAATGAGAAGATCAAAACCGCACTGTCATGAAGTGGAGAACAAAGCCGTGTTTCCTGAGGAGTAACTCCTTTTTTTTTTTTACTGCTTTTCTCGTTTTCTTTCATTAGAGACGTCGTTAAATGTGATTATTTCAGTGTGGAAATTCGAGGAGTTTGCCTCAGAGGTGTTAAATAGAAAATGTTTAAAGTTAAAGCGGGTGTCTTAAATTCTCCCGCGACCTCAAGGGATGCACATTCAAAGCAACATCACTAGAGTAGCTTGAACAGCCTTACCTACATGACTCCATTCATATCACTAGTGCATTTTTGGCCAAACCAGCCAGAAATCTGTGTATTTACATAAAAAAACCACAAGGTCTAATGCTGCGTTCCAGTTGTACCCGGAAGTCGAAATTTCTGAGCTCTAAGTCGGAAATTCATCTGGAACACCCCCTTAAGTCGGGTCTATTGCTAGTCCAGTTGGGTCTACTGCTGCGTTCCACTTGTACCAGGAAGTTGGAATTTCATCTGGAACACCCCCTGAAGTCAGATGTCGTCAAGTTGGGCCATCCCCGGCTTGACGACAACATCATAATCAAAGATGGCAGTACAGTGCATCAACAGTAAAGAGTAACAACGAAAGCTCTCGTCATGTTTTATTTATTAGTACTTCTGTTTTGTTTTTGTGAAATTTAATAAGTGGTATATGTTTTACTGCCCAACGTCTAACTGTGAACACGGTGCTTTGGTGTTTATAAAAGCTAAATAGTGTGTTGTGCGTCGTTTACAACTGGTATAGCTAATAACAACTAGCAACAGCTGACAACGGCCAACAACAGCTAACTGTAGGATTCCATTTTGGTTTTCCAACTTGTTAACTGGAATGCCGTCAACTCCGGTGTAACGTCATTCCGAGCTCCGACAACCGACTTCCAAGGTAACTGGAACGCAACATTAAATCTTTTTAGCCTGGATATTTTTACATTCCCGCCTGCTGATACCTGAGCCCTCACCTTTGTATCGCCACTCTAATATCATTACTTGAGCAAAGTCACTTTCATGAAACACTTTCTGGGGTCGATTTTTCAAGGTCCTGTTACTGTTGCCAACTACCAACCTCCATGTTCGTACTGCTACTTTTAAACCCCCTGCTTTCACGAATCGTCACACGTCTCACCGCTCAAGAATTCCCCCTCACATACAGTATCATCCGTCACCGCTAATGTATCCTTGGATCTAATATAACACCACTTTAGGAATCACACCTTTTCTCTCCTCAATTATGTATCACCACTTTTGTATTGTGACCTATGTATGAACCGTATGTATGTAGAGCCAGCACAAAAAAGTCTTAAAACGATCAGTAAACTGTCTAATTTTAAGTTTGTTTCCAAGCTATTTAAATTAAAATCGAATTTACCACCCTCGTATTCTAAAAAGGCTTTTAAAATCCTTTCCCCTGTCCTTTGTGAAGAGTTTTTAAGTAGTTAAAGTTGTCTCAGTGATGATTTAAGTACAAAAACAAATGAATAAAAAGACTTTTGCTCTTATAAACTGGAATTTCCCCTCTAAAGACAGCAGGATAGATGTTGATATGCTTTCATTTCATTTCCTGTTTTGACAAAAATCCCTTTAATACGTCTCCCCTCATCTCCACACACATGCTTATCTTATCTTAATGTTGTCAGTAATCGGCTTGTTTGTGGCGTTGATCAAAAGGATGTAATATGCTCTGAGCCAGGTAAGAGGATGACGTTAGCCGCCGCCACAAGTTCCCACCATAAACCTGTTTTCCTTTTTCCCCCCACTGTACATAGCTGACCCTAATCTTTAGTTTGAAAGAAAACCTTGGCTGCTTTTTCAGCATTATGAAAGCCACAAGGTCAGCATCTGGCCAGGCGTAATTGAGCATGATAGACTGTAGTACTCTCAAATCCTGTTCTGGCCCGCTACTACGTGATCAATACTTTCATCCCGCTGATCTGCTGGATGCTTTTCCCCCCCTCCATCTCTCTCTTTCTGGGGCCAATCTGGGCTAAACTCTGACAGCTGGGTGAGGGACTCAACTCCCAAGACACATACCAAAACACACTCACCCATGATGAATGCACAAAAAAAGAAAAAAACATGCAGCAACACAGATGGGGCACACATGATGGTAGAGGCTCACAGATGTAGAGAAATACACAAACTGTTCATCTGCGGGAAATTAGGATCAGCTTGTTTGCATGTGACCCACCATGTTTAGCTCAAACGCTTCCAAACAGTGCACGCCAAACTAAATTAACAAGCCAGTAGTTATGGGAGAAACCAGGATAATTAGTTTAAAGAGCTTAGCACCGTAGGAACGTCAGCTGCAAGATAAACATAACCAAGTATTTAACATTCCTACTCACAAAGACCACCAGGGCAGGAAAAATAGTCTGTGGGTGGTTGTAAATATGGGTGCTAACATGATCAAAAATACTAAAAATGCAGCACTTTTTTTAGGTTTTTGTATACTGAATCAAAACCTGAAACTTGGAGGTTTTTTGCTACTCTATGTTAATGGTAGCTCATAATTGCAGACTTTAAATAGAAGACTATTCGTCATAGACATCAGCAAATTATGGTTATAAATGTTGAAAAACCTGAGAGGTAGCAGCTTATTTAAGTTAACCTAGTTTTGTATGGTTCTGAATTTTAAAAAACCTGATAAATGTTGGTGAATTATGTGATATGGTTTGTTATGTATGCAAATTTGAGGTATGTGGGTTCATGTAAAAAGAATATGGTGGCTAAAGTTAGCAAGCTTTAGGTGTCGGTGCAAAATTGAAGGTGTTAAGGCAAATTTTTTAAAACTTGAGATTTGGTGGTTAATGTTGGCAAACTTGGCAAAATATGTAAGGCAAATGTTGGCAAATTAAAGATATGTTGGCTAATCTTTTCAAATTGAAGATGTGGCTAATGTTAGCAAACTAAAGGTGTGGTGGCTAATGTTAGCAAACTAAAGATGAGATGGCTTATGTTAGCGCACTTAAGATGTGATGGCTAATGTTAGCACACTTAAGCTGTGGTGGCTAATGTTAGCAAACTTAAAATGAGATGGCTAATGTTAGCGCACTTAAGATGTGGTGGCTAATGTTAGCAAACTAAAGATGTGGTGGCTAATGTTAGCAAACTAAAGATGGGATGGCTAATGTTAGCAAACTAAAGATGGGATGGCTAATATTAGCGCACTTAAAATGTGGTGGCTAATGTGAGCAAACTAAAGATGTGGTGGCTAACGTGAGCAAACTAAAGATGTGGTGGCTAATGTCAGCAACACCATAATGTGGCGGCTAATATTAGCAAACTTAAGATGTGGTGGCTAATGTTAGCAAACTTAAGATGTGGTGGCTAATGTTAGCAAACTTAAGATGTGGTGGCTAATGTTAGCAAAATAAAGATACAGTGAATTAAGCAAATTTGAGTTTTGATAACTTTGCAAATATGCAAATATGTTTGACATATTTTAAGCTAACAAAACACTGTGACTTTTTTGGCTAATGTTTCAAGTTCTGTGAGGTCAGGGTTTTGTGATTCAGGACCATCCTGAGTCAGTGTACTAACTTTGACTCGTCTGCTAATGGATCATGATAAGAACTGTTTAATTTGTTTGTTTTTGTCCTTATAAAGGATATTTCTAGCTCATATGATTCGAGCAGAAGGCATTTGTGTCCTTAAAGCGAGCACAATAAACAACAGAATAATAAAAATGTTGATTTAAATGCGCCGGATTGTCGCGAGTGCTCCACAGACCGCCTACTTGCTGTGGAAACTCTCTAAACAGATCCCTCTTCGCCTTGTCAGAGGCAGCGTCACCTGTCCTGAGTTGCCGTCTGCTGGCTCGGCGGAGCGAAGTGAAAGTCATTAGTCTGAGTTTTGCTCCACCAAAATATAAAATGGCCCTTCTGGCCAGAAGTGCCGTGCCATCTAACTAAATGGCTCAGCGGTTACGCAACCAACTTGGCTAACGTCACTTTTCCTGAGATGTCAAAGAAGTCGGTGGCCCTCCCCTGGCCTCTTTGCCTCCTCTCATCCCTCCTTCCCTCCATGTGATTATGGAGATTCACTTTCCTTCAGCCCCAGGGGGCTCGATGAACGTTGTGAGAGTGAGTGTGTGTTTGCTTGGCTGGAACAGGAGCTTAACTGAGCATGTACTTGCAATATGAGTAACTGCAGAGTCTCTTATTTACTGTAGTACAGATGCACTTTGTATGAGCGCGGACAGACTTTCATACAGAGCGTCCAATAAATATTTTGACGAGTTAAAAAGACATACAAATGCAAGTTTTAAATGATGCATAGCAAAAATATTCCACAAAAACAGACATATTTAAATTGTGCTGAATGTATAGGATCATAAGCGCAGCGCCGCCTGCAGCTGATAAACAGAATGACCCACACATGATACAGGCCGAGTCATTTATCAATGTCAGCCCCGGCTAACGATGACGAGTGCTAATCGGCATCAGGCTCTTTATGGGCTATAGATGAGAGGAGCAGATTGGGCATCAGTGGGCGATGGAGGGAGGCCAGAGGAGGTTGGCATCACTCAGGAACAAGGCATGCTGCGCCAACCTGCCACTTGCTGCTATTCATATACTCACTGCAGACTGGGGTTCAAACATAGATGTGTTGTCAGAGGGGGCGCGTTTACATCACTAATTTTGTGGATTTGGGCAGGAAAAAAAAGTCATATTTGATATTCAATCCATAAAAAACACTATCAATCATTCACAGACCATAACAATGCTGATTTCCGATTGTGATAACAGTATAAATGATCATCTGAGCTCGCCTTATTACTAGATCTGAAATATATCATTGTGTTTAAAGTATCTGATGGTTGTTGAAATAGAAAGTAAAGATTAAGAGGATAATTATGAATAATCTGTGTGTGCACAGAAACCTTGGACACCCCTGCTCCGATTGGGGAACCCTGTTAAAAGAGTCTGGACACACCCCTGCATAGTTGCACAAAAGGATCTGAGTTCTGTTTAAATGATTTTTGGCTTTTGCTGATTTTCATGGCCAGTATTTGGCAATCTGACGATTATCTGTATCAGTGTTTTGTTTCACTAATTGCCAATAAAATTCAATCATTTTAAAGTGTGCTACCTTGCCACCACTGCCACTTCCTCTAGCTCTGTTTTCACACACTTGAAGTCCCGCCCACACAAATATCTGATTGGCTGAACATCAAATGACTGTAACTTATACAGTGTTCAATTACCTTGAAAGTCAGAAGTCTGAGCTGGGAATGATGTCACACCCAAGTTACTAGCGTGAGTCGGAAGAAAGCAATATCGGAGGCGGAAACAAGATGGCTACATCTACGAAAGTTATTTTAGCACTTGCCTTGTTGAATTATAAGCAAGGACAAGGCAAGCGCTAAAATAACCTTCGTGGATGTAGCCATCTTGTTTCCGCCTCTGATTTTGCCTTCTTCCGACTTATGCTGGTAACTCAGGTGCGGAAACGAGATGGTTACATCTACGAAAGTTATTTTAGCGCTTGCCTTGTCCAAATATAAGCAAGGACAAGGCAAGCGAAATAACTTTCATAGATGTAACCATCTTGTTTCCGTCTCTGATTTTGCTTTTTTTCTGAATTGATAACTGAAACGCTGGTAACTCGGGTGTGACGTCATTTTCAGCTCGGACTTCGGACTTCCGAGGTAACTTGAACGCACCATTACTGTACTTAAGTTTTTATCTGAGTTTAACTCAGAATTTTCCAAATTTTGACATAAAGTTTGTTAGTTTTGTCCACAAATGCATATTGGTTCCAAATATCAGTTATTTAAATACCTTCTAATAATCGGTATCAGTATCAGTAGAGCCGTCAGTATCTCTATCAGTACCGGTATCGGTATCAGTATTGGTATGGCAACCAGAATATTAGTATCAATATCAGTATAGGTATAAGAATTGTTTCGTATTGGTTTCGAGTATCGGTGTAAGAACTGGTATCAATATCGGCCTTGAAAGCTGATATCAGTCAAGCTCTAGAACATAAGTTACTTTCCTCTGTATTCAGTAAATTCAACGTCTGCAGTTCCCGTTTTGGTTCAGAAATAAATCTGCAATTTGAAACGGATTTTCCTCAACCAGTAAAAACAGTAAAATTGACCCATTCATGCTAAATGTTGCCGTCTTTGTGAACATGAAAGCCGAGTAAGCTCATTTAAACATAAACCTGACCGCTGTGAAAGGCCGAATAGCAACAAGAGAAAACCACACCGTCTCACCCACACGTGTGCAGAAATAGAGCTTCTCCTACGGTGCAACAAAAAGCACTGATACAGACATTCCCCTCAACCACTCCTGGTCATTGACACGTAAACAAATACAAGCGCGCACACAGCGACCCTAACACACACTCACACACTCACACACACATATATCCAGATGGAGGCTGACAGCATGCTTTGGGCAAATGGCTTCAAATGAGGAACACATGAGCCTCTCCCTGTGTGACGGCTTTCACATGCTCCCACAACCTCACACACCTCCAGGGCGAGTGGAGGATAAGGGGACGGGCGTGTGCGTGAGCGTACGTGTGTGCGTGTCCGTGTGAAATAGAGATAAGCAGGGACTCAGGACGAGACAAAAAGAAGAGGACTTCAAAGCAGGGAAACAAAAAGGGACTTACTTATAGCTGATGTGCGACAAAATTGCCAAAAATCTTTGATCTGAAGGGGCGGATTCGTAAGCGCAACACAAATTTTAGAATAATCAGTTTTTCAGCTAATAAACCAAGAAACAGGACTTCTGTAGTGATGATTCAGACTCTTTCCATACAATCTCGAACTAAAAGAGCGACAAAATCCATTAAAAGTGACCCAGAGTTGACATCCAACCCTGCCCAACTTCTGATTTTCTTCCCTCTGATGTTTCTGCTTTTTAAGGAACTTAAAAACTCCCCTCAGTCCTTTACAACTTTGTGATAAAAAATTCTTACATTTTAAAGTCTTGGCTACAGTTGCAGTGCTGTAAAGATTTTCTAAAACACGGTACCTGCACTTGAGAAATCCTTTTCACTAGGGTGTCAATCCGGTGTGTGGGCGTCTTTTTTTTTTTTCTATGGTCATAAAGACGTAAAAGTGGCGAGATGCAGCTCCAGAGAGAAGTGGTTATGTGTTACAAAGTCAAGTAGGAGACGCGTGCAGTAGGTCTACACATTTTGGAGTGTGTGTGGGTGTGTGTGAAAGGAGAGCAGTAGCACAATACCAGCTTATACAATTTTGAAAATGTTATAGTCGGCTGCCAACATGGTCCGGTTTGGTCTGTGTTCATGTCAGTAGAACTCAGTAGGTAAAGCATGCTTCCATCAACACGCCTCTCTTTCTGTCGCTTTAGTTGAGTCCTTCCTGGCTCACAGATTACAGATCTGGCTGTGATTGAAAATCACACTTTAACAGTCTGATTGGATTGGCTTCTTCTTGGTCTGCCAAGCTAATGTGAGCCGCTCCTGGGTCAACGATGGTATTACTTGTCTTGGCAGTGGACTAAGTTTACCTTCCTGCGCATAGACGTTTTTCCCTGAGGAGGAAAAAATCAATACTGGTATTTCCAAAACTGAAAAGTCACGCCTGAATGATCATTAGCCACCGTGTGTTTTTATGGTGCAGGAAGCTGCTTTGCTGACATTGATGTCACCTTACCTGCTGAACTCGACGGCTAGTTGTCGGCTATTTGACATTTAATTGTTGTGATAAAAACTGCATTATTGAATATGAAAGTAGCTAGACACACCCTATTAATCATCACGAATGGAAGTAGAGTTGAAGTTGCAATGCTGGTGATAGATAGAGGCTTAAAGCTCCTCTCATTGGGCGCCACTATGGCTTGGTCTTTAAGGGCTAGGGTCTTTAAAAATGGTGGGCCAGGTTAAAATCCACCTTATGGTCCTTTGTCCTTTCATTCCCGTCCCTTTATTTGCACTTTCCTGCTCTGCCCACTATCCAATTTTTAATAAAAATATAAAAAGCCCCAAAATAAAAAGTTAAAGCTCCTGTGGTGGATTTTTGATTTGTGTTTATTTAAAAAATCTTGTTTAACAAATCACTCATTGCAGTAAAAGATGTAAAGAGAAGCTATTTTGTGTGTCGCCTACCCTGCGGCAGGCCTTTCAAGCTTAAAAGATCCCCATAGAAACAATTAACTTTTAGTCCCTTTATAGTCCCTTTCTCTTTTGTAGGTCATAAAGGGTCAATAACTTTAATTTCATTCACTTCCATGACCACCTAAAAATCTCACACAGGAGCTTTAAGTTGCAGAAAATAACATTTATACTAGTTAGCAGACCTTTTCTGTATAAATACGACTGGTTTTGTCTTGACCAGTGTTTGAAGATCTCCATAGAAACAATCAATCTTATTTTTTATAGTCTCTTTTGCTTTTGTGGGTCATAAAGGGTCAACAATTTTAATTTCATTCACTTCCATGACCATCTAAAAATCTCACACAGGAGCTTTAAGCTGCAGAAAACAACATTTATTCCAGTTAGCAGACCTTTTCTGCATAAATACCTCTGGTGAGTGTCGCCTTTTTACCTCAAACCATCAACAAAACAAACCCTTATATGAAGAGTAGCGCATTTTTGCCATTAGCTAAGCCACATTAGCTAAACATGTGCGGGCTAACTGATTAATTCTGCACATTTTCAGCCTTAAAGTCATTACACACGTACAATAGCCGAATATAATGAGTTGTTTTCAGCTTGAGGAGTGTGGAGAAGAAGCTTCTTAGGATTTGTGTTATGTGGCATTAGCATTGGCCCTGCAAAGTGGATTACAAGGCAGAACAACGCTGAAGACAGGCAGCAAGTTCATTCAAAAGAAAAGGGGCAGAAGTCACCTCTGGTCACCTCCTGATATTTGCTGTATGCTTTCACAACAGCAACAATGATCCGTGAAGGATCGAGATGTTTTGAGGAACATAAAATAAGTCGTGCTTGATCTATGGTGAGGTCAGGACCGAGGATAGAGGAGCGTGTCCAATATTTATGAGAAACACAGACTAAATGTCAGCACCAGCAGGAGAGGAGTCCAGATCCAGAACGGGTTTTGGCCTTTGGATTCAAAACCTGGACCTGAGCTCAGCTGGACTGGTGACTTCTCAACGTACGATGAGACTTCATTTACTGGAAGAAAGACATCCTGGCTAATTTTCTCCTCTTGGAGCACCATGTTCAGTCTTTATCGCAGAAAACTGCTTTAATCAGTATATTTACTCATACAGTTAAAGACTGATTAGGTAATTTAACTGGACTACGGTCCTTTCCCCAGTCTTCAAGAACCTGTTTATTGACAAAAGTATGTCTGCCTTGGCTATGCTAGGTGATTATATGCCCCCTTTCACCTTGTCTCCAAGTTGACCTATTTAGTCCCATGCCAAAACAATCGACAAACAAGTTAGCAACAGGCTAACTGAATGGCACCATATGGCGTAACAGGAAAATCTTAATAACTCTGTAGCTTTCATATGTGTAATGTTAGTTTCGTCTTTATTTTTTTAGCTTCAGTTCGTTGATTGTTTTGGTAGTCCCACACCAAAACAATCATTCTTCACAACTCTGTAACATTCGTACATATAATGTTAGTTTCGTCTTTATTTTTAGCTTTAATTCTTCTTGTCAAGTTTTAATTTTTCTCTTCTTGGTTTGCATTAAACTTTTCACGCCGTTTGACCGCCGTGTCAAAGCCTTGTGGAGCATGCCTACAACCTTGTTTGAGCTCAGTTGGACTAACGCGTCGACATGTTGTATATTTTTAATGTGAGATACACTGATTGGTGCTCTGGGTTGGAAAAACAGACTCCTGTACCCCCATAATACACTTGTTGGTGTGGGTCTTTTCAAGTTTGGAGCCAGGCTAAAATTGCTGTCATCTTCTTTCTACTCAGATGTTCCTTGTTATCCAACACTGTGGAGATTTGATTTGTGCTATTTCGTCACTTTCCCTTGCAGACAAAAAGCAAAAAAATGTTGGGATGCCCAGAAGTTAGATTTAAGAGTGGCAGCAATGCATGTTGGGACATCCTAGCTCACTTAAAGCATACACTTTCAATATACAGTGGTCAACTGAGCAATCCAGACAGATTTTAAAGCTCCTGTTATGATGTTTTTGGTTATGGAAAAGGCGGAAATTTATACTGACTGCTCTGTGTGTGATGTTACACCTGAGTTACCAACGTTTAAGTTACCAAGTCGGAAAGAAAGCAAAATTGGTGGCCTGAAACAACTTATTCCGACTTGTTAACTGAAACGCTGGTATCTTGGATGGGACGTCACTTTCGGCTCCGACATCTGACTTCAGAGGTAACTCAAATGCAGCATAACAGCCACAATAATAGATCTGATCTCCACCAACTGGAGATGTGTCCACAGGGGGCGCCAAAATCAACACAAACTAAAAGTTCTTTATAGGAGCTTTAAACAACCCTCCTAATCTACTAGTAAAGACTGAAAAAGCTGTAAATTATAAACATTACTCTGTGCTATCTTGCTAAGAGTTAGCGGAGAGGATTGTTAGCTAGATATGTAGCTTCAGGTAGCAGCAGCTAGCTGAGCGCAGAAACCAGAAACAAGGAGAAACAGCAACTGGTGCCTTCAAAACTCATCACTTCCCAGTTTATTTCCAGTCTGTTTCATCCCTTTTTGCTGAAGCAACTTCATAGAGTTGCCACTGGTTGCTTAGCAACTGCTCCCAATTGTCTCACGCTATTCCTGGCAGGAGAGCGAGTAAGTGTGTTTCACAAACATTAGGCACCTTTACTTGATTTCCAGCTGGAGCTCTTTTAAATCTGACATATTTTGTAAGTCCTCATTGTCCCGCTCGGCTCGGGTCAGACATCGCAGACTCAAAGACCTGATTGAGAGACGCCGGCTTTGTGTTTCAGACGCCGCAGCGAGCTCTGCCCTTCCATGCAGAAAATTCGACAAAACCTGCACCCCTCCAGACGGTGATGTAATCTCTTACGGTTCTGATCCGAACATTATTACCAAAGGCGGGCGAGCCAGTGCTGCGTTATGTAAGACGCGCACACACACACACACACACACACACACACACACACACACACACACACACACACACACACACAGGGGACAGAAGGTGTGTATGAACAGGCCAATCATTTACAACAAAGAGGAGGGCAGACAGACACGGAGAGAGGGACTGGAAATTCACTCAGGGCCACTTTGAAACCTTCAGAGCCGCTTTAGAGATCCACATTACAGGTAAAGTGAAACCATCACGTGGGAGGGGCTTTCTCTCTTTAATCAAACAGCCTCATACTAATGAAATCAGATGAAATTGCACCTCGGAGAGCATTGTTGATGTCTCATTATCCTGAGCTCAGAGCACCTCGACTCTACGGACATACAGCTTAGAGATTACAGGACGGCAATCACGCAAAAAGATCAATCCATACTCACAAATACCACATCAGGATTAAAAAACCCCTGCCTCTGATCTGTGTTCATTTTCCAGTTTGTAATTACTCGCAGTCGAGATGCTGCGTACAGACACAACAGCGGTGCAATCAAGAACACAGGCTGTTTAGCATAATGACGGCGGCTAATGTAGTCACAGCTAATCAGCATGCTCTCTGCAGCATCAGCGCAGCACCTGAAATCCAAAATCATACATGTGTGAGCATCTTTATACTTCATTTTGTAGCTCTTAATATAAAGTTTAGAACAGTGGTGATGTTGTACCAAAACGTGGCCTCCTGTTTTAAGACTGAATCCTGAGAAAAACTCGAGCAAAATTAAACCTGTAGCTAGAATTTATGTTTTATCATTTTCAAGTTGAGAATTTTGTTGTAAATTGTGTTTATTTTGATAAAGAGATTACATGTAAGGAAGTAAAAGCAATTTAGCCGACCGATTTGAGATTAAAAATGCAAACTCTGAGTTAACTCGTGTTTATGTGCCCTCGCTTATTTCTGAAACTTGATTCAATAACAGTGATCAAATTATGTCCTAATCAAGATGGTTAGCAGCTGAAGAAGAAAAAAAGGAAGATTTCTAACACATGCCGATGCTTAATTTGGTCAATTTTGCCTGTTTTGGCCAATTTACTTGTAAGCATTTTTTAGCATTCAGATCCTAAATTAGAAACAGCAGACCCGAAAACATCCAGATTGGCTTCAGATTCTGGATACTTCAACTACCAGAAGTTTGCAGGAGGACAGTATTATTTTTCTCTGATTGATTGTCAAAACTAGAGTTTGAAATTGTGTTTTTGTCCGTTTAAAACCTTCCCTCCATCTCCTGTCAGCATCAGGACCGTGTAGCCGTGGCGCAGGAGCGGCAGCGGCGGCGGCAGCGCTGGCACACACCAACACAAGCTCCTTAACATGACAGCTCTTGCCTTCTTGCCCCCACTGTAAATCTTCAGCCTCTTAACGGATGCTATAAGCTGATGGTCACATTCCAGATGTCAAAGGCACAAACAAATGATTACACCGACAAATAGGCCGTCCTCCAATCCGAGTCTATTTCTGTCCCGTGGTGTGGGTGGGCTCGATTGCGTAACACCACACCTGGAGCACTGCTACTTTTTCGCCGCTCAGAACGATGAGTAAGGACTTGGAGAGTTAAGTGTAAATATGGCCGCCCTCTTGTTCAACTTCCCTGGGGGTGTTTTAACTCACTCGCCCGCTCTGTAGATTGAAGACGCACAATGAGGGCTCTCATTGGGCGGCCCGTGTGTAACGGCACGCCTCAGGAGACAGTGATGTAATGTCTTTTTTTGAAAACATCACTGCTGAGGGACACCCCGCTCTTTTCATTGAACCTGACGTCACACGCCGACTTTGAACCTGCTTTGGAGAAACTCTGTGTTTTATTGTCATTTTGGAGAGGGTGCGAGGTAGGGTCCAGGTGATTATTTCTGTGAAAGTGAAACGAAAAGCTCCAGAAATGTGTCAATCTTTAAAAATCTTTGAAAAGATTAAAGTTTTCTATGACAAATCTTTCATTTTTACAGTTTTTCATGATTAAATCAAAAGCAGACATAAGGAAAACACTGAATCATGCTGTGTGTAAAGCCCTTGAGGCCTGTACACCCTGACTCGGTGTCAACTATCAGAGCAAAAAAAGGACTTCATGCCAGATCAGCTGCTGCCCTTGTTTTCTCATGTAAACCCACCCTTCATCTTGGCACCTTTTATTCTCCACAAAGCGATATCCACTTAAGAAAACAGCACAAACAACGCTGCTGTCCTCAAAGAGCAGGCTGTGATTTTACTACCAAACCATCATGAAAACACACCAGTCACATCTTTGCATGAGCAGCGACTCCTCTGATGCACACCTGCACGAGTCCTACTCTCAGATTCAGCAGGAAACAGCAACAGTTTGATCGGTTAAAATCGACGTTTTTTTGGCTGCAGTTTGGTGTGCGCAAAAAAAGACGATTTCAACCTTTTTATATGAGAATGTTTCTTTAGCGCATCTTCTGCAAAGCATGCATTGAATGTGCGTCTATGCGCGTCTGAACGGTGTGTCTGAGTGATGGACGCAGGCATCGTTTTGCGCCAAGTGCACCGCTCATCGTCCTTTTCGCAGCCCTCCTGCCCGACACACGCGCACACAACACAGGCTTCATATGTCGACTAATGACGCTCCTGTCAGATCAGACACCGAGCCTCTGTGGAGGAGGGAGGAGAAAAGGGGGAGAGATAGGGAGGTGCGTGGAGGGGAGGGGGGGTCGCAGATAACAATCGAAGCAGGGCTGCGGCTGCTGCACACCTGAAACAATGCACCGTGCACACCGAGCGCCGCGCCTCATTAAGGCAGAAACACGCTCATAATGGTGCAGCGGCGCAAAAGCAAATTGGCATTAATGTATGCACCGTAAAACAAGCCCGTGCACGCTCCACACAATTCATCCTCCCGCCCACCCTCTCATTCGCCCCCGTCAGGCTTCAAATCCCCTGTGAAGGCGCTCTATATAACGCGCAGAAAACGGCAAAGTACGCCCGGGATTGTGCGAATAATCTCGACCATCTGCGGCGCAGAGGTTGTTTTCTTTTTGCGAATAGGTGATTGGCAAAAAGGGAGGGGGGGAGAGAAGGAAAAAAAATCACCGCTATTGTGTCGCGCACAAGCGAGAAGCCATTGCAAGTAGGTTAAACCGCTCAGCCTGGCGCAGAACGTCTCCAAAGAAAAACAGAGGAAAACGCGCAAATGTCAGCGGAGGATCGAGCGTACCTTTGCTCTCCTGGCCCTCATCCTGAGTCTCCTCCGCGTTGGACTCCATGGCCGGCTTTGTCCCATCCATTATTTTAGCGGGATATAGTCTCCTTGTGGCACTTGTACCTCACAGTCTGTGGATGGTGGAGCCTGCTCTGGTGGTGCCTTGATGCTCTCTCTCTTTCTCTCGCTCGCTCGCTCTCTCTCGCGCGCTCCTCGTACACACCCTCCCTCCCCCTCCCTCCTATCTCTCTCTCTCTCTCTCTCTCTCTTTCGGTCTTTCCTCCTGTTAAAGCTCAGCACTGTCTCTTTATGTAAAATAACAATCCAGTTTCAAGATGCAGAGACGCTGTCAGATTGGATTTATTTCGCGCGTGTGGATCAGCCCCCAAATGATGCCAGATAATGTCTTTTAACCCCTAAACCCTTTTTTGACAGAAAAGCTAACAGTGATATTCTCCAAACCTCTCTTAAATATCTGTTCTGGTCTGATATCATTATTTTACAGCATCTTAAGATGGAAAGATGTCACACTTGATATATTTGATTGGCCCTTGAATGAGTCCTTGCAGTGATTTCCACTACAGAGTAATGCTCAGGGTCTCTTTTGTGCAGAGATTTCTCCAGATTCATCACATCAATTTTGAAATTGTTGAACTATGTGCTTCACGCAGTCTCTCACAGAGTGTTGAACATCTTCCCATCTTCACCTCTGAGAGACTCATCCTCTCTGAAATCTACTTTTGTACCCTGTAAGGTCACTAACCTGTTGCAGATCAGTGTAGTTGGTTGTGAGATGATCTTTTAGGCGCTCTTTTAATTTGTTTGTTTTACAACCTGTTACGAGGACCTTGTATTTTTTTTTTAAAAGTTACACTTTTTATCTGCGAACGATCAAAATCTGTTTCTCTACTTCGTGTCTCAACTTTTCCAGAGCTGGGTTTGCGCTTGTCTTACAGGTTGTATATGCGCAGTCAGTTATCAGCATGTGATTTAGACCTTAAGTATATTTTGAACACTCAAACCCCTTTTGAACATTTTATCTACCCATTGCTAATGATTGCTATGATTCTTGAATATGGCTTCTGGTCAAACTTTACATGTTCTCAGTCAAGTTATAGGTATTTGGTATATCCTTTAGACCCCAAATTGGGCTAAATAGTGTATTTGACCCCTAAAATCCCCTAAACTGTAAAAGAATTGATTTAAAACCTCTCCGATTTTGTGATTATACTCATTTATTTTTTGGTGTTGTCCAATTGGATTCAATTGCCCCATGTGAATTAGTCCCTGGTTTATGTCTTTGACCTCGTAAAACCCCAAAAACTCAAGAAAATATGCTTATGATTTAAAATATATGTCCTACTTATATCTGATTGTCTTAATCGATTTCAAGATGTAGAGGTGCAATAAGATTGGTATACGGTTTAGACCCTAAATTGGACTAAATAGTGTATTTTGACCCCTTGAATTCCCCCTAAACTTTAATAAAAATGATTTAAAACCCCTTAGATCATTTGATACACACATTAATTTTTGGTGTTGTCCGATAGGATTCATTTGCCTCATGTTAATTAGCCCCCGGTTATGTTTTGACCCCTTGAACCCCAAAAAAATCAAGAAGATGTGCTTATGGTTTTAGATTTTTTAATAGATTTCGAAATGTAGAAGTGCAATAAGATTAGTATATCGTTTAGACCCCCAGTTGGACTAAATAGTGTATTTTGACCCCTAAGATCCCCCTAAACTTTCAGAGAAATTATTTAAAACCTCTCAGATCTTGTGATTACACACATTAATTTTTGGTATCATCTAATAGGATTCATTTGGCCCATACTAATTAGCCCCCAGGACATATTTTGACCCCTTAAACCCCCCAAAACTCAAAAATATGTGCTTAAGGTTTCCAAATATACATCCGAGGTATATCTAAATTGTCTTAATAGATTTCAAGATGTAGAAGTGCAGTAAGATTGAGACCCTTTTATGTTTGTGTTAGCCCCCAACTTTGACCCCTTATTTTAAAATCATTTAAAAATACATCTTAAATACCTCTCCTGGTGATTCATAGTTGTCCTTCAAGGTTCAATTCACAATTTTGCATCACTTGGAGTTTTTTTATGTCACCTGATATCCTCTGATTTGCATATCAAACCAACATTTTTTCTTTATTCTTTACCTCAGCGACGCAGAGGAGGATATAAGGACAGAATGTGCGAGGAGATGTAAATATGCAAACTCATGGGTAACCATGCATGCATGAACACACACACACACATACACAAACACACACACACACATGAAACCACACACTCACCGCCCCCTCTCCATCTGGTGAGTTGAAAGTGAGGGAGGGATGGATGGAGGGAGAGGGAGACAGAAAAAGAAGAAATGAAAGAGTGTAAGAGAAAAGTGAGAATCTGGAGGAGAGTCGGGGAAATATTTTTGAATCCGGTTCCCTCTCTCTCATCGAAATGGCCTGAATGTGCAAAATTAAACATCCGTCGTTGTTAATTTAACAGTTTAAGATATTTTAAGCGTCCAATCAGCTCTCGGCAGACAAATGAAGGCTGTGTGGGATGATTTTTTTAAGCCGGTGGGCGTGTTGAAGCAAGATCCAACACTCACTCCTGATGCTGTCAAGCTAATTCCCTTTAGAATAAAGACCAAAAACCACATTCTGGATGCAAATGCTTCGTTTCTTATTATAGCATGTGTTGTATAATGTTCCATTTATAGGTAATTAAACTCCCATTTACTCCCACTCATATTGATGTGAGCTCTGATTGGTTTGTTTCAGCCAATCAGAGCTCCTAAAGTACTAAACAGCCACGTGTTTGGCTTTAGTTAAGAGGGGAGCCTTTGTTTGCCTCCGAGGATGCTGATTGGTCATGTGCAAAATCAAGCTAGGTGAGTCCCCAAAATCCCTAAAAAATAGCAAAGAGAGGGTGTGGTGTGTTTATCTAGACACCAGTGGGAGGAGGGGGTGTGTTACTATTACCATCATTCACCCTGTTTTCTAATAATAAACATATCCCCAAACAAAAGGACGCCATCTGTCCAGAATCCTCTTAAATAAGATTTTAATTCAAGCCCACGTGGCTCCGTTTGAGACAAAGCAAACAGTCCAGGATCCCACCCACCCCACCCCCTTTAGCCGTCTCCCTTCACAGACAGAGGTGAGGTGAGCCCACCAGGCCCCTGATGTTTCCCCTCCAACAAAGCGTCAGACACCAGAGCAGCTAACGTGACATTAGCGACATTTAGCTGATCTGTTTACCCTGGGGCTGAAATTAACACCAAGTCTGCACCATATGCCGCTGAATCAAAGGGGGTCACCCATCACTCTGGCATTTTGACATTTGAATGGCTCGTTTAGGTAACCTGATCCACTGCGTAAATGAAGACAGTCAGACCTTTGTGAGGCAGGACCAGAAAACTGTAATGTGGATCTCAAGAATCGGGTCTGAAGTTGCAACACACAATTAAAGCTCCTGTAAGGAATTTTTTTCTTATTTTGATATAGACTCAAATTTAAATTGATGTGTCTATACATCGCCAAAAAGCTAAAAAAGCACAGTAGCAAGATTAGGAACCAGCTCAATATATCAATATAAATAATTGTAATGTCTAAATCTGATGGTGGGGGTAGGTGTCAGTCAAATGACGCAAGCTAGCAAAAAAAAGTGTAAATGGCAGAGATTTCCAATAAGTGGTCAAATTTAAACTATGAGCCCTGACTGAGAAAAGCAAAGATCAAGTTTAACTAGGAGTTGAGAGATGCCACTGTGTCCACAGAGGGAGCGACAAGTTAAAAGTTGCTCATGGTAGCTTTAAGTTAATTGTTAGACAAAAGATAAATAGGAAAATACTGTTTTATGTTTTTTTTTGTTTGTTTGTTTTTTCTTATATATGCTGGTGTAATAGCTTAAAGGGATATTCCGGCATAAAATTCAGTTAGGGTCAAACACACTGTGACACCGAGTTAGACACTCCCTCGAGAGATAAATGTTGCTGACTGCTTGCTTCTCTAGTTATACCAACTTTTCTAGTTCTAGTTTGATGGCTTGTACTATGGCTGGGACCCTATATGTACTGTTGATGAAGTTAGCTGCTGTTCTGAGCATTATTTGTTGCTATAGGGTAGCGTTTTGGTTGAGGTTTGTTTATGGCTCCTCAGACCGCTGTGTATTGCTATCGTGCTGTTGTTACTAAAGTTGGTATAACTAGAGAAGTAAGCGGTCGGCCACATTCATCTCTCAACAGGGTGTCTAACTCGTTGTGACAGTGTGTTTCACCCTAACTTAATTCCAGAATATCCCTTTAAGTCATTGAATTAAAAAATGTATTGCTCATTATTTCTCTCACAAAATGGACAACAGATATACGAGGAGATGTTACAGCTTTAAAATTATTTTGTTCAAAAACATGATTAATTTTGCGACTTTTATCATTGTCGCAACTCAACCTATAGTTAGGTGCACTGCTCTTAAAACATCTGTGCTGACAGGAAAAAAAACAAGCTTCTCCAGATGACATGAAAATAAAGGTATGCAGAGGAAGTCCGACCTTTAAATGGATCATTATAATTAGAGTGCGTGTTTTCGGGTGTAACGTTTCCCCTTTGAAACTAACAGTTTCATGCTTCACATGAATATCCAGATGACATACAAATATAAATAACAGGAAAGGAAACTAAAAATGACACACACACATACACAAACAAACACTCCTGATAGTTATTAGGCTTTAAGGGTGAGTTTCAAACCCCCCTTTTTCCCCAGAACCCCCATAATCCCTTGCTGGGTCACACGGATTAAGGACTTGTCCAGAAGATGAGATACAGTGCTTGCTGGCACACGTCACTGTCAACACTCACACACACACACACACACTTACACACAAATAATGTTTAGTGGACTCAGGCCCAAACCGCCGACTCGAGTTGCATTCCAGAGACGTCAGAAAGTCGGAAATCTCAGCTCTTCGTCTTTCCCGATTGAAATCCCGAGAAGGATTTCTCGAACCTGGTTACCTCACAAATGACCGTCACTATCTTTTTGTGTTCGTCTATTAGATTAGATTAAATTATACATCAGAAATATTCGTACTTTTCTGTTTTTATTAGATTAGCAGAGCCAGTAGTCGTATATTAGCGTTCTTCGTAACGGTTAATGGTTAACAGTTAGTATTTTTAAATAAATGTTCATTAATGTGATCTGTGTACGAAGAAACCATATGAGGTCAAAAACATACAAGCTTTGGTATCGCCAACATTTATAGGATGTATTCTCTGCAGATCAACTTAAGTTGCATTCCAGATACGTCAGAAAATCGGAAATCTCAACTCTTCGTCTTTTCCGATTAGAACCCCGAAAAGGATTTTTCGAACCTGGTTACCTCGCAAATGTCCGTCACTATCTTTTTCTGGTTGGCTGTTAGATTAGATGAAATTATATATCAGAAATATTCGTACTTTTCTGTTTTTATTATACGAGCAGAGGCAGAAGTTGTATATTAGCGTTCTTTGTAACGGTTAACAGCTTGTATTTTTGAATAAATGTTCGTTAGTGTGATCTGTTCATGAAGAAACCATCTGAGGTTAAAAACATACAAGCTTTGGTATCACCAACAATGATAGGATTTTTTCTCTACTTGTGTGAACGTCACCAATGTGCTAAAAGAGGATCTAGTGAGGTACAAATCTGTAGAGTTTTATATTTTATGAATGAATGAGTCAATCATTTTGCTTTATCAAACATCCTTTCAGCCATGAGGAGAAATTTAGAGTAGGAAAAAAGGAGTTACACTCATGTAAACAGCCTTAAGTATGAACTTAAACATCAAGTTAGTGTGTGAGCAACCTCAATGTTTCTGAAACTTCCTTATGTTCACAATTGACCTCCCGGCTTCGCTCAATCTTGTGCCATCTTGAGCGATTTTGAACCAATTTCTGAGCTCCAGAAAAAGCAACTTTCTTATCTGCCTCAACAAATCCTGGCGCCCATTAAAGGGAAAGCCATGAGTCCCCCGTTGAATGCCTGTCTTCCCTCATTACCGTGAAACAGAGAAGAGAAAGTGGAGCTCAAATGGGGTCGTCCAAAAGTAATGAGGACGTTGCAGCTCTTTTCTGTCATCAGATTTGGAGTTAACGGGAGAAAGAATGGAAGAGAAAGGAGGACGCAGCAGTCTCTGGACGCCTCTGCAAACAAAGCTATAAGTGGCTTTAAAACGTTTTAAACTCATATTAAGTGATTTCCATATCAAGCAGATCCCCTCATGAACATCAGAGTGAATCTGTCTCTCCTGCTCGGATCTTCAGCGATGCTATCAGTTCCTCGAAAACTGCTCATGCTGCCTCGTAACAGCTTGAGCCAGAAACCAAAATTATCATACAGCCACGAGGAGGGACTGACTGCGAGAAATCGTGTCAGGGAAGAATCAGAAGAATGATTTCTACTCCTACGAGCGGCTCAGCTGAAGGCGAGAGCTGTTGACATGAAGCCAGTGTGTTTAAAGCTTTCTGTGCTGCTGCCTGAGAGCGTCAGAGACCGAGTTATCTGGTGGACAGTTTTGAGTGGAGTGTAAATAAGTAAGTCGTCCCCTGTGAGGAGAAGCAATCTGCAACAAGATGCATCATGCACCATGTGTTTTGTAAAAATTAGCGTCTCGGTGAAGCGGAAAGTCTTAATTTAGCTCTGTCAGGCTAGTGTGGTTGTTAAGTCATCACTTAAGTTGGACTAAAATATCTCAAGTTACTGAATAATTAACGTGAAACCTTCTACCTTCATTTGTTGTCACCAGAGGGTGAATCCTAGCAAGATTTCCATCAGCAAGAAAATGAGGTAATACCTTCCGAAACTACTTGATTTTTGCTAAAATGATGCTAATGACGTTAGCATTTGCCCCTGCTGTACTTTTGTTTTAATGCTAATCAACAAATCTGAACATGCCAACAAGCAAAACTGTCTCATTTGCTCGGTATTCATCTTCACAACCTGTGTGGACCATTCACGCTGAACTCAAATCAGACAGTCTGGTTTTAATAGGACTTCCTGTTTGCGTCAGAAGCTAACCCTACCCTAGAACTTGCATTGCAAATGCTGCGTTCGAGTTGTCCTCGGAAATCAGGATTTCAGAGTTCCGAGTCAGAAATTCATCTTGAATGCCCCACTGAAGTCAGATTTCAGACTCAGAAAATCGGACAATACAGGCCAACCCCGACTTGACGACAACGTCATAATTCAAGATGGCAGTGCAGTGCATCAACAGTAAAGAGTAACAGTAAAAGCTCTCATTATGTATTATTTATTTAGCATTTCTGTTTTGTTTTTGTGAAATTAAATAAGTGGTATTCGTTGTGCTGCCCAACATTTTACTGTGAACGCGGTGGTGTTCGTAAGAGTAAAATACTGTGTTGTGCGTTGTTTACAACGGGTATCACTAACAACCGCTGACAACGGCTAACAACAGCTGACAATTGTAACTGTAGGCGTCACTTGGTTTTCTGACTTGTTAACTGGAACGCTGTCAACTCGGGTGTAGCGTCATTCCCAGCTACGACATCCGACTTCCGAGGTAACTGGAGCGCAGCATAACCCCGCCCTTTAACTTGCATCTCAGAGCCCTCATCACATAGAAGAAGGTAGCCAGGTAGCATCATGTAACTTCACCACCTTTATCGTGGTTACAGAGATCATTTTAACAGCCAAGGGGTCTGTTTTTTAACATTTGCATTGCTAGCTATTCTACTGATTTGCTAAGATTCAACGGTTTGCTGCTTAGCCACTTGAGAGTTCACCATTTTTATTGAATTGACATTCAGAAAATTGTCAAGGATGTCTAGATAGGGATACAAAAGACGTCTTAAAGAGATTTTGAATCCTTTTTGAAAGATTTTAGTTTTATTGTCGTTGGAAAGTAAGCTGCCTTTCAAACATCTTAAGATACTCGTGTTTAACATCAGTCCTTGAAGCCTAGACTTCTTTTTTACTTCTTTTTAGTGGTGAGAATTAAAGCAAAATAAAATGTCACTTTCATAATTTCATGACAAAGATGTACAGACAAGCTCTTCTTCAGTTTAAATCCTTAATATTGTCTCCTTAGTCTTTTCCCTCATCCCCCCGTGATCCTCAGCCTCACAACAGGCTTCGCATTGACCTTTTAACTGTCTTCCTGTCACACTGCTCGAGACCATTAAGCATCTCTGTTGTGGAGCTCTGAGCTCTGATCCCGCAGGTTGACCTCACTGTAACCCCTCTTTCTGTTGTCCTGAGCCTTGGTAAATCACTGCTGACTGCTGAGAGCTGCTTGTGTCTGTGTCCGTCTGGCCTCCGGGTCATGAATAAGCGACACTACAGAGGTGTGGGAGTTATCCTCATCTAACATTCGATTTTCCCCGCTGCTTTGATTGACTGTCGCTAAGAGAAGCAATTAAATATCAGTGAAATCACAACACTGACTTTGCTTTGTTGGATTTCTTTAAAGCTCCTGTGAGGAGTTTTTATCTGGTTATGAAGCAGAATGAAATTGATGATGATGTCTCTTTATATCTTACAAAAGCAAATATGACCAAAAGCGTAGGTGTCAGACGGCTTGTTTACGTTTTCTACAGCAAAGATTTTCACTGAATATTAAATGTTAAATGTTCTTCCTTGAGCTGCGTCACCCCGCTGCAATCAATAGACTGGCCCGAGGACTTGCTACAAATAAGCGGCTGCTGGAAGAGAGTAGGTGAGTTGTGTTTAGTCTCTTTGCTAAAGAAATTAGGCAAAGTTTAAAAGATGTTTGGTGGCTAGTTCTATGTCTGTGACCCTATATGTCCTGTTGATGAAGTTAGGTGCTGTTCTGAGTATTATTTGTGGCTATAGAATGGCGTTTTGGTTGAGCGCGTGGCTCTCTGTATTGCTATCCTGCGGTCGTTACTAAAGTTGGTATAACTAGAGAAGCAAGCAGTCGGCAACATTTATCTCTCAACAGGGTGTCTAACTCTGTGTTACGGTGTGTTTGACCCGAACTTAATTTTACGCCGAAATATCCCTTTAAGGTATTATTTTGTCTTAAACCACGACTTAGACAAGTACAGGACAAAAACAAACAGGAATGACCAGCAAAACTTTTTCTATGAGGTGGTACCAACATTGGCAGACCAAAAAGTTACTGATAGGACCTTTAAGTCTGAGGTGTTTAAATGTTTTATGCTTAACATATTTGTTTTTTATGTTAGAATGTTGTCAATTTGATGTTAAAATTTATGAATAAATTTAAAGTATCTTAAAAATGTCTGACAGTGCTTTCTCAACACTGATATTATACCAAAAATATGCGTAAAATCTTGTTTTGTAGCTAATTTCTTCATCTTGTTTGTATTTTTTTTGCATTATTTCAGTGGGTTAACAGACAAAAGGCCTAATAAGCTCAATTGTCAGTATGTTACAGCTCTAATTGTTGAATTGTATAATGCGTAAACTTACAGCAAACTACTGGCTACCTTGTGTCGTCAATCTCAGATAGATATATCCAACAGTATGCCGCCATGTACCCATAATATAATATCCAATTTAATGTCAAATGCACGTGTTTTGCACTGATAACATTTCACCTTTTGTTTAACAGAGGAAGATGGATGGACCTCTTATTCTTGTGCTTGTAAAAGAGGCATTATGTGAGTTTGCAGAGCAGGCAGGGCGTAACAACACTGTGTGTGTGTGTGTGTGTGTGTGTGTGTGTGTGTGTGTGTGTGTGTGTGTGTGTGTGTGTGTGTGTGTGTGAGTGCCTTATGCACCATATGTGGTCATTTCAAAAGTCACAAAGGTGCAATAACAGTGAACGTCTCCACTGTGCAGACTCTCACTTTGGTGAATAGTTTGATCGTCATATCTGCAGGTGTGATTCCTCTACACTCGAGATCTGAGCACTTTAGGGAAATGAAAGTTCGGTCTACTCGGTGTAAAAATCGCAGATGGGCTGTTTAGTGTGTGTGTGTGTTATGTTGCTGTAAGCTTGTACATTTATCTTATTGAGTCAAACTTTCCTTCACATGCAACAGTTTAAGCCCCTGTCTGATCCCGTCCTTCTCTCTCAGCATGTCTGTCTTTATCTGTTTGGCTATTGATTTATCCGCCCGCTTTGGGCCGATACAAGTGTTTTATCAGTCATACTGGAAACAGGCCATCAGTTGAGCAAACGCACAGAAACAAAGACACACACACACACGGTGTCTCAGCGTCGGCTTTATGAGCCTCCCGCTGTTGCTTTAGTCTAATCCTTGTCATTTTAATGGGCTTTTGGCTTCCTCTAAAAGGGAAACCTTTGGCCGGGAGCGAGGCCTGAACACCACACCTCGTACCGTCTCTCACCTGGGAAGTTTCTCTTTTTTATTCCCCGCAGAGATCACATATTAGTCTGAGTGTGTGTGTGTGTGCGTTTATGTGCGTCAAAGTGTGTTTTCTTCTCCCCGCATATGTGTGTGCATCCAGATCCGGGGCCCTTAATCTGTGGTAGTGATGATGACCCAGTTTCGCCCCCCAACCCCGCCCTCTGCCGACGGTCGCCAAGGAGACGCTTCCCTCTCATCCCTGTGGTCGGATGCTGGCAAAGGTTAGTCAATCTCACACTCACAAACACACACACACTGCCTTTGATACTTTGTGAGGACCACATTTTGCGGTTTGTTTGGACGACTGTTGCCGAGTACGATGTCCGCACAGGCAAGAATGTCCCCGATTAAAGGTTATCCTTTATTACGAGTGTCTGCGTGTAAATAAAGTGAAGAAACCGTAGACACAGGAGTTATAAAGACACCAGCTTTGATTAAAAAAAAACACTTTTATTTCAATTCAGGTCAATCCGGAGTTTTAAAGGAACGCTCCAAATAAACACAGAGTGGGATTTGTGTTCTTGTAGTGCTGTTCTCTCTCTTTCTTTCTCTCCGTTTGTCTCTTTTTCTCTGCTTCAGATGAAAAAAAAAAAAGGGAGCTAATGCAAATTCATGCAAACTAATCCTATCCTGCTCCGTCATCACCCCCCGCCGCCTCGAACACCTGCACTGTCTGTCTGCGCTGCATTTGCATGCTATTGTTGCAGTTTCGCTTTTACGTGTTACGATTTAAGATCAGATTTAGGCGTCTGATTTGGCCTCACACACACAAACACACATGCATTACAAACCTCTGCCCTCTACTGGAGCCACAGAAATACACAAACAAGAAGCATCTCTGAGACGTCACCCTTGATTTATAAAATCCGACTTCTTTCCGAACAAATGGCTTAACCTACACACACCTACACACACATGCACACACACTCTCCCATGAACCCATCCCCCCACTGCCCCCCCTCCCCTCCCTCTGTCCAATAATTTATCCTCCGAGCCGCTAATCCCGCTGGCCCAGATTTGGCCCACAGTCTGCTCCACATGATGTTTGTTGTCATCCAAACAACTGCACACACACACACACACACACACACTCCCCACGCCAATCTCAAACACACACATGCACACATATATGTATATACTGCATTCAAACACCAGCCCAACCCCCCACTACAGGCTTCCTAGCTGCCTTCCTGCATCATGTGACCCCCCCCCTCTAAAGTCATGTGACTCAGAAGTCTTGTAGCACCTGTGACCTACTGTACTGAGCTGCAGCACACGCCAGCAGCAATGTGGGCTAAGAGAGCCGCTTCCATCTACAGTATTCATGCACAGAGTGAGTCACCGTGTGGAGGAAATGCAAAACAGGGTGGGCTCATCATCATCATCATCATCATCAACATCAACATCATCATCGTCACTCCAGGCGATTCAGTTCCCTCCCGTCTTCATGTCATGTGTGCATTAATCTTAAATCTGTATCTCATCCACGTGGGCTTTTTTATGGTCATCCGCGCGTGTGCCGGGATTCGGTACAACGCCCGCCTCGTAGCCCTTGTGCATCCCCGCGTCGCCATGGCAACAGGTCCTCTCGACAAGGACCGATTCTGACACATCAAGAGTAGCCGTCGGGGCCGAGCTTAAAAAACGCTCACATGCAGGACGAAAGGAAGGAAAAGAGGAGCAGACTGTTAGCCAGAAAAGAAAGCTTATACGCGGGTTGGGTGGTGGGCGGACTGAAAACTCGGATGTAGGTTGAAGTATTTCAAGAGGAGCATGGTTTGTTTCTTCTTGAGCCTTCAGTCAAGGCTGCTGCGGTGGATGGAAATCTTAAATCAATAGCACAAATGATAAAACGGATAGAAAAGGCAGCACTGTACAATAAATACTGACACTATAAGGGTGTGAAAGACTAAAACATAACCTCAGTTTGATGTTTGAATGGTACAGTTCTGTGTTAGATCCATCATCATTTAGATGTGATCCATAAAACCAGCAAAAGAGTGGAAGAACGAAAACGCTCTGATGACTCAAACAGGAGGACTCAGTGAGTCAGCCTCCAGTCAAATTAAAGCAGAGATGACATTTTCTTAACGACACAAAGAGTGATTAATGTTTGAAATAATGACAATCTGAGGAAACCGAGGCTGAAAAACCCTGTAAACCCGTCCAGAAATTATAACAATATAATGAATCTTCAAAGCGGAAACAGTTCAAATCCCTGCATCTCAAACTTAAAGCATCCTCACTTCCTCTGTTGTAAAGTTTAACTCTGATGACTCGGACTTTGAATTGGATTTTCTAATCTGTGATAAACTCCAGTGTTAAAAGACGAATCCAAAGTAGAAGTGTTACAAAGCTGCAGTACCACAAGTGTCCACCGGGGGCTGGCTCTAGAAGCCAAAGAAACCAACTGCCTAGTTTTAAAACCAGGCAGTTTAGAGCCTATCTGGCGATCACAAAATTGGTAACGTAGACTCAAGCTCCCAGAGGCGGGCCTTAGCCTCCTTACAAATGTCAGTCAAGGCAGCTGAGCCTCTGATTCGCCAATCTTGTAACCTTAAAGGTGGAGTAGGCAGGATTCCGTGAAAGAAGAATCTTTGTTTGTGGTGTATACACAATAAAACTTGTATAAGTCAATAGTTATTAGTTATTGATGACATTTGGTAATATAATGATACCACTGTGTTTTGTTATGTCTGTGTAGTCAACATTTTACATTTTTTGAGCAGCCCGCTCTTTCTGACCTTAAACAAAGCCATTCTCCGCCTCCCCCAACCTGATTGGTTGTGAGGCGGACGCTGCTCCCTCGTGTTGTGAGGCACGCCCCACATCCTCCAATAACTTGAACGAGCCCAAACAAAGTTAGCGTGCTACAATATCAGATAGTAGAAACCAACTAGAAAATACAGAAAACACAAACAAGAAAATAAAGTAAACACCGGAGACTCTGGCGAATAATGGGCACTTAAAACAGAGGTAGACCGGACAAGAGCTAAAAAAACGTGTCAACATCATAAATGATGCTGACACTTCCGGATCTTACGGACCCTGTAACCTTTCTGCTGGACAGGTAAACCGCTTTAACAAAGTAAGACAAGTGTCTGTAACAGAAGTGTTTCTTGTCAAACGGACCTGCTGTAGCGTGTTGTAGCGCCATCGCTAAACTGTTGACCTCGGGTCCTGGACTATGTCACTTTAAAGTAGTTGTAGAAGTCCTGCAAACAAACGTGTTCCAAAAACCAGGTTGTAAACATGTTTCTCTTTGCTCTAAATTTGCGCTTGTTTTGAATTCGTGAGTATGTGGTTTACGATGCTTCTGCAGACAGCCTCAAGTGGACACTCATGGAACTGCAGTTTTTAGCATTTCAACATCGGCTTCATTTCAAACGCTCAAGTATAACCTCAAAGTGACATCAACCAAAACCAAGAGTGACTGTCTTGTTCTTAGTTTGACCTTTTCTGTCTTTATTCCAGCTCTCTTAGTTTTAGCTAACTCAGAACTTTAACCCTCTTTCAGACTAAATACACTCAATGCTGCTTGTTCAAAATTGCCAATTATCAGTTTTAAGCCGAGTCTCTGGTGGTTTAAATAATCAGTTATGCCAGTGCTGATATAAATCCACACATATCAGTTATTTTAACACTTTTCGATAGATTTGAGAAGCTGCCCCAGAGTCATATCAACACTTGTCATGCACTGATAATTAATGCTGAAAGATCAGAGTTGGAGATGTGCTGTGCAGATCGCTTGGGGGATTGACAGTTTTGTATGTTTTTCATGTTTTAATAGTGTTTGTACCGCCTTACATGACATCTGCTGTGAGTTTGATCACTTTTTTATAGTTTTCCAGTCATCATCAACAAAATATAAGATACTAGCTTAAAGATTTTGCAAACTCAGTCTGTGTTTGGCTTTCCTTAGACTACAGTTATAACACTTTTCCCTCAGTTTAAGCGTAGGTTTGCTGTTTTTCTAATCAGGTCACTGGATCGTCCCACATCTTTCCCCACCGAGTGATCATTTATTCCTTCAGAATAAAACAATCCTCTAAAATCTGAAACCGTTTGAAGTCTGGCTGCTTGACGGCAGCTACATTTCGGTATCCGTTCTTCAGATCAGCGCGCAGGAGAAAATCCACAGGAGAGAGGACGGGGAGGATGGAGGGTATGAGTTTCCACACGGAGACGAAGCTCAGCAGCAAAAAAGGAGAGCACAAAGAGCGAATTCACGAAGGAGGACGCGAAAGGGGGGGAGGAGAGGAAATGGAAAGAATAATGATGAAGACAATGAGAGGAGCAGATGCAGATAAAAGACGGATGATGATGCTGATGATGATGAGACGAAAGGACCAGTTAGGGTGAAAAAAAAAGGAGATGAAAGAAGTGAAGTTTACGGTTTCCTCCCGCAGAAACATTGCACTAGTTCCCCGTCGTGGTAAATCATGTCACTTGGCAACATCCTGTCTGTTCTCAACTTCTCACCGGCCTGAAGGCGATAAACAGGCCAGCTGCCTTATTGGAAACAGATGTTGTGAACGGGCGAGAGAGGGAGACGGAGGCAAAGAGAGAGGGAGAAACTCTGAGAGAGTTTGTGTCTTTGGGTCCATAATGAGATCCATCTGAGCGCTACTGGTTTCAGGTCAGGCTGCAGTGACAGAGAGGCTGAAGTCCTGCCAACACACTCTGGTCTGATTACTTCCTACAAAAACAAATTGGGGACTAACAGCGGTCACATCCACAGTCTGTTCTCTGTGATCTCAAACATGCAAAAGTTTGACTAGTTTCAAGTGTATTGTTCTGCAAACCGATCACGAATCCCCAATCCGAATATAAGTCGAGAAGCAGAACAGGTAATAAACTGGTTACTGTGTGAAGATTTACCGTCTGCTATGAAAAAACAGATCAGAAAATGAGTCTGCACTGAGGTTTGACCTCGTTTTAGGTTCATTCTGCTTGGCCTTTCATGCATGATGAGCTGCTGTTATTATTGTCAACATGTATGAGTGCGCACGTGTATTAATTACAAATAAAATCAAGAACAACCTTTACTTTCCAGACAAGGGGAGGGGAAAAAAGAGGCCTGCTGTGGGTTTCTGGGTGTTTCAAGTGAGATCGAACAGGTGCTCAAATAGTGAGAATCAAATAAACATTTAAGTTTAGAGCTATTGAATAAATACGCCAAATTTAGAGGTAATATTTTGGTGACTTGAACATTTGAGTCACATGGCTTTTGTTAAATCAGACAGTCTCATGTTATTCCTTCAACCTTACAGGAACAGAAGTTTACTTTTGTGACCTGATGCAGAAAGTTCCTGTTTTTATTTCTTGTCTTTACTGTCAAACTAAAAAAACAAATCTCAGAATTCGCTAACTTTGGCTCATACTGGACTTGATCAAACTTTCCACTGCAATAAATATTCTTGTTTTAACACGTCCCAACTAACAAACTAGCATGTAGGCAAGACAACACAACAAAAACTGTCCAAATGAAGCACAATTTGTTCAGTACAAACACACGTGGAATCAAAGAGTAAAATGTCAGATTTGTTTGACGTGTGCCTACCTCTAGCAGAGCCAGCACCACTCAGTATGTTTACACGCTGCTAAAAAGGGATTAATTTATACTCCTTGTTTCTGGCTCAATCAGACTGAAACTGGTGCAAAAATTCTGTGCATGCCCCAGAGTTAAAGGGATGTTCCGGTGTAAAATTAATTTAGGGTCAAACACACCATAACACTGAGTTAAACACCCCCTCGAGAGATGAACGTTGCCGACCGCTTTAGTAACGACCGCAAGATAGCAATACACACTATCCACTCTATAGCTAAACACAACTCACCCACTCTCTTCCAGCAGCCACTTGTTTGTAGCGAGACCTCGGACCAGTCAATCACGGACTACAGTGGAGTTTCGCAGCTCAAGGAAGAACATTTATGATAATTTCTTCATGGAAATGCAATCAGACCGAGACGCTAAGGCAGAAGAACTACAGAGTCTGCGGTGCAAAATGATTAATATGATGATTATTACTTTAAGTAAATGATAAAAAAAATTATCATAAATTTTCTTCCTTGGGCTGCGTCACCCCACTGTAGTCTGTAATGGACTTGCCTGAGGTCTCGCTACAACCAAGCAGCTGCTGGAAGAGAGTAGGTGAGTTGTGTTGAGTCTCTTTGCTAAAGAAATCAGGCAAAGTTATAAATATGTTTGGTGGCTAGTGCTATGGCTAGGACCCTATATGTACTGTTGATGAAGTTGACTACACGTCTCTTTGACATCCAATGTTTGGTGGGCATGTAAGTTATCAATTTTCAGATACAGAGGATTGTCAAATTAACGACTGACAGGGAAGGAAACTTCTCATAATTCAGAGATAATAATCTAATTAATTCAGAAAAACAGAGTGGATTTTTTTTTTATCTTAATGCTAATGGAATACCACTAATTTTATATATGTATAACCTTAATGCATGCACCTTTTACAATTTGTCTCCCTGTCCTCTAATATCTACCCCGAACAGGTCTACTGATTCTGTCAGCTCCTCACCAAAAAAAAAAAAGAGAGAAAATCCCTCTACAGCTTCCAGCATGGGCTCATTTTCACCACAACAGCAATTGTCTTCCGTGTCTCAACCTTGTCCATCCCATTTAATCTGCAGTGAGCCAGCGGATCATTCCCTTTTAATCCAATCAACATCAACTCTCACATGAGGAGTTGACGTGAGGATAGGGTAAGTGTTTGCACTGAAACACAATCAGGCGGGATCACATTTTTTAACCTCTCAGTAGGACCCAATCTGGGAATAATCTAGATTGGTGAGGAAAAAGTGCAATGTGGGATTATTTTATCTCACCTATTGCAAACTCACGAGGATGTAGTGCTGACATCTTTGAATTGAAATGACATTTTCAACACAAATTAGAAAATACATCCCACACTGCACCAAACTCCATTCATTTTTTCTCAGATTTTTCTGGCATACTCTGAATTTACTCATTAGCCTGTAAATGAAACCTCCAGCTCGATTAGATGCAAACGCACGTCGTTACGGCTGCACCAGAGAGCGCATTTCAATGGCGCAAAACTCACCACCTCCAGAAAAACACAATAAAAACACTGCTGTTACAACACAAACAGGCGCGCCGGTGAAAGTGAACAGACTGAAGTGGGTTACAATCTTGGTTTGAGCCTTTAAACTGATTAGAGGACAGACAGAGACAACCCCGCAGCGCACGCGGCCAGCTGGAAAAAGTCGCTCCAGCAGCAGGAAACAGCATCCCAAGACACAAACAGTAAACAGGCTTTAACCTCAGTCTGGCTTTGGTGACTGCAGGAATAAAGGTGTGCAAAACAGAAACATGCACAATAAAAGCCCACCTACCCATTTTTTCAGCTCTCCTGCAGCCTGGCCCTCAGACAAAAAAGTGGTTCAAAACTCCCAGATGATGTCCACAGGTTGCACAAAGGGGGGCTGCGTACGAACAACTGGACGTCCCGTTTGGGAACCGGGGGGGGGCGGAGGTAGAGGGTGACGTCATTAATCCAAAAACACTCCTCGTGCCCTCATCGGTTCTTGTAAACCGGATCAAGATTTAAATATATTAAACTCGTATCTATTTTCTTTACTGAACGTGCAGATAACAGAAGTGAAGCTTGTTTGTTTATTCTGTTTTTAAACAGTTTTGGATTTTTTCAACTCAGCGGAAAGAGTTATGAAAGCCTGAGATTAAATTATTATTATTATTATTATTAATAATAATAATAATAATGATGATGGTGATTGTTATATTAATATAAAAAATTGTTATAATAATAAACTATAATAATAATAATAAAATGACAATAATTATAATAAAATAATAATAAAAATAACAACAATAATAATAGTAATAAAATAATAATACAAGATAATAATAATAATAATAATAATAATAATAATAATAATAAAAAATTAAAAAATAAAATAATAATGATAATAATATTGAAAATAATCATATCAATTACCACAATAATAATAAAATAACATTAATAATAATAATAATAATATATTTTTTTATAATGCCCTTTTACAGGTGCTCAAAGGCACTTTACAAAACAAAACAAAAAACACAATTCAAAATACAGAAAATTACGAGTGATAAGACCAACAGTGTAGAAGGTTAAAAAAGACACAATATGAAAAGACAATAAAAGAACATTTTTTAAAGGTGAAAAGCCAATTTAAAAAGGTGTGTTTTTAGATTTAAAAGTATGGGGGTCTTTACAGTCTTGGATGGGTTTGGGGAGTGAATTTTAGAGGGTGAGAACGCTCTGTCCCCCCAAGTTTGAGTTCCAAATTCCCAAATTTAGATTTAAAGGAAATAACTAAAACTAAATAACCACATCTTTGCTACTTTTTTCTAAATTTAGGGGACAGTTTTATACTTTACTGCACTATTTACAACCTGTTTTTAGGCTTGTTTTGGGTCATTTTGGTCAGATATGTCCCTAAAACCCTGTATTCCTTGATAATGTGAGGCGCTGACAGAAAAATACTTCGTCCTGATGTGAGTGTAACCATCTAAAAACTCATCACAGGAGCTTTAAGTCCAGTCTTTTTATAAATAGAGGTGGTCTGAAACTAACACACATCTTCATTTCCTATGAGAAACTTTACCTTGTATAACACTTATCCCTTCAAATATGCAAATATAAAATGTTAGATACTGAAACTTCCAAACCTAACATCCAAGTGGAGCATGATTAATTAAAATGCACGTCTGCCCCAGAGCTTAAATGTAGTTACATAATCACAGAGAGGTACTTAGAAATGACTCCTGATGTCGCTGGTTTTATCCCAAACATAAAACACTTTATTATAAACAGTTTACATTAAAATACACATCCATCTGTTAAAAAAAAAGGACAAGTGTGCCGGGTGGTGTGAGCACAAGATAAAAGAGAATAATCACCGTCCCTCCAGAGAAACAACAAAAAAACAGCTTTTAACAAGATGTCAAAACCAGAGAGGCGCGGTTTAGCAGCAACAACAACAAATCAGTCTTTGTGTTTGTGGTTCAGGGGGGAATATCAGAGGCAGCCATGCGGGAACGTGTCTCTAAATCTGAACACAGGAGGAGGGTCCGAACTGTTTTTTTGTGGTTAAACAGAGTTGACAGGCATAAGAGGAGCGACTGCGGCATGTAACATCGCCGAGCTGGAGGGTAAACAGGAGCAGATTAGGAGGAAACACGCAGGCACATGTTGTTTGAATACATTTACATCACCTGCAGTGCTGGTTCTACTGTACCTCTGACCCTCAGATGACTCCAGGGATGTTTATTGTGCTTTAAATAAGAGACAGGTAAAAAATGGTGGAATAAACCTTTAGTAACCCAGTCACAGTTTCAGTGGGATTACTGGCCAGTACTTTGGTTGTTTGCGGTCACAGTTTCTGTCAAAAGTGAGCTGCATCGCCGCTTCCATGGCCATGATCTTCGCTGAGTCTTTGCCGTACAGCTTCTTCATCTCTGCCCCTCGTCTCTCGCCAGGTCGCTCCAAGGGTGGAGCCACGCTGCCCCGCCAGGAGACGCCGCGCAGGTCCTGGTCGGCCGGCATGTAGCTGTCATGCTGCTCGGCTTCCATCTGCTGCTGCTTCTCTGCAAAGACAGGAAATCAGGTTATTTCCAGACGCTCTAACTCCACCTTCACACTAAACAAGTAATCACTTTCTCAACGCTCGCTGTCTTACTCAGCTCCTCTCTGTGCTTTTCTGTCTGGGCGAAGTACTGCCGGAGCTCCTCGCTGATCTCCATGTTGCTGACGTCACACTCGATCTCGCTGTCAGAGCAGCTCCCTTCCTCCTCCTCCTCCTTCTCGCTCTCCTCTTCCTGCTCATTCCTGCATTCTCTCTCCTGCCAGTCCGCATAGCGCTGGTGGCCGCTGGGAGGCTGCTCCTGGCGGTATGCAGGACCGTAGGCGGCCTCTAAGGCTTTTCTGTAGGCACGCCTGTGTCTCTGGTGCCAGGCCATTGCCTGCTGGTAGTGCTGCCAGTAGCGGCTGTACACGGGACTGGAAAACCAGGACATCACGGTGCCAATGTCCTCCTGCCAATGAGAGGGATCAGCTCAGTTTATTCACTCTCATACAATTCAGTTTTACATTACATGTTTCATAAAAGTAGCTGGTTTAGGATTACCGTAATTACCAGAATATTATATTTTTCCATCCTTGAATTACATCTGAAAAATGTGTCGTTTTTTTTATTTAACATCCAGATTCAGTATTTAAATGATGAGACAGTAAGTGGCACCACTTTTATCTAAATCAAGTGAAAATGTTAGGGTTAAAGTGGTCACTTATAATAGGATCATTACTGTAATTCACATTACAAGTAGGACCTGACTGATTTATCCGGCCAATTTTAGCCCGTTTGAGACTAATCGGTTATCGGCCAAAACTTGCCAATTGTCACCAATATTTTCAGAAAGTACATGCAGAGAATAAGATTTGGTTTCACTTCGAAAATGTTCTACCATCTGAAAAGTTCCCTGACTTATCCTGTAGATGGCGCAGCGACCTCATGACAATCTTCATCCACTAACTACCTCACAGTGCAGCAGAGTGACGGAAAAATCCATATTGGTCGGGTCCTAATTACAAGCTGATGGGGACTGATACTATTCGAGTTTTTCACAAATAACAACGAATTTGTACCAAGAAACTTTTTCTTTGGTCATGTTTGGAAGAGTTTAACTCATCAACAGCTGAGAAATATCATTAAATATCGAACTACAGCTCTTGTTTATGGACATTTCTGAACGAATCTGATGATGTTCAAGGAGAAATCTGATCCGTACATCAATTTTAGACACTGCATTTTTATTTTTAAGCCTCGGTTACTCTTCAAATTTCACAATAATAACCCCAGCACGCTTTTATTGACTTTCATTCATCGACCTGTAAAATATGACTTTGTTGTACTCACCATGATGCTGAGGAGGCTGCGTGAATTCACTTAAACCGCCTGTTTAAGAGGAAATAACATGTCAGGAATAAAAACATAGCGTTTATCACCAGAATAAAGATCTAAACTAGAGTTAAACTGAGTGGTCTGCAGCAATGAAAACGTCAGGCTAACGTAAAGCTCCAAAATAGGCGCAGACAGAAATTTAAAACGATATAAACGATTACCGTAATGCTGCTGAAGTAAACTTATTCAAGTGTATTGTTCGCTCATCTTTATCAAATGTCTCTGTTTTAGTAAGTTTACCTCTCTGGTGTTAGCTTCTTTAGCACCTCATGACGTTTCCGCAAAGATACATTTCCCAGCAGCCTTTGAGTCTCCGTAAACTTATAGCTGAGTGCGTGGCGCCCTCCAGTGGACACAAAGAGAACACGCACAACAGTCATATTAGAGACACTGGTGGATGGGTTTATTTGCATCAGTTTTAACTGGAATAATTCAACAAGATCTATAAAAAAGATATAAAATGTTGTTTTTAATTAATATAAACTGGAACACTCATATATAACTTCTTCAATTAAACTAAAACAAATGACCTGTTATTATTTTATTATCATTGTTGATATTGCCTTTTATATTTACTATCCTGTTTCCGCATTTTCCTTTTTTCTGAACTATTTTATGTTTTTATTTTGGTCCCCATGGTCGGGGAGCATTGAGCGTTTGTCATAGATATTTTGCACAACTTTATTCTCTCTTTTTATTTGTTTAAAGACCCTTGACTCTCCTGGTTCAGGTAAAACAGATAACTAGTTAGCCTTATGACAAATGCAAAGATAAATAGTAGGTAGCCTACTTTGATATCAAGTTCCTAATGATCATCAATAGAAGCAAAATGCAAAATTGGCATTGGTTGAATCAAGACCAAAAACCAAAACCAAAAACCAAGATGCTGCTTTCACACTGAACTTTTAAGTGCAACAGGGCTAATTTCAGACTGCTTAAATTTTCTTTTGTTTACATTTTGCTCTTTATTGAATTCCATCTCAGCTATTGTATTATATTTTATTTATTGTATTGTATTTTTTTTCTTGGCTTGGAAACGGATCTGTGTACTAATTTTGTACCACAGACTGTCAGAGGTGTGTTCCTTGAATCCTTAAATCCTTGATTAATAGGTCTGTTTAGCATGAATTCATCTGGTTTTATTGATTCACCATAAAGTCTTAACTCAGATTTCCCAAATAAGGATGTCTCTGTGGTGTACAGCGGAGTAGATTGGAGTGTTTGAGTACTGAGAGTCATGTTTGACTGTATATCTGGGTCAGGCTTTGGCTCCAGGCTTCAAAGCTTTCAGAGAAAATGCAGAAAGACAGATGTGCCTTTCCCAAACTCGTCCCCTCCTTTGTGGGATGTGTCAACACAAAGGAAAAGGTATAAAAAATATCTGTTTTAGAGCATTAATCTTCTGAAAAACCTTAAACTGACATGGAGTTTTCCAAAGATGAGTTTGTAACCAGCCCTTCTTTGGAGAAATTAACGATTTAGTTTATCATTTCTACTTGTTATGATGTCCTTGTTACCTACAACAGGCGCATCATAAAACAGGGTCGTTATATTTCAGTATTGACAACTGAATTTCATGTTTTTCTCATAGACTGTATATAGAATTGACGCTGTCTGCCTCCTCGTTGGGTGAAGCCACCCTGAGGACAGCACCCTCTGGTGACGGGCTGCAGTATAGGTCATAAAATCCCGCCTCTGCCAGCAATCCCTATGGAGCTGTGGACAAACTTTATAAATTAATTACACAGAATATAAATTGTTCTCCCCCCTGTTTGGGATGTTGACATGTAGTTACTGTAAGACCGGTTTGTGTTCAAGTCCTCTTTTTTTCTGTACAGCTCCGTTTTTTAAAGGGTTCATGTTTTCTTTGATTTCTCAGTCATTTCAGCCTGCAGATCACTGTTTGTTATTTGTTCTAAATTTTATTGTGTATTTACTTCTTTTTTAAGGTACTGAAGGGCCTCGATGTTACATGGAGGTTCAAGCTGAGCAAGAATGGATCAAGAGGGGCAAGTTTGATGTTTCTGTGACTTTATCAGCAACACTGGGTTTGGATGAGTGTGTATAGTTTCATCTTAAAGCCACAATAAGCCATTTTAAACTTTTAAAAAATAGACTGACGTTCATAGTGATGTTATTTTAAAGCTCTAATAAAACTTTGAATGTCAGTGAATCATCTCTCAAAAACGCTGCTACCCCTAACTCTCAAGCAGCTGCTGCTTTATTTAAAGATGCGCAGTATAAAGGACCACAACTATAAACTCACTGTATGTATAACCATGAGCTTATTTTTTGTACAATATCAATATCTCACTGTGTCAAAAATACAGTTATTTTGCAACAGCTCCAGTGTTTGTGTTTTGCACATGTGCACCAGGCCTGTTGATTTAAGGTGCCAGTTCTGATTGCGTATCGCCTTATTGCACTAACTTTACATAAATGGACACGTCTGTGTTTACATCATTGTGTTTATGTCATATTGCATTAGAGTAGCATGTGCAGATAGATGAGTGTATGCACACCAGTATGTTTTTAATCTCAGAGGAACAACCTGGATGCTGGTAAATGTAGGTCACATAGTGCAGCACTGAGCCTACAGCTCCCTCTGCTGGTAGGCCTTGTAAATGAACCTTTTATTCTGTCCTCTGAGCCTCTCGTGCTTTAGTGTTCATTTGTAAAGTGTTCAAAAGCTGCCACAGATTGTAACGGGTCAAAAGGTGAATAAACTCCAGAGAAATTTTTAACTTTGAACCCAAACAGAAAGTGATAAGAAGTAATTGTGTCTTTATTTATGACATCAAACCACAACAATCAAACTTGAACTATCTTCATCATGCGGATTAGTTTCCTACCTGTCATGTGACTGAGGCTTGACCTACTTTTCACCTTCAGTGACTTCTTGTTGCAGAGTTTTAACCGCACACTTAGTGTCCGATTATCACCTGCAGAGAGAGCAGCAACATCAGGAACTGCATGTTCGGTCACCTCGTCCACCTGGTTTCACAGCCTCTCATTCAGCATCTATTTCGATTACTTCTGTCTCTGACTCTGTCGTGGTTTCACTGCTCATGTACTGCTGCTCAGTTTGTCTCCTATCTAGTCAAAGAGCAAAGCAACAGCCTATGAAAGTCATAAGTCAGTTTAATCTGTTCAAATATGATCTTAAATATGCAGAAATAACCTTAAATATAAAGCTTTTAAGATTATATTGGCGTGTTTGGAGGGACATGGTGAAAAAGTAGGAACACAAGAGGAAAGGATGAGCATTTAGCTGACAGATTGAGACCAAATGGAGTGAACAAGAAGCATATAAAGAATAAAAGTGATGAAATATATGGATTTTTATTGGCTGAAAAGAGAAAAAAAAAATCATAAATCATAGGAAATGAAGAGGCAACCAACGAGAAAATACAATATGACAGAAAATAAAAGCAGATAAAAGATCTGGAGCTCTGAGAAATAAGTAAATAAGAGAATATCGAAAAGAAAGGTTATTGTTTTAAGAGCATTAGACAAAATATATGAAAGAAGGTTTTCAAATAAATTAAGTAATTGATTAAAAAGTGGTTTAAATCCCATGAAAGTGAGTTTCTCAAAGGAGGTCATTGCAAAGTTGAGGTTGTCCCCTTTGATTATTAAGACACTGTGCTGATTAGCTGTCTGAATGTTGTACGATGAAGTCCTGTGGAGAGGAATGCAGAGGTGGAAAAACACCAAAACAAATACAGTGAGCCACCCACTCGATCTGGACCCAATTTGACCTCAAACTAATGGAGGCAACTGAGCTGAGGTCTCTGGGTCTCTGACAGTCTGGTGTTCTCTTCTCTGTTCCCTCATTGAACCATCTAAATGTCGAATTGAAAACCTCTCACTGTGTGTTGTTGCCAACAAAGCGACTTTGCAAAGCCTCTGACTTTGAAGCTGTAGCGTGCAGCGACTTAAAAACGGAACATGTCTTCACTTCCTTTTGCTGTCCCTCTCTGAGGGTTTTGAGGTTTTTGTAGCCAAAGGTGCACAGAGGAGGGTCTGACGGTTCACTGTACACCCACAGCAGCTTTTGAGCTGTTGTTTACGAGTTTGACCAGAATGAACAGATGGAAAATGTTGCTGTTTCTGCTTTTAATGTTAACTTTGAACGTGAGCGGCAAAGGTACGTTGACACACTTTTATGGATTTGACAAATCCAAACATTGTTACTCAGCCTTTTTACGATTTTCTCATGTGATCATTTTAGTTGAATAAATACAGATTTGTTTTTTTATGGTGTTTTCAGCTGCTGTCATCAATCTTAAGAAAACTGTTGGTAGAGAGCCGAACGCCGTGCCAGTGTGCAGCAACTCAACTGATAGTATTATCACATTGGTCGTCTGTAAAATCAGCATGAGGAGCGGGAATGATTGTCAACTTTTCTATCAACATAACCATGACTTTGAGAATAAATGTGACTCCAGAGTCAGATTAATGAAAGAGATCCAAACAATATTTCTGGATTTAACTAATTTAACACCAACGGATGGTGGGAACTACACGTGTGAATGTTCACACCTCGGTGGAACAGAAGAACTCCATCTCAACGTCACCGTCAGAGGTAAGTTTGAAACTTCTCATATTTCATTCCTTACAAATAATATTTGATTGATTTACACAGAAGCAAAAGATGTAAAAAAAAATTGCCTTTTTTCTTATAGTTGATGAAATATTGTTCACAGCTATTGTAATGTAACCAATTAAATCAGCCACAAATGTCACAAAATGCCCATAATGTAAAAATAAAAAGTTCTGTATCTTAACATGTTTTTTAAAAAGTAGAGCAAATATGAATTAGCTGTTGTAATTTTCTGAGGTGGAACTTTTTCTTTAGTTCCAGAGAGAAAAACTACAAACAACTTTGAAGAAAAGTTTTTCATTACACCAGCTCTTGGGGCCGGTGTCATAGCCGTCATTCTGACTGGAGTTCTCCTCGGATGTATTTGCAGGAAAATAAATCACTGGTAAGTAACTAATCGATTAAAAATACAGTTGTTGTTTTTTTCAGCACTTTTTACCCACTCAGCAGAACACAGAGACAATTTCTGTTTTTATTTGATGTTTTAGCAAAAGAAGACGACCGGACCCAACACCAGCTTCCCCAGTGACGGTACAGACTCCTAAAATCTTCTACTTTCATGTCTGCCGCTCTTTTACATAATCCAGTTATTTTCTAAACTGTGTTCTTTTGCAGGAACACGTAGAAGACATAGAGCCGTACAGCACCTTCACACAGAGAGAGAACGAACTGTATTCGATTGCTGTGATGCCAAACCGAATGAATAACTCACCCAGGTTGACACGAGTTTAAGTTTACTCTGATGCTGGAAAACAAAGGCCACAAAAGGTGAACAAACTGCTCTGGAAACTGTCTCTTTTATTACGACTTCATTTTGGTGTAGTTTTGTAGTTTTGCATCTTATTTTCCTTAATGTGGCCCGAATACTCTGCTGTAAAAATGTAACACGTGAGTAAATGTCGATATGATGGAATTTGTTGTTGGTGTAATTTCTTTTATTTGTGTGAATAAACCGTCTGAAACCCCCTCATGTTGACCGACCTTTGAGGTCTCAGACCTTCAGTTGGTCAGGTCTCGCTCTTCACCTGAACATTTTACATTTGAATTTTCCGTCATGTACTTCCTGTCCTCGCTCAAGATTATCTTGCGGCTTTTCTTTGCCGCCTCCGTGACAGCGCGGGCGCCTCTTCAAGCTTCTTAGCACCTCCTTCGCACTTCCTTCGCACATCGATCAAAACAGAAGGGGGTCTTACAGTCAGACCAAGCCGCAAGAGCCTTTTGTCTGTAAACATGTTGGTTGACAGCTGAAAGGTGTTTACCTCGTCTGATTATAACAAACATGAAAATAGAAATGATTCACCCCTCAGAGTCTTATCACTTAAAGGTGGGGTAGGCAGGAATCTGTTAAAGAAGCTGTTTTTGTGGTGTTTATACAGAAAAGCTTTAATATCAGTCAATAGTTATTAGTTATTGATGATTTTTGGGAATATAATGATATCGCTGTGTTTTGTTACATCTGTGTACATCTGAGCTGCCCGCTCTTTCTGACTGTAAACAAAGTCATTCTCTGCCTCCCCTAACCTGATTGGTTGTGAGGCAGACGCTGCTCCACCATGTTGTTCACGAGCCCAAACAAAGTTAGCGTGCTACAATATCGGACAGTAGAAACCAACCAGAAAGTTCAGAAAATTGTCTGAATCATCCTTTGGCCACGACTGCCAACACAAGCAACGAAATGAGGTAAGCACCGGAGACTCTGGCGGAATAACAGGCGCTTAAAAAGGAGGTAGACCGGACAAGAGCTAAAAAGTCGGGTCAACAATGATGAGGGACGCTTCGGGATCTTACGGACCCTGTAACCTTTCTGCTGGACAGGTAAACCGCTTTAACAAAGTAAGACAAGTGTCTGTAACAGAAGTGTTTCTTGTCAAACGGACCTGCTGTAGCGTGTTGTAGCGCCATCGCTAAACTGTCCTCCCTCGGGTCCTGGACTATGTCACTTTATCCTCGTTGTAGAAGTCCTGCAAACATTGTGTTTGCTGGTAGTCTGTTGGCATCTACAGTAGCACCAATGCTGTTTACTTTTACGTTGTCTGGGCCCCATTTGTAATTATCTGTAGTATTTATCTGCATTATATCTGAATTTACGATTTGAGCGAGCAGGAACATTTGTTTGAGGGCGGGGCTTGCTGGAGCAGAGAGGAGGATCTGAGGGGAGAACTGGTCGGGAGGGGTCGAGTTTACATTGAAGATTTCTCCTCTAAACTGGCGCCTCCTCAGATCCTGACTACCCCACCTTTAAGCCAAACCAAACCTCGCCCTGCTGGACCCATCAGCCAGCTCATGCTCGGTATCAGGCTGCCGGGTCTCACACATTTCCTCTTAGTGTCAAAAATACGTGACCAATCACAGTCCTCCATTTAAACACAGACGGTTTCACATGATTATGACGCAGGGGTGCTGCTACGGCGTGTCAGCAAAGTCTGGTCTGAACTTTTAAGGTCACATTCAAGTCTCAGGGTTTGAATCGGTCTATAACTTCTCTCAGTGCTCATGAAAATAATCCAGATTTTTTTGACATGAAGGTGAAGGAAGTCGTCTCTCACTCTTGCCTTCTAGCCCACATGTATTTCAGCTCAGACTCTCGCAGGTATTTTAAGTTCAGGTCACAAAGAGACACTGAGACACTGACAGCAGCAGCAGCAGCACTCGTCCTCAGACTGAAGCCGATCATGGATGTGCACAGACTCTGTTTTCTTCTCCTGCTGCCGATATTTTCACCTTTGGAGTCTGAAGGTGATGTAGGTAATGAACTTTTCTTCATGTAAAACTGAAGATTGTTTTCTTTTAATTAAATACTGTAAATAACCTGTTTCTTTGTGTTTGCAGAGAAGACTTTGAAAACCACTGGGAGTGAACCATTTGTGACCCCCATCTGCATCAATGACACTCTGAATTTCATCATACTGATAGTTTGTAAGATCAGAACAAAGAGGGATAAAGGAGAAGACTGTCAGCTGATACATCGACATGATCGTGGGTTTGTGCAAAAATGTGACTCAAGATTCAGACTCACGACAGAAAGTCAGACTGTGTTTCTGCATTTGGCGAATTTAACCCCTAAAGACAGCGGGAACTACGCCTGTGAGTGTTCACGCACTGATGGAACGCAATTTATACGTCTTAATATCACCGTAGAAGGTAAACACTTTTTTGTTGCACTTTGTCCAACTTTAAAAGATGTTGTATTTTCTTTGTATTTGTTTGTTGATTTTGCACAAATTTGTCTCATTTATTCTTCACAGAAACATCTCCAGATAAAAACACTCATCTGTCGTTCTTTCATTGGAATTTCATCTTCATTTTGATCGCTGTGTCTGTGTTTGTCCTCCTGACTGGAGCTGTTGTCGTCTACATCCTCTATAAAAAGTGCTGCAGGTAAAACCTCTAACCCTCTAAACTAACAGTTTTTCATTTTAAAATAGGAAACCTGATATCTGAAATCTTTGTTTCTGTTCACAGAGACGATACAGGATCAGAAGAATCTGGGACGTCTGCGTCTGGATCCTCCAGCTCCTCGGTAAACCTTAAAATCACTTTAACATGGGATTATTTTGACTATATTTAACTTCTATTTCCATTTTTTGCAAATAAGAGAGAAAGCAAACAGGGTTATATGATATCAGGCGCTTCAGGAGCTCATCATCACCTCTGTGTTTCTTCACCACAAGTCCACCACAACTTCTATTACAGCATCAGCTTTGTTGAAGTAAAGGAAGCCTATTTGCTGCTCCAGCTTCTGTGGCTTCTGCTCTCGCAACCCCTCTGTGTTTTTGCTATATTTAACATCCCGTGTGAAAACAAATTCACTTGCTGTATTTGTGCTCCATTCACATTTGATATTCCCACAGAACCAAGATGACCAAGAAGACTCCGACTTCTCAGAGGACCACTACGAGAGCCTCCAGGAACCAGCAGACGACGTCTATCAAACCATCTCATTGGAGCCTCTTCAACACGACGCCAAGAAGGACAACAAGAAGAAGACAGCTCCTGCACATTTAGATGATCCAGATATGGATGATGAGGAGACTGAGGACGGACAAGACATCTATGAAAACATCTGAATCTCAGATAAGCAGAAAGTTCAGTTTAAGTCAGAGTGCGTTACAGCTGAAAGTGGTATCTTTAATCTGGATTATATCATATTATCGGCTTCAGGATTCTGAATCATTTACGATACTGAGACTCTGCTGCTCTTCATTGACTTTCTGATCATATTTTACCAAAGAAGAAACATTTTAGGAAACTGTTATCCTGCTTTTATTAAAGAAAATCATCTTTTTCCATTGACCTGGATGGATTTACCTATTATTCACTGAGAGGTGGCGCTCTTCAACGACATCCTTAACAAGTTGTCTGACTTTTCCCTGAGAGCTGAGTCCCTGTCTTTCACTGTAGTCCCCCTAATGTAACACATGGACAAAGTACGCTAACCAGCAGAGGCGTGTCCAGACTTTTTGATTGGGGTGGCCCAACCTTAGAACTGACACAGCTGGGGTGGCCTGAAGTGACCTTTAAATCACATTTATTATTGCATCTATGATGTTACAGCTGCCGTATAGATCGAGAGGAGGTAAGTTTGATGTTTCTGTGACTTTATCAGTGACACTTTCAGTAATCCTCTGAAAAGCGTCAAACTGACATGGAGTTTTCTGTAGATGAGTTTGTGACCAGCTCTTTTTGGGAGAAAATTAACAAATGTACAAAAGCTGATTTGTTCATTGTTGCTACTTTCTATTATGTCCTTTTTCCCTCCAACATGGACATAATAAACAGGGTCGTAATATTCCAGTATTGTTGATGTATTTGGTGTTTTTCTCAGGCCTGGCTGTGTCTGGTGTTTGTGTGGTGTGTGTCCCCAAGAATGTTTTTGTTGTACTTTTTTCTCATGTTAGTTTTTGGAAGCGTTGAACTGAGCTGAGGTCTCTGGGTCTCTGACAGTCTGGTGTTCTCTTCTCTGTTCCCTCATTGAACCATCTGAATGTCGAATTAAAAACCTCTCACTGTACGTTGTTGCCAACAAAGCGACTTTGCAAATTTCAGTCGAAGCCTCTGACTTTGAAGCTGTAGCGTGCAGCGACTTAAAAACGGAACATGTCTTCACTTCCTTTTGCTGCCCCTCTCTGAGGGTTTTGAGGTTCTTGTTGCCAAAGGTGCACAGAAGAGGGTCTGACGGTTCACTGTACACCCACAGCAGCTTTTGAGCTGTTGTTTACGAGTTTGACCAGAATGAACAGATGGAAAATGTTGCTGTTTCTGCTTTTAATGTTAACTTTGAACGTGAGCGGCAAAGGTACGTTGACACACTTTTATGGATTTGACAAATCCAAACATTGTTACTCATCCTTTTTACAGTTTTCTCATGTGATCATTTTAGTTGAATAAATGCAGATTTGTTTTTTTATAGTGTTTGCAGCTGCTCTCATCAATCTTGAGAAAACTGTTGGTAGAGAGCCGAACGCCGTGCCAGTGTGCAGGAACTCAACTGAAAATATTATCCTTCTGGTCATCTGTAAAATCAGCATGAGGAGCGGGAATGATTGTCAACTTTTCTATCAACATAAACAAGACTTTGAGAATAAATGTGACTCTAAAGTCAGATTAATGAAAGAGATCCAAACAATATTTCTGGATTTAACTAATTTAACACCAACGGATGGTGGAAACTACACGTGTGAATGTTCACACCAAGATGGAATGAAAGTACTCCATCTCAACATCACCGTTAGAGGTAAGTTTGAAACTTCTCATATTTCATACTTTAAAAATCAATATGTTGTATTTTTGGGTTTATTCGTAAATTTTGCACAAATCTGTCTCATTTATTCTTCATAGAAACATCTCCAGAAGCAAACACTAATCTGTCGTTCTTTCCTTGGAGTTTCATCTTCATTTTGATCGCTGTGTCTGTGTTTGTCCTCCTGACTGGAGCTGTTGTCGTCTACATCCTCTGTAAAAAGTGCTGCAGGTAAAACCTCTCACCCTGTAAACTAACAGTTTTTCATTTTAAGATAGGGATGATTATGAAACCTGATATCTGACACCTTTTTGTTTGTTCACAGAGACGATACAGGGTCAGAAGAACCCAGGACGTCTGCGTCTGGATCCTCCAACTCTTCGGTAAACCTTGTACTTTTTAACTTCTTACTCTGTTGATGCCAATGTTTGCTTTAAACACAGTACAATCGCTTTCACATGAGATTATTTTGACTATTACTATTTGACTACTACTTTGCTTCTTTTTCTATTTTTTGCAAATAAGAGAGAAAGAAAACAGGGTTAACCAACCACAAGTCCACCACAACTTCTATTACAGCATCAGCTTTGTTGAAGTAAAGGAAGCCTATTTGCTGCTCCAGCTTCTGTGGCTTCTGCACTCGCAACACCTCTGTGTTTTTGCTATATTTAACAACCGTGTAAAAACAAATTCACTTGCTGTGTTTGTGCTCCATTCACATTCAATGTTCCCACAGAACCAAGACTTCTCAGAGGACCACTACGAGAGCCTCCAGGAACCAGCGGACGACGTCTATCAAACCATCTCCTTGGAGCCTCTTCAACATGACGCCAAGAAGGACAACAACAAGAAGACCGCTCCTGCACATTTAGATGATCCAGATATGGATGATGAGGAGACTGAGGAAGGACAAGACATCTATGAAAACATCTGAATCTCAGATAAGCAGAAAGTTCAGTTTAAGTCAGAGTGCGTTACAGCTGAAAGTGGTATCTTTAATCTGGATTATTTCATATTATCGGCTTCAGGATTCTGAATCATTTACGATACTGAGACTCTGCTGCTCTTCATTGACTTTCTGATCATATTTTACCAAAGAAGAAACATTTTAGGAAACTGTTATCCTGCTTTTATTAAAGAAAATCATCTTTTTCCATTGATCTGGATGGATTTACCTATTATTCACTGATTCTCATGGCAGGAAAGGGAGGGGGATAGCGGATGGATGATCCATGTTGACTTATCTGTAGAGAGGTGGCGCTCTTCAACGACATCCCTGACAAGTTGTCCGACTTCTCCCTGAGAGCTGAGTCCCTGTCTTTCACTGTAGTCCCCCTAATGTAACACATGGACAAAGTACGCTAACCAGCAGAGGCGTGTCCAGACTTTTTGATTGGGGTGGCCCAACCTTAGAACTGACACTGCTGGGGTGGCCTGAAGTGACCTTTAAATCACATTTATTATTGCATCTATGATGTTGCAGCTGTCGTATGGTTAAATGTTATGACCATTTCGATAGGGGAGAAGGGAAGTAACATAAAACAACCAGATGTTAAATGGTCAATTCAAGGTATTTGTTTTAACACAGGTAAAACTGGCAATAAAAAAAAAAGAGAGGCAGCAAAGGCCTTAAAGGAGGTATCAACAGGCTGCCAAAATCACAAAGAGACTCTAACCTAGAGTTATTTAAACAGCGAAAATAAAGGTCTGCTCACATAGGGCAAAAAAAAGAAATAAAATGCAACAACTCAGCTTTAGTGCTGCTAACAAAAGAAAAGAAGCTAGGTGTGTGCAAAGATCAGCAATATGCCTCACAAGGTTACAAATGTCCACAATTCACAAAGACGCTAGGTCTGAAAAAGAGAGGCATTAATGTGATGTTCCGGAACAAAACTGGACACTGGCAAACAAATGTCGTGACGGCAAAATAAAAGTACTTCCTTTTAATAAGTTGCTCAAACAGAAACTCACATTTAGCCTGAAACATCGCACTTCAACAGTGAAGGTTCATGTATAGCATTTCCTATTTAGACCACTTCCTATCAGCTCTGCTAAAAGTTGAGGTGGGTTGAGGGCAGCTTTTACCTTCCTTCATTTTAGCAAAGTTTTCTGCTGACAGCAGTGTTTCTTCGGTCATGGATCAAATCATGTTGAGCTTCCTTTTCCTTCTGCCCCTGTGTTTGGGTTTGGGTTTACGAGAAGTTACAGGTAAAGGTGGTCTTCTTTATGCATTTTTTATACATAGCAAGCAAACTGAAGAGTGTATCATACAAGGCAGTTTTTTACAGTGTCTTCAAAAGTTACGTAGATTTAACTGGCTATGTAATCTGTATTAAAGCTCCTGTAAGGAGTTTTTTAGATGGTTGTGGGATTGACTCGGATCTACAGTAATATCTTTTATAATCTTGAAAAACCCAAAAACCACAACAAGGGGTTGGGTGTGGTACGCAGCAGTTTACAGCTGGTGAAGAAAACCCTTCACAGAGAGCAGGTATTCACTGAGAGAAATGTATTTAAGTGTTTAAAGAGAGAAAAGGTGAGATTTTGACAAAAACAAGACAACTTAATCTTGTCTAGGACAGAGAGTCAGAGTTACCCAAGAAAAATAATGTCAGAATTTTTTACAATGCTGATTTATTTCTCAGGAAAATGAAAATTCTGATTCTGAGACCTGGTTCAGAATTTTCCAAAATTAAAATCAAATTTCCAGTTTACAGTCAGATTTTTAAGTTTCATGTCAAAATTTGACTTTTTTTGTCTAGAATTCTGACTTTTACTCAGAATTCTGTAAAAAAAAAAAAAAATTGAGTTAAAAGTCGGTAATCTCCGGAATGTAATTCAGAGTTTTAATTTTCCAACATAAAAATCAGATTACCAATTTTAAAGTCAAAATAAAATAGTCAGAGATTAGAGGAAACTGTTGAATTAAGAAATTGGACCAATTTTTTAAACTGGAATTCTAATCTTAAAGAGTCTGACCTTAATGTATAAATTCTTAATAAACATTTTTTTTTGTTTGTTTTTTTTTTTGTTTTTTGTCAGGATTCCCTGAGACTTAAATCAGAATTCTACAATCAAAGTAAAAAATTTCTAAGATTAAAATCTGAATTCCTTATTTAACATCAGAATGTTCAGAGATTAAAGCAAGAATTCAGAAAATTTGGTCAAAGTCAAAATAGTCAGAGATTAGAGGAAACCGTTTGAGATTGTGTCAAGAAATCGGACCATTTTTTAACTGGAATTCTGAACTTGAATAGTCGAGCCTTAAAGTATGAATTCTTAATTATTTTTTTTCCAAAGTCAGAATTCCATGAGACTTAAGTCAGAATTCTACGATCAAAGTAAAAAATTTCTAAGATTAAAACCAGAATTCCAATTTTAACTTAATAATGTTTAGAGATTGAAGTCAGGATTCAGAAAATTTGGTCAAATTCAAAATAGTCAGAGATTACAGTAAACTGAGATTGAGTTAGGAAATCAGACCAATTATTAGCTGGGATTCTAATCTTGAAGAGTTGGACCTTAAAGTATGAATTCTTTTTTTTAAAGTCTGACTTCCATGAGACTTAAATCAGAATTCTAAGATCAAAGAGGAAAAAAACTTCAAAGTTTAAAATAAGAATTAAAATTTTAACGTCAGAATGTTGAGAGATTTAAGTAAAATTTGGTCAAATTCAAAATCTTAAAAAAATGTCAGAATTCTTATGAGTCTTAAACTAGAGTTTTTTAAAGCTTAAAATCAGAATTTAAATATTAAGTCAGAAATTTCACTTTTTTTCTGGAATTCTGCCTTCATTAGAAATCTGAAAAAAAGAAGTCATATTTTGAGTTAAATGTTAGATTTAGGAAAGAATTCAGATTTATTTTTCTTGAAATTTCTACTTTTATCTTCTCTGAGATAAAAGTCAGAATTTTTTTTTTTTAAAGAAATCTGAGATAAAAGTCAGAATTCAGTTTGTAATCATAGAATTAAGAGAAAGACATTAAACATTAAAAAGATTCTGACTCTTATTTCGACGAGTTGACCCTCACCCTCATGTTCCAGGTCAAAGCTGGTTGCTGTTGTAGTTTGTAGTTTTCATTCAGGGCAGGTAAAGTTATTAACGCTGAACTGTGAGTCATTCAAAAATCTCATATTTTTTACAGTGACCACTGAGGACGCCGTTGTGGGGAAACCATATGTGACTCCAGTATGCCCCACAGACCCTAACCATGCTCCTATGACGATAGTCTGCCTGATCAACACAAAGAGGACAAAGGGGGACACATGTCGTCTGGTGTATCACCATGAACGTCCATTAACGAACAGCTGCGGCTCAAGGTTCAGATTTTTGTCCGAGTTCCTCTTTCTGACAAGATTAACCCCAGAGGACAGTGGGAACTACACCTGCGAGTGCACACGCACTGATGGGCTCTTTCTCTACCATCTGAGAATCAGGGTCACAGGTAAACATGGTCCTCGTTTTAACTTTTGTGTAAAATAAGTTATCAGTCTCATATGTGGTCTCAGGGGGTTATTAACAGCAGAAGCGTGTTTCAGATAACAACTCTCTCTCTCTCTCTCTTTCCTTTAAGATCGTTTCAAGGTTGACGGCAGCTTATTTCCAACTCTTGGGGTTGGCGTGACTGTGATCAGCTTTGTAGGCGGAGTTTTGATGGGATTGATCTGCAAGGGGAAATGTAACGGGTAAGTGATTTAACAAGTGATTTTATTTAAATATTTTGGCACTTAAAGATGGCAGTTCTGATTCTTTTACTTGAATTCTTGTTTTAAAGAGTTTCTTCAAGACCAGCAAATCCTGAAACTCCAGGATGTAAAAATCCCCAAACTTTGGGGATTGATGAATTCTTATTTCGCTCAGATGACCATGAGAACCCGTACACAGGCCTCCAGCAACCAGCAAGCGATCTCTACCAAACAATCCCCTCAGTGCGCTTTCAACAGGACACAGAAAATATTGAAATGTGATCAATGTATGAAGAAGAAAAGATGATAAAGCAACTGCACATTGAAGCAGTTTGAGAAGAGAGGGGAGAAATTTGAACTTATGCTGTGTTTGAGTTACCTCGGAAGTCAGATGTCGGAGCTGAAAATGACGTCACACCTGAGTAACCATTGTTTCAGTTACAAAGTCGAAAAAAGCAAAATTGGAGGCGGTAACAAGATGGCTACATCTTCAAAAGTTATTTTTGCGCTTGCTTTGTTCTAATAGTACAAAGACAAGGCAAGCGCTAAAATAACTTTCATAGATGAAGCCATCTTGTTTCCACCTCCAATTTTGCGGAGGCGGAAACAAGACTTCCGAAAAGAAAAAAGCAAAATCAGAGGTGGAAACAAGATGGCTACATCTACGAAAGTCTTTTTAGCGCTTGCCTTGTCCAAATATAACAAGGACAAGACAAGCGCTAAAGTAACTTTCGTACATATAGACATCATGCTTCTGCCTCCGATTTTGCTTTTGTCAGACTTGGTAACTAAAACGCTGGTAACACGGGTGTGACATCATTTTCAGCTCCAACATCTGACTTCCGAAAAGAAAAAAGCAAAATCGGAAGCGGAAACAAGATGGCTACATCTACAAAAGTTACTTTAGTGCTCGCCTTGTCTTTGTAATATTCGAACAAAGCAAGCGCCAAAATAACTTTCGTAGATGTAGCCATCTTGTTTCCGCCTTGTTTGCCTTGTCCTTGTTATATTCAGACAAGGTAAGTGCTAAAATAACTTTCAAAGATGTAATCATCTTGTGTCCGCCTCCGATTTTCTTTTTTTCCGACTTGCTGGTAACTCGGACATCTGACTTCCGATGTAACTCAAATGCAGCATAAAGATCAGAAAAAACACGAGTCAGGAGTGTTTTATGCGGTAGGTTTGAAGTTCCTTTCATTTAAATAAAGTTGAATCCCTGAACTCTCTCGTCTCGGTGCTGTTTTTGTGTTTAAATCTGTTTTTAAATGACTGGTGGGATTAAAACCCTGCGGTATACCTTTAAGAGACTCCTCCAGCCTCTAGCTGAGACGCAGCTCTAATGATTTCAACAACCGTGTCCCTCCAGCCAGTGGGAAAGTCTTGGTTTAAAATCTTGAGGTTGTAGAATTTAAAAAAGGACAGTTTTAACTTGAAGTTTGCACAAAACTAAAAATAGCGTTGAGTTTTTACAGGATGATACCTTCAGTTTTCGTGCAACAATGGAAAAGAGCGCTGTGTGAAAATAACACAGTGGTGTACTTGTGAAAAGGGGGTGATCATTTCATTGGGCTGCAGAGACCACAGCACTCTGGGTTTACCACTCGAGCTCAAGCCTCTAAAAAACCACGAACAATTAACTTCCTCTTTACCTACAAATTCTCAAACTCAAGTAGATCAAGGCGACGTTGGTGAGACTCTGAGACCAGAGAAACTGACAAGGAGAAGATGTAACCTTCATAGATGTTACCTTCCTTCATAGACCAGAGGCTTCACAGGAGTTTGCAGCAAAATAATAGTGCGGCGAGTCTCCTTTCTGTGCGCATGAGTGTGCATCAATTTTCTTCTTGACCACGATGGCGAAATGGACAATTTGCTTGGTTATGTTCCTGCTGATGGTTAAGGGGTCTGACGTTGAAGGTAATGTACAGGAACTACTTTTACTTCTTCATACAACATCATACTTTTCTTACTATTATCTAGTGTCTGTTTAGTGAAGATAAAGACAAAATTTTACGTCTGCGAGACGCAGTGAAACACTGATGGTTTAAACTTAGATTGTATATCAGAAAAGCTTTTGTGGAGAGAAGATCATAGAGAACAAAGACATATTAAATGCTTTACAGTTGTCACTCAGTGTTACTTTCTGTTTGTTTGCAGAGATGATTGAAAAAGCCATTTGGACAGATTCAGACATCACTCCACTGTGCACCGACGACACAGTGGATTACATCATTATGATAATTTGTAAGATCAGAATTGAGAGACATGGAGAAGGATGTCGTCTGAGCTATAGCCCTCACCATGGCTTTGAGCACACCTGTGACTCTGGATATACACTGTTGTCGGAGAACCAGACTGTGTCTCTGCATTTGACAAATTTGACCCCAGAAGACAGTGGAAACTACAGCTGTGAGTGTTCTCATACTAATGGGACATATTTCAGTCATCTGAGTCTCACTGTGAAAGGTAAACACACGTTTCCTCCTAAACTTTGGCTAAATTTAGGCCACTTTTACCATGGCTCTATGATAACTCGTTTGTTCTTAACTTTGTGTACTATTCCTGTGAACAAAGTTGAATGTCATGTTAACCATGCAGGGTTTTATTCAGGTCTTTTTACAAGCTTTCTGCTGTCACTCTCTGAATGTTTTAGTGGGAAACGATGTCAAGAGTTCCACACTTGTTCTTCTTCCTACTCTGTTGGTTGTGACCACATTGATCATTGTAGCTGGAATCATCCTTGGGTTTCTCTACAGGAGGATGTGTCACAGGTAAGAGATGACTGTGATGTTTGTATAACCCTCTTTGAATTGACTACAAAGTAGCTGCTCAGTGGTTTTCTGTACACGGATTGCAGGACAAAAAGAAATGTGTGGTTTATCACTTTAATCCACTTCCTGCTGATCTTAATGTTGTACCAAAGTGTGCACGCTTGTGTGGTGTAGCCTGGTGTGCTTATACATGCAAGGTCTAGTCTCCCTCTTGTCAGATCAGGTTCATTTGATCTTCAACACTCGGTGACATTTGAGTTTGTGCTTCTGGTTAAAAATCTTGAAAGATTCAATCCTATCTCATTGTTACAGGAAACAAGCAGAACCACCTGAGAACAGCCCTCCAAACATGGTAATGTATAGATATTATTTTCATTTCGCAGTTTGTCCTCCTTAGATCCATTTTTAATGTGTGTTTGTTTTTCTGTATGTAGGATTCTGATGACACTGAGCCGTACAGCACACTCAATCAGAGAGCGATCACACTTTACTCCACTCTTGAAATGAACGTCTGCAACAAAAACACAAATTAGATTTACAGTTGTTGTAAATATTCTTTACTTTGTTTTTAATTTGATGCACATTTATGATCTGCAATTTTGCCTTTAGGAGAGAGGCCATCTCTTTATGAAGAAGGTGAAACTGTCCACAAGATGGCACTGTTTTGTTTTTAACTGTCATGTTTTTCACCCTCTGTTTGTATCCCTGTGTGGGTGTCACTATAGCAGCAAATGTCCATATATTGTACCCTCTATGATAGTAGTGTCTGTGTAATAATAAACTTTCCCTGTAGTTATAATGTAAAATCAATCAGCCATAGTACAAATAAAGCATTAAGCACATATTTTAAAGAGTTTGGGGTTTTATTTTGACACAATTACATCAGAGAATAAGGTTACATTTATATGTAATAAAACAGACTTTCAGTTTGTGTTGATTTTATCTTTTAACTGCATTTGTCATGTTCTTTTCCATATTGGTCTTTAAAGGTAAATTTAAGGCATTTGTAATAATTTTAGCAAAAATCTAACCACAGGAGCTTAAACCCTGTGTCTTAGTGCATCTAAGGACACGGTACCTTCAGTGTGGGAAGTGATCACTTCATTTCATAGAGCTGCAGAGACCACAGCGCTCTGAGTTCACCGCTTGAGCTCAGGCCACTAAAAAACCACGGTCAGAGAAACAGCTCTGTTAGATTCGGCAGGTTGAACTTCCTCTTTACCTACAAATTCTCAAACTCAAGTAGATCAAGTTAATGCTGGTGAGACTCATTTCATACTAGAGACAGAGAAACTGACAAGGAGAAGATGTAACCTTCATAGATGTTACCTTCCCTCGTAGACCAGAGGCTTCACAAGAGTTTGCAGCAGAATAATAGTGCAGCGAGTCTCCTTTCTGTGCAGTTTTTGGTGCATTTTTTCTTCAGTGTGCATCATTTTTCTTCTTGACCACGATGGCGAAATGGACAATGTGTTTGGTTATGTTTCTGCTGATAGTTGAGGGGTCTTACATTGAAGGTAATGTACAGAAACTACTTTTACTTCTTCAAACAACATCATACTTTTCTTGCTAGTATCTGGTGTCTGTTCAGTATAGACAGAGACCAAAATTTTATATCTGCAAGGCGCAGCAATACACCAATGGTTTAAACTTTGACTGCATATCAAAATAGATTTTGTGGAGGGAAGTTCGTAGAGAACAAGGACATAAAAATGCTTTACAGTTGTTACTCAATGAGACTTTCTGTTTGTTTGCAGAGATGATTGAAAAAACCATTTGGACAGATTCAGACATCACTCCAATGTGCACCAACGACACGGTGGATTTCATCATTATGATAATTTGTAAGATCAGAGCAGAGAGACATGGAGAAGGATGTCTTCTGAGCTATAGCCCTCACCATGGCTTTGAGCACACCTGTAGCTCCAGATTTAGATTATTGACAGAGAATCAGACTGTGTCTCTTCATTTGATGAATTTGACCCCAGAAGACAGTGGAAACTACAGCTGTCAGTGTTCTCATTCTGGAGGGACATATATCAGACATCTGAGTCTCACTGTGAAAGGTAAACACTCATATTTTCTCTTACACTTTGGCTAAATTTAGGCCACTTTTATCATGGCTCTATGATAGCTTGTTTGTTCTTAACTTTGTGTACTATTCCTGTGAATGAAGTTGAATTTCATGTTAACCATGCAGGGTTTTATTCAGGTCTTTAACAAGCTTTATGCTGTCACTCTCTGAATGTTTTAGAGGCAAATGATGTCAGGAGTTGCTCACTTGTTCCAGTTTTTACTCTGTTGGTTGTGAACACAACCATCATTGTCACTGGAATCATCCTTGGGTTTCTCTACAGGAGGATGTGTAACAGGTTAGAGATGACTGTAATGTTTGTATAACCCTCTTTTGACTGGATGCAAAGTAGCTGCTTTGTGGTTTTCTGTTTTCATGTGAGGTCTAATCTTCCACCGGTCAAGTCAGGCTCAATTGCTCTTAAACACTCTGTGACATTTTTCAACCTTTGGTTAAAAATCTTGGAATAAAAATCAAGATTCAATCGTACCTTATTGTTACAGGAAACCATCAGAGCCACTTGAGAGCAGCCCTCCAAACATGGTAATGTATAGATATTATTTTCATTTCTGCATTTTAGCTTTCATAAATTGATTTTTAGACTGTTTTTCTTTCTGTAGGAGCCTGATGACACTGAGCTGTACAGCTCACTCAATCAGAGAGAGATTGGACTTTACTCCACTCTTGAAATACACGTCTGCAACACAAACACAGATTAGAAAGTGTTTTAAATATTCTTTACTTTGTTTTTAATTTGATGCACATTTATGATCTGCAATTGTGCCTTTAGGAGAGAGGCCATCTCTTTATGAAGTAGGTAAAACTGTCCACAAGATGGCACTGTTTTGTTTTTTACTGTAAAGTTTCTACTCTCTGTTTGCATCCCTGTGTGGGTGTCACTGTAGCAGCAAATGTAGATCTATGTATTCTTCATATTAGTAGTGTGTAGTAATAAACTTTCTCTGTAGTTATGATGTAGAATAAACAAGCTATGTTACAAATAAAGCATTTAGCAAATTTTTGAAGTAGTTTGGTTTTGTTTTGACACAATTACATCAGAAAATAAGGTCACATTTATGTGTTTTGTAAAGCTCCTGAAAAGGCGTTAAGTTTGTGTTGATTTTGTCTTGTCATTGTGTTTGTCATAATTTTTTCCATTTTGGTATTTAAAGTTGAATTTAAGGCATTTGTATTAATTTTAGCAAAAATCTAACCACAGGAGCTTTAATCCTGTCTTAGTGTGTATAAGGGCAGGATACCTTCAGTTTCCTTGCAACAATAGAAAAGTGCGCTGTGTGAAAATGACACAGTGCTCTACTTGTTACAAGGGGGTGATATCATCATTTCATCGATCTGCAGAGACCACAGCGCTCTGCGTTCACCGCTCAAGCTCAGGCCTCTAAAAATACCACAGACACAAAAACATCTCTGTCAGTTTCGGCAGGTTGAACTTCCTCTTGACCTACAAATTCTCAAACTGAAGTAGATCAAGTTGACGTTGGTGAGACTCATTTCACACCAGAGCCAGAGAAACTAACAAGGAGAAGATGTTACCTTATGAAAGCAGAAGCTTCTGAAGGAGCGGTTCCTTCATAGACCAGAGGCTTCACAAGAGTTTGCAGCAGAATAATAGTGCAGTGAGTCTCCTTTCTGTGCAGTTTTTGGTGCATTTTTTCTTCAGTGTGCATCATTTTTCTTCTTGACCACGATGGCGAAATGGACAATGTGTTTGGTTATGATCCTGCTGATAGTTGAGGGGTCTTACGTTGAAGGTAATGTACAGAAACTACTTTTACTACCTCAAATAACATAGTATCTGGTCTCTTTTCAGTGTAAATAGAGACAAAATTTTATATCTGCAAGACGCAGGGATACACTGATGGTTTAAACAACAGAAAATCTTTTGTGGAGAAAAATAACTGGAGAACAAGAAAATGTAAAATACATTACAGTTGTTACTTAATGGCCCTTTCTGTTTGTTTGCAGAGACGATTGAAAAAACCATTTGGACAGATTCAGACATCACTCCACTGTGCGCCAACGACACGGTGGATTTCATCACTATATTAGTTTGTAAGATCAGAACAGAGAGAAATGGAGAAGGATGTCTTCTGAGCTATAAACATGACCATGCTGTTGAGCACAACTGCAGTTCTGGATATAGATTATTGACAGAGAATCAGACTGTGTCTCTTCATTTGATGAATTTGACCCCAGAAGACAGTGGAAACTACAGCTGTCAGTGTTCTCATTCTGGAGGGACATATATCAGACATCTGCGTCTCACAGTGAAAGGTAAATACTGATATTTGCTCTCATACTTTGTCTAAATTTAGGCCACTTTTATCATGGCTCTATGATACCCTGTTTGTTCTTAACTTTGTGTACTATTCCTGTGAACAAAGTTGAATGTCATGTTAACCATGCAGTGTTTTATTCAGGTCTTTTTACAAGCTTTGTGCTGTCACTCTCTAATTTTTTAAGTGGCAAACCATGTCAAGAGTCCCACACTCAGTCCACTTCCTACTCTGCTTGGTGTGACCACAATCATCATTGTCACTGGAATCATCCTTGGGTTTCTCTACAGGAGGATGTGTAACAGGTAAGAGATGACTGTAATGTTTGTGTGACCTCCTTTTGACTGGCTGCAAAGTAGCGGCTCAGTGGTTTTTTGTGCACGTATTGCAGGACAAAAAGAAACATGTTGTTTATAGCTTTAAGCCACTTCCTGTTGGTCTCAATGTTGTACCAAAACGAAAAAAACCCTCAAGGTTGTGCTGTTGTTCTACACGCTTGTGTGACATTGCCTGGTATGTTTATGCATGCAAAAGCTGATCTCCCTCCTGTCAGGTCAGGTTCAATTGCTCTTAAAAACTCTGTGACATTTGATTTTTAACTTTTGGTTAAAAATCTTGGAATAAAAATCAAGATTCAATCTTACCTTATTGTTACAGGAAACAAGCAGAACCACTCGAGAGCAGCCCTCCAAACATGGTAACGTACAGATATCATTTTCATTTCTGCATTTTAGCTTTCATAAACTACTGAAACTAGATTTCTCTTTCTGCAGGAGCCTGGTGACATTGAGCCGTACGGCACATTCATACAGAGAGAGAGCGGACTTTACTCCACTGTCAAAATACAAGTCTGCAACAAAATCGCAAATTAGATTAGTGAGTGTTGTAAATATTCTTTGCTTTGTTTTTAATTTGATGCACATTTATAATCTGCAATTGTGCCCTTAGGAGAGAAGCCACCTCTTTATGAAGTGGGTGAAACTATGCAAACTGTCCACAAGATGGCGCTGTCTTGCTTTGTACTGTAACGATATTCACTCTGTTTGCAGAGCATCCCTGTGTGGGTGTCACTATAGCAGCAAATGTACATAAACTGTATCCTTCATATTAGTAGTTTGTAGTAACAAACTCTCTCTGTCGTAATAATGTCGATATAACAAGCCATGTCATAAATAAAGCATTAAGCACATTTTTTTCAAGAGTTTGGGGTTTTATTTTGACACAATTACCTCAGAAAATAAGGTCACATTTATACGTAATAACAGGGACTTTCAGTTTGTGTTGATTTTGTCTTATAACTGCATTGGTCATGTTCTTTTCTAAATCTGTCCCGGCTTTATCCAGATAGTAAAATATATCACTCATCTAAAGAAAATAAAATCTGCATTTATGGGAAGTTTATTATTTTGACACCTAAAAAAAGAAAAGAGGCGGGGAATTTAAAAGAAAGGGAAAAAAAGAGTTATATCTATATGTACATTTATAGTATGTATGCATATATATTTTTTATTTTATTTTTTCTTTCTTAATTTCATTGATTTAGTTTTTGCTTTGTCCCTTTGTTTTGTCGCATTATTCTATTTACTTTTATCAGTTAGTATTACTTTGTTTAAATGTTATCTCTGTTAAAACAAGCACTCATACACACACACACTCACACACACAAAAAGTTAAACTGTTATCCTAGCTTCTGTCTGTCTTGTCTTGTCTCCACCATATGTTTTTTCAGTTCGTTGTCCCTCACCTGCGATGTTTTGTTTTGCATCACTTCATTAAAAAAATGATAATAACTTTCAAAAAAAAAAAAAAAATATATATATATATATATATATATATATAAGTTAGAAGTTAAAAATATCGGTTTTCAAAGGTCAATTTAAGGCAATCGTATTATTTTAAGCTAAATTCTCCTCACACGAGCGTTAACCCTGTGTCTAACTGTATGTAAGGGCATATCTCCATTAATGAAGGAAACCTAATGCTAAGGGCCTGTGTACACTTCTGTAGCTTCCTCTGCAGAGTTAAAAAATATAGTTAAAATATCTCAACTTCGAGGCACCGCCAGGCATATTAATGTCATTTTCTGAACATTGAGAATCAAGAAGGGGCGGGGCTACAGAGACCTACTCCTTCAATGACAATGGCTGATATCGTTTTTGAGAATCTAACCACACCTGCTTTTTACTGGACAAATTCCAGATCCAGAGCTGCTGCTATAAAAACATTAAACACATGTTCACTGAACGGAAATGAGGCTTTTCAAGGACTTGTTATCAGAGAAATCACTGCTGTGTTATTTTGTTCTCCTTGGAACTGCATTCCTCTTCCTTTGTGACAAAGACGGAGGGAAATCCCTTTGTTTTCATGAGAAACAAATCCTGTTTAGCTATTGTTCTCTTCCTCTGGTGTTCCCCTGTTAAATCTCTCTTTTATTTACAAAACAGCACAAACAGATCTCCTCCAAACACCACCCTGTTCGTCTTTGCTGAGAACCTTGGACTCTTTTAGCTTTTCTTAGCAGGTTTGTGGTCCGTCCAGGTCAGTAAGGAGGATGTTTTTCAGGTTAGATAGTGGAGATTCCCCCAGAATTTTAGAGGGAGTATTCAGGGAAATGATTCAGCTGATTGGGATGAGAATGAATTTCAGTTCCTCTCAGGATTTAAAAAGTAGTCTTTATGCAGCCAGCATACAAATTAAAACATGTTGAAACAGGGTTACTTTGACTGAGGGCGTTTTGACCTCCTGGACTTTGTTCAGCTGGATCAGCTGCTTCTATCTTAAAAGTTGGCATCGAGCCTTTCTTTTACTTTCTAGTTTACTCTGAAAAGCATAAATGAGCTGCTGAGATTCAGATTTCTGTCATTTGAGCTGCACCTGAGGGTACATGTGTTTTTGAACTCATACCTAATACAGAACAGCTGATGGATATTTTTGCATGATAGGGTTCTTGATAGAGTTTATGTACCTCCTGGTTTTGTAATTAAGTTTTATTTCCTGTGTATTTTCCCTCCTGTTTCTGTTCCCTGTTTTTCTCTTTTTCCCTGTGCTCAGGATTTTTATGTTCCTGTTGTTCTCACTGTTCTCACAGTTTGTTTTTGAGTTTAGTTTTCAGCGTTTCCTGTTTTATTTTGTAGCAGTCAGTCTCTGTGTATCTACTCTAGGGCCCAATTCCAAACTCCACCCTAAACCCTCAAGCCCTGCACCCTCATTAGCTTAGGTTAAGTCAGCTGGTAAGTGCTTGAGTGTGGGAGGGTTTAAGGGCTCCAAAAGGGTATAAAAGCAATGGAACAGCCCTTTGTGACGTGCCACATTACCTTGACGACAGACGACAACGTTGCCGTGACAATCAAAGATGCGACTGACACTTGCCTCTCTGGGCTCTTAATTCTGCGTTTATTTCGCGGCCAGCGACGTCGCAGAAGAAAGGCCAACATTGTTCCGCTCCTTTTGCACACACTTACTCTTGAACATAGACAACAGGTAATTGGTAAATAATGATTAGATTGATAAATTATAAAACCAGCATTAATGATAGGTGAAGTGATATTGAATGGTTAAAAGGTTGAAGCACTAGATTCTGAAAGTAATCACTGCTTAGAGTGTTAGTTCAGTATAAAATGTATTGATTCAGATAAAAGTTTGAAGTAAAAATCAATTTTATTTGTTACAAGAATAACGCATGCATGCATGTGTGTGTATATATGTATGTATATATACACACACACACACACACACACACACACACACACACACACATTTTTATACATATATATATATATATATATATATATATATATATATATATATACAAAATCTTATAACTATGTTAATGTAGTGCATTCTTGTTCATCTTGGCATTTTTTCACAGTATTAAGGGTGCACATAGATCCTGAATGAACTGCTTCTTCTTGAGCTTCTTCGCCATGATCTCCGTCATTTTTGGTGTCTGCCGCGGACGATGAGACGCTTGTGGCCTCGTTCCCTTTTAAATCCTGGCCCCGGCTGCGTCGGCGTCCTCCGGTAACGCCCACAACGCAATGAATTGTGGGCAATTTCATAGCCAAAGTCTCCAACGGTACGGACTTACGGAAAGGGTGCAGAAAGGGGCGTTCCCGAGCCCTCGCTGACTTACCGATTTCATTTGGAACAACCCTCAAGCCCTTACAGAGCTCACATGAGCGCGCACCTAAGTCAATGAGTCAGTGAGGGGGTGGTTTGGAATTGGGCCTAGCTTCACTTCTTGAGTTGTCCCTCCTTTGTTGATTAGTCACAAGTCTCTTGTCTACCTCACCTGCTGCTTGTCTTCCGCTCTTTCTTCGCTGCCTAATTGTCTAAGCCTTCCCATGTGTCCGTGCTGTTTTAGCAGTTTTTGTCGGACTTCTAAAGTAAGTTTTTGTTATTTTTAAGTTGACTCCTTGTTGGTAAAGTCTTTGCATGTGGGTCCTCTCGTTTCTTTTTACCTCCGCCAAGGAGGTTATGTTTTCGGTAGCGTTGGTTTGTTTGTTTGTTTGTCTGTTAGCAACTTTACGGAGAAAGTTACAGACGGATTGACCTGAAATTTTCACCAGAGGTGTGTCTCAGCCCCAGGAGGATCCCATTACATTTTGGTGGTGATCCGGATAAAATTCTGGATACCGTGATCCAGAACACACAAAAATAAGGGTGTCATTGGAATTTTCAATGCTGAAAGATAAGGAATGGGCGGCACAGTGGTGTAGATGGGCGGCACAGTGGTGTAGTGGTTAGCACTGTTGCCTCACAACCAGAAGGTCGTGGGTTTGAATCCTAGTCAGGGTATTTCTTGTTTTAGGAACATTATGAACAGTGAACATACCAGTTTAAACACAAATAAAAGTTCATAAAAGACACGTAACAGTAAAAGTTTTGGTGTGAATCACAATATAAGGGGGGACATGAGCTTTCAACAGCAGCAAAATAAATCGCAGATATATTCACCCAAACTGTTCAGAAAGTTCAGAGAGAGCACAACGATCTCTTCTTTTTTTAAGACATACTGCTGAGAAAGTTTGGCTTTTATTTTGATAGGACAGATTGAGGGTGAGACAGTAAATGCAGGAAGAGAGGGGAGGAGGTGGTTGAATAAAAAGGTTAATCTTAGTAGATAGAGGGCGTTCACCCTTCGAGATAAATAAACCGAGGTTATATTAGGCCAGAACATTTATACCGACTACAGCACTCTTAAAAGAGTTTTTACAAGTTCACATGAGTCTCTATTCTTGGCCCTATTCTCGTTTCACTGTATATGTTTCCTCTTAAGTCAATTATAGCCAGGCACAACCTTTCTTTTCATGTAGATGTATCTGCCAGTGAAGCCAAACAATGGCAGTGCGCAAAAGTCTTTGTTTGCTGGTATTGTTGATGTTAAGCAGTGGTTGGCTCCAAATTTCCCTCATTTAAATAAAGAGTGAATGTATTGTGTTTGGGGACACAGTGACAGCTCAGTTGAACTATCAGGAATCTAGGAGTAGGTTTTTGACAAACAAATTGATCATGTTGTCAGGATGAGTTTCTTCCAACTACGTCTCCTGGCCAAGGTCAAAATGTTTTTAAGCCACGACTTGAGATAACCTTCCATGCTCTAATCAGTTCAAGATTAGACGATTGTGATGCACTTTATGTTGGCAATCATCTCTTAAGGTTGAGGTTAAACTTGAGAAAATTCAACCGTGATGCGGAAAAATAAATACCGCAATATCGCAGGACGGGAAAACGTCGCTGATGTGAACGCTTGTATTGACAGGATACGGGTTCGAAAAAAATTATTGACATCTGAAATAATCGCATGAATAAAACGCCCCAGTGTGAAAGGACCTTAAGTCGCCTTCAACTTGTCCAACAGACGTGAGCACATCACTCTTGTCCTTAGCTCTCTTCGTTGGCTTCCCGTCTCTTTTAGGATTGATTTTAAACTCTTAATGTTTGTTTTTAAAGTTCTTAATGACCTCGCCCCCATCTATTTAACTGAGCTTTTAACCGGGTAGAGCTCTGAGGTCGTCAAGTCAACTTCTGCTGGAGGTCATAACACAAATAATGAGGTGACTGAGACTTTTCAGTTCCTGGTCCCAGGCTCTGGAATAAGCTCCTCACCGAAATGAGACTTATTTCCGACCTGGACCCGATTTTCAAATCCCGATTGAAAACATACTTATTTACACTCACTGGCCACTTTATTAGGTACACCTGTCCAACTGCTCGTTAACACTTAATTTCTAATCAGCCAATCACATGGCGGCAACTTAGTGCATTTAGGCATGTAGACATGGTCAAGACAATCTCCTGCAGTTCAAACCGAGCATCAGTATGGGGAAGAAAGGTGATTTGAGTGACTTTGAACGTGGCATGGTTGTTGGTGCCAGAAGGGCTGGTCTGAGTATTTCAGAAACTGCTGATCTACTGGGATTTTCACGCACAACCATCTCTAGGGTTTACAGAGAATGGTCCGAAAAAGAAAAAATATCCAGTGAGCGGCAGTTCTGTGGGCGGAAATGCCTTGTTGATGCCAGAGGTCAGAGGAGAATGGCCAGACTGGTTCGAGCTGATAGAAAGGCAACAGTGACTCAAATAACCACCCGTTACAACCAAGGTAGGCAGAAGAGCATCTCTGAACGCACAGTACGTCGAACTTTGAGGCAGATGGGCTACAGCAGCAGAAGACCACACCGGGTGCCACTCCTTTCAGCTAAGAACAGGAAACTGAGGCTACAATTTGCACAAGCTCATCGAAATTGGACAATAGAAGATTGGAAAACGTTGCCTGGTCTGATGAGTCTCGATTTCTGCTGCGACATTCGGATGGTAGGGTCAGAATTTGGCGTCAACAACATGAAAGCATGGATCCATCCTGCCTTGTATCAACGGTTCAGGCTGGTGGTGGTGGTGTCGTGGTGTGGGGAATGTTTTCTTGGCACTCTTTGGGCCCCTTGGTACCAATTGAGCATCGTTGCAACGCCACAGCCTACCTGAGTATTGTTGCTGACCATGTCCATCCCTTTATGACCACAATGTACCCAACTTCTGATGGCTACTTTCAGCAGGATAATGCGCCATGTCATAAAGCTGGAATCATCTCAGACTGGTTTCTTGAACATGACAATGAGTTCACTGTACTCAAATGGCCTCCACAGTCACCAGATCTCAATCCAATAGAGCATCTTTGGGATGTGGTGGAACGGGAGATTCGCATCATGGATGTGCAGCCGACAAATCTGCGGCAACTGTGTGATGCCATCATGTCAATATGGACCAAGCTCTCTGAGGAATGCTTCCAGCACCTTGTTGAATCTATGCCACGAAGAATTGAGGCAGTTCTGAAGGCAAAAGGGGGTCCAACCCGTTACTAGCATGGTGTACCTAATAAAGTGGCCGGTGAGTGTATGTTGGCTTTTAATACCCAGTAGTGTGGTGACACATTTTATTGCATTTTATTTCATTCTTTTTTATTGCTTTTATTGTTTTTATTTAGGGTTGTTGTAAAGGGCTGGATAAATAAAAACATTTACATTTGAGGAAGTTTTCTCAAGTTTTACAGACGGTGAATAAACTGCAGCTGTTTTGCAGCTGTCACCAGACTGTGACTATCAACAGCTTATGCACCAAGTCTAATTTAGATAACTCAGACGTAGCCTGAAATAGTTCACATTTGTGTTTGATTCTTGATCGAGGTAGCTGAACCGCAAGCCAAGCTGTGCGCTGGGCTTCGGTGTAAGATGACACGCTTCTGCTGCCAGGTAACCCGGGTACTTTCCTGAAAGGGATTTGTTTAAACACACACACACGTATAAATGTCAAGCCCATTTACACAAAAATGATACTTTCAGTTATAGCTGCGTAATCCTAATTTGTCCCTCTTCAGGTGTGTCACCTGTTGAGTCTTTCATTAATGGGTAAATGGAAGTGATCATGATTAATGAGTCGTCTGAAAACATTGATGAACTGCAGTAACCTCCATCTCCGTTTGGTTTAACAACCAGGTTCTTTCCAGCTGAACTTCCCTGTATTTTGTTTGTAAACAAGACTCTGGTCATATGATAGTAGAGCTTGTATAATGAGCTAGCAAACCAACAGAGGCATGATTGATCACGTTGAGGGTTCGAGTCCCATCTGATGTTCCTCCTAGGACCCCTGCTGTGCTCTGTGGTGATGCAATCACAGGAATGACTCAGGGATGTACAGTCACCACATAAGATTGCAATTACAGAAAATACTATGAGAGTTACACTTTCAATATAAGTGTTTCATTATCACCAACATTCCCTACCCCAGGATATGACTGAATATGGTCAAAATGGTTTATTACATTTATATTGAAGTGTTGTGACATGATTTACCCAGAATCTCCTCGAACGATGAGTAAAGCCTGAAGGATGAAGAAGTTCCTCTTTGATAAGATTGTTCAAGTTAAGGATGTTTAGGGTTAGGGTCGTCATACAAGATTGGAGCCCTGACAGGGTGAGCAGGACCCTAAATATCACCTCACGTCTATAAAGATCATGAAGTAGCACAATCCTGATTTTATTGTAATATTTATGGAAAACTTGACAATAAAACACAATTGGTCAAACTGAGGAAAGTCAAGACAATAATGGAGCAAGACATTACTTTACCGACACTTCTATTTTTATATAATCTCTGTTTTAAATGTTGGTTGCTTTTATTTTGAAGTGTCGCACTTCTGGTAGATCGTACATTATCGAAGTGAATGAAAACATTCAACAAAAAACTCATTCACTGATTCACCATATGTTCTGGCCAGTCAGTTTATCATCTCTAACCCGGGATTTCCACCGCATCCAGAACGGTTCTGATCCGGAACGGCAGCAATTTTCGCCGTCCGCTAATTCCTACCTGATCCGTTTATGAGGCGAATTTCATGGCGGATTACAGACAGCAGGAATCGCAAGAACTCCAAAGAACCGGCGGATTCATGTGCAATTGTGCGATATCAAGTTGTCTTTCGCCACAGAGGCTAACCATATAAGCAGTAGATTGTGACCTTCCAGAGGAGGAAATCTACTTCTAGACTTCTAGAATCAGCATCTCCTCATCCATGGTGTCATCGGGGTGAAATACTGTCTATAAACCTTTCACTTGTTCGTCCCCGCCCATTTGCATGGTGTGAAATACGATCCGCCTGAAGCACAGATGTTTTCTTTTGTGTCTGTACCCGACTTCTTTCCAGCACGGGTTAATCTGTGCTGAATTTATCCGGCATTCTCTGGCATCCGGAAAAATAGAACTCTTGCTATCAGCTGCGGAGTCCGGTGATCCGAAGCGGAACGAAAAGAAGCCGGTGGAAATCAACACATGAACTTAAATGGTTACGATCAGCTAAGATCGGCGGATACAGCGTTTTTGTTGCCATTCCGGATACGGGGGAAATTGCCAGTAAGGGCTGCTATAGCTAGCTCTCTAGCAGCAGCTGCTGCTTCTTCTTTATCTGGACCTCTACAGTGAGCTCATGGTTTTACTAAACTTTTAGCACAATATCAGTATTTCATTTGTTTGAAAATACAGTTATGAGTTCTGGTATATTCCAGCAGATCACAATTCGTATGACAACTGTATCCCTGGCAACGGTCTGTTCTTCATAGCAACAGTCTGCTACTAAGAAATAGTACTGATATTAGCTTTAACATGATACTTCAGGGGTTTTTCTGTTGTTTGATGTGTTTTAAACAAAAAGTGATATGACAAGGCCAAGGACTTTCCTCACTTTTCTCCTCTTCTTTACTTTGACAGTATCATTAGGTCATAATCAGTTTAGTACTGTACAAAGTAAATAAACCCAGTGGAGAGTTAGTGCTGCTGACAAGACTCTTCAATCTAAAACAAGCACAGGTTTGGTGGGTGACTTTCAGCACACTCGTCACAGGCAGTGGGTCTTCCTCACAGCTGTCTCAGTTTCGTGAGCTACACAAGCTACACGCCCTAAAATAGATCAAACTTGAGAGAGCTCTACAGCTGCACGGAAACTGCATGTTGCTTAGCAGCATCTGCCATCAGTGTATGAAAGCACTTTGAGTGATCGGCAATATTTATTTTGCCAGATTACCCCTCTATCCCATGATGGCCCATGATGGATGGAGACAAAGGACTCAAACCAAGCAATAAATGTTTTCTGTTTGATTTATATCCCATAATAAATGGGAAACATTTGCAGTTAGTGGCTGGAAACCACTCTGAAACCAATGTGGTACAACAGAGAGCAGACAAATTTATAGATTTATGGTGGGAGATGCTGAAATGGGCCCATTATGAGATGTTATTACATCTAAGAGGGCTGGATCTGAATACACCCAGGAGGATGGGAGGATTCGAACAGTCTCTGCTGTTCTGAGAACCATGAAATCACATGAGTGTAGAGAAACTGTGATCTTAAACCTGGTGGACTTTCCAAGCTTAAGGTGAGATCTCAGTGGTGAGAAGCATGTTAGATTTAAAAAGTTTACTATTACACACACTTATGGGAATCAGACCGAGTAGACTGGTGGGAAATATAATCACACACAATCTTGAATCACCAAAGCCATTTGAGACCGTAACTTCTGCTTTTTTTATGACAATCTGAGAGTACTGAATGTGTAAATCCAGTAGATGTGCAGAAGTAAGAAGTAGTTATATTAACAAGCGACAAGGTTCAGTTTAGCCTCAAGGCTGAGACTAATTTCACCGATGATGCAACCATTTTACACCATAAATGTTCAGCCAGAATATATAAAGTTCATAGTAATGTGGCCAATGTTTATATCCTGTAACAAAAATACCAATATCAATGTAATTACCGTGGCTTTATCTTGTGCTGATCTGTCAGTCTTGTGCTGGCAGTGGCGTCAGAGAAATTCCCCGCCCCTCCCTCTCAGCTATTTAAACGCCTGCCTGAATCAAAACAGAAAGTGTCTCCTCTACTGCAGTTCAGCAAAATGCTGTGCACCTTCATACTGACTCTCCTGCTGTTTAAAGGTAAGAGGCGTGACACCCTCTGCTATTTTTAAAAATCAGCTATGTGGTTCTTCTTGTAGTCAACAGAGAGAGCAGCATGTATCTGTTGTTGTATTGTCATACATCATATTTTGAACTTTACCTCTTTGTAGAAATGCTGGTTTAATCAGGAATAACATAGAAGTCCTGCGATTTTAGGGGTGTGGTGCATGTTGAGGTTTTTGCCAATGTCAGGTTGTGGATCAGTCAGAGTTTGTTTCTCCAATATATGAGGACAAAATGATATCAGGCTTCATGGAGGTTGTTAACTAACAATGTAACCTAGCACCCAACTTGTACACAAACACAAGGCCACGCAGCAAGTCTATCTCTGGCTTTAAAGTTTCAGTTCTCAGATAACCCCATCATTTGTTTAGCCACTCTTACAATCATAAGCTATGGTCTGCTGTTTTTACTGATGTTACAGTCGACTATTTGGGATCTGCTAACAGGCTGTAAATCACTGTCTTTGTACTAAAAGTCTCACTTTTTATTTTTACCTTTAATCGTCAAGTAAGATTTACATCTTTGGGTTTTTAAAAATAGTTTGAAACATATTAAGGTTAGAAGTTTTGCATTATTTAAGGTATGGCTGACTTGACTGAGAGGTAGGCGCACTAGCCAAAGGCCAACCTGTCAATTGAACTATTGATAAGATAAACGAGTAAGGCTGAGTCTGCATTTTAAATACAGAAACCACTATTTCTAGACATTTAAACTCTGCATTAGAAACCAATTGGTGACGTTATATATCATGATACTCAAAGGATAGTTGTTCAAGTAGATACCCTGGCCACCCCTGCCTGTGTCAGTGCCGCAGCTGGGCCACCCCAGTCTAAAAGGTCCGGGCACACCCCTGGTCAGGCACCATCATAGAGCACATTTTCCTATATACTGCTCTTAATGACGCGCAGTGTCTTTATTTTTAGCCTCAGTCTCCGAGATCACCATGCATGGAGAGAGAACAGCTGATTATGGCAGGAGTGTGCTTTACAGCTGTGCAGTGGATGACTCAACAGGTAAGACCAACACTTTCTCTTTTCTTTCAGATCAATGCAAAGAGGGGTACGGAGGTCTATTACTGCCAAGTCACTAACGGAGAATAAATAGTAAAAATGTGAGATTAAAATGTGCTGATCTTTATCACAGTTTTGGTATTAAAAATTACAATAAAAGGTAAAAAGTCAATGATTTACTTCACTATTTACACAAAATATTCACAATAAAATATACATTTCACTGTCAATAGTCAGTTGGATGAGATTTTAAAGGACAAAATATGCAAAAACTGTTTGTCCACATGCATCACCAAAATTCACACAGATTAAATGTTCTTCACAGGAGTTTAAAATAAGTTAAACTTCTGAGATTGAAATAAAAATCATGAGATAAAAGTGCAAATTTTTGGAGATAAGGTAGTTATTTTGATAATTTTACATAGAAATAGTTCATAGTTTTTATTTGAATTAAAAATATATAAGAGAATATCTCGTGATTTTGTTGTAAAATGTAAAAAAGAACACATAATGTGAAAAAAGTCACAACAAGTCTGAGATGAGATTAATACATCTTTGTTGGGTCATAAATTGAAATTAACATAGAAAAATTTAAAAAGACTAGATATGTATCAGTAACTTTGACATAATAGTTCATAATTACCAGATAAACTCCATTAAGTTTCATTTCTTAATTAGTTTAAAGTTTCACATTCATTTTTCTTACTGGCATTAACAGGCTTCCGTAGAATATTCATTACTCTGCTCTATAATGATCATGCCACTCTGAATTTACTCTAAATACTGACTTTGTGTTTGTCTTTGTCCTCCAGGTGTGCTTCAGATCACCTGGCAGAGACTTGTAAAAGACTCCATGGAGAATTTAGCCACTTTTAGTAAAAGATTTGGCAAACAAGTAAATGAACCTTACAGCGGGAAGGTGGTCTTCACAGAGGCGTCTTTAAACTCGACATCCATCACTGTCAAAAACGTGACATGGGAAGACAGCGGGTGTTATATCTGCTCTTTTAATGTTTATCCTGCTGGGTCCCAAAGGAAGCAGATTTGTCTCACAGTACAAGGTAAATGGCTGAACTTGGATTTCTTTAAATACAGGTGTTTATTAACCCCAGATTAACCTCATTTAATGTTAATTTTCCTCCTGTCTCCATGAAGGAATATCAGAGATAAAAACAAAAGTACATCCTACCAGCACTGAACACGTAGTCGAAGAAGACGACGAGGAGGTTGTTGTTGTTACCTGCTCTGCAACAGGTAAACCAGCTCCCACCATCCAGTGGGCCGTCCCCGCTGACGCCACGCAATTAGACACACCAAAGCCTGCTTCAGTCCAAAACAGAGACAGGACATTTACCAGCAGCAGCAACATCACCCTGCAGGTCTCCTCAGACTGGAACGGATACGTGGACTGTCTGCTGAACAAAGATCTGAAGGGACAAAGACAGGAGAGGATTATTGTTGGTGATGGAAAAGTGCCAACCAATGAAGAGACAGGTATGCACTCAATCCCTCACTCTAAATCATTATAATGTGTGGTGACGGCTATGGAGGCCCATCACTGCCAGCACAAGAAAAGACAACAAGACACTTTTATGAAATCTTTCCAAAGTGTTTGGGAGATAAAAAGGTCCAATAATTTAACTGGACTGAAGAAGTAAGTCATGGTTTAGTGAAAAAAGGTCAAATTAAAGACTTAAACAGTCTTACAATTGAGAAAAAAAGTCTAAATTAAGGAAAATAGGTAATTATCAAGAAAATGGATGGTCAAAACTATGATAAAGTTAGTCACCAATTGGACAAAAAAGGTTAAAATTACTAGAGAGAGGTAAATTTATGAGATAAAAGGTCACAATAATAAAATAAAGTCAATATTATAGACCTTTGCTATTGTAAAAATAGTTTTTCATGAAGATGAGTTTATTGGATTTAAGAGGATAAAGTCAAAATTATGAAAAAGTAAGTCATTATTTAAAGGAAAGAGTCAAACTTTTGAAAACTTGGTTAAACCAGAAGATAAAAACATATTAAAATGAGGCAAAGGGTGATAATTCAAGTTTGAAATATGAAAAAAAGTCAAAGTTTGGGATTAAAAAGTCTCAACCAGGTGAAATTTCAAATTTAATATCTAAAAAAAAGTTTAAGTTGTGAGATTATCGTTAAATTTCCTTCAAAAAAGTCAAATTTGAGGCACAAACATGACTTAATTCTGAGGGAAAAAAATATAAAAGTGTTTTAAAAAGTCAAATTTTCAGAATAAAAGCCCTCAAGAGTGAGCCAAAGTAAGCTGATTACGAAATTAAAAATCATTATTATGTCTCAGATCTGAAATTGAAAAAGTGAAAAATTCTGTGACAGTATGTCATAATTTTAAGATTAAGTTGTAAATATGCACAATTAGTTATAATTCTGAAATAAAATATAAAGTCATAAGATGTAAAGTATGAAATATGAGGCACTTTTTCATCAGATAGTAAGTATTAGTAAAAAGATAAAACTGTCATAATTGAAATAGATAAAAAGTAAGAATTCACACCACAGTAAAACATTTTTACATATTTAACTTTGTCATAGTTTTGACTTTCGGCTCATAATCATGATGTACTTTCCTCATAGATTTTTCTTTCCCCCCTTTGAGAGAGACTTTCAGACTAACTCAAATGATTTTCTGAAGTTAATTTGCATCCATACTTGAGGTGCTGCTGGGTTTATTTGTGCCTGGAGTGTTTCTCAGAAGAACTTTCTTTACAAACTTTACCAGGAAGTTTACCTCTTACTCTAACTGGAAGTGAAGCCACACTGAACGTTCTTGTTATTAAAGTGTGAACACCAGCTAGTGACGGGAACAGCTGATGTTTGTGTATCAGGAAGAGTATTTACAGTCACCTTATTTAACATTTAAATATTTACTTCTGTAAAACACACACCCAGGAGTAGAAACAACATCAGTCAGTCACTTTAAAGGTCACCTGATCACATAATAGTGGGATTTAATCATCATCTTAATGACATATTAATAAGCTATTAGGAGATTTAACCCTAATTAGGAATGAAGAGTCACGTTTTAAATAAGAAGGTTAAAATTAGAATAATGATTGAGAGGTAGTTAATTTTAATAATGAGATAAAAAGCCAATTATTCCAATTAAAGTTATAATTATGAGGTACAAAGATGCAATAATGAAATAGAAATTAAAATTATGATCAGAAAGTCATTTTTAGGAGATTTAAATGAATAAATATGACAAAATAATTGATTTTTATGAGGCAGGTCATCAAACTGAAGAAGATTAAAATGGGAATTATTGGACAAAAATGCAAATTTATGAGACACTACCTCGTGTTTTTTTTAATTTTATATTATAATCTTATCACTTTTCCAAATTTGGATGCACTTTAAAACAACTTGTACTTTTGCCTCACCAGTCAGTATAATAAAAAGTCAAGAGTTGAAGAAAACTTTAGTCTAGGGTCAAAAAAAAAGAGAAAATTACCTTATTTTTATAATGTCTATTTTTACATCAGTAAGATATTGTATTTTTTTGTACTGAATGAGAAGTGTGTCATAATTTTCTCATTAAAAGTCATTTAAAAAAGATTAAAAGTCATGACTGTGACATAAAATTTTGAGAAAAAATCCACAGAAATGACACAAATACTGTTTAAAAAGTCACAACTTTGTGATTGATAAGTCCTTATTTTCAAAATTTCATAACTGTTTCAGTTTTGTTAATACAATAAGCTTTTTAAAAATCTGACGTCACATCTAACCACGAGTTCCTTATCAATAAATCAATTCATTGTGCATACTGCACGCACTTATCTGGGATCCAGGGAAGCCCCTGATATCCACAAAGCCTGCAGAGCCTGTGAACCACATCAGACTCAGGAGGACATATCAGCTGGCAGTAGCGTCACAACACAGAATAGTTTCACTTTCATTTCAAGTTAAAGTTTCTTTTCTGGAAAAGAAAAACACATCAAAGCTCAGTGAGGTCATATGACACACAGGGGGCGGTCAAGTGTTAAAGTGATGAGTACATTCTGACTGTAAAATTTTCCCATCTTCCTCTTTCTAGGGTAATTGTTTGACGTCTTCCTAGATCAAACTGACCATGTGTGGTTTTTTTTTTCTCCTTACAGTAAAACAATTGTCTAAATCAGGAATCGCCCTTGTGGTCAGTTCTACTTTATTTGTCGCCTTTATCATTTTTGCTGTCGCACTAAAGCGGAAAAGGTGATTTTTCATTTTTTTATCACTCAATCTGACTCACTCTTTGTCCTTTAGTTCATTTAATCTTATCTTTCCCTTTTATTTTGGTCCACAGGTTAAAGAGCAACAGAAGGAATCTTAATGTTTGAGTGATCTTTGACCTCGCAGAAGGCCGTCCTATCACAGCAGACTTTTGGAGCATTAAAGTGTTGTATCAGTCTTCTTCTTTCCCTTTTATAAGTGCAGCGACAGTGCAGCAAATTAAGCTAAAAGTCAAAAAACAGTGTTACCTACTTCATGACTAATTTATATTTATCTTAAACTGCAATTCCCAGCAGCACTTTATTTTGAAATGTGTACCTTCTATCAGGTTTAGGCTTTACAGGCTGAAAATCTTCCATCAATAAACATGCTGTTGGCATTGCAGGTGAAGTATCACACAGGAATTTGAAGTAGTTGATGTCATCTAGCGGCTGCATCAAGAAGTGCAATGAGAAGAGTTGGCACCGAGTTACTCAAACATGCGGATTACTGTGAAGACAAACCATTTTGCTTTGGCAATCAGAGTGGATCAAAGAAAGTCAAAGAAAGATGCAACAGCGCCATCTAGTGTCCTTTTCCGGGCACAGAAGAATCAGGATCAGGGGCCAGATCACTATTTTACTCACCGGTGAATGTATCGCAATTTCTTTTTTGCACATGAAATCTGCACTTTTCTTTCAATATAGTTATTTAATATATTATGTCACATGTAATGTGAAATTTTTATTTATTTATTTCGATTATAGATTTTAATATGAAATGTTTGTGTGTAAGTCAAGCTGTAAGACGTACTTACTGATTGCTTGTTATTGTTTTAATAGTCTTATAAATGTGGATAATACTTTGTCTAACTTGTGAACAAATCTCTGTCAATGTGCAATATAAGATTGTTTTGTTCAACATGACTGACTTCCACTTCACAATTATGTGCTACTTTGTGTTGGTCTATGACAAAAAAAAATCTCAATAAAATACCTTTAAGTTTGTGGTTGTAGAGTGACAAAATGTGAAAAAGTTCAAGGGGTATGGTCCCGACAGTCTCTTCACCAAAAAAGTGAAAAAATAAGTAGTTTTCCACTTTGTATAGTGGCAACTCAAGGTAGTTTCTGTACTTTTTGAACCGAGTGATGTAGGCGCGCTCCCGTTAGGGGGTGCATACGGCGGGGATGCTTTCTACGGCACAACACCGGACCAAGAAGACGGGCGTATAACGCGTACCCAACCGGCCAATGCAGCGTCCTCTCCGTTACTACGTCCATTGAGCCACCCCACTTTCACTTTACTTGAGAGTAGGATTGATAACATGGCAGAAGAAATGTCTCTCTATGGAATTATACTTCTCCTTTCTGCACTGGGGATAATTCAAGAGGGTAAGGAAAACTTCAATCTGTGTTTTTGAGTTTCTTTGAGCCGGACGAAGCTGCGCGTCTGTGCTTTTTAAGTCACGTTTTTTCGCGCCTTGATTTGGGCGGTTCCGTGTTACATGTTTAGCGTTACACTAAAAACAACGTTGAAATTGTTTGCTGCTGTATTTTCTCCTACATTATAACTCGAAGACAGCGGTGATATTACAGCTAATTTCTGCCATCTGTGCGTAAAAAAAAAGGCTAAAATGCTTTTCCGGTTGGGTAACTCAAAACACTGCACGGATTTACCAACGAGAGTTTGATTAACATGTTGAAAGTATTTGTTTTTTCCGGTTTGAGAGGCCTGCATTGCGAAATGGCAGCCTAATGTCTGTTAAATGATATTTGCTCGGGTTAGAAAATTGCTTTCACCATTTTGAATGTATTTAGAGGCTGAGCAGAGGTTTATGATAATTTAGACCCTGAAATAAATGTTATTAACTCAAACAAAGTGCTGTATGATCATCAGTTTTCTTCAGACTTTTAATAAACCTTTTGCAGGGCTCTCAAGTTTTGAACTAAGCTTAGAGTGAGATTCCCTTGGGGTGGGGGTGGGGGAGTGATTGAAGATAATTATTAGTATAATAATCTAATAAATACAATGGAGTATGAGGGCCACATTAAGAAAGAAAAAAACATTTTTAAATCTTTGAGATTAAAGTTATTATTTAGGAGAATAAAGTCATTAATGACTTTAAGAATAAAGTAGTAAAGTTACCTGTTGTGGAGGAGAGTTGTTAAAATCAGCACTGAGGAGCATTTAGATGAATTGTACTTTAGTATAGGTTTCACAGACATGGAGATACTTAATCCTTTGGTATATCAGCATTACACTGTCACGAGTATCAGAACTTTAAAAAGAATATATGAGAAATGCTGCTTTTGTGGAGGGGAAATGGCTGTACAGAGGCTAAATTCATCAATGCAGCTGTTAATAGCAATAGCATAGGGCTTTAGTTTATCATATGAGTTTATCTGCCATGAGGTGTTGAGGTCTCTGCATGTGTAGGTTACTGACTTACTGTAATCATCGGGTCTATCTCGTCCTTATAAAAACCTGCTCTATTTTGGCGAGTGTCTGTCTTCTTCTGTAGTCAAACCGCAAGATATCAAAATCCATCCGGATACAGCAATGCTGCTTTTTGATTGGCTGTTCAGTAGATATACTTTATTTGATTGGCTTGCGCGTGGCACGCAGCTTCTGAACTCTCGGAGAAACTCCGTTGATTTCTACCTGTTCCATAGTTAAAGAGGTGCAACTTGGTGGACATCACCATGTTCATTTAAATGCGTGAGAAATACAATGTGTGGCGTGTGAGCGTGTGAACAGGTGGGAATGCGTGTGTCTCACGCTGAATGCGTGAGACTTGAGAGCCCTGCTTTTGAAAGACCTTTAGTTAACAACTTATCCTTTGCAAACTGACCACAATGTGAGCTTTTGTCACCTGCAGGTCGAACATTGATACAGACACAGTCAGAAGGGTCTGCCAGGTTAGGAGACCAGGTGGACTTTAACTGCCAGCTAACACAGCCTGAGGATGGTGACCAGAAGATTTCACCCCCTTTAGATCCGATTGTAAATCTCAGTGGATTTAAGGGTGACTGTGGACACGAGGACAGTCACATAGTGATGAGGAAGCTGACAGAGCAGGATGAAGGATGCTATAAATGTATGTCCAACTCCCACCCAGATGGTGCTTCATCTGGTCCCACCTGTGTCAGACCCTTCGGTAAGAAGAAGACTTATTTTTAAAGCTTATTTTGCAAGACAATCATAGATAATTCTCTATTTTGTCTTAATTTAGCTGTTTCAGAGCTGTATGGACCTGTTCTTCTCGCCAGAGGCCCGAACTCCACTGTAGATGTGGTTGTTTCCTGCACAGTCTCAGGTAAACCTCATCCCTCTTTGGAAATCACATTCCCTCATCAAGGCCTGCGCTTAGGAAGAATCATCGACCACTGCGTCTTTAACAACGACAGCTCAGCGACGTTCACCATGACGGCAATGATGACTCGCCTCCATCAGAACAGCACAGTGGTTGGATGTGCAGCTCAGGTGTCCTCTCTTCCTGAGAAAAAATCTTACAGGGTGTTTTTGGAGGTGAAACAACCCCCTGCTGATGATGGTAAGAAAATATGTCAAGAGCCACAGATGAACAGGTTGATAAACACTTTCTGGTTTTAAAGCTTTTTTTGTTTTTCCAGCTCTCAAAGAGGAATCTGAAGAGGATAACATCAGTCACGGTAAGTCACTGTTCAGTATTCTTGCTGTCTTGATTGTTGACTGTGTGGTCTTCATGTTTCTCCTGTCTTCTTTATCTCAAAGGGGAACCTGAAGTGGGTAACATCAGTAACAGTAAGTCACTGTTCAGTATTCTAGCTGTCTTGATTGTTGACTGTGTGGTCTTCATGTTTCTCCTGTCTTCTTTTTCTCAAAGGCAGGACTCTGATCATTGTGTTAGTTGTGTTGGCGATCCTCATTGGTTTGTCCGTGGCCCTCTTTTTCCTGTATAAATTTAAAAAACAGACCAGGTACTTTTTTTTTAATCTCTTGTGTCTTGGTGTTTGAACCTTGGGGTTTTTCAAGGTTCTAACTATTCTGAAATCCTTCAGTCTGCCACATGTGAGCCATCAGATTGTTGAGACCAGTTGAGCTGCAGACAGAGACCCTTAGAGGTGAGAAATGCTTAGATTTCACGTTTTTCTTTCTCTTGAATATCAGTATTTGTTGTTTCATATATCTTGGTTTTATGACTCAAATATTGAGGATTAAAGTCGATGTTTGTTTACTTTGTCAAGGGCTGAAGCATCAATGGAAGACAACATTCAGATCAGATTTCGATCATCACCTCTGAAGTTGATGTGAGTCCACCACCTCTAACTCCCAGGAGACTGTGGGAATAACAAGATCAACTTTTTGAAAAACCAAAACAAGATTATGAATCTTCTGTTTAATAACCAGTTTAGAGTCGTCATTTATGAAATGCTGTATCTTCTCCTTGAACAAGCTGTGCCTTAGCTAATCTAAATTCATGTGATGTGCTGAAACCCCAGATCACTTTTTTTCATAATTGAAGTTTTTGTTTAACCTCTATATATTTAACATTATACAGAAGATATCAAACTTCAGCACAAACAAAACAACCATATTTATCTTAATTACACATACCAAAAACAAAATACGCATATATATTCACACATAACCCAACCCATAAGTAGGGTTGGGTATCGTTTGATTTTGAACGATTCCGATACCGATTTCGATTCCTCGTTTCAATTCCGATTCCTATCGATTCTTTTTTTCGATTCTTTTAAAAGGCAGGATATCCAAAAAAAAAATGCATGGTTTGAATGAGGGTGCTAACCGGAGCTCTTCTTCTTCTACCTCTTCTAACTTTTTAAGAACTTTACTATGAATTTCTCACAGGGCTATTTACATAGAGGTGTACTTGGGTATATAAACTGTACAGTAAGCTGTCAAGGTGGAGAACATTATATTTTCGGGACAGTAAATATTCAGAATCAGAGGGCTATTGTTTCGGCTTATCTGAATAGTCTGAACGCAATCATTAAAGGCACATGCTGAAGATTCCGTTCAACGGTACGAAAAACCTGGACTGTTTCGCCTTGTTATGTACTTTCAACCGCGCTCCTGGCAGGGGTGCATTCTACGGCACAACACCGGAGAAGCGTGTCAAAGACGAGCACTCGGGTATTTCTCCTCCATGAATCCTCAGGTGTTTAATCATGTTGGTCGTTTACCCTCCTTTGCATGATATAACTGTATTGCTAATGTTGCACTGAGATAAGAGTTCGTTCTTGCTGCTAAAGTTAGCCAAACTTTTGACCAACATAGAAGACGCCGCGTAATACCAATGAGGACGGAGCATATGAGACGAAGCCACACAGAAAGAGAAGAGAGACAGAGAGAGAAAGTACATTGCAACCCACAGCAATGCCGCTGTGGGTTACAATGCACTCTCTCTCTCGAGAAGGATGGTTGTTCTGGTTGAGCTTTTCCAAGCCACCCCCCTAACTTTCCTATAACCTCTTTCCGGAAAGGAAAAAATCAATGAGCACACCCACAGTGAGTGCACCTCCCTGTGTGTTACACTTCCAACAAAGGTTATTCTGTATCAAGCCCATTTCATGGAGTCTTACTGGCGTAAAATAGTATCTATGAATAATTTTATAATGTGTTAATTTACCTTGGGCATTATTGTGATTGCCAGAGGTTCTAGGAATAAAATCACCAATAAAAGTGATATCCCGGATCACTTCTGAAATAAGGTCTGTACGGGAAGCACCCTGAGGCCCGATCGAATGGCCTTATATCTGGTGAGGTTTTAAGACACCAATAGAAAGACAACACCTGATGGCTGAGCTCATCAGGGAGGGGCTTCGCCTCATTAGCCCTGCCCAGGCACCATTAGAAACAAGGTGTGATCAGGCATGTTCAAACTTGTCCAGGGGATTGGTAGTGTAATAAGAAGTGAATGCCTATTGTGAAATGCTGTATAAGAAGGCGATTTTCTTTGTTTCCTCAGTCTGGATTCTGCAGATTTCAATCTCACTGACTTTGTTCATTTGCATGCTGAATAAAGTAACTTGGATGCACCATGGACAGTCTCATCTCCTGATTTGAGTCAGACTACTGATTTCTTCATCGATCGAAGGTTCTACACTTAGACTTAGACAAGCCAACAACAAAGCTAGGAGTGTCTAGTGTAGAGCTCAGCAGAGGTCAAGATCCCCCTGAGGGACAGCTCCTGCAGCCATCACTGGGAGAATTGAGACACGTCATTTGACGCAGCCAGCCATGAGGGGTGACAAGCCACCGTGATCAGCAGGGACGAGATCGGCACCTGCTCCTCCAGACACCAGGCCTACAAAATTTAAGGTAATTGGCCGGCAGTCTGCTCAGGGTCACCGCACTCACAGGCCGCACTGTCCATGAGGCCCCACTTCCTCGTTGATGTTTTAAAGTGACCAACCCCAGTTCTTAGGCAGTTCAATGTTGTCCATTGTTGGTGTGGTAGGTCGTCTCCTCCTATAGCGCCACCTCCTGGGTCCCAAGTGTAACGATGGATGCGAGAGGGCCCATCTGACTGCCACTCCTGCTTCCAAGCTGCTGCCAGCCAAGCATCTCTGGAGATGTCCTCAGAGGTAAAACTGAGCATCTCTTGCACTGCCTTGTAGGGGTGGCGGGATTTGAGTCTGCTTGGTGCTGCTGTTGTTGTGCAGGATGTGCCAATCATGCCTTTGTGCCTTCCTGGCCAGGGCAAGGGTGACAGCCTCCTGTCAGAGGCCAGCTGGGGCTATTCATGGGAGGAGCCATTGTAACACATGAATATTCTTTGGTATAAACCATTCCATTGAAGCTCTGGCTTTATGTTTAGGGTCATCGTCTTGCTGGAAGGTGAATCTCTTTCCCAGTCTCAGTCAACAGGTTTTCTTCCAGGATTGCCCTGTATTTCGCTCCATCCATCCATCCTCCCATCAACTTTGACCAGCTTCCCTGTCCTTGCTGAAGAAAAGAATCCCCACAACATGAAGCTGCCACCACCATGTTTCACAGTGCGGATGGTGTGTTCAGGGTGATGAGCAGTATTGCTTTTTCGCCACACATAGCGCTTTGCATTCAGGCCAGGAAGTTCATCTCTGGTCTCATCTGACCAGAGCACCTTCTTCCACATGTTTGCTGTGTCCCCTACATGGCTTGTGGCAAACTGCAAACGGGACTTTTTGTGTCTTTCTGTCAACTCTTCCATAAAGGCCAGATTTGTGGAGTACAGGACTTATAGTTGTCCTGTAGACAGATTCTCCCACCTGAGCTGTGGATTTCTGCAGCTCCTCCAGAGTGACCATGGACCTCTTGGCTGCTTCTCTTACCAATGCTCTCCTTGCTCGGTCTGTCAGTTTAGGAGCACGGTAGTGATGGGCACAGCAGTTCTTTTAGATGTACTAAATCACTAGAATCAGTTCACTAAAAAGATTCATTCATCGAATCACCGAATCATTCAGTGCTTGGCAGGAGGAGCCTGCGGCTTCCTAAAGTGATACGACGCTGAACGTTTCAGGATTCAGTTCAATTCAAAGCTTCCGGGACCGGGAGACGAGAGTGTTTGGCTGTGTTGCTTTGGCAAACAGGTTCATAAAAATGAACTTGTTTATAAGTCATGATGTTTTAAGTGTACTGTCCTTTGGTATGCTATTTATCAGGTCTGCTCGGTAAATTGGGCCCAGTGAGTGATTCGTTCACTGAACGTTTAGAAGAATTCACACTGAACATGAACCATTCCCTCGCAAACCGCTGCAATGATAGGGGTTAGGGGATGCTGTGGGTTTTATGCACTATTTGTTACATGCTGTGTCCTATTGTATGAAAGTTGTTGTGGTGGCAATTTAGCAGTAAAAAATAAAAAAAATAGTTTTGTCCAACAAAAATAATTCAATGTGTGATTCGTGATTCAGGCGTTGGTGCATGCGGTCCCTGGTTCACCGGCTGCTTGCCTGGCAATGCTGCGTGCTATAGCATCTGCCCTGCTGACAGCTCAACTGAAGTGAGAAACGAACAAATCACTTGAAGTGATTCGGTCCAGTAAGTTCACTTAAAAGATTTGGTTCTTTAGAATGAATCGTTGACGAATGACATGACACTAGTGGATGGCCATGTCTTGTTAGATTAGCAGTTGTGGCATACTTCTTAGTGTTGTGTCATTCGGGAATGATTCGTTAAAAAGAACCGAATCACTTGGTCAAGTGATTTGTTCACAACCATTGGGCAGTCCTCTTAAAATCTCATGATTTATAAACAAGTTCATTTTAACAAACTTGTTTGTCAAAGCAACACAGCTACAACACTCTTGTCTACCGGTCCCAGAAGCCGAGAATTGAACTGAATCCTGAACGTTTAGCTGTGTATTAGTTCAGGAAGTCGCAGGCTCCTCCCGCTAAGTGCTAAATGATTCAGTGATTCTGTGAATGAATCGTTTGAACGAAACCTTTGAACAAATCTTTTTAATGAACTGATTCCAGTGATTCAGTACATCTAAAAGAACTGCAGTGCCCATCACTAAACTTCTTGGATGATAGATTGAACAGTGCTCCTGCTTTGAACTTCTCCATGACTTTTTCCCTGACCTGTCTGGTGAGTTCCTTGGTCTTCATGATGCTCTTTGTTGACAAGTGCTCTCTAACAAAGCACAGAGGGCTTCACACAACAGTTCTGCTGATACTTAATTACACACAGGTGGACTCTATTAACTAATTAGGTGACTTCTGGAGGCAGTTGATTGCACTGCATTTTATTTAGTGGTATCGGAGTAGAGGGGGCTGAATACAAATGCACACCACACTTTTCAGATTTTTATTAGTTTAGATTTTTGAAAACCATGTGTCATTTTTGTTCCACTTCACAATTACATGCTACTCTGTGTTGGTCTATGACAAAAAAATCTCAATAAAATACCTTTAAGTTTGTGGTCGTAGAGTGACAAAATGTGAAAAAGTTCAAGGGGTATGAAGACTTTTTCAGGGCACTGTATCTGGTCCTTTCCCAGGCAGTCCCTTCACCAAAAAGTGGAAAAAACGAAGTAGTTTTCCACTTTGTATAGTGGCAACTCAAGCTAGTTTCTGTACTTTTTGAACCGAGTGACGCAGGCGCGCTCCCGTTAGGGGGTGTATACGGCGGGGATGCTTTCTACGGCACAACACCGGACCAAGAAGACGGACGTATTACGCGTACCCAACCGGCCAATGCAGCGTCTGCTCCGTTACTCCGTCTATGGAGCCACCCCACTTTCACTTTACTTGGAAGTAGGATTGATAACATGGCAGAAGAAATGTCTCTCTATGGAATTATACTTCTCCTTTCTGCACTGGGGATAATTCAAGAGGGTAAGAAACACTTCAATCTGTGTTTTTGAGTTTCTTTGAGCCGGACGAAGCTGCGCGTCTGTGCTTTTTAAGTCACGCGCCTTGATTTGGGTGATTCCGTGTTACATGTTTAGCGTTACACTGAAAACAACGTTGAAATTTTTCGCTGCTGTATTTTCTCCTACATTATAAGTTATAACTCGACGACAGCGGTGATATTACAGCTAATTTCTGCCATCTGTGCGTAAAAAAAAGGCTAAAATGCTTTTCCGGTTGTGTAACTCAAAACACTGCACGGATTTACCAACGAGAGTTTGATTAACATGTTGAAAGTACTTGTTTTTTCCGGTTTGAGAGGCCTGCATTGCGAAATGGCAGCCTATTGTCTGTTAAATGATATTTGCTCGGGTTAGAAAATTGCTTTCACCATTTTGAATGTATTCAGAGGCTGAGCAGAGGTTTATGATAATTTAGACCCTGAAATAAATGTTATTAACTCATACAAAGTGCTGTATGATCATCAGTTTTCTTTAGACTTTTAATAAACCTTTTGAAAGACCTTTAGTTAACAACTTATCCTTTGCAAACAGACCACAATGTGAGCTTTTGTCACCTGCAGGTCGAACATTGATACAGACACAGTCAGAAGGGTCTGTCAGGTTAGGAGACCAGGGGTCCGTTTCACGTAGGTGGTTCAACAAACTCTGAGTTAAATCCTTAACTCTGAGTTGATCTACTCTGAGTTAGGAAACTCTGAGTTTCCGGTTTCACAACACCTGATTTGAGACGGTTTTATCAACTCCGAGTAGTTTGACCTGGAGTTAAGCACGTGCACGCCAGACATAAACAGCCAGCATCTGTGGAGCGCAGATTCAATGATCAACCAATAGAAACAGGGAGAAGGAGGGGGCAGCAGCAAGCCAACAGCGAATTACAGCACGTTTTTAAAAGAACGTGCAATACAGCAGCAGCTGCAAAGGAGAGGGAGAGGGCTTGGGAGGAAATCGCTGCTCGCGTCAATGCGTAACTTTAAATCTAGTCTCGTGCAATCACAATGACAGACTGTTGCAGGGAAACTGCTTGAATCATTTTGATCATGTTTTACATTGTCAAGTAAGTATTAAGTTTGATCCCTTAGAAAATGCTCTTTTCACACTCAAAACTGAATTTTACTCTTTTATGATGTTCCGTTAAATGATTAGGAATATTAAACTAACTCTCAGTATGCATATGTACATATATTAAACTAACACACACTACACTCAATATTAGACTTTCACTCAGCAAACAGAAAGAGGGCAGATGCCAGAAAAACGGGTGGTGGTCCAGCAGCCCCACCTTTAACGGAGGCAGAGGAGCTGCCCCCCCCTCGACGATCGCAACCCCCACCCCGTCGCAGCGATCGTCGGACTGGTGTGTGTGTCGGGGGGGGTGGGGGGGGGGATTTGCGATCGGACCGGCCGCGATCGTCGAACGGGGGGGGGGGCAGCTCCTCTGCCTCCGTTAAAGGTGGGGCTGCTGGACCACCACCCGTTTTTGTGTTAGTTTAATATTCCTAATCATTTAACGGAACATCATAAGAGAGTAAAATTCAGTTTTGAGTGTGAAAAGAGCATTTTTGATGGGATCAAACTGCCACTTAACATTTATTTGACAAAATAAACCTTGATCAAAATGAGAAAATGCCGATCTCTCACCTGAAACTCTGGGTTTACTGAGTTAAACCTGCTCCCGAGCAGGTTAGGTTCACGGAGTCTGTTCCTGTGGTAACTGACCGCGAGGTTGAGTTACCTCTCTTTGTGAAACAGGTTAGAGTTACCCCTCTCTCCCTGGTTTAACTAACCCTCCTTTGTGAAACGGAAAACTCAGAGTTTCCCTGATTTCAGGGTTAACAAACTCGGAGTTTCCACTAAACCTGCTACGTGAAACGGACCTCAGGTGGACTTTAACTGCCAGCTAACACAGCCTGATTATGATCACCAAACCACCGGGCCGAAGATCCCATCTTTTGTAGACCGGACCGTGATCCACAATAAACTTGAGATTGACTGTGGACAGCGGAACAGCTCCATAGTGGTCAGGTCGGTGAAAAAGCTGGATGAAGGATGCTATAAATGTATGTTCAACTCCGACCCTGATGGTGCTTCATCTGGTCCCACCTGCATCAGACACTACGGTAAGAAGAAGACTTATTTTTAAAGCTTATTTTGCAAGACAATCATAGATAATTCTCTATTTTGTCTTAATTTACCTGTTTCAGAGCTGTATGGACCTGTTCTTCTCGCCAGAGGCCCGAACTCCACTGGAGACGTGGTTGTTTCCTGCACAGTCTCAGGTCGACCCAATCCCTCTTTGGAAATCACAGTCCCTCTGCAAGACCTGCACATAGGAAGAACCCACTCCGACTGCCTCATCAGCAACGACAGCTCAGTGACGTTCACCATGACGGCAGTGATAACTCGCCTCCATCAGAACAGCACAGTGGTTGGATGTGCAGCTCAGGTGTCCTCTCTTCCTGAGAAAAAATCTTACAGGGTGTTTTTTGAGGTTAAACAACCCCCTGCTGATGATGGTAAGCAAATGTGTCAAGAGCCACAGATGAACAGGTTGATAAACACTTTCTGGTTTTAACGCTTTTTGAGTTTTTCCAGCTCTCAAAGAGGAATCTGAAGTGGATGACTTCAGTAACAGTAAGTCACTGTTCAGTGTTCTTGCTGTCTTGATTATTGACTGTGTGGTCTTCATGTTTCTCCTGTTTTCTTTATCTCAAAGGGGAACCTGAAGTGGGTAACATCAGTAACAGTAAGTCACTGTTCAGTATTCTAGCTGTCTTGATTGTTGACTGTGTGGTCTTCATGTTTCTCCTGTCTTCTTTTTCTCAAAGGCAGGACTCTGATCATTGTGTTAGTTGTGTTGGCGATCCTCATTGGTTTGTCCGTGGCCCTCTTTTTCCTGTATAAATTTAAAAAACAGACCAGGTAATTTTTTAGAAAAATCTCTTGTGTCTCAGTTTTTGAGCCTTTGTTGTTTTTGAGGCACTAACTGTTCTGAAATCCTTCAGTCTGCCACATGTGAGCCATCAGATTGTTGAGACCAGTTGAGCTGCAGACAGAGACCCTTAGAGGTGAGAAATGCTTAGATTCACATTTTTCTTTCTCTTAAATATCAGTATTTGTTGTTTCATATGTCTTGGTTTTATGACTCAAATATTGAGGATTAAAGTCGATGTTTGTTTACTTTGTCAAGGACTGAAGCATCAATGGAAGACAACATTCAGATCAGATTTCGATCATCTCCTGTGAAGAACCCAGAAAGTGTTGATGTGAGTCCATCACCTGTAACTGTGGGAATAACAAGATCAACTTTTTGAAAACCAAAACAAGATTATGAATCTTCTGTTTAATAACCAGTTTAGAGTCATTATTTATGAAATGTTCTGGTTGAGCTTTTCCAAGCCACTCAATCAACTTTCCTATAACCTCTTTCCAGAAAGGAAAAAAACAATGAGCACTCCCACAGTGAGTGCACCTGCCTGTGCGTTACACCTCCAACAACAGGTTATTCTATATCAAGCCCATTTCATGGAGTCTTACTGTCGTAAAATAGTATCTATGAATAATTTTATAATGTGTTAATTTACCTCGGGCGTCTGTAATGGGCCCGTCTGTGTTTGTTATTATGTTTTCCCACACATCTTCCTCAATGTCACAATTTTAATCTTTTTGCCAAATTAGTGTAAAATGTTTATGTTTCCCACACTGGGCATTTACTTAACTAGAATAGAGGGTGATGAATTTGGGTCCGCAGAAAGCCAAAGGATGTCATCCGTGTATAGAAACAATTTATGTTCTCTGCCTCCTGCCTTTACTCCTGTAATTCCTGTTTCCGCCCTTATTGCGATTGCCAGAGGTTCTAGGAATAAAATAAACAATAAATGTGATACCCCGGATCACTTCTGAACATGCGAGGGACATTCTTACTTGATAATGTTTAGGGTATGCTTACAGAGAGTGTCTGTGTGACTGAACAATGTTCAATATATGTTTACAGAAAGTGTGTATGAAGCCCTGTCGCAGAAACCGTTGAAGTGTTGCTGAAATAAGGTCTGTACGGTAAGCACCTTGAGGCCCGATCGAAGGGCCTTATCTTGTCTTTATGCTGTCTTTATGACAGCATTAGAAAGACAACACCTGATGGCTGAGCTCATCAGAAAGGGGCTTCACTTCATCAGCCTTGCCCAGACACCATTAGAAACAAGGTTTTTAGAAATTACATAAAGAAAAAATGTTGGTAGTATAATAAGAAGTGAATGCCTATTGTGAAATGCTGTATAAGAAGAGGATTTTCCTTGTTTCCTCAGTCTGGATTCTGCAGATTTCATTCTCACTGACTTTGTTCATTCGCATGCTGAATAAAGTAACTTGGATGCACCTTGGACAGTCTCATCTCCTGATTTGAGTCAGACTACTGATTTCTTCATTGTAGGTTCTACACTTAGATTAAGACAAGCCAACAACAACAAAGCTAGGAGTGTCTAGTGTAGAGCTCAGCAGAGGTCAAGATCCCCCTGAGGGACAGCTCCTGCAGCCATCACTGGGAGAATTGAGACACGTCATTTGGCGCAGCCAGCCATGAGGGGTGACAAGCCACCGTGATCAGCAGGGACGAGATCGGCACCTGCTCCTCCAGACACCAGGCCTACAAATTTAAGGTAAGCAGACTTTATACTGCTCAATTTGATTGTGTCTGGACAGCAGATGTGTGAACTCGCCCAGGTGGGTTGCAGACTTAATTGTGACTCATTAACCCCGAAAAGAACTTAGTTAACTCTGGTTAATTGTTTGACAAGAATTTAAACCGATATGAACATATTAGAAAAGATTTAAAATAAGATTTGAGATAAATATACCTACTAGGCTTTTCTTACGCCTGGTTCACACAGGATGCCGATGCTGCGCGTGCGTAGTGCAGTACGCGCAGCGCCGGTGCGCACGCGCGTATGAGATGTTTATATGTGTGAATTAGATTTTTTAAATAAAGTGATCAATTAAGCTCTATATGATATTTTTAAAGCGTACAATGAGTCCCACTGAGCAAGGTATAGGGGGCAGTAGATGACCTGCTTTTGCCCCTTTAATGTTTTATTAATTGTTGGTAAATTAAAAGATACCAGATGCAGATTTTCAACAACAAAGTTCAAGTAAAATTTTATTTTTTTCCATTGAACAGTTGGGGTGCGGCGCACATGCATGTTCAACAGGTGAGAACACCTGTAGTATAAACTTATCAGAAAAACCGGAGCATGTTTCAGACCGGACCAAGAAGACGGACGTACGCGTACCCAAGCAGCCAATGCGGCGTCTGTTCTGTTGCTACGTCCATGGAGCCAACCTGCTTTCACTTTAGTTGGAGGTAGAATTCAAGACAATGGCAGAAGAAACGTCTCTCTATGCATGCATACTTCTGCTGTTTGCACTTGGAATTATTCAAGAGGGTAAGAAACACGTTGGATAACACTTGAATCTTTGCATTTGAGTTACTTTGAGCTGGACGAAGCTGCACGTTTATGCTTCTAAAGTCACGTTTTTACGCGCCTCGACTTGAGCTGTATTTTCAAAGCTTATCTATGTAAAGTATATTGGACTGAAAATAACGTTGAATCTGTTAGTTTCTGTTTACTCCTACGTTATAACTCGACGATAAGGGTGATATTACAATTAATTTCTGCCATATGTGCGTAAAAAAGCCTAACTTGTTTTTCCTGATGTGTAAATTAAAACGCTGCAAGCCTCTATAAATTTATCAGGAATTACCACGTTAAGTATATTTTTCATGTTAAAAGAACTCGGGTTTTTTTACGGTTTTGGGGCGCCTGCATTGCAAATTGATCAATATGATCATCAGCTTTCTTTAGACTTTTAATAAACCTTTTGAAAGACCTTTATTTAACAACGTATCCTTTGCAAACTGACCACAATGTGAGCTTTTGTCACCTGCAGGTGGAGCAGTGTTGATACAGACACAGTCAGAAGTGACTGCCAGGTTGGGGGACCAGGTGGTCTTAAACTGTCTGCTGACACAGTCTTGGGATGTTCGTCAAATCACCTGGCAGAAGGTCTCACCTGGTGGAGAGAGGACCGTGGCCACCTACAACAAAGACTTTGGTCAGAGAGTGAACGCTAGCTTCAGCGACAAAGTGGAGATAAGAGACTGTGGACTGCTGAACAGCTCCATAGTGATCAGGAAGCTGACACAGCAGGATGAAGGATGCTATAAATGTATGTTCAACACCTACCCTCGTGGTGCTTTTTTTGGTCTCACCTGCATCACACCCTACGGTAAGAAGAAGACTTCTTTATAAAGCTTATTTTGCAAGACAATCATAGATAATTCTCTGTTCTGACTTCATTGACCTGTTTCAGAGCTGTATGGACCTGTTCTTCACATCAGAGGCCAAAACTCCACTAGAGACTTGGTTGTTTCCTGCTCAGCCTCAGGTCGACCTCCTCCCTCTATGGAAATCACATTCCCTCAGCAAGACCTGTACTTATTAAAAACCAGCTCTGACTATGTCCTCAACGACAGCACAGTGACGGTCACCGTGACGGCAGTGCTGTCTCGCTTCCATCAGTACAGCGTACCGGTTGGATGTGCAGCTCAGGTTCTCTCTCTTCCTCAGACAAAACCTTTCAGGGTGTTTCTGGAGGTTGAAGCAAAGCCTGCAGCTGAGAGTAAGAAATATGTCAAGAGCCACAGATAAACTGAGTAATAAACACTTTCCTGTTTTAATGTCTTTTATTTTTCCATTTTTTAAAGGGGAATCTGAAGCAGGTAACATCAGTCGCAGTAAGTCACTGTTCAGTATTCTTGCTGTTTTGAATATTGACTGCAAAACCCAATTCTATTGAAGTTGGGAAATTATGAGAAACTTAATTAAAAACAGAATACAATGCTTTGCAAATCCTTTACAACCTTTATTCAATTGAATACACTACAAAGACAAGATATTTAATGTTCAAACTCGTACATTTTATGTATTTATTTATTTTGCAAATAATAATTAACTCAGAATTTCATGGCTGCAACACGTGCCAAAGTAGTTGGGACAGGGGCATGTTTACCACCGTGTTACATCACCTTTCCTTCTAACAATACTCAATAAACGTTTGGGAACTGAGGAGACTAATTGTTGAAGCTTTGAAGGTGGAATTCTTTCCAATTCTTGCTTGATGTACAGCTTCAGTTGTTCAACAGTCCGGGGTCTCCGTTGTCGTATTTTACGCTTCATAATGCGCCACACATTTTCAATGGGGGACAGGTCCGGACTGCAGGCAGGCCAGCCGAGTACCTGCACTCTTTTACTACGAAGCCACGCTGTTGTAACACGTGCAGAATGTGGCTTGGCATTGTCTCGCTGAAATAAGCAGGAAGGGCGTCCATGAAAAAGACGTTGCTTGGATGGCAGCATATGTTGCTCCAAAACCTGTTTGTACCTTTCAGCATTAATGTTGCCTTCACAGATGTGTGAGTTACCCATGCCTTGGGCACTAATTCACCCCCATACCATCACAGATGCTGGTTTTTGAACTTTGCGTCAATAACAGTCCGGATAGTTCTTTTCCTCTTAGGCCCGGAGGACACAACGTCCACTATTTCCAAAAACAATTTGAAATATGGACTCACCAGACCACAGAACACTTTTCCACTTTGCATCAGTCCATCTTAGATAAGCTCGGGCCCAGAGAAGCCAGGGGCGTTTCTGGCTGTTGTTGATAAATGGCTTTTGCTTTGCATAGTAGAGTTTTAACTTGTACTTACAGATGTAGCGACGAACTGTATTTACTGACAGTGGTTTTCTTTTCTGAGCCCATGTGGTGATACCCTTTACACATTGATGTCGGTTTTTGATACAGTGCCGCCTGAGGGATCGTAGGTCACGGGCATTCTATGTTGGTTTCTGGCCGTGCCGCTTACGTGTGGTGATTTCTCCAGATTCTCTGAAACTTTTGATGACATTATGGACCGTAGATGTTGAAATCCCTAAATTCCTTCCAATTGTACTTTGAGAAACGTTGTTCTTAAACTGTTCGACTATTTGCTAACGCAGTTGCTCACAAAGTGGTGAACCTCGCCCCATCCTTGCTTGTGAATGACTGAGAATTTTGGGGGAAGCTGCTTTTATACCCAATCATGGCACCCACCTGTTCCCAATGAGCCTGCTCACCTGTGGAATGTTCCAAATAGATGTTTGATGAGCATTCCTCAAATTTCTCAGTATTTTTTGCCACCTTTCCCAACTCCTTTGTCACGTGTTGCTGCCATCAAATTCTAAAGCTAATAATTATTTGCCGAAAAGAAATAAAGTTTATGAGTTTGAACATTAAATATCTTGTATTTGTAGTGTATTCAATTGAATATAGGTTAAAAAGGATTTTCAAATCATTGTATTCAGTTTTTATTTACGTTTATCACAATTTCCCAACTTCAATAGAATTGGGTTTTGTATGTGGTCTTCATGTTTCTCCTGTCTTCTTTATCTCAAAGGCAGGACTCTGGTCATTGTATCAGCTGTGTTGGTGGTCTCTGTTGGTTTGTCCGTGGCCCTCTTTTTCCTGTATAAATTTAAAAAACAGACCAGGTAATTTTTTTTATCTGTTGTGTCTCAGTTTTTGAGCATTTAAGAGTTTTTGAGGCTCTAACTATTCTGAAATCCTTCAGTCTATGACACACGAGCCTTCAGATGATTGAGACCAGTTCAGCTGCAGACAGAGACCCTCAGAGGTGAGAAATGCTTAGATTCACGTTTTCTTCTTTTTTTATATATCAATAAAGTCACCAGTTCTGTTGTTTCATACGTCTTGGTTTTATGACTCAAATATTGAGGATTAAAGTCGATGTTTGTTTACTTTGTCAAGGACTGAAGCATCACTGGAGGACAACATTCAGATCAGAAATCGATCATCTCCTGTGAAGAACCCAGAAAGTGTTGATGTGAGTCCATCACCTGTAACTCCCAGGAGACTGTGGGAATAACAAGATCAACTTTTTGAAAAACCAAAACAAGATTATGAATCTTCTGTTTAATGACCAGGGAGTGTTTTTTAAATCGTTTTATACTATTTAATGTGCTCATGATTCTAAATGGTACTTTTGTTTTGTAAATGTTTAAAGACTGTAAAGCGTGTGTGATCTTTTTCAGTTTTTTTTTAAAATTATTATTGTTTCTGAGGTTTTTATCAACAAAAAGAACTACTTATTTTTTTAACAATATTGCTTTGTTTTAAGATAATAAAGAAACTTAAATGAGATGTGTATAAATCAGATTGTTGAATAAAGTGATCCTATGAGCTCAATATGATGTTTTTAAAGGGAACAATGAGTCACACTTGTTTCCATTTAACAAATACAGTGGTGCACGTGCATGTTTAACAGGTGAGAACACCTGTGGTATAAACTTGTAAAAGGAGCTAAAGCCTGTTTACAGCTACAGAAATTAGAGATAGGATGACCGGTGTTGTGCCGTAGAATGCACCCCCTTCATCCCATCCACTCATTAGCTTCTTCTTTTTATGTGTCTCAAAAATGCACGTACAGAGGTGTACTTGGGTATATAAACTCTACAGTTAGCTGTCAACGTAGAGAACATTATATTTTCGGGACAGCAAATATTCCGAATCAGTGTATGGGACAAACTAGACAGTCGCAGGCTCGCAGCTACGGAAGCCCACAAGGCGAATCATTGTGCGTGACCCAACAGCCAACGTCTAGTTTCACTTTAGATCACCTGGAAGAAGGATGAAGACAACCGCTTAAATGGCTCTCTATGCGTTTGTACTTCTTCCCTTTGCCCTCGGAATTTTTCAGGACGGTAAGAAACACGTTGGATACAACTTGGATCTGTGTTTTTGAGTTTCTTTGAGCCGGACGAAGCTGCGCGTTTACGGTTCTAAAGTTAACTACGTGTATATGCGGCTCGATTCGAGGTGTATTTTTGACAATGCTTAGGCTATATATGTAAACTGTTATACTGAAAATAACGTTGAAGTAGTTAGTTGCTGTGTTCTCCCATATTATAACTCGACGACAGAGGTGTTATTACAGTTTATTTCCGACATGTGTGCGTAAAAAAAGCCTAACTGTTGTGTAAATCCAAACACTGTGAGCCTCTTTAAACTTTTCGTGATTAACCAATTTGATATTGTTTTTCATGTGGGATTTACTATAAAAAAAATTGACGTTTGGGATTATTTTCATATTGAAATATTGAAATAAACTTTCTGTTTTTCTGCCAGGATCAGCAGCTCTCGTTCAGACCCAGGAAACAATAATGTCAAAGAAAGGTGTGGCGGTCCTTTTAAACTGTCTCCTGATGGAATATAAGGAAGTGCAGCAAGTTACCTGGAAGAAGAGTTTACCTCTTGGAGAGAAGACCATGACCACCTACAGCAGATTCTCTGGTGTAAGAGTGAATCCTGATTTTCAAGATAAAGTGGAGTTCAAAGAAACTGAACTGCTGAACACCTCCATAGTGATCAAGGAGGTGACAGAGCAGGATGAAGGATGCTACCGCTGCTTGTTTAACACTCAGTCTGATGGTAATTTATCTGGTCTCACCTGCATCAGACTCTATGGTAAGAAGAAGGCTTCTTTTTTAAAGCTTATTTTGCAGAAGAATCATAGATAATTCTCTGTTCTGACTTCATCGACCTGTTTCAGAGCTGTATGGACCTGTTCTTCATGTCAGAGGCCAAAACTCCACCAGAGACGTGGTTGTTTCCTGCTCAGCCTCAGGTCGACCTCCTCCATCTATGGAAATCACAGTCCCTCAGCAAGAACTGTACTTATTAAAAACCAGCTCTGACTATGTCCTCAACAACAACAGCACAGTGACGGTCACCATGACGGCAGTGCTGTCTCGCTTCCATCATAACAGCGTACCGGTTGGATGTGCAGCTCAGGTTCTCTCTCTTCCTCAGACAAAAGTTTTCAGGATGATTTCAGAGCCTGCAGCTGAGGGTAAGAAATATGTCAAGAGCAACGATGAACTGATTAATAAACACTTTCCTGTTTTAATGTCTTTTATTTTTCCATTTTTAAAGGGGAATCTGAAGCGGGTAACATCAGTCACCGTAAGTCACTGTAACAGTAAGTCACTGTTCAGTATTCTAGCTGTCTTGATTATTGACTGTGTGGTCTTCATGTTTCTCCTGTCTTCTTTATCTCAAAGGCAGGACTCTGGTCATTGTATCAGCTGTGTTGGCGGTCTCTGTTGGTTTGTCCGTGGCCCTCTTTTTCCTGTATAAATTTAAAAAACAGACCAGGTAATTTTTTTTATCTGTTGTGTCTCAGTTTTTGAGCATTTAAGAGTTTTTGAGGTTCTAACTATTCTGAAATCCTTCAGTCTATGACACACGAGCCTTCAGATGATTGAGACCAGTTCAGCTGCAGACAGAGACCCTCAGAGGTGAGAAATGCTTAGATTCACGTTTTTCTTTCTCTTGAATATCAGTATTTGTTGTTTCATATGTCTTGGTTTTATGACTCAAATATTGAGGATTAAAGTGGATGTTTGTTTACTTTGTCAAGAACTGAAGCATCAATGGAGGACAACATTTAGATCAGAAATCGATCATCTCCTGAGAAGAACCCAGAAAGTGTTGATGTGAGTCCATTACCTGTAACTCCCAGGAGACTGTGGGAATAACAAGATCAACTTTTTGAAAACCAAAACAAGATTATGAATCTTCTGTTTAATAACCAGGGAGTGTTTTGTACAAAATTTCTCAATCTGTTTTAAAAATTTGAGGGGACAGATAATCTGAATCCACTGTTTATGTGGGCAGCGCAAAATCAAATTGCGCCCTTGTGTACTTGTTTTACTGTTCTGTCAAAAGTTGCTCTGTGCATGCAGATGTGACATCATTACGCTGTACGTACGCCTTGTTATGTTACCGGTGGAGCAGACACAGCACCTGAGGTTGTGTTTTATGAGTGTTAATAATGAAATCCTCTGTACTGACCTCAATAAATAAACCAAAGGCTAAAGAGTGAAGACCAAGTCAGGTTAGAGAGTCACAATCAGAATTAGTGTTTACATGGACGCGTTTTAGAACAATGATCGGCATAAACCACCCCTCTCGATCGGAATATATATTTTTTCCGATTGAGCCGAATTGATTCAGAATCTTCAGATCGACATGTTTATATGACGCATTTTTTTATCGTTTGGGTATTTATTCCGATTATTTGTGCCCATGTAAACGCAGCTAGTGTAAAGAGTGTGTGATCTTTTTACAGTTTTTATTATTATTATTATTAAGGTTGAATTATGAACAAAAGAATCACTGACTGATAAAATTATTTTTGTAATAATATTGCTTTGTTTGTAAGATAATAAAAAAGGTTGTAGTGAGATGTTTATGTGTGTGAATTTTTTTTTTTTTATAAAGTAATCCTATGAGCTGAATATTGTATCTTTGAAGCGGACAATGAGTCCCACTGAGCAAGGTATAGGGGGCAGTAGATGACCTGCTTTTTCCTCTTTAATATTTTATTAATTGTTGGTAAATTCAAAAAATACTAGATGCAGATTTTCAACAACAAAGTTCAGGTCAAATGTTATTGTTTTCTATTTAACAGCTGGAGAGTGATGCATGTTTAACAGGTGAGAACACCTGTGGTCAAGGGCGTAGGTTTGGTCTCAACATTGTTAGGGACGATATAACAGCATAACCTGCATGTACATTTTTTGCTGGGGACGGGACGTTAATAAGACCAAACTGTTTCGGTGAATGGGGGTCAGGGCTAGATTTCTCACGAATATGAACCTAATGAGTTGTTAGGCTAAATGATCATGACAAAATGTCTGCATAGGCTGCAAATAAAAATATTTTTAAAGAAATAATTTAGAAACTCTAAATTCTAACTCACGTTTTCTGGTTCTGTTGTTTCCAGCATTTAAAGTTCACAGTAAACACATACAGGACACTTCTCTCTAAGCAGCTGCCTACTCGAGTTTTGCAGGTTAGCAAGTTCACATAGTTTAATGTTATGCTAACTCTGATGCGGGTCGGATATTCAGTAGGAAAATTAGGAGTGTTCCCCCACCTCCACAACATCGACGTTTTCCTACATTACTCACAGTGGCTGTGGCTGCTGCTGCTGGCCGAAAAAGCTTGTTATATCCCTCCTTTTCGAAGGGGGTGGAGGGGGCGGCATGATTGTCGATACGCGTACTTCTGTCGGGGCTGTATGTGTGGGAGGGGGGCGTCTAGTCATCAGCCAATGAAACGTCCGTTTGAGGCAAAGCCCAGGTGTTGTGCCGTAGAATGCACCCCTGCCGTAGAATGCATCCCATCCACCAGTTAGCTTCTCAAAGTGGAAGAAAATGATCTCGTGTTTGAAAAAAACACCAGTATTAGATCATGACAACATGTCAAATGGAGCAGCAAACTTTCGTTCTGTTTTTATGTCTCTCAAAAATGAACATATAGAGATGTACTTGGGTGTATCAACTGTACAGTTAGCTGTCCAGGTAGAGAGCACTATATTTTCGGGACAGCAAATATTACGAATCAGAGGGCTATTGTTTTTGATTTATCTGACTGGCCTGAATCAAGTTATCAAACGTACACGCTTTTGAATGCGTCCAACGGTAAGGAAAACTTGAATTATTTCGCCTTTTTAGGTACTTTCAACCGCGCTACCGTTAGGGGGGGCATTCTACGGCAGGGGTGCATTCTACGGCATAACACCTACTTTCACGGTAAAGTTCAGACGATAGCAGAAGAAGAAATGTCTCTCTGTGCGTGTATGCTTCTCCTCTCTGCACTGGGGATTATTCAAGACGGTAAGAAAAACCTAAAATAACTTTTATATCTGTGTTTTTGACTTTGTTGGAGCATTTAGGGTTACGTTTTTTTACGCGCCTCAATTTGAGCGATATTTGCCAAAAATGCTTATAAATGTAAACTGTGTTACACTGAAAATAACGTATTAACATATTTAGTCATATAACTCGACAGCGGTGATATTACAGTTAATTTCTGCCATCCGTGCGCAAAAGTCTAACGTGCTTTTTCTTTTGTGTAAATCAAAACATGACAAGCCTCTATAAACTTTTCTGGATTAACGATTTTAGTTATGTTGTCCATGTTGGATTTACTCAGTAACAGAAGATTTTTGAGATTATTTTCGTATTGAAATAAACTTTCTGCTCTCTAACAGGATCAGCAGCTCTCGGTCAGACCCAGGAAACAGTGATGGCAGATGTAGGAGAGGAGGTCCTTTTAAACTGTCAGCTCATGGAAGACAAGGAAGTCCATCAAGTTACCTGGCAGAAGAGTTTACCTGGTGGAGAGAAGAACATAGCCACCTACAGCAGATTCTCTGGTGAAAGAGTGAATCCTGATTTTCAAGGTAAAGTGGAGTTCAAAATAGCTGAACTGCAGAGGAGCTCCATAGTGATCAAGGAGGTGACAGAGCAGGATGAAGGATGCTACCGCTGCTTGTTTAACACTTGGCCTGGTGGTGCTCTCATCAGTTCCACCTGCCTCAAACTCTATGGTAAGTACTGTCTCTATTTAGTCCTTATTCACTCTTTATATTTGGTGAATAAAAAGATACCAGATGCAGATTTTCAACAACAACGTTAATGTCTAATTTTATTGTTTTCCATTGAACAGCTGGAGAGCGGTGCATAGGCATGTTCAACAGGTGAGAACACCTGTGGTATAAACCAGAGGTGGGGGCTTGACGACTCGACTTGAGACTCGACTTGGACTTGAGTCCCGTTTTTGACTTGCTTGATGAATCAAGAAATGACTTGGACTTGCTTGGGACTTGATTGCTAAAGACTTGAGACTTGACTTGACTTGAGTCCAGTGACTTGAAAAGTCAAGTCAAGTCTTTCAAGTCACTTAATACCTTACAGCCCAAACCGTTTAAAAAGTGTCGCATCAACTAATAGTCAGGAATTACGGCCGTTGGTAACACCGTGTTGTGTTGCCAAGTCTGCTTATTTCCCGCAAAAAAATCACTTGTTTTTGGCTTGTTACTGGAGGTCTGTTTCCTTATTTCTCTCACGAAACTTGCCAACACTGTCTCAAACTCTGGCCTCCCTCATAACGACAAAACCGGGAGGACTGAACATAAATCGCTCGCTAGTATTGCCCGCCTGTTTCCACGTGTTGCCTGGTGTCTCTCTTTTGTTTTGGATGTTTAATTGTATTTGAATCTTCCTTATTTTTGTGCACATTGTCTAAGTTTCCAATTATTGAAGTTTTTATATGATAGATTTAATCAGAAATAATGACGTTTGGGATTATTTTCATTTAGATAAACTTTCTGTCTTTCTGCCAGGATCAGCAGCTCTCGTTCAGACCCAGGAAACGGTGATGGCAGCTGTAGGAGAGGAGGCCTTTTTAAACTGTCAGCTGATGGAAGATAAGGAAGTTCGTCAAGTTACCTGGCAGAAGAGTGTACCTGGGGGAGAGAAGAACATAGCCACCTACAGCAGATTCTCTGGTGAAAGAGTGAATCCTGATTTTCAAGGTAAAGTGAAGTTCAGAAAAGCTGGACTGCTGAGGAGCTCCATAGTGATCAAGGAGGTGACAGAGCAGGATGAAGGATGCTACCACTGCTTGTTTAACACTTGGCCTCATGGTGCTCTCATCAGTTCCACCTGCCTCAAACTCTATGGTAAGTACTGTCTCTATTTAACCATCCCTTAAGTTGCTTTTATAATTTTAATTCTAAACATCTTGTGTTTTCAGAGCTGCATGGACCTGTTCTTCAGGTCAGAGAATCAAACTTCTCTGAGGAGGTGACCGTATCCTGCTGGGCTTCAGCTCAACCCGCTCCCACTGTCACACTAAGAGTCCAACATCAGGAACTGAACTCCTTTAAACACACTGACAACAATGAAGATGGTACAGTCACTGTCAGAGCTACAGCTGTGCTGCAGCGTCGCTTTGAAAACAGCACAGAGGTCGAATGTGTCGTTCAAGTTCCCTCTGTTCCCCCAAGATCAGTGTCTGACATGATTCCTGGGGTCAAACCACCGTCTGCTGACAGTAAGAAACACTATTATAAATATAACTTTCTCTTCTAATGAACTGCTTTACATTATTGAAGTTTCTGCTTTTTTCCTTTCTGCTAATTTAAATGTTTTGTTTTTACCAAAGGACCAGAACTCCGCCGTCAAACTCTCGACTGAGATCGTCTGCTGTGAAAAAGGGAAAAAACAACAACAACCATGGTGTGTCATTTACTACAAAAACCTGTAGAATTTATATCAGTTTACTCTTTGATGGCTCAGGATAAGTCGGTAAATGAACTATGTTTATATCGCTCTTTCTCTAGTCTTCTAATCACTCAATTCCTTACATCAGCCCATCAGTTTTAGACTAATCCCAATCTACACCTCTTGGCACGGCCAGTGAGGATCAAATGTCTAGCCTAAGGACATTTCTGTATGTGGACAGCCCTGGGATCGAACCCTCTACCGTTCTAAATGCTGCACTTTGTATTTGGTCTTGCTATGTGTATTTAACTGTTGTTCTTTTCACTCTTCTTTTTTCATTCTCTACTCTGCCTTATTAAATTCATTTGTTGATTTAAACACTTGTGTGTGTGTGTGTGATGTGTGATTGCAGTGATTTAGCTGCAGTTGCCCAAAATGTCCACTAGATGTCCTGCTGTGTTAAGGTTTGTAAAGAACAGGTGGAGGCTGGATAAAGTGGGAGTTTACAGCAGCAGCAGGAAACTCACTTCAGCTGTAGTTAAAGGTATAAAACACCTCATCTGGAGCACTGATAACTGGTTTTTGGTTGTTTGCTTTTTCTACCATCTCCCTGCAGGTACGTTTAAAATTCTTGTATTTGCAAAAAAGAGCTAGACACAGTAAAGATTTTTGTCCGTAGAGTTTAAAATATATACATGTGAGCTAGTTTTATGTTTACAGCTTTAATATAGTAGATATGGTTAATAAGGGCCACGAATGTGCACGTAAAAGGTCAATATGAGCCACTAAGGTAGTTTAAATACGCTCACTGATCTGTGTTACCACAGGCTTTAAGTAGGTTTTCATGGAAATATCTTTTCTCTCTTTCTTATTTTATTTTATTTCATTTTTTCAATCATAAAAAAAGGTTTGCACATCGAGACAGTTCTGTCAGAGATTAACAGTCACCAAAAATGTCAAGGTACTCATTCACTCTAACTTTTACCTCTTTAATGTTTCATTTATATTTAGTCAATTAAAAGATACCAGATGCAGATTTTCAACAACAACGTTAATGTCTAATTTTTCAGCTCCTGTTTTAGTGTTTTATGGTTTGTTTTTAGTTATTTGTTTCTATGTTTTTAAATTAGTTTTTAAAAACATTGAAACTATATTTTACTTTTAATTCTGCTTTTATTTTATCCATTGTTTTAATTGATTTTTTGATTGTTTTTTATCTTGTTGTTTTGTCTAGTTATGTACAGCACTTTGTTCAGCTGTGGATGTTTTAAAGTGCTTAACAAATTAAGTTGAGTTGAGTTTATTGTTTTCCGTTGAACAGCTGGAGAGCGGTGCACATGCATGTTCAAAAGGTGAGAACACCTGTGGTATAAACTCATCAGAGAAACCAGAGCACATTTCAGACAGGACCAAGAAGGCGGCTGTATTGCCCACACCTAAGCAGCCAATGCGGTGTCTGCTCTGTATTGAAAATAACACAAAAAGTGAAAACACAATGGTTAATACCGTTGTGTTTTCTGACCTGCCGTTGTGTTTGCGCCTCAGGGCCACCGTATTCCGCCCAGGGGAAACTACTTTCACTTTAGTTGGCGGTAGAACCAAATCAACGGCAGGTGAAATGTCTCTCTGTGCATTTATAATGATCCTCTTTTCACCGGGGATTTTTCAAGAAGGTAAGAAACACGTTGGATAACTCTTAAATCTGTGTATTTAAGTTTGTTTGAGCCGGACGAAGCTGCGCGTTTACGCTTTTAAAGTCGCGTTTTTACGCATTTCGGTTTTGGCGGTTTTTTCCCCCTAACATGTTTCCCTAAAATTCCCATTATATATGTAAACTGTGTTCCACTGAAAATAACATGTTAGCATATTCACTCATGTGCTTCCACATTATAACTCGTCGACAGCGGTGATATTACAGTTTATTTCTGCCATCTGTGCGTAAAAAAGCCTGACATGCTTTTCCTGCTGAGGAAATCAAATCACTGCAACGCTCTGCTACGTATTCAGGAATAACCAATTTGAGTACGTTTTTCATGATAAATTTACCCAGAAATAATGAAGTTTGAGATTATTTTCATATTGAAATAAACTTTCTGTCTTTCTTCCAGGATCAGCAGTTCTCGTTCAGACCCAGGAAACAGTGATGGCAACAGCAGGTGAGGAGGTCTGTTTAAGATGTCAGCTGATGGAATCTAAAGAAGTCCATCAAGTTACCTGGCAGAAGAGTGTACCTGGTGGAGAGAAGAACATGGCCACCTACAGCAGATTCTCTGGTGAAAGAGTGAATCCTGATTTTCAAGGTAAAGTGGAGTTCAGAAAAGCTGGACTGCTAAACAGCTCCATAGTGATCAAGGAGGTGACAGAGCAGGATGAAGGATGCTACCGCTGCTTGTTTAACACTTGGCCTCATGGTGCTCTCCCCTGTTCCACCTGCCTCAAACTCTATGGTAAGTACTGTCTCTATTTAACCATCCCTTAAGTTGCTTTTATCATTTCAATCCTAAATATCTTGTATTTTCAGAGCTGCATGGACCTGTTCTTCAGGTCAGAGAATCAAACTTCTCTGAGGAGGTGAACGTGTCCTGCTGGGCTTCAGCTCGACCCGCTCCCACTGTCACACTAAGAGTCCAACATCAGGAACTGAACTCCTTCAAACACACCGACAACAATGAAAATGGTACAGTCACTGTCAGAGCTACAGCTGTGCTGCAGCGTCGCTTTGAAAACAGCACAGAGGTCGAATGTGTCGTTCAAGTTCCCTCTGTTCCCCCGAGATCGGTGTCTGACATGATTCCTGAGTTTAAACCACCGTCTGCTGACAGTAAGAAACATAGTCTCATAAATATAACTTTGTCTTCATATGAACTGCTTTTACATTTTTGAAGTTTCTGCTTTTTTCCCAGAACTTAAAGAGGACAAGACTTTTGCTGGCATCATTGTACCTGCTGTGATAGTGGCAGGAGTACTTGTGGTCTTTGTTTGTCTTGCTGCAGTGTACATTCGGAGAAAATACAAGAACAGGTACAGATTTTACATCACGCTCACAAGAAACATTCAAATACCACATTCAGATACCGGTCACTAGGGGGGTTTCTACATGTTTAGGCCTCATTGTTCTGCTCATGATTTTATACAGTCTATTATATGAGTGCGGTGACTTGTTTGCAAACTGACACCATATTTAAGGTTCTACATTTTAAGTACTTCTGATACAAGTGGCTTTTTCAGGACAAGTTAATATGTTTTGATGATCGACTTTTCTTAAATTCTTCAGTTTGCCAAAGGAGGACCCGGAGGAGATCAAAACACCACTGAAACTCCAAGAAGACCATCATGGGTAAGACAATTGATGTGATACTTTGACATGGTAAAGTTTTCAGGCATGTTCATGAATTAAATCAGATGTTTTGTTTAAAAAAAACACGAACAGGTACAGATTTTATATCAAGCTCACAAAAAACATTCCGATTCAGAGAACATTCTGCTCATGACTTTATACAGTCTATCATATGAGTGTGATGACTTGTTTGCAAACTGTTCCACATTTAATGTTCTACATTTTAAGTACTTCTGATGCTAGTGGCTTTATCGGGACAATTTAGTATGTTTTAATGATTGACTTTTCTTAAATTCTTTAGTTTGCCAAAGAAGGACCCAGGGGAGAACCAAACGCCAACTAAACCCACTGGAGTCCATCATAAGTAAGACAATTGATGTGATACTTTGACATAGTAAAGTTTTTCAGTCATGTTCAGGAGTTAACTCAGATGTTTTGTTTTTATTTAAGGACTCAAACTCCAGGGTCAAGCGCTCGCAGGCGATTGTCTGCTTGGAACCCCAACCGCCCCAGTCTACCATCTTCTGAAGAGATCAGTGAACAGAAAACTTTACTGTTTAATAGCACAGAATAACACTATGAGGAAAATGAAGAACTGTGACCTGAACCTGACTGTGAAATTATGTCAGATGTAAGAAGACACGTCTGTTCTGGTCATGAGCAGTTCTTCCAGAAAAGTTTGACTTTTGCATGAATCACAAATTTGGAAAAGCACTGTATCAATAACATGTGATAGAGGGGGAACAAAAAACTCAATCAGCAAGCTAAAATATAGCCTGGCTGGGCCATCCTGTTGCGTGAATGGCAAGTGATTCACGCAACAGGATGGCCCAGCCAGGCTAGCTAAAATACTGATCAAAGAGAGACAACCTAAAAGGAAAAAAACACTACCTTTAATTTTTTTTACCTCAAATGTGCCAATTTCTATTAGTTTCTTTAAAATTATTTGCAGTATAATAATAAATTATTTGAAATGTGAAAAACAAAGCGATCAAAGAACATGATTGATTGTCGAGGTTTTTACTTGATGTTTGGAGCGGTTTTGTGATTTGGGTAAACTTTAGACTGTATTGCAATGTCTGCTCACTCTTACCTTTAAACTTGAATTTCCGTGTTTTAAAGTTGTTTTTCTCTCTCTTTGCTGCTTTTATATTTGCCTCACTGTATATTTTACTATAAATAATCCATCAAATGAATGTAAACGACTGTAAAATGTACACATTTAAATAAATAACCAATTTTGTAAATATACCTGATTCTGTTGGATATTTTAGCTGCAGTTACACAAAATGGCCGCCTGGTGTCCTGCGGAGTTCATGTTAGTGAAGGAGACTTTGAGGCGGTCTGGTGGATAAAGTGGGAGGGGAACACGACAGCAGGGATTGAACTCACTTCACTCCCAGATAAATGTTTGAAACATGGACACATGTGCTCCAGTTTGTCCTCACCTGTAGCAGCGGGAGCGTTATAAACACTGGGAGCAGACCTACACGATACTTAAATCGAATTATCGCAGGTAAGTTTAACGTACTTCTCCACGCGTATTGTATTAGTTCACGTCATTTCAAGAGTATTAAATTCTGTTTAACGGTTTTCACGTGGTAAACCTGCGAAATGAATGTTTCATGTCCAAAATGGGCAAAAATTCCTATTTCTACATCAATTTATCGTTTAAACAAGCCACGATTGTGCACCGTAATTTATCGTATTTCATATTTTTTTAAATAGCCTTGTGATACTTGCATCGAGAGAAAAGTCTTCCCAAGCTTGACACTTAGATATGTAAATGAAATATTGATTCTAATAACTTACACGTGGTGAAACTGCATGAAAAGCGATTTAAAGCCTTTAAATATGCACACATTTGTCAAAAAGTCATTTTCCTGTACTTTATACTTAGGTAAATTTATATATTTTTCAATATTTGCCCATTTTTGTGTCAGTTTTTGAGATTTTTATGTATCAAACCTGCGTAGGGGATGATTCCTGACCCTAAAACAGGCTTAAGTATGTCAAATAGCCATGTTTCCTTCATTATTTAAAAGTGATGTTGTGTAACTTTAATTGACACCTGTTACCTTTCCTCATTCTGTTGCATTGACAAGTGAATCAATTTATTCTGTAAGCAAAATTGTGCAGTTTTGTGTATCTTTGTGGTATTTTCATTCATGTGTATGACTTCTAAGTGATAAAAATCTATTAAATAACAGATTTGCCCCCTTAAAAAAAATTGGCCATAAATTTTGAAACAGACGTTTTTCTTTCTTACTTTTCAAGTCAAATTGTGGACCTTGTTATATCTGTATTCCCATGTGCTTAACCAGCCAAGAGGAAGATTTATGCTTCTTGAATTGCCCGAATATACATGTCGAACCCTTTGTTCTTGCTTTGAAATAACAATAATAAATTTTTCTCCCCCCAGCTTTCTGTTAAAGAAATTTCCAATAACATCTGTCTTTTGGGACAAAACCAGTTGCAGTGGCAGGAATGTTTAATGCACATCTGGACGCAGGTTTCCCACCTGGTTTCAATCCTCTTCTTAGTGAATATGACACACCATGAATTCCTGTAAAAGTACACAGAGTTTATAATAAATACGCAAATATCCAGGCATCTATATCAGGCTTTTCAAATTAAAAGTCCCCAGTTTTAGAGAGTTTTTTTGTGGTGTTGTATTGTAGCTCTTGTTTTTATGTTGGAAAAGTGATTTAACTGCTGCCCAACAGGAGCAGGCTGCATGTTTGAAGCCAAATGAGTTGGCGCTATAAAAGAGCAAATGACGCCCATAAATCTCTGAGGTCTGGACCCGGTGTGTGTTGTGGTTTAGGCGGGTTTCTCTCACCCAGCAAGTCCAATTTGTGTCTCCGGAAAAAGGCCAGTTTTCATCCAGAATATTTGGAGCTTATTTAAATTAACTTTTTAAGTCCCATCTTTTAAAACTCACCAAATATTTGACACATTTTAACGGAAAGAGTCATGCAAAAACACACCCTCTGATTACTTTAATGACTAACACCTCGTCACCGCTTGCATCACCTTTTATAATTCGTATTCAGGGTCTCAATTGTGAAATCAGAGGGATAGTTTTCGTCTGGACTTCAAATGAGTAGCTTGTTTGTGCTGCAGGATGAGTGTTGATTCAATGAGGCGGGGTTTTCATGCTGTGCACTGCTATGAAAAACCCCTCTAAGACCCCAGGTAACGCTCCTTAAATGAGAAACATCTTTTGTAAATGCTTCAACATGCTTGTTAAAGAAGCATTAATGCTCCAAAGTGATGCATTTTTAATATCTGTGTGTTTTCCTCCTACATAGCAGAGAGTGTAATCTTTGTAATGCTGTCACTGCTCATGTCATCCTCTGGCCTCTCATTACAGCAGACAGTGTGCCAGGAAGATGCAGCCACAACTGTGCTGACTGACAACAACATCCCAAACAAGTCACAACACTGGACAGCTGACAGCTCGGTACGTCTGCATCGCTCAGTCTTGTTGCTTTAGAGATTTTATTTTCACAGGCCATAAGGAACCACAAGCTAGTTTTGAGGTTTGTGGTTTGGGGCCGTCTCAGCGCTCTGACACCGTTTGTGTTTGCAGCTGCAGCCTGGATGTGATAGCGGGTCAGCGACGTGTGAGTTTGAAGCCCCGCCTGAGTGTGCGATGTGTGGACCCGGGCTGCTTCTGTGTCTGCTGCTGTGGATAGGAGGGACGGCCATTAACAGGACACAAGGTATGATTGCATTGACCTTTGATATTTCTGTTACTTTTCTTTTATATGTATTTTTCTTTTTACTCAATTGCATCACCTGGAAATGCATTTTATTTATTTCTATTTGAAATAAATCAGCTTTCAGATTGTCAAAGTAGATGCTAATGCTCACAATAACTGTCTTTAAAGACCCACTCTGATGAAAATCATGTTTTTCTTGTTTTTTACATGTTTATATGACATTTTTCTGATGCTACAGGACATATCATGAGAAAACTAAATGAGAAATTGCTTTTCTGAGTATTTCTTCATTCATATTGCAGGCTCAGAAACAGTGAGATTTCATATGTAACCAATCCAAGCTCCGACCCTGGAGGATATCTCAACAGGATATATTCAACAAAACTTTCTCAAAGTCATGTGCTGTTAGGCCTGGGGTCCCACAGGGGTCCGTCCTCGGTCCACTGTTGTTTTCACTTAACCTGGCACCACTCGGTTGGATCTGAAATACTTTTGTGATTTCGTTTGCCTTCAGGTCTGGTCACAGCTCCTTCCAGTCTAACAGTAGATGCCGGCCGCCCCCTCCACCTCGGCTGCAACATCACCACGGCGCCCGGCGATTCTGTGCGGCAGATTCGCTGGGTCAACAAGAACAACAAGGCCCTGCTGGCGTACGAGCAGAGCGTTCCTGTGCGGATCAGCATCCAGGAACATGGCGTGCAGCTCACCACGTCCCACAACGACGCCTCCTACATCACCATCAGGAGGGCGGGGCTGAATGAGGAGGGCTGCTACCGCTGCATATTTGATGTTTACCCCACAGGCCCGCAGGAGGCAAAGACGTGTGTCAGCGTCACAGGTGAGTCAGGGTTATTATCACTTTCCTTGAATTGTATTTTTTCAGGTTGTTTGTGATCTGATACCCCGGCCACCCCTACCTATGTCAGGGCCACCCCAGTTAGAAAGTCTAGACACACCCCTGCATAGAGGCAGAGAGGAAACGGTGGGATCCCAGTGCTGTCAAGTTTGTGCAGATAGAAGCTGCAAGAAAACAGTGACAGAGGTGATAAGTAGATTTTTGTGTTTGTTCCCAGCTTCTGTTTTCATAAAGCATATTTCAGCGCTTTAGCCATCGCCTAACACTTGATCTTTTGTCCATTTTTCCATAAAGTCAAACTCTCTCCGACACATCCTGCTGAGGGTCAGAGAGTTGTTTGGTTTCCCTCTTTTGAGACAGGAAGAAGTAGGCAAAAGTCTAAACTCTAAAACCAGCAGGGGGATTTCGCCCACCCAGCCGGCTAGCCTTGAAACTTCCTCTTATACTCTTTTAATTGGCAACGACTGTTTTTATTATTCCCAGAATCCTCCTGTTGCTGTGGCACCTGTACACAAACAGACACAAACACCACGGTGACACACTCGGTTGTTTTCGTGTTCCCCCCTGCTGCAGGTAGAGTCCGCCAGGAGGGCAACAAGACAGCTGTGAACGGGAAGTCCACCACCCTCTCCTGCTTGTACAGCCTCCCCGAGAGGGTGCAACAGGTGCTGTGGACGAAGACGGCGGAGCAGGGCGACTCCACAACGGTTGCCTATCGCGCTAAAAAGGGCCATCCCAGCGTCAAGGAGCCGTTCGCAGGTCGGGTTAGTTTAGGCGGGACTTTTGGTGACAGTCAGCTGACCATCCAGAAGGTGAAGACGGAGGATGAGGCGTGCTACACGTGTGAGTTTCACACGTATCCAGAGGGGACGAAGAGCTCCACTGCCTGCCTCTCTGTTTACGGTTTGTACCATATTTTATTGAGTCTAATGTCAGCCTCAGTCAAGTCAAAATAGAGTTAGTTTGCTTTAATACAGATAAACAAAGACATAGAAGAAAAAAAAAAGGTTCAGGGTCATAACATTCCCTGATTGCCCGGGACAATGTGAGCTCATGTTGGAGACACACAGTATAGTAGCTCTGAGAGGAAGTGTATAAGTATGCGTGTGACTTCCATAGCAGGAAAGGGAAGCGCGGTGCATAAACAAACCACAGGCGGCCCCGAGGTGAGAGTTATTCTGGTCATTAAACTACCGTCCTGACCTGCTTCTCCGACGGCGTTTCACATCCCTCGACCCCGGCTGATTTTCCTCCACGGAGGTGTGAACCGCAAAGTCGAGAGGCCGCCTCTGTTTGACTTCGAGTGGTTGTTGATCTCCTTGGTTTGTTTGTGTTTTTAAGGAGTGATAATGTGAACAGAGGCAGGGGGTGTCACTGAGGGGGAAAGTGGTGATTTAATTTGGGAGAAAGCCCAGGGGATGAGTGGCTCACTGTTCCCCGAGACACAGGGCCCTCAGTGTGTGTGTGTGTGTGTGTGTGTGTGTGTGTGTGTGTGTGCATGAGTGTGTGGTCTCCTCCTTGCTCTGCCAAACAAGCTTTGTCAAATCTGACGGGAGCAAAGACTCAGACGCACAAACACAGACACACAGAGTCGCTAAAAGCCGCTTTGCTTCTGTTTTCTGGCGGCCTGGCGGAGAACAACTTGACTCATTGTTGTCCTCGGCGCGGAGATTGACATGCGATGTCTCTCCATGTCCATTATGGCTAGGCAGAGGAACAAGTCTTTGCTTTCTGTTGGGTTTGATTGGCAGGCCAGAAATAAAAAAAATCACGTGGATAAAACACTTGAGATGAAACTGACCCGAACGGCGCTGTATTTGTTACAATATAAACCACACAAAAACTGTTTTAAAGGGATATTCTGGCGTAAAATTAATTTAGTGTCAAACAGAGATGAATGTTGCCGACCGTTTGCTTCTCTAGTTATACCAACTTTAGTAACGACCGCACAAAAGCAATACAGAGAGCCACACGGTCAACCAAAACGCCACTCTATAGCCACAAATAATGCTCAGAACAGCACCTAACTTCATCAACAGGACATATAGGGTCACAACCATAGTACTAGACACCAAACATCTTTTTAACTTTGTCTGATTTCTTTAGCAAAGAGACTAAACACAACTCACCTACTCTCTTCCAGCAGCCGCTTGTTTGTAGCGAGACCTCGGGCGAGTCCATTACGGACTACAGTGGGGTGACGCAGCTCAAGGAGGAACATTTATGATCATTTCTTCATCATGTCATTGAAGTAATAATCATCATATTAATCATTTTGTACTGCAGACACAGTAGTTCTTCTGCCGTAGTGTCTCGGTCTGATTGTATTTCCATGGAGAAAAGATCATAAATGTTCTTCCTTGAGCTGCGAAACTCCGCTGCCCTCCTTAATGGACAGGCCTGAGGTCTCGCTGTGGCTATAGAGTGGCGTTTTGGTTGAGGTTTGTTTCTCAGACCGCTGTGTATTGCCATTGTGCGGTCATTACCAAAGTTGGTAAAACTAGAGAAGCAAGCGGTCGGCAACATTCATCTATTGAGCGGGTGTCTAACTCGGTGCTACGGTGTGTTTGACCCTAACTTAATTTTACGCCCGAATATCCCTTTAACTCAGAGATAGACTCCTTGTAGGGCTGGGCAATATGGTCTACAAATCAATACCACGATATATTGAGCAGTTCACCTCAATAACGATAAATAGACGATAACTAATCCACAAGTTGCTCACCCCCTCCAACATTAACTTCGTCCACTTTCCCTCTTTGTCACATCTCTGACGTAGGTCAGCGTCTTCAAGGGACATGAGACCATAGCCTACCTACAAACATCCAAAACCAACTTTTATTTATTCATTTTTTTGACACTCAATATACCAATATGGGCAAAATGACATCGGTTATCGTTGTATCAGTAAATTTTCGGTTTATCGCCCTTCCCTAACTCCTTATGTTTCATAAAAACTAATAAATTCACATTTTTGTGGGTAAAGACCAGTGTCATGTACTTTCTTACTTTAAATTACTAAGATCAGCAGAAACGTTTTAAAGTTTTCACCAGGCACCTTTAAACCAGATGAAACAGATTAGATAAAAAGTTTTGTCTCTTATTCCTGAATATTCACAAAAACAATCTTTCTTCCTCCAGTCTTACCCAAACCAGAGGTGAACCATGTGACCTCGTCCTCTGGATTCACTGAAGCAAACTGCACGGCTCAGTCCCGGCCTGCAGCCGAGATCACATGGGACGTCGGCGGGGAGAACAAAACCTTCGAGCCGCCTGTTCCCACTTCCTACGAACAGGGTGACGGCACCACGGTAGTGACGAGCACGCTCTTCTTCCAATCGGCGGCTCTCAGCGACGTGGTCATCAAGTGCATCGTGCACCACCCTGGCCTGGAGAAACCCCTGACTGTTCCTCTGAACACTAACAGTAAGAAGCTGGATCTGATTTTAGAAACTGGAGGCCGTTCAAAATAGTTCTTCTGTGCACTCACTCCTATTTTAGTCTGGGGTAATCATGGCTGCTTTGAAGGGGTCCTGAATCCTGAAATGTCATGGTCTAACTTTTCAAAAACTGGTCACCTGGCATGTAGAGTCCAGCTGTTCGACATTTAAAACATAAACAAAGCAGAGGAGTAAATGTGTGTTTTTGTGCCGCAGTGGGTCCCGCTATGGTCGTCCTCATCTCTGTGTGCGGCGTGGCGGCTATCCTCCTCCTCTGCCTGTGTGTGTGTCTCTGCAAGTGCTTCATCTGCACCGACGGTGAGTCCGAACTCCACCCTGAGGCCCAAAATATACCCTCAACTCATCTCAAATGATTCAGCAGAGTCTAATAGTTGTTTTCATCCCCGTTTGTTAAGGTGTCATTTCATTTAATCCGCCTTAAACTGACAAAATAACTGTTTGCACTCGCTGAGAATCACAGGCCTTTCCTCTTGTTGGGTCTCTGAAGGAATTCTGGGAAGCACAAGGGTTGGGAAAGCAAAAAGAGCAGTCGTCAAAACATACATGAAATCTTGTTATGTTAGTGTGTGAATGTGGATTTCCGCCCCCAATTCTGGAGCTTCCAGTAGCTCAGAAAAACACGGACAAAGAATGTGAAAAGGAAGCGTTTTTGTGCAGCGAAGTTGACCTTAACTGATTCAGAGTTTAAAAAAAAAAGAAGTCTGAGAAGTGACTGGAGCGTGAACATGCAGGCTGAAGATAAAACTGTCTCTTCTGTTTGGCGTTTCTTTATCACGGGACCTCGTTCTTGCCAAGTCTTGAGTGCCCTGTCATTGTTGTGATTATGATGAAGTGTTCACAGCTCTTCGGGGAAACATTTGAGAGTTTATGAGCTGGGGAAGAGGATAACTTTGGTTTTCCAGAGCTTTATTTAAAGCTCCTGTCAAGAGGTTTATTTTTTGATTATCATAATTTCAGAATCTTACAAGAAACTGAGCTGTGACTGTAAATATCCATGAATACAAGCTTTTACAGCGGCTTAACTTATTCTCTGTTCAAGAGTGTTAAACACACACTGGGGTCTTCTCTTTGGTGGCACAGAAAAACAAATATTCTGTGTCGTATCTGTTCGTGGTTAAAAGCCGAACACCTGGAATTCGACCAGAGAAGAAGACGTAAATGTGTTGAAAGTGCAGAGGAGCGTCATCAACGCCTCACTGGTTTCCCTGAAAACCCTCTGAAGGTCAACAAACACGCCTCACAGATACTTCCCACACGGAGGTGTCAGAGTGGATGCTCAGCCATGTGTCACCGACACTCCCTTGACTCCTGTTAACACCTTTCCACCAGTCCTCTCAGGGTGTCATGGAAACAGCACGGCGCCAGCGTAATTCAGCGCAATTCTCTCTGCCGTTTCCCCTTTATCGTGAATTTCCTCGCCACCGAGGAGAAGCGGGGAACACCAAAGTTATCGCAGCGATGACAGAAGCCTTGGCTGACGGTGCTGCTGCTGCTGCCGGCCAAACAAGAGTCCTGAAGGAGGGAAAACAAACGTGGGAGATGATGTTTCAGGGTCGCGGCTATCCCAGGGCTTCACTCGATTTGGCAACATGCAATTTAACTTGGGTTTACCAAAATCACTTGAGAAATCCCAATGAATGTAACGGACATTTACCCAAGAGTGGAGCCCTGAATAATTCAGAAAATGTCACTGATGCAAAACAAAGAAAACTTGGGAAAAGTAGACCTCTTAACCAACAGGCAAGTGCCTTCTTCCTCCAGTGAGCCCTGACAGATTTAAGTGGGACATGAGTGGGACACTTATTAGTTCACACACATCCTGGACTGTGAAATTACTCTTATGAGGCGCTCAGACCAAGCATGAGTAAAATCATCTACTCGCTTAATTCGCGCGAATCTAGACGCGTGAATGAAGAGTATTTACTCGCTTCATTCGCGCGTGATTTCAGTAACTTCAACGGTAATCCCGGCCAATTAAATGAGTGGGATCAAGTAATAGACAAAGGTTTTTTACTATTTACCAGATAATCCGACCTTCCCACTTACTCGCCTCCAGATGAGCTCCTTTTTACTCCGGTTTCGGTAATTGAAAGAAAAGGTATCATGTAATTCGCGGCACCCACACACCGACACAATCAGTCTGTCCTCCATTTTAGATACCAGTGAACAACCGTCTATTTTCATACGTCACCCGGCAACCTTCATGCTGCGTCGTTATCGTGACACGAATATCCGCTCAAGTGGAGATTCGCCCACTTCGCGTCATTTGCGCCGCTAGAGTCGTAGGAGCGTCTAATCACGTCTCTGCATTGACTTAACATGTAATTCATTCACGCGAATGATTTTACTCGCACTTGGTGTGTGGAAACAGTAAGTAAATCAGGGAGGCTTAACAGCTTGCTTTGGTGTCCCAAAACCAACACTGGCGCCACACAAAGGCTCCAATCTCGCCTTCGACTTTTGTGTTTTCCCTGCAGCCCTAAATCATCTGACAGATCTTTGACTCTTGGAAGCAGCTTTGATTGATGGTGTTGCATCAGGGCAGATCTTGCTGAAGTATCTGTGACCACGACTCAGTGTGGGATATCTTGGAATAGCTCACAGCCGGGTCATTACAAAAATAGATTCTCCTAAAAACAAAAGCTCCAAGTTGCTCCAGACTTTCCGCATCAATTGGAAGTCTTTCCTTCTTGTCCAACTTCTCGCACCCTGAGCAGAATAACAAGTAGTTCTGCTGATTGTCTTGAGTTAGCAGCCAGAAGAAAAGAGCCTCTTTTCCCTGTCTAATCCGTTGGACAGCGGAGGAACGTAGGCAGACGTTAGGAAGCCTGGAAGAGGAGGAGGGGGGAGCGGTGTCGAGAAGGACCAGAGGGTGAAGTTGAAAACCTGCCCAGTCGATAACAACGCCCCCTCTCACACTGGACTGTACAGACACGCATACTGTAATTTCTAAGCCATGCTTGGACTGAACTGTGCCAGGAACACAGTGATGTGATTCAGACGACTTTAAGGGAAAGGAGCTTTGGTCACATTCTCAAGAAGATGAATCAAGTTCAGTCCCTTACAGCAGACTTCAAATTGATGATCTCACAGGATATGTGTAATACGATTTCAATTCATGACAAGATTTACCTCAAATCTAGCTTGAATGCAAAGACAAAAGAAAGAGTTCTACCTGGAAAAGTTTATCCCACATTTTTCCACCCAAAGGTTATAGGTTATAGAGCTGGGCGATAAACCGAAAATTTACCGATTATAAAATTTACGACAATAACCGATGCCATTTTGCCCATATCGGTACATTCAATGTCAAAAAAATAAATAAATAAAAATTGGTTTTGGATGTTTGTAGGTAAAACAGTAGGAAAGACAGGTGAGGAGATGGAGGACGGTTCAAAAGTTGTAGCGGTTGAAGTTGACAAAGTTAATGTGGGAGGAGGTGAGCAGCTTGTGGAGTAGTTATCGTCCATTTATCGTTATCGAGGTGAACTGCTTAATATATCGTGATATTGATTTGAGGCCATATCGCCCAGCCCTAATGGGTCGGTTCGTACCTGAGAAACGATCAGCTTTACCGTAACTGTTGTAGTAGCTTACATGATCGCAAAAACAGATAGTAGGGCTGGATGATAAACTGAAAATTTACCGATACCGAAATTTCCAACAATTACCGACGCCATTTTGCCTATATTGGTATATTTTGGGTGAGCAGCTTGTGGAGTAGTTATCATTCATTTATCATTATCGAGGTGAACTGTTCAATATATCGTGATATTGATTTGAGGCCATATCGCCCAACCCTAATGGGTCAATTCATAGCTGAGAAACAATCACCTTTACCGTAACTGTTGAAGTCGCTTACATGATGGCAAAAACAGATCGTACTATCAAGAAAGAAGCACTAGGTTGCTGAATGCAGTGACATGTCTTCTGTGCTTGTTTACATTCAGGTAGTAGAGCACAGGAGCTGTAGAAAATGGCTCTAGCCTTAGGAAATCTACGCCCACATTAAACTATCAAAACCCGGTCCTTACAGGAAATAATCTTCGCTTTTCAATGTAACCATTTTTATGTTTGTGTTAGGCAAAACATGTACAGTAAGAAGTGGAAAATAGCTTTTCTCACAGCCGATTATTTTAAAATCAAGACGACTGCTTTGACCAAAACTGAAACTTTATTTTAAGCGTGGTGTTTCTTTGCTGCAGAGAAGCCCACTGTGAATGGCCTGAAAAGTTGTGTTGTCTGCGGTTCCAGCTGAACCGCAAGCTGCCCACAAAGGCTTTTGTGGTTCTTTCTGAATCAGTGGGCGTACTTCAGTCTCTGCCTGCTTCAATCAATCACGGCTGGGAAGTTGGACCGTGGCCTGAGGTTCTTCCAGTAAAATGCCACCGGTCTATTTGGGTCCCTGTTTTCATGATGTCTTTGGTGTGGTTTGTGGAGATGTACAGACTATAGGGTTTGATGGGGGCACTGCAGCGAGACGCCTTTTACTCATGAAAGTCCATGTTTCCAGTGGCACCTTTTAATCTGAAACACCAACAGGAAGTGCAGGGGAGGGACCACATCCGGTCCAGAACTTAGATCACGAAGGAAGAACTGGGAGTTTTACTGATTGTTCCCTAGAGATTAGAGGTAAAAAATAATAAAACATGAAATTCATGAATGTGATCTTTGCTCTGTGTCGCTTATCTTGCCGCCACATCTACGTTTGATATGTCTAGAATTTCTGCAGCATTACATTATCCTGTTGAAGCAGTGGTTTTGGATCAGAGTGGGTGTTTTGGGGTTTCTGTATGTCGACATTGTTTGCTTTTGCATTCTTGTTGGAGATTTACAACGAGGAATCGAAGCCTCTGCCCATGACTGTGACATTTTTGTTGTGACTCATTCTTCAGGGTTCCTGCCGGGACAACGTGTCTTAAAAACTGGATTTTGAAAATGGTTTTACTGAGAAGGATAATGTTGCTATTCTGTACAGGTTGCTCATTTTTATTGACCTATTTTGACAGATTTTACACTATATGATTAAAGGTGATAAATTACAGGTAATGATAATTGCTGCATGTGTTGTAAACCAGCATTACATTTGCAATAATTTGACATGTGAAGCATTGAAAACCATAAAAGACTTGCATTACCCCTTCAAATTAAAAGCACTAGCCTCTAAAATAACTGACCCACCTCTGACAAAACTACTGACCCCCTTTAATACGAACATTTCTAGACCTTTTAATGACAACGTCTCAAAGGTTTCAAGTTAGGTAAAGGCTGTCACAGCCTGACGGGACACGCTGGCAGCCAAAGAAGGATTTAAAGGGATATTCCGGCGTAAAATTAAGTTTGGGTCCAACACACCGTAACACAGAGTTAGACACCCTGTCGAGAGATGAATGTTGCTGACCGCTTGCTTCTCTAGTTATACCAACTTTAGTAACGACCGCACAATAGCGATACAGAGAGGCATGCACTCAAACAAAAAGCCACTCTATAGCCACAAATAATGCTCAGAACAGCACCTAACTTCATCAACAGGACATATAGGGTCCCAGCCACAGTACTAGCCACCAAACATCTTTTTAACTTTGACTAATTTCTTTAGCAAAGAGACTAAACACAACTCACCTACTCTCTTCCAGCAGCCACTTGTTTGTATGGAGACCTCGAGTCCATTTACTGCAACAGAGGGACGCAGCTCACCCGGAGGTCTCTGTACAAACAAGCAGCTGCTGGAAGAGCTCAAACCTGACCTACAAAAATCTTGTGTATTCTGTATATCACACATGTAAATATGACTCTTGTGCATATCTTTTTCTTAACTTAACTCTAAGTTTCTTTAGTCTTTATTCATTATTTTTTCTTTTTGTGTCTGTACTATGCAGTTTCCCCGCTGTGGGTCTTTTAAAGGAACATCTTATCTTATCTCAAACTCTTCCTCTCTGCCTCGCTCTCTCTCTCTCTCTCTGTGCAGACTGATTTGAAGGACCTGCGTCACTGCCGCTTTGATGAAGGTCCAGCCGAGCTCGGAGCCTGACCTATCTGCTCAGCACCGTGGCCTCCAGCTGGGCGTGCAGAGGAAGGGAACAGAGCTTTCACAGAGCCGAGCCAACCCTGGTTGGTTCTGCTTCCACGAACTGTGACGACACTACATGCGCAGACACGGACTTCTTTTGTCTTTTACCACAAAGTAAACTGGACTAAAAACAGGTGATTTAATGCTGCTTATGACACTAGTTTCTTGGTTATTGATGATATTTTTATGATAAATATATATATATTTGTCAAAATTCACTGTATTCACACAGCAGCTATTTCCCTCCATCACTTTCATCAGAGAAGCTCATTCGCTGTTGTGGTGTTTAACTACAATAATAACCATATAAACCAAGGAAACCTGACATTGTCTGGATTTTACCAACAAATGAAAAGATGAAAACAGTGAAAATCTGGACATTTACATATTTATTTTGTTTATTTTTTTGCTATCACACTTATAACACTAATAGCAGGCACCTAGCTGTAATGCTAATATTAAGGCTCTAAATTATCCGTGTTAATATTGCCTGAAGTCTTTCTCCATATTTTCACTGTTTGTCATTTTCATCAGATTTCCTACATTTATATGACTTTGAACACCATGAAAATATGAGCTTCTCCTGTTTCTGCATTAGACTTCCATAGCAGAACTTCCTTGCTAGCTTCCCCCGCAGTATTTAAGCTCAGCCTAGGTTAACGCTGATAGATGTGAGGTGTGGACAGACACACTGTTTGCTCCGCCCACTTCCACTTGAGGCTGTCTAATCAGACTTTTAATGTTTCTTTTCTTAAAGGTGGGGTAGGCAGGAATCCATTAAAGAAGCATCTTTTTTTGTGGTGTAAATACAAAAAAGCTTTTAATATCAGTCAATAGCTGTAAGTTATTGATGACATTTGGGAATATAACGATATCGCTGTGTTTTGTTATGTCTGTATAGTCAACATTTTAACATTTTCAGAGCGCTCCGCTCTTTCTGTAAACAAGCCATTCCTCGCCTTCCCCATCCTGATTGGTTGTGAGGCAGACGCTGCTCCCCCATGTCGTTCAGACGCCCAAACAAAGTTAGCGTGCTACAATATCGGACAGTAGAAACCAACCAGAAAGTTCGGAAAATTGTCTGAATCCTCCTGTAGCCACGAACACCAACACGAGCAAGAAAACAAAGTAAATACTGGAGACTCTGGCGGAATAACGGGCGCTTAAAAAGGAGGTAGACCACCCGGACAAGAGCTAAAAAGCCGGGTCAACATCAGTAAATGTTTCGGGATCTTACAGACCCTGTAACCTTTCTGCTGGACAGGTAAACCTCTTTAACAAAGTAAGACAAGCGTCTGTAACAGAAGTGGTTCTTGTCAAACGGACCTGCTGTAGCGTGTTGTAGCGCCATCGCTTAACTGTCCTCCCTCGGGTCCTGGACTATGTCACTTTATCCTAGTTGTAGAAGTCCTGCAAACATTGTGTTTGCTGGTAGTCTGTTGGCATCTACAGTAGCACCAATGCTTTTTAATTTCACATTGACTGGGCCCCGTTTGTAATTATTTGAAATATTTAGCTGCATTATATCTGAATTTAATTAGAATGATATAAGCGAGGACGAGCATCTGTTTGTGGGCGTGGCTTGATGAAGCAGAGAGGAGGAGCAGAGGGGAAAACTGGTTGGGAGGGGTAGAGTTTACATTCGAGATTTCTCCTCTAAACTGGCACTTCCTCAGATCCTGCCTACCCCACCTTTAATTTAATTCCACTGTTTTCTTTTAATGGTGTCAAAAAAGGACTCCCCTGTAACGGTGAAGTTTAAAGAGATGCGACCCCGCCCTGGTTTGACTCAGATTGAAAATATTTTTTTAGAGGAAAAGACTGAAGTGATGTTTATTTATAGCTGCTGTGTCGTGGGTCGACCTGTGACCTCCGTGTCATGGGTGGATCGCTCCGCCCAAACTGTTCCTGTGTGGAAATCTGGAGCGTGTCCATACAGCGTGTGGGTGCGTTTGTTTGCATTGTTGTGAAGTATTTCATAACTAAGACTGAAGAGACGCCAGTGTTAAAATTGTGTTTGAAAATATTAGTGTGGGCCTTTTGGCTGTGTACAGTGTATTTAAACTTGTTATTTTAACAGTTTAACACAAATGTTAGCTCTTAACTCAACACCTGCTTTTACAACAGAGTCAAATATCTGTATATGAAGACTGCTATGAGGTTTAAATGTTATTGAATGCCTTTATTAAAGTTAAAACAAAACAAGATCTATGTTCTTTCAGTTTAGTAACCCTTAGTTGAGTAATTCTTCATATATTCTCTGAGATTATACCCACAAAGTCTCCACACTAGCTCTTACTTCTTTCACATATTTGGTTTGTATTGTTTAAAGACTGTGGGTGGTGCAGAAACCTCAGCAGAAACTTACACAATAGGAAACTCATTTCCTTCACAGCCCACTCCAGTCACTTAAACATTTCACCCAGACCCTCTACATGCCTGTACTTAGATTTTTTTAATGATTTATGACTCACATATGCAAATAGTGAACCTAAAATAACCCCAAATGAACTGTTTGGGAGTTTTACATGTTTTTTTTTAAGAGTAGTGTGAGTTAGTCAGTTTTTCAGCATGAAACACCAACCCAAAGAAATAAGTAACTTTTTAACATGCTGCCTAACTGTCTCCACACATCAAGCGCTAGTAAAATCATTCGTGTGAATGAATTACATGTTAAGTCAATGTGAAGACGCGTTTAGACGCTCCTACTACTCTGGCAGTGCGAATGACACAAATAGGGCAGGAAGTGAAAATGTCTCAACTTGAGCAACTGAGTGAGGAGGTTGGATTTCCTGGTAAATTGTAAAAAACTTGATTTGGCAGGGATTACCGTCGACGCGCGAATGAAGCGAGTAAATACTCTCCATTCACATGTCTAGATTCGCGCGAATTAAGCGAGTAGATGATTTGACTCGCGCTTGGTGTGAGCGCCTCATAAGGGTTTTACTGTAATAAGAAAGGTGACAACCAACTCTGGTCCCCCCTATTATTTACCTGAAGGCCATAGTGTGTAGAGAGTGTGTAATGTTCACCAATTTAAAGTACTGAGAGTGTATTTGTGGTGCGTTTCACCGTATTTATTTCATTCTCATGTAAGATTCAATCACTCACGACTTTGGTCTCAAATTTGAAAATAAACAAGGCTCGGCCTCGAAACCCGGGACTGACCCTGTTCTAGACTCCTCTGGGATCCTAAGCTTGACGACAGACTCCAGTTGATCATTCAACACTTTGCAACCTCGAAGGAAGCAACCAAGAGCGAGAGTTGAGGAAAGACTGATCGACAACATGGAGAACAAGCAGAGTTCTGAGCAGAACAGCGGTGCTAGAAACACCCAAGACTATGCAAGACGTTTTTATTGAGGCAAGTCCAATGTCAAGCCCAGGGCAGGCAGCACTGAAGAGATCTGATGGAGGAGATCAGGGCTCTCAGCAACAGATATGACACATCCAAGCTGAATTTGCTGTGCGACAAACTTCACAAAGACGGGAAAGGGTAAGTAGTTCCTTTTACACTGACAGCACTGCCTTGACAGGTTTATTTAGATTATTATCACTGACTCTGGTGTGATAAAAGCTAAATATTTAACTATTAATAAAAACACTGAGGCTTATCAGGAGGAAGCGGTGCGCTGATGTTGAGTAGACAAAAAATAAACATTTAACATTAAACAATCAAGGTTTATGGAGTCACACTGACCGGAAATTAGACTTCACCAATCTTGAGTCTCTAAGAAGACATTTTTGGAAATAGTCATTCTCCTTTTCCACCTCTAGAGGGTGCTGTGGTCAAATTTTCCTTTCTAGTCAAAGCTCTCAGGCTTCATTTCCTTGTCCCAGCTTGAGACTCTACCTGTGTGTGACACACTGTGGGTGGTGGGCGACAATGACGCATGCAGGGTGGGGTAAATCTTTGTGCAACTATGTGTGTGTTTATGTCATCGCGTGCAGGCATGCAGAGCTGTTAGTCTTCACACTTTCAAAACCACAGAGGTAGTACTCAATGCACTACTCTGCACCTTCTAATGTATTCAACGCCTTCTTATCACTTTTTACCCCTCCACTAATTAAATCAGTTCTTGGCCCTAAAATCAGCTGTAAAAATACAGTATTGTCACTCAGACATATACTGGTCTTAATCACTCTCCTCTAACACGTGAATGCCGCACAGTTGTTGTCATTATTGGTTGCTGTTTTAAAGGTAAAAATGAACTGCTCAAATTTTCACACAGCCCGGCCCCGTGGTTTAAGTATATAGCTGGTTTCGGTCTGAACTGAAAGGTGTCATTTCCTGGATTCAGAGTGGAAGAGACTTGATCTTGTGGTGAGTTCGACAAGAACAATAGGTAAGTTCCCTACATGTGTGTCTGCCTGCCCTGCTCCAACCGTGTGCTCTGTGTATAGACGTCTAAGCGTTAAGATGACTCATACTGGTGTGGTCTTGTTTGGATTCTGGCTCCAGTGGTTGGAAAATTTGCATTAGTCAAACACGATCAAAAGAATGTTTTCCTGTTTTGAAATACCAAGTCCAGATTTCAAAACGTCTAAATGAGATATAAATGAGTTATCGGACTATGTTGCCGGAGCAAATGTGAAAGAGCTGCAGTTCCTCAACTGTCCACCAGAGGCCTTCACCAAAAGCGTAGTGATCCTATTAATACCCTTGTTAAATGGCCGATTTTTACAGGAGAATTCTTGTAGCGTGGCAGAGTTAAAGTTGAGTAACCAGAATTAATTTAATTTAATTTAATTTAAGATCAAACACACCGTAACACCAACTTAAGTAATGACTGCAGGATAGCAACACATAGAGATCTGAGGAGCCATAAACAAACCTCAACCAAAACGCCACTCTATAGCCACAAATAATGCTCAGAACAGCACCTAACTTCATCAACAGGACATATAGGGTCACAGCCATAGTACTAGACACCAAACATCTTTTTAGCTTTGCCTGTTTTCTTTAGCAAAGAGACTAAACACAACTCACCTACTCTCTTCCAGCAGCCACTTGTTTGTACGGAGACCTCCATTAGAGAGACTGCAGTGGAGTTTCGCAGCTCAAGGAAAAACATTTATGATCATTTCTTTATCATTTCCTTGAAGTAATAATCACCATTAATCATTTTGCACTGCAGACGCGGTAGTTCTTCTGTCTTTGCATCTCAGTCTGACTGCATGTCCATGAAGAAATGATCATAAACGTTCTTCCTTGAGCTGCGTCACCCCGCAGCAGTCTGTAATGGACTGAGGTCTCACTACGAACAAACGGCTGCTGGAGGAGAGTAGATGAGTTGTATTTAGTCTCTTTGCTAAAGAAATTAGTCAAAGTTAAAAAGATGTTTTGTGGCTAGTACTATGTCTGTGACCCTATATGTACTGTTGATGAAGTTAGGTGCTGTTCTGAGCATTATTTGTGGCTATAGAGTGGCGTTTTGGTTGAGGTTTGTTTATGGCTCCTCAGACCGCTGTGTATTGCTATCGTGCTGTTGTTACTAAAGTTGGTATAACTAGAGAAGCAAGCGGTCGGCAACATTCATCTCTCGACGGGGTGTCAAACTTCAGTGTTATGGTGTGTTTGACCCTAAATTAATTTTATGCCAGAATATCCCTTTAAGTCCAAGTCAGGTTTGAAGTTCTAAGATTTTGAGTTTGAGTCAAGTCCTAGTTGTTATAGGATTAGAGCCAAATTCGAGTCAAGTCTTCATTGTAATATGGTGGTTATTTTACTTCAGTCGAGTGATCCTGGTCTGACTGTACAAATCTGGTCTGACACCTACCCCCTCATAGCAGTTTCAGGCATCAAAAACTACAACTTAAAAAATTTCCACCCTGTTGCTGATGGTCTGGTTTGATTCTCAGGGTCATAAAGAGGCATCAGGATCAGTTTCAGCCCATTTCCAAACCAGTCAAAATCCCCCACTGTACCTTTAATAATGACAACAAATGTGAAATCTGAAAAGTAGAAGGATGTCTAAGTGAGTTATTCTTCACTTTAACGTCACTATTACAGATTTAGCCTTTTGTCTGTCTTTGTATGAATGTTTTATGTGATGTGTGGTTTGACTTCCTGTTCACCAGGCGTCTGTCTGCCTTTCTGTTTGCTCCCAAGCTTACGACAACCACCACATAAAACAAAAACCGTTTTTATTACCATCAAATAACAGTAGAGGCGCAAAATCTCACACCAGTAAAGAGAGAAACCGTCAACAACATTGAAAAAGTGATATTCAGGGAGGAGATACACGCTCAAAGTATGAGAAATCTGAGAATGTGTTAAAATCTGCACACACACGGACACACTCTCCATTGAGTACAGCACTTTCTCACATTCAAAATTTCACTTCTTGTATCGTTGCTGCTATTTTAAGAGGAATTCACTCTCACAAAAGGCCTTTAATGAGAAGATGGGTTTCTACCATTTCTTAAAAAAAATAGTACATCCAAAGTCTAACAGATACACAGAAACCAGATATGAGTAACAGCTCTGAACTCTTTACATTTTGATCAATAAATCTCATATCAGAGTTTAGACACACATAGAGAGAGTCTACTGATTCCCTTCACAGATCGGACCCATGGGCAAAGCATGATGGGAGGGCTGATGGTCTGGATCTGGGGTGTTCCTTGAGTCTCCTGCAACACAGGCACATTGAATTGACTTGAAGAGAAACCAGATGATTGTATCTGACAGAATTTATGGTAAGACGACCCTTCTTGTTTTCTCAAGAACAATTTAAGCAAGACCACAGGGGGCGCCAAAATTCACACAAACTGAAAGTTCCTCACAGGAGCTTTGAGCTGAAATTGTTAGACGTTTGCAGTCGTCGTTGAAAAATATTTAAAACAATTCTCACCTTTGCATGTAGATTTTGATGCAGCATATATAGCCATCACTATGATGAGAGACCCCATGATTCCTACAACATAGAAAATAAAAGGCATAAAGGTCTCCTCATCCTCGCTGTTTGGGGTCCCTGCAAATAAACAACAACACACTTCAGCATTAGGGTCAGTGTGGAACGAAATCTGTGATCTCACTGTCAGAAATAAATCAAGTTTTCTTCATGTTCTAGTGTTGTCTGTGGTTTGAAATACATGTAGATTATTTTATTTGCAGTTTATTCCTATTAACTTTATTAGGATATTTTTCTTTATTGGGAGTGTTAAACACACCCCCAGTTCCACTTACTCTGAGAGACTCAGCCACTCTGTCATGCTCATCTGAATGCATTGCCTGTACATACTATTTGTAATTTGAAAAAAGGACCAGTAGTTCGACTGATAGATCCACATTTTTGCTTCATTGTACCCTTTTCTTTTATAGCTACTGTGATATCAGGAACTTTGACTGCAACAACACCTGACAAAGATGTGCGTACCTGCAGAAAAGTTCAACTCACCTGTGACGTTGACCTTGATGTTACGTCCCACTTGCCCCTCACTTTCACAACGATAAACACCAGAGTCGTTTGTGACAATATTTTGAAAAATCAGAGACGAAACTCCTTCTAAGTGCTTCAAAGTTTGCCACTCTGTTTTCAAGCGATGGCTGCTGTCACTTATGAGAATGAAGACATCATTCTCATAATTTCGCTCAAGTTTGAACCAGGAGACTGTTGGTGGGGAGTCATCACAGAATTTAACTGTGCAGCTAATCCTCAGGTCTTCCCCAAGAAAGGCTTCATACTTGATGTTGCGCCGCACAATGTAAAATTCACATTCATCTTTACCTGCAACAAAAATATGCCAAACAGTAAAGTTTTACAATTCAGAGCTGAAGGAGACAATGAAAGCACTCACAGGTGATCTAGATTTAGAGACAAAGTACAAGATCACAGAAGAGTTGCTTTAATGGTGCAGCAGCTGTGGTCAGCAAACAGGAAGTCACATGTGCTGCGGCAAAAGTGGTGAAGTGTTCTTTGTTACCTTAAATTCTGGTGGGAAACTCTTAAAATTAGACATGTTGAGGTTTAATTCACAGTATAGCAGATGTTTTGGTGAAACTTGAATCTGGATTGGAGTTGACCAACTTTTATGGGTGAAATTCAGCAGAGTGTAGCATGAAGCCAAATATTTTGTAATTTTCAGAGCCCAGAATTTTGCAATAACACTTTTGTTCTTCCATCTTGTATTAGCAGAATTTAGGCATAGTAATGTGTCAAAACTTTCTCTAAAAACCTGCAATAAAACCAAAGTCCTTCCTACTGCCTAAAAAGGTTGGTTAGGAGGTTTTTTTGATTTTTCCCTCCAAAAAAACATGAAAAGTCCTCAAAAAATTCAACAAGGGTGCAAACTATGACCAATATTGCATCAAACAAACATCTATTCTTGTTAATCCTTCCTTTGCTGCCCTTTTTGACTGTATACATACATATATAAGTTTAATGAATTTGCTCGACCACTTTCATGTAAGGGCGGGTTCATTTCCGTGATGAACCACGCAGTTGAATCTTTGGCTGTGTCTTGAAAAATATGTGTTTGCCGTCTCTGGGATGAGACCTGCTTCATCTTTTTAGCTTTTAATGTTACAAAACAAACTTTTCTGGATTATTTACTGAGAGACGACAGTCACACAAATTAAGACGGTTACAGATATAACAGCAAAAACTTACCATCAGCTTCCAAAGTGAGGGGTCCAGCAGCCAAGACCAACATGTACAGAGTGAAGGAGAGGTACTTTGGTTTCATGTTTAAAAGATTTTAAGATCCAGTCGCCCAGTCCAGTAAACCTTCTACTAATGTAGCTGAGCTGAACAAGACAAAACAACTTCTAGTGGACTTGACTTCCTGCTTTCTTTTAAACAGGGTCTTTGGTGACTCCTTACCCACAGTGCAAAGTGTGTGGTGAAGACAGTCACACATCATCATGCAAACCAAGGACATCAATGACACCTTTTTGTTTGACCTCAGATCATCAAAAACTTGAGGGCTGCGAGATAAATACGGCTTAATAACGTCCTCGGTGTTGGGTTGTGTTCGAGTAAACAAATTAAAAAAGCAAGTCAGCGATGATCTTGTCTTATATTCTTAACTAAAACCAAGCAGGTACATTGTAATATCTGATTGCACAAAATAAAAATGATCAGTACATTCTCCTTATCTGAGTAAAACAGTAACACATAAAATTACAGGAGCTGTTTAGTCATTCTTCAGTCGTAAAATGAATCAAAGGTTGATACGTAAGCTCATAGAATCATAACTGTAAACAGATCTGATGTTACTCATCGTTAAATTCAAGTCTTGCAAATAAAACAGCGTAAAATCACAGTTTTAACATGTGGCATGAGTGTGAAAACAAAACATCAAACCCAGAGCAGATCCAAAAGTGAAACCAGATCTAGATTGATAAGAAACCTCCGATCTCCATGATGATTCAGTCTAGTTTTCCTCCTTGTATCTTGGAGGATTGGGTTGATTGGTTTGTATTTTACAGAAAGTGGACAAAGTAAGCAGATTCTCAGAGTCATGTTGGTTTCCTGAGAGAGAGAGGTCATGTGTAAACACAGAGGCAGAAGGGTTTACAGTGAAAGTCGTAGGAGTCTCAGGTAGATTGGTATGAATTGTGTTGCATTAATGTATAAAAATAGAGTCGATTTTCCAAACGCGTACAAACTTCGGCTGTCTGTCCAAAGTCTTCTTTACAAATCTCTACGAGAGAGTTCGTCAGTGGTCCTCTAGTGTCTAAGAGCAGTTGGAGTCCCTTACACGAATGGCAGCGTACTCCGAACTTTCCTCCTTTGGCCTTCGCGGTCTCGCAGGAACCCTCGCTGGTAGCTGATGGTTGAGGGCGGCGTACACAAGAGAACCCTCCTCCGCTGTTTTCGTCTGTCGCTGTCTGCCGTCTTTAACGAAGCTGTAAACACACTCGTTGTCACTCACTACCGGCGACTCACTGAGCTGTGGTGGCGCTTTCGGCCGACGGGTTGACCTCTGAGATGGCGGAATATGGGGGTTTCCTCTTGGCGAGGGTTGGGCGGTGGTGCTTTGGGAGGGTTGCTCACTCATGGGGATCGCCACATACTGCAAAGATCCAATAAAAGGAATTTAACTTTCAGCTACGATTAAGGTGTTAAGATGTCATTTTTTTGTGATTCCAAGTCTTACCTGATTTTCCTCTTGTGTCCTCTTAGATTTTCCTGCATGATGACATTTCGGTTGTATTACTACAGCACAGTTAACGTGACAAACTTATTAAATCATGAATAAAAAAACTTAACATGTTACCTTTACACCCTTGCATTGATGCGACAGATATAATAATCACGATGATGACGAACCCCACGATACCAGCAGCAGGGTACACATACATCATCAGATCTTTTGGGAATGGAGGACTTGAAGTTGTGCTATCTGTGGACAAAGAGGAAGTTTGACTCAATATGACTGTGTCATTTCTTTAAACCTCACCAGTAAAGGCAGTTTAGACGGAAATAAAAAATGACACAAACTTGTCTTACTTATGATATTCATTGCTGTTGTACTCTTAGGCCCACCATAATCTAAAACACAGTATAAACTTTAGTCTTCATGACCCTTTTGGTTAAACCTGACAATGATGTGTATAACCAGGGTAAAGTTCATCTCACCTGTGACGTTGACGTTGATGCGATTTCCAATTTTACTTTCACTCTCACAACGATAATCACCAGAGTCGTTTGAAAAAAATTTTGGAAAAATCAGAAATGAAACTCCTTCTAAATTGTTCAACATCTGCCACTCTTCTTTCAAGCGATGGCTGCTGTCATTTATGGGGATAAAGACATCATCCTGCCCAAGTTTGAACCAGGAGACTGGTGGTGGAGAGTCATCGCAAAATTTAACGGTGCAGCTAATCCTCAGTTCATCCCCAAGAGAGGCTTCATACGTGTTGCGTGGCACTTTAATGTAAAATTCACATTCATCTTCACCTGCAAGAAAAAAGTCATAGATTTACCGTCATAAAGTTGTTGTATTTATACCAAATAGTATGAAATATTTACACTTTCTGGGGTTTTTCAGATGGCCGAGTGGGTTAGCACGCCAAGTGGGTTAGCGCACCCCATACATTGGGACCACAGTCCCCGCAGTGGTCGCTGGCTCGAATCTGGCCCTAACTATGTGCTGCATGCCCTCCCCCCTCTCTCCCTATCTCCCCACATTACACTCTGTATTGTCAATAAAAGGCAAATATCGCAAAAGAAAAATACGGAAAAATAAATATATGTATTTACGCTTTAACAAACGACGTGACCAACGTGACCAACATTATCCGCTCCATGTCATCATCCACCTGCATCCTAGATCCCATCCCATCCTCCCTCATCAAGCACTGCCTCCCCGTCATCTCTCCCATCATTACACAAATCATCAACTCCTCCCTCAACTCTGCCACTGTTCCACCCTCACTCAAACTGGCTGCTGTCACCCCCATCCTTAAAAAACCTGGACTCAACCCCGACGATATCAATAACTTCCGGCCCATCTCCAACCTCCCTTTCCTGTCGAAAATCCTGGAACGAGTCATTGCATCACAGATCAAAGCCCACCTCAACAATAACAATCTCTATGAACTGTTTCAATCAGGATTCCGCACCCACCACAGCACCGAAACTGCCCTCATAAAAGTCACAAACGACCTTCTCATATCTGCTGACTCCGGCCAACTCTCCATCCTCATCCTCCTCGATCTCTCCGCAGCTTTTGACACCATTGACCACGCCATCCTCCTGTCCCGCCTACACTCCCTCCTCAACATCACAGACACTGCCCTCAACTGGATCCAGTCATATCTCACAAACCGGAATCACTTCATCCACATCAACAACTGCTCCTCCAAAACTGCCCCCGTGTCCCAAGGTGTCCCCCAGGGTTCGGTGCTTGGTCCTCTCCTCTTTATCATCTACCTCCTCCCTCTCGGCCACATCCTCCGTCAACACAATCTCCATTTCCACTGCTATGCTGACGACATTCAATTATATATCTCTTCCACCTCCATCACCCCCCAGACCCAACGCTCCCTCTCAAACTGCCTCACCGATGTTAAAAACTGGATGGACACCAACCTTTTAAAGCTCAACTACAACAAAACAGATCTCATCATCATTGGCCCAAAATCCCTCACCTCCACAGTCACAGACTTTCAGCTCTCCATTAACAACACTACCCTCTCCCCCTCCCCCCACTGTCGCAACCTTGGAATTCTCTTTGACAGCAACCTCACCTTCACACAACATATCAAGCACATCTCCAAAACAGCCTACTACCACCTCAAAAACATTGCCCGCCTCCGCCCCTCCCTCTCCTACTCTGCAGCCGAAACCCTTATACATGCATTCATCTCATCCCGTCTAGACTACTGCAACAGTCTCCTCCACGGCACTACCTCCACTCTCCTCAATAAACTTCAGCTCATCCAGAACTCTGCCGCCCGCCTCCTCACCCATACACGCTCCCACCAACACATCACCCCCGTCCTCCAGAACCTACACTGGCTCCCCATCCCCCATCGCATTCAGTACAAAATCCTCCTTCTCACCCACAAAGCACTCCACAACCAGGCCCCCCCACCTGCAAGATCTTCTCCACCCCTACATCCCCCCCGCACCCTCCGCTCTGCTGATGCCAACCTCCTCACAGTACCCTCGACCAAGCACCGAACCTGGGGGGACAGAGCCTTCTCAGTCTCTGCCCCCACCCTATGGAACTCACTCCCACTGGACCTCAGAAATTGCTCCAACCTTACCAAATTCAAAACCCAGCTCAAAACTCACCTTTTCCGCACTGCTTTTCATCTTCCTTAGCCCCCCCCCCCCTTGATTGTTGATTTTACCTGATTTTACTTGATTTTAATTGATATTGATGTATTTTATTGTATATTGATGCATTTTTATTGTATACTGATATATGATTTTAGCTATGTACTGCGTCTTTGAGTCTTTGAAAAGCGCTTAACAAATAAAATGTATTATTATTATTATTATTAACATCAGTGTGTTTTCTCGGGATTTCTGCAGGTTTCCAAAGGTTAAGAATAAAATGACCTTTTGGCTACTACACTGAGCGCCATTTAAAAACAGTTAGGCCAAAATAAGCAGATAATGAACCAAAATCATGGAATTTATTACATCCCAAACAGTTGCTTTTTTTTTAAAGCTTTTTACTACATGTATTTTAAGCAGGGTTTTAAATTCATTGGCAAAAAAAAACTGAATAGATGATTTGATTGGACTACTGTCTTTGTAACGGTTTAAAAAAACAAAAAAAATGGATACATTTGCTAAAGTTTGTCTTCCTCTGCTATAGCAGGTAATAATGCCCCCTCTCAGTTCACCAGTCACCGAAAAGAAGATAGTGAAAGTAACACTATAACCTTAAAAGACACGTACGCATGAAACCACAGTGCCAAAAAGTGTCACTTTTTATAATGAGATGAATGGAAACAGCATTTGCATGAAATCCAGCCATTAAAAGAACTGAGAGACCCTGCCTTAAGAGGTGTTTTAGGGGAACTTTGAACCCACACATATGAACTCACTGTTGCCTAAGACCTTTTATAAGATTTAACATATGTTAACAGTGAATTTTAAAATTGAATTGAAAGATCTCATTCAGCTTTTTTGGAAAAAAAATGTTTCTGCTAAAATGTAATCTTCCAGAGAGCAGTGAAAAGGTGACCCCGGTCTTTCAGTTCGGAAATGATACACCTTTTTACAGAAGTAAAACAACACAGCCATGTGATGACATTTTTCAGTTTGATTATGAAGTTTTATTTCCCGTTTCTCACTGGTAATTTCATTGCTGGATTAGTATTCGCTCTACTGTTGTAATCCATGCCTAAGTGGCTAAGTAACTAAATGAACCATCATGATATAGCAAAACGAAAGCAAAAAAAAAGAAAAAAAAGCTGTGATGGCCAAGAAAAAAGAAAAAGAAAAAGAAAAACACACAAAAGGAAGTAAAAGACTACAGAGAGTGAGAAAACAACTACTGAGACTGATGTCTTTTTGAGTCACAAGATGACTTGACAGCGTCTTTCGAAAATAAAACCTTTATCTCAATAAGATGATCTTTATGATTGAAGATGTAGAAAATAAGACAAAAATACCAACAAATACAAAGAGACACAAGTAAGCCTGAAAACAGAGTCTTCTATCAAACCTACTTAAAACTACAGAGACACAAAGCATGGGGTATACTTTGAGTGAGATTTAAGCTCAAACAACTACAGATGCAAACAACTGGACAAGATGGAAAGAGGAAGGATACAGTGGCACAAATGCAAACTAAACAACCGCAATGACGTGCCCAGTTATTTAAATAAGTGACACAAGCAGCTATGAAAAAGCAAAATAATCACCTCAGTGTCACAAGAATCAATCTGCCACATTAAAAGTCGTCATTAAATGACACTTTTTTACCCTCAGACCACAACAAGATTTTAGCATCACAAGGAAACCACAGATTAGACGATCACAGGAAAGGCACTGTGGTCATCTAGATAAAATTAGGTCATACGTGAGGCTATTTCTGTCGTTCAGGACTAAGGAAACACATCAGCTGTCATTTATTTAAGATGATAAGAAACTACCCAGTTGTAGTCTTAATTCAGCTACAGGATCACTGAGTAAGTAGACGATGGAAAGAGTCAATGATCAGATCTTGAGAGATAAAACTGTCTTGTTTTTAAAGCCTCTTCGTTTTACAGTAAAATCTAATACTTTCCATGTAATCCCCCACACACACAGAAACACCCCTAATGGAAGATATTCAGTGAAACTATCTTGTCAGCATCAGATAATGTCAGTTTTAGAGATATTCATGGTGTAAATGTCACGGTCACTTTCAAGTTTCACTTATGTTAGATCTTCTGGTGATACTTCTGCACAGAATTCCTCCTATCCATTGGTTTTCGAGGATGCCTTCTCATCAGCTTTGTAATTTTAAAACTACATCACTTGGCTGTATCTACTATTTATTTAAACTTTTTTAGCCATCTCTGTTGTTGCATTTTAAAAAGACCACGGATATCAGACCGTCAGCGCTTACCAGAGAAATGAAAAGCTGACCTCTTTGTAAAAATCCCTGATTTCAGACATCACAGACCCATAAAGGAAGGAAAAGAAACACTAGATAAATACTGAGACTGCACAAAATGCGAAAGGAAAACTTACCGTCAGCATTTACGGTGATGAGCAGTGCTGCCAAGATGGACACATGCAGTAGAGTCCAGCAGTTTTCAGGCCTCATGATGGAAACAATCATCACACCTTTATTCATCTTCCAGTCGCAGGCAGTCCTAATCGGAAAAGTTCCTCTGAGCTGGTCATCATTTGATTGAAAAACAGAGAAGTGCTGAAGACGAGGTTAAACTTATTTGCTGCATGCTGCTTCCTCTTTCTAATCTCCACCTCTACCTCTCTCCCCCTTAAAGTAGAGGCGGTGAGACTGCAGGAGGGGAGTGAAGGTCGGTGGGTGGTCTTGCTTCTGCAGAAGTTGCAGATTGAAATAGTGAGACGTCTCAGATTTGGGGGTTTCCACTTTTTTTAGGTGCAACAGTAACTCGACAGCAAGAGCAAACACCTGACATGTCAGCAAATGAAACTTTTCCTGTCACTTCAGAGTCTTAGCCTGTGCACCTTGACTTCAGCTTCAGCACTCTTAAAGCAGCGTCTGTGGTTCACCATGTTCAAGCTGACTTCCTCTCCACGATCCTTTCCTTTCATCGGCAACATCTGCTTCTCCTGCAGACTTGTGCGGCCGTGTGCACAGAGCTGTGTGGTTTCAGAGGAGGATGTACAGTGCACTGAAAAGAAGAGCTTCAATGCCCACTTTACTGATGTGTGTGGTTGGTATCAGGCAACTACATCAACCTGCGACCTGCTTATTTGTCAATGAGTCAGTGTCATTCAGGTTTTAAAGGAGCGTTCCAACAATTTTCCAACAAATTCAGAGCCATAAGAAATTTGCTCAATTCGTGTCTCTTTCTTGTGTCTCTTGTCTCTTGCTAATTTTCTTGTGGGTTTTGGGTCCAAAACATATCACTATATTTCATAATCTAGTATTTTAAACAGAGACGCCCAACTTTGTAGCATGGCAACAGTGGAGGAGGCTTGAGCATAGACTGTATACAGAATGGACAGCGTCTGCGTCCTCGCTGGGTGAAGCCACTCCGAGAACAGCACCCTCTGGTGAAGGTATGCAGTATAGGTCATAAATCCCGCCTCCTCCAGCAATCCCTATGGAGCTGTGGACAAACTTTAGAAATGTGTTAAACAGAAGATACATTTTTCTCCGCTCTGCTTGCGATGTTGACATGTAGTTATTGTAAGACCGGTTTGTGCTCAAGTCCACTTTTTTCTGTACAGCTCAGTTTTTAAAAGTTATTCGGAGGTTCATGTTTTATATGATTGACACTTGATACAGCCTACGGGCATATGAAGATTGCATAGCTCACCCAGGGGATACGCTGTTTGAGCCGAGCGTCATCCCGCCGAATGCGTACAATGCTACTGCGCAATGTTGGTTTCAGGATACTGAGAAAAAACGCAGAATTACTGAGAGCTTTTTGGATTCAAATCCGTATACTTGCGAAGGGCGGAACCAAGTTGTCCATACATCTATGGGCTTGAGGAGTGTTGCCATTTTTCAGCAGTCAAAGCATCAAGAGTCATTGTGGAAAATGTCAACCAAAGCTGTTTATACTACCTACCCTTTGGTAATGGTTTTGAGCGTTAAAAATTCCTTTAGATGAATAAAAAAGATGCCGACATCTAGTAGACCTAATGTGAAATATTTTTTGTGTATTTTCAATTGGGGAAGAAAGGAAAACAACAGGTAAGTGACTATGGGATGCTCTCAAGGGCCACAGAAGGACCTTCAGTCCAAGTTGTGCTTACTCTTACTCTAAACCACTGGTTCTCAACTGGTGGGCCCTGACCCAAAAGTGGGTTGCAGACACGTTCTGGATGGGTCACGAACAGCTGGTCAAAAAAGTAAATATTTTTTGCGAAACAATATTTTTGTTAGTTTTATATAGATTATACAAAGGAAACATATCCCAAACACCCCCTTTCCCTCCAAACCCCGTCTCCTGCTGGATATTCCTATTACTGTGCTTAAATAACAAATTCTGGAGCCATAACAAAAATAATAATAATAAAAATAAAAAAATTTAAAAAATACAAGTAAGTGCTGGAATTTGCAGATTTTGAAATACATAAGATGTTGAGGAATAAAAAAGTAAAAAGAGAATAATGAACTACTGTACGTTAAGAGAAATACAAATGTAGACAAGTCGCTGAAAACTGAAAAAGTACATAAAAGAGATAAAAATTTAAATTGTATGTTTATAAAACATTACAGAAATATATTTAAAAAAGAAAACAACTAAAAGAGGAGAGTGATAATTCAAAACAAGTAAATATTTAATGCGCAACTGATGCTTGACATGTCTTTTATTTTGAAAAATAGCTTCTTTTGAAAGGCACGCATTATGTCAAATTTTTCATTTTGCTTAGATATTTTATGTATACGCAACTTCAGTAGTTGTCGTCCTCAATTTATGTACTTTGAAATGCACTTTACTCAATAAAATAAGTGTATTTATGTTAAAGATTTGAGTCTTTAAAGGTTATTTTTTTAAGAAACAAATTAACTTTGTTATAAAAGTGGGTCGCGACTTAAGGACCATGGGAAAATGTGGGTCCCAGAGTGAAACCAGTTGAGAACCACTGCTCTAAACCAAATCATGATTGGTTTTGTACGTTGTAGCCTGATCATCTTTAATTCCATCAATTTGGAGAGGAAAAGGGTCAAAATATACGCACAGCTAATAAACCGTGACTGAATCCCCTTTTACATCGAACAAAAATTATGAGTTTATGACATTATTAAATGGTACAATAGCGCCGAGTAGAGGCCTTGACGGTTAAAGCAAGTAGTGACGCCATGACGTTCAGTTTTACGTCGACGACTAGCCGAAAATGGCGGAGTACCTGGCATCCATTTTCGGCACAGAAAAAGACAAGTAAGTTTTATTTCATTAATGTGTTATTGTTAGCGACGATGAGAGACGTTATGGAGAGCGTTTTTGCAGCTAGTCTGATTGGTGTTCGTGTTTGGTCAGTTGGGGGCCGCGGCGCCACAGAATGTTCTAGTGAAGCTAGGAGTAGCACGAGGAAGCTAAGTGTGAGCTCGCGCATTGAATGAAACTCAGGGAGACACCTTAGCTAACCTGCAGCAGCGGTTTCCTGGAGATGTGCGCCAAAATGTGCCATTTCTGAACGCTTTTAGGAGTTTATTTAAAGTCATGTAAACACCAAAGCATCCTTTGTGTCGTCTCCCCGATGAAGGGAGCTTGTTAGCCCAGTAACAGTGCTCCTGAGGGGGGCTGTTTTGTTCTGGTTCACCGGTGGAGAGCAGCAGACGCCAACGTACTGATATAAATATTAGTAATTAGCGACGAAAAAATGAGTATTTTGAATTCGTAAAGTAGCTTAAGTTGTTATTTTACTGTAAGTTTGTCTGTGAGCGTGAGTTAAAACAGTAAAGTAGTGTAGTTAAGCAGTCACATGTGAGTTAAAATGAGTCCATTGTGAAACAAACGCGAATATGTTAGCTATTAGTTTATTGCTTTTATAAGTTTATTAGTATAATGCACTTATTACAACTCCAACAATAAGTTTGAACATCAGCTAGCATCTGTCTGAACTGCTGTCTGTTTATAATGCTCTAAAATACATGTTTTTTGATACAATTTAAAGTTCATTATTTTTTCAATGTTACAACAGATAAACGAACATCAAACAAAACAGATGTAATAGAAGGCAAAAAAAGTAGTAATATTAACATGAATACACATAAGAAAATAAAAATACAACAATCGGGTAATTTGGCAAGGTAAGGTTAACACATCTGTCTACCAAAACTATCCCATTTTTCTTTTATCATATTATTGTCACAATTTGATCTCCCCAACATCTTCTCACATGCTACAGTCCTCATCATCTGTGTTTTCCACATACTCAGTGTGGGAGCTTGAGGTTCCTTCCAACTAGGGATGGGAATTGATAAGATTTTATCTATATCGATGCCATTATTGATTCTACTTAATGACTCAGTTCCTTAACGGGTCCCTTATCGATGCCTTTCTTTGATTTAAAAAAAAAAAAAGTAGACTATAGGTTTTCACAGTTAACTCCAAATTTGATTGAGTCTTGGATAACAGAAAAAGATGTATGTCACCTTCAGTGAGAGTCTAAAAAAAATCAAATGACAAACTGTTTGTACAGCATTTACTTTGGTCGTAATTAGGTCAAATACACACTGCGTTGTTAAGTCTGGCATGCATTGCGCTTGTGTTAACACAGGACATAAGCATTGATGCCATGCCCTGTTGACAAATGTTGCAGGTGTTTTCACCTTTGCATGTTATCACGTCTCAACAAATGTTGCATGTCACACTGTTGTCGTCTTTCTTTGTTAAATGAAGCCACGCTTTCGTACCATCCGCCAAAGTCTCTGTTCTCGTTTGTGTAGTTTTCCAAGGCCCCCCGATTAATGGGATTGTTAAGGGAATCGTTAAGATAAAATGTAAGCGATGTCGATGTATTGAACCATTTGAACCATTCGATTCCCATCCCTACTTCCAACACCTCAGAGAAGTCCGTGCACATGTTATTAGACCAGATTTTAATATTCTAAAACTGTATTTATTCAACAATAAGCACCATAGTTCTGTCTCCAAGGGGACATAATATTGGTGATCTGGGAAAGTCGTAATTTAACAATTTGCTCATATAGTCTTTAACTTAAAATGCATGTTTAAGCAAATAGGGAGTTTACCATGCACTTAATTTCTGCAGAAATTTTAAACTCAACTTTTTAAGATTTTAGTGACTTTATTTTTTATTTTAATGCCTTTTAGTAGAAGAATAGGACTGTCTGCGCCTGCAGGTTGGGATGTAATAGAGGCTTTCAGCTTCAGGGACTATATCCTCTGCACACGTGGCGGGTGATTTATGACTCGACTAACCCAGGGCCTTGAATTTCATCTTGAAAGTCTTGTAACACTGTCTCTTTTTATTCCCAGGGTTAACTGTTCGTTCTATTTTAAAATCGGTGCATGCAGACATGGAGACCGCTGCTCGAGATTGCACAATAAACCAACCTTCAGCCAGGTGAGCATCCCACTGACAGTTTCCCATCGAATATTAAAGCTTTTTGAGGAAGTTTGACAATTACTTAATGATGGTTCACAGAGTTTGTAGCCTTGAGAGACAAAACCTTTTACTATTTACCTCAAAGGAGACACTTCTGGCTCAATGTTTTGCTCACTCCGTTATGAAAAAGCATCTTTCCACCTCCTGCTGACGTATATTTTGCCTCCTTACTCACCTGGTTTTACACTCTTATCACCAGCCATTGTAATCATTTCAGTTCCTGGATAATTTTAGATGTTAATAATTAATAAAGATGTTTTTTGTTTTTTTCATTAAAACCCCCAAATGTCCTCACCTGATAAGACAATGTCGCATTGCCAGTTGTACTTGAGTTTATATAACTGTTATGTCTCCGCTTCAGCCTGTTTTGCTTGGCTTTGGACCTGAGAGTCAAACGTTTGTTGGAGCGTGAGTACGCGGCTCACACGGTGTTCTGCTCAAACCATTACAAGCCATGTGAATGTTTGGGTTAATGTTTGAAGAAGCACTTCAGTGTCTTGGCTGAACATTTTCTCGTTTAGCTCTTTTTTTTTTTTTTTGTAATAATCCAGTTTGTTTTTATTTAATGAGATTTGACTTTTAAGATTAGTCAAGGCAACAGCGAAATCAGCAAATGTGAGCCCGCTGTAATTCAGGCTACCTTATAGGCTTTTAAAAATGTAACTTTGGTTTTGGGAGGATGCCACAGTCTTCCTCACAGTCCTCCTCAGTTTAGCTCAACTCTAAATGAACTGTAACAGCATGCCAATATCCGCATTTCTCCTTCAGGTTGGGAGGATTTTGTGCTTAAAAAACAAGCTGAAGACCAGAAAACAAGGAGCTGTAAGTAGATACTGACAAAGATTACAGGCTGATTTTGTTGTTTTCTGTTCCTTTTAGACCATCTTGATTCAAAACATCTACCGGAATCCCCAGAACAGCGCACAGACGGCCGACGCTTCTCGCTGTGAGTTAAACATTCATCAGCAAACCCCTCTTTGTTTCCAGAATAACCTCTCACATGTACAAACAGGTGTGCTTCTGTCCTGCCCACCATCGTATCATTCCAAACCTAATATTCAGTCTTCTCTTATTATCACCTTAAACCAACAAACAAACGCACACCTGCTTCTGTTCGGCTCTTACGCTATCAAGCTCACAACCTCGGCGCCTCACAGCAGGTCCTGAGTATCTGAAAGCAAACAGAGAGAACTCGCTGACTGTGCTGAGTGTGGTTTAAAAAAAAAAAAAAAACTTGGACCTGTGTGACGAAATGTCGACACTTTTATCGACCTAAAGCAAAAACTTTAACTTCAGTTAAAACAAGGGCCCGACCGATATGGATTTTTATGGGGGGAAAAAATCAGATTAGTGATTAAATTAAATTAAATCCGATTTAATTTTTATGAAGTTATAAAAATATGTATATACTGTAGATACTGTGGGCTACTGCTCTTCATGCAGACAGGAAGACCGACTGATCAAACTCGGACCAGAAAAGCGTTTTCATGTTATGAGGTCGCTGTGCCATCTACAGGGTAAGTCGGGGAACTTTTCAAATGGCGCAACATTTTTGAAGTGAAACCGAATTCTATTTTCTGCATTTTATTTCTGAAAATATCAGCGAAAATCTGCAAGTTTTGGCCGATTACAGATTAGTCTCAAACGGGCTGAAATTGGTCGATTTAATCGTCTCGCTGATAAATCGGTTGGGCCCTAGTTGAAACTCTGCCTTAGCACATGAGGAAATAAACTCAGAGCGACTTTAAAAACTGCCGTCATCAACAGACATGAGTTGGTTTGTTGCAGCTCAGGTTTGTTTAAAGGGGAACTACACGCGTCAACATGCATTTATACGCATCATTAAAAAATGTGGGTTTCCAGCAGCATCCTGGGAGACTAAGACGACTCCTCTCACACAGACAGACCTCTGGCTGCAGTAAAGGCACGAAGCAGCCTCGAACTAGTCGGCTAGAATAAACATCTGCTCTGTTTGTGACGAGAGCAAAAAGCATGTCAAAGAAGTTAATTTCCAACTCTGCATTTTATGGCAGTGGACTAGTGGGTCATGGCGTGTTTGAAGACGTATAACCTTTGAATTATTACCTTTTTTTTGTACCTGTGAAGGAAAACTGTCGACTTTCATGTCTTAAACTGAAAGTGTGTGCTTCTGGAAAAAAAAACTGACAAATATGGAAATAAAAGAGCTGCATTATCAGCATCATAGCACTGTTTTGTCTGACTCCATTTTGTTTTGTCACTGAAGTTTAAGTGTCATTTGTTGGACCGTTTTAGTCTTAACGACCTTGAAAACCTTCCCAGTCTGCTGATGGTTTAAAGTTCTCCCTTCACTCACAGAGACCTTTCTGCACCGAGTGTACTTGACTCCCTGAAAACTGATTAAAAGAAAGAAAATATCCTTTACGTAGAACAACCAGCTCCACGCAGTTTGTCTTCAAAGTTCAAGTTAAAGCTGGGAAACGACCCTTCATCTTTCCCAGTCGAGATACTGAAACCAGAACTTATCGGAGCTCTCCCTCTTACTGTAAATGTCCGTGCCTCTCTGCCTGACTTAAACATCTGTTTACATTTTCTAGGTGCCGTCAGCGATGTGGAAATGCAGGAGCACTATGACGAGTTCTTTGAGGTGAGCGACCTTTTGTGCCAGTAGGTCACCCTCGTTCCACTCATCGCGCGCCGTGACGTAAAGACTGTTGACCATATAAAGATTTTCCAGATTCGGCTCGAATAAGATTCATCTGGGAGCTGCTGCTTTTATGTAGAAAGCTTATGTGACCGCTGTGCTGTGTAGATTCAGTATATTCAGATAAAATGTGTTTTAAAGAGAAAAGAAAAAGTCCTGATGATTGTTTTAATTCTTACAGGAGGTGTTCACAGAGATGGAGGAGAAGTACGGGGAGGTGGAGGAGATGAACGTGTGCGATAACTTGGGCGACCACCTAGTCGGTAATGTCTATGTAAAGGTCAGTGAAGAATCTTTATAGAGTTCAGTGTGAAGTGCTGAAGCAGAACTTTATTTTTAAGCTGAAACTCTGAGTATCTCTTTTATTCTACAGTCATCAGTCTTTGATTTGAACTGGGCGCACACTTCTCATAAGCCCTGTGTGTGTATTTTTGGGAGGAGCTGAGCGCCCGCCCTTCGTTAAACACCAACAGGGAGAGCAGAGGGCAGAGCAGAGTGTCCTTAAATGACTCTATAAGTGACACACTTATTCTTCTTGGTCCCAGCAGCTCCGACTTTAAACTTTAGATCATTTTGAAAACACCTGATTTTGGATCATGTATCCAAACTTACGCCTGCTTTAAGAAACATGATTTTTATTGAGGAGGTTTTCGGCTTTGCAGAAATCACAGGGCGCTTAAAAAAGGTCATAAATGTATTTATCATTATTATAATGTGATAAAGTTACTCACTAAATTCATTTTTGTAGAGAGAATCAGAATCAGAAATACTTTAATAATTCCTGGGGGTAAATTGCTTTTTTGTTACAGTGACTCCAGTGCAAATAAAGTAGAAAGAGGTGATAAATAAATAGATAAAATAAGTTAAAATAGTTAATTTATTTATGTTTTTAAATCTATTTATTCACACTGGAGTGACTGTAACAAAAAGCAGTTTTTCTCTGGGAATATTAGAGTATTTCTGATTCCTATTCATTCTACAAAAATGAATTTAGTGAGTTACTTTATCATATAATAATAATAATAATTTAAAAAATACATTTATGACCTATTTTAAGGGACCTGTGATTTCTGCAAAGCTGAAAACCTCCTCATTAAAAATCATTTTCTGTAAAGGAGGCAGAAGTTCAGATACATGATCTAAAATCAGGTCTTTTCAAAACAATCTAAAGCTTTATTTAAAGTACAATGAAATGATTTTATCGGTTCACTGAGGTCAAGAGGGCGGGGTTTGTCGAGGTTACAGTGAAATCAAGACTGCCCTCTGCTGAAAGCGCTGGTATACAGTCTGAAAATTATCTTTATTTCTCTAAGTGTTCAGGTAAAGGTTCAAACTTGAGATAAAAAGTGACAGCTCTGTTGTCTGCTTTGCTCTGCAGGACTCGGTAGTGCAGTTTGATGCTTTGCTTGTTTGCTTCACTTGAGCGTAGTTATTGAAGGCTGAATGTAAATGTTTCAGTCTTTGCAAAGAATAAAAAAGTAGATGTGCTGCTGAATCAGTGCAGACTGGTTGGGATAGGATCAGCACATGCTATACTGTTTGGGGTAGAAATCTTTTACTGTCTCACGATTCGATTTAAAATTGATTTTCGATTCAAAACGATTTTTTTCATAATGATTCCTGATCATGATCTATTCCCTTCTGCTGTGCAAGACAGAATGACAAATGAAGACATTCAAGTGTCTTTTTCACATTTATTAAGCTTTAAGCATTTATCTATGCTTCGATGGAAAATATCACATCCTGCTTCAGTAACAAAACTAAAAGTACCTCTTTATTAAAAAAACAGTGCAGTTAAACATGCTGCATCTCTGCAGCTCTACAGCTTGCGTTGGTCTGCAGCTGGCGGCTAAATCTGCTCCGTGTCTCTCATCTCCGTGTGATGCCTCGTAATGTGAGCCCGCGCGTTTGTCGTGTTGCCAAAATGCTTGATTCTAGTTTTACAATGTCGGCACACTGCGTGCGTCATGTTCAGCTCAGTGTGTCCGGGCATTCGGTAAAATCTGAAATGACGCCAAACTTTAGCTTTTAGTGAAGACGGGGCCGACTGGATCTCCTTTTCCTCCATTGTTGTATTTTCCTCTTTGTTTTGACGCCTTCTGCGAATGCGTGCGTTCCAGAACCGGCTACATGATGACGTCAGGATGTCCAGCGTAGTTCCAAAGCGGAGGCAGACGGGCAGCAGATATTTAATCTTTTAAAATCGATTTCGGGACATTTTAAATCGATTCTGAATCGTAGTAAATTAGAATCCCGATTCTTGTGTGAATCGATTTTTTGGGGCACCCCTATGCAGAAGTTCACATCAGGCAGGAAAACCGCCTCTCCATTTGTCACTGATCAATTGAGGATATGCATTCTTAAAGTTTGAACCTTTGTGACATTAGTTCTCATAGAGTGATTGTGTTTGTCTCCTTTTGTTTCTGCAGTTTCGACGTGAGGAGGACGCAGAGAAAGCGGTCATGGACCTGAACAACCGCTGGTTTAACGCCCAGCCCATCCACGCAGAGCTCTCCCCGGTTACTGATTTCAGGGAAGCCTGCTGTCGTCAGTATGAGATGGGGTAAGTTGTCTCTCTTGGTCTTTCTCTTTTAATCAAATTAGTGAGAAGTAATGACAACAAAGAAAAGATTTGCAGCATTTGTCTTGAAATTTCAGAGTTGTGTTTCTTGAACTGTTGTGCATATTGAACAGAAGAACTTTAACACCTGTTTCCATGAACCGTGAGTCATTCTTACTCTCCAATGGTATCAGAGCGTAGTGTCTATAAATCATTGCAGCTGCCAAAACAGCCAAACCCTTTATTCGATCACTTCAGGCAGCAGATGTTTAGATGTGAAGTGTGGTTAAAGGCTTTAGTTAAAGGCAGGCTGTGTTTGGAAGCTGTGTTGTTTTCCACCGTGCTGCTAGACAATCCAACACAAAGCTTCAGTATTCACACTGTGGAGGAGGTCTGTTTTAAGTCAGCTCTTCTGGTTCTGTTCAGACGCTTTCTTAGATTTCTGCTGAAACGGGCACAGAGATAAGTCCACATCACGCTTAAACCGCGGGTGAACTGAAGGCCTTGATGCTGAGGTTTGCTCGGAGTATCTCTGTCAGGTAAATCATGTCATGCCAGCAGGGAGATCAAACTGTCCTCTGCACTCAGCCTGCACGTGTCCTCCAGCAACCGGACTGAAATGTTACCAGCTGCATGGGCACAGTGTGAATTATGACGTTTTTTTTTTCAGATGCAAAAGTAAACTTTGTCCTTCTACATGTGGGAGGAAACTCTACATTTCGTCCTTTTATGAGTCTGGTGGTGTTTTTCCATTGGTTTAGAGCTTGTTTACTCTACCAATGACAGGATGGACTCAGAGTGGGGGGGTTGATAGAGATCAGATGTTTTACATGTTGGGCTGGCATGCTCCTCAGCATGTGTTGGAGTTTTTCCCTAATGGCACCGCTCCACCAAGTGTAGAAGTTTTAACCCTTAATGGTCTGATTTTCCGTCTGTTTTCCACAGAGAGTGCACCCGAGGCGGATTCTGCAACTTCATGCACCTGAAACCCATATCGCGGGAGCTTCGGAGGGAGCTGTACGGCCGCCGCAGGAAAAGGTTTGAATATCTGAGAGCGACGTTTGAACGTTTGAGCGTCACTGAGAGTTCCTATCTTGATGTTTTTACGTCTCCCACTCCAGACATCGCTCTCGCTCGCGCTCCCGGGAACGACGCTCCCGCTCCAGGGACCGACGGCGAGACCGCAGCGAGAGGCGGAGATCGAGGGACCGAGAGCGCTCAGGAAGATTCTGAAGGAAGCCGAGACCGACCTGATGTCCTACCAAATCCCTCCACCCTTAAACCCAGCAGTGATGACAAAGTTATTTTCTCTTTTTTTTGTTGGTGAATTGTGAGAAGTGTTTTTTTCTTTTGTTTCCCTTTTTTAAGACGAGCTTGTGTCGCTTTCTCAATAAAAAAACAAATTTGTAATTCTGCACTGCCGGCACATCAGCTTATTCTTATGAAAAGACCTTTTCTATGAAGAAAGTGCTGATTATTGGTACAAACTACTTAACTGAAATATTCCCCAGAGGAATTTGATCTCATTCTTTTTCTGAGGGAGTAAAACTTTGAACAGAGCTGCCAAACTTTACAATCTATCAGGAGAAATGTTGGTTAATCAGCCCTGTGACTGGATTCTTTGGCACAAATTTTCTTTTTATCTTTATCACACTATCTAATTTGTAGAAACGCTGCAACAACCTTGTCTTGAGCTGACTTTTTGGTGCTATCAACACTCTTTTTATTGAAGATAATAATGATACAACTTGTACTCAAAGATCCTTAGATTTAGTAAAAGAACCCCAGTGATAATCTCTAAATAGAGTGTAGTTCATACACTCTGCCATACCATCATTTTTTTCTTTTTTTTTTACACTGTGACTGATGCAACATTTGCCAACGCTCCGTCAGCCGCTCGTCTGCCTTTCAAAGACCTGCAGTTCTGTTTCTTTAAGTTGCTCTGATGAGAGGAAGCGGTCTGTCTGACACCTTTTATTTACTTTCACTTACTCAAATCGGTCCGGCTGGTTTTTAAAAATCAAGATCTAATGCGGTTGGAGGTGTCAAACTTTGAAAAAACATCACATAGAAGTGCAACACATAAAAAGCATTAAGAACTTTTAGCACTGAAACTACTTAAATGTCAAAGTTGGACAGTATTTTTTTTCTGTTTGGTACATAATGATTAAACTCCTAATTTCATCATTTTTTAAAGTGCGGTTTTGAAAACTGTTTTAACTTTAATTCGACCAGTACTTGACTTCGCACTGGATTAAAACCATTTTAAGTTAAATTAAAGCTCCAGTGAGGAACCTTTCGTTTGTGTCGATTCACAAAGTCCTGTATTTTTGAATCGGCTGTTTTTTTTTAAATCAAGATCTGATGAGGTTGGAGATTTCAAACTTTGAAAAAAACACATGAAAGTACAAAACATAAAAAGCAATAAGAACTTTTAACAGTGAAATTACTTAAATGTCAAAGTTGGACAGTATTTAACCTGATTGGAACATGCTGATTAAACCACTAGATTCATCATTTTTTAAAGTAAATTGTATAATTTTGGTGGGATTTTGAAACTGTTTTAACTTTAATTCACACTGGGTTAAAACCCATCTTAAGTTAAAGCTCCACTGAGGAACCTTATGTTTTTGTCGTTTCCTGGACAAATATTAAAGCTCCTGTTAGGCAGCTGAGTAGCCAAAGAAATAGCTCTAATTTTACAATTTCTGCAAAAATACATACAATCACAGATAGATTTGGAGTCATTAGGATGACGTTTTTTTTTCCAGAACTTACTAATTAAACATGTAGAGATCAAGATAAACAAAGACTGCTTTGTTCTGTGAGGAAGCAGGAGCTTTAAACAGTAAATAGTGCCCTTTACTTAAAAGCAAAGAAATATCACAATAAAGGAATATAAAAACTGGTTATTGGTTAAAAAACAAGAGAAACATCTCATTAAAAGATCAAAAGCAAGATAAGCAGGTTTTAACAGTTAACTATGTCACTGATTTTCAGTGAGAAAAGAAAAAAAACCTAATTTGTGGCTTCAAACTTTGCAATCTATCAGGAGAAATGTTGGTTCATCATCCCTGTGACAAATTTTCTTTTAATCTTTATCACAATACCTTATTTTGGAAATGGTGGAAAAACTTTGTTTTGAGCTGACATCTGACACCTACCCTCCCACAGAAGTTTCAGGCATTAAAAATCAGAAACAAATAAAGTATCATGATCTATTTTTCTGCAATTGGCAGTTAGAAGACATCCCTGTAAATCTTAAAGACTTCCAAAAACAGGCAACTGGACTGTGTAGAGTTGAGAAGACGTTTTCGGCCTGCCTGTTTTTGGAGTCTTCAAAATAACCATGACCTGGATGAACGAGAATCTACATGGACATATCCCTGTAGATGTGGTTGCGAAGACCTCACAGGACCTTTAACTAAACCATATAAGGTTGAATTTCGATTTTAAAGATTAAAACTGAAATTATAGTGTGCACATGATGCCAAATGCAGTCTAAACCGTGCTTAAATAACTTTTAAAAGTATATTTACATGTTGTTGCTCTTTAAAAAATAGGTTTTAAGTGAACCTGAGTGGCTACGTGAATATTTTTGGAGGACCAGACTTAGCATGAGAAGTTCTCAAGGTGGCACATGCGTCAAAGTCCGTGTGTGTGTGTGTGTGTGTGTGTGTGTGTGTGTGTGTGTGTGTGTGTGTGTGTGTGTGTGTGTGTGTGTGTGTGTGTGTGTGTGTGTGTGTTTGGTAAACATATGTTGCGGTCTACTTTAACACACCGCTTTCCCAAAACCTTATTGAGAAATCTCCGCTCCGATTGGCCGAACGGGCCAAACAGACGCCCTCGCCGCATCCAATCAGTGCGCGCCGTGAAACTTTCGCCCACGTCCCCCCTTCGTTCGGTCCACGTGCGTCGTCTCGAAAACCGTTGTCTTTGTCGGAAGTTGCTCACTCTGAGGTGGTGCTCCGGGCAAGCGTGAACACCGGGGCCGTCTGTGATTTCCCAAACGCGATTTTGAGCATCTTTGACTCAGCAGGTGGGTGGAAACGAGGAAAAAAAAGGGGGAAAAGCCCCTATAGACGGACAATTGACGCACGTGGTGTGACGTTTTATGACCGAAGACGCTCCGTAGACGCTCCGTGTCTGATGCAATATTGTACCTGCGTAGCTGCCGTTTATATCTGACTATTTGCCAGCTTATTTAATTCAGGTTTTATCATCTTTTCGCAGCAACGGTAAGCCTAACATGTGTTTATATTTCGTTATTTATGATGACAAAGAACCGACCATATTTGACATCCTTTTCACACTCATCCTGTCCGTATTGATTTGTCCTCATCTCGGGGTTATAACACGTAATGCTGATGTCCGTGTGTTATTTCTGCTGTTTTCGTATAGAAATGCGTTTTATTTCCTTTTTTCATTCATGTCTTGCATGTCTGAATGATGTCATGGATTATAACTAACGTGGTACTACTATTCAAGGGAAGCATTGAGCTCATCAGTCCTTTATCCTTATCGATTATACGATTATTTTAATAACGAACAAGGTAATTTAAAGATTACTATGTAAACAGAAAATGTATTAAGGAAAAATATTGAAAAATTTCCGGTTGAGCAGCTGCTGTCGGTTAATCAGTTTGCCCTTCAAAACAGCAAGTCATCGATCATTACGTGCTTCTAAAGATGACTGTTCACTTTTGCGATCAAAGCCACATATAATTTATCCGATTAATCACTTCGCCTGAACTGGTTCGAAGACGTTTGAAAAGCGCTGTTTTGTCTCACTACGGGGTTCAGAAATCTTCAATGTAATGTTGAGCATATGTTAAGGCACTGAGACATTAAACTTCTGAAATTGGAACCTGTTTAGTCGATCGAATTAATCGATTAATCATCAAATTTAACAGTTGCATTTTTTATCTTTACGTCTAGAAAGTTTTTCTCCTGACTTCTACAGAACATTCCAACACAATCAAGATCTACTGAATCATTGATTTTATATTTATTTTTAATCGCTTAAGTCATTAAATCAATCAATAAATCATCCATTTAGTTGCAGTAATCGCACTGAATTGTTTATTTTTGTCACCCCTCATGTTTTACTACCTCAGGGGTTATCACTTGTTTTACAACAGTGTGTTATAATTAGGCCTCCTAACCATGCGGTGCATTTTTAGATCTCCATGCCTGCTCTTTTACATTGTGTGTCCACTAGCAGCATTCCTGCTTTTCACATTTGCAACACCATTTGTTATGGGTGAGTGACTATCTATAGTTCACTCTCCTTGTGCTTTCCAGCTGATACTTTGCTTGTGTTTGTTGCTGGCAGAGCATTTAACAATGATTAAAAATGTGCCACTTTTTGCATAGCATGAATCTATAGGAGCTGTTGTTTCTCCGGAGAACTTAACATACCGATGCAGATTACAACTTAAGCAGGGTCTGATTTGGTTAAAAATGTTCTGGAGATTTTCACAAGTTTTGGTTCTGAGTCACCGGGTTCACATCAGGTATTTTTTCCTCCCCCAGTCCAGAAGATTTTTGAGGATTTGTTTTTTGGCAACTGTATCGTGTACTTCTCAAAGTTCTCATTAACTTCTCCTGGTAGACTCCCCTGCCTGGGCTTATTGCCACATGTGCTCTGAGGGAGGATCATATTCCCCCCCGTTGAACCCTGCGAGTCCTCCACATACCTCCGACTCTTTCCCACATTAACCACAGCAGTTGTAGCCATGAAACCTCAACCAGTAACTTGGCCGCACAGGTCCGGTATCAAGAGTCAAAGTTGCACGTGGGCAGGAAAAGGTTATCACCTTAACCAGGATTGGTTTCGGCATCTTCTGTCAGTGCAACACTCGAGACAAATCATGAAAAAGCGTCTGTCCGCAGTGATTGTTGTTTCCAAAGGTGGAGTCAGAGTCAACAGAACATTTTATTTAACGGGGCGTCACTAACTCTAAAGCAACACATCCCTGAGCAGTTTTTCCCTCCCATGCAGCGCTGTTTGCTTAAGAGGATGTAGTTGGATCACAGCGTCTGAACTGCTGGAGTCTGAGAGGGGCCCGGGTTTGAAACAGCTGGCCTTTGTGTGTGCACTGTGTATTAGTGAAGGTTCATGTGCTGCCAGGTCCAGCGGATAGAGGGGAAAACAAATAGATGTTTTCATAAGATCTGAGTTGAGATCTGTTGACGCTAAAGGGTTGAGGAGCATCTTGTTGCATTTTGTTGTTTTTAAGTCATGAGAATAAAGTTGAGACTGCTCTACACGGTAGGGGGGACAAAAACACTTGGATATGGATCAGCAGATGTTCATTTTAAATTAGGGCTGGGCGATATAAAGTTTATCACGATATAAAAAAATCACTTGTCAATCTTAAATGTGTGTTCCCTGTTACTCTTAAATGAAATGTAACAGTGTTATTGGTCGCATGTCTGTTGCAATACAATAAGCTACTGCACTACTGGTCTTTTTGTCTCTTTGACGTTTTGTTGTAAGACGTTGTGCTAGAGAAAGCAGACTGGATGGTCAGTTCAGCGCGGCGCGGACCTGAAGCAACTCCCCTTTTCATTGGCTTGTCGTATAGTCTACTAAAACATGGCAGAATACCAACTATCGAAAAGTATATTGACCATGTTTCATATCAATATTAAAAGAAATTAGTTTTTGATATATATCATTATCGCTTTATCGCCCAGCCCTATGTCAAATGATCCCTTGGTTTCATGGCTTATAAAGGGAAAATTTTGATCATATCATCCCCAAGATGCGTTTTGATTTTATAACGTCTTTGTCCATGTTTGTGTCCCCATCAAAGCCCAACATTAAAATAGCAAGAAGCCAAGAAAAAGCCCAGCTACAAGTTTGGTAGGAACTTCAAAAAGGTCATTTCTTCCAAGTTAAGTCTGAGGATGCGTATGTATATCGGTATGACGTACCTTATTTTTCGCACTATAAGGCGCACCTGATTATAAGGCGCATCATCAATGAACGCATCTATTCACATCTATTTTCATACATAAGGCGCACCGGATTATAAAGCGCATTAAGCCAAAAAATTCAGTCCGATAAGTCAAACTTTATTTAACTCAATAACTCTGCGAGGCTACGGTAGCTGCAGTGCTCGGATAAGCCAAAAGGATTTTAAGTGCTCCTTATAGTGCGAAAAATATGGTAATCTATGTAATAGGGGTGGGAGAAAAAATCGATTCACATAAGTATCGTGAATTTATGTTTACAATTTTTTGTCGTTTTTTTATGTTCAAAAATGGTTTTTTTTTTTCCAAATATAAGAATATTGTTTAAGAATATTGAACAATGTTTCACTGATGTTAAAAATGCAGACTAAAAATTGAGAAAATCTACAATATCGTAGAATCGTGATTTAAATTGAATTGGCATCCAAAAGCATATCGTCCAGCCCTACTATGTAACAAGTGTCACAGATATGAGTTGGAAACAGCCAATATCAACCATTATCTTCTCTGAGACACATTTCAGCTCGATGTTTTATGTGTTTCTATAAAACTGTTTACATTTTGGTACATCCAGGGAAAATCAGAGTCATACTACGGTATGGATCCTGATTTTAGTTCACTCACTATAGTCATAACAATGGTTGTAATTTACATACATTTATGGCTCCTCTATACCACCTTGTTGCCAGGAGCTTTAGATAAAGATAAGGTGTAACTCCTGGTTATACATTTGTGACTTTTACAACATTTTATAACTGTAAATAACCATCTAAAGAGTTATTTTGAGGTTTATGTGCACAAACAGAGAGATAATCTAAACACACAGAGGTGTGAACTTGCATTTGAACGCGTACGTGTCTGTGAGTAAATATTAGGAACTGAAAGTGGAGTTATGACGCAGCCATTACTATTTAGTGAGTACGTGTCTTTTGTTTTGTTTGAACAGTGATTGACTGATGCAATACAAGCAGAAGCTCAATCAGCCTAACGTGTATTTCCCCTTCACTGACTTCTGTTTTCTCAGGAAGCTCTGATGAAATCTGAGTCGACCTTACTCATTGGTTTGATCATCATGACTTGGAAAAATGTTAAACAGGGAGTCCTGCCAGTAAAGGGAGCTTTTTTCTGTTAGTTATTACATGACTCAGCATTAATAGTAGAAAGGAGTGGTTCTGTTTGTTTTCTGCGGGTCCTGCTTACATAACCGTTTGGCAAGAACTTGGTGGGTTCAACTTTTGCCCTTTTTTTTCTGGCAGATCAGACGATAGCTTGTCTCTTAATATGTGTACACTTTTTGATTTCTGCACTCTTTTTGTTGGCTAACGTAGCTGCTAATGGTGATTTGGTGATAAGCTGCTTATTCAAAATAAAACCAAACTGCACCATTTTTTCTGGAAGTTTAAACTCTCTGATATCCTGGATTCTTGCAGTTTTAACGTATAAAAGTATGATTTTATTTTTAACACTGTGTCATGTCTTTGTTCAGGGTAAGTCATGCCGTCAGTTCCCTCCACCAAAGAGGCCGTGGTCAAGGCCCCCGTGTGCCCCCATTCTGCCAAGCTGCTCAACCACACCAACGGAGACGCCAAACTCCACGAGGGCCCGTTCCCGCTGAACGGGGTCGACAAGCTGCACTCAGTTGAACCCGAAGAAACCAACAGGACCATTCAGATCAACACAAAGAACGCCAGTCCCGAGAGGAAATGGATCCGGCCCGACCTGCCGAGCCGCTGCAAGTGGAGCCTGGGAGCCTCGAAGGCCGACAACCCTCACACACAAGTTCCACGGTGAGTCTGATCTTTAAAGCCGTTTAAGTATGGGCATTAAGTGTTATTATGTCGATGTTTCTATTCAAGGCAGCGTAAACCAGTTTCTTTTAACCCCTGGAGAATGCTACCCGACAAAAAGAAGGGATGAAGACTCCTTAAACCTGTGAAACAAGTGTCATTGTCTTCAAAAAAAACAACTAAGAGTGTTTCCTCCCTGCAGAGTTTCTTCATGCTCTGTCGTCTTATCTCTAAGGGTGTATCTGTTTACTAAAACCTTGATTACTCCATCAGAACTGTTGCTCCCACCATCCTCCCAAACATCCTGCACAGGATCGGAGACACTCCTCTGGTGCGCATCAACAAGATTCCCAAAACGTTCGGACTCAAATGTGAAATACGTGAGTCACCCAGAGCACAAGCACAAACACGTCCTCTTAATCTGACATGAAGTGCGATTGTTGGTTACGTCTGAATCACTGATATCCTGTAAACATGAGGGTCACGGTCCAGGATTTGTTTAATTTTTACTCTGTTTTTGGCGTGTGTCTCCAGTGGCAAAGTGCGAGTACTTCAACGCCGGCGGCAGCGTCAAGGACAGGATCAGCCTGAGGATGGTGGAGGACGCCGAGAGATCCGGACTCCTCAAACCTGGAGACACGATCATCGAGCCCACATCTGGAAACACTGGTAACAGAATCAGTCAATGTGTTGCAACAGTGGAAAGTTATTTAGAGTTATGAATGATGTGATTAAACTCTTGTTTCCTGAAGGGTTGTGAAATGTTTTGGTCTTTTTCTTAAAGGGATCGGTCTGGCGCTGGCTGCAGCTGTGAAAGGATACCGCTGCATCATCGTCATGCCTGAAAAAATGAGCATGGAGAAGGTACGACTTTTTAGTTGTTATCAAAGTTCCTCTTCCTCCAAATATGCACATTTACATTTTGAAAAATTTTGTTCCTACCTCTGATCACATGATCACAGGGAATGGTAGTCAGGGGTAAACAAACATGTAAAAGAGCTGTGAACAGAGTTGTCGGGTTATAGTTAAATCATGTGAATATTCAATATTTAAAGAAGCTAAAATGACCTACTTAATGACCTACTTCTGCAAAAAAAGTGCCTAGTTTGTTCAAGTCCCAAAAAGATTTTAAAAAGTCTTAACATTTGCTTGAAGAAGTGTGTATGAACCCCATTTGGCGCCCTCTTGTGGTCAAAGCAGTCCTTGCTTAGATTGTTTTCTCTTGTAATCTCATCCTGTTGACTTTCAACACACAAATTTACAATTAATTATGACATTTTAATTTAGAAACTGTGAAACAAAACCATTCTTGAAGCTGTTTGGCGAACACCTACCCTCCCACACACATTTCAAGCGTTAAAAATATGTTACTATCATCACTGATCTTCTCACGGATGGTCTTGCTGGTTTTTTTTCATCATAAAAAAACATCCATATGAATTTCAGTCAATTTCATAAACATCAAAAAAACTCCTCACTGGAGCTTTAAAGCAGCGAAGCATGCCATTGGTGCATGCTCTGATATCCTGGCGGTCAAAAACAACCAGCTGCGCTCTATCACAACACTAAAATCAAACATGTCAAAGTAACAAGAAGGAGGCCTCTGTTTTAAATCTGCAGTTTGTTTATGTCAAAGTCCAAGTTCAAACTTGTGTGAACCTCAAGGCTGTAAAAAAAAGCCTCTCTGACACCCCTCTGTGCAAACATGTTGCACAATAAGATAACAACATGAAGTGTTTTCGTTACTCCGAGCTTTCTGTTTCACCACATTTCTTATCTAGATTAAAAATCTCAACGCTCGAGGGCTTTTATATGATTATAATGAATACAAAATATTATATAACATGTATTATATGATATTATATCATTATACAGCATCGTACAAAGAGGAGACGTATCAGTCGAATAATAGTAACTTTAAATTCTGAACTACCACATAAGATAATCACCATTAAGACTGACAATTTCTATTTTTTGACAGCAGGCTGAGGTGGTTGTCCTTTTTTAAACTTTCTCCACAAATAAAAGTCACTTTAAGTTATAGACTTAGATCGCTAAAAGAAACCAGGAGAACATTTTTGTCAGAAAACACAATAAATGTGTCCACAAGAGGGCGCCAAATCAACCGAGGTGGACAGAGGGGGTCCACTTTAAATTATATCAAGTGTATCTTTCACTGACAAAAAGCAGTTTTTCTGCACATAAATTAGCAGTATATTTTGAGACAGGTTGTTTTTAAGAAAAGGGATTCAAATATTGGTATAAATCAGTATCACTGTATTTTGTCTTATCTGTGTCCTTGTCCGCCTTCCAGGTGGATGTCCTGAGAGCTCTCGGAGCCGAAATCGTCCGTACACCCACCAGCGCTCGCTTTGATTCACCAGAGTCTCACGTCGGCGTCGCCTGGCGCCTCAAAAACGAGATCCCCAACTCCCACATCCTGGACCAGTACCGCAACCCGAGCAATCCTCTGGCTCACTACGACACCACAGCAGAGGAGATCCTGGAGCAGTGTGACGGTGCGAAAAACACTTTTAATATATCAAAAACTCTTACGATATCATTTTTATTTGCTGACAGAATCTTATTTTTCCTGAACTTCTCCTCCTCACAGGTAAAGTGGACATGCTGGTGGCAGGAGCCGGCACAGGAGGGACCATCACAGGCATCGCCCGCAAACTGAAGGAGCGATGCCCCAACATCAAAGTGAGCATCTGCCTTTCCGTCCATGACTGAAGAAGAAGAAGAGGTACAAAAGCCCGGAAAGAGTTTTTAATATCGAATGATTTTCTTCTTGGTACAGATTGTTGGAGTCGACCCTGAAGGCTCCATCCTGGCTGAGCCCGATGAGCTGAACAAGACCAACAAAACCCAGTATGAGGTGGAGGGTATCGGGTACGACTTCATCCCCACCGTGCTTGACAGATCTGTGAGTTCAAGTGTCTTTTTCTCCTCTCCTCGAATGATCGCTCTGCTTAAGATAACGTCACATAACCTGCTTTTATTTCATCCTCAGGTTATAGATTATTGGTACAAGTCCAACGACGAGGAGTCCTTCAACATGTCCCGCATGCTGATCAGAGACGAGGGCTTGCTGTGCGGTAAGTGTTTGCCTCTGATATCAACAGCTCGCGTGTAAACGTACACAGACAGACTTTGACAATGAAGGCAAACTCTTCTCTGTAACAGGAGGCAGCTCTGGGACGGCGATGGCAGCAGCTGTGAACGTGGCCAAAGAGCTGAAGGAGGGCCAGCGCTGCGTGGTCATCCTGCCAGACTCCATCCGTAACTACATGTGAGCATCATTTTTAAACCTCAAAACTTTTGTCGTTGTCGTTTTCTTCCGCTTCATCTGGGTCTGGGTCGCTTCCAGGCCAGGCGAGAGATATAATCCCTCCACCTGGTCCTGGGCCGGCCACGAGGTCTCCTCCGGGTGGGACATGTCTGGAACACCTCTAACAGGAGGCATCTAGAAGGCTTCCTAACCAGATGCCCGAGGCCACCTTAGCTGACTCCTCTCGACGTGGAGGAGCAGCAGTTCTACTCTGAGCGCCTCCCTATCTCTAAGGCTGAGCCCGGCCGCCCTGCGAAGGAAACCCATTTCAGCCGCTTGTATCCGCGATCTCGTTCTTTCAGTCATTACCCAAAGTTCATGGCCATAGGTGAGGGTCGGCACGTAGATCAACTGGTAAATTGAGAGTCTCACCTTACGGCTCATCTCTTTCTTCACCACGACTGATCGGTTTAGCGTCCGCATCACTGCTGACGCCGCTCCAATCCGCCTGTCGATCTCCCGCTCCATCCTACCCTCACTCCTGAACAAGATCCCGAGATACTTGACGTTCAAGCTGTTCAAGTAAACAGAAAGATAATCTTGTTTTCTCTCTTCACTCTTAAGGTCTAAATTCCTGAATGACAAGTGGATGGTCCAGAAGGGTTTCCTGAGTGAGGAGGACCTCATGGTGAAGAAACCATGGTATGTTCTCATTAGACGGTGAATTTGTCCTTTTGCTGAAGTCTCCTTCCGTCACAGGTTTTGTAAAACTGTTTTGTTTTTATAAAGGTGGTGGAACCTGAAGCTGCAGGGCCTGAACCTGTCCGCCCCGCTCACCGTCCTGCCCACCGTGAGCTGCCAGAAGACCATCAAGATCCTGAAGGAGAAAGGCTTCGACCAGGCGCCTGTCGTGGACGAGGCTGGGTGAGTAGAGAGAAAAAACAACTTCAAATATAACTTTAACACTCCGCTGAGGCTTGAACTTTGACCTCTGTGTGTATTTGTGTGTGTGTGTGTGTATACAGGTTGATCCTGGGCATGGTGACTCTAGGGAACATGTTGGCCTCTATTCTGGCGGGGAAGATCAGGCTGTCCGATCCAGTCAGCAAAGTCCTCTACAAACAGTTCAAACAGGTCAGACACCAATGAAAGGAGCTTTTTTTTTTCAAGTTTTGAAAAAAATTCAACATTTTGTACATTTTTACGTGATCAAAAACATTTAAAGCCTCTTTTGTCGAGTTTCTTTTGTATCTATAACGAGCTTTTTTCACCGTGTTACCCTTTTTAGATCCGTCTGACTGATAATTTGGGGAAGTTGTCCCGTATCCTGGAGACCGATCACTTCGCTCTCGTGGTTCATGAACAGATTCAATGTAAGTGAAACGCACACAAATACCCACAAACTTGTATGTACTTTTAGTTCTGCAGCTGATGACTGCATTGTGTGCGCAATGTTAGCTTTGGCGCCCCCTTGTGGAAGTATAAAATACGCACTTTATTTCACACCATGATGAAATGATCATAATAGTGATAGTAGGTATAAACTTGATCATCAGTTCATATTCAGACTGTTATTTTGCGACTGAGTGCGTGTGCAGGGTCAGTGTCTCCCCCAAGGACGCTCTTGTTGACCGCGGCGTGAGAACACGGCGCTCCGCCGCTCCTTCACATTTATGATAAGACAGGCGTAGCTCGGTCAGCTGACTTGCTACTGATTGTTATTTTCTGATATGTGAAGGTCAAAGTCAAGCTGCACCCCAAACAAGGCTGCGTTTGGTAGAAATCTGACCCTTTCAAAATAAAAGCTGAAACAGAAAGCAAAAAGTTGTTAATTTATTGTTACTGTTATTAATTCTCCATTTGATTGTAGATGCGTCATCTATTCCAGGTTATCAGCATTTCCTTTTCCCTTCAGCAGCTGTATAATAACAATTAAAAAAAGCCCTGATTTGATGCTACAGGGAGGCGTATCCGGTCAAAGCTTGGCACACTCTTATCTTTTACATCCTGCGTAATTGCTCTCATTCACCTCTCATGAACCTGCTGAAGGTTATTGTCGTCCAAGCTGCACAGGAGGGATTTGGCTGTTACACATCATCCCCATATGATGGTTAAATCCAAACTGTTCATGGTGGGAGTTTGCCAAAAAAAAAACACAAATACCATCAACATTACTCCAAGTGTTACAAAATGAGGGCCCAAGATTGGTATTGTGCTTAAACCCTTTATTAATAAACTAGAAATTAGAGTTTGTACAGCCATCACGTAGATAAAACTTTTTCTGCCTTTTTTTTTTTTTTACTTTTGGACCCGTCTATGAGTTGATTAATCAAAATTTTCTGTAAACATCTTTCAGGGTTCCTTTACATTTGGAATTTCCATACTTTTCCACACCCTACTTTTTGGAAATACCTACTTTTTTGTTTTTGAAGACAGTATTTTAGAACTGTGGTAATAGTCTAGAAATATAAATATTTTTCCATACTTTATTTTTCATTTTCAGTACTTTTTAAGACCTAGAAATTGATTAAATTTATTCCACACCTTTTCATATTTTCCATACTTGTGTAGGAACCCTGATCTTTTAAGTCCCTTTTGAGCATCAAACAGAAGATTCTTTGTTAGATCCTGCAAAAGTCTGTTGGAATAAACCTTTTTTTTCTTATTTGTCCCATTAAAAAATGAATTCATGAAGCGTTATACCCTAACAGACAAGTATATTTCTATATTCTCATACTTCTGTGCTATTATTCCATCATTGTGGTCATCTTTATCCCTCCTTTAGATCTGACAGACGGCTCTCCCAGTCTGAAGCAGATGGTTTTCGGCGTGGTGACGGCCGTCGACTTGCTCAACTTCGTCACGGGCCGAGAGAGGAGGGAGCGATCCCTGTCAGAGTCCACTGACGAGTTGAACTGAAACATTCAGTACACACTTTATCATTTCTTCCACTAAAAAAAAAAAAACAAAGATAGAAAAAGAAAAACAGGTATAGAAGTCTTAGAGATGGCAGAATCATAGTCATGTCATTCATTTAGTTTACCAGCTTTATTCCACTTACAACAATATTGATTTTTTATGTTTGAACTTGAGTCTTAAAGAATAATAAGCAAAATACGGTTTACCTATAAGCCAACCTGTGATGGGATTACTTGATTATTACTTATTTTATTTGCTTGTAGTGTTCATAGTAGATCTTTTGTAAGTTTTTAACCTGTAGAAAGCTTTAAGTTTTGTATCAGAGTCTCAAATAGTCGACTCTGTGTTCATTTTTTGCTTGTTGGAACATCCATGATTGTTTCACTGTTGCCTTGTGTATCAATCAAACTTCAGAAATAAGACAAAGAATAGTAAGAACGCCACATTCATCTCATTTAGCAATATAAGATAAGTATAAGTTGCTGTATATAAGCATATTTTTCTTTTAAGTGCTGCTTCTTATTTTCTGCTTCTTCATTTGTGTATATATGTACACAAAACAAAGAGAATCTGTGCAAAATGAAATCATATTTTTTGAAGAAAAAAAAAGAAAATCTGTCTTTCCCCTCTTTTATTTCCTACTCATGGTCTTATATGTGCCTGTAAAGTTGACTTGCCTATTTAATCTTAGCTCTGTCTGAGAGAAACGTTTTGTATTGCATCATTTTTCCTCAATGAATGTGTATGATCTTAAATAAAGTTTAAAGATACTCTCTAAAGGCTCGGCTCTTCCTGTTGTGAGGGTGCAAGTATTATGTGATGTTCATAAACTAACATCGAAAGCAATAACACGAAGTGTGGTAATTGGACGATTGAGACAAGCTGGTGTCTCTCAAAGGCCAAAGTGAGGTAAGTTGAGCTTGTTTCTGTGTCTGGTGCATTCGCAACTCTGGAGATATAAGTTATAATCATCAGAAATCAAGATCTCATGATTACAACTGAAATTAACTCAGGATTACGGATTGCTGCAGAGTTTCGTAGCTCAAGGAAGAACATTTATGATCATTTTTTCATGGAAATGCAACCAGACTGAGACACTAAAGCAGAAGAACTACTGCATCTGCAGTGCAAAATAATGATTAAAATATGGTGATTATTACTTCAAGGAATTGACAAAGAAATTATCATAAATAAATCATTAATGTTCTTCCTTGAGCTGAGTCACCCCACTGCAGTCCTTAGTGGACTGGCCTGAGGTCTTGCTACAAACAAGCGGCTGCTGGAAGAGAGTAGGTGAGTTGTTTTAAGTCCCTTTGCTAAGAAATCAGGCAAAGTTAAAAAGATGTTTGGTGGCTAGTACTATTGCTGGGACCTTATATGTACTGTTGATGAAGAAAGGTGCTGTTCTGAGCATTATTTGTGGCTATAGAGTGGCGTTTTGGTTGAGGTTTGTTTATGGCTCCTCAGACCGCTGTGTATTGCTATTGTGCGGTCGTTACTAAAGTTGGTATAACTAGAGAAGCAAGCGGTCGGCAACATTCATCTCTCGAGGAGGTGTCTAACTCTGTGTCACGTGTGTTTGATTCTAAATTAATTTTACGCCGGAATATCCCTTTAACGCCACTGTTTCTGCCTTCTTTTTTCCATCTCATTGTACACAATATTCCAAAATTCATTCGTCATTATTTGATTTATTTTTTTAAAGCAACGCAGTAACGTTGAGTATGTAAATGCAATGTAGAATCCGTGAATTCAAGCGTATATTTATTCAATATATTTTTGAATCAGTCCTAATGATTTCTACAGATAACGCACCATCTAAATTACATTTTTGTTTTTAAATGTGTACATAAAAGTCAGACTTCTCTTTTGGCCTTTTTGACCACTTTCCAAAGTTATCCCGATGCGACGTCAACGCAAATATTAGCCCTCATTAACGCGCTGTGTTTGTGTCTGCCATGTGGTTCGTGGCGCATGTAATTGTCTATCCCTAATACCGTGCTGGCGGGGCTTCATTAAAGACACTCTTCTATAATTACGACTAGTAAACTCCGCCCTCGAAAGCGTCTCAACGGTGTACGCTGCGATTAAAAGGAGCGTCCCGGATTACGTTGGCTGTAACCAATCAGCGCCGAGCGTCGCGATGTATGTGTAGATGCAGCTACGAGCGAGGCCAGACAGGCAGTATGGCGGAGGAGGGCAGAGTGTACGAGTTAGGGGGGCTGGAGAAACAATTACAGAGTTTGTTCGGCCGGTACTCGAATGATGAGCTGCGGGCCGATAGTAAAACGTTCTGCTCTGACTTTTGCAAGGTAAGGGACCGAGGCTGAAGTTGTTCGGAGGCTTGTTGTCGAAGATAAGAGCCGACTCCCCTCCCCCAGAAGTGGCCGTTACACCGCTAGCATTCGCAGTTAGCTCCTGGCTAACGAGTCATACTCGCCTTAAAATGAGAAATACTGACACAACGCCCCCTTTAATACCCATTCTTACAACTCGGGTTTAGGCTTGAGTGGCATTATTGACGACTGCGAGTGAATAAATGTGTCATAGTTTGATAGTGACTGCTGTGTATTTGCTAGCTCGGCTTATCAGCTGTCGAGCTAGCCCAAAGTTAGCACAGTGAGCACGGTGAATGTTTACTAAAGTCACGGTTGGACACTTTACTGCACACTGGCAACGCTACAAGTTAGCAGTTTAAAACCAATACAATGATATTTAATATCTGCGTATGTCAAACATTGAGATTAAAACTCTAAATGTGACATAATGACCTGTCACAGCCCCCTTTACAACAACAGGACATGTTAGTGGACTGAAGGTTTAATACAGCAGCTGAATATCTGGTGTTAAAGTGTCCTCTTATACCTGTAAATGTCACATAATACCGGAGGAGAAACTAGGGGATAACACCCATTGCTAAAGTGCATTTAAATGCTTGTCATGAGGTGTTGCTGGTGCATTTTTACCCTTTATTTGCAATGTTAAAGTGGAAGATGGTTGACAATCATTTCAATGTGCTGTCATGCCTTCTACCTCTAAAAATGTCCTTGAAAATAGTATGCAATGAACACAATATCAATCAATCAGTCTTTATTTGTATAGCACTTTTCACACAAAGTGCCTTACATAGCAGAGGAATAAAAGAATCCCCTTCCCACAATCTAAGCACAATAGAAATGTGTATTAAAATGCATGAACTTAAAAAGGGCTCCATTTCATAGTAACAAGAGTGTGCGCACTGAGGAAACGCTGTCAAGATAAGGAAACACTGGAGGTTTAAAATCTAAAACCAAAGTAACATAAAATGAAATTATAGAAATAGTAAATGAAATCAAAGCAACAGTAAAAGATACTAAAATAAGAGCACCGAAATATCTCAATAAAAGATGATCCTGTCATTAAAACTAGAAGAGACAAATGCTAAAACACTTAAAGTTAATGATATAAAATTTAAAGTCAAGTCTTTAAGATAATATGAATATGAAAGTATGAATATGAGTGAAAATGGTGAATGTTCTATTGGTCTGTTTATTGATCTGCAGAAGGCGTTTGACACCATAGATCACTTTTTCAATAGATCAAATTAGAGATTTATGGAATACGGGGGATTGTTCATTCTTGGCTGGAAAGTTATTTCAGTAATAGACACCACTGTGTACAAATTAATAATACTATGTCATCGCTGAGAAAGATAACATGTGGCGTACCACAAGGATCAGTGATTGGTCCAATACTATTCATTCTTTATATCAATGACATCTGCAAGGTAACAGATTTTTTTCAGATATGTAATATTTGCAGATGATACCAATTTGTTTTGCTCTGGTAAGAATTTACAGGAACTTTTGTGTTGTGTGGAAATGGAGCTAGAAAATCTCAAGACTTGGTTTGATGCCAATAAATTATCTTAAAAATACGGTATTTGTTTTTCAAAGATCAATGCAGATAATTGAAGATATGTTTATGTTTTGTATTGAATCATATACCAGAAATGAGATCATCAGAGTTAAAGATGAGCTTAAATATCTTGTAATTCTTCCCTTGCCACGAAGGAAATCTATTTATATTTGTTTATTTATTCCCTGTGGTTCTCAACTGGTGGGTCCCGACCCAAAAGTTGGTTGTGGACGCGTTCTGGATGGGTCACGAACAGCTGGTCAAAAAAGTAAATATTTAATGCAATGTTTTTTAGATATCTGATATTTTCTCTAAGCAACTTCAGTAGTTGTCATCTGCATGTTGCCCCCTTCATGTGCTCTGAAATGCACTTTACTCCATAAAACAAGTGGATTTATGTTAAAGTTTAGAGTCTGTAAAGTTTTTATTTTTCTTGGTTTGAATTCTATAAAAGTGGGTCATGATTTTAGGACCATGGGAAAATGAGGGTCCCAGAGTGAGACCAGTTGAGAACCACTGTGTTAGATGGTGGCCTGGTTATAATGTCCATGCCTTGTCATATCGATGGAGTCAAATGAAGCTGAAAGGCACTATAGGGAGTTTTTAACTAGCCGAGAATCACTGAAACTGCTACTGATGCCTCTTTATAATATTCAAAATCAATAGATTGCCATCAGCAACAAGAATATTATCGTCTTTGAAGATTTTAATGCCTAAAGTTGCTGTAAGGGGTAGAGCCACACCAGAGGATTAAAGCAGGCAGACATAAAAGTGTTTTTTATTTCTTTCTATAGCAGATAATCACAGTGAGTGATCATGGACAGGACAGGAGATAAGAGGTACCATTTATTGTATAGGGAGCGCCAGAACGACAGCAAATGGAAAGTTCTTCACTGGTTCTTCCAGCAGCCGCTTCTTTGTAGCGAGACCTCGAGCCAGTCCATCATGGACTGCCGCAGGGTGTCACAGCTCAAGGAAGAACATTTATGATCATTTCTATATCATTTCCTTGAAGTAATAATCATCATATGAATCACGTTGCACTGCAGACGCCGTAGTTCTTCTGCCTTAGCATCTTGGTCTGATTGCATTTCCATGAAGAAATGATCATAAACGTTCTTCCTTGAGCTGCGGCACCCCACTGCAATCAATGGACTGCTAGAAGAGAGTAGGTGAGTTGTGCTTAGTCTCTTTGCTAAAGAAATTAGTCAAAGTTAAAAAGATGTTTGGTGTCTAGTACTGTGGCTTGGACCCTCTATGTCCTGTTGATGAAGTTAGGTGCTGTTCTGAACATTATTTGTGGCTATAGAGTGGCGTTTGGGTTGAGTGCATGGCTCTCTGTATTGCTATTGTGCGGTCATTACTAAAATTGGTATAACTAGAGAAGCAACATTCATCTCTCGAGGGGGTGTCTGACTTGGTGATACAGTGTTTTTTTTGACCCTAACTTAATTTTACACCAGAATATCCCTTTAAATCGTTGATTGGATTGGATAAAACGATGTTATTGCAAAGTGTATTTTTGTCACATCATGCAGGCCAAGAACCACATTTTCAGGTGAAAAGCTGAAGATAATATATACCCTTTAATATATTATAATTTTGTTAAATATGCAGAACTTTTCTCATATTGCAATTACTCTCACAGAAAGAATACGTAATCAGGTGTCAGTTTCTTCTAATATCGGGCAGCTCTATTTAAGGGCAAAAATCAAACTGTCAAATATAATCAATGGCACTTCATCAACGCAGCGCACCGGCTGTAATGTTTGGTATAAGGCCTGAGAACATCACTGTTGACTGTGAACATTCACAGGATTCCTGTAGCGCCCAAGAGTGATGCCCGCTGTCTCCACCGTTAGAGGGCAACATCGGCTTATTGTGTTGTATGGATTTGACAGTTCAGCTCTCCAAAAATGTGGGGAGGGGAGCTCTTTCTTGTGCAATGCAGCTCCGACGTCCTGAGGAGTAGCTGCAGTAGAAATGTTTTCTACCGCAGGCTCTCATTCGCAGTGGGAGTTAAATTATAGAAAGTCAGAAACAAAGGTCTTTCCTTTTCGTTTTTAATGTCTACTATAAAATGCTGGTTTGGGTTTTCAGCCTTCAGAGATGTATTATGTTTTGATTTGACCTTTTGCTTTAAAAATGGTGTCATGACCTTCCTAGTTTCTTTAGAGTACTAACATATTTGGTCCTTTTTGTTGACACATTCTTGCCTTTTTCGATCAGCTGTTATCGGTAACACCGCATGAACGTCTCCAATCTAGTTTTAAACAAGCTAAGCAGCGACCCAAACTGATCTGTCCTTAACCTGATTCTCGTGTTGTTGTTGTTTCAGCTGGTGGAGGAGTACGCCTCTTGCTGGCAGGTGCCGCTGCCTCGGCTCAGGATCCTCGAGATATGCCTCATCTACTTTGCTCGAGGTGCCAGCTTCTTCGCCCCAAACTGTGAACATGTGCTCCACACACTCAGCAGTCTGGCCTTGTAAGTTCGCCGTGTTTACCGGGGAAGGTTACCCTTTGTTGTTCCTTGAAGAAAACTCAGTGACGGATCGATTTAAAGCTGTGGCAGAGAGCGGATTCCCACTCCAACCAAACCAAACAGTGTGACAGCTACTCTGATCGCGGTTTGTTATTGCAGGTACTCCCACGAAGCGCAGGAGGAGAGTAAAAGGCACAAGTTTAAAAAATGTAAAAGTGCTTCACCTCGTGTCTCATCTGTCTCCTTCATGCCGAGTTATTCTTGCTATTCAGCCGCAGAGGTCACTTTCAAACTCTAATTCTTCATTTTCACACTTTAGCATTGAATTAAATCAAACCGGGTGTGTCTGATGTTTTCTTTCATTCTCGCTTCCTTTATCTCAAGTCTTGAACTTAAGTTGCACACTGGTCGGATTGTGAATGCATGAATTCGACCATTTATCGCCCCTCAGGAGGCTGACTTTGCACAATGGGCTTTTTGAAAGATCACACATAAAACACAGCATTGTAAAGCACACTACACTTTTACGAGTCGAGGAACAAATCCTTTGAATCATTTACACTTTTTATTTTTTTTCCAGAGTCTTGAATAAGTCGTAAAAAGTCCAGAGAGTATTCACATGGACAGTAAACACAGCCTCGTTTTTAGACATTCATCATCCACTGTTGAAGAAGTCTTGTATATCTGATGACAGCTGGTGCCAATGTTTATAGAACTGAAAGTTGATCTTGTTTGTTGGCTCGCACGACCGAATCGGCGGGCCAAGAAAAGGCCTGGCACAGCGCCAGCCTTGACCCTACGCCATCCCTCAGGGCTTCCCTCAGCCTCTCAATTAAGTGCATTCCTCGTTCCCTTTTACCACAGGGGATATTTTTATTTAAACCCAGATGAATATATTTATGAGGCGGGGTCTAAAGCGATTACTTTGATCCGTTCACAGGAGTGTTTTTGAGCTGCTGCTGTTCTTTGACCAGAAGGCCTTCCAGGAGGAGCCGCTGAAACACTTCACTGTTACATTCCAGGTGAGAAAGCATCACAAACACAAGGATTAAACTACTCCACTTCATAGATGTTACTTAATTGTTTGGTGTCTGCTGTAAACAACATCATGCTACTCTTTTTTTGTGTCCTCCCACTCTTCTAGGAATGTCATTCGGCCTTTGCGAGCCATCAGAATGTTCACTTACTTCAGGTGGAGCGTTTGGTTCGGGGCGGTGGGCCTTGGGCCAGCTCAGTCTTACAGGCAATCCTCAGCGAGTCCAGTTTACCTCAAAATGAAGGTATGTCGTGTCGTGTCGAAGTGTTGGGCGGTATGACTGTATTTACCGTGTGACGCTATAAAAATGTCGAATGGTAGAAATTTTGCTTTACCGTTTAAACCGGAGAGAGAGAGAGAGGGAGGATGTGTGCTGCATCTCTCTGAGTCAGTGTGTAGTTGTCTGCGCTCGCATTACCGTATATTCACCAGCCTATCGTGCAGAGTTTGTTCGCTCCGTTTGATTGGTCAGGTTTTAGTGTGCTCCCTATAATCACCAGCGTGTCCAGAAAACTGCTTGGCACAGTTTAGATGAAGAAGAAGCAGCTTCACTGGTGGAGGTCATGGCGGATGTGGAGATGAGTGGCAGTTCCGAGAAAACGGAGGCAGCCCGACCAAACAGACATGAGGAAGAGGAGGAGGGACTCGTTCCAAAAAAGGGCGCGAGTCGCGACATCGGTTTTCTGGAGATTCTTCGGATTTAGAAAATCCGACAATGATCAAAAAACAATCTTGTGCAAAGAGTGTCGTGTGGCTGCCGTTGCTGGATTACTCATACTGTGATATAAGATTTTGTTCCGCCCAACACTATTATGTCGTGTCGTGTATGTGGTTTTTTCCTCAGCTGTGATCTAATTGTTTCCCTTATATCAAATTAGTCACTGCTTCTGAGTTTCCTTCCTCTTCCTAAAACAAGAACCTGTTTGCTGCACTTCAGTGGGTCACTCTGCATTGTAATCTAGTTTAAGGAATTAAATGAATGTCATTGTCTCATTTGCTCATGACTCCCCCTCTCTCTCGACTCGTCCTCAGTGGATGGGTACATCAGCTCCGAGCTGCCTGTGTTCTTCGAGCTTCAGGTGCGCTACCTCTTATCGTGCGAGCAGCGGGTCGGTGAGGCTGTGGCTCTGGCTAAGTGTTGTTCTCGGCATCCGGCGACAGGACAGCACCTGTTCTTCCTCCAGGTCTACCTCACGTGGCTTCTGAAAACTTCACAGCATGACCGCCTTCACAGAGAGGTGGGTGGACTGCGTGCAAACCACTCGCTTGTGTTTTATTCGATGGTGTAATTTTCTCCATCGGCTGCTGCACCTACCTCATTTTCATATTTGAGGATGATTGACAGGGCTGAACTGAAGCGTTTTTTTTCTGCTGTTTTCAGGTGGCTGACTTCAGTGGCAAAGATGCAATTCACATCATCTGTAGTTTGGAGAGTGAGGAGCAGGATGAGTTGCTTCTCGCTCTCTGCAGAGCCTTCCTCTCTCAGCAGCTCCGTCGAGGAGACATGTATTATCTGTGGTAACTTCAGATTTCTTAATTACATTTTACACAAACTGAGGAATACTTGTGTTTCTAAAGCCAGTATAAACTAATATACCTTTTAATTCAAGGAGTATTAAAGTGAGGTTTTATTTTCTTTGCAGTGATCTTGTCTTGGTTTGGAGTAAACTTCATAGCCGGTTGAAAACATCCAAGCAAGCTCTACTTGAGGAGAGTCATCAGCTGATGCTGTCTGCCACAAATGTCAACTCAATCTTCCCGTTCATCAGAGCCGTGCTGCAAGAGGTGAGACGCAGAGTTAATCTGCTTTTTATTTCTAAGAATTTGAGTCTTAACTCTTAACCTTCTGTTTGCGTTGTAGCTGGGTGAAGATGGCGTCCAGTTCTGCGTGGAGCTTTGTGCGAGCGCCCTGGAGTCCTGCCTCCCCTGCGATGTCATCACCAAGTCCCTAATTTACAAAACCATAGCCGGTCTGCTGCCTAACGACCTGGAGGTGTGCCGAGCGTGCGCTCTCCTGGTGTTCTTCCTCGAGCGCTCCGTCGAGACCTACAAGATGGTCTACCTGCTTTACATGCATCCCGATCAGGAGTACCACGTGGACTCCAGCCCCATCAGGAATCACATTCGATTCGAAACCCTGCAGGTAGAGCAACATTTGAATGAGTCCCGACAGGATCTGACCAAAAGAAAGATCGAAAGATCCGCATCTCTCTCCCCAACACTGTTACACAAGTTTTATTCTATTTAGTACCGTATTTACCGGAGTATAAGTCGCACCAGCCAAAAAATGCATAACAAGGAAGAAAAAACAAATACCGGAAAAAAATGCATTTTGGGGGGAAATACAAGACCAAGAACAGAATATGATCTGCAGAATATTATTTTCTTTTTGGCTGCATTTGTGCTCAAGTCTTTCTCAGTTGTCAATATGGGTTAACATCAATTTTTAAATCTTTAGTGGTACAGGAGTAGACAATACTGGTACGTCAGCCTAGAGCGCCCTCTAGTGGCTGTCAGTGTGAAAATAACAAATGTGTGAAATCATGTATTTTAATATATATATAAGTCGCGCCTGAGTATAAGTCGCAAACCGAGTCAAACTATGAAAAATACTGCGACTTATAGTCTGGAAAATATGATAATAACGGATTTATTTCAAATGATGTTCTTGACTTTAATAGCTCAGTTTCTGTTGTTTTCAATAGCCTCTAATTTTCTCCCATGAACATAACAAGTATGCACCTGTAAATGTAACAATATTAAACTTATCAGTAACTACACCAACAACATTTAGATGTAGTATGAATAACACAGGCCCTAGTCTTGATCCTTGAGGAACCCAATGAGTTACCTTTCAATAATGTTATTTTTTAAACCACACCTCTTTTACTGTAACATACTTATTTCTGGAGAATCATAGCAAGTTCACGGATGACTTTTTTGCTGTCAATATTACACCAAAACATTTCCTTTCCCCGTCTATCCTTAGGTTTTGAAGAAGGACCTGTATTTTGACCCCGAGTTTTGGAACCTCATCGCTCTGCGGACCAACTGTTTGAAGCTGATGAGCGAGAAGGTGGTTAGCACTGCCCTAGAAGAAATCATGGAGGACAAATGGATTCTTAAATACTGCACCAAAGATTCCTCTTTCCGTTCGAGCAGAGCCGTTTGTAAGAAAGGGAAGAAAGAGGAGCTTCAAACATCGTGTAAAAAGCGTCATCTTAAAGGGGATACTAACGCTGCATCCAAGAGATTAAAGATGGGTTCCGGCCGAACGCGCCTACACAGCGACCACACGGTGAAGAAGAGAGGCAGCCAAGGGTCAAGACCTCTGAGGGATAAACCTCTGCGGCGTTCGTTTTGGCAGCTGGACAAGATGCAGGACAGCGCCGATCTTCGCCGCACCACTCGACTCTCAGAAAAGAACCCACCAAAACGCAGGATAAGGACACCGAGGTGGCTTCTGGAAGACTCAGGAACTCTTGAAGAGAATAACGCTCCTTCCAAGATGAAAAGGCACGGGTTGAGACATGAAAAGCACCACCAATCCGCTGTCATAAAGAGGACCGAAACTGGTCCGATCAAGAACAATGAAAAACACAAACCTTCAATACACTCTCATTTAACTGCCAGGGAAAACAACAGCAAACTCCAGAAAGGACTAAGTTTGGACTTTGACAAACCAGCCAACCCCCCGCAAGTGATCCTCGAGCTCTCCCTACCGGACAACGAGCTGATGGGAACGTTCAACGAGGAGACTTGTAACAGACAGAGAGGCTTTCCTCAGGTGCTTCTTTACAAACCTACAGTTAAACTTCCAGACTCACAGCAACCTGCAAAGACCCTGCACGGCAAAGAGGTGGTTATAAGAGCGAGGGACGCCGCTATGTTCATACAGCAGATTCACTGTTACGCTCGAAAGCAGAAAGGAAAAGGTAACGGGTCGAATGTGCAAGGCTCGGTATCAACAATCACACGCTCCTCGGCGCAAGGAAGTCCCCTTAAAGACACCCAGAGGAAGCTTTCTGAAAGACCTGCCGCTGGAGTTGTTACTCGGACAAAAGTCAAAGAAACTGCTGAAAAAGCCCCCCGAGCTCAAACCGCAAAAGCAGTATTGCGCAAGACTTCTTCAGGCAGAGAGATATCTGGAAAGCCTGCTGTCGAGAAGAAAGATAGCGATGTGTCACGGACGTCAGCAGAGTCTGAAGTGACTGGAGCTCCGTTGTTGGATAAGTTCCTACAAGGGAAGGCCGTGACTTCCACAAGAGAGCTCTGTGAAGGGTCCGCTGTTGAAATGAAAGTCACTATCGCATCGCAGACCCGAACAACCGCCAAAGATAGTCAATTACAAGGTTTGGACCCAATCTGTAAAGCTCAGAAGGTGAAAGAAACCCCGGAAACCGCAACTTCGGCGGAGGTTTCACGGACATTAACTGCTGACAAAAATGAGATGAAAGTTACTGATGAGCGCCAGAAAGAAAGAGCAGCTTCTAGGATGCTGCCACAGCGTGAAGATGTCCTTAAAAATCAGGGACAAGAACTCACGTCACCCTCCTCTCAGGTTGAAACAGACAAAAATCTAGCAAAAGCAGACACTTCAGAGATACCCACAAATCTCAGCAATGGCATACCTGACAGGGACGTCCCAGATATTTCACTGAAACCCTCAAAAGAGCCAAATCCTGGAGGACTTGTCATGACTCAAAACAGGACAAAGGCTCCTTCTAAACCCACAGACCGGAATAGTATGAGTGACATATCTTCTCTGACGTTAGTGACGGAAATGGTGACTGAACTCGCACCAGAGACAATCGCGACAGATCTGGAGAATGAAAAACTCTCAGCCCCACAAACCAGTGCCTCCAAAGAATCCAAAACGGGAGGTAAACCTAGAACCCTTCACAAATCACTCACTACCTCCAGCTGTTTCATGCAAGATCCAAATGTGCAAGGGAATAAAGAGGGCATTAAGGATATGGATGAAGAAATGACAGAAGATAGTGACGCTGTAGAAACTGAGGAATCCAGGTTGGAGTTTTGTTGTACCTTCTGCCACAAGGAGTTCAAAGGAAGCCGTGTTGTCGCACACGCTATGTTCCATTATCGTAAGGACGAGTGTATGTTCTGTGGGGTGACGTTCAAGGATGACCTTCTGGCCATGATGCATCTGTCTGATCATATCGAGAAGCTAAAGAGGATCAAAGATACGCCCGTCAGAAATGCAAAAGACAACCGGCGGTCCGAGTCCAAAGACACCTCCACGCCCAAGAGCTCTTCCAAAGCTACAACCACAAATGTCTCGTCTGGAGGAAGAGGGAGGCCTAGAAAATCTGATATCTGCCTCAGGTCAGTAAGTGTTTCTGTGGATTCTACTCCTCCTGGATCGAGACGGTTAAGATCAAATGACAAGCAAGAAGAAAATCCAACTTTGCAGGATGAGAAACTGAAAACAGCCCCTGTCACGAGCAAAACTCCTGTCCACAAAGTGAACGGGCATATCGGCACAAAGAAAAAACTCGGCAGACCGAGAAAAGTCTCCTTAAACTCTGTAACTGAGGAGACACCAAAAAGGCAGAAAATCTCCCATGAAAGAACTGCTAAGGGGGCCGGGACTCAAAGGTTGCAAGAGAAGCAGGAGTCTGCAACGTCATCTAAAGTAGACAAAGAATTTAAGCGTTCTGTTGAAGCGAAAAAGGAAGAGAGAGTTTCTCTGCAGGTCCAGAGGAAAGCTGCCAAACAAGACAAAGCTGTTTCAGGGAACAATTCAGAGCAACAGGAAAAAGTTGGCTGTCCTGTGGAGGGTTGTGCCTGGTTCACAGACCTGTCCAAAAACCGTGTCTCCCTCCTGTATCACGCCCTCGAGGATCACTACGGGGACATCAAACCTTTAGAAGTGGCGTACCGTGTCGGAGACGGCAAATGCAGCTGTTGCATGAGGGTCCTGTGGAGTTTCGAACACTTCCAGCACCACGTTGAAAGACACAGACTCACTCCTCGGTATCCTTGCCCCCATCAGGGGTGTCCTGTCAGGTTCAAAACTGGGATAGAAATGAGACGCCACGCCAGGAAGCACAGTCCGCTGCAGGCAGCGTGTTGCCTCCCTGGCTGCTCTAAACTATTTATTTGTCTGTGGGCACTGAACCTCCATGAGAGAGAGCACTACTCCACCAAACTTGACACAAAAGAGCCGACGGGTGAGGAAGATGATCACGTTCAAGTTGGGAAGAAACAACCACATCATGAGCCAAAAGATGCAACTCCTACCAGCACTCGAAAACAGACTGTAAGTGTAAAAGCTGCTCATAAATTAAAGAGACAGAATACGGACAAATTCTTGAAAAGGAAACATTTCAGAGCTTCTCTCCGGGCCAGCGTCAGAGTATCTCTTTTGAAACAGGAGGTTAAAGAGGACCCTGAGACCCAGGAGAATCCCTCAAACAGTGACACAACCGAACATCGGTCCGGGCCGAGATTGAGGCAAACGTTAAGAAAAGCAACAGACGCCGCGTCTCTTAAAGGTCACAAAGTGCTGTCATCCTCGCTGTTTCAACACAACATCAAAGCGAGGTATAAAGCGAAGAACGCGCAGGTCAAAGTGAACACGAGAGGTCTGAAAAGAAGAGGGCGTCCTCCCAAGCCAAGGACTGCTGCACCTGATGAAAACACAACACCCAGTCTAAATCATAAAACTGTCAAAGAGAAAACTGCTGTGATGAGGAATCAGAAGAACACGGATCAGCTTACACGCCACGTGAAAACGGAGGAGGCCTCGGGTCAGAGCAGAGGGCAGAGTCCAGAAGATGTGAAGACCACGGAAAGATCTAAATTAAAGTCAACAAGATCAGTGAGGAGTCAGATGAAGAGAAATCATTTTCAACAAAAGAAGATCCACTCCAAGACGCGTCTAAATCGAGCCACATCGGCCAAGAAGACACAAAAGTTGATGATTGACAAAATGAAGAAACAACTTAAAGCAAGAAAACACCGAACTGCCAACAAGGACGGCAGTCAGACTCTGTCCTCAGAATCTACTGAGACACAGAAGACGAAGAATGAAGATGATAAAGCCGCAACAGAGATTTCAGAGAAAGGATTACCTCTAAAGGAACCAGAGCCAGTCGTGGAAGAGTCAGAATCCATCGTCAGACAAGATGAGGCCGAATCAGTCACAGAAAGTCCAGCTAAAGAAGAAGAAAAGTCCAATTCGGAAGAGGCTGAATCAACCCAAAACATCCCTGATGACTCAGTCTTTGTTGTCCAAGCTGAGAGTTTAACCGATTCAAAAGAAGCACCCATCAGCCCGGCGGAGAAAGAGAAAACTGTAGAAGCAGGAAAGAGGAAGAAATTAGAAAAAGGAGAGAAAACTACTGCAACTTCAAACTCAGGCAAGACCCTCAAGAAGCACAAGGATGCAAACAAGGAGGAGAAAGGGAACAAGTCAAGTAAAGTCTCCACCCTGAAAAAGACATCGAAGTCTAAACCAGCAGAAACACCCGTGGAGGCTCAAGTAGCAGGAGAAGGTCCACTTGATGTGGAAGCAAAAGAAGAAGCATCAAATGTGAACATCGATGAGCATGATTCCTCCGTCTCTGCTTCTGCTGCAGCTAACAGCTCAAATAAACCGACTTCTCCACCAGCTGCCAATGAGGAGAAGACGCAGACGGTCACAAATGAGACAAAATCAAACAAATCCAAAATGAAGAGAAATGTGGACCCTAACAAACCGAAAAAAGAGTGCAAGGATACTGTGAAGAAGATTGTAAAGAAGAAATGCAAAGACCCACGTGATCCATCAAGATCTAAGAAGCCTAAAAAGTCTAAAGTTCGACCAGAGGTGAAAGTAGAGGGAACAGAGAGCTCTGAACATCAGGAGAAACCCTCCACCCAAACACCTCAGTCCACTTCACCAAGGCGTAGATACTCCGCATTAACAAACGGACAAGAGAGACAAGAGGAAGCTAAAATCACAGAGTTCAAGCAGAACCTCGCGGAGTACGGGAAGAAGCCGTACACGCGCGCCCCGCCTGAAGTCTACCTGGATGAGAAGTACATCACCATGCCTAAACGAAGGAAGGAGCCGCTCCAGGCGCCTTACAGATACCCCTCCCTGGAGCAGGTGAAGATGCTGGTGGCCGCGCAGAAACAGCGATGCACCAACTGCTTCGCTACGTTCAACAACGCCGAGGAGCTGCAGGGACACCTTCAGCTGAAGAACTGCTCCAACCTCTTTGGATTCGACTCCGATGACGAGGGTGAGTCTGAAGTCTTTTCAAGAACTTCTGAACTGTTGTGAGAAAGTTTGTTTTAAGGTAGTTTATTCGAAAAAGAAATCAAGTCTCGATAATTTACATTTGTTTTTGTGTCCCTCAATCACATCCTCACACTCAGTCTCGTTATGTTCGTAAAGATTGTCGTGACGGCTGTTATTCTAGGAGTTTTAACGCTTTTTGTCACTTCGGAGGAAGCTCTGAACTCCTCCTCACTCTCCAGGAATGTTATCCAGTATCTGAGTCACTGGAAACTTGCACAGCCTTGAAGGAATAACTCAGGGTTGGGTCACACTCGATAATTAGTAGTAATTTGTATGGCTCAATGTGGGATGGGCATTTTCAGCAGCGATGTTATTCGATACTGACTGAGAACTGTTTATCCATCATTGGGATGGTTGCCCATCCATCCTACTCTATGAGTTTACACAGATGCAAAGAAAGAAAGTCAGATCTAGATACGTGTATGAACGGATTTAACCGCAGAAGCTACTGTGAGGAGTTTTTGGATGTTTATATAATAGACTGAGATTCTTATTGAAATATAAAAGCAAACAAGAACCTTAAGAACAACATACGGTAATTCCTTCATGCGTGAAACCAGTGTGGGAATGTAGGTGTCAGTGTTGCCAGATGGGAAATATAGAATTATCGTACGAGAGACTCAAAATTATCGTATTTATGGGAAAATGATCGTACACCCGTCATAATCAAAATAACAATCTTACTGTTGCATGATAGTGGCCTATAGTCACTCTGTTTAGTGTCCTACAGGAACTCACAATGTTGTGGTCATTCATCGCCCCGCCCACATCAGCAACGTATGATCAGCAGCTCCGACTCAGCTGTGTTACACTAATATGTCCCCTTTAAACAAATGACAGATGGGAACTAATGAGCCAAATCATGAGACCTTGAGGCCACCTACTTTTTTGAGACAGTGTTCATAATAACTGACAAAGAAATAAAGAGTCATCTGACTTACATTAGTGAAATCTATTTTAGACACAAAACCAACATGTCCTCACACGAGTATTCGGCTCCTGTTAATCACCGTCCTCTTCAGTGACGCTCTTTTTTCTCAACTGACTTCCCGACTGAGCATGATTGACAGCCAATCATGCTTGTTGTTTGGATTATAGACTGTATATACTATATATGTATATGTATATTTATTTTATATATTTATGTATATTCTATTTACAGTCTAGGGTTTGTAGACAAACGTCGCTCAAACTATGACTGGATGGAAACGTCACATAGTGAAAGATGCCTTCAGGGTTTGGCAGTGTCTGGCAGACTGAAACAGTGTTATTGCACCACACGTTCACGAAACTGTCAAATTATCGTTCATTTAGACTTTTTTCTTGGTTATTGATCGTACATCGTACAGTGGGCAAAAACATCCTACAAATACGATAATCATCGTACACCTGGCAACCCTGGTAGGTGTCAGTGATGCAGCTGGAGCCCCATTTTTACACATGTAGGATAAAATATTAGCAGTAAATGATTGATTGATTGTTGGAGGTCACGACTTAAACATGTCGGGGAAAAAGTTCCGCAAAGTTTGCACAAGTTTCGACAAAAGGTGAAAGTCTCTTTCACAGTTGGAGCTGCGCATGACCTGAATTTGAGAATCCTATACGATATAAAGTCCAGATTGCTGTTCATGCTTTTGATTTATGGTTCGAATAAACAGTAGTGAAAAAATAAACTTCACAGAGGAGATTTGAAATGTTACCAGGGTATGAATTAATCATTATCCTCTTCATATTATATCACTTTTCAGGTAACAGTTGAACATCCACTCAAGCCTGATGGGATTAACACTTTGGATTAACAGTAGACTTGTCTGTGGATTGCCTGGAGCTCCTGGTTTTGGATCATACCTCAAAGGATCAGTCCCCTCTGCAGGACTCCTTTCACAGCCGCCTTGGAAGAGATCTGCGAGGGGCGTCACCTGACTTTTGCCGCGGCATGTGCCTGAAACGGCAGGTCCCGGGAGCGTCCAGAACACGAACTATCGAGAAACTGAACTGAGGTGAACCGCAGTCAGACTGTTAGCAGAACAGCTCGTACTGAAGTGCCTGCTCTGGAACCGCCGTGCTGTTTCACGCGACTAAAAATTTGGTAAGGAGATTGTGGCTTAAAAAGACTGGACTCTTGAAAGCTGTGAAGACAAAAAAAGAAAAAAAAAAATGCGAGACTACAAGGCTGCTCCTGCTGTCACTAGGATACATATTTTTTACATCAGTAAGCCATACGTCGCCATTGTTTGCTTTTTGCACTGTTTTCTCACAAGATTTTCTTTCTGCTTTAACTAAAATAATGGGAACTGTGATGAATCAAGCATCTAAAAGTTTCATTCTAACATTATAATGTTACATATAATGAAGACTTAAGTCTTAAGTTTGAAAAATTGTAAAATTGCTGTATGAAAGTCATCTTTGGAGAAGTTTTTATGTATAACTCTTGTTTAAATACTATTTCTCTTCTAAGTTCCCTCTGGGGTTGATTAAGTCTGTGCTTTGTCCTTTACCATGAGTAACCAGTAGGGGTCAGTGTGCGCCTTTTTTTGGAGTTATAAAAACAGACTTCCTTTTTCTTTTACATTTGCAAAACTTAAATTAACATATTTACTATTTTTCCTCCACAGATTTCTACATGTACAGCTGCTCCTCTGTATTTATCACTATAGGGAATCAAGAAATAGCTTCACTTCCATTTCCATACATCAAGCTGTATTTCCTTTAGCAATAACAACAACCATACAAACGTGCCAGTTCCCTTTGTGTTCAAGCTGCTGGGTTCTGCAGCTCACACTCTGGCTTGTGTTGATTTTATTCGAATAGATTTTTCAATTTTATCTTTTCAGAATCATGAAGACGTCGTGATTTCTCTTTTAGGGTGAATGTTCTTTTATAGGATCGGTTTGCAAACATCATGTCATAAACAAGCGTTACGAGGATAAAGGCACCGGGTTTTCATGAACGGCAGCAGCAGCAGCAGGTTATATTTATTTGTTTTATTTTCTATCTTTTGTAAATATTTGAGGAGTCACAATGGCTTACTATATTAAAGGGTTGTTGGAGGCGGGGTTTATATTTTGTTCTTGGAGAAAATAAAACATTTCAAATGACTTTTTTTATTCATTCTGGCTTTGTTACAGGGTCCAAACATGGAAACTTTATTACACAACAAGTTTATCTGTCATCTTGTGGGAACAAGACAACAGATTTGATCTTGTTAGAACAAGTTAACTCTCTCATTTTGTAATAGAACTGATCCGTGTGAGTAATAGTCTTGTAGCACAAGTTATGGTCTTGTTGTATACGTTATCTTGTGGGAAAAAGCTTGATGGACAATCTAGCTTGTAAAAAAAAAAAAAAGAAGCTGTCGTATTGGTGGAACAGGTAGGTAGTTATTTGCATAATTTAGGTGACTGGCAGAAGTTATCAAGATACTTATGTGCAAAAATTCAGAAAACAAGCCGTTTTCTTGTGTACAAAATAAAGTTAAAGGGATATTCCGGCGTAAAAATAATTTAGGGTCAAACACTGTAACACCGAGTTAGACACCCCTGTCGAGAGATGAATCCTGTCGACCGCTTGCTTCTCTAGTTATACCAACTTTAGTAATGACCGCACGATAGCAATATAGAGAGCCAAGCGCTCAGCCAAAACACCGCTGTGTATTGCTATCATGCGGTCGTTTCTAAAGTTGGTATAGCTAGAGAAGCAAGCGCTCGGCAACATTCATCTCTCAAGGGGGTGTCTAACTTTGTGTATTTGACCCTGACTTAATTTTACGCCGGAATATCCCTTTAACTTGTGAGTTAAAATGTTATCCAGTGGGAACAAGTTACTTCTGTGCAAAATATATCTTGTTGAAACAAGTTAACTATCTTGTACACAGAGTATAATTACCCTGTGTGAGTTTCAAATTTGTGGCACGAGTTATGATCATGTGGGAACAAACCCTCTTGTGTGCAGAGATAATCCTGTGAAAACCAACTCCAATCTTGTTAGAGCAAGTCAGATTATCTTGTGAACACAATATCACTTACCAATGTGAGTTTAAATTGTAAATCATGAGCACACTTGACTTTGTTGGAACAGGTTAGCTTATACAGATAACTGGTGGGAATCTTGTGCTCACAATGTAGTTATCATGTCTGCTCAAGATATTATTTCACTGTTATTCAATGATGATCTAAGCAGCTGTATGAAAATATGTTTTTGCTTTAATTTGAGAAAGAGCTGAACCCCATGATCCTGGATCCTGCTCTAACAGATCCAGACCTGGACTTGGATCTGCACCAGCTTTCGCCCAGACACGAGACATCAGGGTCATTTCAGGGTAATCTGATCAGAATACACTCGGATCGATTATTTAACTACCGCTGTCATTAAAGCTGCGAGAGCGGATACAAGCCGCGCAATCTGTTTTCATGTGCTCACATAATGTACAAAAGTGGATTATATTTGTTTTACTAAAAGCGGTTATTACCACACAGCCATTAATAACAATGGAAATTGTGTTTTGGCAGACCAGACAGATGCAGCAGACAGTCACACAGGCCAGACAGAAAGGCGATCTCTTTGTTTACCATCTGAGTCGGTCGTATTTGTTGTGGTAGACTCAGATGCAGGAGGAGGGAGAAGAAGAAGAAACAGGAGACCACAGGAAGAGTCAAGTTCCCTTCCACAGGTGTGTGAATTCAGACAGGTGGAGCTGGCATTGAATTACATTTTTAAAGGTACCTTACATGCAGCTTTTTGTCTGCTTTTGACTCTAATTAATCATGAATTTCAAGAAGGCAAGTAGTTGAAAACACGGAAGAGTATTTGCCGATTTGTCCATCATGGTTTGGCGATATTTTGATTTTGCAAACTGAGATTATTCAAACGGGGTTTACAATTTTGACTCCGACACAGCAGCAGTTACCTTTATTGGTCCCCACGTTGTCAATACTGATGACAGAGGTACACAAGCATGTAATCCATACTTCAGATCAACTTTAAATATTTAATCATAGCGTGATTGAATGATTAGACTTTTCTTGACAAAGCAAATATAATACAATCATTTCTTCACTGCTTCATAGCCTCATCCTAAAACTCTTTACAGCGGCTATAAATGAGACGTCAGTTTGCAGTGCAGGCAGTTACAAACACAATCCAGATTTTCCATCATAATCCAAACTGCAGGGAGGAAAAAGACATGTAAATAAGTTCATTTTAAAGCAATATTTAGTTCTGATAGCGACATAAATACAGTATTATATTATACAACAGCATGATTCCAGCTTTAAATATGAAAAGATTTCAATATTTACAAAAAGCAGTACATAAGGAATGTAAAATTAAATTACCAGAAGACTGTATCCAAGTGTGACAGTAAATCACGAGTGGATTCACAAACATTCAGAGAGCAGCGCTGCAGTAAAGGCAAGTAGAAACTGGAGGGTAAAATAGCTGTTTGGGAGTGTGTAAATTAGCGTTTTATTGAACAGGGTTTGGCAGGAGAACCTGAGGAAATCTGCAACAAGAACCAAAATATGCTGTCACCTTTTCCACCTCTGGCTATGTCACGTTATGTGATTACCGGCGAATAAATCCTTCAACCTCGCAAATATGTTGTTAGTCAGAGGCTGCCAACGTGAAGTAAAAACGCCTGCAGCTGTACAAAGAGAGTAAAAAGTCTGGTTGGTGATTATTATTATTATTGTTATCATTATTATTATTAGTTCACTTTCCGTTTCACACAGTCACAGAGCTTGAGCATGTCTTGTCGGTCCATCCAACCCTTGCTGTCATATTTCCGGACAGTCTTAAGGTCTGATCAGGATCAGCCATTGTTCAGGACTGCATACAGGCCTATTGTCTACAAAGAAACACCATCCTTGCCAGTTTTGTATAAATATGCAGTCCTGTCTTCCTTCTTGCTCCTTCATTCCAGCCCAAAGTTTCAAGCCTGTTGTAGCAGGAGAAAAATGCAGCGTGCCCCGTTCTGTATGGGTGATTGTTTAATTCCACTGAGGCCTCATGTAGTTGGGGATGCACTGGCAGACTTGATGGCTGTAGTAAAAGCCGCTCTGGCACACGGGTCTTGGCTTTCTGCAGGGCAACCTGTAACAACTAGACAGCGAGGGAAGTTGGAGAATAAGGTGCAAAGAAGGGGAGAAAAGAAAGATGTTTGAATGTAGAGAGAAAGAAAGGGTGAGGTTTGGAGTTGAGAGAGGAAAAAAAAAAAAAGACACAAGGGAGATTATTCTTCTGGCACCAACACTATTGATTATTCAGATCCGCACATCCCTTTTGGATAAACCCCGATCCAAGTTTTGTTTGCTTCAAACGATTCTGTGTGTGAGAAAAAGAGGGAGTGTGTCTCCCAGGAGGGGAGGACTGTGGCCAAATTCTGTGAACTCTCCTCTTCAAAATCACAGTAGGTGCATGGTCCTCTGATGTATCGCCTCCTGTGACCAGATGTTGAATCTAACAGAAAACAAAACCAGGGCAAGGATGAAGTCAAAGAGATGTCTTGTGCGTGCTGTTTTAAAGACTTCCTCAACTGCCTTGTTTGTGTTTCAGAGCCAGACTGGAACATGTTTGGTATTTGAAAAGGCGGCTCACAGTTTTGTTGGTGGTAAACGCTTTGAAACTCTCGACTAAAGAGAGTTTAATTAGTCGTGTAAAAGTTTAGGGTGATTTTTGCACGCCAGTTTGGTGTTGTAGCATATTTCGATGAAAATTTAACCCTCTTTGCTGGGACAGAAACTATGCGATCAAAGGTCGTGTGTATACGCTGCGTGTCTGTGAACTTTCCCACATTTGTTAGAAGTCGCTCTCATCACCGCATAGGTCTGCATGTGTGTTTTCCCTCGCGTCTGTCACTCCATCTGTCTCCGTCGTGCCCGCCTGCCTGTCTGATGGCTGCTCTGCTCTCTGTCATCAAGTTCACCCTGTCTCTCTGCAGGCCTCTCGGGTCAGAGGGAGGCTGATCTTTTTCGTGGCGGCTGTGGGAACTGTGACACACATGCTGAGCTCGCACATGCAGTGAATGTTTCGGTCACCATGTGTCCATAAAAGGTCATTCTGAAACATGTAAGCTCACCAAACGGACAGTTTTTCTTTTTTAGTTAGGAATGTGTGATATGTCCGTGGAGAGTTTGTATGCTTTCTCTCCCCGCTGACTTCCATTATTTCCCTGTCCTCGCTTCTTTTTCTTGCCCAGCTACCACGCTGGAGACTTCTGATGGCAACCAGGACCAAAGTAGCACCAAAAGTATGCAATACAAGACCAGTTCTCCCAGTTCAAGCCTTTAGATCGGGGAAATAGATGAGCTGAAGCTTTAGAGGAGCTTCGTTGGAGATTTTCAGGCTTTTTTTGATAGACACTGAACTTTTGTATAACTCTAATGTGCTTTGAAATGTAGATGTGTAACTGATAGTACACTACAGGACACAACACTGTGTGTTACATTATGTTACAATACAATATGATGTGAGAAGATACAACGCAATACAGTATGATGCTGTGAAAAGATAAGATATAGTATGATACAACATAATGCAATGTGATACAACTCGATATAAAATAATGAGTAGCTAAACATGAAGGAACGGAAAACATCATTTAACTACATAAAGTAACACTATACTACATAAGTCAACGTGATACGATGCGATAAGTAGATGCAATACTGTACAATACGATGAAATTTGATGTGATTTGACATAATTTAATACTTATATATGTGATATGGTAGTATACGATCCTATTTGATGAGAAATGTTAGAATACCAAACTTTGCATGCATTGTCACGTTATGTTATGATACGATAAGATTTGATTGGACACAACTTGATACCAGTATATCTGATATGATAGGATATTACGCTTTGATATGAAACCCTAGAATACGACACTTTAAGATATAAATTGTTACATTACGTTGTGTTATGTGACATAACGTGTTGTGATATGATATGATAAAAAATACTATATATTTTGATTTTACACAATTGAAAACCAGTATATGTGATATGATAGGATATTACACTTTGATATGAAACACTAGAATAAGAAACTTTAAATCATAAATTGTTACATAACATTGTGTAGCGTTATGTTATGATATGTTGTGTTACGTTACGTTATGTGTTGAGTTACATTATGTTAAGTTACGATACAATATAATACGATGTATTTAGATTAATTTGACACAATTTAACACCAGTGTATGTCATATGATTATATTATATTATATTATATTATATTATATGACACTGTGCGACCATGTGACATCATTTAATACAATACAAGACTACATAATATAGGATTATCAAATCCTAAGCACGCCTCTTTAAGGTAAACTGTTTTTAGCTAAAGTGCTTCTCAGGCTCAAGTACCTCCACAAAACAACATCAGCTGAAAACTTAAGTAGATCAAATGGTTGTAATTTGGAAACAGCTATTTCACCTCAGGAACTGTCTGATCCCAAACACTCTCGCTCGAGTGTGAACCAGACAACATCTGCGTTCCAGTGCCCTAGTTTTCAGGTAGGAGCCCTTATTATCAAATTACGCAAACATCCAAAACACTAAAGGAATTGTGCATCCACCAGTGAAAACCTGCTCTGGAATCAATTACGGGAAAATAATCAGGGTATTATTTGCCAAATCGTTTTAAGCTGCTGTGTAATAATCAAAGCCTACAGATTTTAGGACCTCCTTTTGCCTGAGAGCGGCCTTGAAATCACCCACTATCACTATTTTTATTAACTACTGTATGCTCCCTTAAAAATATTCAGTTTTTCAAGCAATTAAATTAGAGCTTCTATAATATGGCCAAGCGTAACAAAACAGCCTTGTTTGAAATCAAGTCATGGAGGATCATATGTAATGTAATTATGCAACTTTGGATAAAAGGAAAGAGGAACTAATGACTCAAATTAAGTGTTATGACGCAACCCAGAGAGAAGAATCCCTCTTTATGTCTAATCTCTGTTTTTAATAGTCGTGTAGTTTATGATTTTGGCATCTAAAGCGGACTTTCCCGCATTTCCCAGAAAAAGCACCAGAACCGAAGATGATGAAGATGATGATGATGAACCTCAGGGAGGGGATCTCTGTTTCTTAAATGTTTGTGGTTTTCAGACACGTGCAAACAAGTGCAAAGGCGAATTCTAGTGCATTTGCTATTATCACATGTTACAAGAAATTACCTGATCATTATGATAGCTTATTGGCTTTTTATAGCTGAGAGTTATTGCTCCAGTTGGAGGAAACCCAGGCTGGATTCTTGGGATAATTTAATCCCCGGAGGAGACATTTTTCCTCTGCTCCCCTCTTTCTTCAGGGACCGCAGAGCTGAGAACAGCAACATTCGCTTCAGCAGAATGGACCAATGCCAGAGGGCGCATACCTGCAGGTGCTGGGCTTGAACCTCTTGCCCTGCCGTAGACACGAATGCGGGCTCTCCCTGCACTGGCACAGGCAGGTGTCAGGGTTGAGGGGTTGATTCCCGGGACAATCTGCGGCGCACACGCAGCCGCACAGCTCCTCATCCCAGCGCTGACCCGTGGGGCACACCTTCCCTTCGCCTTGACCTTCGCACTGACACTCACCTGAGGAGAAAGAGAAACACAAACAACAAGGAGATGTGATGATTCAGTCGCGGGATCACTCACTTCTGTCTGGGTTGTAAATTTTTTGTGGTCTGGTCCGGACTTGTTGGTGTAGAAATCTGCATGAGCCTGACTTTCCCAAAAACTCCCATCAACCATGATTAATCCGCCTGTTTTGATTTTGCCTGATTGCTTTCTCTTTCTGGTTTACAGGAAAACCAAAGCAAGTCATGCACCAAAACCACCTTCTGCACCTCCCTTCACTATGAGGTATTGACACAAAGTGAAGCCGTCCTTACAGGTGTTGTGGTCCAGTTTCCAGCCTGGATCACAGCTGGCCTCCGTGAGCCCGTTTCGACAGACGCAATCGCAGGTGGACTGGTCCAGAACTCTGTTTGGCCCACAGAGAGCTAACAGACCTGAGTCCAGCGCCTCTGGAAACCACATGGAAAGATTGAGGGAAAAGAAAACATTAATCAGGTGTTTAGTTGTTGGTGGAGTCATTCGTAACACTTGGAAAAGGCAGCGCAGATAAAAGTGTGTCAGTGAGTCTCACGCTTCAGTCCAGACTATTTAGGTATTCATGGTCTCCAGAGGATGCTGAATCATTCTGACTCTGGTGGTTTTACTCTACATGGTACCATAACTTTGTGAGATTTTAACGAATTGCTGTTAAATTTACGACAAATATTCAACATTCACAGAGGAAACAGCCTTTCTTAATCAAATTGTTAGATATTTCTGCCTTTTTCAGAATGATTTCGTCCATCTCCGATATGTTTTTGTTTCGTCATGAAATGTTAACACTTCCACCACAAATAACTTTTCCCTGACCTAAATGCCTTTGACACTTAAACTAAAACAAGTAACTGCCCACTGAGCATTTTTTGGTCTAAAAGAGTTTAATAGATGTTTTAATGTAGCCTAGATGACTGGTCTAAAATCAGGCTGCCACAGGTTGAAAAATTAAAGTTTTTTTAGACGTCTAAATTCCGACCAAGTTTAGACTAGCCGGCTGACAGAGGCTTGACTGTATATTGCTCAACGGCTATCATCATTACTTAGGTTAAGACTGGTTTGTGCTCAAGTCCTCTTTTTTCTGTACAGCTCCATTTTTTAAAAGTTATTAGGGGGTTCAACGCTACAGCGCAATGCTGGTTTCAGGAAGTGGAGAAAAAACGCGGAATTACCGAGAGCTTTTCGGCTTCAAATCGGTATACTGGTGGAAGGTGGAACCATGTTGTCCATAGCATATACAGTCTATCGGCAAAAGTCTCAGTTTACTTATGAATGATTCTTTATTAAGAGCAGCTGTTTACATTAATTACATCAGAGTCACTTGTATAAATATTGATTTCAAGCATAATTTCCCAGGAAAGTTTATTTGGCATGCTCATTCAGAGCATTAGTTCATTCCCATGGTTAGCTATTTTAAGTCTGCCCCTAAAACCAGCGTGATAAGTATCTCTGCCAGTGTGATGTTGAGATAAGAAGTCTTGATAGGGAGGGTACTGTCGTTCACTGCATGATTGTACAAGTAAAATGCCACAAAGACAGATGAATTTCTCATCTTACTGTTAAGTAAACATTTCCTCGGGGGGAAACCCATGCCGCTCAGATTTACCGGTTTACTGGCTTCATCGTTATCGTCATCTGAAGAGTAGGGATGGGAATTTTCTAAAAATTAAAGCTAAAACCTGGCTCACATCCCAAAATATAAACTTATCATGTTCTTCTACGTCGTGCCTCGCAGCAGGTGATTTACGTTTTGTGGTTTAAGGTGTCTGTTGTTTTGATTCAGGTGTGCCAGCTGCTGTAACATTAAACAATCCATACGCTGGGCTAACTCCGTTTTCCCCCGTGAGGTGAGTTATACTTTTTAAAGCTTATGCATGCCATTTATAAGAGGGTTGACTGTGTATATTCTCTAAATACTTTTTTAAAAGCTGTACTTTTGATTTTATGCTTTGGCTTAATAGCATTTGTGAAGTCCAAGGTATGGTGGCCAAAAACCGCCACTGCTGCGAATAAAAAAGAATGCAAGAAAAGAAGCCACATAGGAAGTTAATGACGCAAAAAAAAAGTGGTGATGGGAAAAAAAAAGTTGCTGCGAAAACATAAGGATGCAAATAAAAAAGGCCACAACAGAAGTGAGCTGTCAGGGACCAATAACGATGACACACTGATGTTTTACGATCTTGGCACAGAAGACGGGCTAAGAAGTTAGTAGAAAGGTTATTGTTTAATTTCGCTTCGTAAACTTTGTGATGTGTCATTTGGTTAGGCCATGTTGCGTCTGAGTCGATACGAAGTTGAACTGGAGGATGTCCGTGTAGTGTTAGCTTCAGTTCAACTTCATGTCGACTCAGGCACCACATGGCCTAACCAACTGAAACATCGAAAAGTTTACGAAGCGAAATTAAACAATAACCTTTCGAGTTACTTCTTTGCTCATCTTCTTGCTGACGTCTTTTGATCATAAAATACCGGTGCATCATCATTATTGGTACCCGGTAGCTCACTTCCGTTGTGGCTTTTTTTATTTGCATCCTTGTATTTTCGCAATAAATAACTTTTTTTTTTCCATCGCCTCTTTTTTGGCGTTGTTAACTTCCATTGTGGCTTTTTGTATCTGCACCGTTTCTTCAGCGGGCTTCAGTTTCTTTTATTCCATCAGGAACTTCCGTTGTGGTTTCTCTTTTTTGCATTCTTTTTTTATTTGCAGCAGTGGAGGTTCTCGGCCACCGTACCAAGGCTTGTTTTGAAGCCAGTTTCAGTTCGGTTCAGCCGTAAATATGACAGAGAAAATCAATCGAAATGTAAAAGTACTGATTCTTTCAGGAGGGGAAGGTACAGGCCAGCGCAGACAAATGCAGAGGCGGAAAAACACCAAAACAGACATGGCAAACCCTACAGGAGACCCACTATGGTATGCTTTTTGTACCTTACTAAAAATATGACCACAAAAACAGCAGTGATACCCCAGTAGGTGGAAAACAGAGTTAAAGCAGAGGCTTACATGTGGTGGAAACGAAAACATGTTTATCTCCAGATGGGAACTTTTGAACCCCTGAAGCATTCGAGAAGAAATGTTTTAACTTGAGCACACTTACCTGCCTCTCTCCCAGAATAGTTTATGGTGTCTGTAGAGACACACACACAGTTTACTGGATCCCATAATGACCCCGGGGCACAGTCGACTTCGGGTGGGGAACACCTATACAAACAAACACACACACACACACAGAGACGCTCACACATGCTGCAAAATGCTGTAAGAGCGGAGAATGACTCACGAAGGTTTACACACGTCACTGCCCACTCACAGGTGATCTGCCGCGGCTCGTCTGATGATGGAGTGCAGCGGCCGCTTGGAAAGGCATTCGCACGAAGTGTGGTTGACGAAGGTTACCATGACGACCGAGCGGTCCATCCTGGGCGGGGACAGCTCCATCAACTGGTGAGGCAGAATGAAGGGAATTGAAGAGCTCTTTGTTTTTACACTAAAATAGCACTTTACTGGTGTTTTTCTTTGTTTTGTTTTCCTCTGCCTCTACTTCAGCTCTCATGACAAAGGGGTTTCGACTGTAGTTGACGTAATAGCTGGGAAATTGTGCAACTGTGAGTGAGTGTGTATTGATTTGAGGTCCAGTTGCAGCCAAAGGGCGTCCCCCTGCTGCACAGCTGGCTATAATAGAGATGAGCTGGCTCGACTGGCTTCTGACCTCTCCTCTGAAGCAGTTGGACTGACTGTCAGATAATTCCACTGCCTTAAAGCGTCTCACGTTTAAATCAGTCGATAAGAAATGATCCAGCTGTGGCACCTACCGTCTTGTTCACGAGCGCGTGGCTCGTATTTGTGCAGTAGAAGGCCTCGTTGGTGCAACAGCCGCCGCACCGATGTAACGCCACGCAACGTGGGAGGTAGAACTGACTGGTGGATTCTGGGTATTCTTTGGCTACCTCGACACACACCTCTCTGGGCTGGCATGAAGTTTTCTGGATCTCCTCTAAGATGACTGGAAACAGATGTGATTAAGTAACAGGATTCGGTTTCTGACAAGAGAGCTTCTCACCGAATTTTGTTTCTCTGGTGCACTGAAATATTTCTAGAATCCACTCATTAAAAGGTAGAAAGTTTGAACTTTAAATTAAATCCAAGACTAGGTCTAAAAGCTACAGAATGAATCATGCGTTTCTTTTTTACCTGCGAGCGTCCCGTCCACTTTAAAAAGCGGCTCCTCCCTCGGCTGACCCCACAGATCCTCGTCTCCAGAGTGGACCATCGGGCTCGCAGAGGAGGAGAGGAAAGAGGGGGGAGAGTTGCGCCATGACTTCTGCCTCAGGCAGTGCTGAAGCAAGTTGTATTCTGGGTACAGAACTTGTAGAAGTTGATCCACGCTCGTCACTGACTCCAAACTGGGCTGGTCGTCTGACAACGCTGGAGCCTGGGAAACACGAAAGAATCATGAAGAGGAAATCTTTCTTAGTTTTCTGCACTGAAGAGTCAATATCATCTCTTTTTTTGGGAGTTAAATCAAACTGAAACACAATCTTTTTTATTCTGAGTAATGGATTTGAAGTTGATTTGATCTGAGTTGTGGTTTTTGGGAGAAAACTCTGCGTTGGAGTTGCTGGTTGGAGCTGGATAAACAGCGAATACCTCGGCTACCAATGTGTTGTGACATGTTGCTGTTGGCTACTGTTAGTTATTATGGATATGTGTGTCCTCTCCTCACCTACGCTCGTACTTTGATGCGTTTGAGTGCTCATGAAAGCTTTGGTTGAAATTTCTCCCCTGTTTTCTGCCTCCTAGACTGATCACTTCAAACACCGTCACCCGAGGCGCTGTGATAAAATTTGAAAATACTTGCCCCGCTGCAGCCGTGCCCTTCAGCAAGACGCTGTAATCTGACCCAGTTTTTCCATTTGGTAAAACCTTTGTTGCACATCGGTGTGTTTCTGTATTTTCCAAGTGCTTCTCCACGGTTTATTATCCAATCTTCACCGAACCAATCCTTTACAAGCCCTCTGTCACAAGCTAAACCACCAACCTCCTCCATAAAGAGTCCTTAAATGCAGCATTTGTCCTGCCTTAATGACCAAACAGGCTGTAAATTGCCAGCACAGCCAACACCCATATCGTTATTATAACTATTGTACAAAGACGCCTTTATGTAGTGAACCAAGTCCATTAAAAAAGGCTATTTTGATTTGGATAGGCCTTGTAAACCGTTCCCACTGAGTCACCTCCATAATGGTTTTTCTGCTTTTATGATGGATGACTTGGTTCTGCCCTGCAGGAACATGGTAGATGATGAAGATGATAATCGAAATCTCGGTAACATCTTCAACTGGGAGTTGGTCATTTGAGTGTTATGTATGGGTGGTTGTTTAATTCCTGACGCCCTACGGGGTTCAGCTGCTGTTACTTAGACATCAACCACAATCCTGTCTTAATCTGTCCGTGAATATATCTTCCTGACTCTCCCGCCTTTTCCTTTCTTTTTATCTCTACATATCACGATCTGGCATTAGAAACCTCCCTTTCTGTTTCCATTTCCTTGATTTCAATCACATCCCTGATAGCAGTTGCTCATTGGTGCTCAAGGGAAAGTTTGGACCCAACCCGCAAAAATCAACCTTGTGATGGCGCAGGAGGTGAAGCAAAGGTTTGTCGTTTTTGTCAATGTGGTTAGAATCTATCTTCATCCTTTTAGTTTACGGTTAGAGTTGAAACTATTTGTTCTGTAAACAGTTAACAATATCGTCTAAAACGTAACATACAATTCATGTTACATAATATTTAACTGCAGTTGGGTTGTATGCGAAAGGATTGATTCCCCTCCTTCTCCCCTTTCAAGGTCTTCCCGGGTTTTCTCTCACTCTCTCTCTGTTTCTCTCTCTTCGTTTACATTCTGAAGTGATCATGAGATCATCCCTTTGGGACTATGAGGTCATTATGAATGACTGACCTCCGCTTCGGGCTGCATCATTAGATACTTCTACACATGCACATGCACACACCCATGCACTCGTCCGCCTGTGTAAACTTCCTAATACTTTCTACACAACTGTTTTATACTCCTATTCAACCCTGTGTTTGAACAGTATCACTATCAGATGCATCTGTTAACTTGTGTTGTGAGTGAGGAGTGACTCACTTTTAGGGAAAGGAGGCTTTCATTGAAGCCGATGAGTCAGAATTCGACGCAACACGAAATGTCAAATAGTTTCTCTGCTGTCTTATCTACAGCACTTACAGTAAAGGAGACCAGAGCAAATGATGCACTTATTACAGTTTGAAAGGATTTCATAAAAACGGTATTTTACTCTATGCAAAGGAAACACCCATGGCACAAAGACTGAATAGGTTAAACCCATAAGATAAGAACTACTATTTGACATTTTATTTGGATCTTTGCGTAAAGATTTTCTATTAATGAAAACGTAATATCTAGATGATCTAATCTACCCAGAAGTCTGTCTCTTCTTGACATTGTTTACTTGCCTATGCAAGTGTCATATACATAGACAGTCTTTACATGCAGACGTATATACAGAGCTCTTGATTGTAGAGAATTTGTACAAGTTATTTTGTTTTAACTTGATTATATTTTAGTCAGTCATTGCAGATAGTACTAAAAAGATAGAAGGTGTTCCTCAAGGGTCAATACCCGGCCCCTTTGCTATTTATCCCACACATTTCTTAATTATGCAAACATCGCAAAGCCTTTTTTGTTCCCAGGCTGTGTCAAGTGCTTAATTCTGATTGATCAAAACGCCATAATAACAGTAACTAAATCTAACAGCAAAAGCAACAGTGAGGACAACCCAATTATACACATTCAGAAATGTGGCACCCTTCAGCACTGCTTGTTGATACTATGGTGAAAAACATGATGTCTGATAGCCTAGATAAAAGGCCCCTTGCCAAAACATTAGTTTGCAAAAGCATCTATAATACGATAGTTTAAGAAGTCATTCCAAAAGGTGTTCCACAGGGGTCTTTATTAGGCCCCTTGCCTTTCATTCTATATCCTATTAAAGGAGTTTAGCGATCATCTCTGCCTGTCGACTGTAGCAAAAATAAAATTGTTTGCGAAAGCATCTATAAACAAGATAGTTTAGAAGAACATTCCAAAAGGTGTTCCACAAGGGTCTTTATCAGGCCCCTTGCCATTCATTCTGTAGCAAAACATTAGTTTGTAAAAGCATCACTCACTTTGTTTAAAAGAACATTCCAAAAAATTGTTCGCACGAGCATCAATAAACAAGATCGTTTAGAAGAACATTTCAAAAGGTGTTCCACAAGGGTTTTTATTGGGCCCCTTGACATTTATTATATATCCTATAAGGAGTTCAGCAATAATCTGCGCCTGTTGACTCTGTGGCAAAACATTAGTTTGCAAATGCATCTATTAATAGGAGCATGCTAAGAGGTGTTCCACAGGGGTCATTCTTAGGTCCCCTTGATATTCATCTTACATTCGTTTTTCGGCACTTTTGTTGAAACTGTTGCAAATAAAATGCTGGTGTCTGATAGCGCAGAGGAACATCACAACTTACCATCTTAATATTACTTTAAATTTACTTTAGATTCTTGGTTAATGACTAATCAATTACCAGCATATGAAAGAAGACCGTATGAGGGAGAAAGTGAAGACAAAGCGAGGGATGCTGGACTGGTTGAAGAAAAAGAAACTTTTGATTTTCAATTGGACTTAATAACATAAGACCACTGATCCAGGTAATCGGTTCAAAATCCATAGAAAAAATGTTCGTTTTTGACTTTGCTGCAAATCACACCCACAGTTTTCTTGCTAGTTGCCAGATTCAAGCATAACATTGCAATTTTAAGCTTCGCACAACCACCTGCTTACTGTATATCATACCCGATCTAATGTTTGCAAATGTTACTATCTTGTAAAAGGCCCTTTGCAGTCATAATACCCCCAAACCTTTTTCATTGATCTTAAAATTGGATGCATGTTTATTTTTACATTGATAAAAAGTGCAAACAACCTTAATTGAAAAAAAAAAAAAATTCTGCTGTAACGGTAATATCTCCCCTTACAGAGCAATGACAAACCATCATCTAATCCACTCTTCCCTCTATGCTGGATTAAAGAGATATCCTCTATGCTCATGCAGCTGCCACTGCCCTTTAAAACACACGATAGATGGTTGTCTGAGTCAACTGTCCTGCTCGGAAGTTGCGAACTTTGCTTGCCAGATCTGTCTTGTAAAAGGAATCTTGTCCTCAATGAAATTTCCTGAATGAATAACCAGCTAGAGGAACAGTGCCGTCTTTTCATATCTAAATCTACCATAGATACTTATTTTATCTCACGCTTTTAGAGTAAAAATACTCTTGTTTGTTTTCCATTTTAGGGATTTTTGCTGTAGTAATTTGCCTGTAATCTGTAGTAAATGCAGATAAACACTCTGTAACTGTTGTGTTTTGGTCCCACGCCCCCAAAAGTGCTTTAAAATTCAAGTCGAGGCTAAGCTCATGTTTGTGTTGTGAAAGTTGGATTTAAATGCCTCACCGTAGTGCCCATGTCTCCAGTTTGATAATAGTCCATATAGTCTTGTCCTGAGCACAAATTGCTGGTATTAAGAATCCATAGGAGCACAGCTGGTATCCACATAGTGAGGAGATGAGGTAGAGGAGAAGGAAGAGAGGAGATATCAAGGGAAGGAGGAAGGAGTCGGTGAATTAAAAAGCTTGTTTTAAAGTGAAAGAAGGGAAAGGAGAGGAAGGTTAGGGGGGTTTCACAGACTTGGCAGGTATCTCTTCGCTTCTCTCGTCATTCTATCCAGGAACAAAGTTGCTCTTCCGGCGCAGGTTGTTTGAATTTGGGAAAGCAGCTGAATAAAACATGATGAGGAAATAGTCTTGTCTTCCTCCGGTCAAACACAGCTCCTTTCTGTCTTTCTTTCTTCTTCAGAGAGAGTCTTCCCTCGTGTCTTGCTGCGCCTCCATGCTCGCCGTAGATGTCAGGTGTCAGTTCTTGTCTCTGTTTGCCTTTTTATAACTGCACTTTTCCTCCTCTTTCTTGACCTTCAACTTGAATTGTTCTGTAATCTCTGTCTTTTATGTAAGCCCCTCTTTCTGTCCAGCCTTGATTCCCCTCGTCAGCGTCCTCCCCTTCGCCCTTCACACTTTTCTTTATCTTTATTTTCTCTTCACACAACAGCTGTGCTCTTCCCTCCCTCTCCCAGTCTCTCTCTGTCTGTCTCTCCCAGATTATCGCTGCCTCTTTATCTGTGTCCTGTTTCCTCCTCTGAAACCTCCAGGGCAAAGCTTCTGCCTCTCTCTGGATGTCTTTTTTTCCTTCTTTTTTTGCGCTGCCGCTTTCTAAATCTGTCACAACTTTCCTTGTCAGGCTGTCTGATCCTCGGAAAGGCATCAAAGAGAGAGAGAGAGGGGGAAAAAAAGAGGAAGAGCTTATTCCAAATCCTGCTCCCAAACGGATTTATTATTTTAAAAAATCTTGTCCAGCTTTCGGTATTAAGTTCTTGTCCAAACAGAGTGAATATGTGTCCTGTTCCTAGAGCCTGGTGGCGGAGTGAATGAGGGAAAATTCAAGATTGAAGGGATTGTCTTTGTGGGTGGAGTGAAGGATTTGCAGGAGATGTTTCGTGATTTATAGCCCACTACTTGCACTTCTTTCAGTGCAGTGTCTGCAGAAACAGGAAGAGCTTTTGCACTGACACACTTTCTCATCATCCTCTTATTCTGTCAGAAAAACTCAATGAAGAGTTTTTAATGACTTTCCCCCATAAATGCAGTTCTTTCAGAGAGTCAGACAATCCCTCCTTCCTGATCTATCTGCTGGATCTATCCTCCTTTCCCCACATGTCTATTATCTTGATGTCTTTGGAGCTGGAGGTTTTTAAATGTGTGTGGGAACAGCGCTTGATGTACCAGTGAAGTAGCAGACTCAGTGAGAAAACTGACACCAGCTGTACAATTACCAATACGGTAAAACATAGCTGCAAAAACACTCAGAGTTTGCCATCCAGAGGGCACACGGTCGAATATGAACTACTAAAAATGCAACCAGAGGGCACTCTTGTAGTGCTTTGTTTACTGCAAGTGCATCCACAGAGCACTTTGTTTACATTTAGTCCACTGAAAGGGCATCTAGGAGGCACTTTGTTTACATCTAATCCATTCGAAAGACAGAGTGAGGGAACTTTGTTGATATTCAGCTTGTTTTGAGGGTTTCCAGAAGGACCTTTGTTTACATTTAGTCTGTTGGAAGGGCATCCAAAGGGCACTTTGTTTGTATTCAGTCTGTTTGAAGGGTATCTAGAGAGCACTTTGTTCACATTAAGTCCACTAAAAGGGCATCGAGGTGGCTTTTTGTTTCCATCCAATCCATTTGAAGGACGTATGGAGGGAACTTTGTTTATATTCAGTCTGTTTTAAGCGTTTTCAGAGAGCACTTTGTTTACATTTAGTCTGTTGGAAGGGCATCCAGGGGGCACTTTTTGTTTTCTTTCCACTGAACGGGCATCTAGGATGCACTTTGTTTACATCTAAACCATTTGTAGGGCTTTGAGAGGGTCTTTGGTTTTCACTCAGTCAGCTGAAAAAAGGCACCAAGGGGCGCTTTGTTTACATTTAATCCGTTCAGAGGGTATTTAGAGGGCACTTGTTTGCATTCAGTCTGTTTGAAGGGTATCCAGAGAGCACTTTATCTACATGTAATCTTTCAATCATCCACAGTGCTTTTTTTTAATCCACTGAAGGATATCCAGAGGGATTTTTTTTTTTTCATTTTATCCTCTGGAAAGGCATCCAGAGAGATCTTTGGTTGAAACTTTATCCAAAGGGCATCCTATTCATGTTTTTTCCACCCAGAGGGGCTTTATTTTCACGTGTTTTCTACTAAAGAGGGCAGCAGAAAATTCATTTTATCGTGTTTTATCCTGCACATGAGTATTCAAAAGATCACTTGCACTTCTTTTTCAGACATTGGGGCACCGGGGGGAGGGAAGGTCTTGCCCCTCTCTGAGTGCACCACTGTGTCAGTGGCTCTAAGTGCCTTTTTATGAGCTGCTAATACCTCGTCTGTCTGTCTCCCTCGCTCTGTCTCTCCCCTCTCTTTGTCATCTGTCTCGTTTCCTCACCGTTTTCAGGCTCAATTTTAGTGTCAGGAATAAAGCTGCAGAATCTGTCCCACACCTACAGCTCTAAACACCTTTTCTGCCTTCACTCCTTCACACTTCATCAGCCTTCACCTTTGTCATCCTCCCTCCCCCCTTCACTTCTTCAAGGTACTAAAATCACAAACTTTACATACCTCTTTAACTATATGGCCCTAAGGCTGTGTGCATGAAGGATCAGGAGGAGGAGGAGAGTGAGAAAGGTGAGCAGCAGCTTAGACCTTTGTTTAAATATATTTATCTTTTTCCAGACAGGAGGCTGACAATGACGAGTTTTAGGAGAAGGAGGAGGAGGGAGAAGGAGGGAGAAGGAGGAGGTGTGTCTGGGAAACGCTCGAATGAGAAAACATCCGATTTTTGGACCAGTCACCGCCGGTCTTCTTCAAGGATTAAAGACGCACACCAACATGCACGCACACACAAGGTGGCAAGTGTCTGCATGCAGTACGCTTTATGTGTGGAAATCCGTGCAACCAAATTCCACATTCCAATCATTGCTGTCTCAATTTCATCATGTGAGCTGGATGCATAGAGTGAGGGATGACAGAGAGGGGAGTCTGTGGTAGAAACAAAGCAAATGGCTGATTTTACGAGTTCATATTTATATTCAATAAAAGGAAGAACTTTTATTTTAAAATGGATATGTGTGAGATGGAAGGAAAAGGTGAAAACTTGTAGGACAGAAGTCAGAGTCTAAGCCACGTATTTGTGCACAAGTAATAAAATCGAAATGTTATCCCCGCAGAAAAAAGAAGAAGAAAAAACGGCTTTATTTCTGTAACCGTGACAACTGATTTCATGCGCAGTAATCACTGTTTTGTTTGTGAAATAGCCGGCGTGTCTCACGGGTAAACTTTGTGAACCCGCTCGGAGGCAGACTAATTCCCCCGACACTGAATCTTCTCATAAAGTCGAGATTTTTGAGGTGAAGAGCTTGATCAGGCATTGTGGGGGCAATATCAAATTTTACACAGCACATCAACGGAACAAGAAGACCGCTTGAATTTGATTATCACATGTGCCGTACACATGTCTGAACTTTTCAAGAGATAGAGGAACTGTGGAGTTTTAATTAACACAAGATCGTCATGGATGGGAGCTATTTCCGATCAAATAAATACCCGTTTGAATGACTACATTGACATCGACTTGACCTTATATAAGCCTGGACTGGAGGCTGGAACGCCCTTTCTTATCTTTTACTGTTAGAAATGGAAAATAAGTAATTTTGTCCTTTGAGAAAATCAAGTTTAATTTTACAATCGGTAATCAGATTAGTCAAAAGAAACTACATTTTCAACGGTATTTTCCACGATGCTCCTGTTTTCAATATTCAGTCAGAAGGAAGAGTTGATGTAGAGCAAGCAGGTCCATCCATTTATTGAACCATCCGTCCATTCTATCTCAAGAATGGTCTTGTTGGCGACGTCCATTGGTGGGTCGATAAGATGAGTCAATACAGATGACCACTTCAATAGCAGCCTCCGTCAGCAGTGTGTGTAAACCCAGTATACACACACACTTACCGTGTAACCAGTAAGTGTGTGACCACTCCATGAGTTATTGTGTCCATTTAAAATCTGTAGTTTTGTCTACCTATTATCATCCATCCATCCGTCGGTCTGTCATCAGTTAATCCATCCATCCTTTATCATCCATTCATTCATCCATCCTTCAATCCATCCATCCATCCATCCATCCAACTATCCTTTATCATCCATCCATCCATCCAACCATCCATCTGTCATCATTTAATCCATCCATCCATCGACCCTTATCATCCAGCCATCCATCCATCTGTCTGTCTTCATTTAATCCATCCGTCCTTAATCATCTATCCATCCTTATATTCATCCTTCCATCCATCCAACCATCCATCCATCCTTTATAGTCATCCATCCATCCATCTGTCTGTCATCATTTAATCCATCCACCCATCCATCCGTTAATCCAGCCAACCATCCTTTATCATCATCCATCCATCCATCCATCCAGCCATCCAGCCATTCATCCCTCTGCCATCATTTAATCCATCCATCTATCCACCTTTTATTATCCATCCATCCATCCGTCTGTTATCATTTCATCCATCCACCCATTATCATCCATCCATCCATCCATCCATCCATCACATATCATCCATTAGCCATCTAAGTTCCCTCTCTAATCCCCTTTATGGCTCATCCTGGGAGATTGGAAAGGTTCCCAGGCTGGTTGGATATCTGATCCCTCCACCGTCTCTTGGGTCTTCTCTCTTTCTCCTTCTCATCAGACTCACATGTAAAACTTCCAAAGGAGGCGTCCAGGTGACATCCTTGCCTGAAGGACTATAACTGGCTTATTGGAGGAAAGTAGGGGCTCGACTATGAGCTCTGCTTGGATGTCCAGACCCTGGTTTTCAGGCTCCTTGGTGCCTTTATCAGAGAACCTTGGTGTGTTCATGCACGACTAAGACAACCTCCCAGTTCTGGTGCTGGTCTTATCTCAGTGATACAGAGCGTTATCTTGACTATCTCTGCATCTTTTTATGATATAATGCTGGTTTGCTCTGGGTCGTTTCTTTTTAGTATTACACAACTTTTCCATGTTTTATTGTCGCTGTCCCGGCTTAACATTTTTACCATGACAAGCTAATTATAATCAAACAAAGAAGTTCCTATCTTTGAGTTAAAGCAGTTCACCCTTTCAAGAGGCCTCTAGCTGAGCTGCCACAAACATCGGTGTAATTGTCGTCATGTTACCTCTCTTTGGCCAGAAATGTCACACCCTTCAGAGGACGTTGGAATAAATTGTCTCTGCGGCTCTTTTTTTTGATTTATACTCCTCTGTTTCACATAACTCATATTTTACACAAGTAGCTCCAACAAAACTTTGATTTATGACTGAGTTTCTCTCAGTTTGCTCATCTGTCCTTGCTCTGTACCGTCCCTGTTTATCAAATGTGGTTCCTTGGCCTCGAAGTAGATAGAGCAGCCTTTCTCATCGTGCTCTTTAAACAGGCTTCCCCCTTTTTTCCGCCCCACTTTCAAGCAGTCATGGTGTCTTCTGCCTTTAACATTGTGTTTGTCCACCATATAGCAAATGGTCTTGGCCTGAAGGCATGTAAGAGAAGATAACAAGTGGTTCCTGTGGGTAGACGCAAAGTGTTGGACTCTTTAGCGTGGTCGGAGAGACAATTACTGTTTGGCAACACTCACTCGCTGAGACCACAGCATTCCGGTTTTGTCAGGGATACGACCAGAATCCTGGTTCCTTCAAAATACTGGGAAACAACTTTTTAAAATCCTGAAATGTCAAGCGAAGCCATAAAATCGTCTTAAATCTAATAAACTCGATCTTCTGACAGCAGATGGATAGCCTTGAATTTGGCCTCTGCTTTGGCTAACTCGGCTAAGGCCTCACTTTCAGAAAGCACAGTGTGTACGTTAGCAGCTGGGGGCTTAAAACCCTTTTTATGAGATTTTAAACTGTTAGATCTTTGATTCATCAGACCAGAGGACAGCTTTCCCAGATCTAGAGAAGGGTGACCATACATCCTCTTTTAACTGGACATGTTCTCATTTTTTGCAACTGGGCTTGTCCGGCTTTGTCCAGGGAGGTTTATAAAATCCTTCAAATGTCTGTGGTTTTGTATGGAAGTTTGGAGTTTGTGTCGCGTGGACTTACCGAGTTAGAAACACGTAAAAGACACTCGAAATTAGCTCTCAAAATTAACTTTGTACGACTCTGTGACTCTGCCCCCCTGTAGTCGTGGCCTCTTTTTTGCGACTGCGTTAGTCCAGCTTTGTCCAGGGAAGTTTATAAAATCGCTCAAATGTCTGCGGTTTTGTACGTATGTTTCGATTTTGTGTCACGTGGACTTACTGAGTTAGAAGCGTGTAAAAGACACTTGATTGGACCCAAAAAACTCTTAGAATTAAATTCGTAAAAAAAATCGACTCCAAGACTCCGCCCCTGCGTAGTCATGTCCTCTGTTTGGGAAGTCAGATTATGGTCACCCTAGTCTAGTGACAGCTTCCCAGGATCATATTCAGTGTTTGGAACAGTCTCAACCTGCATTTATGATTGCAGCAAAAATCATGTCATCAGACAGCGATCTTTGGGGGTTATTTTGAGCCCATGCAGTGACTTCCACTGCAGAGTCGTGTCTGTTTTAATACTTTTACATTGTGGGACGTTTGTTCTGAAACTGCTGATAATGAATCTTCTTACAGAGCTCAGGAAACAGCAGAGATGATAATGGTATTTTGTGTTTCTTACCTGCATCTGCATCAGTTTCTCTGTGTTTGATTTCACTTCACAGATGCTTCTCTCTTCTCTGCAGCCTGCTGGAGGATTTTGGAAACTCACTACATATTCTCCCTCTGTTGCAGCGCCTAATTCATGATGATTTTACCCAGTCCTTAATACACAAAGATTTTTAAGTTGTATAGATCGGCCCCAGTGTTGGTTCATTTCAGCAAAATCCAAAGTAAAAGGGCGCCATCTGTTGGCAAAAACATGGATCTACTTAAATTATCTATAGGTCAAGGCTCATGTATCACACCCTCCAAACAGGGAATATTGTCAGCTCTGTGTGGAAGGAAGAATAAGTTCTTATGTGGCTTTCTTTCTTTTAAGAACGACCACATAAATTCAAGAGGAGTTGTTTATTTGATCGGCACATTTCCACAATAAGAAGAGTCGATTCTTTTATTCCCGGTAATCTTCACAAGAAACAAGACTTTATTTGTGAAAAACCTTTATTCACTTTTACATGACATTTTTGTAACTTCTGGTAGATTCTAGTTGATGAATGTTTGAGCGTCCTGTAGAGGCGTCTTTTGTTTAAGATTTACGACAAATCTTGGAGCGTCGGTTATGAAAGTGTTCGACCATCGTTCGTTGAGCTGCTGCTGCTTCATTTTTTTTTACCTCTCTTTTAATTCTGATTTAATCCACTGTCTTTCTTAATGACCTTCAGTTGACCTTGGCCTGATTAACTCTCCCAGCTTTTGATTTGCAAATAAGTTCATTTCCTCTCCATTGTTTAATAGGCAAATCAAGTCACGAAGGGTTACAGCAAGATCCAACCACAGTCAATGTTTGCGGCACGTCTGCAGCATGTTGAGGCTGATGACCGGCAAAGATTTTTACTGTGAGTATGAGCTTCAGATTTTAATGTAAAATTACTCTTGTCACAGAAATTGAACAAATACAGGCTACATCTGATAAACTTTGTTTTATATCTAATGTTCACAAGATACGACAAGACTGAAGAGTAAGTCCAGGATTCTGAAACGAATGAATAAAAGACACAGGGATCACAGTTAACTTCAACAAATGCTTTTGAACTTATTTTAATTCAACACCTGAGCACTGCGATTGCTCAGAAGGGGCTGATTTGCCAAAAGCATCAACATGCCTGACTGAGTCGTCTTATTTCTTCTGTTTCAAAGTTGTTCTCCTCCAGTTATGGGCTCTCCCAGTCCTCCCAGTCCTCTCAGGTAAGACTCGTTCTCTTCAGAATAATAATTAAAGACAAGGATTCAATTGTTTCAAAAGCAGTGGTCAAAAGTGCATCACATCGTCCGCTAAAGAAATCAATTGTTCTGTCTCCCTGAAGCTTCTTTAACGAATGTGGCGTTGACTGGAACAGCGTCTCAGTCAGGCATAAGTCACGATGGTGAAGCTTCATTGGCAATCGATGGGAATAAAAACCCTGACTATGCTGGGGGATTCTCCTGCACCCACACTCTCTTTGCTAACAGCCACTGGTGGAGGTTACTTCTGCCAGCAGTCTACAGGGTCTCTCATGTTGACATCACCAACCGGGATGAATTAGCGGAACGGATAAATGGCGCTGAGCTCCTCATTGGAAACAACGCCCAAAACAACGGCAACAACAACCCAAGGTAATCTGAGAATATCTGTGTCTTGTCTTTTGCTCTGGATGGCACAGTGGTCTCCAGAGCAAAACCAGTGTTCAGAGCTCCCCCTGTTGGTGAGCTGCAGTACGCGATATCACCAACGATCCTTCGAATTTTCTCTGCTTTTGTCAGATGTGCCGTTATCGACAGCATCGGAAGAGGACAGACAAGAACCTTCGACTGTGGGGGGATGATTGGTCGATTTGTCAACGTGAAACTTGAGCGCCCAAATACTATATTGACACTTTGCGAGCTGGAGGTATACGGAGGTTAGTAAATCTGTAAATCGAACCGTTACCGAACTCAATCAAAGGAGGAAGAGTGTTCGGATGGAAAAACCTGACTTTTCGGAGATGTTTCATGAAACTAGATCTACTGTCACTGATGTTTTGCAGAAATAGCCGCTCCTGCTCCGTCCTTCAGCGCCGTGGTGATGGGTCGAAGCGTAGCAGTGGTGGAGAAGGAGCTGTGTTGGTCCGACGCTCTCTTCTACTGCAGAGACTTTTACTGGGACCTGCTCAGCATACGCAGCGAGGAGGAGCAGAGGGAGGTGGAGGAGGTGCTGAGGAGCGTGTCCTTCCCTCTCACTGAGCGTGTTTGGTTGGGCCTGCGCAGGTAACAACTTCAAGACTTTCTGTTTGCTCTTCCTTGGGTCACAAATATCGTCCTTAGTTTGTGATGTTATTTCTGACTTTAAGGTACCTGATGGGGAAAACCTGGTTCTGGATGTCTGGTGATACCGAGAACTTTGACTACTTTGAGACACAATCGATCTGGGAGGACACCAGTCCGTGTGGCGCCATCGACACCAGCGACCGCTTCCACTGGGGGGATCTTCCATGTGAAGAACACCGTCATTTTATCTGTTTGACAGGTAACGATCAACCCTCGTCTTCTTCTCTCTTTAATAACCTCGAGGTTGGATTTTTGGACCCCAACTGTTTGCACATCTCATACCTCTGGGTTTCATTTTAAAAAAGGAAGTGTTTCTTATCATAGATATGCAGATGACACACTCATCTACCCTGAAAATAAGACTGAGATCTTTGTGCTTCCTGTGACGTGTCCTCGATCAACCTCTGCTCCCTGCAAACATGTGTCAAACCCACAGATACCGATCTAGCCAGAGATTTTAGAACATCTTGTTTTTACCATCTGAGGCTTTTAATCCGTTCTATCTTCGAATGATTTTGAGCGAGGAGTACATGCTTTGATCTCATCAACCACAATGTTCTCTCTCCCGTCAGCCATACCTCTTCTCATGCAAGGTTTGTTCAACTGGTTACACTGCCTTTTCTCTTACGCTCATTAAAGGCATGGTTGATGATTGGAGAAGCAGTTGAAAAAAACTGAGCCGTTGAGGCAGATTTGGAAAAAGCGTCCCACTCCCCACACACAAACCTCCCCCCTGAACCTGTATCACCCTCCCCACGACACACCCCCTCTGACAGAGCAAGAAGCCGGCAGGCAGAAGATCCTACGCTAGCTTCAAACAGGATTCACCATGTCGGATTTCTAGAAGTGCGATAATGTTCTGTTCGATGTACTGTTCTGTTCCCCTAAATATCGCTTCCGGGACAGATGGCTCCCATTGGTCAATGTTTTTTCAGCCCTGCACCTGCTACGTTGAACAGATTTTTTCCGTTCTTTTTTCTCTTCACTTTGTTGAGATCGAAGCATAGGACAAGATCACCATAGAAACAAGGTTCATAATAATTACCAATCTCTCCAATCATCAACCCTACCTTTAGTCTGAACTTTCACCTCTTCTCCTCTTTATATTCACAGACTATCAGCCCGACGATGAAAGAGTGGAGTTTTACAGCAGCACCAGACCATGAACGCAGCGTGAAGAGACAGTCTCTTAGTTCTTTTTGCTGTGGGGGGCACTTACACAACGCCTAGCCACTTTGCACACTTGGTCATGTTAGTTTTTTGTGTTAATTTTCTGTTACTGTATAAAGTCAGCACGAGCTGCAGCCTCCTTCCTGTTCCTCCTGTAAGTCAGTGTGGTGTAAAGTCCTCTAATCAGCTCATCAGAGGTTAGTAAAGCTGAAACATGATGTGTCACTTAATTTCCAGATCACTGAATAGACTTAAATGGTTCTTAACTTTGCTTTAAATCATATCAGTTAAGTGTGAACTGGTGCATTCTTCTCTCCTGATGTGCAGCGTGTTTTATGTAAGCCCCTCTAGGAGCAAAAACAGGATTTTAGAACAAAGAGGAAAATGTGTCGACAAAAATGTTCATAAATTCATCATATTCCCAAACATGTAAAAACTTCAAACTGCTGTCTGTCATCTCACTTTGGCTTGGGAAGTTTTTTCAGCTGTTTACAATCCAGAAGTACAGAAACAAAACTAGGCCGAAATTTATTACATCGAACTCTGTTGTTCGTATCTGATTATTATGTGACAGTGTGAAAGGTTATTCTTTTACTAAACATTTGAGGGGTTTTTTTTTAAACAAAAAAGTGCTAAAACCTTAATTGTAACATGCAGCTCGATCTATAAATGAAGCTTCTACTGTTAAAAAAGATGAGAAGGTCTCCCATCCAAGTACTAACCAGGTGTGATCCTCCTTAGCTTCCAAGATCAGACGAGATAGGGTGTGTTCAGGTTGGTATGACGAATCAAAGCACCTTTTTTTTATAAATTAGCATCAACATTTAATGTATTTTTGTGAAACAGAATAAAGTACCTGGGTTTCCGAGACAAGAAGCTCCAATAAGAGCAAAAGTTTCCATCACATGTTTTTGTTACAGTCATGATAACTACAAATTATATTTACTAATCATTTCATGACATTAAGGCTGCTCGGGTTAGGGTTAGGGGTGCTTTGTTGCAAATTGACTAAACTAGTAGCAGATTTAAAATAAAAGAACTGAATTTTTATTTGTTAATATTACATTACAGTAAAAAATGTTTGTGAATCTAGTGTGTGTGTTTTGTACAAAAGAATTTTGCTTCTACTTGTGGACAAAAAATCTGTTGTTTTTAGTGTACGTGATTTTTTTTTTTGTCCTTTTGAAAAGTGTATCAAGAGGACGCTAAATGTAAGCATTTCTTATTAAAATATTCAACTTTGTCAGCTAAAATCACAGCCACCAAGATTTATTTTCATTTTAGTATGAAGTCTTTATTTTTCAGGGCTAGTTTTCAGAAGAACTTTATCGCCATCTACTGGCAAATTAAATGTATGATCATTTAAGTCTCATAAAAGGAGATAAAAAGAGAAAAGAAGTGTATTATATTAGTTTATGGATTTGAAAAAAATCTGCTTTGTGACTGGAGGATGAATTAATAAGAAAATCTACTCTGTCGGATAACACATGGGTTTTCCTTTAAGATTTATAAGTCCAAAAATATCAAGATTATTATGATTTGTTTCTTAAATTAAAGCTTTAGTTACTTTTGCTCGTCTTAAAATTCAATTTAAACCATATTTACAAATTTAAAATCCAAACTGCTTTATAGTGTTGATAATTGTTGGTGTCCTGCCTCCGACATTAGGTGGCGCTATGCAGCTGAACGTTGCTTGCGATCCCCCATTAAACGAAAGAAGAAGAAAAAGCAGTTCCTGCTTCCGGAGTGTTGCTCATCTTAAAAAGTGTAGTCTGTGGGAAAAAAACCGAAATAAATAAACTCTTTTTCATACATATACTCAGTTTTTTCATTGATATTTATCATTACTGAACTAAATAAATTGCTGACCTGAGAGTGTGCTGGAATATAAAGCTTTAATACAATTAAAAAAAGGAGAAAGCTGTCCGTCAAAGTTGTTAAAGTCGTATATTTCCCTCCTGCAGATATGTGGGCATGAAAGACATCGCGATGGAAGCTCAAAGGTAAGAGGATTTTCTTTGTATCACAGCTGTAGCTTTAAATTTAACAGAAATCTCTCTGCAGCAGTGTCGTGTCGTTCGCGAACGATTCGTTCAAAAGAACCGAAAAAGTCATATTTAAACTGGAAAAAAAATATATATGGGTCTGAAAAAAAACCCGACATAGTATACTTTCAGATTTCAGATTTTAGAGTGAAAAAAACATCAATTTTTAGGATAAAAAAACATGCCAGAGTGTAGTCTGATCAAATGCCATAGTATAGGATGTGAAAAATGTCATATATAAGCGGGGGGGGGGGGTATCATATTTTAGTCCGAAAAAAAACAACATAGTATATTATGATGAAAATTCAGATTTTCGGATGAATTCTTTTTTTAAAATGTTAGGATAAAAAAACATGCCAGAGTATTGTCTGATCAAAATTCCATGCTGAAAGATGTTGAAAATGTCATATTTTGGCCTGAAAAAAAAAATCTTATTTTATTCTGAAAAAAAAACCGACATAGTATACTATGACAAAAATTTCAGATTTTAAAATGAAAAAAAAAAGATTATGTTTTTAGGATGAAAAAACATGCCATAGCATTGTCTGATGTCATAAATGCCATAGTAAAGGATGTCAAATATGTCATATTTTGGCCCGTGAAAAAAAGGTTTCATATTTTAGTCATAGTATACTATGATGAAAATTTCAGATTTTAGGGTGGAAAAAAAAATTCCGTTTTTAGGATGAAAAAACATGCCATAGTATTGTCTTATCAAGATGACATGGTAAAAGATGTTGAAAATGTCATATTTTGGCCCGAAAAAAAAGTTTCATTATTAAGTCTAAAAAAAAAAACGACATAGTATACTATGACAAAATTTCAGAATTTAGAGTGAAAAAAAATTCAGTTTTTAGGATGAAAAAAGATGTTATAGTGTGGTCTGATCAAAATGCCAAAGTCTAAGATTTCAAAAATGTCATTTTTTAACAGAAAAAAAAAATCTTATTCTAGTCCAAAAAAAAAAAGACATAGTATACTATGATGAAAATTCTGATTTTCGGGTGGAAAAAAAATACAAATATTAGGATAAAAAAACATGCCATAATATTGTCTTATCAAGATGCCATGGTAAAAGATGTTGAAAATGTCATATTTTGGCCCGAAAAAAAGTTTCATATTTTAGTCTGAAAAAAAAAATCAGTTTTTAGGATGAAAAAACATGCCATAGTATTGTCTTATCAAGATGCCATGGTAAAAGATGTTGAAAATGTCATATTTTGGCCCGGAAAAAAAGTTTCATATTTTAGTCACGACATAGTATACTATGACAAAGTTTCAGAATTTAGAGTGAAAAAAAAATTCAGTTTTTAGGATGAAAAAAGATGTAATGGTGTTGTCTGATCAAAATGCCATAGTCTAAGATGTCAAAAATGTCATATTTTAACGGAAAAAAAAGTTTCATATTTTAGTCTGAAAAAAAAAAGACATAGTATACTATGATGAAAATTCTGATTTTCAGGTGGAAAAAAAATACAAATTTTAGGATAAAAAAACATGCCATAGTATTGTCTTATCAAGATGCCATGGTAAAAGATGTTGAAAATGTCATATTTTGGCCCGAAAAAAAAGTTACATATTTTAGTCTGAAAAAAAAAATGACATGATGAAATTTCAGAATTTAGAGTGAAAAAAAAAATCTGTTTTTAGGATGAAAAAAGATGTTATAGTGTGGTCTGATCAAAATGCCATAGTAAGGGATGTTAAAAAAGTCATATTTAACCAGGAAAAAAAAGTTTCATATTTTAGTCCAAAAAAAAAACACGACATAGTAAACTATGACAAAATTTCAGATTTTAGAGTGAAAAAAAAAATCAGTTTTCAGGATGAAAAAACATGCCATAGTATTGTCTTATCAAGATGCCATGGTAAAAGATGTTGAAAATGTCATATTTTGGCCCGAAAAAAAAGTTTCATATTTTAGTCTGAAAAAAAAATGACATAGTATACTATGACAAAGTTTCAGAATTTAGAGTGAAAAAAAAATTCAGTTTTTAGGATGAAAAAAGATGTAATGGTGTTGTCTGATCAAAATGCCATAGTATAGGATGTCAAAAATGTCATATTTTAAGCGGAAAAATGAGAAATTCATATTTTGGTCCGAAAAAAAA